ATACAATCAAAATAGGAAAAAAAAAGAAGTCTTTGCTTTAATCAAAACATAATCCACTCAACCCCGGCGCCTGGTCCGCCAAGGCACTTGGTCCAGTTGAAGGGGCCGCGGCCAGTTCCCATAGCATTGTAGTAGTCAAGCTTTGCGTCATTCTTGATCTCCCCTGACCACAGTTTTTCCAATACGTCAAGAGCTGCCAGGTTATTCATGTAGCCAGATCGGCTCATGATACCACGGCATTTTTCCCGTATAACGTTCTGCTGCGACTCCACAATGCACTCTGAACCTGCAATAAACAGCGGCCAGAGTAAAAACTTTTCTGCGGAGCTGCTAGTCTCTAAGCTCGTTGCATGATAAACAACATGGCTAACAAGATTCTGGAAGTTGGAATGCGTAGATGATGTCTGCGGGTTTGCAAGGCGCTCGGAGTAGAGTAAAGCCGCATACCGAAATGCCTCGGAAACAGCCCCCAAATCCCGAACCTGGCCTGTAGTTGGTGATCCTGGTAGTGACTTGGCCAATGACGATGCGTCAAACTGCCAATCTTGAAGCTCTTTTCGTGCCGCTCTCCACTCTGCCCAAAAGATGACTCGACGTTCATCGAAGGATATGGAGGAATACATTGCAGAAGCAAGCATTTCGTCATCATTGATTGTAGTGCCGAAGCCATTTCCATCAAATCGTGGGGTCGGGCTTGATGCCCCGCCTGCACTATCCTGTTCAGATGGCGTCAATTCGTTGATGCCTTGCACAGACCGATGTTGGGATAAAAGATTCAGGCGGCCCAGCTTGCCAATCGTCTTGAAAAGCTTTCGATCACATCCAATCATGTTTTCGGATCCCGCAGGTAGATCCTGCACATCAGGAGACACGCCCTCAAAACCGGGTGCCAGCTGCGCTTCTCGCTCATTAATGCTGGCTGAAATGGCGTCGAGGTAGGTAAAGAGAGTCTCCATCCATGAAGAGTCCTTAGATGAGGCTGGTTGTCGGGATCTCCTCATGGCTAGAATCTGACGTACGCCCACAAACTGGGTATGGAACTTTGCCACACCAGATTCCACCATTCGATAATGGCACAAGAGAAGGATCGTTGCAAGCACCGAGTCATGATGTGATCTCGTTGGGTCGCTTAGTTGCCGATTCAAAAGATCTACAGCCAAGTTTCGATGCTGCACCTCTTCAGACAGTGATTGATCCTCAATCTCCGGCCCTGGGGTGGACTCAGAGGCTTGCTTCTCCAGCATCAGTGTCGTAAGCAATTCCCGTGTTCCGTATCCTAAGCTCAGTCTTCTCTTCATTCGCAAATTGCAAGCCGATAAGGCACAAATCGCATGCTGCACGCTTGGATTGTGCACAGCGAGGCGGAGAACGTGTTCTCTGAAAGGGTTATGAGGGCCATCTATAAAGACCATAGATGGGGCCATTGTAATCTTGAAGTAATCCATGAAAAACGGCATCTTGGCCAACAGATCCGTCTTAGAGCCAACCTGCCCAAACCATTGCACCTGGCCACTACTATGGCGCCTCCGTTGTTGTATTTCTTTTCGTGCAATTCGAGGTGTGGAGCCACCACCGGCACCCGCATCGACTTCAGGGACACCTGCTCGCTTATTAGAAGGGAAAGGCCGGGCAGGGCGCCATGTGATGCTCACTGAGGCTTTCACAACCCCGCATAAGTTTGTGGCCCAAGTGCGATCCAAAAGGATCCATGTGATGGCTCAGGGCAGAGTGAGGCTCTGAAGGGGCGTAGACGAGCCCAGGATAAGAGGTTGGGGCGCGGCAGTGGTCAAGGACCAGCACGGTAGGAGGGCTCTGCGCAATGGGAGAGCTGTGCTGGGCAGGATATCCGTCATACAGGACGTTTGGGCTGTGGCTGAAGGGGATCTCTTCGCGGGCATAAGATTGGCTCAGAGGAGAAAGGTAGTCTACCTCGCTGCCAACCGACTCGCATGAGGAGGAAAGCGCGTCAGTGCTCAGATGAAGAGGAAACCTAGCATATCTCGGCGTCACATCTGGCGAGTGCACAAGGCTTGGAGAGTATCCCCAGCTGCTCTGCGTCATCGGCGGGGTGTGGTTGTGGTGTGAGATAGAGAGGTAGTCGTACGCGGGGACTTGGTAAGCCGGAGTAGTTGGCGTTGAAGCCGTATGCGTGGTTGAAGGAATATCAATAGGGCTTCGAGCCAAGTTTGTCGACAAAGAAGCGGCGCTGGAATGGGCCCTTGCTCGCGAAACGGGCGACTTCTTGGGCTCACGAGTGACGGGAGGGGCCTTGGCAATGGGCAAAGATAGCCCACGAAGCTTGCCGCGGCTGGCAACACCAACACCCCAAGTAAGCTGAGTCTTGTAGCCCGAGCATTCGTTACCGATTTCAAGGCATTGAGAGCAGTAAGGTCGACGACGATCGCATTTGACATTGCGTTTCGAGCATGTGAAGCAGTCGTCTGCGGCACCACCAGCAGGAGCGCGTCTTCTGCGCTTGCGTATGGTAGCAGAGGTGTCCTTGACAGCCACAGCCACGGTAGGTTGAGATAACGGAGCAGTCATGTTGTTGTGAGAGCGGCGGATTTTCGAGGGGAAAAGGTATATGTACAACAAAGATTGTTGGTTGGCTGCCGAGCTAAGATTCTCTGAGAGTCTCAACTTAGACGAAGGGAGGGGCAGATATAATGTATATATAGACAGGTATATATAGGTATATATAGACAGGTATATATATATATATATATATCGATGCTTAATGCAGTCAAAGATAGAGGGATAACTTGAAAAGGGAGGGAGATGGAGAGAGAATATAAGATGGAGTAGTTTGGGATAATGAAGTAAGTTATGCCGAGTGTCAAAGCAGCCAGATGAAGACGGACATGATGAGGGTTATGTATGAATGAGAGGGACGGATATTGTGTGGTGTGAATCGGCACAAGTCCTGGACCCGGCTGATATGGAGTGGCTCACACCAAAAAAAAACCATGACCAGGATGGCACTTCACAGTAGCGGCAAAGGCAGTGGTAGCCGGGGCGCTTGTGCCATGGATCGTGAGCAAGGGGCGACTTGCAAGTGCTTTGATGGCGGTGGGCTATCTGGATATGAATCCCCGTACTGCAGTAAGAGCAGCGGCCCTGGATAAAGAGGAGAAGATCAGCGGGACTGGCACATGAAGAGAGACTAGCCAGGCCGGGATTTCATCTCCAAGGGTGGCCTTTTCTGCACGCCCCCCTAGCTCGGGCCCTCTTGTGAACTAGCCTCCCAGGACTCTGCACTGACAGGGGGGCCCCCCAAGTGAGAGCCGCAGACAAGGTGGGTGGTAAGGCATGTGGTGCATGATGGGGAAACAGGGGTGGGCGATTAGGGCCGTTCTGTCTTTGATGCCAGTTCCTTGTCATCAGGGCCAGCCGGGGTGCGCTTAGATGGGGGTCGTCGATTTGGGAGGGTGTACGGTAAGGCGTGAGGTTTGGGGATGGAGGCGGAGGGTATGGAGACGCCCTGTATAGCCAGTTCCGCTGCTAAAAACAAAACGGAGCAGAAAAGAGCAAAAACGCCAGCCGAAGATGCAAAGATGACTCCAAGCATACCAAGAGTCAATGCATGGACTGGCATTGGCACATGGACAGTGCCTGTGAATGCGTTTCTGCGCAGACCACCCCCCCTCCCACCTCCGCATACTCGTAGTCGTAGCAGCAGCATAGCTTGCTAAGCAGCAGTCCTGAGGATGGAGAGCGGTTGAAACTCGCAGCCATCCTCTTTGGGTGCGAGCGAAACGTTTCCTCTCGCTGCTATCTTGGATGTAAGATGAAACTTGTAATCATATGTTTCTATTTCCATCTTGTCGGTCACGCCGTCGCCGGCGAAGCAGCCGTTGAAGCCTCTGGCCAGTATGTACTATTCCCAATTTCAATCCCTTTGGTCCACAGCATCAGCAAATAGCCGAGGATGTGAAGCACGGAGTAGAAGGCGCTTTTATTATGGTGCAAGCAGGCGGGATGCCCCCCGAACGGAGCAGATTGAGAGGACAGACGGAAGCAATAACGGACAGCAGCCCCTCTACTCTTCCGGGGCTACTCGTCACTAAGAAAGGACGAAATCAGACAATGCCCTTGAGCCTGGTTTGGCGCACAGTAGCTGGGACGAGACCGTGTACTCCGGAGCAGCGAGGCGCTAAGGAGCCCCGGGAGCGGCTACTACTTGGTGTCTAGCGTTGCTGTGGCTCCAATTGCATAGGTCCTTTTGCAAAATCCACCGCGAGCCCACTCGGCGCAGGCGTTCTACTTGTACACTTGTACGCAGATATGCCCAAAACGATTGTTAGCATATCGCTCGCGAACTCGGCCGCCGCACTGCCAGTATCTGGGTACCTGAGTGCTGAGGCCGGTCCTGAGATTAGGATGCACAATGAGGCTCGGCGAGTATCTGGTAAAGCCGGCGACATGTCATCCGCTACGGGCTGAGCTTTCCCAGCTAGTCATCTCGGCCGAACAATCTGGCGCATCTGCCGTTATCAGATTCCACTAACCCGTTTGTCATGCTCGAGCACGGAGCAAAGAGTCGTCGAAACTACGAGCACGCTCGAGTCCGCGGTCCTTGAGTATGTAAGAGCACGTTTGAAGGGCGCCGCCCCCCGAAGAATGACATTGTCAAACAAGCCCAGACCCTTGTGCTTCGGGGAGGGGCATCGTGAGACCGACGAGTGACGCAAATGACGGAGGACCAAGGTGCAACACAACCCACCAGCGCATGTGAGCAGCGGCCGCGCGCACTCACCAACACCCAAATTGACTCTCGAAATGCCGGCTGGAATGCAAAAACGACTGATTGACGAGCTGTGCTCGGTGTCTTGTGGGGAGCGGGCGCGGGCCGTGCTTGTTGGTCTGACCTGTTTGTTGCGTGATGGATGGTGAGTGGACGAGCAAGGTGTGTGTGTCGTGGGAATTTCGTCCGACTGCCGGGAAATTCTTTGCATCGGCAAAAGAAGGTGTGCCCCTCTATCTCGCAAGATTCCCTGTCTCTACTGCGCCTGGCGTCCTCTTCGCGAGCTGAGAGCCTCTTCTTGGAGTCTAGACGCTGGAAAGGGGGCATTCTTCGCTCGACGCCGCTTATAAGCCGGAGCTGCCATGATTGTCAGGGCCAAGAGCGGGTAACCAATTTGTCGGGAACTGTGCTCCGTAGCAACAGCAGCACGAAGCATGATTGATGGAGCGTGCTCCGTAGAGACGGGATAGATTTGAGCCACTCTACTGTATACGTGCGACGCTGGGCATGGAGGACGACCGTTTGGGAAAAAGCCACCAACCGCGAGCCCGGATACACCCTGCTGCTGGGTGCTAGCGGGCTAGTGCTCGTAGTGCCGTGGCAGTCGCTGGCTAATCGCAGTGCTGCTCCGCAGTCCTTGGAATTTGTGCTGTTGGTTCACAGAAGTTGCCAAATGGAACTTTTTAGCTGGCTTCTACCAACAGTTCCGATAAGATCACGTTGGCGCCTTAGTTCATCTACACTACTGTGTACTACTGTGGTGTGCTGTAGATCTTCGTTGCCGTTGGCAGCTGCTGTGTAGAAGGGCGGTCACGGAGACGTCGCGGGCGGCGCTGCGCTTGCCTGGTGCCCGCGTTTAGCTCTTGCCGCCACTCCCCGCTGTCCGCTGTTGGCTACATGTGCTAAGTAGACACGATACTTGGTGCCGCCACCACTTACAGTGCCAATGGCCTTGTACTGTACATCCGCAACAGGTTCATTCTGCTTGCTGCCCATCCCGCGTGCCAAGGCAAATGTCCATTCGCCCTTTCCCTCTGAAGCTAGAAGCTAGGAGAAAACGCAACCCAAAGTCATGCTCTTCAAACCTCTTACATCATCTGGCAGAAAGCCACACAGAGCTAGGCTTAGGGCTGTCATGTCGATGGCCGTGACAGCGATCAACAGGAGAGCGTCGATACCGTCAAGATAGCCGGCTTGCTGATCAGCCAACCCATGCGCGCATCTTCTGCGGTCGACTTTAATCCGTGACCGTGGCCGCCGATCGCCCAGCTGGTGTGATGTGCTGCGAGGTGCGCGTGCGGGCAGATTCGGCAGCGTCTGCATTACTCGAGCAGATTGAGGATGCACCAACTCCGCCGAGCAAGCAGCCTGTGAAGTGGCTAGAATGAAAAAAGAACAGAAAAGAAAACAATGCACACAAGGCACACAATGCCTATTACTCGCACCAATGTTTTAGTTGCGGCAATCGCTCGATGCCGAGTGGAACTGCTCGAGATGCAGTAAAATGAAGGACCGCCTCGGCGCTGGAGACGGTATCAGAACGGAGCCAAAAGTGTGGCACAACCGCCGGCTAGGAGGTGTCATTGGACGAGCCGCAAACGCTCAGCACAGAGAGGACGGTCGGCAGCGGCGCATCAGATCAGCCGGGCGACATCATCTGATCTGAGACCGCATCGGCCAGTGGCGAGATGCACATCCCTCCAAGATAGCCGCGACCTGTGAAACTCCGTGGAACAGGCCACCGCGTGTTTCTGAACTTACTCGCGGGTGTCTGTAGGTGCACTGCGCATGTCACCGCGCCGTCTGAGGGGCCTCTGGAGTAAACGGAGCGCCTCCGTTAAAGCATACAAAGCCTTCCACAAGGTACATACCGCCGCAGCCAGTATGCCGCATGTGGAGCGCGCTACACCCCTCCCCCACTGCGCCACAGGTACCATCTGCTGGTGTTCTGCTGGGACGGGTACCTTTCGACGCTGTCTAGGCGGTGCTCGCTCGCTTCGATGTTATGCCCAAGACAGGTTGGACAGTGGTCACCCTTGCTGCTGTTGCTTTGGCGAAGACTTGGCATCAAGTGCAGCCTCTGTCTGCCCAGGCGCCTTGTGCAGTATGCGAACATCTCTAGCATCTCTGCCATTTCTGTTTACCGACCTGCGCTGGATGCTAGACGTCAGCCGACGTGTAAAGGTACGAGCATGCAATACCTACCTACTGCCACTACCAGCGGAGCATGTGCATGTAGGTACTCGTCTGGTATCGCAGGCGTGTGTCGAATAGGACAGGGAGCCGGGGTTCTGCAGCAACCTCGCCAGATTGCCCATTGATGCCATCTAACCACCAACAGAATTCGCTCTTCTGGAATCATGCTGTGGTGCTGCGTCCAGGCATTGGCTGCTCATTTCCCCCCTAGTCTCTGAATATTATGCGAGAGCCACGCGAGACACCGAGCCTCGAAACAGGTTGTGGAATTGACTGTTTGGATACGCTAATGTTTGCTGCTGCTAATAATGCTAGCCGTCTTTTGGTCGCTTTTTCTTTCTCTTTTTTTTTCCCTCTTGTTCTATTAACTAAGAAAATTTTAGCCCCTTGTCTCTTCCTCTCGGCCGCAGGTTTCGGGTGATTGATTCTGGGAACCGACTTGTACGTACCAGACGCTAGACATCAGTCGCCTACAGTAGGCTCTCTTTCTCAGCATCAGCGGCATCTCGGAGAAATCGTGCGCACGCCCTCTTCACAATCACACGGAGGTTGTAGCGGGCCAGGGGAGTCTTGGGGCTCTTTCGGGCAAGGTGCTCCGTACGGACTGAGACTCAGAAGGCATTATTACGGCTCTTTGATTGGCTGGTTTACTCCAATGACTGCAGTGCGGCGAAGTGTGCGGTTGATTAAGTAAAGCCCAAATTAAGCTTGTTGAGCTACACATGTGCTGTATATGCTCGAGCTGCTCTCCACTAGGTGACTGTCTGGCTTCAACCTTCACCGTCCCCCATCAGCTGCCCAGTGCTAACAATGGAAATCGTGGCATCGTGACCGGATTGGGCCAACAGGTGGCGGCTCCGGCGTGTCGATCACCGACGGCTCCACCAAACAAAGCGCGTATCGACCCTTGCCCTCCAAGACTTGCAGCGAGGTCGACTTCTGCCCAAAACTTGGTGTGTTGCTAGCACCACCCGTCTTGTCAGCTCTCAGTGGCCTCGCTGCCAAAGCCAATCGTCAACGGAGGAAGCCATGTGCCGAGCCAGTTCAAACGGTAGGGGTCGGACGGAGCCTGCGAAAGCAGTGGTCGACTCACGGAAGAGGGACCCAATCGGACATCATCGACTCTGCAAAACCAGATGGCGGTTTCAAAGGCGGCACTCGCATTTAATTCAGGATCAAGGCACCTACGAATACCTAGCTGCTTACTGCGTGCTTGTTACGGCTCCTTCGGACGGTTGTTCTTCCTCGGTGTCGATTTGGACAACAATCAATGCAAATGCTTGAGCTTCACGGAGTACTCCGTAGGATTGCGGACCGCATCGGCGCCTTTAACCCCATCGGCGCCCATTCCAGCGTAGGTACATAGCAGGTAGTAGCGTTCTCGTCGATTACCCTACAAGGAGCAATGCAACCACATGGTTCCCAATGCTGCTAGAGAGCACATGAGTGGGTCGGCGCGAAAGCTGCAGTCGCATCGTGAACTTGCTTCAGTCATGTATTAGTCGATTAGTCGACGCCGTTTTCCCCATTACTGGCATGCTGGCAGCACGGGATGGCAGTCGGTGATCTCATTGCCCAGGCAGACGAATGCTACGCTCCTCTCGGCATCACGATAACGGGAAAAGCTTCGTCCTTCCCCAGGCCCAAGCTTCTTGTGTTACTATTAAGGGCAAACCTTATCATCAAGACTATTGAACTGCCTCTGAAGCGCGCTCCGAAGAACCAGCATCATCATCCACCTGGGCCGAGGCGCCAGGAACGCACGAGCTTTTAGCATTGCAAAGCGGAGCGGCCATGCTTCGGCCAGCCATGGCAGGTATCCATTCGCTTTAACCGCATAGTACCTGTATGCGATGGCGTTATCGCTGGGTGGGGGCATGCGAAAGAAAAAGAGAACCCAAAGTTGATAGAAATGGAGAGAAGAAAAATTTTCTCTTCTATAACCCATCCAGCTGCTAGTAAAGTGACGGTGATAAGGGCTGCAGCGATACGCAGGCTGGTGGATGCAGTAAAAGTTCCGGCCTGAGCGTACGATAACACAGTGACAGTCATCATCAGGGGAGTAGTCCACCTTGGTTTGTTAACGCATGTGCTTTGCCCCTTGGCCCGCATACCTAGGTACTGCTGGGTCTACCGCGTGGTGCTGCCCACATTGGCTTGTTCCAGTAAAAGACGGTGCGGGTTCACGGGGCTGAAGGGGAGGACAACTCGCTAGAAAATATGAGGAATGCTGCGTGGAAGCCTAGCCGGCTTGAAGTCGCTCAAGTCTCAATCTCAGCAGTTCCAAAAGTTCCCTTCGTGGCCTTCGGCGAATGTGAGAAAAAGGTGGCGTTGGATGTGATTATGCTTCTGGGGGAGTAGCGCTTGATGCCGAGAGATCTTCCTGCAATAACAAGTTCGTCATCTCAGGTGATCTTTCTGCCTGATCTCCCACATTCCAAGCTCTTTTGCCTCTTACTTAATCAAATCGATTAGCAAAGGGAGCTGGTGCCTGAGGTGCTTGCTCTTTCCCAGCGGCTTATGTAAGTAGCTCTCTCAAGCTCGCAAGACGAGGTCTTCATCAGCTACCTGCAACCACACACCGCTTGATCTGGAGAAAGCTGTCAAGCTGCAATGGAATAAAATGTGGAATTCGGATCGCTCATCGAACTCTTGGCGACCTAGATTCGAACCAAATGCCGGAGGTGTCCCTGAATAGGGATAGTATCACGATCCGTGCGGGCAGGATATGGGCTCTTAGCTCTGTTTTGAGCCAGCAGGCGACCAATTGACGACGACACCATCACCGATTGACCGGCTAGACTCCCTCCCGATAGCCCGCGCAGCAGAGTAACCAGCGAGGCGAGAAATGGTCTCCATGGGCGTCCTATGCTACCCTACTTGCGATTAGAGAAGAGAGATGCACAAAACGATGCGAAATGGTAATCTACAGTTCGTGCTGGTACCTACCAATTTACTTGGCTAGTATTCCCAGGAAAGGAATTCTTGAATCTGACCGTCGAGTCCTGCGAGAGCCTAGGTTTGATGCACCAGCGAGGTAGGCAAATCCCGCTATCCGCTACGCCCAACCCCGGATCTACCAGCATACAGGTACGAGTAGTACGAGGTATACCCGTGCTACTGCTCACGGCATTTGGCTGAGAGACTGCCATAGCTGCATGCGTACTCGTATGCCATGTTGCGATGGGTCCATCTATGTACAAGCAAAGAGCCAAGACGTGGGACTGTCGCTACTCCCCGATTGGCTAAGCAAGAGAGCCGACCAGGAGTACAACGTTGCAGCAATGCCTCGATATCTATTGTGCCTGCTGCCGTATATCCACCATCCCTCACCTCTGGACCGCGACGAACCCGTCTAGCAATCATAGCTTTATCTTTTAGCTCTATAGAGCTCTGCACCTCAAGCGGACGCTAACTGCCCAGTATTGTGGCATTTAGTCGAAATGTCTCATCCGGGCTTTGCCTTTGACATGTCCGAAGGCACCGAAGAATCAACAGGGGGGCGGTTCATCAACCGAAGTCCAAGCCACTCCCTGCATCGCGAAAACCTTTTTTTTTTAATGAGAGTGTTTAAACGCGTACAAGTGCCTCCATATGGTTCGTACCTTTCCCTAGCCGCCTTATTAGAGCCTTTTTGGAAGAATTTCCTGCACGGAGGACTGACTGATTCATCCTAGTGCAGGCAACGGGGCCTTGAAAACTGGACCTGGTTTTCCGGGGTTAGCATCCGGCCTTCTGATTGGCGTTTTGATTCGACGCCCCAGGGACTGAACCCGCGTTCTGGCAAGCTCGTGGCCGGGGCGTGCGCGGAACAAAAGAGCTAAAAGAATCACTCCGATGATGAGCCGGGAAATAGCGGGGAGCGGCCGTATTGCAAGCGGACGTTGGCGACATGGACCGTCTCGAGGTTCCCCAGACTGACAAGACATTTCCAGCTGTCGGCTGACATGCTTCCCCGCAAAGACGGGTCGCTGGTCAACTGGCTACGAGTCTGATCCCAATGCTGGTTTTCGAGACGTAATTGCAGAGCTTTGTCGCGTGGCGCCCGCTGCCGAATTCGGCATTCTTATTCACGAGAGGTGCGTGCTGAGAAACGATGACTTTACGGGCGCATGTGAATCCAGTACCTACCTAGGTACTGGCAGTTGTCAATTCGAATCCCGCATTCGAATCCCGTGGGCTGTAGTGGGATCAGCGGTATTCAAACGAGCAAAATAAGAAGCTTATTTGCCGAATATACGATTTCTCATCATTGAACCATATGCCCAGAGCCGCTCTGAGCCAAGTGGGCAGTTACGCTATTTTGTCAATGGGAGTCGTCCCACATGCAGAGACATGGTAATGGGCCGTCCCAAGAGCAATTTGCGGCCCGATGAATCTCGCATGCGCTTCTTTGCTGAACCAACGTCGTGAACTGGTCAACACGTGGAATCCCCATGGGGTTTGATTTCAATGTGTCACAAACTCTCTGGCAATTCGTCTCGGCTCCTACGTGGCGGCAGAGCTAGTACAGAGTGGTCATTTGAATGCAACGCAGGTATCTTGCCACAAAAGTTCCCAGCCTCAACTGGAAGATGGGCCAAAGCTCTGTCCTTACGACATACTATGACATACCTACTCCTATTTGCACGGCGTCGCTTGCCCAAGCCTTCAAGTGGGCTGCCAAGACGAATTAGGTCCCAGTGCAGCAGGCTTGATCGTATATCAGGGTCTGCATGCATGCGCTGAAGAATTTCGGTGATGAGCCTGATGCAATGGTGCATCACTCGCTGCACTTTTTCCATTCGCATCCCCACTGTCAGGCTCTCTCGAAAAGACCAAAACCTCTTAGCCAAGTAAGTGGCTATGGAGTGTGTGAGACTGGTGTGATGCCGTCTAATACCTAAGGTAGGTACTATGCATGAAAGTCTGCAAGCGAACAAGTCACTTCTCCAAGTCTTGCCTCGCCCTTGTCCACGCGCCATCTAGCGAACATGGCATGCCGCCTGTTGATCGCCGCCGACTAGGACTATCGCCGCCGATAACCTCAGCCACGCGGAGTTGGGCAGGAAAACGGGCGCATGGGTGGCATCTGGCTATAACTGCAGCTGTGAACGCCCTCTGCCACTACATTTTGGCCCTGGCATATTATGCAGGTGCAGCATCCTCCATTTTTAGCCATATACAGTTACTCTCTATGTATTGCACCACTACTTGATCTGCCCGCATTTTTAGACTCAGGACCTGAGGGCTCAGATTCGTCGGCTGCACTTTACCAAGACTTGAGCTGGCCTTGGTTTCGATTTTAGCAGACGTCAAAAGTTCAGCAGCCAATTTGCTGGCCGTTGAGCACGGCTGCACAAAGTTGTGCCGAGAGTAACCATAGGCAGCCAAGCACGCAATCGACATGTTTTTACATAGACCCCTAAGGCCGTCTCTTTTGGAGGAAATGGAACCTCATGAGATATCACAAAAGACAGTGGTGACGTACGGGACATTATACAGTAGAGCGTCATCACAAAAAAAAAAAAAAAAAGGAACTTGCGAATAGAGCAAAAATTTACAACTGCTACTACTGGAGCCGCCGGGCCTTGCTAGTGGTATGAGTCGGCGGCAATATTCCCACCGCGCCCCTGCTCAAGAACCTCAAACTCGAAAGGTGGATGAGTTTTGAACTACATCCACTTGCACGCTGGTTTCCGAAATGAATGATTATGCATGGGAAGTGGGCATACAGCGTTGCATTTTTCGCTGTTTTCCCTCAATTTACGGCTGCAATGGGAAGACAGGCTAAAGTCACAGGCTGCAGAAATGGAGGCGAGGGCCAGAAATACGGTCAGGTGCGTTATAAACGGCGTCTACGGAGTACGCCATGCTTGCTCCTCCAGTTTCCCCACATGAAAACTTGAACGTGCTGTGCTTTGGCCAGGTTGTTTATTTGCGGTTTTATTTTTATTTTATCCTCTCTTTTCTGTCAATTTTGTTTCTTAAATTCGGAGTTCTGACCATGCCGCAGTACAACTGGCACAATAAGAGCAATCCAATCATGCCACTCACTTTTTTATTATGTATGTGAGACTAAGTAACATAAGGTGGTATAGACTGCATGATACGTTGGATCTCTTCTCTCTCTCTCTCTCTCTCTCTCTCTTTTTTTTTTTTTTTAATTTGGATTCCGTCTATTTGAAGATAACAATAGATGATGTCCCCATCCCACTAGATATCACATCTAGTTCTTCTCATCTACTGTACTAATAAAGCGGAGCTACTAACATGTCGATAGCTCGCGGCATGTCTCAGCCTAGAGGACAATCAACAATAGGCGACGGCATACTACCTAGCACTAGGTATTCACATGGCGTGTCTCCCCGGTATTTGACAGACTACTACTACCACTTTGTACAAGTATGTATGTGGCAGCAGCCGCTGATGGCTTGCGTCTGTACCCCGGACCTTGGCTGTCGAGGTAACATTTCCTTTTATGCGACATGGAACGCTACATTCGAGCTGTCGACTGGGGTGGCACTGCAGCCGTAAAATACCCCTTGAGGAAGGTATGAAGCCCGTTCCATGTCAAAGTGGTAACATATCCTACCCACGTCGACTCAAATTGAGGCAGTCAACTTACATTTCCTTGACTGACGTACTCAATTTAACAGAGTAGCATGTAAGGAAATGTTCTGCAGCTTTCAAAGTGTGGCTAGCTATTCCCACCATCTTGGCACTGGAGCCCTCCTCTGTCGTGGTACACTCTGGACAGCCACTGGCCTTTGCCCGATAGGGCCCTTGCATGAAGCTCTGCAAGGTAGACATGCGGATGTGGGATTCACAGCCGCAGTTCCCGAAGGTCTTTGGAGGGTGGCAGCAGGGCCAGATACTGTTGCTCCTCCTCCATATCTATCGATTGCATGATCCAGTCGCACTGCACCTACATCTTCGGCAAGGCATGTCTTTCGATCTTGCCACTGAACTAGCCACTGAGACACAATATCGCTCGTAAACTTCTCCAGGAACCGAGGTACCCTTATAAACCAGTGGCTCGGGCGACTCCCGACTCCTCAGCATTACCCATTCGCGGTGTGTTGATGCGTTGCACTGAATGTGGGGATACTTGGTTTGCCTTGCCCTGCGATCGCTTGACGGCTCAGTTGCTGATCGCTGTTTTCTTATCTCCATCTTTATTCCCTTGAGTTTAGCTGGGAGATACTTTTCATAGGAGATACAGTGCTACAAGTTGAGTATGAAGAACAAAAGAACTGAGCTGCAGAGAGCAGAGAACAGGCAGAGAATAGGTAGCCGTCGCGATAGGGGCAGAAACTCTAAAGCGGCTGCCTGAAGCCAAACAGCTTGGCAGCGGGTCTTGAATAGTGAGCGATAGGGCCCCGCGCTGCCTCTTTTCGTCCTCTTTTACGCTGCCTGCTGAGCCGTCAATTCCTCAATGAGTCTGGGGCCCGAAGTTGACCATGGTCCAGCGGTAAATAGGTAGCGATCGTCGATAGGCGCCCCTCTCTCTCCCCCTCCAAAGAAGAGCTACGACGACACGGGAAACAGGGTCCTGGTCTTGCCAAAGGGTCCTTTTACCATTGCCTTATCACAGCTGGATGTCGACGCGTTGCCACAAATAGCATGGGTGCAGCTCTGCGCATGCACCGAACACTCCTTTCGTGCTTTGGAGGGAAAAACGAACTTTTGCCGCTGCTCCACCCTCCTTCGTCCCTCCCACAGAGATTGGGGAGGGGGCAAGGCGGCTAGGCAGGCTTTGCAGTAGCTCGGCCGGGCGAACACATGTACGAGAGCGAATTTGGAGGCGAGCGCGGGGTTTTGCTGTATTTTTCTTCTTCTTTTTTGGTCTGTCTCTCTGGCGAAAGCGCGAAGAGAGGCTGCCGAGAAAGCTACATGGGCTGAGAGCAATGCCCTTTTGCGGCGTTCGCCATTCTTTCTGTTTGCTTCCTGTTTCACTTGGTGGTGAGATATTTTTTTTTTCCTCCCTCCACTTTCTGCGCTTTCGCCTTTCGGCTTATCTAGCACCTTTTATGACGAGGTTGCTACGTGTGAGTGTTTGTTTATTCTGCATGCTACTGCCAACCACGACTAGAACATTGAAGTGGAGATTTTTTTTCCAGATGGAAAAGTAAATGTCTTTGGGTAAATTGGGAGAAGAAAAAGAAGCCTAATGCCGAGCTAAGTCTCACGGCTTTTTTTTTTCTTGTGAAAGAGGGCATTCAAACTCAAAAAAGGCGAGTGGATTTGAGCGTGTCGGTGCTGTCTGTTTCAATACTGCTACGGTACATCCCATCTTTTGTTTCTTTGTTCCCCAAATACGAAGACGCAATATTTAGTAGTTCGTATCCACGCAAAACACGACGCTAGGATCGTGATAAGAGAGATTGCACTTTTGTCTTCTTTGACTAAGGCTGTTTTCTTCCGTCATTTCTATCAATGGGAAAATCCCGCTGTACATGCCTGCTATCTTTTATCTATCTCTGCCCATCCTAGAACGGGCACCATATGTAGGTTATCAGAGTCGAGGGTATGAAACAAAATTACAAAAGGTCCTTAAGCGAGATACTTGTGCCTTTGTTCATTCGTTTTTGTTTCCATAAAGAGAGGCTAGGCTGGGATGGGTGCCCAGACGACTAATTGGGCGGTCTAGAACAGCTGTATGTATATATTTAGAAGAAGAAGAAAATATTAAATAGATACATAAAATAAATAAGTAAGTGATTATGAAAATTAAAAAAGAAAAAAAGAAAAAAAGAAGAAAAAAAATCGAAAGAAGACGTGGGAGGAAATGCACGACAGGGTAGCAAAAAAAGGGTTTTTTTTTTTTTTTTTTTTTTTTTTTTTGGCTACCATTGATGATATGATTCTATTGATAATTTTCCCGGCGAGCGGCTAATCTACATCGTGGGGCCTAGTCCATCCTGATCCTTCTGTTGGCTGATGGATCCCGATGCATCTTTCTAGAAACATAAAGGTGAAGAAGAAATGGAAAGGTGAAGAGGGAATTTTACGAGCAGGTTCCCCATTAGCAGCGTACACTTCTTTGACGTTCTCTCATCGAGGGATGCCGGAAAATTCAAGAATGTCAAGGTGTTGTGTAGTATTTTCAGAGTGATATGCATTTAATTCCAAATAATTTTCTTGTGTCTGCCATCAAAATATCTCAGCTACTGTATTTCGACAAGCTGGCGAAAATTGCTCATTTCGTTACCGAATACGTGACTGCATTGGAACTCTGAATAGCACATGGTGCCTATAACCAAAAAGGAACACCCGTTTCATCTAGCTAAAGATTGAGCATCGCTATGATCCGTCATTGGTTGACTAGGCTGTAAGCATAATATTCTGTCACATTTTATAAGAAAGACTTGGACTGTTTTCTCCGAATGTGAGCCTATTTCGGCGGTTAATCTGCAGAGTGAAAGTGGAAAATACACCTCAAGCATACGCCATCATGTCGGCTTCTTTAGCATACCTTCGAGTCACGGTAATGGGGTGTGACGTATCATAGCAAAGTTGAAAGAATAAATTATTAACTGAGATATGGGGAATATCAACTAGAGCCAAGCGTCATTCCCATCTGTCCATGTAGAGGACCCTCAGGTTCAAGAAATATTATCCATATCTCGGGACTGGTAAATAAAATAGCATTATGGGTCAAATGATGTACACAAGCGGAGCCTTTGGATGTGCTTTGCCTTCAATACACTTGAGCACATGAATGGTCTCCTTCATCTAAGGGTGCCTGGAGGCTCTTCTCTTTTCCTTTGAACTAACATAACCAACTTGTACAACGCTCATCTCATATATCACATTATATTTACAACAAAACAGCAGCGACGGCGCCGGCGATCAGGGCAACCATGGCAGGGGCGCGGAATCCAGCGGCTCCAGCCGGAACGGGAGGCAGACCGGATTGGGCAGGCTGAGAAGGAGCAGCGCCGCTAGGGGCGACGACAGTTGTCAAGCCACCGGTAGGGAGGGGGCCAGAGCCCGGTGTGACGACTGGAGAAACGACAGCCGGAGAAGAAACAGCGTGCTGGGGCGGCGGCGGGTAGTAGGCGGATTGAGCCGGGCTGGTGACGACAGGGGCTGTGGCCGATGAAGCTGCGTTGGTCAAGATGGGAGTCGAAGCAATGCCGGAGGGGGTGGGGACCGCAGCAGCAGCACAGGTGGCGCATGAGGGGATCGCAACGGGGGCCGTCTGGGTGACGATTGGGGTGACAACAATGACATGAGGCGCCGTCTGAGGGTTGGAGCAAGTGTCCTTGCCCTGGCTGCAAGTGTAGGTGTTGGGCAGCGTGAAGGTGGCAGTGATCTCGGGAGCCGGTGGCACGCTGGGGAAAGCAGTAGGACTGGAACCCTCAACCGGGCACCAAGTCGTGTAGGCAGTAACAACCTCGGTCGTGACGTGGCCAACAGGGCAGTTGGTGACGCTGGGTGGGCAAGAAGTGATGGTATACACGTTTGTCGTGGTGAAAGTCGAAGTGTAAGTTGGAGCGGCAGTGGTAGCGTATGCAGGCGCGGTGGTGGTGTCGTGTTGGGTGGCAGCAGCCGAGCTGATCTCAGAGATAACGGTGGTGCTGCCATGCGGGACGCTGTAGGTAACAGTGCCGTTGGCAAATCGGTGAGAGGAGGTCGTGGGCTTATATCCGCTGGTAGCCGGTGCAGTGGTGGTGATGGCCTCAGACGTGGTGGTGGCTGCTGCAGACGTGGAGACGTGCACAGAGGTGTTGGCAGCGGAGGTGGTGGAGAGAGTTGGCACGGCGGAGGTAGTGGTTTGGCCAGCAGCAGCACAATCGCCCTTGAGACCAGATGGGACGGAGTCAGCACCCTTGCCGATAGGAATCAGGTGTGTACCGCAGTCCTCGTTTTTGGCGACGTGGATGTTTTGGTTATCCCAGTCAAAGACGACATAAGCAGCCCTCAAGAAAGTATCGCCGAGAACGGGGAAGTCGTCATCCTGAGAAACGCCAAGCTTGCAGATGCCCAGGTCAGGCTGCTGCCAGATGAAATCCTTGTAGTCAACACTGACAACGGCATCGCCAAACTTGAAGTTGACTGATCCGGGGGTGTCAATGATATCGCAGGGTACCAAGTAGTCGCCAGAGCTAGCCTCGATGTGAGCCGAAGGGAAAGCTGCGAGGATCTTGTTGAAGAGAGAGCCAGGAAGGGTGCTGACAGTGTAGCCACTGTCGAGAAGCACCGGCTGGCCGTTGGGCTTGTTGAAGATTTCAACATCAGATCCATCCTCTTTGGTAACGGTCATACCATCCATGTAGATCCAGTAACGAGTATAGCCATCCGGAGACGAGGCGGCGGGAATGATGGGTCGCTTCACCAGGGGGCCGGAAAACTTCTTGGTGTCGATGCCACCGTAGATAACGGAGCCTCGGTCGCTGTCAAGGCCTCGGATATCAAGACTGAAAGCTCTGCTGTTGATGAAGCCCTGCTTAGCCAAGTTGTCGATGACTAGAGGGTAAGAATTGGTCCAGCCACTCAAGCTAGGACCGGCACCGAGGATACCAATAGAGGCAAATTCACTGTCAGTTGCAACACCGAAGAGCTGCTGGCTGATTCTGGATGCTGTATTGCTAGTTAGCAAATGTTGGTTTTGTTTTTTTCCCCCTAGTACTAAATGGTCCCCTCCCAAAAAGCTCTTCTCCTGGTACTCTTGCTCGAAGTAGGCGCATATGATATATTGTGCGGCCATCCTTCCCTCTCTTCTCTCATATCACAACACTCTGCAGAACGGCAAAAGAAAATGGAAACCAATGCATAAACTTACAGCCCAGCTGGACATAGTCGTAGCCGTAGACGAAATCAACATAGCCAGTGCCGTACTTAATACCTCCATTGGCCTTGGTGTTGTAAAAAGTCTTGGATGCGTTATATCGGCCAAAGCTCTCGCAAAAGGCTGGATCGGTAGCCTTGCTGCACTCGGGGTTGACCCATAGCTCGGAAGAGCCTGTATCGAAATTGACGCTCACTGCCTGCGGTGGGGTACCGATTTCGAGTTCAATGCTGTAAAAGTAACCAGTCTCCTGGGATTGCAATTCGGCGCTATCCTGGCGCCTGTGCAGGTGCTTAGAACGGGCACCTTTGGAAGCAGTAATGGAATATCGCATAATGCCGCCCTCCTCGACGTTCTTGTTGTCGTCGAGGAATTCGAGGGCTTGAGCCGCAAGCGGCCATGCCGCGAGCGCATAAAGAGTGGAACGCATGCTGTGACAGTATGCAAAACAATGCCGGCGTAAAGAATGACCGGCAAAGAAGCTGTATTAGAAGTCAAAAAAGAATGAAAGACTGAAAACCAGTTGGACAAGAAAGGGAGTGACGTGGGTGAGGAGAAGGGAGACCTCTGAGGTAGAGGGAGCTGGCTCAGGGAGCAGCAGCATTATGTACAATTAAACCACTTCCCTGCCGGCGCGCGTGTGGATAACTTAGTTCGCCTTGAAGAGCGAACAGCACCCATGGCCATCGCGTGGGTCCCCATGCACGAATGGCGCTGCTTCAGCGAGCAAAACGGCCACAGGGTTGCGCCAGTACGACGGCTCTGCTTGAGGCTGTTTGGCCAAGCCGCCGGCAGTGGGTAATGGGAGCACAGAGGAAATGAAGACGGCCAGGGGAAGGCGGAGAGCTCCCGCCTTTCCACCTCCTCGTTGTGGCGATAGACTAAAGAGGCGCTTGAGCGTAGCACCAGACCGAGAGGCCTCAGCTTTTTTTGCAGCTCTAATCGGCCGAATCTTGCTGCAGAACACGGAGGGCTCGGTAGCAGTGGATTCGCTCTATTTCTACGCTAAAGCGCCAAGCGATGGACCGCTTGCTTGGATCATGCGTGGTGATGCTCGTATATGGTTCTGCTTCGTATGTAAAGAAGTGATTGCACTCTTTTTGGTGCCATTTTCGATATCCCATCTCTTGGCCAGATCTTCTTCAGCTTCATCGTCATTTCTCCTTGGCAGATTGAGGCGGGTGGTGGCAGGCTGACAGGCAGGCTGCTCTCAAAGCTACCGAAAGAGGAGGGGGAAGATATGCTTCTTAGGGCCTTGGCGACGATCCTGAAATCAGGGAAATACCTACATATGAATGGCCCAAGTGTGTGTTCCTCCGCCAATCCCCTCTCGCATCGGTCGATATACTTGTCGATCTTTCTTGTCCCTGAGGCTGTGATAGCTACGCCAGTGGGCGGGATGCGAAGTTAAACTCCAAGCCCATCACCCGTTAAGGCAAAGACGAGCGCCTCGTGTGGAGGGAACGAGAGAAAGCACGGCTTCGGTAGCGTTGATTGAACACGACGGGCCGGGCTAAGCAGTTGGGACTGGAGACAGGGATCCGATATAAAGGGGGTCCGAGCTGAACACCAACAGCCATCCGTTAATATCGCAGGGTTTCGCGTGCGAGAACAGACGAAACGAAACAGATGGGCCGCCAAGATATTTGCGGGTGCGTGCCGACGGCTGAGCGGCTCTCCTGGTTATTTTCTTTGGATACAATGATGATGATGATAAACAAGCAATCAGACGAAGAAGATGAATCTGCGCTGATTGCGTCGCCTGCCAATGGCCGTTTTGCAGCGACAACATGAAGGTTGATGAGGGAAAGATGATGGAGGGGATCCGCTCTGTTTCGGTTCCTGCATTAGACCAACACGCTTATCGCTTAGTTTGGGTGCTTGGTGCCCCTTTTTGGTCCTTAGCACGGCTGCGCGCTACAGGGGTTGCCCAACTCTTGTGTGCAGCCTGTAAAGGCGTTGTAAAGGCGCTGATACGGCGCAGATACAGCACGCACTGGTGTGCCACAGCATTGATCGCCCCGAGACTCTGCCACCACATACACATACAGTATACATGCTTGTAGATTATGCCTTGTAAACCAGCTGCACATATCAATCACCTCGTATTGGCCCTTTCAACTCGCAAGGGAGCTACCATCAGCGAGAGAGCATTAGCCTTAGAACACACTCAATCATTTGTCCCTACGGCGTCGATGGATTCAGCACGCCAAGCAGTCCATAAATAGAAGTAGGGAGGCAGCGTGTTAAACGCCAAAGCAGAGCAAAATATGGGGTAAGGAGTTATAGTGCTACGGAGCAATTTACTCTTTCTAAGGCTACACGATCTACTGTCGTACAACGCTGGCAGGTTGTAATAGCTAAGATTGCGTCGTTCCTAGGCAATTTGCCTCAGCCGTAAGACTGAATCTGGAGTCCAGGATGCATGGCCTGTCAGGTACTTGATGCTAGATAAGCCGGCAGTGGTACTACATGTAGCAATTACTTACAGGCGGACTCGTACGGATCATCTTAGAACTTGTAGCTCCATGGACATTCCGCATTCGCTTATACGTGATCCAAACCAGAGCATGCAAAGCAGAGACAGTCGTACGCGATAAATAACCGACGCAATCGAGACTCATTCTGTGTATCAGTCAAGCCGCCTTTAGCCACCTTGGTCTGTTTCACTCTGTGATACTCTACCTCAGCTAGGTGGATGCATAATGTAATTCTTCTCCTGGTTCAGCGTCGTCGCTATACTCCTCAGACTATGCATAAGGTATAGAGATGACGGGTATAGAATAAGAAAATTTAACCTCGTATCTTACCGAGAAATGTCTAATGAAACCTCGGGCACGTTAAGCGAGCAGTGTTAATATTAATCGCGAAATACACGACGCTCCAGGCCGACTTACTTTTAGACGCATCGCATAATGTACGCAAGATTGAAACACGCCTGTATTTATACTTAGAGTCTTGCTGGCGTACACTCAATTCCGTTTGTGATTATGTGTGTGCATTTGAAGTACATGTTTTTATTTCCCTTTTTTTCCACCCTTAAAGAAAAAAAAAAATGCTAGAAAATTGATTAGCTGTTGGTGGAAGTTCAAGACCAAGTAAGCATGTGTGCGACTTTTTAGGGTAGCCAGTTCTACAAGTGCCGATATGTTGCGGATATTATTCCAGACGCTCTGCTTTCCACCACCTGCCTGCTTAACACCATAGCTATGGCTGGTGACTTATGGGGGAGGGGGGGGGGGGATATGTGATTAATTATCTACCTTGTTTTGAATGAACTCTTGGAGAATATATGTGCCTATCCCGTGCTGTCTACAGAGTACGGGAGCATTGAGCTCGCTGTTAGCTTATATATACGAAGATACACGTATTTAGATGCTGACAGATGCCGAGCAAATTCAAGCTTTTTGCGGATGTACCCGTAAGCTATTCCACTCTCGTAGACTCAAATCCGTATCGGGAAATCCTTTGCAATATTGGATAATACGTTGCATACAATAATACGCTGCGCAAAGCGCTGTTTTCTCTGCATGTACTCTTTGGTTCGATTGCGCCTATGAAGTAAGGTAGGCATAGTCAGCTTATACGCGTCTCGCCAGCTACACGCAAAGCATACATCGAACGATATACTGCAGAGTAAGAGATGCCCTGTTTTGATAGAATCTACTCTGTACTTGTATTCTCTTCCATTTGGCCTATGGAGGGTCGATGCGAGGGGGAAGGCAGGGGGGTTTTTACTCGTGCATAGCAGAGCCGAGGTACGAAGTACAAGCTAAGGTCAAGTTGAAAGAAAGTTGCTACGGACTCAATTTGTTTCCGGGTTTCCGTGTTATTCATCGTAGCGTGCGTTCATTCGGATGAATTGCAATGCCGAGTATGTCTCTGATTTGAAACCATTGGAAACGCATAGCTGTCGTAATCGAAACTGAACAGCAGTGGTTTTCTCAGGATGCGTGGCAACGACTTGTCCGCTATCACGCGCAGTTGACAGTATTATATAATCAGGAGATTTACAGTAGACCGATCCGTTAGGCGAATGCGAGTCCGACGTGTGAAGAACGAAGACCACAATCAGGATGAGTAATTGCGCAATGAGCTGCGTATACCATCGCTTCAATTAGTTGAAGAAGATCACCAGATGACGGATACTATACTCGCTCTCGGATTTCATAGACAGCGGGCGAATTGCCACTGCGAATTGCGACGCAAACACCTGGCTGAGTGGGGAACGTGGTATTGGCCTTATAAAGCGCCTTGGTTCCTCGCTAAAAAATAGCAAAGATTCTGTCTGGACAGATTCCACTTCGAATCAAAGTAGCAATTCGATCAACTCTTATTTCTCTTTGTACAACTTCCCGCAATAACTGGAAAATGTTTGGGCTATTTGGCACTCAGTTTTCCCCCGAAAAGGACATACCTTCGCAGGAGGGAAAAGTCATTGTCGTTACTGGAGGGTTAGTTAATAGTCCCGCGCTCTAATTTCTCACCTGAGATTTTCGCTTTGAGCCTTGACTGACACAAGGGGGGTGAACAGCAACGCTGGAATTGGCAGAGAGACGATACTGCAGCTATGCAAGCACTCGCCGAAAAAGGTCTTTCTCGCCACCAGGAATGAGGCAAAGGCGAGAGAAGCCATTGAGTCCATCAACTCTCAGCTCTCTCAGCCCGCCGACATTGTGTTTGTGCCGCTCAATCTCAGCAACCTGGCTTCAGTCGCCGCCGCCGCAGACACTCTCAACGAGAGCACTGACCGAATTGACCTGCTCTTTCTAAATGCCGGCATCATGAACCTGCCGCCAACCCAGACTGACGACGGATTCGACATCCAGCTTGGTACCAATCACGTCGGCCACTTCCTCCTCACCAAGCGGCTGCTCCCTCTGCTCAAGCAAACTGTGACCAAGTACAATGCCGACGTGCGAGTCTTGTCCATCTCATCCATGGCCAACATGGCGGCACCGTCACTCGACACCATCATTTCCGAGGACCTCTGGAAAAAGGGCGGATGGACGTCATATGCCTCCTCCAAAGCCGCCAACATCCTCTTCGCTGCCGAGCTGGCCAAGCGACACCCCGAGATCACCGCCGTGTCCGTCCATCCTGGCCTGATCAAGACGGATCTATATAGCGACACTTTTGAAGGCAGCTACTTTATGAGATATGGAATGGCGTTGGTTGGTCCCTTGGTATACCGCGACGTGGTATATGGCGCTTTGACACAGCTCTGGACCGCTACCGCAGAGAAGAGCAAAGTTCATCAGGGTGGATTTTATACGCCGGTAGGAAAGCTGCAGAAGGGGAATTCGTGGGCCAATAATGCTGATGCGCAGAAGAGGTTATGGGAGTGGACAGAGGAGAAGTTGAAGGAAAAGGGATACTAAAACAGGTCCCTTTTCCTTTATGAGTGCTATGCCTATGTTTTTTTGTTTTTGCGCCATCGATTTTGTAAACTGCTTGCATTTGTGGCGGGTATGGCTTTGCGGTATCGCTTATGGTCAATTTGTTGTTTCATCTTGTCTCGCTCTCAAAGTACACGAAGGTATTGGAAGTAGGCGGCTGGTGTATAATAGATGTTATAATAACTTCTTGTTAAAATCAAGATTGATTTACTTCTTTTAAACGTTCTCAGCCGATTTTTGGAGACCCGCGCATCTGCAAGTCGCCGCGCTTGACACTGCGGATTATGCGGTGGGATGGGACTGATTTGGCCGTCTCTTTGTCCGATCTCGCCGAAAATGGCATTATTCGGAGTAACAGCGCTAGATCCACATATTGCTATGATAGTGCATGTGTCATGAAAGGTAATCCATTCATCTTCAAATAGCTGAGATCTTTTTCTATTTTTATTTTTATTTTTTTTATTCTTTTATTTTTTGACATATTTACAGCTCTTATAATTGCATTGATTGACTTTCTGGCTACATGCCATTCCCCAATGCCATCACGGGAGGATGCCTCTGCGGGTCAATCCGTTACTCAATATCTGCGTCTAGCGAAGGCCCATGGCCGCCTCAGGTATGATTCCAATTATTATTTTGATGTCTGGAGGAACGCAGCTTAACACGTTATCTCTCCTTCTCTCACTCAAGTCATCGGCCTGCCAATGTACGTCTGACGTAATTCTTCACCTTGAAGCTTGTCAAGTTAATCACTCAAATAGGCACAATGTGTCGCAAATGGACATCGTCCCTCATTGCCCAATTCATCATCGTTTTGCCAGCGCAGTTGAGCCCGCCATTTCATAGCCAGGAAACATATGATGAGTACGAATCATCGCCTGGACGGTATAGAGGATTTTGCAAGCGATGTGGAACCTCGTTAGTTTGGCGGTCAGCAGACGATGGCAGCACAGTCGATGTGTTTCTGGGGACTGTCGATGAAAGATGGCTTGTGCATGAGGATGGTGGCAAGGTTGGACAGGCTTTGGGGAGACCCAATGGAACGCAATTTTGGATGGAGAATGCGATCCCGGGAGTGACTGATCTCATGAAGGGGGGAAAAGAGTTTCTTAGAGAAGGTGAAGATGGGTGGGAGAGAAAGAAGGAGTTGAACTAGAGGGTATAGACGAAAGCAGAATTTGTTTAAAGAATTTGTTATGCTATTGTAAGCATATGATAACAAGATGTGAACTATAGAGGTAACCACCAAATTGATGTACGGACACTAGGCTAAGTCAAACATTATGCTTCAGATGTAGTAGCTCGATGTTAAAATGAAGCTTTGCTCTAAATGTAACCCTACAATATATTCTTCTGTTATATCAGCCTTTCTTCCCATCCACTCATCTCTTTTGACGTATTATCCTCTCCTATTTCTTACTAGTTCGCTGCCCAGCGCGTAGTTTCAAAGGCCTAGACCTATTTAACAAACAAGGTATATGCAGCATTTAGCCTTAAACAACAAATCAAGCATGGCCAATACGCTAACTCTAATTAACCTACCAAACGTGCAGTGAGTCACCAACAAATCCTTCCAATCAGGTACCTTTGTAGCAGCATTGACGGCTTTACTGGGCAGTTAAACGAGGCCAAAGACACGAAATCTGAATGCACCCCTGCATCAGAGAATCGTCTACCCTTATCGCAGCATCTCATCGTGCCGTGACAGCCGGAGTTAATTGATGGCCTCGTGCACTTTTGTAAAAACTGGCCAGTGATTTGCAGTTCAACTGTCCCCTGCCGCAGATATGAGCAGCTATAATCACGTTGTACCGAGTTCAGAATACACTTGGAAGCAGTCTATCGGATAGCATGGCCACGGTATTGAACCTCGTGAATTTTATTCCTTCTCCATTTATCTCTTTAACATTCTCCTCTTAGAGCGTATCTAATAAAACTGAGCACCGACTATGCGCTTCATCTCAGCACTCGCACCGCTGGTATGCGGACTCTCCCAGCTGGCCTTTGGTCGGAGCACGAGTTATGATCTGGCTGTCACAACAGTCTTTACGCAGCCTCCGGAATGCACCGGTGGGTTGACTGAAGCGGCAACAGATACAATTATCTGGCAAAACATTATCAATCCCGCGCCAGACCTGACCTTGACATCATGTTACCCAAGTCAATTTTACCAAAGCGCAATGGCTACTGCGTCGCTTCCCCCGTTTAGCCAATTGGTGTGTCCAAATAAGTGGGAAGTTTTCAATCTCAACGCAACCTACGCTATTTGCTGCCCGTAGTAGGTACATGTAATCTTCATATTGTGCAAAGGACAGTCGTTAACTATGCTATACATAGTCGCTTTGATTTGTACATACCGCAACTGACCCATACGCAGCGCCCCGGCCTCGGGGCCGTCTGTACGTCTCTGATATGGCCAGATGTTCTTATGGATGTTACGAGTTATGACAAGACAGCTCTGGCCACCGTAATCCCAACAAAAGCTGGCTCAGATATAACCGTGGTATGGGCGACTGCGTTTGACGGAATCTTGGCGACTCCTGTTACATCACCGACTGGATTTGGTCCCATAGACAAGACCGCACTCTCTACCTCGGCTATTCCAAGCGAAAGCACAAGCACACGAACCCCTTCTGTTACCTCGAATGAGATCAGGCCATCTTCTGCTACTGCTTCAAGCAAGAGCACATCTTCTACAACTACCTCGGGCGCAACCCCGACCTCGACCAACTCAGCTCTGGCAATGATGATAATGGCGGTGGCGATACTGGCGGCGGTGGTGAGCTGAAGAAAGTGTCAAGTGGACGAGTGTGTGTGATAGAATAGCCCAAATTGACCGAGATTAGCCACTTTCCGGCGACACCACCGACTTCTTAATAAGATCTCGATGCCCCAAGCCTTCCCCCAGTATGTGAACAGCCAAGAGAGAGCCATTTTACGATTTCTTACCCCGCGTCTCTCTAGCTCTTGAGCTTCTTGCAGAATCTGGGGGTCGCGGACCGCCACGGCGTAGCGCACGGATTGTGGCGGGGCCCCTCCGGACCGAAGCTGGAGGCGTCTCGGAGGACTGACAGGAGCCCGGCATCGGATAATACGAGCGTGCAGGATGTTTAAATATATGAAGGGCCGCTCATGTTGCCTTAAGACCTCGGCTATAAACTCCTTAAACCGAAGACCTGTTGCTCACGCTTGTGTGTGTGTTCCTTGCAGTAGCCCTACAGATGGATCCCTTGGAGCACTTTAGCACCGCTATGGACGGATTGTCCGATGGCAGCTCTGTTAGCCCAGAGCCGCATTCGTCTTCGAAGCAGCCTGTGCGGAGAGCGAGCAAGGCTTGCCTTGCATGCAGAGCTAGAAAGGTCAGATGTGATGTGACGATACGATCACCATGCGGCAACTGCCAGTGGAATGGGCAGCAATGTGTTACACACGCTCGTCGAGCTAGGAGGTATGTAACTGGGAAGATGATGAGAAGAGCAAAGAATTTCTGTTGACAATACTTAGACGGCGGAAGAGGCAAACACAAAGCACAACCTCGACCGAGTTGAATACTATCAAGGAGGCTGTTATGAAAGATGGCGGCTGCGATCTGCTGGAAGAGTTTGACATCGACACTTCAGAAGTCCCCATCTCCATGGAAGACTTGGAGCTTCTAAGAGCAGACATCGATTCCGACAAATCCCCACAAGATTCGCCATCAGACGACGCCCAGACTTTTGATCTGCCAAAGTATGTCAGGCCATTGACAAGTCTGCCGCCGGACGATATGACCTATCTGCACAACGAAGGCGCCTTTGATCTTCCAGACGGCACGCTTCAGAGCGCACTACTCCGCGCCTTCTTCGAATACGTGCATCCGTATGTGCCAACTCTTGATTTGGATGGCTTTTTACACGCCATAGAAACACACGATGGGTCAGCGGGCCAGGTGAGCTTGTTGTTGCTTCAAGCTGTCCTGGCAGCGGGCACGGCACACGTAGAGCTGGATTATCTCAGAAATGCTGGATTCCAGACGCGAAAGCAGGCTCGTACAACTTTTATGAAGAGAGTCAGGGTAAGCTTTGCAACGAGCTTTGAGTTACTCATACCACCTAGTTGCTAACACATGATTCTGCTTGACAGCTCTTGTACAAGTACAACTGCGAGCTGGATCAAATGGTCCTCACACAATCGCTGCTCCTCATCACCTCATGGCAAGACGCTTCAGATGAGCATGGAAAGACGTGGTTTTGGATTGATGCCGCCGTATCTCACGCCTTTGCAGCAGGACTGCACCTAGAGCCGTCAGTAAACAAGCCCAACCTGTCAAAGCGGAAGCAGAGGCTTCGTCGCCGCGTCTGGTGGTGCTGCTTCATCCGCGACCGCCTCCTATCGCTGGGCATGAAGCGCCTCCCACGAATCAAGGATGGCGACTTCCAGGTCTCCATGCTCGAGGAGGCCGACTTCCAGCCGGAGCAGATTCGGAGCGACGACGACCACGCCAAGTTCGAGGCCGTGTGCGTCTACGTCAAGAGCCGCAAGAAGCGCGCTGAGCTGGCACGCATGTGCGTCGCACAGGCGACACTCTGCAGGTCGATGAGCTTCCTGTCGAGCAGCATGTACATTGCGCCCCACGACAACTTCTCCAACTTTTCCGAGACGCGCAAGATTACGGCCGAGGGCGAGCAGAAGTTCACCACGTATATGCGAGACCTGCTGGAGTGGAGGGATGGCTTGCCGGAGAGTGTCTCATACAGACCCATCTCGAACAGCGACATAGGCAAGGATGGGAATACCAGCATATCATTGGACCGCGCTGTCTTGCACATGATTTACTACACGGCAGTGCTGTGCCTTTATCGCTCGAGGTTCATGGCACTGATTAACGACGCGGGTGCATCCACCATGGAGAAGGAAATGTGCAAGATGCACATGCAGCATTCGGCCAAGAGGATCGAAGAAATCTCCAACAACATATACGACCATGGCCTCGATCGATTGCTTCCCAGCATGGCAGCGAACATTGCAGTGTCCGCCGCAAGCGTATACATGCTGGAGCAAAAGGGCCAGCTTCAAGGCTGTGCAACGGAGCAGGGCTATCGCCAGAGCATGAGGCTAATGCAGTCGATGCACGACACATATGCAGGTGCTGATTTGGCGAGGGCCTCTCTAGAGTGGGATAAGGAGGAGAAGATGGAGGAACAAAAGGGAGAGGCCAATAAGGCAGACGAGGATTATCTCGTGGTTGACCAAGATTGGCTGAAGGACTTGGAGGCTGCGACATGTTGGTACGTGGCTGAACCTTTCCGCGCGGATAGCTTTTTACAACATGCGGGAGAGGGACTGGACGTGTTTAACGATTTTTTTGTTTGTTAAGAGGGTCTATGGGATTTACGAAGGTTACTTTTGGAGTACTGGCTACTGTTTACTGCTGATGATGGTAAACCTGGGATGGGATCATTGCTATAGTCAATTCATATAATATACTCGAGAGCCAATCTCTCGCTGTTACAACCATCTCTGAGATCTTAATGTGACTTGGGTAGAACTAACCCCCTGCAATCCTTTCTTCTTCTTCTTGCATCATCCGCTCTTGACGATCAAATTGCTGCGATATCGGGTCCCCTATCCGATGATCAATCCACTCTTGTACTCCGTGCTACTCCGTTATCTCGACCCTCATGGAACGCAATAGTAGGTCATACGTGTCCCTCACAGCGCATATTACAAAGTACATAGTATATAGTTTCGGATAACTTCGCAAACACCAAATGTGGATCTCACTCCAGTCTTAGAAGTAAAAAAAGCCTGTTCCACATACTCATGTGAGCTTGAGGCAGAAAAGCAGAAAAGCAATGAATGATGTGATGAGCCAAAAGCAACAGAAAAGCTTCCATGTTTTGTTGCTGTTCTGTCCTAAATTCTCGAAAAATTGCCTAATTAGGCAACCGACGAACTGGCGCTCCGTTTTTGCGCCACCCAACTTGTGCTCTATTATACAAATCAAGTGAAAGCCTGAGACGCCGTCTCAAATGGCTGTACTTAGCTCCCGCTTGCGCTAAACTTTAGAACGATATTTGCCATCCTTACTCTACCAACCACGCATTCGCTTTCCGATAGTGCCCTTTTACCCCACAAAGATTTGAGATGTATCTCCTCAGCTGCGACACGGGACTTCACTTCATTGGCTGTGAGACATCTCGGACCGCCCTCATCTGCAGCTGGACATGCGGTCCGGTCGTGTATGCGTTCGCGGGGTGATATCGATCTGGGGTTGGGAGTGGAGGGGGAGGAGCCTATCTTGGAAAGACTTGTGGCTTTGCTTAGGTCTGTTTGGTAATGTTCTTTCTATTGACGTTAGGAGTATGTTTCTGAGAAGCATGAGGGCGAGACAGCTTCGTATACCATGCTAGCATGACGCTCTTGGCATTAGTGGCTTGCTGTTGTGTTACGGACCGCTTCAGTCTCTGCGGGGGTTGAGTTGAATGATTCCGAAAACGGATTTCATAAGAGAGAGCCACCTGGAGTTACATAAAGTGGCTTGTCGAACGCCCATCTCTCTCTATGCTCGAAGAGTTGTAATTCCCCAAAGTTCTCCTTTCGTATCTGTCCTTAGTAGCAAGCGTTTTCACATACTATATACTATATACTATATAACTATTCTCACAATGGCGCCTTCAGCTATTGACTCAACAGCCAACGGCGTCCAGAGCCTGGACTTCCAGGGCAACTTTGTCCAAATCATCAACGGCAAGAGCGCGCCAACAGCAAAAACCCGCCATGGAATCAACCCCGCTACTCTCAAGCCAAAGGCTGAAGTCCCCGTAGCGACTCAGGAGGACCTCGACCGGGCAGTCGAGGCTGGCAAGGCGGCATTCAAGAAGTGGCGCAAGGTCCCCTATGAGGAGCGCAAGGCTGCCGTGTTGGCATACGCAGATGCTATTGAGAAGTTCCAGACGGAGTTTCGAGATTTACTCATCTCGGAACAAGGAAAGCCGGTAAGATTTCTCATTTCATATGATTAATTTTGTAAAAGTTGCTAAATACATGCTTGCTAGATCCCTCAAGCAGATGTCGAAATAGGTGCGACGATTGCATGGTTCAGGGGCATGGCCTCCATCGAGCTCCCCGAGGATATCATCGAGGACAACGAGAAGCACACAATCTTCACCAGATATACGCCTTTGGGCGTCGCTGCAGCCATTGTTCCCTGGAACTTTCCTCTCCTGGTAGCAGCTGGAAAGATGGCACCCGCTATTCTAACAGGAAACGCCGTCATCCTCAAGCCATCGTAAGCCTTACTCACCATATCAGAATGTGTTTTCAACTCTTGTCCTTCTAACTCATGTATAGTCCTTTCACTCCCTACGGCGGCCTGAAGCTCGTTGAGTTGGCGCAGCAGTTCTTCCCTCCTGGCGTTGTTCAATCTCTCAGCGGAGATGACAACCTTGGTCCTTGGATCACTAGCCACCCTGGCATCGACAAGATTAGCTTTACAGGCTCAACACATACAGGAAAGCTGGTTATGCAGAGTGCGTCCAAGACTCTGAAGAGAGTTACTCTTGAGCTGTAAGTCTTCTGATGGATGAGTCTTGGGGTTCGTAGGAACGTAGTCTAACAGCATTGACAGTGGTGGCAATGACGCGGCCATCGTTTTCCCTGATGTGGATATCGAGAGTGTAGCGGAAAAGGCAGCTCTCTACGCCTTTGTCAACTCTGGACAGGTGTGTCACGCTAGCCACTTACTCGTTACATACACCTCAATACCAGTCTAGCTAACGTGTCCCATTCATTCTAGGTCTGCTTAAACATGAAGCGCATCTACGTCCACGAATCCATCTTCGAACAGTTCCGCGACGCCATGGTCAAGCACATCAAGGCCTATACCGTAGGCGACGGATCCCAGACCGGCGTCAGCCACGGTCCTGTTCAAAACGCAATGCAATACGAGCGCGTCAAGACATATTTCGACGATATCGAGAAGCAAGGCTGGAAGGTAGCCGTTGGCGGCAAGATTGAGCCTTTAGCAAATGGCTACTACATCACCCCCACCGTTATTGACCGACCTCCTGAAGACTCACGAATTGTCGTGGAGGAACCTTTCGGTAAGTGCAAGGAATGAAGGCCCAACAGGGCGTATGATGCTAATACTTTTCGATTAACCAGGCCCCATCGTCCCCCTTCTCTCATGGAGCACCGAAGAAGAAGTCATTGCCCGCGCGAACAACTCAACCATGGGCCTCGGCGCCTCAGTCTGGTCCAAGGATGTCAAGAAAGCCGAGCAGTTCGGCCGCGATCTCGAAGCCGGAACCGTCTGGATCAACGGGCACTTTGAGATTAACCCGCTGGTGCCATTTGGCGGACACAAGGAGAGTGGCATCGGTGTCGAGTGGGGAGCCAACGGATTGAAGGAGTACTGCAATGTGCAGTCCGTCTTTGTGAACAAATAAAGTAGACTGAGAGGCTCTCGAATGACACATCTCTGATGATAAATATACCCTCATTCGATAGTTAAAGAAGATATGCTGCTGAATATATGCTCATGAAGCATGACGAAGACTGTTTCTGGCATACTAATTTTGATTGAAGCTAGTGACTTGATACGCGGATTTCATGATTCCCTAACACTGCTTGGAATTGTTTGGACGGATACTAATGTATCAGAATAATTAAACCGAATGACAATTGAATTCTTTTTTTCAGAGTGAATAAGGAGCTGAAAGTTACTGTCACAAGCTGCGTTCATACATACACAACAGCATACAGAGCGTGCGCAAGTGGCAACAATGGTGAGGTTAATAGATTCGCTTGTATATATATATCAATGGTATATTGCCATCTCCACAACTGTCAAATATACAATTACGCGGTCGCCAATTTTTTTTCTCCCAAATAGATCGTGTGCATAATTCATACTGCTAAATCAACAAGTAGCTGCTATGTCATTTCATCATTCGCTATAAATCAGATAAAAGCAGAGGCGTTTCTCATAAAGGTACGCCGTTACCAAGAAAAGCAACGTTTGGATCGGAATTCGCATCGGGAGCTAGGCCCGTAAACCCATCATTATTCTCGAGGCCCATTTGAGCATTAAGCGGGCTTAAAAACGTATCGGTGGATAAAGGAGGTGGTGTTAGTGCTGTCTCGTTCAGTGCGGACATGGCTACATAATCGACCATGAGCCACAAGGCAGATTCCAATTTTGGATCGACTTCCGGAGTTTGGGAATCCAATAGGGCAGCGAGAGAATGATAGTTTGCATCGAATAGCATTAATTGAAGATGCTTAAGTAGCAGGTGGGATGTTAATAAGTGGGGAAAAAATATAAGGTGGCATGGAATAAGTAGTATAGAACTTACCATTTTCGAAGCATGATCCCATCTCCTACCTGTCCTTTCTAGTATTTGAATCGCCTTTTGGTAGTGGCTAAGTGTTTCTGGGTCCGTCACCTGCCCCTTCTCTTGGTCGATATGGATAGCTAAAGAGAGAATGCCGCCGGCAAGGATGGAGGCATATGCGTAAAAGGAGGATTGTACGTGGCAGCCAGATGCAATGGCATCTTCCACCAAGCTGGATATTGATCGGGCATGGTTGCAGCTGATTTGGAAAGAACGTGTCAAAAATTTCGGCGGTACCTTGCAGTTTGATTTCTGGAGCCTCATCCGGAGAAGAAATGGGTGGTTCAGGAGGCAGTGGGCAGTGTGAAATACAATGCGCGCAAACACAACATGCTCGAGTGACTGGAAATCCAGGGTACCATCTGGCCTGCGATATTGCTCTACGATTTGAGGAATAGAAGGAGTCTCCACTTGGAGATGATGGTCGATTAGAAGTAAAAAGGTGTTTAATAATGTGAAGTCAGACCTAGGATCCCATGGTGGCATTTCGTCCATCTCACGCCCGTGCAAGACATATCGACAACATCGGCCCAGTGCTGTTGCGGCGAGGATCGTCTGCGTAAAGGTGCCGTTGACTGATGATTCCGTCTCGGATTTCCAGTTGATAAGCTGATGGAGTGTGGGCGTCTTCTTCCAGATGCCCCTTCTGAGAGTCTCCTCGTCGCTGGGCAGTTGGACATGGATATCCTCCTCGGCAATGGCGGGTGGGCGACTTTGGCCGACTGAGACCAGTTTATCAAGCAGATATATTGACCAAAAAGCCCTCCGATGTTCTTCTTGTTCAATTGGTGGCAGTGTATTTTTCGGTTCCTTCATGAGCTGTAAGTCTTGCGCAATGCGGATAGCAAGGCCAATCTTTAGCCACCCCGAGCTAGTACGGCCACCTATACGAGATGAAGTTAGTTATGGTCAAGGTTCCCTTGATTGTTCTCAAAATATGGCTTACATGTAAAATCGACCACCCCGAGGATATTGCTAGCTTGGGCAACCTGTAGCGTCGGATTGTTCTCGACCGTTAGATGCTCATGGAGGATCGCCAACCAGGCTTCTCTAGCATACGCCTCGGTGGCCTCGCGTATGGAACCCTGAAAATATTCGGAATCTGAGAATTTGAGGGCTGAGGCTAAAATTGCGAAGAGTAGGCATTTTGGTATAAGGCCGTAGTTGACCCTCTCTCGGAAGCTCTGCTCGTGAAAGTATGAATATGGCTGGTTGTGGACGTGGAGAAAATATGCATCAATGAGGTGAGCAATGACAGCGGGAGGCGGTGCGGTGGTGAATCTCCTATAGGAGACGTTAGCCCATACTGTACTTCCAAACTAGGAAAGGATATGCCCCATCTGTTCATATCGCGGTGGCTGCGGCGAACATACATTGTACTTGACATATCAGGAACGGTGTCTGCGGTTTCGGAGACGGAGGGCGGATATTGATGCTGAGGAGGTGATGGCTCTGTAAACTTTGGCGAGACTTCCTGGTAGCTGGTAGCGGCCGCGAGATCTGGGAAAGCAACCGATCCATTCTGATTCTCGCCATTCCTTTAAACAAGAAAACTATGATTAGCACCAGATGCCATTTGAGATGTATTTCGTCGACCGAAAATAGTATGGGAAAATTCGATAGGGGGTGACAAACAGGAAGCCAATCAAGCCTTGGCTGTGCAGTTGCGCCAGTTGTGATTCGATGGTGTTGATCCTATTCAGGAGCTCCGGCTATATCCCATGGTTAGGACGCAACTCCTTTCCCAGCATAAATTTTGCCAAGGGGCTATAGCTCACATCAACAACGCCGGTGCGAGGAAAGAGAGAAGACGGTGATTTGCCCTTTGCCGCGCCATTGTTCGCAGCAACTGAAGCTGAGCTCGGGGGATTGGTGGCGGAATAGGGTTCATAGTGACAGACGCGATCGACTCGTCGACAATTCATGCATCTGGGCCGCTCGCCGGAACATCTAGTCTTGCGATGCCTGGAGAAGAAGATTCACAACACAAAAGTCAGCCTCTGATGTACTTCCATCCTGCTCATCGAACATGCCCAAAGCCCAGAGAAAGCTGGACCGGCGACATGTTGGTTGGTGGGTTGCGCGCACCGACAATTCGTGCAGGCCTGGCGGATGCGGCGGATGGTGTTGACAGTTGGCGGTGGCCGCGATCGGCCATCGGACCGTTCCCATGAAGCATCGGCTGCTGTTCCGTCGGACGAGGACATGGTGTCGCCGCATGCCTCAGATTACGGAGGCGAAAAAAACCATTGACAGCGAGGTCGAGATGAGGTGCAGCACGACGAATGCTAGAATAAAAGAATGAGCGGGGTACACAACCGGTAGCGTGTGTGCATAACTGCATAACTGGCAGGCGGGAGAGGTACTGGCTACAGGCCGGCTGCCGCTGGGTACCTGCCAGGGGCGGTGCCAGGCTGTCCAAGGACTGCGGGCCAGAGCGCACAGCGCGCCGTTGGTGGGCAGCTGACGCAAGACCTCGCTGTACCTTTAGCGCTGTTCGCTAGTACTCGGTACCTCTAAGCTGAGGTCTCCTGGCCGGGATCAACTAATGTAGCACCCAGCAGCACTCTTTAGCGGCCTCTAGCTGTTAGTTGTAGTTGCGATGGACACTCCCCGTGGGGATGGATTTACTCCTTTAAGCGTGTATCGCGCTTCGTCGCTTTAACGTATCGCTCGCCGTTGAATATAGCATTTGACAGCTTTATAGTCTCGCATCGTATGCCATCGTTTCTCATCTTCGTGACTGAGAATTTCCTCCATCATCGCTCAGCCAAATGGATAATTCGGGTTGATTAGTGAACTACAGCTCGCCATCGGTGCCATCAAGTCTATCGATTGCCTCCAGGTCAGCAGGGCTTGGACTCTGTAAATGCCAGCAATGACTCGGTTTGTCCCGCTGACAAACCGCCACTTGCTGATTTATACTTGGTATAGGCAAATATCGATATATTGGTGACATACCTGTATAATAGTGTCGTATACCCCATAAGCCGGCGAATTAGACGACTGCAAAGTAGGATTCCGCTGGCCTCTGCGCAGGCCTGGTTTTCTTATTCCGATTCCTAGGCTGGACAGTTGATCTTTTTCTCGCGTTGCAGTCCATCCCCTTCTTGCATGGCATGGCATCCTTGAAGGCGTGTCTCCAAATGCCTGTAGCTTCACCCTTGTCGGCTTGCTTTAGTATGAGCGACTTTGGCGATTGAGCAATCGGGTGGCTCATCTCGCCTCTCAAGGTCCGCCCGTCGAACAGGCAGCGAGATTCTTGAAGCACCAGGGACTTCTGAATCGGGCAATAGAGGCCAGCACAGATGTAGCTAATCTGCACGAACTCTACTTGTTCATTAGCTGCATCTGAAGGGAATATCTCGGGGCCAGGTTCAGTTAGACAGGAATGCCTTCAGCCTAATTGACGAAGCCCAAGCGACTCTCCCATCGAACCCTCCATGCCGCAGATTTAGCAACAGCTTGATGTATCTGAGACCGTAGTGGGCTGGACAGGGAGTTGATGATGGTTTATGATTCAGACTCCATTTTGAAGTGTACCTTGCGATATATCAGCTTACATACGCAAAGAAGATATGGTGCTCAGAACCAACAGCGGCATCTTGATTCGGGCAAGGTTAGCCATCCGCTTACCATCTGACAGGCGTCGCGCTGTTTGGAACTTGGATTCAGAAATGCTTGATGCGCAAAGAGATGCCATTATCCTGTCCCACGACAAAGGGAAGATATGCCAGGGTAGCAGCCGAAGGCCCCGGCGCAGATCGTCAGTCGTCAATCTCGTCTAGCGGATCCTGCCCAGGCCTTGTAAACCGATAGGGGAGGCGCCTTATGGCACTGTCCTGTCTCTGCGCGCCAGTATCTTGGAGATGCAATCATCAGAGAGCTCTGGTAGAGGAATTCAGACATTGTTTGCCTCTTGCAGAGGTGCAACTGCTGTGATGCCATTGTACCCCTCTATGCGTGGTTGGGCGATGGACCGGTCCGCAGAGCGGTCCGCGTGGGGCAGCGCATCCGCGGCGTCTTGTCTGCGAATGGTCAACAACATGTACAGCGTAGCTCCGAGAAGAATTGACAACTTGCAATGGCGAATCAATGAAATATATGTAGTCATAATTTTTGAATCTCTTCAGTTGGCCGGCCTCAAGCCTGCGAAATTGAGGTAATGAGTGCAACATGGACTGCTATGTGGAATCAGCGACGAAGCTCTATGTGATGAGGAAATTGGAGATGAGACGTTGCACGAGACTAGAATTAAAGATTCGACGAAGCTGGTAGAAAATGGTAGGAGTGCGGAAGTCTGAGAGAGAATGAATGAATTAATATATAAACCACTGGCTATCTTCACTTGAATTGGTAGCTAAGCCGGCAGTATAAATGGTCCCACATTCGGGTCAGTATACTATATTTATATCGAGAGTAGACACCACCACATGAGACTCATACTAGCTAAACAATTATCCAGGCCTGCCTCTCCTCAAACAATGCGCGCGCCGCATTCAATTTCATAAACTCTATAACCTCTACAATCTCATAGTTGCTTATTGAACTGATAGGCACTCTTAATATGGGGGAAAATAAAACAAAAAATATCCATCAGACCTTGAACTTCCTTGGATCCAAATTGCCAACGCTCGCACTCTTCGCTTCGCCATCCAAAATGTACTCTGACATTAGCTTTCCCGTCGCTGGGCCGTTTTGGATCCCCCAGCAGGTATGGCCAGCTGCAACCCATAAGCCGGGAGTGACCGTGGGCCCTATGAGAGGACCGCTCTCCTGTCCAAAGCGTATGTGTCGCGGCAGGTAACAGGCCTGTTTGGCTTTGATTGGCGCAGTGGCCAGCACGGGGCTCACGGTTGCAAAATATGAGATGATGTCGTCGCAGTGGGCTTCGTTAAATTGAACCTGATCAGCTGTTTCTGGTAGTGGCACGTCGCTGTCGGGCTCGCCTGTTGCAGCGCTTAATACATGATCTCCCATCTGTGGAAAGCGTGCCGTTTTTGAGTGACTTACCACATGCATATGCTTCACCAAACGGCCGAGCATATATCTCGGGATCTACCCTGCCTTTATGCTGCCTCTTCTGCCCCATCTTTGCTCGATGTTCGGGAATAAAGTCCGAGGGCAGCTCAATGTCTGTGAATACCGCATAAGGAGTGACATTGACGTCGTAGACAACGCTGTGAGCTCTCAAGCCTTCAACCTTTGAGCGAGGGAGCACTCGGCCGGTCCATGGCCCAGCAGCAACAATAATATCGGTCACATCCGTAATCTTGCGGGTCTCGTCCGTTGTCCGGTCCAAATACTCGACCCCTTGGACGCTTAGCTTTGATGTGACGAGTCTCGTAACCTTTGCATTCGTTGTGATAGTGACGCCCGCCTTCTGAGCTAGCTCTGCAATTGAAGTTGTGAAGTGGTATGGATGCACCTGAGCAGTCTCGGTAGCTCCCGGTGACCCCATTTCAGCCCATCCTCTCACCACCTCTCGATCTATCCAATCCAGATCAGCAGGTAGCTCCTCGTCCTGGAGCAGTTCTTTGGCGGCTTCATCCTGCTTGGGAAGCTTCTCCCACGCTTTGCCATTTTCATCTGCGGAGTTCTGGAGCTCATTAAGCTTTTTCTTCGTCACAACTGCCTCGATGCTGCCGCATTTTAGCCTGCGGTAGCCCCAGCGATTGGCCCCGTCGTGCTCAGCGGCAAGCTCCGCGTGCAGTCTGTATGATAGTGGAACGATGCTCGATGGATATGCCCAGAGCCCAAGAAGGCCACCAGCCTTTCCCGAGGCACCGGCAGCCACTGATGGAGCGGCCTCCAGAAGCGTGATGGTGTGCAACGCAGGGCTGAACTTGGGGTGGCGGGTCAAGTAGTAGGCGGTGGTGCAGCCGATGATGCCACCTCCTGGACAGAGCTGCCGTATTAGCTATACCGTTACAAGCCTCACTAGCCAGCATCGAACCCCTCTAAATGGGGACAAAGCATTATTATGACGAGCAACGCCCGTCTGCTGTGGCGCTGGCTTGGCTGGATTGGTGCATGGACAAGAGAACAAGGAGTTACATACCGACAATGACTATGTTTCTCTGTCCCTCCATGGCTGGCTACGAATCACTCCTACTTAAGCCGACGTTACGCAAATGCAAACGAGAGCTCAGTTGGAGCTGCAGAACATACCTCTAGTAGGTATTGAACATACTTGTACGCTGGTGGGTCTGTCGGACCATGACGTAAGCCAATCTCAGCTCGCTGCATGTGCATGATAGGCGTAGAGAGCAGTTGAGATAACTGAGGTACCTTGATATACAGCAACTCGTTCTAGTGACGTACTAGACATGGCGAGATTTTATATTGTAATTATTCATCAGGGGGCTTTGAAGGGATGGAAGCAAACTATGATGGCGTCAGTATCGTCGTGTCTGGTGTAATCCAAATCCTTTACGGGATTCTCCCGCACGAGAACAGGTCAGCTGGCAGCGCCAAGTTTTAGAACGATGATTTGTCTCTTAAACAATCTGGAATTCTTACAGTCATAGGTAAGCTGGGTTTCTGCTGATCGATTTTCTCCGCCCTACTTTCTAAATAAAGGACAACCTTAACAATATAGTTCAATTTTACGCTTGGACAAGGGTCTTCATGGGGAACGGAGAAGTAGGCGCACAGACATCAGTCTATCACGGCACTTATAACCTCCATAGGACTACCACTTCTCTTCTTCAAGCTAACGGGCCCTTAATCCAATCTAAATGCTATTGTAACTAATTTGGATGGCCCATAGGTAAACGATCAACAGGCAACAGGGGCCTGGATTCGAAATGGACTGATTTCCCGTTCTCGACTGGTCGACAAAACGCAGTTACCTACGTCAACATGATTCAGAGGCGCCCGGAAAAATACATTTTATTTGTATTCTGGCAAATGATTGTGCTACAAATAAGCCATTGGCTGGAATGGCTTTGTAGATAGATCGGAACTCTCTTTACTTCAGAGCGCAGCTAACGCAATTGAGTGTTGTGAGGGGCAAGTGGCTTACACGGAACGCGGGGAATTCATATTGCCCGGATTCACTTTTCAAGGCGTTGCAAATTATCATGTTTAGCATTGATACTCGAAGCTATGTAAACGAAAATCGATATAAACAAAAAGGGAAATTAATTTCGTTTTGTAAGAGTTTAATGTGAAGAAGTTGAAGAACATATCTTGGCTCTGTGCGCTCCATTGCAGCCTTGTCCCAAGTAATGCCAGAAGAAGAACTTGAAGAGGCCAATGGTCCTCAAGGATTAAGCACATACTTTGGACTCTTGTGAAAGAGAAATGAAAAAATGAAAATGAAAAATGAAAAATGAAAAAGTGAAAAAAGAAAAAACAAAAAAAAGGCAAACTTATAGTCCCCTACTCAATGAGGCACGAAGCAGTTGTTAATGACCCATTCGACTGCTTGTCGGACGGCACCAGCAATGGCAAGCCCCATTCACACTCTTCAAATGAGCAAACTCTCTTGGGGAGCCTGCTTTGCACCACACCCAGAACAGAACCTGTCCCCAGCTTGGCAAGCATAGCCGCATTGCGTACAATATCGAGTTTTTGAGTCTTGGGCAGGAAGTCCTTGTGCGCTCTTTGGCCTCGCCTCCTGTGACGGAGACGCCGACAAGTAATATGCCGGCGGCTGCGGAGAAGGAGCTCGCATGAACTGCTCCGGCTGCTGCATGTTTGGCGGAGCGCTCGCTGCAGCCATCATGTAAGCTGGCTGTCCAGGCGTTGCCGTCAGATAGCCACTGTCTTGTCCCTGAATTGGCATCGGGTTGTTGTACAACTGCTGCTGCTGTGGAGGAGGCGACACAACCGCGGCTTGTTGCTGCTGGGCAGCCTGATTTTCTGCGGCCGACTTCTTCAGGGCTTCTTCGACGGCGCGCTGTGTTCGTCGTTCTTGTTCTTCTTCTTCGCGTCTGCGTGCGTCGACTTGGTACTGTATCTCCATCTCACGCTGGGCACTCATCATGCCCTGTCGTTGTACTTCGCGCTTGGCGGCTACGCTGGACGCACCGACAAGCACGGCGGCGCCGAGGATGGGTCTTCGTCGACGGGGGAACATTATGATGGCTAGGGGTAGAAGTTGTACTTGAGATTGAAAGGAGGACTCAGTTGTTTTGGTCAAAAGTAAAGGACTCAATGGCCAGGGGGATGGGTATGCTTAAACTTCTTATAGCTGGGGCAAGACAGGACAACCCCTCAGCGCTCTTATATATCACTTAGAGTTCAAGCCACTCAGTCGATTATTATGAATCTATTGGGCCTCGGCTTTGGCCGGGCGAGGCAGTGACAGTTCGCTGGTTCCATTCTCCCCCACTCAATAATGGTTAATTATGTGTTGAACAGTCTTATGGTAGTGATTGCTAAGGTTTCCTCCCATTGGTGCGCAGGGCTGAGAAGCCATATCGAGCTGAGCTGACAACAATGGCGAAGCCACCGCCATGGTGAATCTTTAAGTGGATTTTTAGATTGCCGAGGAGTAATCAAGAATACTGATGTACCTTTCTAAATAACATCGAGTCATTAATAGTTTTGTGTGATATGATATCGTGTAGAGTGAGGGCGAGGATTGTGATTTGGTGGAAGAGGAGCTTTTCAGAGTCGGTTACATAAAGTCGGTTCTTATATCCAGCCACTGTGTGTATTTGTAAATCCTTGGAGATGGAGTATTTTGCAATTGTTAAGTCTTCCTAATCTTTAGAGCGGTTTGTTGCATTGCCACCGACTTCATACCATGTGGAAATCACCATCACCATCTTCACAACCTACCTGCATACAATTAGCGTTGCAAAGAATCAGTTCTGTTGATGATGATACTGTTCAACAGAAAGTAATCGTTTTAAATTGACAGATTCGTAGAAAATTACCTTACCGGGCGAGAGGGCACTTTTACAGGGTTGGCTGTCAAGTTTCAAGACACAATGCGAAGATGAACAGTTACGCAAGGCATAGTTTCATAAATAAGGCATGATGACGGCTAATCTGGTATAATGTCATCACACGTTACATACTTGTCTATTAACAATACATCTATTTTCCTCCGCTCGTCCACTGCACGCATCAATACAAGCTTATGACGCAGGCGCAGGCTTCTTAATCTCCTCAATGATCTTGCTCTGGAACTTCTCAGGCTCAGTGGTGCTGGCCCATCGGTCAACAACCTTGCCATCGCGGCCGATAAGGAACTTCTCAAAGTTCCACTTGACCCTCTCGAGACCAAGCAGGCCAGGCTTCTCGTGCTTCAGCCACTTGTACAGGGGGTGCGCATCGTCGCCGTTGACGTTGATCTTGCCAAAGACGGGGAAGGTAACCTTCTGGTCCAGCGAGCAGAAGTTCTGGATCTCCTCGTTGGTGCCGGGCTCTTGGCCGCCGAACTGGTTGCAGGGGAAGCCGATGACTGTGAAGTCGTTGGGGTACTCCTTCTTGATCTCTTGGTAGACGGACTCGAGGTTCTTGTACTGGTAGGTGAAGCCGCACTTGGAGGCGGTGTTGACGACCAGGACGACCTTGCCCTTGAACTCGGACAGAGGGACTTCTTTGTCGGTGGCTAAAACAGGCGATGTGCAGAAATGCGCTCGTTAGCAGACAGCTCCAATGCGAATGGACACAAGTAGGCGCAGATGGCGCAAGGCTGGATGAGGAGAATAGAGGGGCTGCAAGCGAAGCTTACCATCAAGCGCCTTGAACTCGAAGAAGTTGGTAGCGGAAGCCATGGCTGAAAACTGTCTGCGATGCGAAGATGTGTTCAGAAGGGGGATGCGATGGCGATGCAAAGTCAGGGTTTCACCAGGCTGGGCTGCGGCAGAATATATAAAGCGACTCCTCTTCAAGTCATTCCACCGGTGACGTTTTGCGCTTAAGAGTGGCACTCGGCTTAGTGCTTCAAAACGGCTGGTGTCCCAGATCCGGAGTTTCGGACGCAGCAGCCCCCGGAGTTTCGGACCCAGCAGCAGAGAAGCGCCTGAGAATTTGGAATTTGCTGGAGGGGTCATTTCTTCCGGCGGGGCAACAAGCGGCTTTAGGAATGGGGGCAAAAGAGAGAGGATGGAGGCAAACAATTAGAAGCCAGCGATTGATGCCGCTATGGCTTGGTTGGTGCTTCAGCCTTACGGAGCTCCGAGCCGAGGCCTATGAGTTAGTTTATCACGTCGTCGACGCTAAAGAATCTCAAATACGATTGTCTGCCGGATCGGAGCACTGAATTTGTCCGCTGAATGAACGACATCGAAGGCCCCGCATCTACAAATGTCTCGACGACTCTGGGTTGTTCTTCTAGGCCGAGCCATTCATACATGAATGTTGCAATATGACAAATGCCGGCATGACGCGGTGGCCATCAAGAGACTTTGATGTCATCGTTGGCATTTGGATAGCCGAGAAGGCTAACAGAAGCTTGAGCGGCAGGAAGAGTTCCACAGGGGACTTTAGCGCCCTAAGCCAGGCACATTGCGCTGTGGCTGTCACAAGTCAAGTTAAGCTTGTGGGGTGCGCATCTACAATGGCCGCCCGCTGAACATAATCAATTTAGCTTAGCCAGTGCTTCTAGAAAACGATGGTGGAGGAAATTTGGGGGTTTGATCGCCTTTGCAGTTGTAAGGGCGTATCGCAGACGTCTGGGCTCTGCAAGGCACTCTGTAGAGGGTGATTTATAGACTTGCCAGCATGTATCTTCGATAGCTGCCTTAGATACTAGAAACCCGCTATGAGTAACTTACGATGGGGCATTTTCGCTTTTGTCGCTTATATTGCTCCCATCTGCAGCGTCTGTTAATCCATTCCTCAATTCAAATCTTCCGCCCATTCAGTTGGACTCGGTGACCTACCGAACAAGCCATCGCATGGACAGTGGCCACGAGCAGAGAGCGCAGTCAACGCCTAATAATATCAGGCTGCTAACATGACGATTATGGGCTAAGAGGGATGCATTTCAAAACCGAAAAACTCTCCTCTATACAAGGATGATTTTCGACTCGATGTGGCTGAGCATTACTCCAAATCTCGATGCATAGGCGGCCTCCTTGAGATCTGCCAGGTGTGTGGTCAGATCATCAGCGTGGTTCATAACCACCAACGCACTCCTCTACCTACACTCACTATTGTCACACAAATAATTATAATATTTTAATAGGAACGATCCCTGGATATTTTCATCCATTATATTACTTTTATTTGATCTTCTTGGTGTACTAGATCTACCGCTACTACTGCCTATGCCACTATTACTGCTACATCGACCTATAGATTTACACTAGTCCGGCCCGAGCCGTATATATTGTCATAGCTTGGAGAGTCCCTTGCGTCGTTCATCGTGCACCCAAACCTCCAACACAAATCTTCAGTAATTTCTCGTTCAACTATAGCTTATTCCTCACCTGTGCACGAACTTTTTTGCCTCCTTTTCTCCTGCATATACTAATGCGAGAAGCGTATGACGAATGCAAGTTTCTTTGCGTTGGTTGTAGCTAAAGCAAATTATTGGTGTGTTGGTAGTGCACTCTCTCTAGCTGCCTTGTCAGTACCCAATAGCTGAGCCGTATTCTGAGCCTCACGGCGCGTAATTCTGCCTTACATGCTGGCGCATTCTTCGGCGGCAAAAAGGAAGAATCAGATCCTCTATATAAAGGAAGGGCCATGTCTTGGTCAATGTTGGACCTAGTTGTAAATTAGACACCTGCAAATATGTAAAAAGTCGAATTCCAGCGTACATCATCATGAAAATACTTTTTTTTGCCTTCATCCTCTCTGTTCTTCTCACTCCCGTGTGTGCAGATGGCTGGGATGACTTCTCAAACAACCTTGCAACCGATCTCGCACCCTTCCTAGCCCTCTTCGGCGAGCAAACCACGAAGCAATTTCTGAGTGAAAGCATAACCGTGCTTGACTATTATATATTTTCGATAGCGCCGATAGGAATCCTAACTGCCGTGATTTCCGCCATCCGAGTTTGTGGAACACCTTCGCTGCGTGCGTTTATCGGAAGAGCTCAAGAGGGCGGTGGAGACGCTGAGGCAGAGCTATGTTCCTCAACGAGCCGCGATGTGTGTGAGCTCTACAACAACGGCGGCATTGCGCGGGTGTTCGGCCGCCCAAAGATTCTAGAAGTTGTTTATGATCCTTCTACGAACGGGATCTACCCGTGCCGGGAATTCGTTAAAAGGCGTCGAGACGAATGGATCAGATCAGATGAAGGCATTAGATCAGAAGAGAGGAATAGAACAGCCGAATGGAACAGAACCCGGGCAAGCGGTGAGACTTTCGCGGGCGAATCTATCGCGGATGAGGCTGTCGCCGACATCTTTGCCCCAAATCTGTCTCTGAACATTGGAATTAGGCGAAAGTCTACTGCTGTGTCTTGGGCAGTCGCCGTGTCTGGAACTTTCTTGCAAGTCGGTGTCTTGGGCTTTGCTGTCGTCGTCACATACTGTCTAAAGTGGGAGAAGGACGGCAACCGTCCAGACTCTTACGCTTGCCCGATGGCCATTGTTGGAACTCTCATTGAATGGGGTGGCATGTTCCTTTGCGCGCTTCTAGTAGGGAAAACTAGCCGCAAACAAGTCTTTCATAGGAATCAACAAGCTCTCGACAAGCAGTCGACTCGGAACCTCCAATCGACGTCTTCATCCATATATTGGTTACAGCCTGGAGGACAAGTCCTTGGCGATCAAGTCTTTGACCCCTTCTGCCACAGCGATCAAGACCAACCCCTACTACAATACGTCACGTCGTGGAAGAAGCCTTCCAGAAGCCAAGACTCAGAACTTGTGTTGTGGGTTGCTGTCTGTACTACTATCATCGGATTTGTGATACAGTTTGTTGGGCTACGTGGCATCCACTCTTCAATCTCCGTGGCTCAACTTGGAGCGATGATGGTGATGAGTGTTGCTCGATCTGCGCTCCGAATGCAGCGACTAAAACCAGATGACAATTTTCTTCGCCAGTGCCCGGATGAAGTTGTTGGGCACGAGCTTGACTGGCTAGCAATGCGTATTGGTAGACAAGACGCTCCGCCAGACTGTCGACGCCGTCTCCTTTGGAGATTCTGCGGTGCGCGCGATAATACATATAAAATTACAAAGGAGCTTCCATCCACGACAGATGACCTAGATATCGCGAGCAAATTACTGGCTTACCGGACCCGCCTCGCACAACTTACTCAGCCGCAAACTGCATGGGCCGCGACCTCTTCGCAGCATTTTGATGCAGGGATGGTTCATGTCCGAGAGACCTCTCAACGTCTTGCTCTAGCCATTGAATCTATTGTCAATACAATTTGCTCAAAGAACACCAAATTCCAAGAAGAGTGGAGAGATCAAACGTCCATGTTCTGGAGCTTTGCCTGTGACGTTGCCTCGGTTGCGCCAGGTGCATCTCGCAAAAGTCCAAGCCAGCACACTTTATACTTGCAACTAGCACGCGGGAGCCTAGAAAGCCCATGGAAGCTTCAGAATAAATTGGAGTTGGAAGGCCTTTTGGGACTCTGGGTTTGGTCACTGAAGTCTGACCCTGAGGTCGAGAAGTTGCAAGACCGGCTTACAATATCCCGGGCAACTGAAATTCCAACACGGCGCATCGTTTCAATCAATAAAAACGTTAGAGATACTGGTCTGAACATATGGCTTGGTAGTGACATGCCTAGTTTCGACGTGATCTCAGTTTGCCCTTCCTCTGACCGCTGCGACCCAAGTGTCATACAATATCAAGGCAGGGAAATGCGAATCTTCGGCTGGCATACAACAGAGGCATCACAGCGTCATGGTTCTGCCCCATTCGAAGTCTGGTCAGCTTCTACAGATAGCTCACTCTTATCACTATGCGCTCAGGAAGTGTTCGGATCATTTCTCGTGAGCATTTTTGACACCATGGATGCTGTCGAGGACATTGATATCCAAGAGGCACCATACGTCCACCTGGAGAGTAAATTGGTGTCTGAAATTATACAACTGTTCACCGACACCCGTCTAGGTTCAAGAGAAGATGCATTATTGTGTGTCTTGCCTCCGATAATATCTCTATTGAAGATGCCCTCTACAGAAAATATTCTGGCAACAGCAAAGAGAAGAGCGAACGAGCATCGAAGACGTGGCGAGTGGATTAAAGCAGAGGTAATGCTAAAGTGGGCATGGGATATTTGCACCAAGTCTCAGTCTCATACAGGAAATAATAACTCCCAAAATCACGCAGACGAACTAGTGCAACAAGCAACAATTGCACTAGGTGAGCTTTATCGGTGGGCGATGACAATCAGTGATATGAAAAAATTCAGCTCTGATGGAATCAAATGGCTTTTAGCCAGGAAAAGCTGTGAGCAAAGCGTCTCTGCAGCTGTTGGGAAGGTTATAGATCGTTATGTTGACATTGAAAATCGGGTTAACCGCCATGAAATTAACGCCGGAGACGATGACAACGGCTTAACTTCAACGCTGCTCCGCCTTACTCTACCCTCAAGACTCTCAATGACAACAGAAGAAAAGGGCAAAGCTCTTTGTTCAGCGGCCGCGCTCGGTTGGGCAGAGGCAGTTCTTGCGCTGCTTGAACTTGGCGCACAACCGGACTCTATTAATGAGGGCAAATATTCAAGAACAGCACTATGTCTAGCCGCAGGATGTAATAACATCGACGCTGTAAAGGAATTATTAGCTTGGGGTGCATCGCCATCTTTGGTAGATGAACACGGGAAAACGCCTCTATTACACGCCTCGGAGGGGGGACACCCTATCGTGACTAAAATACTGTTAGACGATCAACGTGTTGAGCCAGATGCCAAAGATTCATGGGGGGAGACATCGATGATGTTGGCGGCGTGGAATGGGCACGAAGCAATTGCCCAACTCTTGTTGAATACCGGCAAGATTGCTGATCTAAATTCTCCGCTACGGTGCGCGGCGGAGAAAGGGCACGCGGCGGTAGCTCAACTGCTACTTAATAGCGAACAGATTAACCTGAACACACAGGATTATAAAGGCAAGACCCCGTTGATATTGGCAGCGGAGAAAGGGCATAAGGCGGTTGTTCAACTGCTGCTTAATACCGGCAAGGTTGATGTAACTGCTGTGGATAGGGACGGGAAGACCGCGCTGATGTATGCGAAGGAGATTGGGCATAGAGATATCATCGAGATGCTACAAAGGCATCATTCACCACCGAAATGAGGAGCAAATTAATAGAAATTGATTTCTAGTAGCTCTACTACTTTATTACCTCAATAGGGCGCTCTTTGCTCGAGGCCACTGTTCATACAATGGCTTGATTAATTGGTGACCGAGTTTAGCTAAATGGGTGGAAGACTTAAATTAAGGACTGGATTAGCAAATGCTTTAGATAGGAGCAATATAAGCAATCAAAGGGAAAATAAATTATAATAGTCAAAGATTGTCATTCTCATCTATTTCTTTCTTGTTAGCGGATTTTTCTAGCCATTCGCATATACCTATAGATAGACCATCTCATCGACTTTTAAACCTCGAGTTTATGGTAGTGATTAACTTAAGGCGCATACTTACCACGATGAGCAACTCGGTAACTAATCTGGAATTTTTTTTAATACTGCACAGATCAATAGCACAATCAGATAAGTTTAAAGAGAAATACCGGCATCATGTCAGCTGTAGTCCTCGTAATGCCAGTCTCATCAAGGCTGAGGGGCGTCATTAATAGCGGGGTCCCATGCCCCACCAAAGCTCATACCTCCAGTTGACCTCACGAAAACTGACTTTCAGCTCACCTTCAACCTTCCAACATCATATTGTCATCCTCCATCTGTACTCGTACTTTTTCTCAACTCTCTTACTCAGCCCTCCATATTCAATCCCCATGCCTCCAATCCAACAGGCCCCCAACCCGCTCCCCAGGATCATAACCTACTACCAAACCCACCATGATTCTGCTGGCAGACCCATCTCTGTCCTACCACTTCTCACCCAGCCCGGCATCTCATTAACTCATGTCATCTTAGCCGCAATTCATCTAAACGAGGATCCCAATCATATCACACTCAACGACCATCCTCCTCATCATCCTCGCTTCGAAACGCTGTGGGCCGAACTCCGTATTCTCCAGGCCTCCGGGGTTAAAGTCTTGGGCATGCTTGGCGGAGCGGCCAAAGGATCATATACACGATTAGATGGCTCTAGCGAGCAATTTGAACGATATTACGTTCCTCTTCGTGACATAATCCGTGCACGAGGCCTCGACGGCCTAGATCTAGACGTTGAAGAGGAGATGTCATTGGGCGGCATCATCAATCTCATTGACCGTTTGAGAAATGATTTCGGCAAAGGTTTTATCATCACCATGGCGCCCGTTGCCGCCGCCCTCCTTGATCATAGAAGTAACCTCAGTGGTTTCGATTACGAGGCCCTTGAAGTTATGCGCGGCAAAGAAATTGCATGGTACAATACTCAATTCTACTCTGGCTGGGGTGATATGAGCAACCCCATCATGTATGAAATGATTCTCCGTAAAGGCTGGCCCGCCGAAAAGGTTGTAGTTGGCCTCATTACAAACCCAGAAAATGGCAATGGGTTTGTCATGTGGGAGTTCCTCTCGAATGTCTTGGCTCTGCTTCGAGGACGTCATGAGCGCTTCGGCGGAGTCATGGGGTGGGAGTACTTTAATAGCCTTCCTGGTGGTAGGGAGAGGCCGTGGGAATGGGCGAAGCAGATGACGTCTATTTTGAGAAATGATGTTCCTTTACCGAGCACCAATCCTCCACCAATCAATGAGGCGACGAAGCCGGTGCTGGAGGCTGATCCTGATGCTCCCAACGATAAGCCGATCCAAGTTCCCAGCCAATTCGATTACTATTCAGATGGATCAGATAATTAAGAACGGAGCAAACTTACATTCGATTGCACTACAATACTAGACAATATAGCAAATGGCAGAACACAGTAAGACCAGTGAATGAGATTGCTGGCTGGCGTCTGTGAGACATCGTAGCCCCGAGAGCGGTTACGTCGGTAGAAAAATTGAACAAAATGGGGTTTTATTAGAGCAACATACATACATCTATAGCATTGAGCAACTAGTGTAAAGATATGACTCTTCATCCTCTTCAGTCATTTAGATAGATGATTGCAGCACACTAAGTGATAGTAACGTGTTGATGCGTATAGATACCGACAGTTACAAACGAAAAGAGAGAAATCGTCGATACTCCTTAGGTGCAGGCCATCCAGGGGCTGCACTGAGCCTCGATGGTAAAGTTGCTGTATACTGGATAGCTGCCCTCCACGGCAGCAATGATGGGATCGAAGAAGTCTGAGTTGAAACGAGCGGTCTCGCATGCCGAGCATGGCCCACTGAGAAAGCCATCATATTTGGTAGCGTATGAAAGGTAGCCGACAACATTCCGGTTTGACAGGTCCGTGGCTCTAATGGTGAAGGTCTCGGGCATAACTACCCAGCTGGGTGCGGTAATGTTGGTTCCGTTGATACCAGGAATGGCAGGATTCTGGTTGAACCACAAACTCTTAAGGCCAACATCGCGAAGGGCCTTGATAAGAAGGAGCGTCATGTGGGTATCATCATCAATCTTGACGCCCGCACACTCGACATTGATTGTATAACCCTGTCCTTTGATGGGACCCCCAACACAGTTACCTGTAGTCTGATCCCAGACAAAGCTATTGATGAAAGCTCCCCAGGATTTTTGCCAGTTAATGAAACGAGGGCTGACAGTAGAATAGACAGCGAGCTGGCCCGTCTGAGGAGTAGAAGTTGGCACAGGCTGGCCGCCGCTGCTCTGAGTTGGGACTACTGTGTGTGGTGGTTCAGAAAAGAAGGTAGTAGAAGGGGCTGCCGAAGACGTAGTTAGGGTCGAGGTCTGAGAGCCCATATCGGCTGGGCGAGGAGGAGGGTGATTGTCACGATTGCAAACAAAGGCGCTCCAGCAGATGGCATCGTCGTTGATAGTCTTGTTGATGGCAGCGCTAACAGGGCGACCACGGTAAGCCCAGCAGTTGAGCATTTGGCCGCCCTCTTTGGTAGTGACTGCACTTCCAGCTTTGAAGCCATCAGGGGTACCATCTTCAATATATGCGGTCCAAACGTCGCCGTTAGGCATGGTGGCAGTTGCACCAGCAGGAACCCAGGGATACCAGCCTTCTTTGAAAGGGATTTCAACAGCCATGTCGGGAGCTTCAGGGTACTTGTAAGCGGAACTGGGCCAGTTGATGTCCTGGTACCAATTCATCTGGCGAGAAGTAGACCATTCTGAGTGATCAGGATTGTCTCCAATACCACAGTCACAGAGAATGAGGTCCTCATCGTGAAATTGTTGAGCATTGACAGTCGTGAAAAGACCAATAGCACCAACAAGGCCGGTGGCGAGCTTTGAGATGACCATTATTGATGAGATTGTCAAGACAAATGAACAGAAGTCTTACGAAAAAAGAGTTGGAGAACTGTAGGCTGAGTAGTTGAACTAGACGTACGTTTGCTGAACGTGAAACTTGAGCGAGTGGCCGTAGATAGTGAAGAGAAAGCAGAAGAGACAAAGTAAAAGATTTAGAGAGAGAAGATGCCCGACCATCTTTTTCTCTCTAGAAAACACTGGAAAGTCTATTTCACCGCCAGTAGTCGTCATTGCAGTAACTTGAGGAAGCATCTCCGGCAGTAAGGCAAGAGGTGTGTTATGGTAGACTCTGATGTAGAGAGAAAGAGTGTCTTGAGGCGGCCAAAATGAGCCGGTGACGTAGAATTTGATCTTGAATGAGATCAAAGAAGCAGGTAATGGTATCTTGATGCTTTCCAAAGCCAAATTTGTGCATAATAGGAGCGGTCAAAGATGCTGCTACAGAGGGAAGGTGGCAGTCGAGCTCCAGATGGGTTCACCGCTCACACTACTAGCTTTGTACTTTGTACTGCTTTAGAAGGCAGAGAAAAAATGCCACAGTTCTTGAAAATAGCGACTACATTGAGTCGCAGATTTGATATGGACATGTGCACATAGAATTAATAGGGTAGGCAGGATATAGGAGACAGGTATCGATTACGACAACAAGAGGCGACATCGTGAGAAATTTTGTTTGCACTGGTAAGAAGATACCTTAACGGTTGAGGTGTCCGATATATTTGAAATGAATCCAGTATTTCGATATTTTCCCCAGGTTTGAGTGTCTATAAATCCTCAAGCGCGTAGTAGCGGCACTCGTCAAACACAGGCTTAGCCTAGGTATGTAATACTCAGATAGGGAATGTCGAGTAAGCATGAAAAGAAGGTAAAAAGCGATCTTCTGCAAGCGTCATCTCGGGCTTAGGTGTGGAAACTCGGTGAAATCTTGTCACAGCGTGTAAATGCTGTGCTCTATTTTTGTCGTGGAATGATCGTGACCATTTGAAGTTGATGCCTGTCTTGATGCCGCGCGCCTAAGTTATAGACCACGTGCGTCTCACAGCACGCCGTGGAACACACGCCATACCGCGTACTCTATATCATCGCGCCTTCACCGTAAGATCGATACAGTATATGCATTGAGGCTGCGCATTTACGTGTTAACCTCTCCTCTCGTGGCGCAACTCATGATTTATCAGATGGCTTCTTTGCCACGACCAGCGTCGTCAGCAGCATTGATAGGCCAGCAGTCTCCGCTGTTGGGACCCCAGCAGTTTTTTGGCCAATCAGTTTCGAAGCGCCAGGAGTCCCTGCATGTTTCTCGTTTCAGGTCCAGATGGCGAACCAAAGTGAAGCTCTCCTTGTATGATGGCCTAGACAAACACAGTAGAACCCAACCGAACCTGCTCAGGGGCTATACAAAAATAGCAAAGCCGGGGGGGGCAACTTCTTATGCGTCGATACCGTTCTTATGTGGTGCCATCCCGAGAAGTTATATATACCATGGCACTGGTGGAAGAAGTTTAATTTTCATCACAGCACCCAACAGCCCAGGAGGCCTAAAGCATCGTACAAAACAACTTCCGGTACGAATTTTCGGTAAAGATCTCGATATTTTTTTTCTGTTTGTCTTTTTCGATCGCTATCACACTACCGTCACACGCAAACAGCATGGCGCAAAGGATCGTTGCTTGCTACCGATGGATTAAGGCCGCTGGCGGAAGAAGTCATTTATATGCCAAAATCAGCAATAAAGGCACGCCGTACAAGAAGATTCCTCAGGAGCCTACTTTGGTCAAAGGCCAAGATGTTTTTGGAGATAACACTCCGCTGCTTGAGTGATGGTCTAAAGCGGATCTCTGCTGTCAGTCACCTTGAGCCTACCTGCCACATGGAACGGAGTGTATCTGACCAAAACCTTTCAAATTAACAGAAAACAATCGATAACCCAGTACGAAATTATGAAAACTACGATTTATACACAGAATATTGGGAAAATGCTGGGTCGGGTGTTCTTTGCTATACAGGGACAGGTGCATTACGAATAGGCTATAAAGGTGACGCTGCTGGACACTTCAACCTAGGGAATTTAAATGGCGTTATTTTGGTTACAGGACAGATATGGCAGCTAAAGATTTATATGACGGTTTAAACACAAAAATTTTTATGTTTAAAGATTGCTAGAAAATAGAAATACTACCATCACTAAGAAAGAGGCGAGCATCATTCCGTTCGAAGAACCCAACAAGAGCGCTGAAGCTTGAGCGATCCCAATCGGCCCCACCATAAAATGTCCGATGGAGCTGCTCAACCAACGCCGAATCTTCACTCTAACAAACTGCTGCTGTCACAAACTCGCCTGTCATGTCTCGCGCTCACCTATTCCTCAACTGGCGCCCAACAATACGAATACGTCCTTCTACACTCCACCTGCACTCCTCAGTCCGGGCCCAATCCACCGAAGCGAGCGGCATATCGCGCCTCGACCGCCTGACGGCCAAGCTCCCCAAACGCCTGCAAAAATATACAAATGGCCTACGCAACGCCCCTGTTTCGCATGTCGTTTCGTTTATGATTCTACACGAAATCACAGCAATTGTACCTTTGTTTGGGCTCTTTTCCCTGTTTCACTATACCAACTATATACCTGTATCCTATGTGACCGATCATTTTGGAGAGTCCGTGCAAGGAGGGATCGAGAGGTACGAGCGGTATTTCAAGCGCAAAGGCTTGTTTGGCTTTGGGCAAGAAGATAATAGCGACACGTCTGCATCCGAGACCACGGCCCAGGACGCACATGTGGAGGATGTTGTGCAGCGCTGGCACAATGGGGAACAAAAGTACAAAATCCTGGTCGAGGTTGCCCTGGCATATGCGATAACGAAAGCCCTTCTCCCGGTCCGAATCATCGGTAGTGTTTGGGCCACGCCGTGGTTTGCAAAAATACTTGTTAGAGCTAAATCTACACTGACCAAAAAGCCATAAAGAGGCGCAGCCAAACAAAGTTCAGGATTTTTTTTTTTATTCTATCATCGTACATCTTATCCAATGGTGCGAGGATAGCACTGCTCAAAGCTTCCTAATAAGTGATAGTTTAAGCCTTCTCGTAGACCCAGTCGAACTGAGCAGCCTTGTAGGAAACGGCCTCGCCCTCCTTGAACCAGAGAGCAATCTCCTTCTGGGCGTTCTCGACGGAATCGGAGCCGTGGCAGACGTTGCGACCGACATCGATGGCGTAGTCGCCACGGATAGTACCAGGGGCAGAGGCAAGAGGGTTGGTGGCACCGAGGATGGCTAGTAGATGCGTTAGTTGGTTAGATCCAGAAACAGCTTTGTCAAGACAACATACCACGACCGGTCTTGACGGCATCACGACCCTCCCAGATCATGGCGCAGATGGGGCCGGAGTTCATGTCTAACAAAAAGAAAAAGTCAGCAGAGGACTTGGTATATTCACGGTGTTGATCAGAAGCTTACACTCGATGAGACCAGGGAAGAAATCCTTGCCAGCGAGGTCAGCATCTAGGGACTAGTTAGTAAATAATACCAGCTTGGTCTATGTTTAGTATGACCACTAACAGTGAGCCTCGAGATGGGCCTTGCCGGGAGTGACAAGCTTGATAGCAGCGAGCTTGTAACTGTTAAATAGATCTCGTCAGCTTCCACAACTTCGTTTGAGTTCGACCATGGCTTCTTACCCTCGCTGCTCGAAGCGGCTGATGATGGGGCCAATCAGGCCACGCTATAGCAAGGTTAGTATAAGAATTATTGACCTTGAAACTGGCAAAATATTATGAAACTAACCTGAACACCATCAGGCTTGATGGCAATGAAGCTATCGAGAAGGTCAGACTCCTGCTAGAGAAAAAATTTCCCCAACTGATCGAGGGGTAGATGGCGGGGTATCTCACGTCTGCTCGGTAGACATTGCAGCGGTTTTTGGAGTTGAAGAGCTAAGAGAAGCTGTTTGAACTTGCGGAACGGATTGAAGCGAACAAGATTGTTGGACTTGAGGAGAGGAAGAAGAAGAGAAGAGAAAGTAAATGGCGGCCAGAAGTAGCGGGACGAAGAAAATTGGTGGGGGGAGGGTTACCGTTACCGTAGTCCACCGCAATAGCGGGTTGAGTCGCTGCTGCTTTTTTGGCTGCGGAATGGTGGACTTTGGGCTGGAAGCGGGGTCCTCGTGGTGGGGTTCAGGCATGATGATTTGCTGGCTGGTGGCTTTATGGGCAAGTAAAGAACAGATGGCTGCGTTGTACAGTGCGGTAGGTTGGGGAGAAGTCTATATCGGCGCAGGAGTATATTAGTAGTAGCAGTAGTAACACACTTTCGACTAAGGAAGTTTCGATGTTAGCTACTAAGGCAGAGGGTGAAAAGTTTTGGTATGAGCAAAAACCTTAGCTATGAGAAGGATACTGCAGATTTCACGTACATGTAAAAAAGGAATATGCAGGTCAGGAGCGGCCAATCGTAAGCTCGAGATGGGACGAGAATAACTCAGAGCCTTGGAGGTCAGCTGTTGATGCAGCTGTTTTCAAAGTAGGCATGCAGTAGTCCAATAGAGTAGCAGTAAAAGCTTCATCCCATATCTAAATTTTCATCTCATCTCCAAGTTTCCCAAGGTTTAATCGCACCTGAAAGCTTCTACGTACAGTGTCGATCCGACGGTCTGCGTTGACCGCCATAAGCAAATATCAAATCGCATTATTCGCCGTAATGCATCTAACGAGGCCTACCCCTCCAGCTTGCTGCCAGGCTGCCAGGCTATGCCCAATCGAGAGCTCCCGAGGAGGTCCCAAACGGACAACATAGCTTAATCTCGACGACGCAACCCAATCCCAACGGCGTTGTTAGACTCGCCTCTGGAAGGAGTTCTATCACCAGCATCATCACATAGCCTCAGCTGATTGACTGAATGAGGCTGTGTATTACCGACCTCTTTATGAACCAATGTGGCCTGCCGTTGCCGTAAATTGAATTGCGAATCTTTGTACCGCACAGCCCATTTGTTTACTAGCCCTGTCTCGCCCTCGTCATGAGGTTGACGATGGGACTGTCCCACAAGTGGACAGTGCTCTTCAGCTTTCTGAGCTTATTCTCGTGCCTAATTGGGCCAGCCTGTATGAACGAAAAAGTATAATGCGATTCTAAAACCTCTTTACTGATGACGAGATGTTTAGTGGGTGTCAAGGAACACGATTTCAAGAAGTGTGATCAGGCCGGCTTTTGCAAGCGAAACCGCGCCTACGCCGATAACGCGGCTTCCCAGAGCTCGACATGGGTATCTCCTTATCAAGCAGTCGTCGAATCTCCCACTCTCAAAGATGGCCAGCTCCAAGCTCTCATCCTTAAAACAATCAATGCCAATGGCGATACCGTCCGACTGCCCCTTACAATCTCATTCCTTCAATCGGGTGTTGCTCGCGTCAGCATCGATGAGGAGAGACGACAAAACAAGGACATAGAGTTGAGACACAACAGCATTGCCAGAAAAGAGCGTTATAATGAAGCCGAGAAATGGACCATTGTTGGCGGTCTGGAGCCCGATCTGAAGGCTGAAATTGTCCACCAGGAGAGCTCTCAGATTAATGTCAAGTACGGCCCTGAAGGCAAATTCGAGGCCGTGATCCGGTTCTCGCCTTTTGAAATCGACTTCCGAAGGGACGGCGCCTCTCACATCAAGTTCAACGAACGTGGCCTGCTCAATGTTGAGCATTGGCGACCAAAGATTGAAAGGCCAGAGGGAGACGAAAACAACACCGAAGAAGATGAAAGTACCTGGTGGGATGAGTCTTTCGGCGGAAACACAGATTCAAAGCCTCGTGGTCCCGAAAGCATAGCTTTGGACATTTCATTCCACGGATACGAGCACGTTTATGGTATCCCCGAACACACTGGGCCTTTGTCTCTCAAGGAAACCCGAGGCGGCGAGGGCAATTACCAAGAGCCATATCGCATGTACAACGCCGATGTCTTTGAGTATATTCTCGATAGCCCTATGACACTCTATGGATCAATCCCTTTTATGCAAGCCCACCGAAAGGATTCTTCCGTCGGTGTCTTCTGGCTCAATGCTGCTGAAACTTGGGTTGACATCATCAAAGCCAAAGGCAGCAGCAATCCCCTGAGCCTAAAGTCCGGCGCCCCAACCAGCACGCAGACGCACTGGATTTCTGAAAGTGGTATCCTTGATGTCTTTGTTCTCTTGGGCCCAACTCCCAAAGATGTCACCAAAAAATACGGTGAGCTGGCCGGATATACCGCTATGCCGCAGGAATTTGCAATCGGTTACCATCAGTGTCGATGGAATTATATCTCTGATGATGACGTTAAAGACGTTGACAAGAGATTTGACAAGTTCAAGATTCCATATGATGTCATCTGGCTGGACATTGAGTACACTGACGGCATCAAATATTTTACTTGGGATCCCCACTCCTTCACTGACCCCATTGGCATGGGCAAGCAGCTAGATAGCCATGGTAGGAAGCTCGTGGTCATTATTGATCCACACATCAAGAAGACCGAAGACTACCCGATCAATGAGCAACTCCAATCTCAGGATCTTGCAGTCCACGATAAAGAAGGCAAGATCTACGATGGCCACTGCTGGCCCGGCCAATCCAACTGGATTGACTGCTTCAACCCCAAATCTCGTGAGTGGTGGAAGACTCTGTATAAATACGACAAGTTCAAGGGAACAATGGAGAATACTTTTATCTGGAACGATATGAACGAGCCTTCGGTTTTTGACGGACCAGAGACTAGTATGCCTCGAGATAACTTGCATTATGACAACTGGGAACATCGAGACGTCCACAACTTGAACGGCATGACCTTTCACCATGCTACCTTTGAGGCTCTTCAAACTCGTAAGAAGGGAGAGCTTCGACGCCCCTTTGTGTTGACTCGATCTTTCTATGCTGGATCTCAGCGTTTTGGTGCCATGTGGACGGGTGATAACCTAGCAGACTGGGGCCATCTCCAGGGCTCCATTCCCATGGTTTTGAACCAAGGTGTCTCTGGCTTCCCATTTGCTGGAGCTGACGTCGCAGGCTTCTTTGGAGATCCCGAGAAAGATTTGCTTGCCCGCTGGTATCAAGCAGGTGCATTCTATCCCTTTTTCCGCGGCCATGCCCATATTGACGCTCGTCGCCGCGAGCCATACCTGCTTGGTGAGCCATATACCGCCATTGCCACTGCGGCATTGAGATTGCGGTATTCTCTCCTCCCCTCGTGGTACACCATGTTCTTCTACGCAAACCGGGATGGCGATCCTATTCTGCGGCCGATGTTTTGGACACATCCGTCTGAAGAGGGAGGCCTGGCCATCGATGATCAATTCTTTGTGGGATCTACAGGTTTGCTCGTTAAGCCAATTGTAGAGAAGGATAAATTCTCGACCGACATCTGGATTCCTGATGACGAGGTTTACTACGACTACACTACGTACAACGTAGCCAAGACACAGAAGGGCAAACATGTCACTTTTGATGCTCCGCTCGACCGGATACCAATGCTAATGCGAGGTGGTCACATTATCACTCGTCGCGATATCCCTCGCCGTTCGAGCAGCCTCATGCGTTTCGATGACTACACCTTGGTTATCTCCGTCTCTAAGAGCGGCGAGGCTGAAGGAGAGCTGTACGTTGACGACGGTGATTCTTACGAGTATGAGGACGGCCAATACATCTATCGCAAATTCAGCTTGAACGGCGACGTTCTCACTTCAATTGATCCGGAAGGGCGAGATACCAAAAAGATTAAGCCCGGCAAGTGGCTCAAGGCCATGCGAGATGTTCACGTCAACAAGATTATCGTTGTCGGTGCTCCTGCCTCGTGGAACCGCCAAGAGGTTCAAGTTGAATCTGAAGGGCGCACCTGGTCTGCCACAGTGGATTACCGCGCTGCTGAGAATGGCAGGGCTGCATTTGCCGCTGTTAACGGCGTCCGCGCCCGTGTTGGAGAAGACTGGAGCATTAAGTTGGCTTAGATGAGCATGACACAATACGACTGATAAAAGGGGAATCATATTTATGCAAACCCGGCGAAAGTGCTTTTTTGAGGGAAGATATGTAGACGTCTAGGCTAAATATTGCATGTTGTATGTAGAGCACGATATAGACGAAGATGAAATGGAAGAGAGCGTTGACCGCTGTCGAGCAGAATACGTGAGTATGGAGCATCGCTCCCTTGGCTTCTTTCAGCTGAGCTAATGGATCAATTGCTACCATTCACTCATTGGATGATAACAGAGTAGCACCACTTTCAATTGCAGCCAGCTGGATAAGCTTAATCGTTGGTGTGCCGGGAATTAATGTACAGTTTGACGTCTAGCAAATTGGAGAGAGAAGCCTGCATGAGCACTCAATCATGCGCTTGACTTTGTATCTATGGATTGTCCATACCGCCTTTCGGGAATTACGATAGTCCGCGAGCGCACATTCCTTTGCAAAAAACATGTCAAGTCATCATCTGCTGCAAAACATCTACACCTCCATCAGATGCCTGTACACTCCAGCACAGCGAGGATGACGGCATCTTCATCGCAAATACGAAATGCTACCGGGTACGCATCTTCCGTTGGCAGCGTCGCAGCTCGGAGTCGGCGACGGTGGCAGCGCCTCAGCTAAGGAGGGGTGCGCTGCCCAAGCCCCATTCTTAGTGCAAGCCCCAGCCACGGTAGCTGCGGCGTACCATGTATGAGCGCAACTCTGGTCCAAAAAGGCCAGAATAACGGGCTACGAGAAGACGCGGTGAGTCTCGATGGCGCTCCTCCCGGAAACGCGGCAAGGTCCTTGGCATCTGATTCGATCCACCAGCTGTGGTCTTGGCCGACGCGCCCCGCTAGAGATCCATGGAGAGACCCTTTTTGCACCGCAAATGCTCGAGCGTTTCATCCACAAGTCGGCCCTGGCCCAGCGTTCTCCAGCAGCCAAGCTTTCTCAGCCACTATGCCTGCAGCAGCCGGCTTGGCCTGGGGCTAATCGGCAATCGTTTCCCGGCTAGCCAACCACTATCGTCACTCGGGTCCAGGGGCGGACTCAGATTGGTTTACAGTGACGCCTGGCCACAATTCACGCAAAGTACTCTGTACGGGCGCATTTACAGCGTCAGCTTCGTGCTGGTGCTGCGACTACGGGTACACACTACAGGCTCATGCTTACGAAGCCCCCTCCCCCTCACTCTTTCTGAGTTACGATGGCTTGGGGTGGGCAGCAGTCAGAGGCTGCGAGTTGCGAGACAGATGCAGCAGATGCCTGCATCCCACCCAGCCAACGGCCACACCACAGTTTATGGAGAGGCCTCATGGAGGGGTCCTCGCAGACCCCGCATCGTCACACGCGTCTTGGAACAAAGCGAATGGATTCAATGGCACTGTCGATTTTTCTTTTCTATCTGACTGTGTTTACCACTGGTTTCCGTACTGGTTGTTGAGCTGCTCCTCAGCCTGCTGCTGAGCGTGGCGCTTGGCCTTCTCGCGGTCAATGAAGTCAAGGCCCTTGGTCTCAACCTCACGGTCGACGAAGAAGCCAATGGCACCGGCGAGGATCTCCTTGGCCTGGGCGTGCTCGTCAGGGTGGCCTGTGCAGTCAAAGAGTTAGACAGATGAACTTTTAATATCGGAGTCCAGCAATGGGGGTCATTCTCACCGTTGCGGGCAACGTGGTCCTCGTAGGCCTTGGCGGCCTCGTAAGCGGCAGCGCCGCCGATGAGCTCGTGAGACCACTTGGCTTCGTGAGGTCGCTGGGTGACCTGGTCGTAGGCCTGAGCCTGATCAGAGGAATCTGTAACATCAATTAGACGACATCGCACTACATTTGGCAGCTCTGGAGATCACCATACCGTCGAACCAACCCATTGTGAATAAGAGAAGTTGTGTGGTATGTGGACTTAAGAAGAAGAGTGTTTAATTCGAAAGAGAAGCAAAAGAAGGTTACGAGTGGGAGCGGCAGAGCTATTTATAAGCTTAGAGCTGCCTCACCGCGCAAGAGGGGTCAGAGGCCTCGCGACCCTTTGCACATCCAATGATCTACGTGATAACCCCTTGCCCCTTAGCCATACACTCAACGATGCACCCGAGGCTACTGCGTTGTTATTTTGGCAAGTTTCAATGGCGTAGCAGTGTGGATCAAGGGGACTCCATTCGTGGACTCGCCGTCCAGCTTCCGGCCATCTGATGATCTGGACTCGCAAGCTCCAGGAGCCATGATAACGCGATTGGTGGCTCCCAGCACATACGTAGTGTGGCAAATGGGTCCCTTGAGTCTCCACGCTCAGCAGCCGGAGGACAGCGAGGCATTGGAGACCATTGCGCCTTGAATCGTGGAGAGCAGCTGGGCACCTTTGTGGCTCAGCTCACTCTACACAGGCCACCCGTTTGCTCCCCCTGACTTCATAGCTACGGACGTCATATCCTATCAACGTGGAGCATAGAGGGGCAGAGGCGCTACGGCCCTTCACTCTGGCCGACTATCACACTGCTATGTACTATTATTGGTATGGCCTCCATTTGCTTTGGAGTGTGATGGAATCCCTGGACAGCTGAAAAAGTCGAATGACTTGTCGCAAAAGGAACAACGGTGCAATAACTCGCATTGGCGACGCCAGGATGATTTCTTGTTGAGCTGTCGGAGCTATGCCTACTAAAGCTTCCTGAAGACGTGCCCCGCCATTTCTGCCTCTCCCCTCCCCTGCCTCCCCCACCAATATCTTTGTTCCGCAGGAGCCTGTTCGAAGAAAGGATTACCCCTCTGAAGCTCGAGAAATATTACCTATACGATCAAGGAACATTATGCTATCGAATGTTTGGGCTCACAAATGTGTGAGGGGGCATGATATCTATGCCCTGAACCTTGAGATATAACCGTGTTATAGGATGTCACCGTATCTCGGAAGCCTCTTTAACCACCAATGTTGGCTAATATCTTGTTAGACTGAGCTACTTTACACTACCATCCCCTCAAGCCATTACTACTACACACATGAAAAGGCTGACTGAACAGAGTAGTTGGCTTGCATATCCAATACATGCACGGAACAGCACCCCCACATACAGCACCCCGTACTATTTATTATTAAAATATTTCGTTAATTTAGACCACTATTGCGTCCCGCGCGTGTGTAAGTACCATGTGTATGACCCTGGATTGAGACAAGCTCAGGCGCTAAAATGACACTCCTGGTATGTTAGCATCAACTGGAAAAAGCTTCTGCTGGAACCGTGTCCTTGTCAGTCTACCTCGAAACAGTAGCGATATTACAAGTGCACGGGAGATCTCTCAGAGGAGCTACCAACCAATACTACGACTACTAGCAGACACGAGGCGGTGAAGCATTGCCCTCTGCTCCTTTTGGGGGACGATGACGATGAATTAATTAACTCGCTGCGTGGGCTGCCTGAGACTAATGGCGCGTGTTGAAGGGTTGCATCCATCTGCATCCATCTTGTCTTTCATGCTGGCCTCGTGCAGAGTCAAGTATGGACGAAGAGACTTGACCCCTAGTTTCAACGTACCTTCCTTAGTCATAAGGGTCTAACAAAAAGGTACGTACCTCCGACGAATCCCGGGTCCGACTAAAGACCGAGCCGGAGTCCCACCGAAGCCACATCCGCTCCAAAGAAAAAAAAAATTTGGATAATAGTTGTATCCACAAGGAAAAAAAAGTGAAGCAGGTAGAAAAGAATGCAAAAATGAAAAACATCTGGACGAACGGGGAATCGAACCCCGGACCTTTCCCATGCGGTTAAGCAGCTCGAAGGTTGCTTGATGCTAAGGGAAAATTATACCACTAAACCATCCGCCCATTTGTGTTGTTGAATGTTTGTGTCGTAAGATGGTATATACACCATTTACACCATTTACACCATTTACAGCCAGATATACTGAAGATTAATACAAGTGTTTCTTTAGCTATTGTACATGATGATTATGTGTTTTACATTACGAGTATTACAATATGATAGCCACCCGGTATGGACCCTATTACTACTACATAGAGACATCTTCAGCGAGTGCCATCGCTGAGAAACCAATTCATGGGCTCATGCAGCCCAGTGTTATACGCAAACATGGCGTCAGAAATCTGTACAGAGACACAATATAAGCAAAACTATTACGAAGTAAACAGAGAAAGGGGAGATAATAGACTTACCAAAAAATCCCAATCCGGGCTCTGCTGCCGCATACCAATACCCATATCCTCCTCCTCATCCACAGCTCCCACATCCTGGCTCTGCCCAGCGCGCTCCTCCAAAATCCGTACGCAACGCTCCATCGCCTCTTCAGAAGCCTTTCGAAACAAGGGCGGAATCTCAATCGGATCGACACCGCGCATGATGGCTTCAATGTGGGAGGTGATGACGCAGCTGACCAGGTATCCCTTTACATTTGTCTCGCCGCTCTTGATGCAGCGCAGGCTGCAGTCCTGGGCCTCGCGGATGACGGAGAGCAGGTCCGCCCGCAGAGGTAGCGGCACGAGACCCTGCTCTTCGCGCAGCTGCGTGTCGAGCTCGGCGGTGATGAGCAGGCTGGCCTGCATGGAGGCCATTCTGTAGAAACCGGGGCCGTTTTGGGAGAGGCGCGTGAGGAGATCTTCGTTGCTGAGACTGGATGTGGATGAAGCGGAAGAAGAGGAGGAAGAAGAAGGGCCTTGGATGTGGCGGTGGGACATGATGGCCGAGGAAGGGAAGGCTGCGGCCCAGATCTTGAGGGTGGCTTCGATGGCGAGCTTGCGCGATACGGCGTATTTCGTCTGCCGCAGGGCGGGGATGAAGTATGGCGTGTGGAGGGCGGATATGTGTCGTTGCATGATGAAGTCGACGAATCGCAGGTCCAGATCAGAAGGGCCGTACGCTGCTTCGCCGGTTGCTTGCTTGGATTTGAACCCGCGGAGAGTGTGGACCAGAATCTTGTAAGCCGATCGCAACTCGGCGTCGAGTTCCAGCGTCCTCTCGTACGTCCCGCACGAAGTAAGATCGTTCAAGAAGCTCGCCACCGCAAGACGAGCGTGGAGCGTCTTCCGAAGAGCAAGCGCAATTGACATGCTGGTGTACTCGCTCTCGGGCTTTTCGACTCCCTCGGTCATGAGCTGCTCGTCGTCAAAATTGCCGGGGGGCTCCGTGTCATAGTCGTCGGGGCAGATGAGCGGAGGGCCGCCCGACGACAGGCTCATTTTCAAGAGCATTTCGAGAATTGTATTCCACAATCTCCTGTGCATTTGGGTGGCGTAGAGGGATCGTTTTGGCAGGTGGTGCGGATCTCGATGCAGGCCCATGTGCATTGCCCGCCTCACCAAATCGCCTGCAGATACCCAGACTGAATCGCTGGCGACTCCCACGGCTTCCCGAGCTAGGAGTAGTAGTATGTGAGTCTGTATGAACTGGATGCCTAGGCGGGCCTTGAACTCGGGCTCGGATATCCACGTTTGCGCTTCATATACCCAGCGAATGGCTGAGGGTCGCATGGAGAACTCTTCATCATAGCAGATTGTGCCGAGAGCTAGCACCAGCTTAAGATGGACGACGAAGGCTATATCGGGAAAGGCCCCGGGCTCCCATAGTTCTTCATAGTCCCTCCTAAAGGACGGCAAATGCAGAATTCTGTGTATGTTCTCCGTCGTCTTCAAGTAGCAGTCGATGAGCTTGTCGCAAACCTGCCTTTCCGGCAGATCTCTTGTCGGGATTGTCGGCCAAGGGGGGTTTCTCTTGGCTTTAATGATTCTCGCTAGAGATTTGCATTTGAGGAGTAGAGGATAGGTATTGGATTTCTCTTCCAGAAGATGTACGTCGTTTAAGACAAACATGTTCTTGAACTAAGAAACACAAATACCAGTGAGCAACATACTTTGGCAAATTTTGGGGGCATTTAAGTAGAGGTGGAGGGAAGATATCTGCTTACTACTTGGAACACATTGATCCAGTGGCTTTGGCCAAAGAAGCGCGTCTTGTGTGTAACGCTCCGTATTAGAGCCGGTTCAGTTGAGTTTGGCAAATTATGGCCACGATGGAAGTGGATAGCCCCTCCAGTTATGTGAGGCGCTTGGTTGAGGAAATCCGTTTCAGGAGATTCATAAGGAGACTGCGATCGCGGCTGCTGCTGCTGCTGCTGCTGCTGCTGCTGCTGCTGCTGCTGTTGTGGTGAAGGCTTTGGCCGGGTTGGACAAAAATCGCGAATAGGATACCAAGGTTTGCCATCCTCAAGGACACTTCGGTTGGCGATTGATTCATCCTGGCTTCTGGGCGTCAACGGGCTTATCAGATTCCTAGTCGCCAAATTCGAAGTGGCATTTCTCGTGCTCAGCGATTCATTCGGGCTGGCATTTGAGACGGATTGAGCTGGGGCTGATCTGGGCGCATCAGGATCGAGGAAGAAGACGCCAACCGGGTTCTGCGCAGACGCGAGAGCCCCTGGGTTGTTGTGGCTCTCATAAACGCATGTCTCGGCCTTGGCGCGGATGCAGTTGCTGCAAGGCCGCTGCCGATTACATCGAAGTTTTCGTTTCCTACACAGAGCGCATGATCTACATTTTATTTGATTTTGATTAGTTGTCTGCTGAGACTTGGAGTTGGTTGAAGCTGAGATGCGGGCTTACATTGCAGGTCTCCGCCTGCGGCGCTCACCCTCCACAACGACGGTCTTGGGAGTGTGTTCCATGAGAAGATGTTCTTTCTAGTGACGTACAATAAAATGATGAGATTGATAATTGGGAATAAAAAAAAAATTGTAAGTCGCAAAATAGGTAAACGAAAACGAAGAGCCGCATGTGATGACGATTCCTTCGGACATTGATTCGGGAAATTCCCCAAACAGGCACTAAGACCGAATCGGCCTCGGGCTATGGCTTTTCGGACACCCGGACTCTGGCAGGCCAAAACCGAGATTTTCGCATATCGCGTTCCAAGCCAAGCCATTTCCTCTTTGGGCGAAACCCCGGCTTATACTTTGCAGCGAGGAAGCAGGTCCAACGAGAAACCCTCCGAGTCTGTGGCCAGTTTATCATCTCCGAGAATGGGACTTGAAGGAGCCTCGCATGATGGAGCGGCCCTGTCTGGGAGAGCAGGTAGACTGTTTGGGCTTAGATAGATAGATGGATAGAATGTCGTTGGTATATATAAGAGATGGACGGATCCCGGGTTCATCAACCTTTTTTTCAACCTTATCTGAACGAGGTCATCAGGCAGAAGCTCCTTTGTAGCCTTAGCTCTATATAACAAGCAGAATAGATACTGTTGAGACTTTTCAAAGGGACGCCATCTTTCAGCCATGTCGACGACAACTTCGGTGGAAGAGAAGCCCGCTCATCTTCCAGAGGAACAAATCGCCCTCGAACAACTCGCCCCCGGCGAAGAGAGGCAGTCGTTGTCCGCGGACGAAGTAGAGCCAGCCCCTGACGGCGGTCTAAGAGCATGGCTTGTCGCTTGTGGAGCTGCCTCTATCTTCTTCTGCTGTCTGGGATTCTCCAACTCGTTTGGCACCTTTACAGAGTACTACTTGACTCACCAGCTTCGCACTCACACTCCCGACGATGTGGCCTGGATCGGTTCTCTCTCTGCATTCTTGCAGTTCTTCACAGGCATGATTGGAGGGCCCATGTTTGATCGCTATGGAGTAAAGGTATGTACCTCATCTCTATCATCTATCTTGTTTCTACCTGCCCCCCTTTGCATCTTGTCAAACTCGGTAAACCCTACCTATATCAGAAAGAAACCAACAAACATTTGATCTAGATTATGCAACCCGCAGCCGTCATATACATCTTCGCCGTCATGATGTTGAGTCTATGCAAAACATACTGGCAAATCATTCTCGTGCAAGGCGTCCTCATGGGAAGCACCATGGGATTTCTCCAATTCCCAGCCATGGGCGCGCTCGCCCATTACTTCGACAAAAAGAGAGCAGCCGCCTTCGGAATAGCAATCTCGGGCTCTTCCATTGGCGGCATCATCATGCCCATTGCCGTGTCGAGGATGCTCAACGCCACATCTATAGGATTTGGCTGGACCGTCAGAATCATCGGCTTTCTCATGGTGCCGTTCATGACCTTTTCCATCATCGTCATCAAGGCCCGCCTGCCGCCGCGACCAACCGCCTTTTTCATCACCGGGGTATTCAAAGATGCAAAGTTTATGCTTATCATCGCCTCCACCTTCTTCGCCTTCATCGGAATGTTCATGCCCATCATCTTCCTTCCGACGTATGCCGTACAGATCAGAGGCATGGGCGCAACTCTCGGTGGTTACTTGCCCGCCATCCTCAATGCAGCTTCGACTTTTGGCCGTGTAATCCCCGGCATTCTGGCTGACAAGTACGGAAAAATGAACATGTATGCCGGGGGGACTCTCGTTACCGCCGTCGTTGCGTTTTGCATGAACTCGACGCATAACAACGCAGCCATCATCGCGTATACAGCCATTTTCGGCTTCACCTCTGGCACAATCATCTCCGGAGCAACAGTTACCATCACAAGCTGTGCCGATGACCCACGCCATATTGGTACTTATACTGGCATGGGGCTGGCCTTGGGAGCTGTGGGAGTCTTGATAGGACCTCCTATTGACGGCGCCTTTGTGGCCCATTATGGAGGCTTCGAGGAGGTCACCATGTTTAGTGGCGCCATGTGCCTCTTTGGCGGGATTCTTGTACTTTTTGCCAAATTTGCGACTCCTCAAGGAATTTTCGGCAAATCATGAGCGGAACACACGGCTTGTCCTAAATATACATTACAACGCAAAACGAAGAAAGGCACATCTCTCAGCTCACTCATTTCATTGAAAGGGATCGCAAAACATATTAATAGAGGCGCGGCGTTTATTAGGAAACTGGGCTCTCTTCATTTCTTAGACTGCACTAGGTAGTCCTTTAGCTTTGATTCAGTAGATATATACAAACTCGTCATTCTCACGGTCTGTGAGATCTAAGAAAGCATTTCGTCCAAGAGCATCCTCCCCTTCATTGGCCCCCTCAGTATCCTCAAGTACTCCATCTTCACGGTGCCTGGCTGTGCGATAATGGTTTTGCATAGAGCGGTCAATAACTTTTGCCTCCTTTCCGTTGCGTACTCGAGTCTTGGCTTGTATCTTATTGAGAACAACTAGATTGGCCCACTGCAGTAAAATCACCCCAACCAATGCCGAGAAAACGCCAAGGCATGATCGTAAGCCAGGTTTGTAGGCAGGTGCATCTCTATCGTTAAACAAGATGGGACCGATGATATTGCCCACAGAGCTAGCAGCGTTGTATACGCTCATGATGATTGACTTTTTAGTTGTTCCAGCAGTATTGCCGACGATCCAGGAGACAATGAGAGGATTGCCGGAGAAAATGAAAGCTAGGAGATAGTATCCAGCAAGTAGAGCTCCTTGATGTGATTTGTCCCGAGGGATGCAGTATAGCATGATTAACCCAGCGACGACCGGCAACACAAAGACAGCCAGTATAGCCCCCTTTAACTTTGCCCTCTGGGCCAAGAGACTGGAGATAAGGATGACAATTACTTGAAGGGCGCCAAATGGCATATTCAGTAAGCTACTTTTGTACTTGTCAAAGCCCAGACCATTAATGATAAGGGGGCCAAATGTGACGGTGACAATTGCTCCCACGTTGAGCAGCAGCGTCATTCCGAACCAGAGATAGGTTTTGGGCTCCAGGGCAGCCTCAATAACGTGCTCCCATTTGAAATCTCGGTTACCAGTGCCCGTTTGGTTGGCGCGAAGCCGTTCGAGTGCCTTTGGCTTCTCCTCGTCGGTAAGGAATCGCGCGGAGAGGATGTCATTGTCCAATTTCCAATAAGCAAATGGAACAGAGACGATGGTTAGCAGTCCGACGAAGAGAAAGATGCTAGATGGAGAGTGTATTAGCCAAGATTGATATTCAGAGCAGTGTTGGGTGCTTGCGCCTACATCTGCCATTCTCTCAGTAGTGGTGACTGAATCTGCCCCAGCCCATACGAAACAGCGGCAGCGAAGATGGTTGCCAGTCCATTGGTCCCGTACCACGCCGCGACGCGCATGGGTTGCTCGGCTCGTCGGTACCACTGGCTGGTGATGACGCTGAACAAGGGCAAGCAGCCGGCTTCGAACAAGCCAAGGAAGAATCGTGTGGCCATAAGACTAGAAAAGTTATGACATGCCGCCATGGAGGTTTGTGCAATGCCCCATCCGAGGCAGAGAGCAGGCATCAAGATGCGATGAGGCACCTTGACGATGAGCACAGACGAGAATGGCTGCCATATCAGCTGGGCAATGGGGGCGATGGAGCTGATGAGAGAATATTGGCCGGGGCTGAGATTCGTGTCCGCTTTAAGGCCATATGTCGCGCCATATCCCAGGACTGACTTGTCAAGGATTTGGAGGAAGTAGACCCATACAAGGATCACCAAGATGGTTCTGTCGGTCTTTCGAAGGATGCGGCGATTGTCTTCTTCGCTAACTTCCATTTTCTGGTCGCCAATAATGGCCAGCGCACGATCTGCGCCGTGGCGAGAAGAATTTGGGGGTTCAAGATGTTCGGAGTGCTGCACGTCCTCTGGTTGTTTGGGATCCATCCTCTCTTGTGATGGTATGATGGTTGGTAGATAATGCCAATACTCGATAGCCACTACTTGGAAGACGCCAAAACGAAGGTCAGATGCGAGGAAAAAGGAACCACAAACGAGACTTATAGAAATGGCCAAAAGATGGGAGATGATAAAATGTCAAAGCCTGGCGACGATGCTGCGCACCAGGCGTTGAGGAGGTGAACCTTCTTATCCCAGCTCGCCTACTATATGTAACCTACCCCTAGTCTACACCAGGTACCTACATGTAGATAATAGCCGGGCAGCGTATCTGCCTTGGTCGTCGGCACTGAGTGCCATGCTCTAAAGGCGAGCTATATCCACTGAAGACTTCCGAAAGCGTCAAGTTCTGGGGCATTCTGCTGCACCCCGCGTTCTAACGAAGATGGGGGCCGCCGCTAAAAGGGAGCTTTATCTTGAGTCAAGGGAGCGGCCCTGGTTACGAACCTTGTGAAGGTGCATATTAGTGAGCGCAATGAGCATTTTGGGACTTAAAAAGTGATTCCTCAATTCGCCAATTTTCAGCTTATGCATGGCATTTCAGCGTGGCCATGGACACACATATGACTTTCTTTCTCAGAGTCAAAGTCTGGTCTTCATAAAGAGGGTAACAAATAGCTTCCCTACCCCAACTGCCGAGATGTTACATTTAGCCAAAATGATCTCGTTGCTGGAGCTGGTCAACTGTGCTAGACGAATAAAGTAACTGACGGGTGTATCACTTGGGACGTTGTGCACCAAGGTCGGTAATAATGTACCCCTTGTTAGAAGTGCGGCCAATCGCGAAGCGGCGTGACAAGGAACCATGACTTGTAGATGGGGGGAAAGAGGGGGTCATGAGGAGATGCAACGGATACAGCACACGACAAAACAAAACTGCGTTGAGGGCGCACAAATCGGAGATCTGCTTTTGGGAGGCTGATAAACTGACTTGTGCGACCAATGGGAGACACTGTTGCAGACGAGCTGTACCAGGTTAGACAACCTTGAAGTTGACGCTCAACGGCCCTCGAACTTGCGACTTAATAGTCAATAGTACTATGCTGGCGATACCAACGACTGTTTGTACTATACTAGTATCAAGATATGTTTCTCTTGCTCGCATTATACCAATTGCCTAGTGCGGTAAAAATTAAAGATTCTGGCCGAGACTAGTCATTTGCTCGATGCAACCATCGCCATCCCCTGCATCGGTAACTCGCATAAGGCACTTGTTTACTGCAACGCATATAGCTTTGACACGGGGACTACTGCCAAGCCCGTGGTGATTCTCATAGCCTATCTAAGCAGCACCCAAGAAATGTTTGTTTGCCATAAACAGGATCAAGGTGTTTCAGGCGTGATGTGCCAAATAGTTAACAACATACATTTATTCGTCTCATCATATATCATTCACATACCCCAGATCTTGTATGGCTATGGTTCAGTACCGTAAGAAGCTTAATTTGAATCGCTGATGCGTAAAAAAGATTCAATTTCCTAAGCTGTCCTACGTAGCCCTGTTGGCTCATTTCTATTAGGCTCTACTAGGATCAAAGAGCGGTATGCTTGGCTCTCAATCGTGGCCCAGACGACGTCTCTATAAATTTCATTTCATTATTCAAGGTCAATGAATACTGTACCACAGTTGTAATTTATTTCTACTCTTTTTGACAGCTGCGTAATAGCGCTTGACGTTGGATGACTGTTTAAAACGATTTACATTCCAGGATGCGCCACCGCGTAATGGAGGCTTGAGAGGCATGACGGATCAGCCACCACTGACGGGCTAACAGGAACCAAATTTCTGCAAAGGACCTTAATTTGGAAGTTCCATGTCATCCGGCAGTTTCTTTAATTAGAAAAAAGACCAAGAGTTACTTGACGTATGAGTTGAAATTTGGGCATTTGCGTATGTACACCTGGGCCCATTTTTTGTGACAAGGGCGTCCTGGTTTGCTGCGGACGCGCACTCACGATGTACCTAATCATTTGCAAAAGGCGACAATGATGCCAACCCTGACCCCGTCAAGGAGACAAACAAAAAGAGCATGGCAGTTCGACACGGACCGTATGCGATCGAATCTACTCCATGGATAGATTCTGAATACTGAATATGAGGGGTCGCGCTCCGTACATATTTGATCCATATACGGTAGGGTATTTCGCTTCTGAAACAGCGCTGCGGAAAAGCTTCATACTGCCCCGAGCTTTACGTATGTGCACATGCAGGCGCTTAGGCTAATTGTGGAAACAAATTGAATTATGCTTATTCTGGTCTCTTTTTCAGTGGTGCCAAGCGTGCCAAGTATGTGTGTATGTGTGTGATGATGGTCAATCTCGATTCGCAGCGGAACCTGAGAACGATGATGAGCAAATGAAGGAGCCTGTCTTTGCCACCTCGTATTGACAGGGAGGCCTGGCTGTGGAGCTTGGATGTCATACTTTCAAGATCTCTGAAATATGTGTTTGCTTTGGGGATATGGAAAAAAGGGATCGCAAGGGGATTGATAAGCGTATCGGCTCTGATTTGCCTGTCAGATATTGCGTGCGGAAGCGCCACGGGGACGATAACCATTTGCTAACTTGTTAGCTTAACTTCGTGCAGACCAACATGACGCTCGCCAGGAAGCAATTAACATGCAGCGAACAGCACATGGGAATCGCCGATGGCTCTTGGTGCTGGGGCTCGAAGCTTGCGTACGTGTCGCTCCCACAGTTTGCGGGTCCGGGGCGGGACTGGTAGCGGCGGGACGCGGGGCCGGCAGCACAGTGAGAGCACGGCCGTGGCTCGGACGGTGAAAAGGCCGAGGTGAAGTTCCGTGGAGGGGGCCAGCCGGGTTTTGGATACTGACGCACGCAAAGAATGTAGCACTGTCTGAGACGCCGCACGGAGCTGTAGCGCTGAAACGGCGGAAACGGCGGGTAGCTTGCGCTGCACGGGATGTATTCTACTGCGGTGTAGATGGCTGGATGGTATGCGCGCCATGCACGATGCCGATCACTTCGCAGAGGGTCCAGGGCCGGGTTGAGGCCATCGTCGCCATCCAGCCAATAATTTGCTGCAGGATGGACGCCGGGCATGATGCCCATCCCCTCCAAACGCCCGCTATTAAAGCAGGACTCTCACATCTATTCCCCAAATGCAAGCACATCGAGTCAGCCGAGAGCAAATCTCTGATAATCGGTCATGGCAATTCCCCGGTGCGCTTTCTTGCCAAGCTTGACTGACTCCAGCCCGGCATCCAGCTCCACTGCGATCGCCAACGACCATGTCAAGCACCCTGTCAAGCATCATTCTAAAAAAAAAGCTTGAGAGGGGAAATCAGGGAAATCATAGAGCAAGCTGGTGGGCGCGTGGATCCAGCGCGGACCTCGGCGGTTCTGGGGATGCCCAGCGTGCTGCTGTATTCCTGCTTCTTCTCGGGCTTTGCTGCTGCAGGAAAAATAAACAGGATGCGGCGTGGAAAACCCGAAAAGCACGTTCGAGAGTGTTCTCTGGCATGTGGCAGAACCGCGCTAGACCGCATGAAGCATTCCGGAGGCGCCTTGTTCCGTGGCGCTTCTTAGCGATGGGCGCTAGCAGATGCGCTACTGCCCTGTATTTGCCTCTGTGCACCCGCAGGCAAATAGCGAGCCAGGGCAGAGATTTGTTTGGGGAGGGGGAGCAGCAGCCGAGCTGTGGCTGCACCGCTGCCCTGAAGGCGCTCTTCAGCCGCCGAAAACCATGGCGCTAGGCGCTACAGGGCACTAGTCGAGGCCAAAACGGGCATGACAGCGACACCAAAAGGGACGATGTATTCCCGGAATATCCTCGAGCGCAGACTTTTTTAGCCACATCCAACGGCCAGGCACGCCGACAGGTACAGTAGCTATCAATAGAGAAAATTTGACTCGTGAGGCGGCTCCTCTTTTAATTCTTGTTTGACTTTTTCCACGGGTGGATTCCCTCTCCCAACTGTGCAGGCAGTGAATAAAAAGAAGACCCGGCCTTGGCTGCGCACTCCCTCTCGCAGAAACGGCATCATTTCGTCACTCGCTCCACCACGACGGCCAACAAAAACACCACGCCGATCCCTCGAACCCTGCGCTTCTGGCATCGACCTTTGTCGTGCTAGACCGAGCCCTAGCCTTAGCTGCGGAGAGCTCCCGCCGGTTCCGTTATCTGGATGTCATTCTTATTAGCATAAGCGTTGTTTCTCTGCCTTTTCTCTGATCTTATAAACCGCGGCCAACAGCTTCCCCTTCCCCAGTTTCTTCTCCACAGTCCCTGCGCTTAAGCCAACCTGTGCTTCAGCTGTGCCGCGACATCGCAATGGCTGGAGAGCCGTTTCCCGCCATGCCTTCTACTTCGCAGCCGCATCGGACTTCTATAGAGATGAATCGGATTGAAGAGCGGGAGGGCGACACATACGACGAGGAGTTCAATGACCGGTACGACGAAAAATATGAAAGATTCGAAGCGCCAACCCTCGACACCTTCAACACATCCAATACATTGGCCCCTCCCCAGGAAGACGCCGACCTTGTATCCCCGATAAGCCAGCGTGCCGAGGCGAATCGTCTCAACGATGACCTTGAGCTTCTCCGCGCCGAGCGCATGGTCTCTAACCAGGAACATGACCAGGCATCCAGCTCTCGGATGAGAATCCGACACCACAGCCCCGAACCAGAGGATGCCTTCAACCAGCCCGCCCAGGAACAAGTCCTGGAGAAGAAGAAAAATACCAATGCCGCCCTCTACAAGCTGTGGCTCTTCATCAGCAAGTTCCCCCGCTTCTTTCGATACATCATCTACCTTATCCCCGGCGCCGCTTTGCTCCTCGCCCCCGTCTTGCTTGGCACGTACAGATTCAATGGGGTTAAAGACGCCGTTGGTGGTGTTGGTGGTGTCTATCTTATGTGGTTCGGCATCTGGCTGGAAATCGTTTGGTGTTCGCTGTGGGTGACACGGATGATTACGAATCTTATTCCTCCTCTATTCCACGGCGTCGCCCGAATGGTCGGGTCGACCAATGCCCACAAGTGGCGGGACATTGGACAGCGTCTCGAACTGCATACGGCCATGTTTCTGTGGTTTCTAGCCATCCTCATCTCCTTCAAGCCTACCATGAACAGCCACCGTGCTCCGGTCCCAGAAGGACGAGAAGACGAAGTCGATGTCCATTGGATTAGCATCGTCAACAAGGTCATCATTGCGCTTTTTGTCCTCGCCGCACTCAACTTCGTGGAGAAGATCCTTATACAGTGGATTGCGCAAAGCTTTCACCAGCGAACATACGCCACTCGAATCGAGAACAACAAAGGAGACATCCGTCAACTGGTTCGCCTTTTTGAATATGCAAAGTCCAAGCTTGAGACTACCGACAGCTTTTGGAAAGACAGCGCTGGAAATGCTTCTGCAAGTGGCTTGCAAACCCCTCTGAAAGCTTTCCACAACAATGCCCGCCAGGTGCTGGGCAAAGTCGGTCATGCTGCCGGCAGGGTGGGCAACGATCTTCTGGGCCGTAAAGGGGCTGACAACAACCATCCTCGGAGGATCGTTGCTGAGCTGCTCCGCAGCACCGCATCTGCGCACACTCTCGCGCGTCTCATCTACCGGAGCGTCGTGCGGGAGGGCCGCGAGACTGTCCACCTGGAAGATCTGCAGATTGCCTTTGAAACTGTCGAGGAAGCTGAGGCAGCGTTTAGCATGTTTGACAAGGATCTCAATGGTGACATTTCCATGGAAGAGTTTGAGACTGTTTGCAATGAAATTCAGCTCGAGAAGAAGGCCATTGCAGCATCGCTCAAGGATCTTGACTCCGTGATAAAGAAGCTCGATAAAGTTTTTCTGGTCATCATCGTCATCATCGCCGTCATCGTATTCGTCGCCATCCTGTCAGATTCGACTGCTGCCGGTCTCGCTTCTGCCGGTTCCTCGATCCTCGGCCTCGCGTGGGTGCTTCAGGCAACGGCTCAGGAGTTCCTCCAGTCCATTATTTTTGTCTTTATTAAGCATCCATTTGATGTAGGTGACCGTGTAACCATCTATGGTAACACCGGAGCCACACTGACGGGTGACGACTATTATGTGACGGAGATTTCGCTGCTCTATACCGAATTCAAGAAGATGCAAGGGCACATTGTCCAAGCCCCGAACTCGCTTCTCAACACCGTCTTCATTCTCAATCAGCGACGATCTAATGGTCTTTCGGATTCCATTCCCCTCGAGATGAAATTTGGTACCCCGGGCCACCTGATTGACGAACTCAAGGCTCGGATGCTAGAGTTTGTCCAGGCCAATAAGCGGGATTATCAGCCGAGCATCATTACTGAGATGACTGGCTTTAAGGAAGTGAGATCATGTACTATGAACATAGTCTTTTTCCACAAGAGCAGCTTCCAAAACGAACTTCTTCGACTGAACCGCCACAACAAATTTGTAACCGAGCTCATGTACCAGATGGTTCAAGTGGGCATCGAAGCGCCGCTCAGAGTCGACCCTGGTGGCAGCCGAGACCATCCTTTGTACTGGGCAAATATGCCCGCGCCACCAGCATACAACAGCGCCGGCGAGAGCTCAACACACGGTCGTCCTCGGGCTACGTCTAGCATCCGCAGCATACCAAACCAAGAGCCCGCCGCAGGAGGGTTCCAGGATGTATTCGAAAAACGGCGAGAGCATGTACATATGCAGAGGATGGCGTCTATCCGGGAGAAGGAGAGGGGGCTGCAGGAAGAGTCTGCTGCAGACGCTCGCGCATCCACTTCAGCTCTGGCTCCAGTCATGTCGGTCGATTCCCAGTCACAAACGCGGTCTCGCATATTTGGACGCGCACGGAGCGGAACTAGGAGCGTCCACAGCCACAATGACATGGTCTAATCTGATGCATCTCAATATGCTGCTGACTCCGTTCTACCTTTTCCTCTTTATTTCCTCACCTTTTTCATATATTTTTTTTCTTCTTCTCTTTCTTTTCAAAGATTTGTGCACAGATTGAAAGATTTGCTGGGGTCAAGTCTTAATTTGCTTGTTGGTCGACTTGTATTTTCAGCGATTCACTCTCTATACACAACATTAGCAGGCCTTGCATTGCATTTATCTTTTTTTTTTTTATGACTTGATGGATGGTTTACGGATTTAGAGATAGCTGGCGCAGAAATCGCCAATTTGAAGAGATACCAGGAAGCTCGCAGGATAAGACGAGCGAAAGGAGGCAGCGAAATACGCCATATTCATGTAATGATTAAGATGGTATGCATTAGAGCACACAATAGAGAACAAACATCCCGCCAAAAAGGGACAGATTTCTAGACTATATTTCGAAGAACGTTGTAAATTGAAGATGTAAGAAAGGTGGTTGGGTTATGTGACTTGGTAGCTAGTAGTAGTAACAACGCCCAGGTACTTTATTTTTCTCACTTATACGCGACCCATGTCAACGACTAACACGAGCATGACGAGTTGAATCATTATCCATGACATTTATATATGGCCTACTTCTGTTTTGTAGTCAGTCTTTATACAGAAAAATTACACCTCTGAAAGCCGTCCAAGAACGGACTAGAGGCCCGAATCGCCCCAGCCCAAAGTCCGCCTAACGAGGCGTCTCTGATGGCTTCAATAGTGTCGATAGTGACCCCCGCATACCAGCCAATATCGAGCCCCAGCCGCACCGGGGCTTGGGATATTATTAGAAGCAACATCTCATACGCTGCGTTTTAGCTGTCAGCTGTCAGCTTCTGTTCCCTTTTCACCTTGTTCTGATCTTCTGGCATGGAGAGCACGGGCCTTTCTTTTGCGGTTTCTTGTGTTTGATCGTCTTGGAGTATCGTCGCTTTTGCGAAAAAATTATTGGGAAGTCAGTTAGTTCATTTAGAGCCTTTCTTTTTGGCCCAGCGACCAAGTATAGCGTGTTCTTTCTCCATGCAAGATTGCGGACGACTCTCCGGCGGCGATGCGACAACGGTGCGGCTGAACGAGGCAATTCGATTCCGACCCGACGCTGTTCGAATACGCCTTTGATTGAGGCAGTTTTTAGAATAATAATCTCCATCCATACTCGACTTATGACACCAGCTGGTGGAAGCGGCCTCTGCACTCGTTTCACGCTGAATTGAAGAGCAGAAGAAAAAAAAACCAGTGGCAGGGCAGCGGGCATCATATCATGGCCACTCTCCCGCCCGGCTGGGAGTGGGACTACGACGGCAATCGATGGCTCTACCGCTATACGCCCACCGGCCATGTGCAGTACCATTTCCCCAATGCGGGCGACGAGTTTCCCGACTTCATCGACGCTGCGTCTCCGGCGCCAGACCTCGCTCCCGAAGAGAAGCTCGAGTCGCAGCAGCAGGTCAAGCGGCATACGAGCGTCAACGGCGGCCCCAGCCGGACGGCTCGAACTGCGGCAGAGGAAGAAGAAGATGGATGGAAATCGCGCATGTCGGCGACGGCGCAGCCCGTAAGCGCCGTCTGGGAGGACGATTTCGGCGCCGAGGACGACAACGAGACGGAGGGGGAGGCGGTGTTCCAGCCGGAGAACTTCATGTATCTGGGCCCGGGGACTTATGTGGATGTAAGTCCATTGGTTGAAGAAGAGGAGGAGGCGGCGAGGAGGGCGGTGGTGGGAGCCGAGCTCAGGGGTGGACCGCCAACAGACAACAACAGGGGCGTCAGTCCGATGGTGAGCCAGAATACGACGCCAATGGTACGGACAAGCGAGACAGTGGCTCGGACGGAGAATGAGGCCCAGAGCCGTGCATCTACGACTGCCATGAACGACAGGGCCGTTGAGCCGCCGCCGCCGCCGCCCACAATAGCATATGAGGAACCCGCGATGGTGACTCCCATTGGGGGTTTTATCACGGGAGACGATATCGTGGGAGAGGCCAGCGCAGTACCCGACGAGGAAGCCTTAAACTACGAGATGTACGAGCTTCCGGTAGAAACGGCCGTACCTATGCACCTGCAGTTTGATCCCGTGGGCGTGGTGGCTGAGATGCCGACGGAACACACGGCTTCGGCCCGCGTGGAAACGCACCCGGATCCCGTTGAATTGGCGGGCAACTATGTTATGGCGCCAGTTGAGATAGAGCCGCGGCCTGGATTTGTGGAACTGCCGGCCGAGATTGATCCCAGTGAGGAAGGTATCGCACGGGAGGAGAGGCTGACGGATCAGCAGCGTCTGGAGCTGAGACGGCAGGAAGTTAGACAACATCAGGAAGAGCGGCAACGTTATGTACAGCAGAGAAAAGAAGAGCGGAAGAAGCTAGAGGCAGAGGAATTGCTTTTGGAGATTGAGGCAGATGAGTTGCAAAAAGAATTGGACATGTTACAACAACAGCAGCAACAATTACAACAGCAGAACGAAGGGCACAGCCCATCCCAAGAGCAAAACAATGGCGCCACAGGGCCGTTCAGGATTGCCAGGAAGCCGACTCTGCGGGAGTCCAGCACCATTTACAATGCCTATGCTGGCAGAAGTCAGGGACAGGGACAGGAGGACTACCAAGCTTATGCGCCAGGCCAAGCTCCGCAGACGAGCGCGCAGCCATTGCCGGCGCGGATAATGAGCCCAGCGTTGCAGCGAGAGGCATCTCTGAATATGAGCATGAGGCCGGCCGCTGCGTCCAAAGCACCGGTAGATTCTAGGCCTGGAGTCGTCAAGTATCCTTCTGTCCTTCGACCTGCGCGTGGAAAACCGGGACAGTCCCCAGAGAGAAAAGATGCCTTGAAGGGATCAGAGCAAGGCTCCGGTGCCAGTTCAAGTACGGAGGCTGCTGGGAAAGAGGCTCGATTGTCCGGTTATAATCTGATTCAACATGGCCAACACCCGCCTTCTATGACCCCAACACCCGCTCCAGTTCCAGTTCCAGCCCCGGCTCCTGCTGCTGTCCAGCAAAACCCACCGCAGCAACCTCCAATCGCAACTGCTCAGCCTCCGGCCCCTATACAAAGGCCATTTACGACGGCTCCAAATATGCCACAGTCTAATGTACAGATAGCTCAGCAATACGCTGTGCCTCCTATACCGCCCAAGGTCGCAGCCCAGCTCCCCTATCCAACAGGATCAGTTAGGATGCCGCAGCCACCGCTTATTCGCCAGTCTACAGCGCCATATCCGCAAGACGATGGACCACCAGTGATAGCTCCGTATGGCCCGCTCCAGAGCCGCCAGCCAATGCGACCGGCAAGCGCCATGCCCGTTCTTCAAAACCAGCGACGGGGACCAGCTCCAGGTCAGCCGCAACAGATGCCAATCAGGACAGGCCCTCCGCCTCCTGGAGCAGTGATAGTACCGGCCGGAATGGCACCACGCTCGGCTATAGCTGGACCAGCACAGCAACTCCCACAACAGCGTCGACAGTCATTTCAGCCAGTACAAAATGCCGCCCCAGTGCAAAGCCAACAGCCAACAAGGCCACAGAGCGTCGTTAACCCGGGTGTGTATGCTAATTTTGCGAGCTATCAAACTCCGCCCCCACAGCAGCGGCCTATTCAGCGTCGGCCTACCCAAGAAGATGTATCCCCTATACGATCTCGATCACAAAGCATGTCATCTGGAGCTGCTCCCTTGGATACGCCTTCGCCGATTGACTCCCGAAGAAGCTCTACAAATTCAATCGCACCTCAAAACATCAATAATTCTTATTTTGCATCCGTATCTGGCTCTCAAGGCTCAGCTTCAGTTCCTCCTTCGAGTGTGCCTTTGGCGAGACCTCCTCCAGATCTGCCGCAGTCTCCCGTGGCCCAAGGTGGCGGTAGACAGTCAGCGCCGCCACAACAGCTAGCGAATGTGAATCAGGGGAATATGCAAGGGATGTTACCTCCTCAGCCTCAGTCTCAGATGCAGCAACCTAACCCAGAAAATGTCTCTGGTGGAGTACAAAGATCTCAGTCCCTCCGTCAAGTAAGAACAAATACCGGACCCACCCCTGATACGTCGGGCCAGAACCTACCGCCGCAGTCTCCTACACGCATTGGGCCCACGGCTTCTGGACACCTCTTGACCAGTATTGAGGAGCATGATGAGGCTCAACATGCAGCGGCGGCAATGGCCCCGTTGAAGGTGAACCAACGCAAGGTTCTTACAAAGGCACCTCCTAATCCAACACCCGGGCCCCAACAGGTTCCGGTCCCAGCGCCTCTGCAGACTCAGGCGCAGATACCTCAACAAACGACTGCTGTCCAAATCCAAGGCGTACCGCCGCAGCAGGTCATGGGACCTCCCGGCCAAAGCCCGGCTCCAGTGATGCCTATGCAAGGATTTCAACCAGTTGGCCCCCCTATGCAGCAGCCACCACAGCAATATCAGATGCAGCAGCCATTGCAGCAGCAGCAATGGACTGCTCAGCCTCTTCCTAATATGCCATTGGCCGCACAGCCCGGTTCTTTGCCACCGCTACAAACGCCTCAACAGACGTCACCTACAGCTGGTAACAAAGAAAATAGAAAATCATGGGGAAAGTGGTTCAAGAGCAGCGGCTCCAAATCGGCAGTCCAGAGCCCAGTAGGTCAACAGCCGCAGCATACTTTTCCTCCAGTGCCTATTCCACAAGCAATGCCTGGACCAAACCAGCCGTTTCAGATGCAGCCTGTTGGCCAGCAATTCCCTGTGAGTTTCCAGGGTGGACAGCCAATGGGTCAGCAACCACTGCAGTTCCAACAACCTATGCCTCATCCAGAGACCGTTCATCAACAGTTTAGACCGGCACCACTCAACGCCAATACAAACAGCCCGGCGGGTGGAGAGCAGTTTCCTAACGGCATGACGCCTGCTCCGCTCTTCTCAGGGGCATCGTCTTCGAAACGGCCTGTGGCGAGTCCGACGGAGGCTGCGCAGCAGGGGACTCAGAATAGATGGGCGGGCAAGTCTCCAGTGGATTATTCTGGAGGAGGTTGGGGGGATGAAGATGATGAGTTTTCGTGATGTTTGTGTCGAGAAACAGAGGAGATGAGATGAGATGAGAGGTATACCCAATTGCTTTTATTTTGAGTATGTAGGCAGGAGTGCTTGGATATTGAGAGCTATATTTTGCATAGCGGATTATTAGACATTAATACAATGAAGCGGATCTTTGACAGCAACACAACCCCATTTTGTCACCAATATTCAACGAATCATCTACTATGATACTTGACATCGATACTTCTTGAGCACAGGTTCGGTCTTAATAGAGTAGTTAAAGCGAGTTAGGCGCACGTGATAGCGCGTTGTTCCAGGCAGCAAAGAGTCAAGATACCAAGCGCGAAGCCACTTATACTACGTTCCTCGCCAAGTGCCCCGCTAGCCCTTCTTCACCGAACTCGAGCCTCCCAATTAGTTTCCCTCTTGTCAAACTCTCAAACAAAAACAACTGGAAAAATGCCCTCGTAATGACACGACCACGGCCGCTCATGCGAGCCAAGCAATTGGCGCTGGACGACGGCCCCGAGTCGCAAGACAGCCAGGCGATTCTCGACGCTCTCAAGGCTGAGTTCGGTGCTGCAGTGGTACGTACCCCGGCTGGCCAGGGTCCATGACATGCATTTCGCGCTGACCAACCAGCTTCACGGGCCCCTTGAATCGCCGCCACAGCCCGGGACACAGAGCGAGGATGTGGATGTGAACGCGGGAAGAGGCGCCGCAGAAGAGCGTGAAGAGCGGCACACCGACAACGGAGCCGAGGCTGGCGATTTGGACATTTCAAGCTCGGCGAGACGAAGCGCACGCTGGCTAGAAAACAGCTTCAAGGTTGGTATTAACTACCATGTCCTCTGCTTTGCTGCTGCGGCGCTATGGAGAGCGACACGCGAAAGCTGACTGAATTGGAAAAAAAAAAGAAGCAATCCATTGATACGCCACACCGCAGTGATGCGAGTAATCCTGCAGCCGAAATTCACAGAGTGGGACGCGAAGCACCCCAGACTCACCAACCACCAGCACGGCCAAGGCTCAGCGAACAGGACCTGGATGATGCCGTCGTAGCTGAGAGCAGCCCGTTCGGCCGAAACGCACGTTCCTCATCCTCTCCACGCAATCGCGACAACACGAATCAGAGCCACAGCGACAACACCCCTACCATGCCAATTGGCGCTGGTAGGTCGCAAATGGGGGGAGCCATGGACATCTCACAGCAGACGCCCACGCAGGTCAATGTGGAACGAGACTATGACCGATTCTACCAACCGGTAGAGTCCAGCTCTCTACCCGACACGCTGCATGTTGATGACACCGGCGCAGTCAACTTTGGGAACTTGAGCCCTGGTGCCCGTCCGTCATCTCAAGTCTCTGAAGATGCAGGCTTCGAAAATACTCGTGGCGAGTGGAGGGCGCCAGATGCGACCTCGCAGCACCGGCCAAGTAGTGGTTATACTCCCTTCAAGCCCGCCGGCCTTCCTCCAGAAACGCCGGTACCGCCTAAGAATCCCTTTGCTATTCAGAACGATGCGAATGGTGGTGTTCCTTTTGCAGGCACACAGCTCTTTGAGCAAACGCCCATGGTAACCTCCGCCATTAAACTCCATAGTCCCACATCGTCCCGACCGTCGCCGGCCATGTTGCTCGACACAATTTCGCTGAATGTTATGGGGACATCTCCTCTGAAAGCACGCGCAAATGTCTCTTCACCGACTGTTGCACATACATCAAGCCCTAGCCGCGCAAACAACATTCCGACGAGCACACACAAGCCCAAAGTGTCCCCAATCCAAGAAGAGGCCTTAGATGAGGGTAGAGAACATCGAGATGACATGATACCAGAATCACCGACTATTCAGCCATCGAAACGACACGGAAACCGACAGCCTCTAGCACACTATGAGCCGATGAAGAAATCTCAAGATCGTAAAGCAGTAGTGGACATGCCACAACTGCAATTGGGTATTGATAGCGATTCGGACGATGCAATCATAAGGATGAGACGTAAGAAAAGGATGAATAAAATAAGACTACAGACAGCGGAGGAGATGGAGAAGGTGATGGTGCAGATACCTCCACAGCGAGATGCGGGCGAAAGTCGGAACCGAAAACGAAGAAGGCTATCTTCAAGCATTGATGAAGGAACGCTTCCAAGTCATCACAATCAAAGTCCAGAAAGAATGGAGCTTGCCAGTCCAGATGGCGGATTGCGCAGTTCTCAGAAAGGATCAAGTTTGCCGGGGCAGATTTTGTTAGCTGAATCGACAAAGGCAACGCCCCGAGACGATGCGGCTGCGCCATCAAAGCATAGTAGCAAAGGAGCCTCGAATACTAAACCGGGGAGAAGCAAATATGACGCTTCTGAGGAAATGATTCCTGCTACTAGTCCTGTCAGATCCTTCCCAGCGGGAGCTCGGCGCGATGTGCCGGTAGCCTCTGAGCCTGAGCCGGAGCTTCCAGTATTAGCTAAGGATGGATCTGCAGAAAACGAGGCCGAAGATGATATTCAGACATCTTCACTCCCTCCACCACGTCGACATGCGCAGAGATTATATGGAAGTCGAGCACAAAGCAGTCGCCGAAGCAGGATTATTACTTCTTCAGAGACGAATGAGAGAACGTCGGTCGAACCGGATGTTCAGGCACATAAGAGAGCCTTGCCGAGTTCCAGTAATGCAACTATTGTTCCTGCCAGGACTGGGACAGCAGAAACAGAAAATATTGAACCTAGGGTGTCAAAGACGGACTCTGCAGCTGCAATACCAACAGCAATTCGAACTTTGAGACGCGACAACAAAATGCCGCTCACACCGGTACGGCCCCGTAGAGCTGATCGAAAGAATCACACATCATCTAGCTTAACAACTTCATCAACGCCCGCGGCCTCGGACAAAACTACGCCAGATACACCATCTTCCCCCGTATCTGACCAGCCGGAACTCAAGGCTGCTACGTCGTCTTCTCCTGCGCAGGGTCGAAAGATGAGATCTAGAAAATCGGAAAGGACATCATCAAAGGACAAGCCTCCACAGCAAGCTTCCAAAGCTTTAAGAACAAGTATCCGGTCTCTTCTACACGAGCCGAGTTCTACAGATGAGCTGCAACAGTCGCCGTCTAGCAGTGTTCTTGAGTCAGGGGTTTCCTCACTGAGGTCGAGTAGAATCTTCAAACAAAGCGTTGGATCCACTTTCCGTGGACGAAGATTATTTGAGGGCATGGCCTTTGCAATATCCATGTCACCTGACAAAAAGAATGAAAAGACCCGTGCTAATATAGAGGCAAAGATCAAGCAAGCCGGTGGTGTAATTCTGGAATCAGGATTTGAAGAATTATTTGAGCCCACTACGGTAATGAGCACCTATAACGTACCAAGTACGGATGATGGAGAACCTCTTAGCTTATCCAGCTCTTATCTAAACTATGGATTCACCGCCCTGATTGCAGACACACATTCCCGCAAAGTCAAATACATGCAGGCATTGGCTCTAGGACTGCCTTGTCTAGCATACCAGTGGATAGTAACATGTCTCAACAAAGGAGTTCTGATTGATTGGGAGCCCTATCTCCTTGCAGCAGGATCATCTGCCATCCTAGGTAATGCAGTAAGGTCGAGATGCTTACGCCCATACGATGCTGAAGTTGCAAGGCTTGTAGAAATGATTGACAAGCGGCCAAAGCTACTTGCGGCCGAAAAGTTGCTCGCTGTCGTGGATGACAAAAGGGCTCGAAATGAAGGGAAAAGGAAAAAGAACGACTTGGAGAAGCAGCCATATCTGTTTCTCGCTCAGGCACTGGGGCCTTCAATTTCTTGGGTTTCGACGATACAGCAGGCTCGCGAAATGCTAGAGGCACAAGGCAAGGCGGGTGAGCCATTTACCTGGATATATATGGATGAATCTATAGGCTCTGTTGAATCAGTGCTTGCGAAGCCGGAATTAGCCGGCAAGAAACGGAGAAGATCCCAAGGATTACCAGCAGCGAAAAATGTTCGTGTGCTGTGTGATGAGCTCATGATTCAAAGTCTCATCCTTGGAAGGATAGTGGAAGAAGATGAAATGTATGACGCGGGGTTGAAAGGTTGAGCAGTTATATCCTATAACTTGGCGTTTTTGGATTATGGAAAAAGGATATTTATTTTACGGTATTGGATGCGGTAATGTATAGCACGGAAAAGTGCGCTTCAAGATGGTACTGGAAAGACTTGGTCTAAAAGCAGGGAGTTGGTTTAAAAGACTCAATGAGGCTCTTTGTCTAGCTGTGTTTGTGGTGTTGAATTGAATACGAATTGGTTTATTGTTGGTGGAAGGCTACGTTGATCCTTATTGGACTAATCGCTTGGCTTGCTTGAAGAGAGCCCAGGATATGGATTACAACTGCTATTTAACGCTAATTCATCTTAGCTGACAAGTCGCTTTCTTCTTGTTGTGAACCAATCACTTCCACTTGATGCAATCCATGTCCTGGTATAAGTCGTATGACTACAACGTCAACAATATGTGTTTACTCATATTCTGTCAAGCTCTTAGCAAGCATTCTATAATTAGCCACTACTACTCCGTACTACTACTAGCAATATCATAAACGATGGAATATGCGGAGTTGATGACTAGACTATGCATAATTTTAGCCTAGCTCTTGAATTTCACTCGTTTATTCGTTCCTTGGCAAGGGCTTTTTATATATACGGTTGTGCGCCCATTTGGCGATCTTCATGCAGAGGCCGGAGTGCCTATGTATGCATGTCAGACTTCTAAACTGCGGCCGCCCCCCCGGTTCATGTTGCGGCGCTAAGGAGGTAGTGATGGCAGTGTTTGTGGTAGCCAGGTCCTGCAAACTGACTTGGTTGTAAACTAATAACAGTTGATATATATATATAGGACTATGTAGTTGTGGAAATAGTTGCTTTGCTCGGCTGAGATAATTAGCCAAATCCCTTCTTTTGCTTTTGAATACGTTATTATATATATATATATATATATATTGTTGTCTGAAGAGTTGAAGAATATAATGGTAGAATTAGACTCAATCCCATCGTCCACCCTCTGCGATGTCTGCGCCGGCATCTTCAAAGGCAACTGGCGGCCCCAGCTCAGCGGCTGGAAAAGAGAAATCAAGACTCCCGGCGCACCGCCAGACCCATTGCACCCAGAACCAGCTTTCGGGACGGCATACGACCACGGGATGGAGCCGTACATCAACCGCAACGCCGCCCCGCCGACGCTCTCGTATCCGCACCACTCGGTCGAGGACCTGCGCAAGTCGGGCGCGTCGTGCGCGCTGTGCAAGACGGTGGTGCTGGCGTTTGATGCGCTCCATCCGCGGGACAACAGTCGTATTGATTACATGGAAGGGCGGAAGCCGTATGGCGTAGCGGCGTGGAGCGGGGAGGAGGTTGCAAAGGCGAAGGGCTATGTGTTTATATATACCGAGAAGGATAAGACGAGCCGGCTTGTTTTTAGGTATCATGTGTATGAGGACTGGGCGGCGAATAGGAATATGGATGTGAATCCAAAGGTGGGAGAGCGGGAGGGGAATGTGAAGGATGTGACGCTGGATATGCATAGTGAGTTTCTTCTTTCTTTTAAAGCAGAGAGATGCTTCTTCACTTTGGACGTAGACGACTTTTGTTCTTTTGCTGACAGTGAGCAATGCAGATCTGTCTAATACGGAGAACAAGCATTACATAGATTGGATGGATTTGGGCAGCACCTTGGAACGGGTCACCAAGTTCCTCGACGAGACGAGCGACTTTGCCAACATCCTCCCAAAGAGTCTTGTGAGAGAGCTCCCGACAAGACTTCTTCACTTGACAAACGATTCGCCTGAGCCAATGGCGCGGCTGATCGATGGAGCCAACACATCGCTAGACGTTAATACCCCGTATATCGCCCTTTCTCATAGCTGGGGCAACTCCATGCCTATTCAGCTAATCGCCTCAAGGCTGTCCGAGTTTACCAATGGGATTGCGTTCAAGGACTTGCCCGCCACGTTTCGCGAGTCCGCGGAATTGGCCCTGGAACTGGGTGTCAAATACCTCTGGATCGATTCCCTATGCATCATACAAGACTCTCCATCCGACTGGCTCCATGAAGCACAGCGTATGGCTTCCGTATATGCCTTTTCTCATCTCACAATTGCAGCCTCGGCTTCCAAGAACCCCACGACGGGGCTATCGCCGAGCCCTCGGCCTCGCACCGTCATCGTCCGCCCGTCCTGGACGGGCTTCATCCAGGAATGGGGCTTACAGCCCGGCCAGACGCTCCGCATCACCAACCCGTGGTATGAAGAATTCAAAAATGCCATTGTTTCGGCTCCTCTGAATCGCCGTGGGTGGACGTATCAGGAATACGCGCTGGCTCCTCGTGTGCTGCACTGCACGGACGGCGAATGGTGGTGGAATGGCATCACTGATGGCATTAATCGTGAGACTTCCAACGAGCAGATCATGTGGTACAGTGGCCCTGGAAGTATCATCTGGCCAGATAAAGTTTCATTTTTCAATAAAGAGAGGCGGCGATTGACCCACACCCCAGACATCTATGTCTGGGACTATCTCACATCCCAATACAACCAACGCGCTCTTACGAAACGCAAAGACAAGCTTGTTGCGTTTGGAGCAGTGGCTCAGTTATACGGCCAGGTAAACAACCTGCCTGTGGATAAACCTGGCGAATATGTCGCCGGTGCATGGCGAAGCTACCTACCATTTGGACTTCATTGGAGTATAGGGGAAAATGCCGAACGCCACGTGAGCACGCCGGGGTCCGAAGATGCAGCATATGTGATTCCGTCATGGTCGTGGGCGTCTATAGACGGATTGGTCCGTTATCACGACGGCAAGTCGCTCAAGGAGACGCGAGAGGAGCAAGTCAAGGGCATGCCGCGACTGGTGGACGCGAGCGTAGTAACAGAAGGCGGGCCGTTCGGTCCAGTCAAGAGCGGCTACATCATACTGCATGGGCCAATCTTTCGGGTTCGCGTAGCCAAGAAACTCAACGACCACAAGCAACATGCATTTTACCGCGACTTCAAGGTCCTGCGAAGCGACGGTTCGGAAGCGTGGGAGCATAGAGGACAGGCCTTCTCGCTTGACTCGTGGAAAGGCAAGCTAGACGAATGGGTTGACGACCGGGAGATGTATTTCATGATTGCCGATTGTGAGGAAGAGGACAAATATGGGTCTGGATTTGCCATTTTGTTAGAACGTGCCAAAGACGTGGCAAATGAGAAGGGGGTGTACCGGCGCATTGGGTCAACTCTGTTTTATTTTGATGGTGTCCAGAAGCTTATGAATGCTGTGAGGGAAAATGGTGCCGAGGCATTAAGAGATGGGGAATACATTGATGTCGACCCCAAGACCGGCTTTTGCACATACAAAATCATCTAAGCATATTGAAAGTGGCCCCCCTTTTCTCCGACCGAGGACGGCTGCCGGATTGCTATTTTATATGCTAGATTTTTTGTGTAGCATATATGACTGATCTCGTAACTCCACAAACATGTCGTCACATGTCATGACTTCTTTATTAAATCTATCTGCCGTGACGCACGGGTGTAGGAGACAGCCTCATGGACAGGACGGTGACATCGTGTATCTGGATCATCGGTGGAGCACGGTATTAGCGCTTCTACCCACTCGATAAAAGGTTGCGAAGAATCAGGTCAGAGATTCCGATGCTATATACTTGGAATATGAAGAAAATCTGGGGTAAGTGAACAATTTAGCATTTTAGCGTAGGATTGCTTAGTTCGGCAGAGCATTGGAGCGATCGACGTTGTTCGTTCAGACGCTATTTTCGGTAATCGAAATCAATCGAGGCTGAGCAGCAGATCGAGGCTGAGCAGCAAGTTTGACACATCGGGCTAGCTTGGCACGACAATTGCGCTTTGGTGAGCGTGTAAGCGAAGAAAGAAGCAAGTATTTTCTATCTTCTATCAAGAGCACTCATCGGGCATAGAAAACAGCTTGATAGGACGGTAGACTTGCTGGGTAGCTTGTTTCAAATCGCGCTTAGACTATCATGGCGCAAGTGAGGCGGTAGATTCGGGTAGAAAATCAGACAAGTCCTAGAGCTTTTTGGACATATTGTTGAGGGAATATAATATAATCCATTACGTCCCAGTCAAACCGGGCTCTCATAGAGACAAAAAAAAAATGTCACCAGGTATATAAATAAACGGAAGAAGTCATCACTATCAAGAGTCGGGGAACTTGCCGATACTCAATGCTGCTCTCTGATCCTCTCCACAATTGTTTGTTGTAGGGCTCCTCCGTGTTAATAAGACGCTGAGGTAACTGAATTTAGAGACCTACCTCGGTAGACCAGGTGAATAACAAAGCAGTCAACATGTCATCAGCATCGTCATTCTATCACGACATAATGGCAGCGAGGTAATGGTTGTTGCAATTGCCACCCGGTAGCCATTACCGTCTGGCTAGTAGTAACTGTGACGACAGCTTCCGAGGAAGAAACGGACACCATCGGAGCCTGAGCACGTGCTCGCTTCATTCGTCGGTAGTTGAGAAAAGTTCGTTGTGGGAACCCACGGGCTTCGGAACTCGACGGGCGCCGATGGATGGGTTTGTTGTCCGACTATCACTTCTCCTTTATCACACAGCACTCTACACTAAGGTGCGGACGTTGAGTAATATCAATTTCCGAGCAATCCGGATAGCTAGGAGTTCGCGCAGAGCCAGCTTACCGAGACCTATATGTTTGCCAGCAGTATTATGATTGTGCATACAGGAAGAGCCTTCTCTTTGGGATTTTGACTCTCTCGGCTCCTATCCAAGGGAGGATTATATTCCACCCTTTGGGATACGCTGCTTGCTCCGAGCTCGTAATGGTTACATGCCATCGTGGGGATCTGCAGGCTTGGAGTGGAAAATAACACTGTTCCTATTTAAATACACTTCCAGTTTGCTCCATGCTGATGTTGGAAACGGAACGTTTAACGAGTCGGTTCATGGCGCTAGAACAAGTAGAGCCCACATTGTTTTGCGGCCGTAGGACTACATATGCTCAAAAGAGTTCGGCACTTAAGTTTATACAGTGTGAGTTTGAGTGCAGGCTAAATGCGAATGAAATGTTTATTCGGGGTTGTTAGTGTGTGCTCTCTTGGCCGCTAACAGCAATTGTCTCTCGCGTGCTGACCCAACCTTTAACCCTAATTGGATTCTTGACAAAGAAGAGGCGGCTGGAAGGACGTTATAAAGTTGGCAAATTTAAAAAAAAAAAAAAAAAAAAGCCGTGGTGCGAAGCTTTATGATGTGAGCAACCGTCTCTCTATTCACACGCAAGGCACGCGACACCACTTACATCATAAGCGCCGGTCCTCTTTGGCGACACCCCATACCACCCCCCTTTGGCGCAAACAACGGACCAGACGAGTCCGAGATGTGGAGCTGAGCACGCGACAGCTGCTGAGAGACGGGGCAAGTAGGCTCGAGCTTTATCGCCGTGGCACGAGTTGGTGAGCCATTGGCTACAGCACTAGGCAGTTGCTTGTTTAGCAATATCTCGAATCCCACAATTGGCAGCAGTTAGACCCTTGCCTATCTGCCCTACTTCCACCATCTTCTTTGATGTTATGTTTCGGTGACGCGGCGCGGGGTCTATCCGAGTAATCATAAAAAGGCCGTCTGCGTGTAGTGGCATTGTCTATGCTCTCTATAAAATAAGGACACTGGTAACACTGGTACAAATATTGTCCGGCCCTGGCCAATGCCGAGAGCCCAGATGGCTCTTGATGTGGTAATCATACCGATGTTTCGGGTACCGTACCGTGCTAGTAATCCTAAGCTCCGTACTTTAGCTCTTCGTATATAGATGCAGGGCTCGTATGCGCCGCCCGCCCATCACTCTATACTATGGGCCTCAGGTATCAGTACAAACGGGAAAAGATTCAAAAGATTTTTTTTTCCAATCTGGGTCTCGGGTGGGCGCTAAAGCCCTGAATCTTTGTGGGTTGCGTTTCTGCTATCTTATTTACCATGCTTGCTTGCCATGCTTCTTTGCCATGCTTGTTGAAGAGGTTGCGTATTGACGGATACAGCGGCAAGATCCTTTTCTGCGAGCAGTACTAGTATTAAGAAAGAGATAAAAGAAGAGAGAATTTCTATTTGCTGACAATATCAGCGACAATATCATCGGAACTTTGTGCCGGCTAGAAAGGTTGCCAAGATTTTCAAGGGGGGTGGCCAAATCCTCCACACCCGCGTCAACCTCCATGGACATCCATGACGCTTTACCAACTGGGCGGCCTCACTGGTCGTCTGCTTTGGTTGCCTTCACATCGACCCTCCTTCCGTGCTTGGGCCAGTGTGGCTTCGGAGCCGAGGCGTTGTCTCCAGAAGAGAAGTAGGGTAGGTACTTGCACGGAATGTAAGGCCAGAGTACTCCGTGCCTTGTTCTAGACTCCTAGGTACGGTGAATAATGGGCATTAGAGTATTGCCGATGCTGGTAGACAAATAAATTCGTGGCCGCGGGGACTCTTTGAAGTCTTGCGGTTCGCGTACCTGGGCGTGCTCGCGTGGCCCGGTATCCGTAGCCCTCCGCATTCCTGCATAGTTTGACAAGTGCCCGTTACATATTTATCGCCTTCGGGCTGCTTAGAAAGCCTCTCCGTTTGCCTTGCTCACATCATAGCCTTGTTGTCTTTCTATCCAATTCCTTTCGCCCCGAGTGTCATCATCGGGCGTGTTCTTTATGTCTCAGTCGTCTCTTTAGACCTCATAAAGTCATTGATGGTTCTCGTTTGTTAAATGTATTTGCCACAAGTTGACAATAATTATAACATTTGTGCCCAAATTACGATGACTGTTGGCGCGTTCTTGGAACCGCTCGTGGTTGTAACGCTTCTGTTTGGCGGTGCCTGGTTTAACAGAAACAAGGACTACAACTTTTGGGAGGGCACCCAAGGCTGGGGTGGCCACAAACGACGGGATGATGTTGAAATAAAACCCAACTCAACAGATGTTCCCTCTCCTAGGAGTCCAACTTGGAGTCCGGGTTCTTCTTCGCCAACACTCTCTGCCGATGACGAATCAGTCTGGTCTCTTACGTCGCGACGGCGCAAGATTCAATTCTTTGGGCACAACAAGATCGTGACAACTCCGAACACTCTTGTGTTTAAAGATCGATTTTTGAGTCGAGTCCTCCAGAAATTCCCGTTCCTGGTTGAAGCATGGTATTGGGCTCTGATATACTGGGTAGGTTGAGCAAGTTTGGTCTGCACTAGATTCGATTTGATGGTGATAATTGTGCCGTGTTGCTTTGTTAATCGCGAGGCTAATATCTTATTGACTTGTTTCAGGTATATCAATTAGGTCGAGCTTTTACCGCTGTTACCATTGTGCAAGGCACCGTCCACGTCGCTCGAAAGCATGCTCTCAAGCTGATTCATCTGGAGCAACGACTCGGTATCTTTTGGGAAGTGTCCTTTCAGCAATGGTTTTTGAAACACCCAATTCTGCTGCACTGGATCAACCGTGTATATTCCTTTATCCATATTCCTGGCACGATCTTTTTCTTGGTAGCTTTGTTTTACCTTACTACCAGTCGAAAGCGTCAAGCAAGGACTGGCCACGTACGAAACGACTTTGTCTCGGCTGGCCCTGCATTATACGAAGCCAGACGCCGGACGATGGCTATGTGCAACTTGATTGCCTTTGTTGTGTTCACTCTGTGGCCGTGCATGCCCCCTCGACTGTTGAGTGATCCAACCTATAATGGGGCCGATGCTGTAGAGGCGAAGAGTTTCGGCTTTGTTGACACTGTACACAGCAATGCTGGCGAGAGCAGTGTCTGGACAACAAACAAGTTTTGCAACCAATATGGTGAGTTGAACAATGCACTCTCCTGGAAATCCTCTGCCAGTCCTCTAACTTTGTTCTTCCTTATAGCTGCCATGCCATCTCTGCATTTCGGCTATTCGCTCCTTATCGGGTTGACCATCGCAACTATCCCCATCAATGGAGTCCGACCCAATTCATGGAAGCGGGCTGCCATTTCTGTTCTCGGCCTGTCGTACCCAGCATTGATCTTCACAGCCATCGTGGCGACTGCGAATCATTTCATCTTGGATGCCGTTGCTGGAGCAATTGTTTGCGGCATTGCGTGGAACGCGAACGGCCTCTTGTTGAACCTGTGTGTCCTCGAGGACCACTTCTTATGGATTGTACGGATCCACAAGCCCGTCAACTATACTGATCCAGAGACTGCTGTGGAGCCCGAATATCATTCTGTTCTTCTGTCGGAGGAGGTATAGAAGGGAGATGCCCCTGGAGCATGTCTGAAGAGAGATGTTCCTGGATCGTGGCTGGTTATTCGCCAGCGTCGAGATGTTTCTGCTTTATGGCTGGCTATTTTCTAGCGTCCGAGAAGGAAGGCGCCTGGATTTCTTGTGCAAACGCAACTAAACCGTATCGATGGATTTTTGTTAAAGCGGGTAAACGGATCTTGGCGTTCGGTATAAGGTACATGTGCTAAAGCTATCGACCGACCAGCATGAAGATGGAAGGCAGTTAACGAAAGAGGAGTCTGTACGATACGCAATAGTATGTTCATAACGACTGGCTGAGGAGATGGACGCAAACGGGCATATATACGCATGATGTATGCAGCACACGACATACACGGGGTATTTATAATGTTAAATGTCTTTTGTTTCCTTTTTATACAACAAAGCAGCTCGGCCGCGCGACCCAAATCCCCACAAATGAGAGAGACAAGCAGGCCAGGACCTGCATCAGACCGTCCAGTGCTTATTAGTAGTCACCCTAATAGGCACTATTGTGCGGTATGCGGACAGGGCGTTTGCAGCCTCGGGCCCTTTGCAATTGTACAACAGGTAAATACAAGTATCTACCAGTAGTGGCTGAGGATGAAGAAGCCGTGACGTGACGTGCAAAAAGCGCCCCCAATATGCGCAAAGCTGGTGTTGCGTATGGCAGTACGTAGGCATCGTCTAGGTGAGGACAATAACGGTTAGGCCTGTGGCGCAGATTCGTTGAGACGCTGTACACACAAGTAGTTTGCGGCAGCCAGGCAACGAGAGCAGTACCCGCTACCCGTCTGCGCTGCCAGAAGGTGCTAGACCCGCTGGTAGCTGTACCCGGGCGAAGCCCCTCTGCAACACGACCTTGTCGTGGCGGGGCACATGCGCTTCCGCGTCTTGGAGTCGTCATTCAGCCACTCTGAGGCAGCTCACATGCAACTCAAGTCCGGAAACGAGTTTTCGTTTTCTTTGGACAACGCCACTCGACGATGCTGCGACAAACTTGCATCTTTTAGACACATTTTGTCTCGCATTCTTTCATTCTTTTTCCCCCTTTAACTTGCTATTCGGCTCCTCACGGACGGCGAGCACTGCGTGTTGTCGCAAACTCAGCGGTTACGTCAACGACGATAGCGATAGAGCTACCTCCCTCGTAGGTAGAGAGTGCGCATCATGAGCTCAACACCAGCAGCCCAGGGCGACTCAGCCCGATCAACCTCGCCGGCAGGGAGCTTCTATGCTATGAGCGACGACGAAGAGGGCGGCTACAACACCATCACGCATATGGAATCCGGCAGAGGAGTCAAGCTACTGTTCTCGAAGAGCAAGGTGCGCCGCCATTCGCTTCTAACGGAAGATGGCAAATAGAGAGAGACAAAGCTAACTTGCCTTACTGATAGGTGTACGTCCACCCGACGCCGTCTGCAAAAGACAATATCTGTGGCTATATTGCTCTACTGCAGCAAAAGGGACCAAAGCGTGATCGCCCGTCTTCGTCATCATCCGCAGATGACCACGATCATGTCGCATCTTCGGATCTTCTACTTGCCTGGGTTCCCGAGGCATCACTTGGAGATTCAGCGAGCATCTATGTCAAGGTGGACCTCTCCGACGCCGACTCTCCTCCCAAACAGTCGTATCTTGTCCCTCCGCCTCCCACAGTAACCGCTCACAGCAACTCCATCGGCGGCTATGCATTTGCTATCCCCGTCAGCGCGATATACTCTCTATTAGTCCGCCCTCCTAGTCTCGGCTGGTGGTACGGCTCTGTCATCATTAATTCCAGAGGAGGTGATAGCTTTCCCGCTCTCTTTTTCCATGATGACGAGTGTCAGAGTACTATTCTTCAGAAAAAGAAGCTGGCACGAGATACGTTTGATCCCTTCGGAGAGTCCGGCCAGATGTTTTGGGGCGCAGACGAAGTTCTGCGATGGCTGAGGAGATATATCAAGATTGAGAGATCGGGAGCGGAGCCCAACATTTATCTCATTGAGCCTAGCAAGGAGGACCTGGAAAGCTTTGGCGCTAGAATGGCCACGACAAAAGCCAAAGGAAAGGCCGATGCTGGGAGCTCAAAAAATAAAGATGCTCAGATGGACCCCTTCATGAAATTTGTCAAGGAGACAGGCTGGAATCTCATGGAAAAATTCAGCAAAGTTACCACATTGACAAGGAGGGCAGCTCAAGACTTGGCAGAGAACCCTAGCCTGCCGCCTCAAGTGCGAAGGCTGCTGAGAAACCCAGAGGTTCAGACGCTCCAGGATGAATTCGACAGTGCAAGGATATATCTTGCCAGGTGGGCGATGGGCATGGCGGAACAGAGTGAGCGCGATCACAGACAGAGAATATGGACGGTTCGAGATGTCATGGAGCTTGAGGATACTGATGTCGGAGAATTCGAGCTCCTTGATGGCGTGAATTCGCTGGGGATTGAGGAAAGAAAGCAGCCGATATCAATAGAGGAGTGGGATGCATTTTTCGATCCCGAAACAGGGCGGCTGTCCATCTCGGTTGATGAGGTCAAAGAAAAGATTTTCCATGCCAGGCTGGATCCCGACGACGGAGTTCGGAAAGAAGCCTGGCTCTTTTTGCTCGGCGTATATGACTGGTATAGTACGCTAGATGAAAGGAAGGCCACGATTGCTTCACTGAGAGACCAGTATTATAAGCTCAAACAATCCTGGTGGGATCGACTGGAGGGAGAAGGAGGAGACGGAGAAACGGGCGAATGGTGGCGCGAACAGCGTGGGCGTATCGGTATGGCAAACTCCAACCTTTTCACCTTTGATATAGTCTCTGAATTCCTACTAACAACCCCTCTGCAGAGAAGGACGTTCATCGAACTGATCGAAACGTTCCCATCTTCCAAGGAGAGGACACTCCGCACCCAGATCCGAACTCACCATTTGCTGAAGTTGGCACCAATGTCCATCTCGAACAAATGAAGGAGATGCTTCTGACATATAATGAGTACAACAAGGAACTGGGATACGTCCAGGGTATGTCGGATCTCTTGGCACCGATCTATGCTGTGATTCAAGATGATGCGGTAGCTTTCTGGGCGTTCCAAATGTTCATGGAACGCATGGAGCGCAACTTTTTACTCGATCAGTCAGGCATGCGAGGCCAGCTGTTGGCCCTAGACCAGCTTGTTCATTTCATGGACCCGAAGCTATGGGATCATCTAGAAAGCACCGACAGCACCAACTTCTTTTTCTTTTTCCGCATGATACTCGTATGGTATAAGCGAGAGTTTGAGTGGTTGGATGTGCTCAAGCTTTGGGAGTGTCTGTGGACTGATTACTATAGTGCAAACTTCCATCTTTTCATTGCTCTAGCCATTTTGGAGAAGCACAGAGACGTTATTATGACTCATCTCAAAGCATTTGACGAAGTGCTCAAATATGGTAAGTTCTGGCAAACCCTCTTCATCCCAGTACTCAATAACAAGTCCATTAACGAATTTTGAAAGTGAACGAGCTATCTGGCACTATCGACCTTGAGTCAACTTTGATTCGCGCCGAGGTTCTTTTCCGACGCTTCCAGCGATTGGTTGAGGCAGTCGACAAGAAGCATAACTTCCCGGCTCCAAGGACAGAGAGCCCAGGCCAGAGCGCCTCTGCTACCAGCCCAGGTCGGAAGCCAGCTCCAAAAGGCAAAGCTAATTCTGGCTCACCAAAGCCAGAGCGTATCATTACTCCCGAGTTGAGAAAGCTGCTGAGCCGAAAAGTAGAAGTTTTGGAAAAGAAGCCCAAGGCAACTCTGAAAGCTGAGGGGTCAGCTGGCTCAAAATAAGAAGTGAGCATATAAGAGCATTTCCTTTTAACGAAGTTAGCGATGAGTATCTTTTTTTTTTTTCATTTCACCTTTTTGTCTTTTTTCTTTTTTGTAATTGGACGTGCCTCGTGCTTTTTCTTCTTCTGTTACATTTTGTTTTACATAACACACGATACGAATATAAAGAACTTTCACGGGAGCAAGGCGTTATGGTTGTTGATTTAGTGACGGTTGTTTAGTTTACTTTTACCTCCTATATAACGACGAGTTGAAAAAAAAAAAAAATTGTAAAAAAAGATTAACGTTTCAGTTGGCGTGATATTTGAATCAGTCTCTGTTTGAATTCCGTATTTCTCAACCATAGCATATCCGCATATCAAAGGATGCTATTAAAATGCAAGGATGATTTACGGCTCACATATGACTCGCAAATTTTAAAACAAGATATAAAATTAATAGGACATTAATAGGCATTATATGCTGCCAGCTATGGCTCGAAGCGACAAATTACCAACACACCGCATGACTAGCTACATATGCAAGAAGAAGAGAAAAAAAAAGGAAAATATACATCACATAACCTAGACCTATACGTTATATCATATGAATGCAAGATGAGAGAAAAAAAAAGGCACATCCCCTTTTCTCTCTCTTTTCTTCATCTGTACCCCCTTGGACCGCTGGGCAGGCCTTTTCTCCGGACTCCATTGGCGGCTCCTCCTCCTCCTCCTCCCCCTCCTCCTCCTGAATAAGGTCCGCCGTCGCTAGACCATGGGGAGTTTGCGCCTACAAAAGGCTGACCGCCGCCGCCGCCGCCGCCACCGCCTCCTCCTCGGGCATTATCGTAGGATCCTCCCGGTGCAAATCTGTCCTCGTAGCTGCCCTGAGATTGATGGCCACCGCCACCGCCTGCTGAACCTCCATTCGGTGGTGGTTGGAATGGCCCACTGCCCCCGGACGATGGGCTCGTGGTTCGTGTTCCCCAAAGTCGTTGCTTCAAACGATCCTGCGCCGAGCCAGCAGCGGGAGCCGGGCCGCCAGGGCCAGAATAGCTTCCCGAACGAGGCGCCTGCGCCCTCAGTATTTCGTCCCGCGAGGAACCCCCGGGTTGCGTCGTCGCCGGCCTGCCCGCCCGCAAGCTCTGCGGCACCTGCGGCTGCTGCTGCTGCTGCGCAGGCCCATTGTCCCAGAGGCTGCTGAGCCCGCCGCCGCCGGCCTGCTGCGATCCGCCGAGCCCGCCGTACCGCGATCCAACCTGCGGCTGGGCATACACGGCCTGCGTCATCTGCGGAGGCGGTGCCTTGGGGTCAGGGGGCAGCCAGTTCGGAAAGGAGCGGCCCTTTTCGGTGTAGTAGTTGCGCAGGACGCGGCAGACGTGGGTGTCGTCCTCGGTGTCGCCATCGGTCTCGCTGGAGAGGAGGGTGGAGCGCAGGTTGGAGATTTGAGACGAGGTTTTGGTGACGAGGTTGGAGTACCAGGAACTCATGGCGAATGGGGCATTTAAGCTCGCGAGGTGTTCCGGTGGGAGCGGAGGTTGCGTATGTAGTTTCAAGGATCCTCTAGCTGCCGACTGCAAAGGATGTCTCGCTGTGCTGCAAAGCTGTGCTGGAGATTGAGTGAAGCTGAACGGTTCTCGGTCGTCTATGGTTTTCTATTTATCGTGGGATGACTTGGTGTGGCTCGGACAAAGAGGCTTAAGCTCCGGCCATCTGGCGGTGATGCTTTTTTGCCTGCAGATCCCGTCCGAAACCGTTGTTCGTCGCTCGTTTGCGGCGGTGAGGAAGTGGGTGTGGATGTGGATGTGGGAGCTCGTATTTATAGCAAGTCGTCTCTGGGAGAAAGAGAAGCAGCAGCAACAGCAACAGTGGCGGAGTGTCGTTTGTCTGGTTCCAAGCAGCAGAAAAATAACGGGCGCCGAGGTTTGTTGTGAGGAGGGAAAGGAGGTTGGCGGCTAGTGACGTGGGGTTGAAGATTGATTGCTGGGACGGAGCATCACTTGGTCTCCGGGCCTGTAACTCTATTCGTTTTCAGGCTGCTTTGGCGCTGTTGCTAGCGGGCTGTAGCGCGCTAACTCGGTGCTCTTTGTAGCTGTTTTAGGCCGTGGGGTCGCTGCTAAGACAGGGTGCGGATGCGTGCATTGGCTCTGTGCTCGGCATTTTCTTGCCATCCAACACTTGTGAAACCACCTTCAGCCGCATCAGTGAAACATGATTGTAAGCCAAGTGCATTTTATATCCATCTAGTATCTGCATAACTATTTAACATTAACATGATGCCTCATCCGTACAACAGAAAAGACCATAAGCCTCGTTTTATTCTCCGCATCCCGACGCCGTATGCCATGAAGCCCGTTCTAGTAGGACTAATAAGCTGATACAAACTTGAAAACCCAATTTTTTTTTAAGACGACTCAGTAACGCTGCCGTGCTCTTGGTTTGGCCGCCGCGCGATTCGCTCTGCATCTGCGATGATGCCCAAGTATTAATAACAAATTCCACCCACATCGAGAACTGCTTTACCAGGCCAGGTCGTTGGTCAGGGCCAGCTTCTCCTTCTCCTGCTGCTTCGGTCGCTTGTTCTTCATCTTGGTGACCTTGCCACGCTTGCGCTTGCTGCCAGCCTTTTCCGCTTCGGACTCGTCGCTGTCCTCCTCCTCCTCCTCCTCTTCGTCCTCGCTCTCCAGCCAGTCTTCAAGGTCTTCGAGCTCATCCTCGCTCTCCTCAGCGTCAGAGACGTACTCAACGGCAGCATCGGCATCCTCGTCCTCGCTTTCGGCAATTCCATCAAACTCCTCGTCGGATTCGATGCCCTTGTCCATATCCTCGTCTCGCTCACCCTCGCCGCCCTTCTCCATGGCATTCAGCACCTTCTTCCAAATATCCTCGCTGACGTTCAAGGGTTGGTCTCCGTAGGCGCCCTGTCTCAGACGCTCAAGTAGCTCTCTCTCGATTGTCCTCTCCAGCTTGGCCGCGGCCTCGGCCTTGCGTTCTCTTGTCGCCTCACGGTGCCTGACCTTGGGGGCCAGCTTAGGAACCAGCTTCTCTCCCAGTCGCTCATCTTCGGCGGCGATTCTTCGCATGCGAATCTGCACCTGCGTCAGGCGAGTGAGTCGCTGCTTGCATTTGTGAATTAAGAATTTGGGCCAGTAGATGAGCCTCTCGTCAATCTGCTCCAGAGCCTTTGTGTAGTTGTTGGACAACTTGATGCGCTCCCACATTTTGGAGGGCAGATGCGCTCGCTCGACAGTCTTCATGTAGAGGTATAGCGTATCCTTGGTCGGATGTTGCCGAATGGTGGCATATCGCGAGTTGGCGAGAGGACAAGACTGGCGATTGCACAGTCCAGTGACGTTGTGTTCATTGCGGCAGAAGTTTTGCTGCTTCTCCGTTCTGGGGGGCTAGGTTAGCATTGATCCATCCAATTGCATATTATAACCAAAGGAAATGATTTTGATTCGAAAAATTAAGAGAGAAAAAAGCCAATGGTGTAAAAGCGTGGTTATCAAGAAACCCAGCGGTTGACCAAAACTCACTTTAATTTGAAGGCGCAAAACTGCTGATTTATGATTTGCCACACAATCTCGTCGGAAGCCATCTTGTCGACCTGAGTCCCCCACAAGAGAACTTCGCACTCAAGTAATGAAAAGAAGTGAAGGGATGGAGGAAGAAGAGAAACCCAGTGTTTGATATGGGAAAGACGTGCCAGAAAAAAAAAGTTCCCTAGCGGGGCGCATCGTCTCCAGGTTCCCATAATATTTTTTCAAAGCGCCCAGTACAGCTTCTGACCGCCTTCCTAGTTGGTACCCCTGCATCCCGGTTCCGGAACAATACGCGCTCCGGCGAGATCCAGCGGCTGACCTGCGTCACTCACTGCATCAGCCGCCATCGTTCTCCATCATTTATCGTCTCAACACCAATCATCGCAACGACTCACGATCCTCTCGACGACAGCCCGCGCTTCGGTCCTCCGCGAGCTCCTCTCTTCGTTCCTCTTCTTCGCCAATTCTTTACGGCTTTTAAGCCTTTCAACATCCCCTTCGTGGGGCTGCCGTACGCCGAACCCCGAACCAATCTCCCGTCGCATTACGACGACTCGGTCCCCATAAAACAGACCCGACAGCGTCCTACACACACAACGTCATCATGCCTACCGCCGGCCTCAAGACCATTATCGCCCTGTCCTTCGTCCTCGCCGTAGGATTCCTCCTCGTCATCCTGTCCTGCGCTCTCTACAAGGTCTACTACCCGCTGCTCGTCGTCGCCACGTACGTCCTCGCGCCGCTGCCGAACTGGATCTGCGGCCGATGCGCGAATCCGGATGACTTTGTCGAGAGCGGCGGCGCTGCCGTTCTTGACGTAGGGAGATTTTTCACTGGCTTTTTCGTTGTTATGGGTATCGGTACGTTGTTGATAATTCCCATTGACTACTGATTACAAGAGCCCTGGCGAATGACAATCTTGAACTAACGTTTTATACTTTGCTCTGCAGCCCTTCCCGCCGTCCTCGCGCATTCCGATCTCATCCGAGTCGAAGCCATGATCATGTCCATCACCGGCGGCTTGTTGATTTACGGAACCATCATCAGCTTCGGCATGTTCTTCCAAGAAGAACAGGAGTTTTAAAAGAAAAGAGATGAGGGGAATCATTGACAGCCGAAGGGCCCGGGGTAGCGAGAACAAACCAGCCTGTTATAATGCGTGCACGAAGAAGAAAAAAAAACACGAAAGAATGATACAGCCTACCCAGATTAAGATGGTGCTTTCGACCTTAAGAGACTTTTTTTTTTTATCCTGTGTACCATAATTTTTCTTTGAAGGGGGTTTCGATACGAAGCATAAGCGATCTTCGAGGTTATTCCTTGCGACTTTTTTTTATTATTACTCGTGTCTTGGATTATTGGATGCACTTGAAACTAAAAATCGTCAGGTAATTTTTTTTTCTGTCTATTGAAGAGATATTTCTGTTCATCTGTTCGAAGTGAAGATTCGCTCGTGCGTCATCGCATCTATCTATATAATGTTGAACCATGCCCATGAACACCAGCTATGCATACGTTGAAGTATAGATCATCTTCCGTTCTTTAGTCCCAAAATTCCATGTTTCTCCCCATAAACCAAACCCAAACAAGAAAAAAATAAAGAAATAAAACAGAGAAAGAAATCAAATAGGAGTTGGTTCTTTATGCTGCATCTTTAAAAACGCCCAACGGCCCACAAAGCTTTGTAAACATCTCCTCCGTCTCTCCCTCGGGCGTGCTCAAAATCGTAACCGCACCCCCTGCTCCAATCCGCCAGACTTCTCTCGGCTGCGTTTCCCCTTCCCCTTCCAGGGGCGGTGCCCGTTCGTCATCCCAGCGGAACATTGTCCTGATGGTGACGCTCCAGTCGCCCTGGCCGCGAGCATCGAGGAATCCAACCACGCCCGAGTAGATGCTCCGCTCGGTGGGCTCGATGGTGTGGAGGATCTCGCAGCTGCGCTTCTTGGGCGCGCCGGTCATGCTGCCAGGGGGGAGGGCGGCGGCGAGGACGTCGAGGCCGTTGGGAACTGAATTGGTGTTCGTGTTCTTGTTGTTGTGATAAGAAGGTAGCTGGCCGTTGACGACGGTGATCATTTGGAAGACGCTAGAGTACTCTTCCACCTTGAGAAGATCCGGTACTGTGACGCGACGGGCACCACATACGCCGTAGAGGTCGTGTCGGACCAAATCCACAATCATGAGGTTTTCTGCCTCTTCTTTGGGGATGTGGAGGAGCTTCTCGGCCTGTGCCAGCGTAGATACGGCCTCGGATTTGCGGACTGTGCCTTTCATGGGTCGCATGGAGCAAAGACCCTTGGCGTCGTGGGCAAGGAATCGCTCTGGAGAGCTGCTGAGGATGGTGGCTCCGGCGAGGCGGATGAAGGAGCCAAAGGGGGCTGGCTGGCGGGCTCGAAGGGTGCGGTAAATCTGCCATGGGGTGCCGTGCCTGGATGCTTCATCGGCTGGCCATGATGAGGAGGATGCAGATACGCCGTTGGAACTGCCATTTGTTACCGCTGGCTGTTGCAAGTGGCGTGGCACGTCGTTTCCACGGGGGCGAGTCATGGTCGTTTGCGCCGTAAGACAAAGTTCATACGATTGTCCCTCGGCAATGGCACTCTGACACTGGCGGACGTCGTCGTCGTACTTGGCCGGCTTTGGGGTCTTAAAGCGCAACCTGCCCGTTGGCTCTTGGATGCTCTTCAGCAATGCCTCGTTGGGCTGCCTCTTTGCAGCAATAGATTTATACTCCTCCGATCCGTATCCCGGCTGCTGCCACGCCCGAGAAGTCTGCAACTTGGCCACCACATCGTCGATCCATGAATCGGCGGGTGTTGGCGTCAGAGCCTGAACGTAAGCCACCCCGGCTTGATGGTCGAGAACGAGACTCTTGGAGATCCAGGCAAAGCAAAGGTCTGGTCTGTGATGGCCTCTGTTCTTGGAGATCGATTCCGGGCTTAGAGAACTCAGGCCCATTTCGTATGTGACGAATCCCATGAAGCCGCCCTTGAAAGCCGGCTCTTGGCCACCCTCCTCGGCTACTTTGCGCTGCTGCCAAAACTCGGAGATGACATTCCAGACATCGTAGGCACCGTGCTCGTCGCTGCTGTCGATTTCTATCCTCTGGCACACCTCTTCCTGATCCCTGGTTCCGGGCTGGCGTAGAGTCACCCAGCTATCCCCAACATGATATTCGAACCGCAAAGCCTGATCCACCTCCAGCGCAATAATCGAGCTGCGAGCCAAGGGGTCACCGCTGATGGTGCTCGACGAATCAAGCATGATGGAATCAGCACCCCCCACGCCTAGGAATTCCGCAACGTCAGCGGCATCCACGCCGTCTGGGAGGGTGATCCGACGACAGGAGTACACGGGGGCTGATCTCGACGCAGCCAAGCCAGACTGCATATCCCTCCACCATTTCTGAGTTGCGACCCGACTTTGAGCAGCAATGCTCCGCTCGACAATCATAGACGGAGCGAAGCTGTCAGCAATATGCTCCGAATCCACCGGCAGCATCTCTCTCCCCGTTGATTCATTCCATTTGAGCGCCTGGCCGAACCAGTTCTTCAGCACTCCATGCGCCGCAGGATCCGTGCAGATCGACTCGGGATGGTACTGGACTCCCCAGAAAGGCAGCTTCGCATGCCTCACTCCCATCAGGATCCTTTCCGGCTCGGCAGCCCCGTCCTCGTACTCTTCCACCGTCCACGCCAGCGGAACAAGATCGGGCGCCCCCTTTGGCGACAGCCACATGTCCGTCTCCCACCTCTCCGGCGAGATCACATCCTGTCCCAGGTCCGCACACAGACTGTGATACAGCGTCGCCCTAAACTCGGGCACATTCGCAAAGATGTCGCCATCGCGATGCTCGATGCGCCTCACCATCCCATGCAGTCCCCGCCTCAGCTTCCTGATCCCCCCGCCAAACTGCGCAACCAGGCTCTGGAACCCCAGACAGATGCCCAGCACAGGCACGGCCTTGTCCCGGGGCAGCTCCCACAGCAGCCGAAAGGCGCCGACGTCCGCCTCGCACAGCGGCGATCCCGGCCCGGGCCCGCACACCACGGCATCGAAGCACGGCAGCCGAGCCACGAAGTCCTCCGGCGTCCAGTCCGGGCTGGGATCCGCGTGCAGCGTCTTCAAGTCCATGTGCAGCACGTGCACCAGCACATCGTCGCCCAGCGCCTCCTTGAGCAGCGAGACGATGTTGTTGGTGAAGGAGTCGTAGGCGTCCAGGAAGAGGATCCGGCGGGATCGCGAGTTCGCCACAGCTGGCGGGCTGGGCCCCGATTGCGACTCAAGGAGAGGCATGACTGTTATGAGGTGAGGAGGTATGCCGGTCTCCAACTATGTGTATGTCACCACCTCATGAAATGGAGAATTGGCAAATACAGAATGGATGAAATAAAAGTATAGTTATGAAAAAGATAAAGAAAACAAGAAAAGTCAAAATACGGAAATGCCGCGGAAAGCCGGATCGTTAAATTTTTTTTTTCTTCTCGGATATCGCGCCGACGGAGTCACCCGGGACCTATCTAGCATGTGCAACCTTGCTCGCTATTGCAGGTGTCAAAAATTAATGGAGGGGCTAACGACAGGGGCAAAAGAGGAAAAGAATTGAAAAGGAACTATTCTAGGCCTATCAACTCGGGTAACTCAGGCGTATGCTATGCCTAAACATGCCAAGTTGACTGCTCATCCAAATGGCCTGAGCTCAAGGTGGCGTTTTTTTTTTTTTTTTTTGCTATCTTAGAGGGCCAGTGTAGCGTCAAGTAGAGATAAACAACTCACCAAAGGGCCTTTGCTTCTCAACTTTACGGGCCGATCACTTTATCGAGTTGGATTCAACTAGGTTTATTGGACGTTTTCCTATCCATCTAATTTCAATTAATTCAATGTCTTATCAAAGTGACTGTATTTCAACGCTCCACGTACAATACACGTTGTCTGTTTACTTTGTTTCTAGTATAGGTAGCAGCAATCCTATTGATGGCCACGCAGACTGACTTTAGATCGAGTTATGACTCTTTATTCCCAGCACGCTCAGATATTAACTGATACAATTCGTAACACTTATAAAAATACTAAACAATGTATCAGAGATGTACACGCATATGTGCCGCAGCACCATTCATCGCTATCGCTATCATCGGCGAGGACGTAAAAAGACATCTCGGCATTAAACAGGCTCTAGCTGTACTTCGTAACTCAATCCGAATCCTTCACCGTCAATATGCACGGCTGTCGTGAATGCCACATTCTCCGCTCCTTCATACCAAGAACCGTATTCACAATCGTTTGGGTATCCGACCGCGGCCGCCCTTGGGCTTGCTCACCATCCGCTTCCTTCTCGTTGACATCATCCCAGGTCTGAACCTCTTCGACCGACGCCGTAAGCTCAAACTCCCCTCTGCAGAGCGCAGTCACGCCAATCACAAAGTCCGTGCTGCCACCAGCTGGGAGTTCTGGTAGAAGCTGCTGCAGTGTACCGTTCCACACGAATTTTCGTGTGTAATCAAGTGCGATATTGACGGAGCGGTGACACAGCGCCGGTAGGAGTCTGACCAGGGAGCTAATTGGCCGGCTTGTTCTATTGGTGACTCGCACTCGCACCTGTAGAAATTCATCCACGTACGCGACGTTAACGCTTGTCCCGCTATCATTCGGACGCTCCACAGATACATCTACACCGATCTCGCCGACCTTGATAATGTCAATCATGCGGGTAGTAAGGCGAATGTTCCGGAGCTCGGCGACGCCATTCCGCCTTGGCACTGCTGTTGTCCTCCAAGTTGCCTTTAGACTGTCGAGAATCTTTTCCCTGTACCAGAAAGCCTCGCGGTTGGCCCGCTCCATCTCCGGTGAGATTTTGCTCATGCTCACCACAAATTGCCTACTCTTTGAGGGATTAAGGCTGGGAATTGAAGCGTGGGGATCTTCAAGGTATACCCGCCTAACGGGTATTATAATTCGACTCGTCTTGCCGGGGAGGATGCCCTCTTCAACAGCCATGCCATCTTCGTTTTCAATGTGAACTGCCATTTGACTTGGCCAAGCATTTCGTAAGTCAACGGATAGCAGGCAGTATTCGTCGGGCTTTACCGGCTTGACGCCTCCTAAGCGCTCCCAGAGAGGCTGCGGGATTATGCCGTGCATGGGAATCACATCGATCCTTGCCATCTCAACACTTGCATTGACTGTGACTGTCAAGGGCAGAGATAGCTGTCGTGTGTAAAACTGCTCAGTTATCTCGTCTCGAGGGGCTCCGAGGTAAGTGTAATCGATTTGGATTGTTGCATGCGTCAGCCCCGGCTTGCCAAGAATCTCAAATTCAAATGTTGCCTCGCCTCCTGGAGCAATATTGCGGTCCTGACTAGCCTTTGGAAGTCGTAAAGCTTGCTTCTTAATAAGTATCAATTCATATTCATAAATCTCTGCTGGCGTAGCCTCCCGGTTTGCGAGAGCTGTTTGCAGAGGTTCCTGTGTTGAGTCTTTAAAGGAAAAGAGCATAAAGTCAACCGGCGTCGTGGATTGGTTTTGTAACGTGACGGAGAATATCTGCCTCTCACCCTCCAGAATCATAACTGAAGATTGTGGAAGAGTCGTCGACTTCACCGTCACCAGGGGCTGAGGCTCGATGACGTTGAGATCCAGGGTAGCAGGCTCTAGAGGCATGTCATGGTATTTGCCTGACATGAGAGGAACAGAAACCGATGCGATGCCCTTGACCTTGATTTTATCTTCTTGATAAGGCTTCCAGTGCTTAGGAAAGACGGCAAATCTTCTCTCTCTGCAGCCTCTTACTTTGATAATTGCTCCCGTTACCTTGATGGATCCTGCTTCTTTTGCCAGGCCTTGTAGCCGGACAGCCTGTGTTCGATAAGGACCGATGATGACACTCTCCGTCATGGCTTCGAAATCGACACCTTCTGTCTCTAGCTTTATACTCTCAATATCCAACTCAACGTCATATACGTTTTGGATCGTGACTTTAAATTTCGCAGGCTCACCAGCAACCAAATTTGCGGCAGCTGCGTCGTCCGGCTCTTGTAGGAATGGATTGTAGATGAACGGATTAGCATCCTGAGACGCACGAGTAGTCGTCGCGCCCGGCAAAATGCTGCGAGCGTGAGGAATAGGAATCCGGGTACTTGGGAGCGGCTCCAGCTTGATGTCTCGAACGAGGAACTCATCCCAGAATTCAGCCGTCAAATGGGACATGCCCAATCTCTTCACAAGATTCGAAGTCCGTGAAATGTTGCTTATCAAACGGACTTGCTCATCTCTGTAGATCTTTGGGGAAGCATCTTCACGACGAGGACCCGGAGCGACACCCGATCCAGCAGTGCGCATCAGGTCGCTAGAAAACTTGAGAACCCCGTTAAAGTCCGGTAGAGCTTCCGAGAAGTTGATGCAGGCTCGTAGGATGTTAAGTTTGATATCGGGAAAGCCGAAGAACCGCATCTTCATCTGGCCGCGAATTCTAGCAATCACAGCGTCATCAGAGTCGTCAAACCCTTCCCGAAGCGACTGCCTCCGGGGCTTCGCCCTATCAAATCCAATAACGCCGTAAGACTTGCAAAGGAGCTCAAGGAAAGCCTCTATGCCCTGCTCGATATCTCCTTCAGCCAAGTCAAGGGCCATTGCTCCGGTAGTGCCCTGCGGATTAGAAGCTGTCACGGCCACGAGGCCCGCAGCGGGATGAACTCCAGCGTCCGCAGCCCCTCGCGTCCGTGCTTCAACAAGCCCTCCAATGAGAACTGAAACCAATTCGCGAGTGACCATGGCTTTCTTCCGATGGTACCCCAGAGGTCCAAGCACAGCTGCTATGCCGCTCAAAATCGATATTCGATCAATGGTGGTAAGCAGTTCTGTGGCTGTAGAAGGAAACGCCTGGAATAAGAGAGTTAAAATCTGCTGTCTTGTTGGTATTATCAGCAACCGCGGTGATGTTGTGAGCTCTTTTCCCGTCCCTTTCCCCAGGACTATCATATCAAACGCTGTTTGATTAAGCTTGCCCTCACAAACATGAAGGGCCAACATTATTTTACTGAATCTAATCGTAGTCTCCGCCAACGGTAGAGGGGGGATGTTTTCCGTCGATGTCTTAGAATAAAGTCCCACGATTCGTTCGAGAAGCTCGGGAAGAAGGTTCTGAAGATATCGGACATGTCTGGGTGGATCGCCGTCCTTCTCTTCCGGCTCTGGCTTAACAGACGAGTGTTTATCATGAGGAGGAAGACACACTGTCGGAATTTGGAAGGTTAAGCCTGACCAGCCCAGCAGTAGCAAATTCATTAAGATCAGCTCCAATGCCTTTCCGTGCCAGACGTGATCATTCAAAGACTTGGCAGCAGTTGCTCCTTCGCTCAGCTCCTTCAAGGAATCGCTCCAGCGACCAGCCTGTAGGTACATTGAGCCTATAACAATGGAGGATCTGCCTTTTCCTTTAAGCCTCCAACGGTCGTTTGCTGACCCAGGACCAAATCCCTGCACAGAAACACGGTCGTGGCTCGTCTCTTCGGTGAAATCAGACCTGCTCTGTGTATCGGGAGACTCAGGCCGTTGGCTTGAAGAAGGGCTTGGAAGCTCATCCGCGCTCAGGGGTGGACTAGATAGATTGCTCTTCAGGGGTGTAGACGGGCGGCCTGGTGTTGAGACGCTTGAGCCCGGTGCTCGGTTTGTAGGAACCGGAGGCAGAGACAGTCGCGCGCCTGATCGGTCGCCCATCAAGCCTGAAGCAGAGCTGGATCGCTGAAGGTTCGGCGGAAAAGCAAACTGAGAGTTCCTCCTAGTGAAGTTGGTAGTAAAACTTGTCGGCGAAGTAGCATCCGGGCCCCATGATGTAGTGCTAAGCTGTCTAGCCAGAGAATACCCTCCTGGAGACTCAATCGCCGTCATGGCCTCGTAGGATTTCCCCAGGGTTGTCATCTCAGCCAGCAGCAAGGACGATATGTCGCACATGACCGTCTTCATTGTAGTTCTCTTCGAATCCTCGGGTGGGGGGATCGCCGCCATGCCCTCGGGGATGGGCACTTCCGTCATTGGCGAGACATAGTCGAAGATGAGTACTCGGTGTATGAGGGCTTTGGGATAGTTGTCTCGCAGGTCTTCGAGCTCCTGGTATAGGGCTCTGATGTTCTTCTCGATGGGCCGGGGGCCCTTTCCGTTCATGGAGTTTCTTTTGCTATACGTCGCATCCCCGAGTTCCTGGCCGTCGGCTATCGCGATAACGGCCATTGGCTCTCGAAACAGGTCGAAGGGGGAGAGAGCGAGATGAGAGGGTGGGGGGACGTGGGCAATGAGGTCGTAGAGCATTGCGCCGTCGGGATACGCCAATGGCGAGAACATATCTGGAGAACCTTTACATCAGTTTGTCTAGTCCCCCGAACACGGCGCGCGTAATGCACAGAGTCTATGTGGCATATATAGCTTCCCCTCCATCCCCGGCCAGCTTCCTACTTACTCCTATTGGGTCGCCCATCGGCGCTGATGTCTCTGAGTTGGACGACATGTTCAGCCTGCAGCCTCTCGGCAAAGGTCGCAAATCTGGCGGCCTTGATCTTTCCAAGAGGGAGCAGCAGTGCCTTCACCCTCGCGGGAGCAATGGGAAGCAAAGGGTCCAAGCTCATTCTAGCATCTGGAGTCGCTCAGCATCGTCCTCGGGGCCGCCTTTGTCAGAGATGCCGCGGGTTGGTCGCAATGCAGGGAGAGTTGGGTTCGCTGTTAAAAGGCGATGCGCATATTCCGGCAGAGCTCTGGGCGTTGACTGCGGCAGGGACTTGGCGGAGGTTGATATGAAGTTGCTAGACCCTCTCTCCCTAATGAGGTATGTTGGTCTTTGTGTGTCCACCGATTCCAACAGCTTGTCGCACCGTCCCACTCGTGACCTCCACTGGGGCCAGTTGGTGGAGCTTTATCGTGGGCGATAAGTGCTGGAAAGAATGACGTTGCTTGAAATATGGAGACTTTGCTTGCATATGAATAAAAGAAAAGCACATGCAGCTTTACAAATATGGTAGATTAATCTTATTATCTGCCTCATAACCGAAAGTAAAATTGTTACATTAATTTATATGCGTTTTGAAATGCCTGTTAAATGCTATAAAGTCTGTATGCATGAAGCCTGCAATAATGACTAAGCGAGACCAAAAGTGGCTAGAGACACGAGTGCAGAGGAGAGCTCTCTGCAGGTACTACATACGTCTGCCTACAAATGACTCGATTAAGTGCCTCTCAGCAGTGTTTCCTATTTACTGCATTGGTCCTGTTCTTGAGTGAATCTAATTCTCTTGAAAAATAATTCCAAGTAGCTTGCCAAACTCCTCTCCTGATTTGATCCTAGTTGCATAGAGCAAAGTAGGCTGAAGAGGGGTTGACTTGGGTATATGCTCAATATTAGTCGAAACCACTGTAACTCCAACCTTCCTTGAAATCTGAAGCTAATTCTCTTTGCTGGTTTCCTGGCTTTTGATTGCACTCCTTATACTAAGTTGCAATTATTATTATTATCATTATTATTTTATAATTTCCACGCCTAAAAAAACATTTCGCAGAGATCGCCGTAATGCACGCTCATCATCAACGCCATATACTTATAGATATAGTAATGGCCATGTCCAAATTTAGTAATCCTTGGCACGCAAATGCGTGTCCTGGATATGAGCAATTATGCGTATAGATTTGCCATGCACCCAAGTCAAATTAAAACAATTCATCATAAATTCTAGTTGACCATGGCCTCTAGACTAGTAGTTTGTAAATATAGTAGTCAGACTCGCATAATATCCAAGGTGCATATGAGGATTAAGTTAGCCTTGGTTATATAATACGCAGAAAGCAAGCAAGAGTGACTGAAATGAAATTTAAGGATTAAATGTTCACTAATTATGATAGAAGCACCTAGTCTTTCAATTTCATACACTTAAAGGCAATTGTCCCTTTATATATAAAGTTTTAGCGTAGAAAAGCCCAATGATCCATCATACTGTTATGTCAAACAGGGCAAAATACAATCGTTACGAGTGTGGCAATTATTGTGATGGAACTACTAAACTGCTTATTATAAATAGACCTCACAAAGGTCCAGGTCGTAGCAGCCAGCTAGCATTCTGCAACTAATACACCATGCATCACCTGAGCCATGATTCAAATTATGTAAAAGATTTCTACATACTCCATCGAAATAAACGAAAAGTAGGAACTCGAATGGATGGCCCTGAACAACTTTCCGAACCCCCATGAATAGACAAACCCGAAAATTTTGTATTCTTGTATTATACAACTCCAACGGAATTGGTTCGGGTATTACGGATAGATTGCGGCTAGATTGCGGCAGAGATAAAGACATGATGCTGCAATGTACATGCATATATTAAGATAAGATAAAGAAGATAAATAAAAAATCAATAAAAAGACAAAAAAATATAAACTTCCTGCCAGCTAGTCATGACAGTCTTTCAGCCGGCAATCGCAGCCATAGGTGCTAAACAAGTCATGTATTGGAGTGTACTGCCACGTTTTCTTGGAAAATCGGACTGGCGGGTATATCTAGAATCAGACCCCTCTTTCTCCATAACAAGTACTAGTAATAGTTCAAGCTTTCTTATGTCAATATTAGTACTACATGTGTAAACAGAATGTTAGCCACCAGCTAACTTCTTCGGGGGGTAAAGTAAATAATAATTAGATGTAGAGAGGTGGGAGATGTGGGATGCAACCCAACTACACAGCCCGCTTCATAATCGGACTCAGAATCGAGGTAATACAAAAGTTAAAAAAAAAAAAAAAAAAAAAATTCTCTAGTATCCGCGGCAGCAAAAGTAAAAGCTCATGAGTCATGAGACCCAAATCGCTATCCGAATCTAGCGAGGGGTGTATTATGCAGCTATGTAATATGGGGAATTTCACGCAAAACAGCCCACGTTTAAAGTTGAAAACGTGGCGAATTTTTTCTCCAAGGTCTAAATGACCAAAGCAACACCTAACCCCCCCCCCCTTTTTCCTTCCAAGCTACCAGCCTGGAGCTAAAGAAGACATACACAAAAAAGGCACGCACGGTGTAAGCTAACAACCTTTCCATCCCATCTGGGATCTTGCTAGCACAAGGGGGCTTCGATCCCATTCAAACAATCAAGATCCAATTCCATCCGAGTTCCTCTACCGATCATAGTACCTACTATGTATGTCGGGGTTATTTCGCAGATATCACGGTCTGTTCAGACGCAAGAATTATAGCATCATCTGATCCAAGCAAGTTTATGAGATGGCATGATCAAGTGAGAAGACTAAATTAAGTCTACGCAGCTAGTATATAGAGGCTCCAGAAATAGGTACTAAAGCAACAACACCAAGGAGGGCGTGATATCAGAACGAGGTGATCAAAGCAACACAAGAAAAGGGCACATTCCTAGAACGGTAGTGGAGCTCGCCATTTAGGCCCTGGTAATGGGGCGAAATTAATAAGCGCCCGCTCTACAATGTTAGGTACTGTACGGAGTACATGCGCATCAGGTACTTTGGTCCCTACTATTTCTCTCCATCCCCCCCTTTTACACCTACTATTCCTACATATAAGAAAGAAGAATGCAAGAAAGAGAAAGCAGGAAAGAGGAAAAGAGAAACGAGAATAATCATCAACTGCATAAGTTTTGAATCCTTCGTGAAAAATAGTCCTCGTGATTCCATACGCTGGCAACCATTTCGCCACACTGTTGCTGCTTCATGCTCCAGATGGCACCAGGTATGCGGAGTATTAATAAGCTCCAGGTCGCTCTTGACAGCCCTGCTGGGTGCTTATTTTCAGCCCCTCAAGCCCCTCAGCCCCTCCAACGTTAGTGATCTGCAACCGTCAAGCGAGAAGAGAGACAGCCGTGGAGACCTCGGACCGAGTTCCGGGGCTCGGTTATGGTGGCTTCCCAAGTACGTACCCGAAAGGCATCGCACTGCGAGTCCTGTTTTTCAATGGGTATCAATTTCAACAGCTCTACGTGCTGTTTTCTGAAACTAGCAATACATACTATGAAGGTAAATACTGTATGTACATATGTAGATGCTAAAGCTAGCGTGCTTCATGCCATCACTCCCAGCCAATTACCAATGACTGCTGGACCTATAGCTCCCCGCCAGCAGGGAACCTGCAGCTACCAACTCATAACAATGCATCTCATCCTAAGCTCTTTTTCAGTGGCTGCAGCTTCGGAATCGGCGTTTTACGCGGCACACAAAACGGAGATGTTCGTTCAGATCCGGATCGACATCTTTACGTGTATTTCGCATGCTTTGGTGCATCTCGACGACATGCATTGTTGTGAAATCAATGGCCCGTGTATTGTTGATTCCAGCTAATAGGCAGTGTCTATGGTTGGTTAAAAAAAGAGGTTCAAAGGCTTTTTTTTTTTTTTCTGGTCAGTACTCGATCGAAGTACCAGATCGAGTACAGCAGGTAGACCGGCGCCTGGAATCGGAAAGCAAATTTCCCAGAATCCGCATACCAAGCTTCCTCTCACGTTGCTTGGTGTTAACATTTGTCAGGTTGAGATCCGTGAAATCAGAAACCCCCTTAAAAAAAATTCCTTAGCCTAATTTGTCGCTGCTCCGTACTTTTGATAAAATTGCAAATCTCCTATTTCTCTCATCGTTTTTCCTCTTCCTGCCCTGTGAGGACAGACGGCGTGGTCGATAGTCCCGTAGCGGGTGTTTGGCTCGCACCCCGATTCCTATCGTCCCTAGCCTCTTCGGTCAATTCGCTCTCGAAGATGTCGACGGCAAGGCTCGCTTCGACAAAATCCTCCATTTCCTCCGTCACGGTCTTCAGTTTCTCCTTGACAGCAAGGGCACCTTCCGTTCCGACGATATGTCGTGATGGTGGGTTCTCGTGTCCACCAATGGCCGTCAGTGCATAAATGGTCTCGTTGACTAGCTTGTCGATGGAGGATGGTGGTAATTTGGGATAGCGGTAAAAAATCTCACCCACAGCTTCGCCCGACTCCAGTGAGAGACTGTCGGGTGACGTAGCAGACATGTCGATATCCGGATTAGCCGGTACCGCCGTGTCAGGATGCGAGTTGAGGACCGTGGTTAGCATTTCGCGGACGCTGGGGGCCTCTGCGAAGCTGCTCGCATAAGCGGGAATCTGCGGAGCAAAGGCGATACGGTTCGTGAGCGACTGGATCTCCTTGTTGGGCTGCACGATGGTGACCTTGATGTTGAACGGGGCAATCTCGTAAGCAAGGGAGTCGCAGAATCCCTCGAGCGCCCACGTTGCCGCCGTATACATGGACATGTGCGGCGTTCCGATGTGGCCGCCGGTGCTGGTGAGGACCATGATGTGGCCGGTATGCTGAGCTCTGAGCTGTGGCAACGCGGCCTTGATGAAATTGACCTGGGAAAAGAACAGGGTCTCGAACTGGTCCCTCGCCAGGCTCTGGGTGGCGAGATTCGTAGAAAGCTCCTCGACGGTCCCAACAACAGCTAAGAATAGCGGACAAATCTCGTAGTTAGCAACATGACCTATTAATTTTTTTTTTTTTTTTTTTTTCACTCCTCTCTTGACGAGACTCCCCCTCGGGATTCGGATTCAACCACGCAACTGCACAGCCGCGCGCGAATGCATGGGGGGGGGGGGGGGGTAAGTAGTGCCTGGTGTTTTTTTTTTGTTCTGTTTCTCGGCGTACCTTCAGACCTGCAGCACAGCAGGATATCAATCCTCCCAAACACCTCGACGGCCTCGGCAACCGCGGCGCCGCATCCACTCATTGTCCTCCCATCGCAGCGAATTCCGCGAATCCTGTCCTTCCAGCCCTCCCGGTCTTTCCGCCCGCTAGTGCACTCGTCGATGAGCTCACGAAACTCGGCACTTCGCTCCTCATGTTCAATCTCCAAGGGAGGAAAACAGGCAGCGACGCAGTCGCCGTGAGACAGCAACTGCCGGATCAGACGAACGGTCAGGGGCGACAGCGATGCAGTCAACAGCCACGTGCGAGGCGAGTTATGGGTCGCTGTTGGGCTCTCTTGGTCAGCCATTATTGATGCTTATTGCTCGTCCTGTCCAAAACATTTTACGAAAGAGACGGGGCGAGGAGGGCAATTGAAAGTGATTGACAGGCCACACACGTGAACATTTGGGTGCAAATGATGTAAGGAAAAATTATTAGGGAGAAGAGGAATTGCACTGGAGGCAGAGGGAAGGAGAAGAAGGAAGGGTTATTTGAAATAAAGTGATCAAAGCTCGGCTGGAGAGTCAGGCAGATTCAAGGCTAGCCAAGGTGGTGAATGAAGGAAGCAAGGGAAATGAAGAAAACGGGTAAGGCCGCCGGCGTGACACGCAAAATAAAGCCGTCAAGACAGAGCAGAAGCAAAGACAAAAGGGGAACACGATAAACGAATCAGGTAAAAGGCCCCCGTTGGATTTGGTCAAGGAAATGCCAGTTCCGGCATCACCACGCAAAGAGGGCGTTGTGCCGTATACTGCCCGGGCGATCGCCACTAAGGACAAGAAAAAGTGTATATGTAGGGGTGATGTAAGGTAGGCCTGTTTTTTTCCTTTTTTCTTTCCCCCCTCCAGCAGAAAACATATATCAAAAGCAAGGTTTAAAAAAAAAATAAAAAAAAAACCAAAAGGTACGTACGAAAGGAGGGGTTTGGCGGTCGCGTCGTCGATGGGCCCGGAGTGACGTCCTGTAGGCGACTCTGGCTGCTCTGGCTCAGGGCACGCAGCGGAGGCTGTAGGTGGCTCGAGCGCTGTTGCTGCTGCTGCTGCCGCGGCGTGCCGGCGGGCACGTTGCCGCTATCGCTCCCAGTCCCAGACATGACAAACTCAAACCCGAGGTTATAGGCGTGAACTCGCTAACGTCGAATCAATCATGCGCAGTGTCGAAAGCTCCAGTCTTTGACAGCCAGGGGTGAAGAGTGAGCAAGAAGCTGCCAGAAAAAGGACAAGACGAAAAAAAGAAGAAGAGAAGATAGAAAATAGAAAATAATAATAAAATAATTGGGATGTTGAATGAGAGTGAAAGGAAAGGCAAAAATAGTTGAGAATACAGACACACACACAAAGAAATAAAAAAAAAAAACTTCCAGTAAAGAGTGTATGAAAAGAGTGTAGAGAAAGAAAGATAGCGTACACAGACAGACACACAAGAAATAAAGGAGAGTGAGGCACCTCTCAAGAACAAATCCAAAGGGGGAGGAGAGCGCAGAAGCATTATTATCAACGAATACGCTCGCTCTGGCGACTGAATCGTTCAACAGGCAGCATCACGCCTGGCGTACGAGGCGAAGGGGAGCGGCGATAGTAACATTTTCATAACAACAGCACCCGCGGCGGATCAGCCATCCGTCGGGAGCTCGCTTAACCATGGACGACCGGGTCCGAAGCGGTAACTAGTAGTGGCCTGAATGCATCACCACGAGAACTTCTAGTATTGGGCAATGTTCCACGCCTGCCACCCCCACCGGCCCGAACTTGGCGATAGACCCGACACTTACAAGGCCATCGCCGCCCATAGGGCTGGCCTGGTAAGCTTGTTTCGATGACAACAGGCAGGACAGCCCGGCGAGCTGGTGGGGCCGGGGAGGATGTGGCTCGCGACTTTGGAGCACCAGCTGCCAATGGCCCTGAGTCAGAGGGCCGCTCATTATCAGTATCGAGAAGCAGAATTGCAAGTGCCGAGATTTGTGCTGCCAAGCACTTGCAGCGTCTAGGCCACTAGTCGTGGGTGCAGCCCCAGTTGCTGGGACGTTTGGCACAGACAGCTGATGTTTTGAATCGTCCCGTCAGCCTTGCATCGGAAATGGCCCTGCAGCCGGCTGTATCTAGAAACTACCAGCTGATGTATACCCATAGTCGCGCCAGGGATGCTGCCGCCGGGCATGTGGTTTGAGAGCTGGCTCTGCCTGGCCCGGCCGCTGCTGTAGTTCATGTAAACTCGGGGGCTTCGGTGCGGCCGGGTACGGTGCCGGCTCGACCAACGGCGCACTGGTTGCACAGGGCATGGCTCTGCTGGATCAGAGATCTATGGGCCCCCGATTCGGGGCCCACGCTATCCCGCCGCGCTATACCCAGCCTTGTCGAGACTTCATCACTTGCCGAAGCCTGCGAAGGGCCTAGGGCCGCTAGCAGTTGCGCTGTCACGGACTCGGCGGGCGCTGGAGCCGCCCCAGGCAGGGCTTGCTGCTCCTGAGCAGCGACAGGCGGCGTCACTAAAAGTGTTCAGCTGACTGACTCGCAGCTGGGAGGCAAATGGGCGTGCTTGGAGCTCGAGTCAAGGATCGTTTGATTCCTTATCAAGGATGCATCTGCTCAGAAAAGCCCAATCCTGCCCTGAGGCGCGGAATGGGCGGCAGCGCTGCTGCTGCTGCGCCGGCCAAAAATATCGCAAACGCTACCCCCAGCACCGCACTGCTGCACGAGTAATTACGGGTTAATTGGGTCGGTTTATACATGCATCCGTTTCGTGTCTGCATACGAGCGGACCAACGGCTGCCAGGGATCGACTGCCCACAAGACGTTTGGCGCTCCCCCGGATGTCGTTGGCGATTACCTAAGCGCCTAGGTCCAAATAAGACAAGCAGTGCGCAATCAAATCGACAAACATACATGTAGGCACTCGAGCTACCGGGAAACAAGCATGTATTGAAGCAACAAGGAGTCATATAGATGCGCTACGCAGGTCCGCCGGGCCCTCTGATTCAACCGTTCAGCCGACAAAGAGCCTCCGGGTGCGCCATATTAATAGACCAAGGCAAGCAGGATGCAGACGAACAAAAAAAAAAAAATAGACAAAAAAAAAATCCCTGTCCTCCTCAAGTCTTGATGTCTACTCGCTCTTCGCGAATGCTGTCGGGCCGGCCGAGCTCCGGCTCAGCATCAACCTGCTTTGCTAGCTCTGTCACGCCGAACAGGTCGTCCATCCTTTCCAGACTAAGACCCTTGGTCTCCGGCACGAAGAACCACACGAAAAGGCCCATGATGAAGCAAAAGCTACCAAACATGAAGAACATGCCCTAATAGGAAGTAACAAGGTCGGAAACGAGTCAGCGTGCTGATGATGGGATGTGCAAGTATTTTTTTGATGGAAGGGGGCGGGGGCACTTACATAACCAGCCTTGCCCATGGTGGCTTGCATAGTGAGGACAGCTGTGTAATTCATTGGTCAGAAAATTACGTTTGACGCTATTCGTTACGCTTATCCTCCAAAAAACACGCCACCGATATATATCTTCTTACGGCCGATGCGTTCTGATCGGAGGTAGGAGAAGAGGAGCCACTTACATCGAGCGCACACAAAGTTGAACAGCCACTGGGTGCCTGCGGCAATAGCCACGTTTGTGGCACGGAGTCGCGCGGTTGGAATTTCGCTAACAAGGATCCAGCAGACAGGGCCCCAGCCGAACTGAAACGAGGCGGCCCAGAGATAGATGCATGTTATAGCAACATAACCGAATGCAGTGACCTAAAGTAGAGGGGGTGTGGAAGACACACAAGCTCGTCAGTCAACGGATATCAAGCTTTCTCCCTTTTTTTTTGCCTCCTCAATCTCATTGCTGGAATAAGAAACTGTCGCCGTTCGGGAGGCAAAGACACTGGGGGGTGAAGGGAAGGGTACGGCAACTTACAGGTTCTCCGGCAATGGGGGGCTGCACCCTTCCATAGATACCCACAATAAAGAGGAAGATACCCTGGGAAGCAGCTGTCCAAAGCAGACTCCAGCGCCGGCCAAGCGAATCTGCCACAAAGACCAGGAAGATGAAGCAAGATGCTGTTTTGACAACACCGTACACTCCGGTGGCGAATAACTGCGAGTCATTGCCTGTCATCCCGAGATTGCTGAAGATTTGGGGAGCATAATAGTTCTACAAGTCACGTCGGTTAAGAATCAGCCAATAGTTTCCCCTGCAGCGCAACTCAGGCGGCGACAAATCAAAACATGCTTCCTGCAGGAAGATCCCGAATGGGTGAGGCTTACGATAGCGTTGACACCAGTCATTTGCTGGAAGATCATGAGCAGGATGGAAATGACGGCTCGGTTTCGGTTGCCTGGAATAGTCCACATCTCCCTGAGGAGCGTCTTGAAGGTGGCGTCTCCCGTCAACCGTCTCTCGTGGTCGAGCTGGTCAGCCATTTCCTGGATCTCATTCTGGACGTACTCTGAGTCGGCAGGCAGTCTATTCCCACACCACACCCCCTCTACTGTTAGACAAGCACTCCTTGCAACGGACAAAGTCCGCCTAGAATGGATATTGGGATTGATTGTTGCTATCTTACCCTCGAAGGCGGATGAGGATCTTAGTGGCTTGATCCCAGTCGTCTCGCCTGGCACACCATCGCGGACTGCATTATTGAAGGAGGGATTAGCTCTTTGACTGCATTGCGCCTCGAACCTGGTGGGAGAGTTGCCACAAACGGGCCTATTACGTACCTCTCGGGAGAAGCCAGCATACCAAACATCATGAAGCTGATCGTTTTTTTCGGCAGTTAGCAAGTGGACTGTTGGCGATTCATGAAGAACCAATAGGTGGTACGGGTTCTCTTACACGGCAGGGAGAGCTTGAAGAGTCAGTGGAACAACGTAGATTGCAGGGGCCTTGACATGTAGCAAGCACCCGTAGTTGACCCTAAGATGAAATTTCGTATTAGATGGTGCAACTCTTTTGGGTTTCGTTTATGAGTTTTCGGCGTCATGTTCGGTTCAAGGGAAGACAAAAGGGGGCTATATTGTTGCTCGCATACCAGAAAGCTACCATGATTCCGAAGACGTTGAACAATTGGTAAAAGGCTGTATATCAAGGTCTGAGGTTAGCATAAGCTCGTTGCCTGCCTTAGTGCCGTCACCTGCATGAACACTACATCTACACACGGGGGCCATTCGGCTCGGAGGCCGTGTAGGGCTCGTAGGGCTCATAGGGCTCTTCCCATTCGGCCCATCTCGCAAGGCCCATAGGGCTGCGTCTTTCTGCGGGACGGGGTTGACTGCCAAAAAGGGGGGAGGGGCCTGAGGTGAGGCTTTCATACCTGTCAAGCCACCGCGGATGGCACGAGGAGCACACTCGGAGACGTACAGTGGCGTCAGCGCAGAAGCAGCGCCGATGCCCAGGCCGGCAATGAATCTGCCAACGTACATGACGGCGAGCGTTCCATTGGCCGCGGAGGCAGCCTGGAAGATGATGCCGACGATGGTCAGCATGCCGGCGCCGATCAGCGTGGTGCGGCGGCCATATCGGTCGGTGAGCCAGCTGGTGACGAAGCAGGCGGCGAAGCACCCTGCCTGGAGCGTGGACACGATGTTCTGGCTCATGTTGTTCTTTGCGGTTTTGGAGCTGTCGGCGTAGTTGAATTTCTCCTGGAAGTCGGGCATGTTGAGGATACCGCCAATGGAGCCCGTGTCCCAGCCGAAGAGCATGCCGCCGAAGCAGGCGGAGAAGACGAGGGCGAAGACGCGCCATCCGTAGATCTCGTCCGGGTCGGCGCGCATGGCGTCGTTGCGCACGATGGCGCGCAGGAACTTTGCGGTCACGGCCATGGTTGCGAATAGACGGGCTGCTAGAAATCGATTGAAGCCGTTTTGGGTATGTGGGCTCTGCTCTATAGATAGATCCGATATATCTTGGCAGGGTGTGTCGGCGGACTATCTCGTGCGCTGTGCTATACTAGGTACTACACCACGTATAAGAAGATTAAAAAAAAAAAAGAAGTTGCTCTGTGCCTGGGCAGGACTCGGGAGTCTAGCTTTGGGCGAGCAAGTGAATTGAACGGGCTGAGCCTCCTGGATCAAGACGGGAGAGGCCTAATCGCAGAAGGGAGACGCTGCGAGAAAGGAGGAGGAGAGGAGGTCTCGCGGATGGACGAGGCCATGCGACGCCTGATATGTATTTTCCATTTCCTCGACACCAGGCATGACACCCCCCCGGTCGCAGACGAGGATGAAAGAGGCAGATGCACAACGAAAGGAGCAAGGCTAATGGCATGGTGCGAATCACAAATGTTCCCCAGACTTTTTTTGGAGCCGGACGGGGGGGATGAGTGGGACTTCGCTTGGTGGGTGGAAATACGAACGTGAATGTAGCATCTACTGCTACCTGCTCGCAGGTGGTGGTCATACTCATGCTATTGTGATGCCATGCTGCTTGGCTTGCATTGAGCTCTGCACATCAATACTGGGTGAGACGAGATGAGCAACAGATGGATAAGCGATGGCAAGTGTCTGCCTGAGATGGATGGATGCCCATTGAAGCGACACGACACGACACGACACGACACGATATCAGCCCGCAAACATGAAGCTGCCAGTTTTCGCATTGGATCGTGTTTGCTATATTCCATTACAAAATCCTTACATCCAGTCAGCAGTAGCTTTCCTTTGGAAGCTCTCTTGGGAGGGTGAGCACCAGTGGTGGATGATTGGCGCAAGCAGTGCTCGTTGTCGGCCCTTTTTCACACTTTGTCAATGTACCTTGTCTGGTCATACTGTAGCCATTTTGCAATGAACCGATTCAGCCTTGGAGTCAGCACCTTTTTTTGCTTGTTTTTTTTTTTTTGAACGGTGTGTACCAACTTGCAAGATGGGACGTATCAATTTGGCCCAGCTGGTGACAATTTCGATCCGCTTTCCAGCGATATAGCCTTTTACATCGCATCGCATCGCATCGCAACGGCTGTTATTGCAGGCTCCAGCGCCTCTCTCAGCTTGAAGTCACTAATACTGCTTTGACCTGCCGTGATCGCCTTGTTAGTGTGCGCGGGCTGTAAAAGCCCAGGGTCAGAGTCAAACGGAAGAACCCCGTCCCACCAATGAGCTGGAGGTTCGTGAACTTGCCAAGAACTGAGAGGACGTCTTTCAACAGCAGCCAAAAACAGCATGAACTTTACTCCGTACTGCTGCTGCTACTGCATGCACAGTAAGTACTATTCCTTGCCAATTACATACAATATGCGAGCCGCTCATTTCGATAACCGGCAGACACGAGCCGAATGGTCCTGCGAACCCCTCCAGCAGTATTTTCCATTTCTGAAACAATCGCGGCATTTCGGCAGCTGTCGCTACTACGGAATACTACCTGCTACAGTGCCCACTGCCACGGGCACACACATCTCTCAATAAAGGTGGTGCTACCACTTAAGCTTACAAGGGGGGCGCCTTTTTAACCGGGGGGAGCCACCACAGCAGAGTGGGGTTATTTCGCGGAGGCGGCAACGTTAATCTTTCATTTCTCCTTGCACATAGGCATTTGATCTTTTTGCCGTCATTTGACGCGGCTGATCCTGTGTCTTCTCCAGATTCTCTCCGCATTTTTCGAGGCGCCAAGGTCTGGGCCCCCGTTCCCCCTCCAGGTCGCGGTACCGGTGACTTCGCGGAATATAGGTATAGTAGGTACTTGTACGTGTACTCGTGCCCTGCGGAGCATGCCTAAATGCAAGTACCGTGACATGAAGCGCTCGTTGCTTTCCGGGTGGAGCATCCCCCGCGAGCTGCTGGGATTCATGGGAAATTTCAGTTCCTTGAGTCTCTCCGTCTATTTCAGCAAAGAGAAAAAAAGGTTCAATAGTGTTTTCTCAGCAGTTGTAATACGCGTACATCGGTGCTATGGTTACATGCAGTCCAGTGCCAATCGTAGTGGCACTTCACATCAAGTATCTCGCCAGTCTCGGCTGTCAAGCACCTACTACTGAGTTCAAGTGGGATGAGGCTCGATTGTGGTTGGCACGTCGATCTGCCACGTTCACTTTAGGCAGAATTCGCTTGGAACGGCTCTCTCCTCTTTGTCACATTCTAAAACGGAATAATCATCTACTACATATACAGCTGCTTAGGTAACGTGGAAAGAGTAAAGTGAAGCTATATGGAAAAGAGAGAGACGCCAGGACAGCCAATCGCACGCCATCACATATATTGCGTGTGTGCACGGTTACATCCCGCTCTAAGCTGCTGCCATCTCCACGGCTAGCCAGCCTGGGATCGCCGGCGCCTTGTTCCATCCATCTAGATAGCTCTCCTTGGGGACGCCATCGCCCGCCGGTCTGGCGTAGATTGCAGACACGTACCACACCCCTTGGCCCTGCGGGATCGTGTGCTGCAAGGTCGGTATTGTCGTCCGACTGTCCATGAGGTTTGTGTTGGGATCGGCGTTGACGAGCATGGCCTGCCGTCCTCCCTCCTCGAGGGCCTTGATGCCCACGGCTCCTCGGTTCGGCGCCGCGGCAAAGGCACCGTTGATTCCCGTGTCCCAGCCAGCCGGAGTGTTGAGATCGTAGTTACCGATGATCTTGGGGCTGGTGCCCTCGCACTTTGATTCATCGTACAAGTCCAGATATCTTCCGTTCTCGGAGTTGACGTTGAGGATGGCAAAGGAACCATCCGCCGTCATGACCTCTCGACCGGCTTGGATGTGATGGATCCGCAGATGCCAGTTCGGCGTGCTCTCAGCTGGAGGCACCAACAGCGTCTTGACCTTGACATCCGAAAACGGCTTCCATACCGAAACAAGGACAGGCTGGCCGTCTCGTTCTTCAATAGCGGCGTACTCAGACAGCCTCCGCGTCTTCCAGTATTCGCCGCCGTCGTCCGAAAGCCCCAGCTGTGATGCCAGCGCATACTGCTCCAATGAGAAAAGCCCGGATGGCACCGAGTATCCAAAGGCGCTGCTATACGCAAAACACCCGTATTTGGCATGCGTGGCCTTCATTGGATAGCCACAGGCTTGGCCCGAAGACAAGAGCATGCAGTGTCCACCAAAGTAGCTTTGAGATCATATCACACGGGTTAGCCAGCCAGTTCTAGCTCTCTCATTGGTGGGTAAATGAGGCTCTCCTCACCTAGTAATGTGACCTGGTTGTCGGATTGCTTTGACTTTTGGTATCTGGAGGCTAATGGGCTCCTCTTTGGACGTCCAGAACGGGTGCTCTTCCGGAACCGCCAGACAGATGAAGGCTAAGCATGACCAGTACTGGTTATCGAACTCCTCCCCAAAGAGGGAAGGGAGTTTAAGTTAGAATGAGGCTTTCTCTGGATGATACCGAGATGTGGGGTTGCATCAATACTACTTACTGGACTTCCAGGGCTGTTGTAATTCTCCGTAATCTGTATTTGTTTCACGTGAAAACAACAGTCAGCGATCTAGCATCGGAGATGGTCTGGAGACTTGCATGAAGTCTAAATTGGGGTGAAATAGAGCGTTTCTTGTTCATCGCACGTACATACATGCTCGGGTACGCAAACCCGAGCGACAGCGTCCCACTCGACGTCCAGATGTCACCCTTGGTCTGCCACCACCGAAGGTTGCGCAGCACGATGCCCTTGACCATACCCCACGTCAGGGGCGCCGGGAGGTCGACATCGGCGTAAGCCAAGGCGCCCCAAAAGGACACCATGGCAAAGCGGTAGACTAAGCTGCGGCCAAACGTGATGGCTCGGCCTTCGACATCATAGTAGTGAGCAAGGTCGAGAGCGGCGATTTGGGCGCGGTGCTTGAACTCTTTTGCGCGAGAAGGGTCGGATTCGCCGGCGAGTTTGGCATAGAGGAGCTGAAGAAAGTGGATGGCAAAGCTGGAGGAGTAATAGTCCATTTCTGCAGATGATAACAACAACAGATGAGCATTTCTTGAATGACAGGATCTCGGGGACTGAGAAAAATAGGGGGGGTTGGACTAACGATGAATGCCCTCAGGACCGTCGTTGGACCAGCCATCTCCTCTATAGAAGGTATCCAGGTGCTTAATGTCGCTTTCCAGGCGTTCCTCTGAGTATTTGGCTCCGTTTTGCTTGAGGCCCAGGTTGGCAAAGACGCGGAACCAGAGCCAATTCGTGTTGGGCATGCTACATGACACTGTTAGTAAGACTGAGACTTTGGCATTTCTGCATGATCTTTTGCGGTTGTCTAATACTGACTTTTTTTCATTGATAGAGTTTCCCAGCCAATTCTCAACATTGGTCCGTTCCTTTGCTGAAAGACCTTTCCAAAGATCTGGTGCAACGGCCAGCGCGAATCCTGTATAAAACACCAATTTATCAGCCCCGGTCATTTTAAATCATCCATTGCTTTATGTATAGAAAAAAAAAAAGACCAGAAAATCCTACCAAAAGGGCACATCTCGACCATCCTCTGATCGTTATCACGAGGATAGCCCCAATACTCTGGGCTCTCGGGATCAGTTCCGGCCCTGATCCCCTGAATCCACCACTCCGTGAGGCGATACTCGCCCCCTCCGGCGAGTAGACACGCCAGGCCCCATAGCGGCCGAAAAAAGCCCTCTACCTCGGACGCAGTCTGGTCGAATCTGACGGCTGTGGCTCCAGGGCACTTGACGCGGGCTTTTTGGGGAGAGAAGAAGGGCTCAAGGGGATCGAGGAGCGTTCGCAGGAGCTCCTGGACAGAAGAGCGATCTGTGATGGGGACTTGAGAGAAGGGATGTTTGTCGTTGTAGCCGAGCGTGAGGGGAGCCATGATTGATTTTGTGAGCCGGATTGGTCTGTTACTTGGATAGATCTGCCGGTCGAATGCTATGTGAGATTAAATTGCCTTGACACTGGATATGGTATATGTTTTATTATCTATGGCTATCACAAGGTAAAGGCATCATGAAATCTGACCAAAAAAAAAAAAAATCAACACCAAGACAAACAGGTAACGAAAAAGGTGTGTGAGCTAACGTTTAAGCGCGCAGCGTGTTCAATGCAAGCTCTTTTCCTTTTTTCCCTTCCATTCGGTCTTCATTGAGCCGAATTGAGTGATATCAGACTCCAACACCATGAATGAGGGGAAAGATGGGGTTCGGGTGGAGAAGAGAGGAGAAGCCAAGCGGGAGCTGCATCGTCTTGTATAAGGACTTCCTTCTTGCCCTTAAAACCCGCCATTAGTGCTGCCACTATTTTTCATGTATCTTTTCTAACAGATTGATGAATGGCGGGATAATTCAAGTGGATGGATATGTGGTGTGTTTAAAATGGAGTATGGGGATTGTGCCGGTTAAGTTGAAACGAGTCATGTCATTTCGTATGTGCCTCGAACAGTTCTTTGAACCCTGCATGATGGCGGTCGATCATAGTTGGTGGAGGGACGTGTTGAGACTTTGCCGGCTAAATTCGAGGATAATGTCTGCGAGTGGGATGTGCATGGGGTGAGCGATAGCGACAAAAATATATGTGCTGTGCATACGCCAATAAGTTTCTGAAGGAGTTATGGTTGTGGTAATGAAGGCTGTATGGCTGGCATTCCATAGAGAAGAATACCTCGAAATGGCGGTTATGTAAGAATGCTTACTTACCTTGGGCAATAATGACAAGCCCAGTCATCCTCTGCTAGGAAGTGATGTATCTATTATACTACTGGTTTAAGATTAATGCCTACGTTAGGCGAATATACAACAGTTTGAGATGGGCATAATCCATCTAATTGGCCATGGATAACATGCAAAGACAAGGTGTTATAGTATACCTGCTAATATTGCTGCTGCAGGCTTAAAAACTGCATGACATGATATAGGTAACCTGCGTACCTAATTCAGACAATTCGGATTAAGCTCTCTTTTACCCAATAAAGCAGAGGTATCATAGCATCCATTTTGTGCCTTAAAACTACTATAAAGACGCAGTTAAAGTAAAATTAAATAAGCGTTTATAAATAGGTCTACATACTTTTAAGCATTTTATTCTCATGCTAACGAGGCTAATATTTAAATAAACGCTACCCTACAAGGAGGCAGCTCAGTCACCAGCTTATATGAACGAACTCTTTGTAATGAGCGCCTTATACTCGCCTTGAAATTAATAAATTCAATTTTGTCTTAGTGATTGATTGAATCAAAGTCCAATTACTTCATATGCAATGAAATGTAACCTTTTTGGCGACATGCCGCGACCCTTCACCTCCGCAATTCATCCCCAGGAATTCAACGCACTGCCCAAGCGAACAATCTCAAGTGGCACATTCAGCCCCATCCCGGCTATCTCATCCTGACCACCCCCACGCGCAATGTCAACGGCCGGCTCAGCATCAGCCGATGCAGATTCAAAAGAGGAGCACCAGAAAGCTGAAATTCCTTCTTCTTCGCCACTGTCCTCACTTGCCGAGCTAGATTCACCGCTGAAGCCTGTGCGGCCGCGACGCAAGGCTGCGACTAACAAACGCTACACATCACCACCCAGAAGCGAATCCAAATCAATACCCCAGCGGCAAAAGAAGAAACCTGCAGCTGCCAAAAGAAGTACAAAGAAGACCAAGTGGGATGCGGAGAGTATCCTAAAGGATCCGAAGTCTCCCCTAGCCACCGCCAACCTGAGAGTATGTCTGACCTCTCTTGCTTACTGCAGCGTATCTTTTCTGCTGCCGAGAGGTGAAATGCCATGGCTAACCAAACGAACAGAGCATCTTATGCAATCCCCTGACATGGACTGCCTTGGATCAAGATGAAAGGACAGAAATCCTGTCGCTGTTTCCCGACAAGGGACACATTCTTGATGCAGGCACGAAAGACGCGCGGCCCAACTTTGCGTCGCTCATGAACGACGACAGCTTTCGCTATGACTGCGCCGCCTATACAGACAATATTGCGCAAGGCCGCCATGATCCGGAGTGGCTTGCATCCGCCTGGAGCGCTCACGAGAGGAGGAGAGCGGGTGACTTTGATAAGTATCTGATTGACAAGCTGGAGGAAGACTGGGGGGTTGAGATTCCCGAGGAGATGAAGGTTCGTAGGACGACGCCTGTAACAGAAGCGGATGACGGTGAGAAACAGGGCAAAGATGACTCTAAGAAGGAAAAGGCAAAGATAGATGATAGGATGGAGATTGATGAGCTTGCACTCTAAGGTGAACAATTTTTTTTAAAAAATTTTTCTACGCGGCGAAAGGAGATGTTTGGTATGTGATATTGGCCGAGATGCGAGGGACTTGGCAAACTATTAAGATACCATGAGACTTCAGAATGCAGAGTCAAATAAGTTAGAGTTTGAGGCAGCTGATTAAGTGTTAAAGCCTAGAATATTTATTTATTTGCAGAGGACGCCTTTAAGTATGCGCCCATGTATTTATCTCGATGGCGGCCTTCCAAACACGCTCGAGTTTCGCTGTACTTTTTTTCATCCTCGTTACATATCCACCGTCATAGAGCCGGATATGTTGAATGCGACACTATCATGTTCCCCAGTTAACCCAAATACATCCATATACCTGACATACATGCAAGTGTATGATGCATACATGTTGTGAAAACGCCAAATCCCTCCATTCATCCTAGTTCCAGGACGCAACTTTACGCAGCGTTTGCAAAATCCACAATGAACTTGGCCAGCTTCTGAGCTCCCTCCAGAGGGATAGAATTATACGAGCTGGCGCGAATACCTCCAACACTGCGGTGGCCCTTGAGTCCAGTGAGGCCCAAAGCTGTGGCCTGCTTCAAGAAGTTCGCTTCAGCGGCGTCGACATTGTCACCCTTTGAGACTCTGAAGCAGATGTTCATCCTGGAGCGGACGGACTTGTCCGGCACTACGCGGTATACACTGGGGTGAGCATCCAGGGCGTCGTAGATGAGCTTTGCCTTTTGGATGGAGACGGCTTCTTGGCCGCTGGCCTTGTCGGGATACGTAGCCAGAAGCTTCTTGAGGACTTGGCCAGCGATGTAAACGCTTGACGGGGAGAATGAGAGTTAGCATGCGAATGCTACAAGGCAAAAGAGAGAGAGAGAGAGAGAGCTGCTTACTCGAAAATGCTGAGTGTGTTGTACAAGCTGTTGTTGCTAGCAACGGTGTCGTATTGCAGGAAGATGGGAGGGATAGGAAGGCTAAGACGTCTCATGATCTCCGCCGAAGGCTGTGGGGTTTGCGGCGCGAGGAGGCTCTTCTTAATGACGACGACGGTGATGCCGGTGGATCCAAGGTTCTTTTGTGCGCCGAAGAAGATGAGAGAGTACTTCTTCACGTCAAGCTTTCGCGACAGAATGTTTGAGCTCATGTCGGCCACGACAATGGGGCCCTTGCCGTCAGGGCCGGGAGCCAGGCTCTGAGGGAACTCTTGGAATTCCACGCCGTCGACGGTCTCGTTGGAGCAGAAGTACACAAGGGCCGCGTCTTTGGAGAGCTTCCAGGTGCTCTCGTCAGGGATGGTTCCGAATTTACCACCGTTGCTCTGCTTGGCGTTGGCAACGACGTTGACCTTGTCCTTTCCAAACAGCCTCGCCGCCTCGGCAGCTGCCTTCTGCGACCATCCTCCGGTGACGATGTAGTCGAGCTTCAGGTCGTTGTCCACTGCTGCCTGGAGCTTCTGGAATTCCTCTGGGGTGCCCTGGTCCTCGTTGTCCTTGATCTGGCTGAAGATCTCACGGCGCTTGTTGGTGATCCATGAGCCGACCAGGTTGTAGGCCGTAGCGGCAAATTCGCCGGTTCCACCACCCTGGAGGAAGCAGATCTCGTAGTCGTCGGGGATGTCTAGGAAAGAGGCGAGATCTGCCTTGGCCTCGTTGATGATGGTACTGGCGATCTGGGAGCGATGCGAGTGCTCAGCAATTCCAAGTCCAGTTCCGTTGAAGTTTACCAACGACTGGGCAGCGGTCTCTAGTACAGAGGTGGGCAGAAGTGCTGGCCCAGCACCAAAGTAAACAATCTCGTCTCTGGAAGGCATTTTGCGCAGTCGTTTATGATGTGTGGTGTTTTTTTTCTTTTGTGATGTGTTGAGCGAGTATGAGAGGAAAAAAAAACTCTCTAGTGAGTGGCTTGGCTAAGGAAAAATGTACGTTCTGGCGATGGTCTTATTATAAGCTCACCAGAGATACGACGCTGGGTGAGTCACGTCACAAAACTCAAAAAAAGCTCAATGGCACCGGCGTAAATGAAGCTGAGATGCGTTGATGTAGATGAGAGAATTCCAGTGAGTCAAACGCACTATCATGTTTGTCGGAGCTCATCGAGAGCGACAGCTGAAATATTGCATCAACGCCGTCCTGCTCCGCATTGGCCGCTCTCGGAGAAAAGAGCAGCAGCTTGCTTTATTAGCAATATCATCGAGTCACGGATCAATTTAGCCAGGAATGCTACTCTGGGAAGACCAGACCAAGAGGATTCATGCGTCTGCAGTTGGGGGACTGCAATTGGGCTTCCTAATCCAATTGGCGTCTTGCAGTTACACATTCTGATTATTATGATGATTTTACTCTTCTACACAACACCCTGATAGACACCTTTTAGCTGACCAGGGATTAAAGATTAAAGTGATTTCAACTGAAAAGCAACAAGACGCACTAATTCTTGCAGCTCCAGTGTGGCTGACGAAGAGCTTGGGTCAAATGCTGACTAAGTTCTGGAGGGGAGCTGGCAGCTGTGGCTGGAGAGTGCCGCGCCGTGGCGTCTGCAGCCACAGGCAGGAAGGCGACGAAGCTTAGGTTGCCTGGATGCGTTTCCCTCATCAACCATCTAAGCCAGACGCCAACGGTCTCTTCCTCCAGTCGCCGCGCCGTTGCAAAAGCAGAAACCCCCTTCTTTCGTCCTCGATATTTCCCAGCGTCTAGTCAACCACCATGTTCAGAAACAATTACGACAACGATTCCGTCACCTTGTATGTCTCTGTCTGACTGATAGCCCCTCCAGCTGCCTTGCCCTGGTAGCTATACTGCAAGCTCGCATAGCTGACACACCACGGCACCCAGCTCGCCGCAAGGCCGAATCTTCCAGATCGAATATGCCGGCGAGGCCGTAAAGCAAGGATCAGTGGTCGTCGGAATTGCCAGCAAAACACACGTCGGCCTGTTCGCCGTCAAGGCAAGTTTCCATTCTACCCCTCAGCACGACGTTGGACAGTTCCCCCCAAGGCTGACCTGGATCCCTTGTGGCATAATAGCGAAACGCAGAGGAACTGTCGTCATACCAGAAGAAGCTTTTCGAGATTGACGAGCACACCGCCATTGCCATCGCCGGTCTCACATCAGATGCTCGCGTCCTGTCCAACTTTATGAAGCAACAATGCCTGGGCCACCGCCTCACCTACGGCCGCCCGATGCCCATACACACGCTGGTTGGCCAGATTGGTGAGAAGGCGCAGATCAACACCCAGGTCTACGGCAAGAGACCGTACGGCGTTGGGCTGCTGGTTGCTGGCGTTGACGAGAATGGCCCCCACCTGTTCGAGTTCCAGCCATCGGGTATGACGGAAGAGATGGTCGCATTTGCCATTGGCGCACGAAGCCAAATGGCCAGAACATATCTGGAGCGGAACATAGAGTCATTCGCCGATTGCTCAAAGGAGGAATTGGTCAAGCACGGATTAAGGGCGCTCAAGGAGAGTTTGGTACAGGACAAGGAGTTGACGGTCGAGAACACATCTGTGGGATTGGTGGGCCTGAAAGAGGGTCCCAACGGCCGACCGAGCGTTGAACCTTTCAAACTATATGACGGCTTCGAGACCAAGGAATGGATCGAGAGCGTTAGCGAAAGCCAAGGAGGAGAGGGTGAGGGTGAGGGTGAGGGTGAGGGTGAGACTGCGGCCGCGGGCGACGGCGACGGCATGGAGGTTGACAGCTAGACGACACACGGGATTTGGAGGCGCTATGAGAGAAAGAATTTAGATCATGTATCACTAGAGGCTGCTTGAACAGCCCGAATTGTGAAACTTGCTACGAATGAAGTAATAAAAAAAAAGAAGATACCTAATCATGACATTACTCCCGTCCCATGACGTAACTATAACCTGTCTATGGATATACTATATATGTCTTTGATGGAAAAACCTCTCTATGCCGTACATCATAACCAGGCATTACACATGAAAGTCCTTGGATGAAAGCGCCAAAAAAAAAAAAAAATGAAAAGAAAACCAAACCAAACGTAGAGTAGAGAGGGGAAAAAAATTACACAACAAAAAGAGCCTCGAGTCCTAGCAAGCTCAAAAAAAGAAGGTGCTTGCTGTAACTTGGAATCATGCGAATAACAACATTTGCGACTTTGTTTCTTTGGCCTAACTTTTCAACACTCATTTATTGAGATCCCCATTCCAGCTTGAAAGTGCCCTCGGAAACCTGGTAGTTCATCAAGGCCAGGATGGCGTCCTCGGCGGTGGTCGCCGTCACGAGAATGTCCTTGTTAGGGAGCTTGACGAAGCCCTGCTCGACGGCCTTGTCGACCCACTGGACGATGCCGTCCCAGTAGCCGTTGATGTTGAGCAGGCAGATGCCGCGCTTGTGGATGCCCAGCTGGTTCCAGGTGACGGTCTCGAAGAGCTCCTCGACGGTGCCGTAGCCGCCGCTGAGGGCGAGGAAGCCGCTGCCCGGGCCGCCGCTGAAGACCTCCTCGGCCATGAGCTTCTTGCGGGTGTGCATGTCCTTGACGACGGTGGTGTGGCCGTAGGTCGACTCGGTGGGCACGTACTGGTTGTTCATGTTGATGGTCTGGTAGGTGCCGTCGCGCTCGTACTTGACCAGGGCCTCGGGGATGATGCCGTGGACGGCGGAGGGGCCCTTGAGCTCGCAGAGCGTCTTTGCGACCTCGCCCATGAGGCCGACGGTGCCACCACCGTATACTATACAGAGGAAGAGCGAGTTAGTAACAGTTGTGTCTCTTGGGAGGAGTAGGTAGATGACAAGGGGGCCTTACCGAGATCGATGTCGTTCTCAGCCATTACTCTGGCGAGCTCGCGGGCAGTCTCCATGTGTTCGGGGTCGTTTCCGCCGCTGGAGCCACAGTACACGCAAATCTTGGTGCGAGGCGTTCCATTGGTGTGGCCGTTGGCAGAGCCGTTGACAGAGCCATTCTGGCCAGCAGTTGTGGTGGAATCAGCAGTCATGGTGGGGGTTGTGACAAATGGTTGCTGCTGTTGGTAGTGGCGTGGGTTGAAGGAAACAGACAGAGATGAAGTGTCTTTAGTAATGGTCGTCGTCCGATATATAAGAGAGAAAGTTGGAGACTATATAGTCGGAGAGCCTCTTAGCTGGCGAGTTATAAGCCACAGACGAAGTCTCAGACAAAGGAATGGTAGATAAATGTAGATGGGATACAGCAGTAAAGTAAAAGAAGATTTGAGCGATGAAAGCCAAAGTGGCAAAAGAGTGAAGCTTCCCAGAATTTATCCCGTTGCAAAGCAACACTAAAAGTTCAGTCTCGTTCAGAGAAAAGAAGCAAGAAGAAGCAAGAGAATAGTCGAAAGGGCGAGTGGCGAACCGCGTCTAGATATAAGCGTTTTGTGGAATGACGCTGCGAAACCGCGCCAACTCAGGTCCTCCCGCCAGATCTGACTGCTCGCAAACCGCCTTTTCACACTAATCCTGCCCCGGCAGTCATCGGCCACCACCGGCCCCCCGTTAGGACGGAAAACCCAACTGCTGGACCCCCCAAAAATCAGAAAAATTGGAGGCGTGGGAGTCATATGGAGTGCCAGAGCCATCACTAAAAGGGTAATTTTTTCAAAAATTGCCAGTTACGCTCGCCGCAGCACTCAGCGGCCCAATTGGCGTCTTTGCCGGGAGGTGGGACGGATCCCCTTTGGGCTTTTTGCGGTCGTTGCGTCGTTTTACACGGGCACGTTGGCATTCTGTCGTCTTGTACGACTATAATTGATATGCATTGAGGTTGATTTGCTGCGTTGACGGAGCTGGTGGGCGGAAAGGGGGGGTCAGCAGGACAAGCCCGTCGAAGAACAGCGAATAATTGGCGTGGCAACACATGGCCGTCTGTGAAGTGGGTTTGTGCCCGGCTGGTGCTGTTTTTCATTGCTACAACGCGAGGCTTGCTATTTGCATACCGCCATTGCCAATTCCTCTGTCATGGGGAAGAGATGGCTCAGCTGTAAAGTCTATAAATGCTAATCCAGGTAGTTGTGATGCTCATGAAGATCAATGCACAGGGTTCATCATCAGTAACTGCACAGCGTGCCCCAGAGCCGATGGAAGAGTCTCAGAATACCACCGTCAGCCTCCAATGAGAGCTTCTAGCAGTGTCACCTGGACAATAGGCCGAGTCCCGATGGCGGAAGCGGTCTTCGGAAGCCATGGCATGGGCATGTGGCTGAGTGGATCGCGGACAGCCTGTCACGGCCATTGAGGACGCAACTCACGGCTCACGGCGTCGATTTGACTACGGCCAGGCTCTAGGATACAGAGGCAGATAGACCCGATGCCCCTCGCCATTGTTGGGGCTCTTTTCCTTGCCCTGTCGACGGCGTCGTGTCACAGCGCAGGTCGTTGATTCGCCGACCCGGTTTGATGGGGCGAACCCGGCGCCGACTTGATCCGGCCGCCGGCGGCTGCCGCTGCTTGCGTCCATGCATTGTACCTCGCTGCGTGCTCTAGTATGTGCTAGGTACTTGTGTGCATGACGCCAGTGAAGCTCGGCGGGCTAGGCCCAGGCGGGAAATTTACCAGCCAAGGCTGCGGTGCTTGCGAAAGGCCATCTTGCAACCAACCTTGCAAACACATCTGGCTCTGTGTTCTTGTTTTCCAGGGCGGTCGACTCTGCTCCGGATTCACTACAGCAAGGCGAGAAAAGCGCCTGACTTGTCTGTGCTTGACGTGACAGCCGTAGAGGCTCCATCGACGGTCTGCGCAATGTCTGAAACAGCTGCTGCGCAGAGGCCTGCGGGCCAGGCGGGACGGCGCCGAGAGGAGAGCAGTGTAAGTCGAGATGGCATCTGCTTCAGAGCTCGGAGAGATGTGTGCTGACGTGTTGCTGGTGCATTGTGCAGGGATTCGGCATGGGCAAGATCATCGCAGCCATTGCTGTCTACTTTGGTGTCAATGCTGGCCTCAGCTTCTACCTGGCAAAGGAACAGACCGGCAAGGTCGTCACGCATCCCGAAACCGGGGCGTCCATTACAGTTCCAGACAATCTGGGCAGCATCCCGCCTTACCAGCTTCGACCGAAACGCCTGGACGAGGGCGCTACGTACAGACCCCTTCCCAAGACCATTGCGCCCATCTGGGCGCAGGACAGCTACCTGGACATCATTGTTACAATCTCGCCCTCGTTTAACCCGGTTCCTCTTTCCTCGGTGCCGGCGGAGTATGTCGTGCTGGACGAGAAGAGGTTTCACATGAACAACAAGACGGACAAGCGGTCAATCGATACTACCTTTAAGGTGCCGGAATCTGTGCAGCACAATGGCACGCTTTGGGGCCACTTCTACGTCGGTCTTGCAGATAGCGTCCTTGACCCCCATCTGCCCAACTTTGACCCTGGACGAGCGTACCATGTTGTGCATCCTCTTACCCAGTACTTGGCAAAGAAGAAGTTTGTGCAGAAGAGGAACTTGCTGGAAGACTTTCCCACTCCTGAGCCAGAACCTGAAGAAGAGGATACTTCTGGTCCTATTATTGCCAACTATTACCACCAAAATGCCAGTTTCTCTCTGGTCCCTGGTTTGGGAGTCAAGGATTTGGATTCTATCCATCCTGCCCTGAAGACATTCCTGCGTCTGGAGGCAACTGGTGCTCGTGATGGCTCGGGTCAAAATGGATGGTACTGTATGTTGCTCATCTTGATCGAATAATGATTACCGTGCTGCGAACTAACTCATGCTCTCATAGACCCGCCACTGTTTGTCAACACATTCTGGCAATTGAAGGCCCATATGACACTCCTAAACGACACAGTCAAAGAGCTGCCGCTTCACATTGATCTCAACAACATGCCTAGCTGGCAATTCTATGCCATGGCCGCCATCGAGACCAACTCCAAAGAGAATGCCCGCCAAGCTGCTCTCGGCAATCCCGTTCCCGGCGGCGGTGATGGATCTGAGATTGAAATGATCAAGGAAATCTTCATTGACACCAACCCTATCTTGCTCGGCATTACAGCCTTTGCAAGCATTGCCCACATGATTCTAGAGACACTTGCCTTTGGATCGGACATTGCGCACTATCGTAAGAAGAAGGACAATGTTGGTATTTCGGTCCGGTCGATCCTGGCCAACGTGTTTATGCAGACGGTTATCTTCTTGTATCTCCTGGATAACTCGCAAAATACCAGTTGGATGATTCTTGGCACTCAGGTTGTTGGCATCGTTATTGAATTTTGGAAGATCACCACCGTTGTCAACGTCCGTCTCCGAGAAACTGCCCCAGGCTCGTTTATCCCGTACTGGTTTGTCTTTGAAGATAAGCACAAGCTTACCGAAACCGAGGAGAAGACCAAGGAGTATGACGAGATTGCTTTCAAGTACATGTATATGCTGGCTGTGCCTCTGCTGATTGCTTACGGCATCTACTCACTGATTTACGATTCCCACAAGTCGTGGTACTCGTTTGTCATCACGACCCTTGTCGGATCTGTCTACACCTATGGTTTCCTGATGATGATTCCCTCGCTGTACATCAACTACCGACTCAAGAGTGTGGCACACATGCCCGCCAAGGCCATGATGTACAAGTTTTTGAACACCTTCATCGACGACTTGTTCGCTTTCACCATCAAGATGCCTATCCTGCATCGGCTGGCGACGTTCCGTGACGACGTCATTTTCTTCATTTACCTCTACCAGCGCTGGGCCTACAGGATCGACTATACTCGTGTCAATGAGTTTGGCCAGGGTGGTGACGATGATGAGCCTGAGGTCAAGAAGGATGAGAAGGATGCGGTTCAAGATGCGGCTGAAGATAAGAACGAGGCTACGGCTACTGGGGCTGATGCTAAAAAGGCAACTAAGAGACGATGAGCGTCTTTGCTAGGCATCCAGTAGTGTATCTGCTATATTAGTCTGTGTACTCTAAAGGCATGTAACCAATAATAGACGCCTTAGTTGGCTATGTATTAGTAATTGACGATTAACTACCTATGCAGCAAAGAATTAGGAACAGCTTTCAGTAGTACCTGTCATTCTGTGCAACCCGTAGCACTATCAGAAGCTGAATTGTCAAAGGGGCCCTTCCAAGAGGCCTCGCGTTGGACGCCCTCAGTCTTATAAAGCCTCTTCTTTCGGCTTTGTTTCAGGATGGCAGCTAGCAACGCCTCAGGTTGGCATCGTATCTATTTTCGCTAAAATTGAGCACATGCTGACTGCCCAGGCTTCTAGCACACCTTTCCGTCAGCCCTACAGTAGGTAGTGTTTAATCCCAAGGCCACGAACACCCCCCTCCTATACGAAATGCCAAGTAGGCCCTAAAGGCTTCTATTTAAGTGCATGGTGGTGTCATCCAAGGTGCATTGATGCGCTAGAGCGCTATAGAATAGGGTGCTGGGCCTAGACCTGCCGCTGCCACAGCCAACTAGGCCGGAGCAGATGGGGAGGTGGCACAGCGCCGCACCCCCTGTAAATCTCCCCCTCACTGACGGCCTCCAACCATTGGGCGCTGCAACGCAGCAGTGGGCTGCACAAGCCAGCGGGAGGATCAATAATTTCTTGCGTGCAGCGCAGCGGTTTGTCTGCTAAAAAAGGCGCTGAGCGTTTTTATTAGTTTAGCGAATCAGACACTGGCATCTCCAACTCCATCTCTCCATCTCATCTCTTGCGTGTTCTCTTTGGCGATTGTCGATTTCGCCTTTGTAGTTGCTTCTCTGCCCCCTCGCTTCTTTGTTTGCTCCCCCCCCTTCTCCTTTTTCTCATCTTTTCTAGTTTCTTTGTCCAACTTCTTTATTCTGCAACGTGCGTCATCCGTATCCCTATCCATTCTCCAGTTCGGCCCACAGCTGCCCAGCACAGCCTCACTTCTTGTCGGTTCTCGCCCACTCGTCTCTTTGACTGTCCAGAGGGCGGGTGTGTCCGGGGGCTTCGCACGGCGCGAGCAACCGAATGCTGGCCACAGCCACGACGCTCCGTTAGACAGGAACCACGGGCCATATCCATAACCTTACTCATTAAGCAGCATCAAAGTGCCGGCCGTTAATCTACGTCATTTTGCCCGAAGCATTTCACCCCAGGCCGCGGAGCTTCCCCCATGCGACGCGCCCGTCGACGGGTGTCTCTTCGAGGCCCCTTGACGAGTTTTGATCTCGATTTGGTTATTTATCCATTCGTTTCTCTGCAGCATCTTCAGCCCAATTCATAAGGGCTCGGCCTCCTCATCTGCACTGTCACAGTGTGGCGTTGGCAGTCTTCGTTAATCACAGGATTGCCCATCAGCGCGGGGTTCGCATCGCATGCCCAGAAAATCATCATTCCTTTATTTCTCTCTTTATCTCCTCTCACCAGAGCAATGGGCGCCTTCGACTCGGTCGGGACACTGCTGGCAGACATAGCGAACATCATCTCCGACGGGCAGCGCATCCTGAGCTTGTCGGACAAGCGGCATTGGGGGCAGGACGAGCGCGAGCAGGAGCGTGCGTTGGATTCGGTGCTGGATGAGGCGCGGAAAGACTTTCAAGAGCTGGGGCCATTGGTCAATGGAAATGGACGGACGCAGTATGAGCACGATCGCAGACGTGAGTGTCCTTGTTGAACATGGTTAGCCCCTTTAGCGATTGCCAGAGTTGCTGATATGACTGCTGTCCCTTAGATGAATCGATGGAAGAGCTACGAGCGATTCTTGGCAAGTTTCAAGCATTGAACCAGAAGCTGAAAGACTGGAGTCGATCTGGGGGCCCTATCGATCCCACTTGGGTGCGCGAGACATTCTCATTAAGACGAGAGCTACATCGAGCTCAATGCCGAGCAGCAATGCGAGTATTTACATCCGCGCGGGAAGCCTCACAACGATGTTTGGGCGCCTTTATCGTGCAGCGGAAACAGCGGGCCCCTCTCCGCGACGCCAAGGCTGGGGTTAGACCGGACGAACCGACACTCGAGAGATATTATAGAGAAGAGCTTATGGCGTGTAAAGCTGTGGGGACATTTCAGCGATTTGGAGATCAAGATATCGCCTTTGTTTGCGACTTTTGTGACGGACATTTGGTGTGGGAGGATTTGGAGCGCATGCCAACAGTGCGATCGTCCACTCAAGCAGTACCACCGAGCTCATTGAGCTCGCCAGTATCATTATTACCGAATACGTCAAACTGGCAGGCATCAGGCGTAACGAATTGCGGCCAGCATCAAAAGCAGGTTATCTTTGCTCCAGTGGCTATCGCAAATCACATTATACCGACACATGGGGACTGGGAGGCTAAGTTGCTATGCCCGCTCTGCGAGGAGATTGGAGAACAACCCCAGGACGAAGATGACGATGAAGATCCGTATCGCCCTGACGAAGAATTTGACGACATAAAATCTTTACAAGAACACCTTGAATGGCAGCATGGAACGGCCACATTGCCGATTGGATTACCAACAACATCCACAACAGAGAATAACTGCCTGGTCATGTGAGCGAATCATGCGGAATTATGAAGCATTTTGTTTTATTTCATTTCATCACAAGCAAGAATGCGGGAACAAGCTTGGGCTGGGCGATTGCAGATTGGTCGTTTAGATGATGACATTTGCAGACATGAAGATTGGAGGAATATTAATTTTTTTTTCTCCCTTTTGCAAGAAAGAAGGAGATGGAGGCAATACCATGTCTTTAGCGGGTTCAGCGAGGCATCTGAATTAGGAGTTTGCGGCGAATCAGGTTTTACGACGTCTTTTTTTCCCCTGCTTTTTATCTGCAACTGAATCATTTTGAAGAGCAGCGTTCCTCGGGCTAGAGAATAAAGACAATTGGAGGGAGGGGGGAGAAAAAGCTGCAAGAGACATTGATGATGCATAGAAAGCATTAGTTCACATAACTGTATATAGAGTATAATGGATATCCCATCAACGCCACGCTCCGCTCTCTGTGCATTGATGCCTTGATGTTCCCCCCCTCCTTTATCTTTTCTTGTACCGCCTATCTCGTTTTTCACAATATACATGAAACCACAAATCATTAACATCTCTCTCTCTCTCTCTCTCTCTCTCTTCCCCTCTCTTCCCCTCGCCATGCTTTCCCATCTTTTTAAAAGAACCGCCAGTAGATGAAAATCAAGATGAAAAAGCCAAGTCCGGCAAAGGGACCGTACTGCTTCAGCATCAGCTCCCAGTTGATGCGCACAGCCGCCCGTCGATATTTTTTGCTATCGTCCCTCAAGCGGCTGCTAATCTCGCCCATGCGCTCGAGATTATCCCCGCGATAGAGCAGGTCCTCGATGTTCTTGGTCATAATCTTTGTGACGTCGCGCAGCTCGTCGTTGAGCTTGTCCAGGTTCTGCGCCGCGCGGGCGTCGGCATAGGTCGTCCTCGTCTTGGCGATGAAGTTGTCAAACTCCATGAAGGCGTAGGGCCGAAGGGCCGGGTTGTGGATGTTCTGCGCGGTGTAGGTGGTGGTGAACTCGCGGGCGAGGTCGGCGAGGTAGGTGAAGGCGAGCTTGCGCGGGTAGGAGCGCTCGCAGATGCAGAGGAACACGACGTCGGAGTCGATGAGGTAGTGGATGGTGAAGAGGGTCGAGGACTCGATGGAGGCTTGGGATTCGGAGTTGCGGGTGAGTTTGCGGAGGATTTGGCGGAGCTGCTGCTTGACTTCGTTGAGGGCGGCGGCGTCGGACTGGGGGGAGAGGGCGGTTTTGTTAGTATAATCGTCTTTTTGTTTTTTGAATGGAGGTGGTGAGGGGACGTTGGAACGAACTTGTGCTTCGTCGTCGACGGAGGCGCAAAGCATGAGGCCTGGGGGGATGGGGATGTTAGCATTTGGTGGTTCGGTGGACTTTGATGCTGGGGGTTTGGTGACATACCGTCCAGCCTCGATATCTGTGTTGATCGAATCATTTTGACTTGTATATGTGTGTATACGTGTTATACGTAACAGCAGGTAGAGAGGGAGAAGAAGAAGAGAGAGAAAGGCTCGGCGCTCTTTCGTGGAGCTGTGATCCCCCCCAGAATGGCGTTGGCTGAGAACTACGTGTCAAGAAGACGTAGAACGAGTCCTCAGGCAAGCCGTGGCCGAATTGGTTGCCTAGCACAGGAGCTGCGGTTTTGATTCGATGGGAATATCCAACGCAAACTCGGCACGAATATCGCTTTTTGTATTGTTTTTTTCTTAGCCAAAGAAGTAGTGGAATTAAAAGCCAGGGTATCGGTCTTGCAACACATGCGAAATGTCGATTCCTGGACAGGTGGGTTTTGGGGATATGAGGTGTGGCTGACGTCCCCCAATGCAATTAAAGCTTGTGGCGTAATCTTGGTTGTGCGCTTCTCCAGCTGGCTAGAGTGGCCGTGCTCCCTCCCTCTATAATTTCTGCTGAATTGCCAACGTAAAGATGGTGAATATTCTTTTTCTCATATTAAGTTTTATTTTTCTTAATATTTAACTTTTTTTTTTTCCCCGCTTGGCTAGTTTGCATTCATATCTCATCCTCTTCGTCATCAAAATCATCTTCTCTGCCCATCTCGTACAAGATCCTGCCACCCTCTCCAGCTCCAATATCAGTCTGCGCATCAAAGTACGGCAGCACAATCCCCTCTCTATCCTTTCGCTGCTTCTCTGTAAGGCCTAGATTAAATGTGCTCTCGGGCTGTTCTTCTCCATCTTCACCTTGATCTGCCTCGGGCTTCTTGAACATTGAATGGTCCGTGAGAAGACAAAGCTTGCCGAGGCCGGCTTTTGTCGTCGCTGCAGAGGGTGGCATGAGGATGAACTTTTCGTCGACGGCCCGCCCGCTTCTCCTTCGTAACTCCATGTTGATGACGACGCCTCCCTGGTCTTCAGACTTGCTCTTTTCTGTGAGGCCGATGAGGACACCTTCGCGATCTTCTTTGAGGCCCCATTCTGGCTCTACGACACTCCTGTTGCGAGCCTTTTGCCGTTCGATTTCTTGCTGTAGGTTTGATAGTGTTAAGATGGCCGTTGCTAGATGGTTCAGCAGCGCAAACGGGTGAGGCTCATATTCGTTGAAAGATTTTGGTAGGATGACTGGTACATCGGTGTGATATACACCCACGATGGAAACTACTGGCGTGATGATGCTGGATAAAAAGACGGCCAGTGATTGGGTAGCCGCCGATGAAAGAGAATTTAATGAGTCAATGAAGACGACAGCTCCTACATCGCGTATCTGTTTTAGCTATTCGTGTTCTGGGTAGAAGGATAAATCCTTTCACTCACTCTGAACTGTCTTATCTTTGATGGCTGCTGGCTGAAATGCGGGATAATGTGACAGAAGTTCCCGGCTGACTGCGTTTAAATCTTTTCCCGTGGCTTTGATGAAGACGTCTGCTTCTCGAGGCTTGCGAAGTGTAGAGAAGGATAGGAATATGATTTTTGTTTTTGCCAGCTGTTGAAGGTCAGTTGTCTGTATCACATAGCATAACAAGATGAAAAGAGTTGTAAATTAAAACTAAAAATTAAAAATTACCTTTGCTCTTGTCATGAGCTCTGAGATTACTGGCCGGGCGGGCTGTTCGAGGTTATCGAGAAGAAGAGTGAGAGGGCTGGCGGCATCGCGCAGATTCAGAAGCCTCTGGAGCAAGAGGAGGCTGTGAGAACGGCCATGCGAGTTTGTCGTGGGTGCCATGGCTATGGGAGTTTTGTACGTGTTAAAATATGCCCATCTGCTGGGGCTTTGCTGGTTTGATGTTGTGTTCAAATAGTGACAGAGAAGCGGTTGAAAATGGACATGAGCTAAACTGAGATTCATCATTTGTGGCGTTGGCTCCAGTCTGGCTTAAGAGACTGCACGGACGCTAATTCACGGCCTGAGGAATAGCGATGCCTCCACTAAACTCTCTATAAGGAAATGTCTAGAGACGCACTCAAGTTACATAAATTTTTTCACATTATAGACTTCAATCTCTAATGTATTAACGTAGAGTCATTTATTTATCTGTCCAACAGCGCTTGTTTATCTTACTGAAAAAATAATTACGCCAACTCCCTCCATTACAATACAAGCAGCCAATGCGCCGCCACAGTTTACGGTTGGAACACTTGGCTCGCGCCGGGAAACCATCTCGATGTGCTGCCTCGTCAGTCCGGCCCATTACGGCACTGAGGCTGCAACCGTTGAAATCATGTTCATGTACATGTTACCGTCAACACAGATTCTTTTCAGCCGGACCTGCTGAAGCCAGTGAGACCGGACGGTTCAATAGTGCATTCGGTGCGGGCACCAATGACACCATCTATGCACTTTCAACAGCCCAGGGCAAGGCGGGAATAGCTGTAATTCGCATCTCAGGGCCATCATGTTTGGATGTAAGTGTGCAAGTGCCAAATACAGCATAATACAACCCGTAATAACATATTAAATTTACCCAATGTTAGGTATACAGAGCCTTGTGTCCCTCTAAAGCACTACCAAAGCCCAGATATGCTTCTGTAAGGTCGCTATTTGACCCTCAGCACTCAGGGTCACATCGAGGAGTATTGGACTCTGAAGCATTGGTTCTCTTCTTCCCTTCTCCAAAAACCGTTACCGGAGAAGACGTGCTAGAGCTGCACATTCATGGTGGACCGGCCACTATCAAGGCAGTCCTAGCAGCTATTCCACAATGCCCCTCAAAGTCAAGGATTCGATACGCCGAACCGGGAGAATTTACCAAGAGAGCTTTCTTGAACGATCGGCTGGATCTCGCGCGAGTAGAATCTCTTGGCGATATTCTTTCTGCAGAGACGGAGCAGCAGCGGCGCGCAGCAGTCAGAGGAAATTCGGGGGCCTTGGCTCGTACCTATGAGAGCTGGAGAGAGGAGCTTCTCCTTGCACGAGGAGAAATAGAGGCTCTGATTGACTTTTCGGAGGATCAGCATTTTGACGAATCGCCCACAGATTTACTCCACAATGTGGCAAAGTTGGTGGACAATATACTTCGAGGTATTCATCTGCACGAACAGGGCGGCCAGAGAAGCGAGCTTTTGAGGAGTGGTATCAGGATTGCGCTCCTAGGGCCGCCGAATGTTGGGAAAAGTTCGCTCATGAACTTGATTGTCGGTCGCGAGGCTTCAATCGTGTCCGGCGAGGCTGGTACCACCCGAGATATAGTGGAGGCCAGCCTTGATATTCGAGGCTACCTATGTTCTTTCGCGGATACAGCCGGATTTAGGTCGAGCGATCCTTTAGGACCATCCGGCCCCGTTGGGGCCATCGAGCTGGAGGGAATCCGCCGGGCAAAGCAGAAAGCACAAGAATCAGACATTGTCGTCGTTCTGGCATCAGTCGAGAGTGGCCCGTCGGGGCCGTTCATCCTGTACGACCAGGAGACGCTGGACATTGCCGCCGCCGCAGAAGCCCAGCTTATTGTGATAAACAAGAGAGACGTCGCCGAACCAAGGGAGTTTGCTTTGCTTGTTGACAAGTTTCGCCAAAGATTAGGCGAGAAGGATCCCAGGCTAGCATCAGTTCAACTAGCCGCAGTGTCATGCAAGGAGGCCAGCCTAACAAGCTCCTCTGCGGCGCGGAACAAGGATCCGGGAGGAATTCATGCATTAACAGAGGCACTGGTCAGCACCTTTTCGCAAATGACAGAGATGCCTGTCGACCTACAGGATCTGCTTGGTGTGACAGCTCGCCAGGCACAGCTCTTGGCCAGGTGCAGGGCTCACCTGGAGGACTTTATGGCAGAAGCGCGGCCGGAGGAGGGAGAGGATCACCATCCAGGAGTAGAAGCCGATGCTGTGCTGGCGGCTGAGTTCTTGCGATATGCGGCAGACTGCCTGGCGCGCATCACCGGCAAGGGGGAGGCTGGCGATGTAGAAGATGTTCTTGGAGTGGTGTTTGAGAAGTAAGTTGCGTATTAATTTACTGGCTTTCTTTCTTCTTGTTATTGTCTACGAGTTTGCTAATGCGAGTACTAGGTTTTGCGTTGGAAAATAGGATGAATTGGATAGAAAAAGGCTCATACTAATATATTTTACATTCTAGATATAGTATTCAGGGCAGAGAGAAGAAGAAGAAGAAAAGGAGAAAGAAGAAAAGAAATAAGAAGAAGAAAAGTCTACATAAAGTGCCGTAAAGCTTCAGAAATCTAACCAAGTGTTGACTGAACCCATATCTCTAAGCTGTCTGCCTGTTTGCAGCATGCTGATTGCTGTTGTTCCCATATCCAACGCCGCGTGAATATCATCAGGGGAAGGATGAAAAAGAAAAAAGAAAAGAGGAATCCCGGAGGCCGCCAATAAAAAAAATGTCGCACGCCAGTTTAATACAAATACAGAAGGGGTTGGAAAAAAGCCCCCCAGTCGCAAAACATGTGGCTGCTTCTGTTCCCTCCCAAAGGTTGCGATGAAAGGGAATTTTTTTGCCAAGTTTAATTTTCTTCCAGTGAAAGAATAGATCCAATGTGCGTGTTTTTTTGTCTATCCGTCTCTCCATGCACTTTTGACCGAAGATGCATATATATTTTTCTTTGTAGTTTTGTATTTTGTATGCGAAAATCGAAAGGCCCGCGAAAGGCAAAACTTCAACGCTCGGCAATAAAAGAAGAAGAAAGCAAAAAAGTTGTACAACGTCGAAGCGTCTTAGCAAGTAAGAAAATGGGTTTTCTTAGTTGCCCCGGCGGCCGCTGGATGATGAGCCTGAGCTGGAGCTGGAGCCAGAGCCTGGGCCGGTGTTGGGACGAGAGACGATGTTGTAGCCGCTTCGAGCGGAGTCAGCCATGGAGACGGAAGCGTCGAAAGAAGAAGCGAAGGCGGCCATTATGATGCTGGTAGAGTTGAGTGATTTATAGATGGTAGTAGTAATGGTGGTGGGTTGGTGTTTGCGTTGATGAGATGCAACGAATATATCAGACTTGATGGAAGAGAGATGAGGAGAAGGTCGATATATCGAGGGGATGAATGGCAGATATATATAGATTTCTGAAGCTGATGCTTTGATATTTTGCTTTGTATTGCACTGCAATGTAATGTATTGTACACAACTGTGTTGCTTGTTGAGAGTAGTGGTTCTGATATCCGTGTTCCCGGGATGAAGCAGCCACCTTATATAGCCACAGTTGCAACCTTCAAATAAGTTCCTAGAACGAGCGTTCCTCTCTTCCTCTGCTATTCCCTGCATCGAACTCCAGTTCCCAGGATTCCTCTCGTCCCACCCCCCTCCCCCCTCCCCCATCCCCTTATTTGAAAAAAAAAAAAAGGTGAGATGACGAATAGCCATTCCCTGCCCTGCCATGCCGTGTGCCCTGCCATGCCGTTTTTTTTTTCTCACTCACACTCTAACCAGCTCAGTCTGCAAGGTGCGTGGCTCGCACAAAGAAACCAGAGCTCAGCGCACACACCCCTCTTCTATTGCAGAAGACAAAAAAATGGCCCCAAGCATAAAATGTGCAAAAAAAAGGGAAGCAGGGCAAGAAAGAATGCCCATCTTTTTTTTTTCCTCGTGGGGTGTGTGGCTTGGGTCTGGCTGACGGCTTCTGCTACGGTTGGGGGCGTGAAGCTTGCCTTGTTTGGCATCGTAGGGCTGAGACACCGGCCGTGAGTCAGCCATAGCCAAAGCCCCAATCGTAGAGGCTACCGATGGCAGCATTCACACCCAGTGACTGCATAGTGTATTGGTGTGTGTGTGTGTGTGTGTGTAAGTGTGTGTACGAGGATATGTGCGTATACAGACTAAGTCTTACGGCTGTTGACGATGGTTACTACCACTACAAGTATAGTTTGGCCGAGTCTTGAATATCACTTGCTGCCAAGATGCTGATTGTCACTACTTCAACGCCGGGTACTTGCGAATGGGATGCAGCCTACCCGCCCTCGTGGCAATTCCTCTGGAGCCGTTCCTGTCGGCGTCTCCATCCAATCTCGTGCGCGGACCGGGAGCCGGCTCAGAGAGATGGGAGGGAGGGGGGGCCGAGGGAAGATGGGACGAAAAGGCAGAGAGGATTCATCTTGAATCATCGGCCGCTGTGCCTCGCGCCGTTACTGACTCCCTCGTGCCTGTCGGGGAGCAATTCGCCGGGGCTACTCGGCCTTCCCCGGTGCCACTCGGTGCTCGACATCAGCTGTGCACAGCATGCAGTGCACTACCACGTATATCTTAGTAGAAGGTGGCATGGTATGCTCTTCACGTCGTTCTCGGCCTTGAGTCTCTGCAGCTGTCCTGCTGCATCGTATGGCTGTCATCGCAGGCCGCCCACCACCTACACCACCTGTTTCTTATTCTCCAACTAATATGGAGTAGGTCCTGCTAATACCTGCTGCTGCTGCTGCTGCTGCTTGGCAGCCCCTCATCTCCTCTTCTTACCTCCCCTGCCCTTCTCCATCTCTGCTAGCTAGCTCTTCGTCTAATGATTGATGTGCCTTTGATCCCTTGTCCTGGCTCGACCTTTTAGGCGTTCGGCAAATAATAAGTGCTAGTATAATACTAGTATATACAAGTATGTGATTGCATAGAACATCACGCCTGAGAGAGGAGCCGGCGAGGATGGAGGCATAGAACTAAGGGCCTCGAATGGGTGGGGATAATACATGTACCTACCAGGCGTGCACTGTTGCACTAGACGTTGCGTCGGTAAATAATCCCTGAGCAGCTTGCGGGTTATCATCTCATTGCATCTCAATAGTGCTACCACTTGGGCAGATTACATGTCAACGCCTGACTGGGGGCCACAGGCTTGCTCAAGAGGCCGTGGACATGCAAGCACAGATTGGGGAATTGGTTAGAAATCGCAGCCCCCACGTGGCGCGTACCTTTTCCCCTTGGCCTTGGAGAAGGATGGATGCCGTATTGGGTCCATGGGGCCAGGGGAGGCCCCTGTTTTGGCTGTGCAGCCACCACGGCCAAGGGTGCGACTGGCTGCCGTGAGAATCACTTGTCCATCATCAGCATCATTAGAGTTACATGATGCGCCCTTCTCCACGCATGCGAGCACTTGAGTGTGACATGGCAGCAGCAGGTCCAAGTCCCACGACCCAGGAAACCCAAACGCCCATGCACAAACTAATCCTGAACAATGCTTTAGACGCACCCGAGGCAGCCACCCGAACCGGCAAGATACCTAACTGCTGCTTAATAGAACTAGCAGGCAGTAGGAGCAGTAGCATCAAGACGGATACACGTATTCCAGCAGCTAGAGACACTTGGCCCCCCGTCCGCTAACTACTCATACCTATGCTAGCACTTACTACATGCAAACACGGCACGGCACGGGCTTCGAAATCAAAGTCCATCCACGGGTCGTATGTAAGTACCTCTGCTCAGACCTGGGCCATGTATGGGCCCCAGGCAAAAGCCCAGAACCAGCAACTGATTCATCATTTCCCAGTGAATGAGAGCCCGCGGGCCCGGAAGCGAATCCCTACATAGTGTGCTGTGCCTAGTAAATCCTCCCACTCATCCTCATCTCTTCCAGCCATTCCATCATCGCGTGCCGTCGGTTCTCAAATTTCAAAAATAACACAACACACTAACACCACAAAATAAGATAGAAAATGCCCCATCCCAACTAAGCCTCCGCTGCCAAGGGGGGGCCGCTGCTGATCATCCGACAGCGCCTAGGCGCAGACAGGCAAAAACAAAGAGGCAAGAAGCCTCGCTTACAGTGAGTGAAGACAAGAGGGAGCACGGCCCCAGTCCCTCTTTGCCGCCGCACGAGATGGGAATACGATACGGGCCCAAGGCCAAGCTTTTCCGGACAACCAGTAGAACTAAGGCGAGGGCGAGGGCGAAGGCGAGCGGAAAAGCCACAGCAGCACACGGCCAAATGAGCCCATGGCCACACCCCTTCCCCAATCGTAAGCGCCGCGTGAACGCTCTTAGCAGAGAGAGACCCCTGGAAATCAGAGAGAGACTCGCAGACGAGACTCTCGGCTGCTCTTTTTCCTTTGGCACCAGAGTGGGATAAAAATAGCGGCCCAATGGCAGCGCAGCCTGGCGAGCCGCGCGGAGGGGGGCGGTACTTGATTTGCTGGTCTCGCTTGCAGTGCTTACATGTACTTTGTGCGATGCTTTTCTTACATCTCATCTTTTGGATCCAGTCATTTTCCGACTCTGCCTCCTTCTCTCTCTCTCCTTCTCTGTGCCCATGACCGGGGAGAAGCTTTTTCGTCTCTATCCAAGCCTTTTCATTTGTTCTGTTTCAAGCTATACCGGCAAACGACCAGCATAGAGGAGCTACAAGTTTAGTAATTCGCTTCGCCTCGCAAGGCCGTCAGCACTTGAGCGCGCGGAACCCGGAACTGCGAGGGTGGCCATAATATTAACACCAGACAGATTGATTTTGAATCCGGAAAGAGACACGCGCGCAAGCGCACTGCCCATCTCACTAGCGATGTGTTTTTTTGCTTGTTCTGGCGGCAGCGCGGATTCTTCCTCGTTTTGGAACCTTGAAGAAACGGGTATTTCAAATCAGAGGATTACCTGGTAAAAGAGGAACCCGAACGGAAACGAGAGCCGAGCTACGAGAGCCGAGCTACCTACGTAAGCAAGGAGAAATTATCAGGCCGTAAGGTTGAGTTTCCCGGTTGATATTGAGTCTGATACTTGTCCTGCTCGACCCCACGATGCTTGCTTACATGTACAAGTACCCTGGCGAAATGGCGAGCCGAGCACCACTTCGTGCCACTTGGCATCAAATTCGCCTATGTACACTGGGCTAATACTGCTAGCTGTATATACCTTGATCGACTGTCTCTTACATACTATGTAGGCATTCTACCTATCAGGGAACCCCTCCCCTGGCTGTAAATGCTTCTCTATCCTGGGATTTCCCCGGGGCGGTAATTAGCAGAAACTTGCCCTATCTATGGAGCCGCGGCCATCAATCTCATCGAGCTTGGATTTCAGCCTCCCAAGTAGCCAGCTCGGTAGATATGCGATGCAAAATGTCCTCGGCGGAGCCCTATCAAACACCCCGAGAAATAAGCTTGGCCCTTGGCTCTTGGCTCGTGCTGGTGCTGGTGCTGTTGCTCGCTTCTTGTGTCTTACATGAAAGTACTCCGTACAGCTACTACTAGATAGGCATTGCTGTTACTCCATAATAGCAGTACATTCATATGCACTACCTACTAGAAGACGACGCACTTTCACGCCGACCAACTTTCGCCTGCATGCTCAGGTAAGAAATGGCATGCACGCCTCTCACGCTGTGCTTGAACCGGTGGAGCAATGATGACTGTAATTGCCGGGTAGCTGATTCATGAAATCTCGTCTGATGTTTTCTATCTCGTCTCCATCGTGCGTTTGATGAGTTTCGACGAATCAGCTGGCTTCAACCGCGAAAAAAAAAAAAAAAGGACATTGAGAGGGGACAATAAGACAAGCAAGCCGGTGCCTGGGAAGGAACTCGAGCGATGCAACATCTCCCATCCTTCAAGTGGCAATGACGTATCAGCGTCGTCTCCATCCTTTTGACAAATACCACTGTGCATACGTAAACTTGTGCTTCATATACATACATGTACACGCACACACCTCGCCACACGCACACAGCTACATACATACAACAGGAAGACTGGATTGTCCATCACAAAGTGGCACCCCGTCTCCAATCTTCCGGCGCTGGCTTGCAGTGGCGGTTCCGTGTTCCTGGACTAGAGAAGCAACTCATACGCAAGTATGGGGCCGCACTGCCCAGTCGAAAATGTTCGGAGACCGCAGAGAAGGATCTCCGTGATGTACATATTATAGGGTCACATCTCCGAAAGACTCGAATACCCAAAAAATATTCTTTGCTGTAGCTTATTGCACTGCGCCCTCTCTCGCCAAGAGTGGGAATTACGAGTTTCGGATTTTGACAGATGCGGGTAAAACAAGTATACTGGTACTGTTTCATTAAGCGTCATGCCGTTTACCAAATCCTGAGAGGAAGAGGCCAGCATGCAGGACCACTTTACAGTGCATTGCCGTGTCATGTATCTGCTGGTATCAGCGAATCCCACTCAAAAGGGCCCACCAATGTTGGGAAAAACAAACATCCAGGAAGCGAGCGCAACGCCGCAGGCAGCCTTGCCCGTCAATCCACCCTCATCACCGCCTTTTGGCAGGCCCAGATCTGGGTTCGCATGGTGGTGCTCCGTGCAGAAAGGACTAGTCATGCATGCATGGCATGGCATGGCTTGGGAAGCGAGTTTCGGGCTTTTTGGAGCTTGTCAGCTTCTAGAAGATCAGATGGAACAAGCCAAAAGTCATCAGCGCGCGCCCTTCTCTCCTGCAGCCTTACTGTGATGACCCCTTTCTGCGCCCAGCAGCACAGCCCTATAGGATCTGGATTTGTGGTCGCACACATGGAAATGATTCATCATGCATATACGTATACGTGCTTCGCTCTCGCTTTTTTCGACTCATACGAGGCTACACACACCGTCAATCTATCTGCGAATGCATCCCGTTCCAGCAGGCCGGGCAGAAGGATTATTATGGTACGAGTATTATTAGTTGAAACCCCCCCCCTTCTCAGACTGTCATTACTCTCGCACTCTCGCACAGTATCCAGTGGCTGCAACTATAATAGCAGCACTTATACAAGAAGTCATGCAGCTTACCCTGGAACTCCCAAATCCAGACAGGCGAAACGCGGCAAGAGGAGCAAGGAACACGGGAGGCAGGATTAATCGAAAGATGACGCCTTGGCGCAGCAGCACTCGACAACTGCCGCAGTTGATATCCGTAACGCCGAATCTTGGTAATGCCGAGAAGGCGATGCGGCACAGCTTCAACGCAGCCAGCATTATTGCACTATTACTAGGTAGTTATTCCGAATCTTCAGCCCCCCTGATTGCACTCGGCGTGTTGTCAGCCCATGATCGACCTACAAGGCGAATCGCTCGCTCTCCCACATAGCTGCCGGTGTCTCGGAATGCACTTCAAGGCTCCATCTCCCCTGGCTGGCTCGGGCCATGGCCTCGGGCTGCTCTGTGCTTTTGCTATGTGACACTTCATACATGTATATACGTACGTAGTCAATTGCAGTTAATTATAGGTACGGGCATCCATGAAAGGCCGCTCGGCACATAATCAGACTGACTCGGATAGTACGGAACCGCAGTCTTATTTCTCGGGGCTGTTACAGGTATTCTGCATGTACTCCCAACATGCCGATCTGGAGGGCCGGGGCAGCCAATCCGGCTTTCCGGGCGTCTCCGGCTCTCTCAAGGCCGGCGCCGTGGCTTTCACTTGGGCGCACGGGCCGATCCGTCAGAACCGTTCAGCCGGGTGTTCCTACATACATGTACTTGCACAGCACAGGTCTGCGAAGTAGAGTCGCGGCTCACCTGCGGGTGTGTATGATAACCCTAACCCACGAGTGAATCATGCGTTTCACCTATCGTCCATTATAAGCAGCAACGGCTTATTTTTTCATCAATCTGTTATCGCCATCATGAATATTTCTCTTACCCCCACCGATCTCATTTACATGCACGCAGTTTATTTGGGGGTAGCTTCCCTTTTGGACAACTTCGCAGTGTCCCATGATACCCTCACCTCTTGCACTGGGACATTGGAAATGCTGAAATACTACACATACCACACCCGCAAGCCGTTCTCCTAGGCAGTAAGTAGTATTGTGCTTGGTATAGTGCCAGCACTGCCTTTTTGCGCCAACCCAAATGTGCTTGGATTTGCCCACGGTGTGGTAGACCTTGTAAATGGGCTCTTCGCCTTTTATCCAAACGAGCACAGGCATCCTTCTGGCCTGATCACAGCCAGGGGTTCATCACAAGTGCTTGCAGCACCCTCGACCCCTGTTCCCAGTCATCCATGGGCTGGGAATTGGGATTAATCTCTGCAGTCGTGATGCTGCTACTGCTGGCAAGGGGAAATATAAGCCTAAACCCTGACACATCTCAACCCTGCTGCATGACAGGCCGCCAGATTCAGCAAAGCGCGAGAAGCCGATAGCCATGGCCAGCGTCGCAGCGCATTTGGATCCCACGTGGGAAAGAGGCTCGTGGTTTAACAAGAACGCGCCAGTTCTTGCCTTTCGGCTTCTCACGTTGAGTGATGTCCCATCATTATCTCCGGAGAAGAAAACGTGAGTTGAATCCCTCATTGGGAGCTTCACACCTCGGACTGAGCCTCTCTCTCTCTCACACACACCTTCAGTCACAGAAGTCTGCCAACTACTACTCTGCTTCTACAAGGACTGACGCTATGGACAGGGGCAAGAAGAATAACGCTCGTTAAAGTATCCGAGCGGCTTCCAAATGCCCTCTAGGTTTGGGCTGTCCATCAAATCTGCTGATGACCCTGCAATATTGGAAAATCAGCACATGGGTACAAGACGGCAAAAGGGACAAGGCAGAGAGGGGGAGGAAGGGGACAGGGCCTGGAACTCACTTGCCTTGAATTGATCCGACTCGCCCGCGCGGTTGTGATCTGTTTATCACGTAAGCGCAAGATCTCGCGCTACGGAGCTCTAGATGACCCCGATATTGTGCTGGGTGGCTGCATTAGGAGAACCGAAGCAAGAAGGATGGGAGGGAAGGGAGCGGTATTTTGCCCAGTTGAATGCTTCTGTGCCGACACGCGGGGCGGCAAAGGAGATGGGGACTGCCCCTTACAGAGCCCATGTGTTGATGGGCAATCTGTCCACCGGACTGAGATTCCTGCCACACAATCAGTTGATAAGTCTATTTCTCAATCCGGCATGTATGTACATACTAGCATACACACCAGCTGCAACAGCAACCACCCTTCTCCACATTTGGAATCTTCAACGGACCGAAGTCATTTACTTGCTCTATCCATGAGACGAGGGAAGGCCAATTCGCATATACTACCGTCGTAGCCTCACAACAGAGAGGACCGGCAATCTGGGTATTGGAGATGGGCTGTTCCACCAAAGAACCGCTTCTCATTACTCGCGCCATTATCATATGCTTTTCTTGGGAAACGTGGCATTGATGAAACGGCAGCGATGTGGGATCTGGTATATGCTGGAATAGGAAGATAAAGACACTCCATCCATCTGCAACTTCATCAAGTCAATATCGTGGAGATGATGCATGGACCTGTTAGATATTCTGGTCCCGTGCTCGGCAACTCCTACCTTCTCGACACCAGTGCTACATATCTAGGGGTAGTCACCGCCGCATCGGAATCAGCTCCCCGAATATCTGTGTTGTGATTGTTCCTGTCTGTGCTTCTCTCTCACATTTACCGAATGCTAGGACCAAGAGGTCCGTGTGATCCCCCCCCTTGTACGGAGGTAGCGGCAGGGTCCTCCATTAGGCCGGGGCGTCGACGTAAGACGCGTCCTTTTTTTTTTTTTTTTTTTTTTTCCTTGGCCCTCTCTAACTTGTCATTCTTATTGAAGGCCTCCATCGTTCAGGACAATTTCCACAGGGCCACCAAAGGAGGAGAAATAGACAGAAGATCCTCAAATGCATCTTGGGATGATTAAGGGATATGGTGGACCTGTGATCCTCCCTCACCGTAGCGTTTCAGCGTCTTGGCATGCTAGTAAGTGATGCTAGTGGTATAATGCCCTGCTTGTCGACAATCTGTAAAAAAGTCCTCATTCATGCTAGCACTAATTATTTGCCGTGTCGTCCCTGTATGGGACGATTGTCTGCCAATAATTGTGAATCACGTTTTGAGGGGCGCTACCGGAAAGATTCCAGCTGTGGAGAGAGCACTAGTATCTGACTTTATTTGCTGCTCTGGGATAAGTGCCGCAAGCAGGGGAGGGGGGTACATTAGAAAGAGCATCGAAATGGGATACAGTCGTTCGTTTATGAAACGCCCTTGTAGATGTAAGAAAATGGGGACTTGTTTATCCTGGAAGATGATCATTGCCGACGTCTTGAGAGAAACTAATGGGTTCTAAAATAGAAATAAAGAGACAGCAGATATGTAGACAGACCAGAAAGAGATAAGCCGTCGTACCATGGGGGGCTGGAGGGAGGAAAAAAAACATGATCCTGAAATTACTTACACCTCGGTGGGCGCTTGTATGAGCCGTGTACAAGCTTTAAACAAAGTGCCTGTGCCGTTCCTAGCTCGTATTGGAATGGACTGATATGACATCTCGTATTCTACAATGATCGACGCCTTGCAAAGTTGGGTTTAGATGGCGTTGCTAATTTATACAAAAGGTTCGACTGCATATTCTATGACGACTACGAGGTGAGTTAGCTCGCCAACCCAAATATATATTGCACTGCCCAGCCTAGGTTCCAATTTTAAAAATCCCTAGGCCGAGCAGGGGCGGAATCCTTCCGCAGATGAGATGGACACTATGTCCTTTGGAAGGATGAAGGATCGAAATAGGAATAATGAAAGGGTCAAGGAGAAGTGGTTAGATCGTGTGATGAGCCATAGAAAAAAGAAGTGCTGCTTGCGAGTGTAATAGGCGAAGAGGATAAATGGACTAAGTGGGACAAGTTAAATATGTACCTACGGCAATTGTGCTGGGGGATCGATCTTCTTACGCGGCCGTCGGAAAGCGCCAGACGAGATGGACGGAATCGAACTAGTAATTGGATTGGGTGCAACAAATGAGAAATCATTTAATTTTATGGCAGCCTGCTCATCATTAGTACGTTAGCCGCGGTGGTTGTGGCCGTGCTTGTCTCGCGCTGTTGGTTAGACCAAGGACCAACTGGCTATTTGCCCCGGACGACAGTGTCGCTCTGTGGCACAGCTTCTTAAGATAGATTGCTTACAGTATACTTGTACGGAAAGGTTAGCATACGGAAAAGCTCTCGGATGATGCTGAAGAGGCGGTAAGAGTTGGGCATCGATGCATGTCAAGAATAAGCCAATAAGCCCCTTCCAAAGCCGTCACTGCCATATACCCTATGGTCAGATGGTTGGGTCAGATAGACATTCAATATTAACCTTTTAACTCTCCTAAAACGTGAAGATGATCAGCCGACTAAGTGTTGAGTTTACCAACGATATCAAGCTTGAGTACGCCAGGGGTGTACAGTGTCATCGTCGTGAGGATCAACAGCCCAAGTTCAAAAGCGATCTAGATAAGGTCAATTTCCAGCTCAGGAACACCATCGTTAGGCTTCAATTTGACTTTGGCGGTGTGTACTGTTCTCGTTGTGCCTATCCGCAGCGGAACGGATAACTGTTACTGACGTTGATATTGCAGGACAAGCACAATACGGCACGGGGTTTTTCATTAATCTACCTTCTACCAAATACGACGTTATCCTAACAGCAGGCCACAATCTGGTCAACGAGGAGAAAGTCAAGGTCCAGAATCTGACCGTTCTTTACCACGGCAAGCGCAAGGAGAAGGTGACTGAATTCAAGATCTGTCCCCGGTACGAGGAGTTCCTTGGAATAAACACTAGGCCACCCACCCACGTCAATTATGATTACGGCGTCATCTTGCTACCAAAAGACGAGGGCCAGGCAGATAAGAGGTTGGGCCTAGGATTGGATCTTAGCCTCAATATTGACCCCTCTTTGCAGGGCCTGAGGGATGCATTCGTCAGCGGCTACGGAGATGGGGTTGGTAGTATGACTCTTCGAACGTGCTTCAGTCCCCTCAAAGGATTGGGAAACAAAATTGAATACTACCTGGAGTCGAAAGAACAGGGAATGAGTGGATCACCTATCTGGGTGACACACGACGGTCAGATGACTGTTATTGGAATTCAGTAAGTGGGCAGTTGAACTTGAAGGAACCGATATCCGGCTGTATACGAACTGACAGAATTCTCTTCTTCCGCTCAGTAATACGACTCCCGAGAAGAAAGGTGCGAGAGGCGTGGGCACTAGAATCACGGAAGAAGTGTTCCGCATGCTCTGCCTTTGGACGCAGTCAGGCTTCCTCGACAAACGATTTTGCGCTGCCGGCGGGAAAACCAAACCACACAACACATACTTGTCTTTTCCTCAGAATGGAGGCTTTGCCAGTGTGTTTCTGGGATCTTCTTCTGCGGCTGCCGACAAAGATAACTTGACATTCGATATTATTCCAGCTTACATCTTTCCAAAATGGTCAAACAGGTCTCCTCTTTATGCTTTCAAATTCCGCAAGTCGTCTTGTGGTGACAGCAAGAAATGTTGGGTTGAATGGCAGCCACTTCATCAAAAAGCTGTACTGGTTGACACTCTCAAGGATATACACTTTGTTAGGCTTATCCAGCGGCCAAGAATAAAAGCAGCGAGATATTTTGTTCTCATCCCAGATATACCAAAAGATGGCGGAGATGGTCAAGAGCTGAGACTATATGACAATGGCCGGGACCAGAATGATATTGACATTGGTAAGACAGACTTTGAAGGAGTGTCTTTTGGAGAATTCAAAGAGCGCTGCATTACCGGAGTAAGTTTGAATCTCGCGCTAGTTTCAATACAAAGCTAACGCTTCCATCAGAGTCGAACATTCATGATAGAATAAACAAACTAGCATTGTTTTTCTGTTTATGGATAGTCAGTTCATTCCTTTTGAGCAGGGTGGTTCTTTGCCATTAAGTTCAAGGTTCACTCTCTTTGCAATGTTTCTTATATCATAAACACGATGAGTCGGCGTCCTATCGTTTACAAATATCATATTCACTTTGTCTCTAATACAAGCCCTCCAGGCAATACATTTTAATGCTCTGACTTGAGAAATGCCAGCTTATAAGGCGTATATAACTATGTTAGAATCTGTAGTGATGTTACTTGTGTGCCCTTGCCTGTCATTCATGCAGCCTAGTAGCAGGCAAGCAGCGACTACAAACAAACAAACAAAGTTAATAGAGATATGCTTTAATTCTACTCGTTTAGAATCAAGCTTCCTTCTTTTCTTCTCTTTGATCAGCCTCTTCGTAGTGTGCAGCAGACATCAAAATGTACTTTTTCTGGATATGTTTCTTGAAAGAGAAAATTTTAAAAAATTGGACATTAATAGATAGATGATAACTGCTGATTAATTACTACTTAAAAGAGAGTCTGGTGAAAGTTTGTTGTACGTATAGTCCATAGAGTTAAATAATAAAAGTCGATTCTGATAAATTGCTATCTATGCTTCAATTAAAGAAATACTGCGTATGAGCAGTTTTAAAATAAGAGAGAATTTAGAAAATGAAAACGCTTCTAAAGAGATATGTGACAAAAGAAAATATAGTCAACGAATGTCTGAAAGCAACGCTTTCCCAAATCCTACCACGCCTTGTCCTACAAGCACTGTCTCTTGTCTAACTTCAATCATATTTGTAAATTCAAGTTATTAATCTCCTGTCCTAGTATTGGCTTCAAGAGCGTATGCAAAAGCTATGCTTTCGTTAGCCGAAATCATTATGTAAATAGTAAAATATCGCAAAGGCTAGGCTTACCCATCGTTCAAGCTTCTCTTCATTATCTCTTAGCATTTCAAATTGCTCATCAAGGCGCTCTGTCATTTGAAGAAAGAAAGAAAAGATATATTAGCTCTACTGGACTGACTTTTATATTCGAAGGTGCAACTTACGAGCCGTGCAAAATAGTACTTCCTCCAGTTCCTTGTCTCGGCTAAGCTTTTTCAGGAATTTATCAGCTCTGGATGAATTGCCAATTTGGCTGATTTGGAATCGAAGGGCTATTAAGTGGATTAGCATTCAACCGAAACATGTAAATAACGTCGGGACCAGTAGCATACTTGAAGATGGATAACCGTTTTCTTGAAGGAACCGAGTGCATTTTAAAATCTCTTTCCTAAACGTATCTACTGATTCGTCACTGGGGCAGCCGTCCGTAATACAAGAAACAAGAATAGGTCGTTCAAGTTTCCTGTTGCTCTTTATAACGTCGTAAACCAGGGGCTTGAGAATCTTTTCCTTCAAATTGGTGCCGATCTTCGTATGACCACTCGGCTTCACCGAATTCATAATAGCCTCTACTTCTTTTTGGCTTAGTTTATCGTCGTGTACATCACGGACAAAATTAATGAATTGTAAGCTCGTTCCATAGCCTGGAGGTACTATGGAGGTAGAAATTCGAGTAACTCGACGAACCATTTCTTTTTGGTCTTCGACACGAGTGTTAGCCCTCATAGAAGTGCTATCGTCTAAGCAAATTGAAGACATGATTAGCGACGCTGTAAATGGCTTAGAAAGGTGAGCCAACATACCGCAATAGAGCACTGGTTGATAGAGATTAAGTATTGTAATGCATCGGATATCGTCTACTCGATTAAGTAAGTTTTCTTTGCTGTCTTGGAGTTTCATTGCGTTATCAGCCAGGATACGTGTATAGGGTGATTCCTTTGGGAAAATTGAATCAAGACCAATTTTCTCAATATGGTTGTTCATGTCTTCTTGAATGTCTTGCGGTGTGTTGAATCTTAATTTTTTCGAAATGGGCGTATCGGTTGCAGCAGGGCCTTTTCCTTTATCGAAAGTTGGAATTTCGGTGCGCTCAGATTCTTCTGGATCAAGATTTTCGAGACCAAGTTCTTTATCAGCAAGCTCTTTACCGCGCCTTTCTGTGGTAGATGATTCCACGATAGGTAGTCGAAGTTTCGTAGTAAATGTTTCTGCAGGAGACACTTCGTCTTTATCCGCTGCGATTATTGGTCTGATTTCTTCGCATTTAATGTTCCTTGGTTCCTGTCCCTTGATTCCAGATTCTCCAGTTTTAGACACTTTAGCTTCAAACTCTTCTGGTTTGCCATCATTTTTTTGAGCCTCTTGAGCTCTCTTGGGCTGAGCTTCTTCCTCTTGAATCTCTTCCTCTCGAATCTCTTCCTTTCGAATCTCTTCCTCTTGAATCTCTTCCTCTTGAATCTCTTCCTCTTGAATCTCTTCATCCTGAACCTCTTCGGTTTGAACCTCTTTGGGTTGAGCTTCCTCCGTTTCATCTTCTTCATTTTCAGCTTCTTCTTCAATTTCAGAAGGATCTGTTTCGGCTTCTTCTGAAGCTCTTCCCTCTGAGCCACTTTCTTCTTCTGTACCTTCTGAATCAGCTTCTTCCGACTCATCTTCTCCAATGAAGCGCTTATCAGCTTCTTTTCCATCTGCTTTAATCTCGGCATTTTCGGTTTCTTCAACTTCAGTCTCTTTTGGTCCAGCCTCGTCAATTTCGGATATGCCTGGGTTTACTCCGTTTGACTCAATCCCGTCACTTTCTATCACATTCACTTCATTTGTTTCGCGAGAAGCGTCTGTGGTATCGGCACGATGATCAGATCTGCTATTTCCTGAAGCATCCTATAAGACTACAATTAGCGCAGAGTTCATATATGAAATCGGAGATTTACTCGCCTCTTCAATTGTATCCTCATTGCGTACGTTGCGAAAAATTTTCCCCATCAAGGTATTCAAAGGGTCAGTAAGACTGCAGAAACCAGCGAAAATAGAGCTCTCTGCCAGACTGCCGCTTGAAATTTCTCTGTGCTCTGATTTCTGTGGCGGGATTATAGCTTTGGCATTGGTGGTCTCAATGCTCACAGTAGCTGGGGTCTTGTTGATCACAATTGAAGCTCTCCGGTTAGCGATAAAGGGCTCTTGGGGATTGTTAGGATGCTTCGTTGCACTCGGATTGCTTCGCTCTTCCTGATGATATGAGCGCTTAAGGTATTGATCCCAAAGCCGTGTTGGTTTGGTAGCTTCAGATTGACTTTTGTTGTTTCGCTTGTTCATGGCGTAAAAAGGGTATGGACTCCAAAAGTAGTACCTATTACGTTCCCTGTTGCCAAGAAAAGGCACAAATTCTATACCGTCTATGATCCCTATAGTTTCCACATGCTTGCTGCGAAATTTGATTATAGAGAGAACGTTACTGTCAAGGCAGAAGACCAAGGGCCTGATGCGTTCAAATGCTTGCCTATCTTCGGCAATAGTTAGCTTGAGGGCTGTACCGGGTAGCTTTTCGTCTGGATCGATTATCTGGGCGGATGAAAAGAACACGTCTAGCAATGGTTAGAATATCTTCGAGTCGTGGCCCAAAAGTAATGTTGTGCGCACCTTTCCATTCACCTTCACTGTTCTCTATATAGCGAACAGTCCCATCAACGCTAATGTAAAACAAAAACACCGCACTGTTGGTATTGCAAGTCGCTAGTGGAGTTCCGCCAAGTGCAGCAACAGCTGGGAGTTCGATGGCCTTCCACTTGTTATTGTACTCATTAATACCACCGAGCGAACCATCTGGCTTCTGGTAAAATACAAAGACGGTGTTCTTGTCGTAAGAAACGGCAAGTTGACTTTGTGGGTGGACCCGAGTATCCACGCCGATAATCTCTTCTTCATTCCAGGGGGCATCATCGTTTATCTCGTCTTCTTCGACCTGGTCATCGTCTCGAAGAGGATCAATAAAGCACTTGATTGAATCATTCTTATGAACGACATATACTTTCTGTAAATAAGATTAGGTTAGTTTCATTCCATTGGACAGTTATGCACCCTCTGAACTTGGCTTACCTTACGGCTGCGGTTGACAATTGGTGCAGAAGTGCCTCGCCTGACCTCATTAGTGATCAACTCATCGTCGGTAAGTTCAGATCCAGTCCACGTCCGCATGCGAATAGAGCCTTCTTTTTCGTAGGTGAGATGTGTGGTTTTGCCATCCCTCGAAGGCGTTCCTCCGGCGGCCAAGAGTAGGCGACTAATATCCTGCAGCCTGTCCATGATGTAAAAGACGTGTTTTTGAGACGCTGCTAGGAAATCTTGAAACTTTGGAATTTGGCTATTTCATATACACTGGAGGCTGGCTTTTATATACACACACAGTTTCCCGATTGGGCAACAACAGTTAGAGCCTCATCCGCCTTTTGGGCGGGTCTCGACTTTCGTCATCGACCCGGCGGAAAGCTGTGGGAAAAAAAAAAAAAAAAGTAGTCGTGGTCACGAGGAGGGAACCATTGGGCAAAAATAGCTGATAGAAGCCAAGTATAAGGTGTGATACGTTAGGTTCACGGCATCTAGAAGCAGTGTGGGCATTGGGCTGAGTCGACTCCATGCTCTTCCGAAGAGTGTGGCATAGAGTGCCTATAGCAAATAAAATAGCTGTTCATGTCGGAAGATGCTGTTTCGCGCCTACACACAGCCTTTTGGATTCCTCAAATGACATCTGACCAACTGGATGCTTGACACAGAACACCCAAAGCCTCTCACCGAATGCAGGATGCAGGCCATGCTACGTGTCATATGCAAATGCAAGTTGCACCCTGTTGCGTCTCCCAGAGTGCGGCTGAGGCTGCAGGCAGGTTTCACTTGGGCGTGCTTGGGGGGCTTGCTTGGGTTATCGAGATGCCTGGCTCTGGAACGAAACCTGCAGGCATGAGCAACACCATGGCCCAAGCTTATCTACATCTACCTATCCACTTATATCCCTTCTCGGGGTTCTCCGAACTGTACACATGTAAGGAAGAGGAACGTGGAGGGAGAATATGTCAATGGTTAATAGTAATTGGATGGACGAATGCATTGGATAAGGTTGGGTTTACGACATTCTCGGTGTCATCAAATACAACGATGCTGTGTCACCGTGAAGGCTCTTTGTGTTGCCTGCATTTTTGTTTGCCTTCTTTCCTCGGTATCCAATTCCATTTTCAAATTACAAGGGTGGTATGCAGCGGCTAATACAAGGGCCCAGAGGCAAGTAGAATGCTCAGCCCCGATATCTTGCATCTCATATGCCCTTGCACTCGGCCAATGAGCAGTCAATAGTAGAGCCTCGTTTCCTATGCCCTCACCGAAGACATTTCCTCAAAATCTCGATGATCTGCAAATCTCAGTCATTACTAATGTTACTTTCACTAATCATATCATGGTTTAGAATCCTTCTTATCAACGAGGCAACTACAGATATACCTTGCATCATGCTTACAGGCAACCCTAGTCCTTCAGCTGCTTGCGAAAATACACTCGATCGTAACCATCTTCGCTCTTTCTCCCCGTCTCTATATACCCAAATTTTGGATACAGGCTGATATTCTCATGCATCTTTGCATTAGTATATAGAACCAGCGAATCGACACCCTTGTCTCTTGCCACTCCCTCTGCAAAATCCATCAGCGTACGGCCATATCCTCGCCCTTGAGCTGCAGGCCCAACAACCACATTGCTGATCTTGACCGCACCGTCTGCATCATCCATGGCAAGTGTAATCGAGCCAACAATTTCAGAGCCTTTTTCATCAGAAATAGTCTCCAAAACGAAAATATCTTGTCCTTTGGGTAATTCGTCATAATTTAGGAGCATCGGCGCAGGGGGCTTTCCCATCCGCTCGATGTATTTCGAGTAGCTGGCATTGACGATAGCCTGCAAAAAGGACAAATCTTGCACTGTGGCCTTCCTGATGCCGAGACCTCTGTTTATTTCGTCTTGAGAGAGAACAGCCATGGTGATGGAGTGTGGATTGAAGCGCTCGATATATGGTATGTGAGGACGCTAAAGAGATGAGGCTCAACTGACTGAAACAAAGCAGCCAAGTTAAATACAACCGCAAACCAATCTAGTGAGTCAGTAACCTCCGTTAGCGGGCAGACAGGATTACACCCCTTGCTCTGTCTGGTTGAGCGACATTTTATTAACTAAAAATAATGCAAGCAGGGGATTTCGCATTGAATTTGATTCTTTTATAAACGAGAAGATGTCGTTCGCAGCAGTTGGCAGAAAGGATGCAGGGGCATATATCACATACCGCTAAACTACCACTAAGGATGCGAACTCACGTTATAATGGCGGCGCACAGCATTCGGCAATCTCATTTAACGAGTCATATAAATTGCCCTCGACGTCAACGTGCATCGCCAATTGGCGTGCAGAGCAGCTAAGCCTGAGGATTGATGGTGGCCGCCACGTCTTACTATAGTGTATATCTACGCAGGAGCCCAATGAGCCCGATGATCTCATACATATTACACCCCGCAAGATTACGAGCAGAGCTTTTTACTCGCATAGAAACTTCTTTCAAGGGGTAAGAGCCGCGTTCAGGATGACACGAGGTCCAATTTTCTTATCCAATGCCTTTTCTGCAGCAATTTCTTGTCGAGATGGCGATTCAATTCGTCTATCGTCTAAGGCATCATTCAAACTCGCATTCATAGCTCATCTCTAATGTGCACAGCCTCGTCCAATGGCTCCATCGCCATAATCTTCACCACCAAACTCGTCCAGCCGGTGAAGTGCTGGGTGCGCTGACCAGCACCCGTCTCAGGATTGTACTGCTCCCACGCGAAACCCGTCTCCTCCCAGCTCTTGTAGACTGTATCGACCAGGTTCGTACGTAACTTGTTGTACAAGCCCCTGGCTTGGCGCTGGAAAGGGCCCTCTTGGGTGCCGATTTTCTGTAAACAAAATATTTAGTTGATGCATCTAGGAACAGCATGCAGCATGCAGCACTTACATATAACTGCGTCAATGCCATGTAGTTGATTGGCATCCAGACTGGGCTGCGCCAGTAATTCTCCCCAGTCCCATATAGCGGATCTTGCTTGCTCAGACTGCGCAGCCCATGAGGACTAAATAAGTGGTTCTCATCACCAACCAGATCAAGGATCTTGCCCAGCTTGGCATCATCCGGCTGCATCAACCCGACCAAGAACGGGAACAGTGAGATATAACCCTTGTGACAGACAAGAGCGTGCTCCTCAAACTCGTCAATGCTTGCATCGCAGTAGCACCCTTCCTTCTCAGACCAGTGAAGGTCATCAAGGTTGTGTTCGATAGCAAAAAGATTCTTCTTTAGCTCTTCAATTTCATCGGCCAAGTTAAGTGCATCCGCAATGTTGATGAGCGATTTGGTCATGAATCCAACCCAAGACATAAGGTCGACATGGAGCTCGCCAGGATGAGGCGGCTGTGGCCGGGGGTAGTCGTCCAAGCCACTAGTAAGACAATGTGTCTCAGTTCGACCCCTCCACCTATAGGCTTCCTTAGAAGAGAATGCTTCTCGATCATATGCCTTGATCTGGCCCCTCTGTGTCTTGCGGAACCAATCGTATTGACGTCGGAGCAGGGGATAAATCTTTTGGAGGAAATCTCCACCAAGTTCCAAGTTATCCAAGTGAGCATTGTATAAGGTTTGTCCCTGAGACAGCTTCTCTTTTTCGGCGGTTGCGCTGACGTTGGCGCTTCGTAGACGTTCCATAAAATCCTCAATGATCAGGAATAGAGTCGGTGGGTTGGCGTAGTGGGGGTATTGGACTTGGAATTCTGGTGGCACTTTGCTTCTTGCCTCTGGGCCAAGGATCTGCTCACGGGGAATCCATCCATCGCTGTCCATGGTGTTATACCAGCTTTTAACAACTTCAAGGGTCAAGTCAATATCCCAGTCAGCAATTGGGATGAGATGGAACCCCTCGTCCCAAAAGAATCCTCGAGGAAAGAAGGGTCGCGATGGAACGCTTGTAAATAGCTCATAGGGGCCCTCTAGCTGCTGGGCTTTACGAGCTCGGGCTTCAGCGGTATCTTCCCAAAAACCTTCGTTCTCTTCTTCGTACTCATCCGCATAAGACCGATCGATCAATTGGTGGCCCTGGAAATATCCAATGCCTCCAATCAAATTGGAAAACATGCTCTTGCCAAACTGCTGGTATTTCTCAGCCGTATAAGGCTCCTTCAAATCAAAGACGCTTGAGAACCGCTCTCCAAAGGATTCTGAAGCCACTTTAATCTCCCGAGTGATGTCTTTGCTAGTCATCTCTTTACCCGCAGAGGCCGATGAAAAGATGATGTCAAATTCGAATCCTCCCTCAAAGACTTTCTGAACGACATGAGCATTGCCGCTACCTGGCTGAGACTTGATTCGATAGATTTGCCATGGTGGAGGGAAATTTTCCTCGTCATAGTCTTGTTGCATATCTTTGATGGTATCTTGCATGAATTGGAACACTGCTGGCTTAGCCTGCCATACATCACCCGCCGCAAGGCTAACGCTCCGGACCACAGTCGTGTCTCCTCGTCGTGAAGCGCTTATTTCGTGGTCAGAAGTTGGATGGTTACCGGTTCCCTTGGTAATTACGACTTGGTAGTCTCCTAGAGAAGGGGAATTTCCCTTGAAAGTGACATCGCCCTCAAATCCTAACCCGCCATTATCGTCGCCCTGGACCACAAGATCACCCAGCTCTTCTTGAGCAACATAGTAGTGCACCAGATATTTGCTGTCAGGGGGTGCATCATCTCGGACAGTCGCCTTTATCCTGGCACCCCAACTGCCACCATGGTTGCCTCCAGGGACTTTGATGAAAGAAATGGTGACATCAAGGCCGTTTCCTTCATCGTGAATGGTTTGGACACCACCGGTTCGTGCATCAAACTCATCCCAGCCATAACCATGAATATCTTGGCCTTGCTCACATGTATAGCGGAATACTATATCGCGAAATATTAGCAAGAAACCCATGAGGGCAGCTATCGTCACATACATTGCTGGATATCCATGTATCCTTCAGCTCTCCCCCACATCAAACCAGCCCATAGGCCCTGAGGCAGCCTCGGCCTCACTCCAAAATACAGATTTGGTTTGTATGGACCCCATAGCAGACTCTGGTTGTTCAGACGGCCAATTTCATTGATCAAGATGGATTCATCGCCAATAGCGGAGACACCAGCTACCAGCGCCGCCACTGAAGCCAGCAATTGGGCGAATTTCGCCATGATTGTTTTCTAGAGCTCAGCTCTATATAAAGAGGTTCCTTACCAGAAGTATCTCTTCATATAAAAAAAAAAGAAGAAAGAACAATACTATGAAAGAACTGTCTTCATTCCACACAGCTGCCCTGCTGAGTGAACACGGTGGCGCTGGCCGTGGTGGGTGAATGCAAGGCTGACGAGCTATAGCGGATAAAAGCTCCAGAGGCCCAGCACGTAGCCAATCAAGACTGCTTGATAAGCCACCCCAGCCACTCTCTCAGCCTCTTACCCCTGTAATCCATTGTCTTCAGCCTGGCCGAGAATATTCTAAACTTTAGCTAGCACATCCGGCGACACTGCCCGACGTCATATCTTGATTGCTGCGTATCAACAAATTTTTTTTCACATCTTTCTCTTCCTTTGCGCAATTATTAAGATATTATACACACCATGAGCGATTCACGTCGTTCTAGGCGGCCCGACAGCCGCCAAATGTGGGACGAATCAGATCGTCGCGACAGGAACCCTCCTCGAGACCGAGACCGGGAGCGTGACCGAGATCGCGAGCGCGGCTGGGACAATCGAGATAGAGGAAAGGGCCGTGACCGTGACCGAGGACGAGACCGCCGCGCCTACAGATCACGATCGCGAGACCGACGCGACAACCAGAACGATCGCTCCATGTCACCGGATAACCACCGACGAGATCGTGGGGGAGACAGAAGCCGAGGCGGCAGAGATCGGCGCGGAGGACGAGACGGGGATAGACGAGAGAGCCCTCGCCGGTATGGCGATAGAGATGACCGTGATGGCTATAACAGAGACAGAAGACGTACGAAAGCCTCCCCAAGCAAAAGAAGATGCGTCCATCCTTGCTAACCAAAAAAACCAATATAGCAAATTATCGCGAGGACCGCCGCCGCTCAGCCTCCCCTCCTTCCCACCCCTCCGCTCTCCCCACCCGCCCTCATCCCGAAAACGACTCTCGAAAGCCTCAGTCCGACGCCGCAAAGCGGACAGGCACGAGAAGTCCCTCACCCCGCCGCGATCGCGACTCCAGGCGAAATGCAACCCCTTCGCCCTCCAGAATGGAGCAGGACGACTACGATGACGATATTGAAGTCGAGGGCCAAGACGATGACGGCCTCGCCGCTATGCAGGCCATGATGGGCTTCGGCGGCTTTGGCACGACAAAGGGGAAGAAAGTAGCGGGCAATAACGCCGGCGGCGTGCGGAAGGAGAAGAAGTCGGAGTATCGCCAGTATATGAACCGGCAAGGAGGTTTCAACAGACCCTTGAGTCCGTCACGATGAGAGGCGGCTTGCTGAACAAGTCTTGGCTTTTTTTTTTCTCCTGTCTTTTTTATTTCTGGTGTAACGATATCCATAATGGCATAGCACTCTGGGTTCTATTGTTTTCATATTAAACACTTCCCCCTGGTATAGAATGGAGCATTGAAATTATATAATCAAGTACGACAGACTTGTTCAAGTCTTTCACTAGAAGAAAAATAAAAATCTTAGTTACACAAATAAAATACCACTGGTGCAATGAAAAATAAAATGTAAATTACCATGCATTGATATTTAAAACAGCTAAGACGCACATATCTATGGATATTATATACTCCCGCAGATAACGCAGCACACTACACACATTGACTAACTTCGCTAAAGCTTCAATCAAGCCATGAGAAAAAGAGAGCAGCAAAGGGCGAGTGAAGGAAAAAAAAAATGAAAAAAGAGTGATTAATGCCTCCTCATCTCGCCTCTCGCGGTTGTTGTAGTTGTAGACATTAAGTATATATGCATGGTACTTGCTGATATAACAGGGTGTGTGTATACATATATGCTGATCCATGGATTATCTGCTCATGGGGTATTCTTTTTTTCTTCCTTTTTCCTTCTAGAAAAAATACACGAAGTAATGCTTATTCTTGCATCTTCTCGGGTTCCTCTGGCTTGGTGTCCTCGCTGACAACCTCCTCACTCTTTACTTCCTCCGTCTGCACTTCCTCCGTCTTCGCCTCCGTCGGCGACATTATTGTCTCCTCCTCTTGTCTTGGCGTGTCTGGTGTTGGTGGTACTTCCTCTGCTATTGATAATATGGAAGCTTCGTCCTTTGGTCCGTCTACAGTGCTCGAAGCCCTCTCTCTTCGCCTCCTCCTTGCTCTTCGTTCTTCTTCAGCCGTCTGTCTTCTTGCCTTTCTCATCGTCTCTCTCCTCTCGATATCCGCCTCGTCGTTCCCATCGCCTCCACGCATGCCCTGCAACAACGCCGCAGCTCGGTCAGCTACATCGTCCTCCTCGTGGCCATCCCGAGATGGAGGAGGAAGAGATGATGAAGCTTGTGCATCTCCCTCTTCAGTGATGGCTGGCTCAGAATTGGTGAGATTGGCTTCGACTGCTGAGTTTTCGTTGAGATCATTGATCTTCTGACCGGAAGCCACGCGAACCTGGTGGCGGTCCTTCAAGCGGGCACGGCGGCGACGGTCTCTCTGATCCCGTACCTGTGGTGCCGCTGCTCGAAGTCTCTCAAGGAGAGAGTCCATAGCGCCAGTGCTTGACGGCGATGCAGGCCCATTGTCCAAAACGCTCGCGGCTTTGGCCGCCGCCTGCTTGCGCTTCATAGAAGCTTCGTTGCGCTTCCTCGTCTCCTCCATCTGAACGTTCTTGTCGCGAGACTTCTTCCATTCTAGTACAAATGTGGCCAGCTTGGTGAAGAAATCTCTTCGGGCGTTTTCATCTGCTGGGTCTTCTCCGTAAAACAGCATAATATCCTTGTAGGTCTTCATCATTTCTTCCAAGTAAACTTGCATCTGTTCTGCCTTTCTTCTGGCTTCCTTCATCACCCGCTGGACAACTTGGCCTACACGATCCTGGGGATGGAATTTCTTGGGATCGCTCAAGTTACCATTGTCTAATGACATCTGAACATTCTTCACGTTGTCAATGTACTTCTTGGCGTCGGTTTGAAGTTGTTCAATGTTGATCTTTTGCGCCGTTGTAACAGCCATAATATCGTCTGCGAATCCTTCCCATTCTGGATACTGGTTTCGCACAATACGTTCGACAAGATCGGCCAGTGTCGACTCATTCTTGTCATCCTTGACCATACCCAGTCTAGCGAGCGAGCTAAGCTTGAAACCGCGAGCCTGCTTGTTGGCATCGTTCATGTAGTTTCCGATATCCAAAATGAGACCAAGGACATTCATAAGCGCGACCGAATCTCTCAATGACTCAGAGACAGTCACAACGTCCTGCATCTTGGAGATAATCTCATCGTAATCGGATTCGAAACTCTGCGTAAGTGCAAGCGCCCTCATTCTGCTCTTCCAGTAATGGTGTAGTTCAAATGCCGTGTACAAGTATAGCTGATCCTGCCGTGTGAGCTCCTCGGGGTCCATTTCTCGTGTTTGGTTCGCTGCATCTGGGCCTGTCAAATCTTTACTATACGGAGCCATCTGTTTGGCAACGTTATCGTTGATGTTGCACATATCGTCCTTTGCAAGGAAGTCCATGATACCCTGGTTTGTGATTATGATGTCGTCACAGTGGATAATCATTTGCACAATCTTGTCAACAGAAGATTGAGAATGCTTGGCAAAGGCGATTTCTAGAGAGAGAGAAAAAATCAGTCTCGTTAGCTCCAGTCCGTTAAATCATACAAGAACCAACAAAGAAAAAATCATAAACGTACCAAATGCCTTTCGCAGATCGGATGATATAAGCTGTTTCTTGTCATCCTTCTTACCACCAGTTCCACCAATCTTCTTAATCTCCTTAGCAACGAAAAGCTTCTCGACTTCGTCCAAGATACCTCTCCGACTAAGTTCGTTGTACTTCTCTTCTCGCTCTTCGACGGAGGGGGTGTGAGCTGCCCAGTGACTAGTCTCAGGAGTATCGACCTTCTCCCAGTGAAGAGCCTTGAGTTTCTTCTTAGGCCGCATCACTGGTAAGCCAACAGAAGGCGCGGCAGTGAAAGCGGGTTTCTGAGGTAAGAAGTGACCAGATATGGCACCAGGCATCCCAGGAGGTGGCGGCGGAGGCGGCGGCATGCCCTTGGCACCAGGCATAGGGGGCGGTGGAGGAGGAGGTGGCATCCCTCCCATAGCGCCGGGCATAGGCGGCGGAGGTGGTGGAGGCGCGGGGAATGAGCCCGGCATCGGTGGGGGAGGAGGTGGAGGCGGCGGAGGTGGGACGCCGGCCAGTTGACCGGGCATAGGGGGAGGCGGCGGAGGGGGAGGAGGGGGGGGTCCGGTGATCTCGACCTTGGGGGCCTCGCCTTCTGCCGGGGTGATGGGAGAAGACGATTCCATGCTCGGGTGTGATGGGCCGGTGGTAGTGCCGTCGTCGGCTTCGGAATCGCTGCCGTCGTATCGCTTGACCTTGGAACCAATCTCGCCCATAAGTTGAGCCTGCTGCTTCGGATCGACAACTGGACGCCTCATCTCGATCAGTCTCGGGCGTTCAATAACGACACCCTCCTCGTCAAGATCAACATCATCTTCACCAATAGCACTCTCACGCTTGGCTGGCCTTCGAGAAGCCCTCGGCTGGCGATGAATAGTTCCGAGCACACTGTTTGTGAAATCTCTGGGCGGAGTACCGCCTCCTGGAGGCGTGCCTGGCTCTTCATCGCCATCCATGGCTTCTCTGAGAGCACGAAGGCGATCAGAGGGGCCGTCCTGATCTCCCCAGATTCTACCTTCCAGCTTATACTGAGTCTTTTGGCGTTCAAGCTGCTTCTGTAGACGCTCCATAAGGCGTTCACGGTCGAGAATGCCCTGCATCTGTGCTGAGTTATCCTTGCCAGGCTTGGCACCGGCGCTGGTCTTAGCAGCATTAGATGCTGCGATATCTTGGGCGTCTCGCAGCATGAGGTACAGCTCTCTCGTCTCAAGCTCATAACGCTGTGCCTCTTTGGCTCGAACGCTTTGAATGTTATTTAATTCGACTTTGAGGCCATCAGCTTGGCGTCTCTGGGCTTCGATAAACCGAGTCTGCTCGTCTAGCTGTTTCTGTAATTTAGCCACGAGCCCATCAGCTCCAAGCTCCAACTTTGCCCTCATCTCGTCTCGCTCCGCCATGGCGGCTTCAGCGATCTGGCGAGATTCCAGTGCTTCATCGAGTGCCTGTCGAGCTTCGGAATCGGTGTGCAGCTTGTCCAGCAGACTCTGGACCGTGAAGTTGAGACTCTGCTTGAGGTCCATATTTGGCAGACGACGGTCCATAGCAACATAGCTAAGCATTGAATCAACAAGCTGAAACATTCGCAGCCGCTCCTCGCCATCGCTGGCGCGGATAAGCAGAAGATGCTGCAGTGCAGATACAAAGTAGTCGTGTGTCTTGGTACCATGCAGCCGTTGCTGAATAGTGTCGGCAATTTGTATAGGGTCGGTTAAATCCTTGAGATCCCCCTCGACGTTATCCTTCATGCTGGTGTTCTCCCTCTCGAGCATATCCTCATAATCAATGGCCTCGTTGGTACGGAACCGATCAATCTGCTTGTCCAACAGCTCGTATTGAAACCCCTCCATCTTGGTCAAGATTCTCTTGATGCCGCAGGCGTGGAACTGAGCTCTGATGTGAACTCTCATCTGGAGATCCTTTTCAGGGGCATCGATGATCATGTTGACCAGCATCAGAGTAGCAACTGCGTATTCCATCAACAGATTCTCCATTCCAATACCTCCGGTGCGAAGTTCATCACTGGCACCAACGAGACTGCCCATCTTTCCACGTCCATCAACGGTAACCTCCACTAGTCGCATCCAAGCATCGAATCTGCCATTTTCGCCCGCCTGTGTCTTGACTTCATCCAAAGCCTGGATGACTTTCAGATGTCCCTCGCCATGGTTCCCCCAGGTACAGAGGAATGTCAAGATTTCGCTCACAAGCTTCCGGGTGGTGAGTCGGGAGGAAATCAGGCATGTGGCCAGGGCCAGCAAAACCTTTGACTGCATCAGGGCATCATCGGCGCCGAATTTGTTGTTCATCAAGGCCTTGAGACATTTTACGATATCGTATTCGCGATCCAGATTCTTCTCTAACCGGGTGTCGACTGTCGAGGACGAAGCCGGTCCTCCGTTGGTGTTCTTCCTATTGATCTTGAGCAACAGAGTGACCAGCGCCACTTGTCCCTGGCACTCGACAAATCGCTTCACCCAGCCGATCTGTTGTGTTCTCAGGTTGACCTCGAGGGACCCCATACCCTTCGCATCCAGCTTGTCCTCCATGACCCTCCTCACATACCATTCGGGGGTGCCCTCCTCATCGGAGTAAGTCGTTACGTCGGGCGTGGTATACTGGTTAGCTCTGGCGGTTTGCTTCCGTTTCTGCTCTCCTTGCCATTCTGTTAAGCGATCTTGGTGCAGCAATGTCCACTTCTTCTCTGCGGGGTAGGCCATCATCTGTCTTCTAGCCTGCTCAGGGAGGTTGTGCCATCCTCGCTTCTGCATGAGTTGCATGAACATCTGTTCGACTACGTAGTTGTCATCGGGTTTAGGGAAGTAGAAGCCGTCGTGGGACGCCGGGCCGTAAGCGCTCATTTTTGATAACCTGTGCGGCTGCTCACGGGGAGAGTGAGGCATGTAATGTGAGCTTCCGGGCGGCGACGGCGCAAGCGTGGTGTGCGAAGAGCGGGCGGAAGCCGGGTTAAGGTAGCCGCCGCCACCGCCGCCACCGTGCGGGTTGTTGAAGCTCTCTCCGGAGGATCGAGCATAGTACGGGTTCTGGTAGGAATCGTACCGGGCAGGATACGAGCCGTTGGTGGTGGAGCTGGATGTGCTACCACGAGCCGCAACAGCTCCTCCAGGCCCGGGTCCCGGTCCCCATTGCTGGTATTGTGCCTGCTTGCCCGTGGTGGCCATGGTGATGTTGTTCACTGACATATTGGACGATGTGCCCGGCCGCGCAGGAGGGTGGGGGTGGGAGTTCTGGCTGGCCATGGTTGACGGGTCGATGGACGGATATTGGTGAAAGTCGAATCCGCTGATATTGAGCTGATGAGGCACAGGCTCGCGGCGCTGTGGCGGCCCTTGATCGGGCCGGGGAAGGAACTCGAGGGAGACTGGCGATCGAGAGCCCGGCGGACCGTCGTAGGGGATGGACGTGATCACACCCGCCATCTGGTTGATGCCAGCATCAGGAGAACCGGGTTGGTCGACCGAAATCGACGACGACTCCCGCTTGTGGCGCGAGGAGCGCGAAGAAATTATGGACGCCGTTTCGAATTGTTCTGACGAGCTCTTGGGATCGATGTCGGTGTAGCGCTTTTCGGCGCGGTGCTTGCCTCGAGAGAAGAGAGATCTGCCGCCGGAAGACTGTCTTGACTTATCGGCAGCGGACGACATGATAATTGATCGTGGAGAGAAGTGGGTAGGCGAAACACGTAACGGCAGCGGAGTGCGAGCCCTGGACCGCTCGCATGATGGAGGCCTAATTTGCCGGCGAAAGAGGGACAGACAGGGCTGGGCCTGCAGTGGGGGGAGGGGGGATCTAGAGGATTATTGGATGGCCTCGGGTTTGGAGTTTCTTTTTGGATTTAGCTTTCTTTTCCGTCCTGCTGTCTGTTCTGGTCCTTCTCTTTTGCGTCCTCTGTTGCTGTCCTGGCCCTTGTCGGCTCTCGAAAGTCGGGCGTTGGTGCTCGTTCAAGGCTGCGATGGCGTGAGGTTTGATGTTTCGGAGCAAGGCTGAGATGCCACAGACGACGGGGCCGCTGAAGGGTCTGGGAAAGCTGGTTAGTGATAGGGGGCGGGGGCGACAGAATCAATCAATGACTGGCGGCACGCACACACACCTGCGCCAGGGGAGTGGGGATCTATGGGATGAAATTTTATGGATTTTTCAGCTTTCTTCTATCCAGACTTGTTGGGTAATTTAATTCTATCCGTCTGCTTGGACTTCAGCTCCTTGTTGTAAAAAGGCGAAAAGGAAGGCTGAAAGAACGATGCACCAGAGCAGACGCTTCCGTGTAAAGGGTCCAGTCCTCCCCTGACAACAGACTGCCGCAACACCGCGAACATACAGCCAACAGGGGGTCTGCCGCTTTTAGGCTCGCTCAGTGGCGAAGCTCAGGGAACAGCGACCGAGCCTGTCCTGTGGCTCTTTCTGGGCCGACCACTAAAAGTGCTAAAAGCGCTAAAAGTGGCGCCGACGGGCTAGGCTGCCCGAAAGCGCTGAAGCAGAACATCGAGGCAGGCAAGGCCAGCGGTGATTGGGCGCTAGGCTGGCGCTGACTTCAGTTGACCGTGGCCCCTAAATCGTTGGCGCCGCAGCATCGACGAGCCTAATTGGGTCCTGGGTGCGTGTGGATCGATAGCATACGGGCAATCGAGGATGGATTATCCATAATCGACGACACGCGGGAAATGAGGACCAGGGAGGTGGAGGAGAATTATTTACAAGCAAGTGGCTGCTGCCGCCAGAGAAACGATGGCTTGACATGTGCGAGCTGAAATAAAAGAAGAGAGGATCCTTGAATCTCAACGGTGGCCTCTTTCTCTTTCTCTTCCTTTGCGTATTATTAAGGCCTTACTACATGTAGCGACAGCAGCGATCCCTGATGTGCGCGGCATTTCAAAGGCAGCGAAACTGCTCAATACGAACCGAGGTGCTTCATGTATAGACCTCCAAAGTCGCATCTGCTAATATGGTGCATGAATTCTTCTCGCAGTACCTACATGTGCATACCTGTTACCTACTAGTAGTACCGCTAGTGCCCGTACTCTCGCCGCAGTGCATTACGTACAAGGTGCATCCGTCTTAGTTGGATAGCATGTATATTGCTGAGGTGCGGAGTAGTAACAACCTGTACATTGTCATTACTTGAGGCTCTACTTGTAGAATAGGGACATCTGTAGCAATCTCCAACAGCCGAGCGACAATTAGAGAGCTCCCAGCCCATGGTCGAGACGTCGGGGGTCCCTCGTCTTATCAGTGGGGAAAGCCGACTTGGTCCATGCCACGCATCTAGAATGCGCCCGTGGAAGCGTCCAATGTCCGATCCCGTGGACCTGCCGAGTGATGCCATAGTAAGCCCACGCGATCTCCCAGCAGTTGGTTATCCGTCAAGTTTCAGGTGCCGTAATAGTAAGGTAGTACCAATGACTGACTGGTCTATAGATGTCCGTATATGGTATGATGTAGTGCTGTAGGTAGAACTGTAGTAGTAATAGTGACATCTATTATGTCTTTGTATGCCGAATTTTAATCCAAGCAGCCATTACAAAGACATCTGCGCATTGCAGCAAACTACCAGTACAAAGAGATGCCGCCATGACATGGATTCTTCGTCATATTAAGGTGCTTCGTATAAACCAGCTGAAAGCAATTGATCATATATCGATCCCTAAAAAATACCTGGAAATACCTAGAAATAGACTGTCCCCCTTCCCCAACAAGCCTAGCCCAGCGGTGTCCCAGCGGGCTCCTCTAGCGCTTCCGGGGTACGTAACTCTCCCCGTTCCGGCTGGCGGCCTGTCGTCGCAATTGCGTTGCGCTTAGGCTTCATCCCGTGTTGTCAGCACCTTCAAAGAAACACCAACACCAAGCGCAAAGCTGCTTGTTCTGCTTGACTGCTCGCTCCGTGGCTAGGGGCCTGCCCTACTACCATGATCGCCATATCACCTCGAACGAGCAGCATCCAGTAGATCAAGAAAGGGACATAAAAAAAATCACCCGAGTTCTTGTCTTTTAAAAATACCAGCGAAAATGAACGACAAACTGGTCGTCGTCAAAGTAAGCCTCATGTGCCTATTTCTGCTCTTCCCGCCGAGACAACAAACTAGTAGCCGTGTATCTACGGCTTCTTCGCTTCCCGTTCTTTATGCCGCAGCAGAGCTAACCGAACCCGCCATCGTCACAGACGCTCGTCATCCCCGCCGTCATCTCGCTCATCCTCTTCCTCATTCTCACCTTCGTCATCGTCCCGATATGGCGCCACTACCGCGTCCGCTATAGCCAGTACCTCCCCATCGATGCCATCTCCGAACAGACAACCTCATGGCGCTACCGCATCACCAATCGCCTCATCAGACTCGCCAGCGTTCCTTTCACATGGAGGAGGAATAGGGAGGTGGCCTCTGGCGCGGTTGATCTCGAGGAGGGAGAAGAGTTGGGAGAGATTGACGACGACATCCGGCAGGTGCTTAACGCTATTGCACGGTCGAGACAGGGGGCCGAGAGCACGAGGCGACTCAGCCGAGAGTAGGTTTACCTTGATGGCGACAGAAGATCTGATCTACCGTGTTGCATGTCGGCTAACTATATCCAAGGCTAGAGGAAGGTTTTATCGACGACAGCGATTCATCAGATTCGGACTAAAAGGAATATATGGCCAATTAACAGAAACAGAAAACCCAAATATGCTATCCATTGCACAACATCTCCAAGCCGCTCCCTTCAGGCTGTAAAAGGCTTGGCCTGCTCAAAAAGCGAACCATAACTAGCCGAAGACAGTTCCATGCTAACCAAGCACTTCAAAGACAGAAATGCTTGCACTTGGATCTACCTCTGTATAATATCACATTTAAGACATTGTCATCTCAGCACCAACGCTGATTCATCAGCCAGCACAGTTTAGTTGGATAACATTCCCATTATTATAATTATAATAGACAAACAGAGAGTCATATATATATGAACCCTAAAATATAATCGTTACCAACCGCTAGCTCAATATTATTTTAACTGTTGTATTCCATGTAACTGCTGAAGCACCGCTGAATGAAGCATCGCTAATACCGCCCACGCATCAATCCAAGGATATAAGGAGATTCAACCAAAAAGAACAGAAAGAAACGAGACTAGAAATCATCCCGTACCAAGCAATAACCCCGCTATCACCTCCAGCTTCATAATCGCTTTCAAAATCTCCAGATTCAAAGTATCTGCAAAAAATCGTTACGTATCAAGTTGTCGATTACCTCGTCTTGTGGCCCCGTTAACACCTCCTCAAGGGGAACATACCCGCCAGCCAGCCATTCATTGATCCACCAAAGCAAGTGTTTACGTCGCAGCTCTGACAGGACTTTGACTCTCAGTCTTCTTACCGCCAATAGTAGCTTCTTTCTAAATGGAGGTTGGCGGAAACAAATCACGTCAAGGAATTTGTGCAGCCGCCCTCTCCGGTTTTCAATCGAGGCTTGCATTAAAGCCATCTCTATTTTTTGAAGCCGCTTGACGTCTCTATTCAACATTCTGCCCCTTCCCTTTCTGCAGAACTCATAAACTGATGGAATGGCAGTAGCTGAGACGTCGGTAAACCATGGATATGGCTCAGAACCGCATGATGTGGTAAGGTGGCCACAGTGGTGTCGGAGGCTGATACATTGGTGAGGGCATCTGATTTGGTCTGTATCAATACGTCCCGCCGACATCCATTCATACAGGCAGCGAATCCCGAAAGAATGTCCACAGGGAAGATACACTTTAGGCTCGAAATTATGCCAGTATTCAATATCGCAAAAATAACAGGCACTGGGGTTGCTCCTGTGCCTGCTAATCTCCACGATGTGTTCAGGTGATATACACACTGGCGTCATCGAATTGACCTCAAATGGACTCTGCATACAATGAGATCGACCAGACCCTTGAGTGGTTAAGCTCGAAGGTGTATCAGAAACAGTAAATGCTTCTGCTTCAGTCATTGCGGCTAGGTTTGAGAGAGTCAGACGTGGCATCGGGGCATCGATTTCCGAAGCATTTTCATCTAGAATATGCTCAGCCGGAATCCCCAACGTCACCCCAGCTGGCGATCCTGATGGACTTAGCGCTGCATCAGCGTTGATTGTCAGGAGTGGTGGACTTCTAACTGGACTTCTGCGAGGAGTGTTGTCAGAGCGAGCGATAGGGGTTGTCTCCTGTGTAATTGTCTGGGTGACTGTGATTTCAAGTTTCTCAGGTTGTTGCGGTTCTGAGTCAGTGATTCTCTTTTTCCGAACCAACGGGAGTCTAAATGCTTGTTGGAGCCGATGTTTGATTGGCGGTGTTGATTGTCCAGCCCCCATTGCGATTCTTCTCTGCAAGGCGGCAGCTGGGTTTAATGATTATGTGATGGCGCTCATAGCGAAATTGGCGGTATAAGATAGGCAAGCGATGTAGCGTATCGTATAATGTAGATGACTATAAAGCTTGAAACGAATGCCCGGTTATTCAATGATTTGCAGAAGATCCATTCAATGCTTTGGGGTTGTGGATGTGGCGTGTTGAGTTCAAGTTGTTAGTCCAATATGCCCCGAGCTTATTCAAGGTACGGTTGCCTCAAATCTGCGCCTTCATGGTCCAAGGATATTTATTATGGCAAGTCCGAGTTTGGTGCTCATTTGGCATGTACCTCATATATTAATATAAATGACTAACACAAATCAAATACTTGATGTTCCTCCTCAACACTGCCTACCACCTAGTATCTGCCTAGGCGCGGTGGGTGCATACCTTAAATGCTAACTCCTTTGGCTTCATCAAATGACTTTACAACTCTAAAGTACCTATTAAACAACCTCGTGAGATCCCGAATACTACTACCTAACAGGTAGTGTCTTATTTATACGACTATTCGTCTTCTGTAGAAGCTCATGATATACAATGCGCTGCTGAGTAGTGGCATATGCCGCAACAGATTAAGAATCCATCTCGCCAAATCTTCATTTCATACATTTTATTGTATTTTCTATACATAGAAAAATCACTCATATTAATCAATTCCCTCAATACTTCATGACTTCCCCATATCCATCATCGATGAAGATTCTACATGCAGTGACGCTCTTCAGCACCAGACCCGCAGCTAACATTTTAGCGGTCCCATGTACCCTGTATTCCATCCACTAACTCCAAACCATATTACAACCTCACTCCCACTTTCACCGTGAACTTGTACATTTTTATGAGCCACAGCCATTACCATTGCCCAGCATGAGGTTCCACAGCGATTTGAAAAACATTCGCACCTTTGCCAGTGAGTTCTTCTACATCATTACCCTAAAATTATCTCAGCTAACCAGCTTTCCAGAGCTCACAGCCGCATTTTCCACCCTGGAGAAGCTGGTATGGCTACGCCTCAGCGATGAAACAGCACACTTCACAGTCGTTCCGGACACAGGCTCGCAAATCTGGTCGTAAGCAACTGTCTCACCAAAATGGCCTCTTTTCCACTCAATTTGAGTGCTAATACCTTACAAAGAACCCTGCCAATGGACTTCCTCTTCGAAAACTGCACCATCCAGTCCGCCGAGCCTTCCAACACCATCAACCTAGAACTTTCCCTCCAGCCCCTCCACCGCGCCCTCAAATCCGCCCAGGGCAGCATCTCAGCTTCCCTACGCCTCACCAAGAAGAAAGGCGTGCCCGTCCTCTCCATGACAATCACCACCAGCACCAAATCCTCCTCCAAGTTCGGAAACGCCCCGCCTGCCGCTGCTCCCCTAAAGCCCCCTTCTTCCTATGATGATCCCTTTGGCGACGTCGACGAAGACTTCCAGGCCGCCGGCGCTGAGCACACCCACCTCGAGACTTCCCTGCGCAGAGAGCACGAGAAGATCATCACCCAGGACATCCCCATCCGCGTGCTGCACCCAGACACCGTCGCCTCCACCGTCCAGCCCTCGCTGCAGGAACCAGACGTCCACATCCAGCTTCCGCCCCTCCTCCAGCTGAAATCCATCTCGGACCGCTTCACCAAGCTCGCCCTCGCCTCTGGCGGCTCCAGCAGCAAGTCCCCTCGGCTCGAGATCAGCGCCAACATGCACGGCGGTTTGCGCGTGCGCATCGCCACGGAGACGGCCGACATCTCCAGCGCCTGGACCGACCTCGACAATCCGCAGCTGGATCCCGCCCAGCTCAGGGTCCCTATTGAGGAGCACCCTAGTACCAAGTTCCGCGATCGTGGACCCGACTCTTGGGCTTCGATTTATGTCGATGGGAAAGACTGGAGCAGAGTCCTTAGCGCCGGTAGGCTAGAGGGAAGAGTCATAGCATGTTTCTGCCATAACCAGTCTCTAGTGTTGTATGTATACATACCGCATTATGACGACGGAGCTGCAGATGATGCGGTCCTCACTGTAAGTTCTAACCCTTGAATTTCACCTCTTCTCATATAAGCTTACAAGGCATAGTATCATGTTCAAGCATATAGTGCATAGCCTGGAGTCACGTTGCAATTCGGCGTAAGAGTATATTTAGGGAGGGGGGGGGAGGGCAATGGTGTATCGAAAAAGGGATAAATGTTTTTTTTTTTCTGTCATTCTCATGAAAGATATCCAAAATGCTAATATGTGTGTAATCATGTCATGTGTATCTGCATCAATCGTCCTCTCGTACCTTCATTCAAGACTTCATTGTTATGAAAAAGACACCTTTCCTCCAGCTAACAAATACATCATACCACGACGTCCAATCCTATAATACAAATACCACCACCATCTGTTACGAAGAGAGCAAAATGCCCATGCAAAAAGTAAAGAGATAGAAACAAACTCCGGCAGTCTATAAAGTGTCTTCGATAAGTCATGCAACTGTTGAGCACTTTTCTGTCGTTTTATTTGGCCATAACATCGACATAACGGCCACCTTTCCTTGCCTTTTTCTGTCCTGGTTTACGGGGTCCAGATGCACTCAACAAGTCATCGATACTGCTGGCATTGCTCATGCTAGTAGTAGGTCTGCTTGATGGTTTGCTATCGGTACTAGCGCTAGACATGGATCGTAACATGGGCGGCGCGCCACCCAGGCTCTCCTGTGATGGGGCTCTATTGAGAACTGCTGGCGGAGCTAACGAACCAAAAGAAGATGAAGGTGGAAGGCTAGATCGGCCTTGCGGAGGAGGCGGTGTTTGTGGAGGCGTCCCGCTGGCGGATCGGGGACTGCCAAGCGCTTTAGGTGGCGGTGGGGTGGCTGCTTTCGCTTCGACTTGCTCAGCTCCGGGCTTTTTGTTGACCCATCGCTTGAGTTCGGGATCATATACAAAGCTGCTTGCTTCACCAAGCTTAGCCTTGATGGGCTTGCCGGGAGATGATGCTTCTCCAGGACTTCCAATCTCTTTCTTGCCGCCACCTCTGAACCAACCTGATAAGCCCCAGCCTTTCTTGGCTTGCTGCGCAGCAGCAGCGCGTTTGGCTACGAATAGTTAGTAAAGATAAATTCTGTTGGAAACTTAAGAGAAACGAAGACTCACCATCTTCTTCCGCAGCCTTGCGGAACATCTCTTCGTTCTCACGATCCTTTTCTGCTTTAGATTTTTCTTTAGGCTTCGAGATACCAAAATCATCATCGTCATCATCCATAAAGCTCTTCTTCTTGGGCTTGGGTTCATCATCATTTTCCTCTGCAGAGGGTCCAAGATCAGGCTCATACGACGGTGGCTCATATCCGTAAGGCTGGAAAGTCGGAGGCTCATAGCCACTTGACGCGCCCTCTGTTACGTCCGCATGGTTGACCCCAGTTTCGGATACGCTGGTATTATTGAGAGAGGGTTCATATCCATAGGAAACTGGCTGGAACGCTGTGGTAGAGGGAGCTGCAGCCGGCTCTTCATGGGGTTGCTGTGATGAGACTGGCTCTTGATATCCGTATGGCTGATATCCACCGAGAGGAGCCTTACTCTCATTACTGACACCAGGAGTCATTGGCTGGTAGCCAAGGCTGGATGGCGCAAACCCATTGCCACGTCCAGGTGGAGAGCTAGGGAGAGAGGGGGAGACTCCGTATGTGCTCGCAGGGTACTCGTTTGAGTTGAGTGCAGGCTGAGAGAAGGAAGAAGGTAGCTGTGTCGATTCAACACCGTAGGTAGGCTGGGAAGTTGCCGGGGCATACCGCGATAATGCCGATGACAATGCCGATGTAGCAGCAGGAGCACCAGCTCCCGGATAAGCAGTTGAGCTGATACCCAAGGTATCAAAGTTGGAAACCGACGGGGAGCGGCTCATGGACGGCGTTCCTATGCGGGCAAATGGACCACTCTCCTCCGCCGGGGCGCCATTGGCGTTCTCAGACTCATCTCCAGCAACAAACTTGTTAAATCTGTTCCACATGCTATCAGATACCTTGTTCATACTAGGCTTGGACATCCATGAGGAGGATTCTTCCCTTGGCGCCTGTTTCAAGCGCCTCATGAAGTCGTCAACGGCGGCCTCCAAGATTGGGTGATGATAAGGCGACCTCTTCGTCTGTGCTGACATGGCTGAGAGAATAGCATCACAATATTGCAGAGCCCTATCTCGGTAGCCATATTCAGCCAACGCGATAGCGTGATGGAGTTTGTAGGGCGCAAGATGGGGGGCGCCAGCAGCGGCAGAAGGAGTGCCCGAAAGTGAAAGTCCGTATTCGTACACTTCGCTAAGCTGCAAAGCCTCCGTATCCCTCCCAATCTGGTGTGATTTTTGGCGGTGATCCGACCCCAATAGGACAAAGTCTACGTTCGGATCATCGAAACCTCCATAAACGGATATCTGCCTGCTAAACATGAAGCAAATGTGGGCAGCTTCAGCCCTTCCATAGCTAGACAAGAGCTTGCCTAGGGCGTTCAAGCCGCGGATGTCGTCAGCGCTTCGGTTGCTTAGAACAAGCGTCAAGGTCTCTCTCCACTTATCCAGCCCTTCCGTAGCGTCCTTGGTAGGCTCAGAGGATGATCCGGTCGAGACAAGCTGCAGGCCAGCACGTGCATGGACTGGGACCAATTCATCGACACAATCGTCATAATTACCGGATAGAATTTTGTAGAGAGCGGCGAGGGATTCATTACTCTGGCCAGGGTGATTGACCTCCTTGCGAACAAACTCTTGCGCAACACGTTTGTACAGGTCAGGTGAGACTGTATGGGAAATGAGCATGGCGTGTCCCCACAGGCGCTTGTCAACTGCTGCCCAGACAGCGGTTTCGCCATTGCCCTTCAGAAGATCCCGGCGGATTTGCTCCATGGTAGCGGAATCAGCCCCGTCGGCCTGCATCGAGGTTGCTGTAGCGCCATTGATGCTAATGGTCGGATCCGTAGGAAACAACGCGTCATTATCGGCAGTAGGGGTTACGGTGCCTGGAGAAAGTACATCTCGCACAGCCTTCTCTGCCGCGGGGTTGCTTTCCAGTACACCGTCATGCTCGATAAATATCCGAAGTATCTTCCACAACAGTAGCCGTTCAATGGTTCGTTTAGCTTCGTAAGAAAGCTGCGGGTGATAGGATACCTCTGGGAGTTCTTTCTCCAAGCCGTCGATTCCAGAAGTAAGCCACGCGAGAACTTCCTTCTTCTTCGACTTGCCTTTAAGCGGACCAGGAAATTTGGCCAGGCGATCCGGTAGAGACTCAATATCCTTGATGTTCTGCACTTTGACTTCTCCCGAAGCTCGTAGCATCGACGGCGCTGTTTGGTTCATGACATATCTCGGGATGCTCTTTGGGAAGGAAGTTACCACGGTACCACCCACTCCCCAAGAGAAAATGGGGACACCTTGCCATCTCTGAAGGGGATCGTGCTCTCGTCCGTCCGTAGGAGCAATCATATTCATATTAAGGGACGGCGGCCGAGGCTGGGCATGGGAAGTATAGGCAATCTTAACGGCGGGGGGGGACACAGGCGAGTGTGAAGAAGCAGGTCGCCGAGCAGCATCTGCAGGCTTTGGGACATACTGGCCACCTCTACTAGCTCCTGGAGACTGCGTATGAGCACGAGGGGGTGGGACAAATCCGGGCTGAGTCGACGGAAGATTGTTAGGCATGTAGCCAGAGCCTGGTCGCTTTGGGGGAGACAACGTAGCCTGAGCGGAAGGAGTGGGCAAAGGTGGTGGCGAGCGAGTGTTGCTCAACTGACGAGCAATAGGAACCAGGTCGTCCTCTTCTTCAACCTCGCGGGTAGGGGGAAGAGAAGCAACGCGAGTGAGTCTCGGTTCGTACGAGGAACTAGCTCGTCGCTCGGCGTGGACAGGTTCTCCATTAGCACCATATGGCTTGTCGCTGCTAATCTCGAAATGTGCCAGCGGACTGGAGGTCCGCGGAAGATGGGGCAAAACAGCTTGAGGCGGCGTTGCTGAAACGGCTGCTGGATTGTAGGTGGCAGTTGGATTGGGGGCGGGTGGCGCAGGAGAATATCGATTCATGGGCGGCGGCGCACTTTGGCTGCCAGCTCCTTGGGGAGGGGGTGCTGGAGAATATCTGGATGCGTTGGCAGCTGGTGAAGGCAGGGGAGCATTTGGCGATTGGAGAGGCGCGTATGGGTTTACTCGCTCAGGGGCCACAAGATTCATCTTTAGGGCGGAGCTGGGAGCTGCAGGCGGAATCTGGGTTGCCATGGGAGGGCTCAAAGGAGACGGTCCATGGGGAGAGGTGGCCAGGCCATACGGGTTAGGAGAGGCTGCTCTGTTGCTCGACCTGGACATCGAACGTGGCTTCGGTGCGGTGGGTAAATCTTCGAAGAACCCCGATTTGTGCCGTAAGAGCGGCGATTTTTGGATACCACCACTTGGAGGGCCGGATTCGGTGGCACTCATGCTGGCACTTCGCGGAGGGGGAGGTGGCTGAAGCGATGAATTGCCCAGTTGTAGTTGCTGCATACTAGCTCGTTTCCTTGGCTTCACTGTAGAGGTAACCAAATCTGAGGGTAGGTCATAAGGTGAAGAGTATCCTCCCTTTGATTTGTCGGCAAAGCTTTGGGCTTTTGGCGATTCCGTTACCTGCTGTGGAGGGGCTTGGCCATATTGTAGCGGAGGCTGAGGAGCCGCTCCTTGGGTTGGAGCACCATAGAACGGGGACTGCAATGGTGGTGTGACAGGAGTATAGGCAGACGCAGATGCAGATCGCTGTAGAGCAGGTCGATATGAAGACGGCGCAAAAGCGGGTGTTGATGCCACACTATTTGTTTGCGAGCTCAATGGTACGGCTTGTGCTGGGGGCTGGGCTTCGTCGAGATCATCCAGCAATCCTTCGTCGTCACTGCCCAGGAACGCGGCTGCGTCTACTTCTGGTTCTCCTGCTGGTGTGTTTTCAATAAGGAAATCGTCTTCATCGTCATCACCAGCAAACGCTTCTTGCCATTTTGACGCGAGGTCTTGAGTTGAGGGAGCCTCCGTTTCATTTGCATTGCCAGCCTCTTCAAGCGCTTCGGGCTCCTCTGTCACTTGGACATCCGGGGCAACAAACCCCTCTTCATCCCACTCGAGCGTTTCGTCCAGCGTTGACTGACGAGAAGGAGGTTCTTGATTTGCAGATGCCAGGACCTGCATAGTTGATTTCCGTTGCAATGGCTCTGCCTCCTCGCCTTTATTAGTAGCGTCAGCTTCGGAATGGTTAATTTGATTGAAAAAGTCGTCATCTTCATTGTCATCGTCGTCGTCAAAAGAAGGAATGTGCGTATTCTCACTGCTAGCTGCAGGTTTAGAGCTGGCTTCTGTGTGCGGTATCAACGGTACGCCTTCTTCATATCGCGCTTCGGATTCTACATCCTCAGCCCATTGGATGTCCCCGCCTATAGATGTAGAGGGTGCATGTCTGTACTGAGAGTTTTTGGAAGGTTTATCCAGAGAATTTGAGGTCAACTGAGAATGCGCATCAGCTTGATACTCTTCTTCTTCAATATGAACATCTCGCTCCATCTCTTCCAGTACGTCAAGCGCCTGGTTCGATGGCAGAGGTGTCTCGTCGATAAGCTCAGGATCTTCTGCCATGAGTGGTACGACAGGAAACGAATTTGACCTCTCGGACGGGGGCATAAACTTGAAGGGATCTGTATCGGTCCTCGACAGAGTCCACTCAGTATCGTCGTCATCGCCGAAACTGATTTCGGTCGAAACGGTGCGAGCAAAGGACATGGAGCTCGAATGTTGCACAGTACGGGTCGCCGGCTCAGTCGAATCTTCTTCCTGGCTCTCCGCTACAGGTGCCGGTGGCTCCGTGGGTTCCTCAGTCGTTACGGGATGCGTCTCTGAGGCCAGCTCAGCACTTTCCTCGACGCCGCCACCACTGGGAAAAGACTGGTCTTCCGCGCCATGCTCGTCCTCGTGATGATGATCAACGCTGCTTTGCTCTTCTTCATGTGCCGGACTATAATCTGAGGCCTCGGGTAAGGGCTCTGCAGATGCTGATGGTATTATGTGTTCGTCGTGGGGTGCTCCGATATCATGGATGCTGTTTGGCATCAAGGCCGGATTCCATGACGAGGTGAGCGGCTCGCTAGCCATGATCAATTGGAGGTCGAAAGGAACAACTCCTCGCCAGCAAGGCGCGAAACACAAGCTGTTTTACTGGCCAGATATGTTAGCAGCCGGAATCCAATGCAGACAGCGCAGCCAACATCGGATATCGGACTCGGTATCGATATCTCGAAGTGCGCGCGAGGACACGAGCAAGTAGGTATCAGTATGTACCTTATACAGAATCGAATCGAATCGAAAGCGAAGATGGTGGATGCTTTAAATGGAGATCATGTTCGGGAGCAAGGGTAGCATTAAAAAACAGCGGATGTCAATGAAGCAGGCCTTGGATGGGAAGAACGACAAGGGCCAGTTGGCACGTAATGCTTGGAGAAGCAGATCAGGAGAAGAAGCGAGCCGAGCACAGAGCACGGGCGTCCAGCAGGTACTGAGTACCTCTGCGCTAGCGGCGTAGTGGGAAAATACTCGCCTAAGAGGCCGTGGTGCAATGTGTTCCTTACCGCGGCGAAGTACTAATGTCACATTCCGTCATTAAGCAACACCGTAACCTTGAAGGACGCCGAGGCTTAGCCGGCGCAACATGCCACCTCCAACGAGCGTGTTGATGCCGCGGAGGAATGTTGAGAATGTTAAGCCGAATTCCCTCTTACGGCGGAGCAAATGCATTTACGGGATGGTTGTCCATTGAGACAGATGATGTTATCTACCATAGCAGCAGCGTCAAGAGCCGAATGGCGCTCCGGCGCTTTGGAATCCCATGCATGCACTAGCAGCCCCCAGGTCAGACCACATACATAGGCACAGACACAGTCTTACGCACATGGCCCTTTCTGATATCGTCAGCCTCGTGTGGCCACCGACCTCCACTGCGTCAGCTCTTATCTTCGCGGCCTATAAGCTCCGCACAATACTAGGTATACATGGGATTATTTGAAGTCGTATATCTGTCCATATCCAGTCGCTGTATGTCTGCTCAGCTACGGTCATGGACAGAGCTCCGGCCATCCATGAGTCAACTGGCAGAGCCCCGCGATTCACCGGCTGTTTTACCTGCATTCGCTATATGCCATCCCTGTGCCACGGGAACGATCCCCGCAGTAGTTCTAGATGCGACAGCCTTCTTCAGGAAGGTCTTATTGGCGCGGGCAGCGATTCGGTCCAGTCGGTGCTGCCATCGCAAGCCGCCTGCATGATACAGGTCGTACTGCTACGGTTGGATGTAGCACTTAGATGCGGGCACATGCACAAGCAAAATACCTGAATAGGGCGCTCCTGTTGGCCCTCAGCGTGGCTGTAGATAATGACACGTACGCCGTAACCTTAATGATAATACATGCCGTAGGCGGTAGCACGGTATCAGTCAAGGTCATAGCTGGAGAAAGCCCTTCATCTGAGGAGCTTATTAGTTTCCAGCCCCTGCTGTTGTGGTTTTGCGTCGATTTCTTCTAGAGGAGAGCTGCTCAGAGTCGCATTCTTGGTGACGACCTCTTGCGTAAGTCTCTAGGCTGCCGTGTACCTACCAAGTACCCAGTGCTTCACAACAACCTGTAAACTCCCAGCATCAGTCAAAAACTGTCAAAGCCTCCAAGCTGTCCTCTGTAGATACCCGCCCATCAGGCATCCATCTGCATCATGTGATGACGACTTCGGCTTCTGTTGAAGATACACACATACACATGAATGCAACTTTATGCATCATCTTGCTTACCTACGCAATTCCAGCGATCGCTAGGTACATGCTATTTGTAGCGCACGTGTGGCTGCTGTCGGCGCCCCACCAAGGCTCTGATGCGACCAAGTCCCCTGGCGTCGGGAATTAGCGCGGAGCCTTACGTATCCCTTGTGTTTGATAACCAGACTTGATACAGCCAACCAGCACTGGCGCTGGCTCCCTCTCAAGCTACAACTAACAAACAGCTTGAGCAGCAGTTCTTTTGACAGAAGAATATATACGTCTAACTCATAGATTCCGCTGACGGACCGTACGCCAACAGCTGTCAACATATAAGGCCCGTTTGGGCGATCTCGGGAGGCATCTGACAGACCGAATAATGCTTCCCGCCGCATTCGCCCACCGACCGTCATAATCTGTTCGCACGTTCTCAGGGCTCGCTCAATTCGCCGATTTCTTGCTCAGGTTTGCAGCATGAGCATCCGGCTACAGCGGCAGCCCTCGCAGAACGTTACATATCACTGAGGCCCCGGGATCAGCTTGATGCGGGATGCCTCCTTCACCTTCATACCAACCGCCCGAGTCTCCGTCTAACGATTCCGACTCTGACCTCGACCTTGATATCCAAGAGCTTGACCCCATTTCCACAGAGCCAGCTCGAGAGCTGCAGCAAAACCACCCCGCTGAAGAACAGAGGGCATCCAGGATAGCTCTAAGGAACTTGCGTATGGGTGGGCTGCGGCGCACAAAGCGAGATAGTGGATATGGAGACCTCGGTCGGAATCGCCAAGACGCAGACGATCTTGAGCAACAAAACTTGATAGGCGATCATGATGAAGCTAGACATCCATGGTCGGAAGCAGGCGGGAGTGGGGAGGATGATGCGCCGTTGCTGGGGGACCAGGGTTCGCCGAATCGAAGACCGCCGCCAACTGGGCGCTTCGGCTCAATACTTCGACTACTACCCAACTTCATGTCACGGAAGAAGCATGATGACAAAGAAACAGAGGAGCAGGAAGAAGATGATCCGTTATCTGCACGAATGATTGCCGTGGGCTCCATGCAAACCTCTCGATTTCCGACCAACATCATCTCCAATGCCAAATATACAGCGTTCACGTTTCTTCCCGTTACTCTGTATAACGAGTTTTCATTCTTCTTCAACATGTATTTCTTGCTGGTTGCGTTATCACAGATAATACCTGCCCTTCGGATCGGCTATTTATCAACCTACATTGCTCCACTAGCCTTTGTGCTTTGCATTACTATGGGGAAAGAGGCATATGACGATATTGATCGGCGGAGAAGGGATAACGAGGCAAACTCAGAAGAATATCACGTACTGCGATTTTCAGAACCGGGAAATTACACAAGGAATAGCAAGCCGCGCAGGCCGTTAAAGTCAGAAACAGTCAGGCGCAAGCCGCGAAAAGTACAAGGCGAACGTCATGACCTCACCGACATTCAGGAGGATAATGAGGATGGAGAGCAGCCAACTTCTGTTGTTCAAGAAATAAGCCGCAAATCAAAAGACTTGCGAGTTGGTGATGTTCTCAAACTTACCAAAGGGCAGCGAGTGCCAGCTGACGTAGTAATCTTGCAATGCCACTCTACCGAGGGGGCTACAACTAACCCGTCAGTGGACGAACCAACCGAACCAGAGGAGGAAGAGACTTTGCTTGCATTTGAAGAGGGAGAATCTAGCTCTAGCGCCAAGGGGAAGGCCCCTGAGAGAATACCGTCCCAGAACGACCATGCGAACAGCGGTCCTTCTGGAGAAACATTCATCAGAACTGACCAGCTGGATGGAGAAACGGATTGGAAACTCAGATTAGCCTCGCCGCTCACTCAAAGTATTGCTCTGGAAGAATTTGTCCGCCTGCGCATAACAGCTGGCAAACCCGACAAGAAAGTCAACGAATTCGTCGGGACGGTTGAGCTGATGCCTACTAGACAAGCTGCGACCAGCCAGCAAGCCCTGTCTGACGGTGAAAGCAGCAGCGATTCTAAATCAGCCGCGCTATCTATCGACAATACGGCTTGGGCGAATACTGTTATTGCATCTCAGGGGACCACTTTCGCCGCAATCTTATATACTGGTCCGCAAACCCGATCTGCATTGTCTACCTCTCCCTCCCGCTCAAAAACTGGACTTTTGGAATACGAGATCAACTCATTGACAAAGATTCTTTGCGCTCTTACGCTTGCCTTGTCTGTCATACTGGTGGCTCTGGAAGGCTTTGAGAAGAGTGGCGAAAACGCTTGGTACATTAAGATTATGCGATTCTTGGTCTTGTTCTCAACTATCGTTCCGATCAGTCTTCGAGTGAATCTCGATATGGGTAAAAGCGCATTTTCACGATTCATACAGCGAGATAAAGGTATTCCTGGGGCGGTCGTTCGCACGAGCACCATTCCAGAAGATTTGGGGCGAATTGAGTATCTATTGAGCGACAAAACTGGCACACTAACTCAGAATGACATGGAGATGAAGAAGATTCATATTGGAACGGTCTCATATGCCAATGAAGCCATGGACGAAGTCCAGTCATATGTTCGCCAGGCCTTTTATATCCAGCCCACCACTGATCCTGCATCTCAGACCGTTCTCATTACTCCATCTTCAGCCATGTCCACTACGGTCAACCTAGGAGCTACTCGTACACGGCGTGAAATTGGATCCCGTGTGCGAGACGCTGTCCTTGCGCTCGCGCTTTGCCACAATGTTACACCAACATCGGAGATCGAAGACGGCAAAGAGGTGACCTCTTACCAGGCATCTTCTCCAGATGAGATTGCAATTGTCCGATGGACTGAATCTGTGGGCCTGAAACTGTCATATCGGGACCGCAAAGGAATGACGCTAGAGTCGACTGAGACTGGAAGGCCTGTTGTCCGCGTACGAATCCTTGACGTTTTTCCGTTTACATCCGAAGGCAAGCGCATGGGAATCGTCGTTCAATTTCTCGAGAACGTGCACGATACCAACTCCAGCCTTGGCAACGGCGAAATCTGGTTCTATCAAAAGGGCGCAGATACCGTTATGAGCCCGATTGTGGCGGCAAACGACTGGCTTGACGAAGAGACAGCCAACATGGCGCGTGAAGGATTGCGAACTCTTGTTGTCGGGCGAAAGAAACTTTCGCATCAGCAGTATCAAGAATTCGCTTCTCAGTACCACGAGGCTTCTCTTTCTATTACAGGAAGAGATGCTGGAATGCAGCGAGTTGTCTCGCGGTACCTTGAGAGCGACCTAGAACTGCTAGGCGTGACTGGTGTGGAGGATAAGCTGCAAAAAGACGTCAAGCCCTCGCTGGAACTGCTGCGAAACGCTGGTATCAAAATCTGGATGCTCACTGGAGACAAAGTCGAGACGGCAAGGTGTGTGGCCATTAGCTCCAAGTTAGTCGCACGGGGCCAATACATATACACCGTCGCAAAGCTCAACAGGAAGGACAATGCCCAGGAGCATTTGGATTTCTTGCGAAGCAAAACGGATGCCTGTCTGCTGATCGATGGAGAGAGTCTTGCACTCTTCTTAACTCACTTTCGCATCGAGTTTATCTCCATTGCCGTTATGCTGCCTACTGTGGTTGCCTGCCGATGCTCGCCCACACAGAAAGCTGAGGTAGCGAAGCTCATCCGCGAATACACAAAGAAGCGGGTGTGCTGTATTGGCGACGGTGGCAACGATGTTTCCATGATCCAGGCTGCCGACGTGGGAGTCGGTATCGTTGGTAAGGAGGGTCGACAGGCTAGTTTGGCCGCCGACTTTTCCATCGAGCAGTTTTGCCATCTGGTCAAGTTACTGGTTTGGCATGGGCGAAACAGCTACAATCGCAGTGCGAAACTGGCCCAGTTTGTCATTCATCGTGGTCTCATTATTGCGGTCTGCCAAACTATGTATAGTATAGCCTTGAAATTTCAACCCGAGGGATTGTACAAGGTATGTAAATCTTTTTTTTTCCTTGTTAATCTTTTCCGCTGCTAACATGGAATAGAACTGGTTGATGGTTGGTTATGCTACCGTCTACACTGCAGCTCCCGTCCTTTCACTCGTCCTGGACAAGGACGTAGACGAGGACCTGGCAAATCTGTACCCCGAACTATACAAGGAGCTTACTTCAGGCGCTTCTCTGTCTTACCGCACATTCTTCGTCTGGGTATTCGTGTCAGTCTATCAGGGCGGCATGATCCAAGGCCTCTCACAGATCCTCACAGAAGTAGACGGCCCGAAAATGGTTTCCGTCAGCTACACGGTTCTAGTGCTCAACGAGCTTCTCATGGTGGCCATCGAAATCACGACGTGGCACCCTATCATGATTTTCAGCATTGTGGGAACGTTTATCTTTTATATCGGATCGCTGCCGTTCTTGGGCGACTATTTCGACCTTGAATTTTTAATCACCTGGTATGTTCCCGCACCCCCTGTTCAAGTAAGAATAATAGCTAATTGTTTTTTTTTTTTTGTCAGGGGATTTGTCTGGCGTGTGTTGGCCATTGGATCTATTTCCTTGATCCCCCCGTATGCAGGAAAGCTAATTAGGAGGACGATGAAGCCTCCCTCTTATAGAAAGGTGCAGAACAGGTGATCTTTTTCTTTTTCTTTCTCTTTTCCTTTTTAGTCCACGGTTTGAGATGTGTAAAAAGTGAAGAGAAGGGGGATGTGGCGTATTGGCGACTGAGCGATTTTCTTGTTATGCGTTGCAATGTAGGCACATAGATGGTGGTTGTTATTGTTATTATTTCTGGCGAAGAAGATATTTGAAGATTCAATACACTCAATTCTCAACACACTTGAATATGTTAGTGTACATATGCGCATCTATGAATTTACGTATCTTGGGCCATAATCAGCTCTATATTCCTTTTTATTATGTCCTTTTTATTATGCATTTAAATCTATAATACGCCAACGCTACAGCTTCAGCACCAGCCATTCGTTCGCTAGCCCTGGATATTTTCGCTGAAGCTGTCCTGCAATACCTCCCACCGGACCCTGAATCTGCTGCCCTTCAAGCCATCTCTTAGGACCCGAGTAGTGAGCGACAAAGCCATCCGGGCCGGAAATCACAAAAAGATTCTTCCCAGCTCCAGCACCGCATTTACAGTCATCAGCTGCTGCAGGAGCCTCGAATTCGGGAGCCAATTCCAGCGCTGAAGAGTCGTGTAAACGGCATCCGGGAGTGGCGATGGGTGAGACACCTTGGTGGTTCCCCGATGAGATGGCCTTTTGAAGGTCTGACTCACGGAACTGCGTTTGTTCGTCGTCAATGGCGACTTGGATATGCAGCCGCTTGCCGTATGCGTTCTTCATGGCTTTGAGCTGTCGCGCCACAGGGCTGGGATCTTGCAATTGAGAATCCAGTTCTACCAGTTGGTTACTCTCTGAAGACCAAAACTGCCACCACGCCGGCCGTCTTCTCGCCGGGCCGTTGGCACGCTGTAGCTCTTCTCTCTTTCTTATCGCCCAGAGGAGATGCACGTGTGCTTCCGGGCTTTGATCCAACACTGCCTGAGCGACTTGCATTGCTGGGGCGACGCCTGTCCCGCCAGCCAGAAAAACGACTTTCTTCATGTTGCCGAGTCTTGCCATGATATCGAATCCGATATGCGGTCCTCGTAACCAGACGTCATGGCCTACACGGAGGCGGCTAAGATAGTGGGACATTTCGCCGCCTCCTATGGCACGCACGTAGAATCTAAGTCTTCCATCTGAAGGATCCTCGCCATCCAGAGGCGGTAGTGGCGTGTAGTGGCGGGCGATTTGGACTTGGGGCTGTTTGAACTCGACAGACCATTGGGGGTAGCGCCATGAAGATGTGTCGGGAGTGAGATATGGGAGAGAAGGGTTATGGTGCTGAGGCGAGATTGTGAAGACGAATGATGTAGGCGAGACGGCTTCGCGAGAAGTTATTGTGTAAGGGGCGAAGTAGTCGGCATTGAGGAGGGTTGGTTTGGAAGAAGTGGTGGAGTAGTAGATGATGGAGCCGCCGAGGATGGCGGTGGTGATGAGAATAGGAACGGTCTTTGATCGCTTGGCGTGAGATTTAGTGGTTGCCGTGGCGTATTGTCGAGAACAGCATTGTATAGATGAGGGTGTTGCTGTTCTTATTGAGATGGCTTTTGTGAGATGAGCTTTATGAAGCCTGGCTGCCGAGAGGACAGCTCCTCGGCTTGACATCTTTTAGGTATTTGCGAGTTGAATTGAGTAGATTTTTTAAAAAGAAAAGATTAAGATGAAATTTTTTTTTTTATTTTTTAGAAAAGAAAATATGATGCAATAGAGACGAATGAAATAATGAGATGCTGCTTAAAAAGATGCATCCATCACAAGCGTATAAGAGGGAAAAAAAGCACCAACAAAAGATCAAAGACGGGTCACGTGCTCCCATATATTTCGCAACCCAGCAAAGCAGAACAAAGCAGAACAGATGCAATTTCCATCCTCATAAAATGCTTTCTCTCCTAAACATACATGAAAAAAAAACCCCCAGACGCCAATTCACCATTTCTCCATCTTGTTCTTTTTTTAACAATCTGAAATAAATAAATAAATAAATAAATCCCACTCCCCCCTCAAAACCAAAACCAACAGATAGATATTATTCAATTCAAGCAATCAAAATCTCCAAGCTATTCGACTCATACTGGCCCGAAAACTCATCCGGGTTCGAAACATCATCCCAGTCCGCCTCGTCAATATCCTCCGCGCGGCGCCTCCACACCGACATCCACTGGCCGCTCAGCTTCACCGTCGCCGACGTGCCCAGGCGCCGCAGCGGCACCGGATCGCGGAGCACAATCTCGGCCGTCTGGCTCTCGCCCGGGCCGAGCGTCACCATGGTCTCCTTTGGCGGGGGCCAGGCGCGCTTGAGGCGGATTGTAGGGTAGTCGAGCGGCGTGTTGCTTGCGCTTGCGGTGCTGCTGTCGCTGTCGTCGCTGGAGGAGCCGGAGCCCGGGTAGATGGCGAGGTTGCCCAGCTCGAGGATCAGCTGGTCAAAGGGCGACTGGTATTCCGCGATGGTGACGAGGTGCGAGTTGGTGTTCTTGACGGTGGCGATGATGGTCGGCGGCGACGTCTTGCTCTGGGTGATGGAGACTTTGAGGCCGTTGAGGGGGTCTGCTGAAGCCATCCTGATTGCGTTCGTTTCTCCGATGCTCGGCTTTGTCTCTTGTTGTGCCTTCTATCCTTCCCTTTTTTTTTCCTTATCTTTGAAACAGCCTTGTCTTTTCTGAAAGAGAGAAAAGAAAAGATAAAGGTCAACGCCTTTTTTTATCTTTTTATCTAGGTAAAAAGAGACGTCACAGGCGTTCAAAGGCCGTTTTGGGTGTAACGCGCAACTCAACTCCGGATCCGGCAGCACGAAAATGGGAGCTATTCCACGGTATCACGAGCATGTATGGAGCCCACTCCGTACACAGGACGCGATTCGTGGGTCCTTCGCCTTTATATATAGGTACTCGCGGCTGTCCGAACAAGTTCAATCTCGGGTAGCCCCGACTATTAGAGTATAAGCACACACAACTCAGCGACGCATGCAGTCATCAGGCTCGATGCATGGAACAGGGTGGGTCGAGACAAAGAATATGGTTTGATATTCAAACACTAGCACAGGTCAGTCAGTCAGTAGCACGACCAGTAATACTTACAGGAGTCGTATGGCGATGTCCTCCTGCTCGTAGTGCCAACACCCTGCCTCCATGTGCCCACCTCCGTCAGCCAGCCAGTGGTTCACGCTGCGAGACGCGGCACTTGTAAGACGCCCACTCTCAGCGATGGATTCCGCCAAGAGCGGCATGGCATGTACATGCATACAGACATGGGGCGGCTATATTATGGATGGGCGGGCGGCTATACTCGCAGGAAGCAGCCCCATGGCTTGCGGCGGGTTTCACTGTTACCGTATTAGCTGGGCAAACTGGGGTAATCACATGCGAATGTATAAAATAAATTAAATCGCCGTCTGTGGGCGGATCGAAGCTGCCTAACCCAGGCAATTGTCCGAGCGCTTGCCGATCCGTCGAACGCCGGATGAGGCCGGAATGCTGGCGGCCGTAGTAGATGCAGGGTCCCGATGTCTCTGATTCCGAGCACTTGGACGTCACGTTTTCCTCTTCTTCAGCTCGGCGTGCTCTATTTCGTCTTGAAACGTCTACATAATCTATCTAACCTGTATTACTATGTGTATGACTAGTAGTATATCCATAATACAAACCCACACTCTTACTCTCTGTCTCATCATCAGGCCACCGCCAACCACCATCATAACCATCGTCACAACCTCAATATCCGCCTCTGTGCATCAATGCCTCCCCGAAACTTGTCTTCCACCACCCGTCCTCCCATCACCGTCTCTCCCACAAGTCCCTCCACATGTTTCGGCTCAACCCTCCCGTACCAAACCCCGCATCCCGCCAAGGCATGTTTCTCGCCCTTTGCATTCGTAAAACCAGGCGGGATATAGATGATCACGTTACCAGCGAATTTGTGTCCTCCAACATGGCTAATCAGCCCAACCCTCGCCACTTTCTTGTCCGGGCTGCTGCTCCCTTCGATCCTCTTCGTCTCCTCGCCATCCAGGCTCCCAATCTGAACCGCGTCCTTGGCAACGTTGAACCCTGCCATCTCAAGCTTCTCTTCAAACTCCGTCCTCAAGACAGGACCCATCGCGCCGCATCGTAAATCCCGTCCTCCATGCCCGCATATCAGCACCAGCACGTCCTGCACGTCCTGCACGCCAGGCAGAAGGCCCTGGAATGCCTCCTTGCGAGTCAGCCGATCGCGGTGTGCGGGCGATAGTCCGTCGTGGGCGCGGTGCAGCTTTTCCGGCAGTAGGAAGCCCTTGGCGAGGGCCTTGACGCTGTCGAATGACACGCGCGGTAGGAAAGGGACGTATTTGAAAGACGGTAGCAGGTAGGCGGACGTTGACTGGACTGCCTTTCTGGGAGGCACCGAGCTCGGAAACGAAGAGTTGATCACGGAAATGTGATGAAACGGCTGTTTATACGTAACTCATTAGCTTCTGTAGTTCCCACCCAAGCATTTCCAGCTTCGAACTTCGCTTCACTTCACGTCACTTCACTTCACTTACATCCGTATACTTCCCCCCTCGTCCAAAAAGCTCCTTCAGGTCCGCTGCCAGATTGTCACCGCTGTTCTCGTCCTCAATCTTGGACAGCCAGTCGTCCTTGCCCGTACACACCACAACATGCTCTGCATATCCGGCCATGACACCATTCAGCGGGTTCTGGTGGTCAATCTCCAGCCCGTCTGGCATGGCCGGCGTGTCGGCGCATCCGCATGTCGGCGACGGACAGGAGGGCACGACGGGAAACGGAGGCGGTTGCGGCGGTCGCGCAGCCCTTGAGGCGATGCCTCGTCTTGCTGCGATTGTCGCTGCTGGGACGGGGCTGGGACGGGGAGACAGCCAAGCTCTAGGAATTTGGAACTGGATCTGGTAAGGCGACGATGGCAGCAGCCTCAGCGGCGGGTGGAGAGGTATCCGCAACGACATACTGGCGAGAAGTGGCAGAGACGGATGCCAACGCTCGACATGTTTATGCTATGATAGAGCTAGAAAAGAAGAAGAAAAAAAAAAAGATTCTAACAAGGCGGCAATCGGCATGTACAAGTCACGACGGGCTCGCAGTGGTGATAGCACTAAGCCCGACGCTCTCCATTGGCAATGCAGGGATAATCAAAAGATGGCGAATCGGAACGGGTCAGTAGTAATAGTGGCAGCAAAGGTCCAAGAATCTCGGAGACCGAGATGCGGGCTTTTGGCATTTTCTTTGCCTCTGCCCGGCAGCAAAAATCCCCACCACGGAGCGGCCCCACGACGCTAAGCTGGTAGTGGCGGGTTGTGTATGATGATGCAAGGCTCAATGTTTATAAAGCTCGATGAAGTAGACAGACTATGCCTTGAGAACGGCTAATAATTGTTACCCAAAATATGTAGTAGTATTAGTTGAAAACAGTATGCTGCAAATATCGCTACCCTCTTCCCCTCTTTCTCGGTATCTGTCTGTACGGAAATCTCTATGTGAAATCGCCCATGCCTAAATACACAATACTGAAAGTATGTCCTCCTCTATACAATGAATTCCTTGCAGTCTGAATAGTGATCCCATATAAAATGCCCTTCGTCCAATTTGCTATCCCAATGCCCAAAAGAATAAAACGAATCAAAGAAACAAAAGAAATAAAAGCTGAGATAAATACCTTACCTTCTGGGCTCCTCACTCCCTCCAACTTCCCCCTACACCTGATAATTCAGCGCCAAAGTCAGGCTTATGTGCCTCTTCGGTCGCAGTATCCGGGGAGCTTGGGCTCGGAGTTGGCCCAGCTCATAACGGTCAAGCTAGTGGTGTAAACCATGGCAACGAGGCCAAAGATACACAGCGCAATATCGGAGTATCGCCAAAACTTGTTTCGTGCGACTGCCTTGTAGTGGAGCAGAGGCTATAATAAGCAAAGTCAGTATATTGTGCAATTGATGCGGGTATAATTAGGGATAAAAGGGGGGGGAGGGGGGGGAAAGAAGAAGAAGAAGAAGAAGAAGGGGTTACTTACAGGATAGATGTAGACCAAGGGGATACAGGCAAAGTTGCCCACCAAAGCCACAAACTTATCCAGGTTGTCAGCACCACCCCAGGCAATGCCAGCGCACATCGCCACCAAGAAGAAGCGGAAGATGTTCTTCTGCCACTTGATCCAGGGATTGTACTTGCCACTCCTCGTAAACAGCGCAGTCTCGGCAATACGGATAGCAGGGAAAATTTGCAGCGGAGTGGACAGTAGAATGGCCATCGAGTAGAGGAGCTGCACGGTATTGACCATGCGGTTATCCTGCGGCAGGTTGAGAAGGACAACAGTTTGCGTCTCGGATCCGTACGCAGCGTAGGAGATGGCGCCCATGACGGTGAAGAGAACAGTGATGATAATCATGACCAGGAACATGACCCTGGGGAACTTTTCCGGCTGCTTCATCGATTCCTGGATGGGGATAATAAGACCAATACCCTCGAAAGTAAAGATGGCTGTACCAATGAAGAGCGTCCAGTCTTTCTTGTTGAACATGATGATATCGGCAAGGCCGTTGGCGGCGAGCGTCAAGACGTCGTAGTAGAAGAGGTACGCGAGCCCTATCAGAATAAAGGCATCCGCAATCAGTGCTGTAAATCCGAGCTTGCCAATGTCTCGAATGAGAGAAAGCGGCAGGAAGACAATCATCTGCAAGAGAATCAACATCGGGATACTAATAGACCTTTGGCAGTCTGTCACGGCCAAGATAAAGGCTTGCAAGTTCTCTGAAGTAAACACGATGTAGGCGGCGACAAATCCAATCTGGCTGAGGACAATCGAGGCAAGGATGATGGCTCGCATCCATTTTCCGTACAGAATACCGCCCATGTCACCAAACGAGCCCTCGACGTTGAGTCGTGTCGTAACCAGCAAAACAAAGCAGTAGTAACTCAGCAGCGCCACGCCAATGAGGACAAGGTTACTGAACATCATACCACCGTTGAGGTAGGCACGCGGCAAGAACAAGACACCAGTTCCGACAAAGGATTTGAGCAGCAGCAGAGCGGCGTTCATCTGGCCATTCTGCCCGCTACCGCCACGGACCTTTCTCTTGCGCTTCTTTTTCGAGGGACCAAGCAGCGCACTGTCCTCCATTGCCTCTTCTTCTTCTTCTTCGCCGTTATCTTCGCCAGACGGAAAGTATTCGTTGGGGCCGAGAACCTCGTCGTCTTCTTCCAATTCTTCACCGGCAAAGTGGCCATAGATGGACAAGAATTCGAGGAAGCTTGATGTAAATAGGGGTCGTTGATTGCTGCCCGGGGAATCGACACCTCCATAACCATCTTCGTGGTGTCCAGACGGGCTGATGACGTTTCTCCTCAGGTGGTTCCTTCGGAAGCCTCCTGGCACTTTGATGGAGTTGATGTCAAGGGTGTCGTTTTCAGGCTCGGGTCTTGAGTGGTCAAAACTCTTGCTACGCTGCATCCTCGTCTTGGCCTCTGCCTGTTCAGTCCACTTGTAGATCCCCCGTGTTACATCCCCACCTTGCAGACGCAGACTCGAGAATTCGTCCTCGTGCAGGCCAGTAGTACCAACCCCGAAATCGGCAGCCTGTTTGCCCTTGCCAGTCTCGGATGATGCCTCTGATGTGGGGTTATCCATTTCACTGGGCTGCACCAAATGCCTCTTGACAATCTCCGGGTCCTCGTATGGCCCAGTGCTCTCCGCCCCAACGCGGCTTCTCGAGTCAAAGGAGCCATAATTTGTCGGTGTGGCAGAGCGGCCTCTTCCGGGAGATAACGGCCGGACCGGCGGTGTGCTGACGCGGGCTGGAGGAGTGCCGTGTCGTGGCGGCGTTTGTCCCAGGGAGTCGGACAAGGCGGCAGCCAGAGCAGATACGCCAGGGCCTTGGGCGAACGCTGGGCTGTCGCCGCCTTCGGGCTTTGCGAATCCCGGACGAGGCGAGCCGCTTCTCATGGGCGATCCAGCTCGCACGGGCTCGGCAAGTCTCGCGGTGAGCTCGTCTCGGGGCAGAGATGACGAGAATGGCCGCTGCTGGGAGAGGCTAGGTGACGAAGACCTCGCCATGATGTCCTGCGGTATCCCGCTTCTCGACGGTGAAGACATGATTGTGGATATTCAAGCTCTGTTTAGCTTAGAGTTGGTCTCCTATCGCATATCGGGGCTGATACAGACGAAAAGTGTTGTGCTCTGTGTTGAAAAGCGTCGGCGAACCAAAAGGATGCGAACCGCGCGAGGGAGACTCGGTGACAAACCGAAACACGGGCAGATTAATGATAAAGCGCCGGCGGCGTCCAAGGTCGAGGCTCGCGGGATGAGTCGATGATTTGAGGCTGCTGTGTTTGCCTTGGCCGACGCTGATTGAATTGGGAGTCTCTGGGAGGAGGAGAAAGGACAAAGGGCTGAGAGATGATGGAAAGTGAAAGAGAGAGCAAGCTAATCTGCCCGGGTCTCTTTGGCCGAAGCCACGAGAGTGCGTGCCTGCTGCCAAAAGGTCCTGCACTAATGACGGACAAGGCCGCACTAAAGCAGCTCAGGTAGCGAGGTACTTGTGCGCTCGCCTTGGCACCGGCGCTATGCTAGGTACTCGATAATAGCGGTATGACTGTACAGTACCTTGTAGTAGTCGTCAGGGCTCCAGCCTGCGCCAGCCCACGCTGTGGCGGCTGCGGTCTGGTGACTGTGCTAGGGGACCACAGTTACTGGGGACTGCTAGGGAGAACATGCTGGGGGGCTCAGCAGTGGGCCTCCGGCGGCTAAGGCCCGCTATGACAGCGAGAGATCGGCCCCAAAAGGCGCGATTCGCAGGCTGTTATTGAGCAGCCAATACGGGGCGGCGCTTGAAAGGGCAGTTGAGATAGGGCTTGCATGCATGCATACAAACACACATTTGACATGTACAATCCTGCGTTATAATACAACGACAGTTTTTGGCCAATCCATCCAGCACGCAGGCACCACCGCGCGAATGACATTATTTGACTCATCGATATCAAACGAAGAAGAGCAGGGTGTGGAGGGGTTTACTTGATCAGGGCCCTCGGTCGATATCCGTCGGCACAACCCGCAGATGGACTTGTAATACTTATCGGGATATAAATTCGTCGAGCCCGTAATTATTTTCTTCTTCGTCTTTTTTAATATGTGAAACTTGTTTTCCCAGTCATATACATCATATTTGGTAAAGCAGTACTTCATCTTCTGCATAGTCAGACGTAGCTGGATGTACATATTACTTCAAGTTGTCCTGCTCCGCATCTACTAAGATGGGTGGCATTAAATTACATGTCTCAAATCGACGCTTATCGGAACCATGAAGAGAGAGAGCCGATAACGGGAATACGAGATACGGAGACGGCAGAGCTGATTCGCTCTGTCTCATACCAGTACGAATCGATATATTACGTGATCTGATACTTGCCTGAGACTGTTTCATTACTTGTGATTGATATTCCCAGCAGCTGTTGTGACGCCGTGTCCAGTCCGATATAGATAACACTGACGCACAAGGCCCGGACAGAGTGCACGATGTCTGCGGTGCTTGCGACCACAGTAATGCTCATGCCCAAAGCAGCTATGTACACGTACAGCATGAGACTCTGCCCTGTACTTTTCTGTCAGCAGTCGAATTCCTGGCATCCCAGTCCATGCAGCACCAGAGCCCCAAGACCAAGCCTTCGGGTAAGGGCGGGAGAGAACATGAGCCTCATTGGATGGCGGGGCGGACACCGAACGCCCGTTATCTGCGCAAACAAGCACACAACGGCGAGCCACCAGCATTATCACGAGGCTGACCACACATTCAGATGACTGCTGAAGATGAAGGCTGTGGCAGCGCAGCCATGCGTCTCCCCGCGTTTCTCTCCGGATGGTTCAGATCTCGATGCACATATCACAGGCGGCCAGAGAGTAGCAGAACATGATGCACTTGCCAACGTTGGAATACCACGGGACGAGCCGATGCGACACTAACGATGATTGTCCACCGAATTTCTCCGTGCAGATGGTCCGATATGGACATGTATATTATATTAAGGTACCTACATTCGTACATACGTTGGCCCATACATGCACACTCTTCAAGTGCTTGCTTTTTCTTCCAGGGTCCAGCCCAGCAAGTGCGCTTTCATCGCTAGTAAATCTATGGCTTAGCTATTTGCTGAAAGGATTCAGCACTCCTTGTGCTGGGCGGCGGCTCGGAATGCCGTCATGGCGCGTGATATCGCCTAGAGGCGGGGCAGCCAGAATGATCGCCACGCATATGCCCAGCCGTTTCTCGGAGACTAGGTTCTCTTTATGTCGCTTCACTCATCTGGTTTTGGCATGGATATGTAGATTGGCGGCTCTCCTTGTTTGAAGTAAAAAAAGAAAGAAAGAAAGAAGCCGGCGTCGACGACATATTGCAGCCCTACCATCGGCAATGGCACATCGTGACCATCCCTTGTCGCTGCGATTCCTGATTAGACACTCAGAGCCATAAACCGCCCACAAATCATGCTCCCCAAGTCCCGCAAGGACCGGCTGAAGATCGCCCTGTCCATTGCTGGGATGACGACGATGCTCTACACCACCATCGCACGATTGCGGAGCCTGCCATTCCCACCTGATCTGTGGCTTCTCCAGCAGAGACCAGCACTGAGCCCAGCTAGCCCAGCACTAACACTCCATACGAGTTCGTAGCGCACAGCAGGTCTATTCGCTCCGTCTATGCCGCTAGAGTGCTGAGACTTGATGCCGCAAACAAGTCGTTGCGGTGTAAACCCCCGTGTACATGTAGGCAGCGCCAAAGACTCGCCCACATAATAGAAGCTGCCTCTCCTGGACTGACAAAGGGTCGATACGACATCGTACATATAGATCCGTCAAAGAGAGCCATTATAGGTGATAGAGCATGCATATACACATGCACAAAATGCACCCAAACTTGATTTCGGTAGCAGCTTTATTCGGGAACTGTCAGGCATGATGGCGTCGATGGCTCTCTCCTCTCTTACATGAGTCGCCGCTCGCGCTGCTCAAGCCCCGCTGCAGATCCCAGACCCTTGGCATGACGCCGGCCTTGAATGATTGCTTGATCTCAACGGCGTTTTACACAAGTTCAGCAGCTAGCTCAGATACTGATATTAACGCCATTGCCCAAGTGCCGGCCCGTGTCCTTTTTGATGGCCTCTCCGTTACTTACACTTGTGGCTTGACAGAGCTGTGGAGAATGTCTATGGCACTATTGTTTTCTTTATATTTTCTCATGTTCAATTTATAGCACCTAGACAACCTTTATTCTTCACGTATTACCGCCGTTGGGTTATATTCAAGACATTGCAGCGCGCCAGGTTCTAGGGTTGGTTGGATGGATGGAGGTGGCCCTCTGGACTTCCACGCTCGTTGACAATATTCGCACTCTTGCCACGCGACCTTGAGCGTCCTACTTCTGAAAGCATCCCCCCATGCCTTATCAAACACCAGAAAGAAAAGGCTCTTTGACGGTATCTATGGAGCCTGCAAAGGCCACTGGAGGCGCCGGGTTAGGCACCATATCTGGCGTCTATATCCCCGTATACCTCAATATCCTGAGCATTCTCATGTTTCTCCGCTTTGGCCAAATCCTGGGACAAGTTGGCTTCATCGGAATCCTAGGTAAGTCGCAAATAAGAACTGCAATACATTACAACGTTCATTCTCAACGTGTTCTCACCATATCAGGCCTTCTCCTCGCCGCCTATTGCATTGATCTGCTCACTGTCCTCTCTCTATCTGCTATCGCGTCCAATGGAGAAGTCAAAGGCGGCGGTGCTTATTACTTAATCTCTAGGTCTCTCGGCCCGGAGTTTGGTGGCTCTATCGGCATCTTGTTCTATCTAGCTCAAGCTCTAAACACTGCAATGAATGTAGTTGGTCTCATCGACTGCATTCGACTTAACATGGGATCCAACTTTCCTCAAGGGTACTGGACTGGCTATGGACTTCAAACAGCCGCTTTAGTGCTTTGCACATGTCTTTGCTTGCTTGGCTCATCAACATTCGCAAAAGCCTCAAATGCACTGCTCATCATCCTTACAGTGGCTGTTCTGAGCATTCCAATATCAGCCGTCTTTAAGTCTCCGTTCGAGGATGTTACAGCTGGAGTCAATTTCACTGGCATCAGTGCTGATACGCTCATTGGAAACTTTGCACCTCGGCCCTCTGATAGCAGCTACGAAGGCCTCAAGACATTTCGTGACTTATTTGGTGTTCTCTTCCCGCGAGTACATTCCACTATTCATCCTTAGCGAACGATGTATACTAATAGTTGTAACAACAGAGCTACCTCGGGAATATTTGCCGGGGCTTCTATGTCGGGTGATTTGAGAAACCCAAGCAAAGCTATTCCGCATGGAACACTATGGGCTACCCTTACAACATTCATCGTGTATTTCACAGTCATCATCTCCATGGCAGCGGCCACTACTCACGAATCTTTTCTGGCCAATAATAATGTCATTTCTCTCACAAGCTTATATGCCCCTATTATCCTGGCCGGTGAATGTGCAGTTACATTCTTTTCGGCTCTTATGGGGGTTATCGGCTCAGCCAAGCTATTTCAAGCGCTCGCTCGGGATAAGCTCCTTCCAGGACTGTCTGTTTTCGGAAGAGGAACTAAGATTGGTGATGAACCGATATTTGCCATCTTCTTAACCTATGCCATCGCCCAAGTCGCCCTTTTTGCGGACCTGAATCAAATCGCCACTCTCATCTCTATGGGTTATCAGGTAAGTGCAGGAGCCAAAGACATATACCCCCCCTTCTTTCTCTCGATACTCGGCTAATAAACAAAAATAGATGACATTCTTTGTTATGAACTTGGCTTGTTTCCTATTAAAAATCGGATCTGCTCCTAATTTCAGACCTGGCTTCCAGCTCTTCAGTGCCGAGACGGCTTTTTTGGGAAGCCTTTTCTCCGCCGCAGCCATGTTCTTTATCGACGAAGCCTATGCTTCAACCGCAATTTGTGCTCTCATACTAGTGTTCTTGCTGATTCATTACCTTTGTCCGCCCAAGCACTGGGGGGATGTCTCACAGAATCTCATCTACCACCAAGTGAGAAAGTATCTCTTGAGATTAAAGCCCGAGCATATCAAGTTTTGGAGACCACAGATCATACTCCTCGTGAATAACCCGCGACGGCAAACGAGGCTAATTCAGTTTTGCAATTCTTTGAAGAAAGGTTCGCTTTACATCCTGGGCCACGTTATCGTAACGGATGACTTCAACACAGGAGTTCATGAGGCGAAACTGCAGCAACAGGCTTGGACACGTTATATATCGGAGTTTTCAAGAATCAAAGCCTTTGTCCAGCTAACCATGTCGCCTTCGATTAATTGGGGTATCCGAAATCTCATCCTGTCCTCAGGCCTAGGGGGCATGCGGCCCAATATTGCCGTTCTGGGATTTTACAATATGGAAGATCTACGGAGATCTAGCCATCGACTACGAGTGCCGGACATTCCAATGGCTCCGGCTTCTAAAATGAATCGTCCGCCAAAATCTCAAGGCGGAACCTCTACACGACGCCGTGGCGATACATCAGCCCGTTTGATGGAAGGCTTCTTACCAACTGATGCGATTCGTACGGAGGATATGATGTCTCCCACAGAGTATATGACAGCATTGGAGGACTTGACTTTGATGTATCGGTTGAATGTAGCGGTGGCATACGGGTTTGACGCCCTAGAGACGCCTCGAAAGGACGAATGCAACGCAAAGAAGTATATCGACTTGTGGCCGATCCAAATGTCTGCCGAAGTTTCGTCCGAGGGTAAAAATATGTTGACTTCTAATTTTGACACCTGTAAGTATAATTGCATTGGTTCTCCTCACTCAACAATTCATATACACTCTGGTCCTCTGGGAAGGACTAACATCTGATAGACACGCTCATTTTACAACTAGGCCACATTCTCCGCAGTGTTCACACTTGGAAACGAGCTCACACGCTGCGAGTCATGGTCTTTGTTGAATACGAAAGCGAAGTCCAAGAAGAGTTGGCACGAGTCCGCGCCCTTTTGGAGAAGCTGCGCATAGAGGCTGAAGTTCGAGTCTTTTGGCTGGCATGTGGCCAGTTGGACACGTACGAGCGTATCATCAATGGCAAAGGCAGTAGCATAGACTGTGAAATCATTGTTGGCGACGCATTGAGGGATGAAGAATGGTGGAACGACCTGGAAGACTTTCGTGGACAATCTGAGCCCATGTCAACTAGCCAAGAGTTTACACACCTAGCGCACATTATTACTTCAACCGCTGGACGGCCAGGAGTCTACAATCCACACGAAGAGCCTGAGTCGCGGAGACGGCGCTCGAGTGTTTTGGATCTTCCCGGTATGCCCAAGAAACCGAATATCGGTTCCTTGTCAAAGATGGGCATTAACATCGGCATGCACACTCACCATCTGAACGAGGAAGTCTTTGAGGACTCTGATTCGGATTACGAAACCAATAGCGACACAGATTCTATAAGTACGGTGCGATCCGTGACAGACCCGTTATTGCCCGAGTCGTCATCTTCGAATGCTCCACGAGGGCAACCCTCGCCTCCCGAGATGCGCGGAAATGGCTCTTTTGATACAATCACTAGCCATGGAAACTCCACCAACGGTCATCCCTCAATTACTCCATCGTATGGCACCATGTCTGGATCCCAGCCGCTTTCTTTAGCGCAGCATCGATACAGCTCAGTCTTTTCTCCAACTCCTCGACAGGGGCCCGAAGTTGATCTAGACGCGACCCCTCGAGCAAACGGCCGTCAGAGGACCAGCTTCAAGATTGACATCAGGAGCATAGAATCTTTTCCCAATCTAGATCAGCTTGCTGGCCACGAGTCCCGTCGCAGTAACTATCAGCCAAGCAGCCCTGTTAAATCTTCGGTCAACCGATGTTCCGGAGACGATGATACATCAACGCCTCGGCCAAGCATATCGCGACAGTCGTCCGCCTCTCGATTTTCCAGTCGACCTGTTCCGGAGATGAGAATTACAACGGAGGAGGGCAGCTCTCGTATTGGGTTCGCCACCGCAAATTCCTCTCGCCCTACGACGCCTAGAATAGACCGTCCATCATTCTCGCGACAATCTTCACTGAATGTTCCGTCGCAGCCATTGCCTGGAACTAGGAGGAATATGAGAGGAGGAGGACCACGTTCGAAGTCGTACATTGAACAACCAACATACTATTCACGCGCGAGCGCAACTAAATCCCGTTATCAATCCCATTCTCGGAGAGAATCCCAATATCCCAACAACTTTGACCAAGGAGATGTCAGCCTAAATATTCCCAATCTTGTGCAGTCGTATAGATCTGGCGTCGAAGCAGGCAACGCAGAAGGCGCTCCATACTCAACACAAGGAGTCGCCTTATCCTTCAACGACCTGCCAAGCAGAGCACAGCATCTGATTATCAATGAGCTGATGCAACAGAATTCGAAAGACACGGCTGTCCTTCTTAGCACGCTGCCGATACCCAACGAGGGGACGTATATGAACGTAGATAGTACGATTCAGTACCTGTCGGATGTCGAGCTGCTGTGCCATGACCTTCCGCCTGCGCTTTTGGTGTTGAGCAACAACATGACAGTCACGGTGAGCTTGTGAAGAGACTTCTCTGTCCATTATACACCATTCTACTGCGACATTGGGCTGAAGAATATGAAATGAAAAATATACCTTTGAGCTTTATCTGAAAATAGCGAGAGCCATCTTTGTATGCATTTGATTCTAAGTTACTAGGCAGCGAATTTGAAACTGGGGTCCATCTCTTCTTCTTGTATATAAATAGCAAATTGACGTACAACATTGTTAATATGAACAGAATATTCAATTGATATGATTGTAATACGAACGATGTCAGAGGCGACTGTGCTTGAACAGAACAAGCCCAATTGTTGCTCATGCTGTTAACCGCGAGAAAATACAAAATGAACACAGAAATTGTTCAACCGCTATCATCCAATATAAGAAAAGCTGCCCGCATTTAATGAGAGACTTTACATCGTACTACTTGATAAAAATTGAAAAATCTCGTTACACAAGAAAACAAACTTTTCTTCTTCAACTTCCCCGGCGTCTCCTGGAAAAAAAAATGCGCATCAAAATGCCATGGCACCACAACTCAGCGCCCCCAAAGCGAAAGCGCAGAGCATCTCCTCCAGCAGTCAACAGAGAAATTCATCCAATAGCAAACGATTGCGACTACATATTCGGGACCTGGAAGGCTCAAGCCGGCAAGGCAAGAGCGCACAGGGGACAAAACCAACTGCTTAGCCACAGCGTTGACAAGATGCGAACCGAAATTCCAATCATCAGGAGTCCTCCAGATCGGGCTCTCTGGCCAAAAGCAACGTATTCTCCTCACTCTCCGTTCATTCCAATACGGCAATCTCCGGATCTATCTTGTCTACCGACTCAAACCTGCATCTCACCGTCTCCTCCGCTATGTTTTCTTTGCTCCGGATATTTAGGAGACAAACATAGCTATACCATCTGTAGCACATGTAAAGCCAATTACACAGCGCCATCGCATTGTTTGAGCGAGGAAGATGAGTATGACGAGTTCCTTCCCGTCAGTCCCTCTCCACAAGACGGAAACTCAGATTCGCCAGTTTTGCTGGTAGATAAGTGTATTACCGAATGGAAGAAAACCTGTCTGACAAATAGTGCCGATAACTGTGCTGCATACGCATTGTCAAGTCCGAGATCAGTGTGCTCTGATGATGAATCAGACGGCTGTGCTACACCTGCGCTGTCATGTTCAAGCTCGGTGTATTCTCAAGATGAATCCGACCTATATGAATATCATGAATATCTCATTGGAACTGAAACTTCCCGTGTAGTATCATGTATATTAACAGACAGTGCAAATAGTTGCACTACACCTGAGTTGTCAAGTCCGAGTTCGGTATATTCTCAAGATGGATATGACGAAGAGAAGCCTGAAATAGATACGAGGGGCTATTATGAACTACCTTGGGTGGCTGAGTATTTCGATGAACATCAACATTCGATACACAAAGAACTAGAAGACAATGTAGAAGACGACTGCAGTATAGAGATAAATATTCTTTACAAATAGTGACAAACGACGGATTTTCATGGCAAAAGAGAAGTTTGTGAGAGCTAGGTATCTTAACCATTTTACCCTTCTATTCATTTACCCATTGTAGCTACATTTATATCTCATGTCCCCCCCGATAGTCTAATTCCCTGTCAAGTTCATAACGTCGTCTATATAAAAAGAAAATTCATTCCTACAATATCCTCTTAACAACCAACTCCCCTTTATTCACACCTTCTAATTCTATAAAGCCGCCAGCTTCAAGCCTCTTCTTCCATTTATTGCTCTCATATCGCCCCAATATCATTGTCAGTCGCAAAAGAACTCCGTTGCTTGAAGCATGCTCTTCTGTGGTCTCAGCCAAAGACGTAAACGTCCATCGGCCAAACGCCCAATTCAAGATGTATCGACCGCGCGGGTTGGACTCTGGCTGTGGAACGTCGGGATCGGAGTTTTTGGGTGTAGATGAGAGCGTAAGGACGGCTTTAATACGGTAAGCTTCGTCCTTGGGAGCTGCCTTGAGGAAATTGAGCAGCTTGTCCGTTGAGACGGCGGTACCACTGTCGCCTGTGAGCTCGACGGAGAGCACTTCAACCTCGCTCTGGTGGCTATGGCTATGGCTGTGATCGTGCTTGTGAGCATCACCGTTCGTTTGGTGGCTGTGATTGTGGTTGCCATTAACTTCAGCCTCCGTCAGCTCCTTGGCCAGACCCCCATCAACACCAAATATCAGGCCCATGTCAACGAATCCCTTGTCGCTCTTCACTCGTGCCACATCAACGTCTAAATCGCCCACTCTATCCAGGCATTCTTCATAACGATCTTCTCCTGCCGTTTCCCATTTATTAAAAACAATAAGGTCGGTATAGCGGGCTTGGATCTTGGCCGTGTAACTCGTATCTTCGTATCCCTTCCAATTCTCAACGTCAATCACGCTGATGACTCCGTCGAGCACATATTTCCCTGTGTCTCTCGCAATTCGGTTGACCTCCAACGCCAGAGTCGCCGGAAAGGCAGATCCGCTCGTCTCGATAATGATGCGATCCGGTGCGACAGTCTTTTCGAGTTCTGCCAACGCGGGGCCGAGTTGGCCTACTAGGTTGCAGCAAATGCATCCGTTGAGGAGCTCTTGCACGCCGGAAATGGCTGAGCTGGAGGCCAGCTGGGAATCGATAGCGAGGTCGCCGAATTCATTCTTCAGCAGGGCGAGCTTGTAAGACGGATTTTGAGCGCGGAGTTGGGGGATGAGGTTGAGAATGAGAGTCGTCTTTCCGGAACCCAAAAAGCCGGTAATAATAGTGAGAGGAATCGGGGCCATTGTCGGGGAAAGGCCTCTGTTTGATTTGTCTATATCGAATTGGACAATAAAAACAAAAGGAAAGGCAAGAAAGGAGAAAGGAAGAGATCAACAATCACACCACTTTTTACTAGGTTTGTCATACGGAGAAAATAAACTCGGATTGCAAATCAGATCGATCTGGGTAAGAGAATGAGGCGGCTTGGCTTATCTTATCAGCGCCGTCTTTCGGCGGCCGAATTTCTACAGTAGCAGCGCAGCGCTATAGCCAAACGCTATAATGTTACGCTAGTACCTAACCCAGGCTTTGGCTTTAGACTTAGCCGGGGCTGTTTAGTGGCCTTGGCTGTCTTCAGCGGTTGTCACTTGGCAGTGCACACTGATCGCCACGCATATACACGTCTTCAGTCTCAACTTGACGTCACATTTCGTAAAAGATCGAAACGAACGAATTCATTATATAAGTCCCAGCCATGACATCCTTTTTGCGCAAAACCCGAGATATATCGCTCGACATTGCAGTTTCTAGTGTTTATGCGATAGTCTACCTCTTTGAATTTGGCCGTGACCAAGTAGACAAAGTAGCAGTCATGATGCGCTCACCACCCGGGAAACAAGACAGCCCGCCACACGCGCCACCATTCAAAGAGCAGCTCGACCAGAAGGCAGACGAGAGTCGTGCTCGTGAGAATGGCAGCGGGGGCGAATCAATCATCGAAACTGTTGTTCATAAGAGTAAGTTCCTTGTTTGACACTCTCCATGCTGATGATTAGCCAGCGGCCAGCAACACATGCGAAGCAAAACGCCATGGCTGTACGATTCGTTTCGATTACACGCCCATTCGAACCAGCACTGACATGCCCTCGATAGTCTCGCAAGCCATTCCAGCTCAAGCGCATGTCCTTGGAGGGTCAAATCCAGATGGCAAGGTGGAAGACGAAGCAGAAGCCGGTCCCCCTCATCGGCCAGAGAATGACGTCCAGATCGAGGAGTTTGTGAGGGAGCAGCATCGAAGCAAGTTTGCCGGGGAGACCTTGAATTCTTGAGTTCGTCGAAGTTTTAAGTGGAGATACATAGATAATAAGCAGTTTAATCAGACCTATTTCTTCCCGCTTCAACACAGAGACGTCTACAGCGTGATGAGAATTTTTGCTTCATAAACGCAGCATATGCTATGCTACCAGGCAGTTCTACGAGCCATTCGCACTCGGCAGCCCCAGGCAAACCATACAGGAGCACACGACGAGAGGCAGCCCATGGCTCAAGCACGCCCGAGCGATTTAACTCGATCAAGAAGCGTCTACGAAGACAAGCTGAACACAATGCACAGGCATTCGTTCGTTCAGCCCTCTTCAGCCGCAACTTAGCGCTGCAGCAAGGGCGCACACGAATAAAGAAAATATTACCGAGCTTGTCTAGAAGCTGGCATGTCCCCCCTTCTTGGCATCTGCCGCCCACAGATTTTTGTTTCGAAAAACGTAGCGGTAGATTTCCTATATCCAAGGGTTTTACTCTTCTGAGCATTTCCCACGAGGGGAAAGGCAACGCAACACCGTGGGTTAGCTAGGTGAGGGTCGTGGCAGCTCAGGTGCTTTTTGATAAAGAAGAAAAGAAAAGAAAAAAATTCTAAAAAGTTTGCCGGCGATTGCTGTTTAAATGGGCTGCACCAAGGTGGGGCGATGCTAAACTACGCTGATGACTCAGCATTCTTTTTGTTGCGCAGATTGGCAGAGTTCTGGAGCACTTATTCTATGGAGCAGCGGAGGCGGGCATGCTCAGATTTACATCTTACAAAGGACCATTAATGATAAGATAGGCATAGAAGATAGAAAATTAGATATTGGAATCCAGAATGCCTATCCAAACAGGCTCCAAAGACAGTCTATAAACGAGGCAGGAAAAGTGTACTATATCATTTCATCGTCAAACGCCAGTCTAATCAATTCAACCGTTCCATCTTCAGGCCTTTTCCAAGGAGTTCGCTTCCCACCTCTGCAATCAGGGCCTCGTTGGGAAAAGTCTTCTTCTTTTCCAATACCGTTCCTTCGGCATCTAGAGCGCGGAGTAGATCAGCAAGTTCTCCATCAAGCTTTGTACAGTAAACCAAGTGGCCCAACGCCGAAAGCATGCCTTGGAGGGCCTCTTGCGAAGTCTCTTCTTGAGAGACTGCTTCTACAACAGATGCTGCAAGCTCAACAAGGTCGTCTTCTGGTAGACTCGGCTTAGCCTCGCCAAGCCTTGATCTGCGGTCTGCCAAAGCAATGTTGAACAAGAGAGACGACGCCGCCACGCGGGTATTGCTGTGATTATCATCGAGAAAACTGGTTGATATTAACCGGGTGATGGGGCCACGAAGATGTTCATGTCGTAGGATTTCATCCGGAAATAATGGAGTGGAGAAAAAGTTGCAGGCCATTTGCAAGGTCACAAGACGCAGTGCGTATGGGCACTCGCTCTGCTCGTTGACGGCATTGAGGATGCCAACAACTGTCTTGTGCGCTGTCTCTTCAGCAAAATACCCACTCACTCGGGGGTCAAGAAGCGCACAACGTAAAAGATCGACCACGGTAAACATAATTTCAAGGGGTAGTTTGGCAACTGACTCCTGGAGAAAGCTAGCCATGTGTCCCATGTTCGGCAAAACAGCGTCCAAAGCTTCCCCATTGGCGCGGTCTTCGATGAATCTCTTCAGGTGCTGAATTTCGGGCTTGCCGGAAACCTCTGTGCCCATCTTGATCATCAATTTCTGCATTGGAGGCACCTTTCCAAATAGTACAGGTTTCGTATCGGGATTAGCAAATGTGGGAAGACGGAGCTTCTCATGAGGATGGTGGGGATGCGCCATCTGTACCAGCAGCTGGAGATTTCCTCTCAAAGTAGCTGGGTCGGCGCCGGACCATCTGTTTTCTTGTTCTCCTTTCAGAAATGTAATGAATGTCGGGGTTGCACTGATCGAGTATTGGCTGGCAAGCAAGTTTGCCTGCGGCTGAGAGATATCAATCTTGATCAAAGTTGCCTTGCCAGCAAACTCCTCGGCCAGTGAGTCGTATAAAGGATAAATCATCTTGCATGGCGCACAGGTTGCAGAAGTAAAGTAGACCACTGCGCAAGACTGCTTTGCTTGATCTAACAGAGCAGATAGTTCTGCATGGCCAGTCACGTCTTTCACTGAAGCTACCTTGACAGGTGCAATAGGCTGAGCACTCTGCTGAAGTCCCAGGATGGAGCCGTTTTGCCTGCTGGCATTGACCCCTTGGGTAAGTTGAGGCATCAGCATGCGTCCAAACGGCGAGTCGAGGACTGCCTGGGGCATCTGTGAGATGTGGCTGGGAATACCCTTCCCAAGAAGGAAATTGGAGAAGGCGTCGGTGAAGTTGTTGCAGTTGTGGCGGAAGAGGTCATAGGCCTATGTTTGTTCGAATTAGCAATCTAGTAACTATCAAAGACAAAAGTATTCGCCAATACTATCATACCTCTATCGTAAAAATAGATCTAATTGACTCCAGATAATCCCCGATCACGTCCATGGGAAGGTTTGTCTTGCCGAGATGCAGTCTCTCCAAGGGTTGGCCCAGGTGCGAGGTGCCTGGAACGATGGAGATGATGCCGCCGTCATAGACATACTCGCGGCCTTGAAGCTCGATAGAAGTGTGGTAAACGGCATCAAGCTGGAATCCTAGGAGGCCCAGCGACATTTGACGAGCTAGGCCGCGAGATAGGTCGTAAACAAGGAGGTGGACGTCCATCTTAAGCCGTGCCTCTAACGCTAAGCCTTGTGGTTCCTGCAAAGTGTTCAAATCGAAAGTTTTAGACCCAAACAATGAAAATTGTTGGCTGTTGGTTGTGGTAACCGCATAAAAAATAGAAACCGACCAAAACCTGTGTGTTTGGGCCGATCCGAGTGTATTTATTGAAGGTTAAGGCAGCAGAGGTGTACGAAATCACGAGGCTTTCAGCGCACGCAGCAATTGACGTAGAGACCTGCTGCTACCAAGAGGCGGACTTCGGCTTATAAACTCCGCTGTGCTAAAGCCGGCACTTGCTAGATGTAGTAGATGCTGAATCAAGCGTAATGAACACAATGCGGAGCAGACTTTTGACGAATTCTCCAAAGAAAAAATATATTCAAATATTTGCTGGTTTCTATGTTATCTGGCATGTCAACTGATGTCGCCATACATCTATGCGGTCTGCATCTCTTGCGGTCCACTCGCTTCTGCAGCTTACCCTGCAATCAAATGGATTTTCGCCATGGATGCACTAAGCGGATGACCCACTGACGCATCATCCAGGGGGCACTTTGGCAGCCGGTTTCAGGGGAAATGGAAATGGAATGTGGCGAATGCGCTCTTCGTCAATCGCGTGGCTTTGCTAGGCTTTGCTAAAAGCGCGACCGCCTATAGCGTTAGACACAGTGATTAAAAACGGCCTGTGGTGGATGCGGAAAGTACTTCTCCATACAAAATACGCGCATAAGGTACCTTGCATTTGCCCCTCCACCCTGGAGAAGATTTGTTTGGTCTCCTTTTTTTTCCACCCCAGATCATTTCCAGACTCTAGCAATGTCCGCCTAAATCCTGGTAATGTTACTTTCTGCCGCCTCCCACCTGATGAGCCTTGTTTGTTCCACAATCCAACTGTCTTCCAGTCACTCTCTTGACTTTGGTTTCTAGACCTTTAATTTTTTTTTTCTTTTCCTTTTTTTTTCTGCCATCCCCTTTCGCTCTTTAATGCGTCACGGCGTCTCTCATTGATCGCCCTGCGGCCTGATGAGGAGAACTTCAGTGTCGCTGCCCACGAAGCAAGTTGCCTACGATCCTCACGAAAAGACCGATCGATACTACCCGAGCCATCGAAAGCAAGGCCTTTTTGCCAGCATGAAGGACACCATGCTGTCTCAGTCTCAGAAGTCACGATGGCTTAAGACCGGCACGCTAGTTCTGATACTGTTCTGCCTGTTCTACTGGCTGTCACCAACCGGCGTCGAGGTGTACAACAAGAGCCCGCTGGGCAGTGAAGAAGGTTCTGTGAGCAAAGCTCCCGCTTCTGCTCCTGCTTCTGCTCCCGCTGCTCCCGTCGCCAATGTCCCTGCCTCCAACAAGGATATCACCTCCAACAAAGATGTCGCCTCCAACAAGGATACCGCCGCTGCTGGCCACGGCGCTCCCAACAGCGGCCAGTCTCCCACAGACTCTACTTACGGTACCGATAAGTGCTCCAGGTCGTACTCCAAGGACAAGCCCATCGTCCAGTATGTCCTCATGATCGACGCCGGCAGCACTGGTTCCCGAATCCACGTCTACAAGTTCAACAACTGCGGTCCTATTCCCGAGCTGGAGAAGGAGGAGTTCAAGATGACTGAGAAATCCGTCGGTGGCTTGAGCGCCTTTAAGAATGACCCCGTCGGTGCTGCCAAGAGTCTTGATGCTCTCATGGCTGTTGCCATGGAACACGTCCCTGATTCGCTGAAGAAATGCTCTCCCGTTGCTGTCAAGGCTACCGCTGGCTTGCGTTTGATCGGCAAGGAACTTGCCGATGCCATCTTGGTTGAGGTTAGACGACACTTGGAGCAGGACTACCCCTTCCCCGTCGTTTCTGCTGAACAGAACGGAGTTGCCATCATGGACGGCTCAGACGAAGGTGTTTATGCTTGGATCACCACCAACTACCTGCTTGGCAAGATTGGTGGCCCTGACAAGAGTGAGACCGCTGCTGTCTTCGACCTCGGTGGTGGTTCAACCCAGATTGTTTTTGAGCCTACCTTCAAGGGAGCCCCAGGCGGAGGCATGCCTGAGAAGCTGGCTCCTGGCGACCACAAGTACGAGCTTGACTTTGGTGGCCATAAATTCGACCTCTACCAGCACTCTCACCTTGGCTACGGCTTGATGTCTGCCCGCAAGGCTCTTCACTCCTTCCTGGTCGATGATCTGGCCAAGTCTAAGAAAGATGACCAAACCTGGATGAGCTCGCCAATTGTGCACCCCTGTATCGCTCCCGGCACCACCAAGCAAATCGACGTTGAGGTCAATGGTGGTGAGGCACAAACCTTCAACTTCACTGGCCCTTCTTCACCTGCTCCTGCTCAGTGCCGCAACCTGGCTGAGAAGATCTTGAAGAAGGAAGCCGACTGCAAGCTTGCCCCATGCTCTTTCAACGGCGTTCACCAACCTGCTCTGTCCAAGACTTTTGCCAAGGAGGATGTCTACATCTTCTCTTACTTCTACGACCGCACTAAGCCCCTCGGCATGCCCGACTCTTTCACTCTCCGCGAGATGCACGATCTCACCGACAAGGTCTGCGCTGGCAAGGATTCCTGGGATGTCTTTTCCAGCGTCCCTGGTGCTTTGGAGGAGCTTGCAGACCGTCCCGAGCACTGCTTGGATTTGAACTTTATGATGGCCCTGTTGCACACTGGTTATGAGATGCCCATTGACCGCGAGGTCAAGATTGCCAAGAAGATCAAGGGCAATGAGCTGGGTTGGTGCCTTGGTGCTAGGTAAGAGTTCACAGTCATGCCTTTTTAATGTCCTCACAACTAACTAATAACTTCTTTTTAGTCTGCCACTTTTGGCTCCTGGCTCAGGTTGGGAATGCAAGGTTAAGGAGGTTTTATAAAAGACTTTCATAGACTTATTAGGCGTTTTATGAATAGAAGGGTCCATGAACGTCGATCGTTTAGAATGATCGCAAAGCATATTGTTGTATGACGCCTACGCTGTTGAAGGAAAGTACAATTCGGAATTAGAAGTTGGCATTATTAATGTGGTGTTTGATGCGATTGGAATCCGGAACTTCTATCTACTTATATATTATGTATACATGGGAAATTTTGGGCCTGGATTTTCTTTTTTTGGTAACAGGCTTGCATGGGTTGCAAAACAAGGATTCAAAGTTAATATGATATGTTTTAAAGAGGCGCAGTTACCATTTCCAAAACCTCCTCCACCACTTCCTCGGGCCCGACGCCTTCTAACAGAGCTTCCACAGCTTCTAGCTGGCTCCCCCATTGCATACTCCTCTCCTTTTCTGGTTCGGTGATGCGAATTCGGTGGAGATAGACTTTCCTCACGGCTAGTCCAATTAGAGCAGGCGTCACATAATCAAGTTTGTGTAAAGGAGCAAGACTCTTGACGAGCTGGTGGAGATGCTTGGTCGCTGCGGGTGTGATGCCGCCATCGACGGCTCGGTGCATCCGGAGGAAGGAGACAATATTCATCTGGTATCGGAGTATGTCCACATCGATTTGAACTTCCTGGCTCAACTTTGCGAGTTGACTGATTTCCTGTAGAAACGCTTGTTAGAATAATGGCAGAATAATTCTAGATATACATGGGCTTACTATGTCTGATATCAAAGCCGTTGACGGCGTTGAGGCGTCCGCGGCCTTCTTTACAACGCTCTCCGTAGACGCCGTCTCATCATCCAGGTCGCTGTTCCGGCCTTCGGATTCATCCAAGTTCACGTACCCATCGTCTGGATTGTGCCAATGGGCAATCGAGAAGAAGTCATTAAGGTGCGGCGTGACGTGCGCCTCGCCACCGCTTGCGGCCCCTACGACGGGTATGAAGACGAATTGCTTCGGCGCGGCCTGTACCGACGTGCGCGTGAAGATGCGTCTTGTGCGCAGTAGTTCGAGGGCCTGGATCTGGACGACTCGCGGGGCGCGATCGAGGTTCTTGGCGATGACAAAGTGGGCGATCTGAGGAGAAGGGAGGGAGGTCAGGGGGGACAGCGGCACGGAAGTTCGATTATTCGAGTGCGAGTGCGAGCTGAGAGCGAAATATGAATCTGTTGTCCGGGCAAAGGGCGAGACGGAACGGCCGGGAGTGTTAAGGGGAGGAGGCTGTTGCGGTTGGAGGAGCAGAGCTGAGGCGAAGTCTTCGAGCGTTGTGGACGGATGGCAGTCGACGACGACGGGTTGGAGGCTGAATGTCTTGCGCGCTACCTGCGTGTGGGATTGATTGTGCTTGTCAGTTTCACATTCCTCGTGTCGAACAATGGGAGTGCAGCGGTTGTTGTAGCATCAAGGGCTGCATACCAGTTGGAGCTCTTGCACCAGGTCATCAATGGCAGCTGGTGGAGTGCTAATCAGGACGTGCTCGCGATTGATGAGACACAGCAAGACGGCCAGCTCCAGGTCGCTCAAGCTGTGAACCTTGTCGAGCAGATCTTCATCCGCCATCGCAAAGCGCCAGCAGTGCCGCCAGGTCCATCAGCATCAGGATGGGTGGAGCGCTTGCAGATTATGTTTTAGAAGCGGAGGATTAATGTTGGAGGAAGCATCGTCGCATCTGCTTTAGGATGACAAGCGACATTGCATGTACCTTTGATTGGAAGAGGGCCGCAGAGGTACAAAGGCGCAGTACCTTGGTCTGCAACCACTCAACTCTAATCCCCTACTAAGGTATGTTTCCTATGCTTGCCTAACTGATAAAAGCTCTATATAGTAAGCAAAATATCAGTTTAAGTAACCATAAATGCATTCATTGGTTTAATATATTGTGAAAATGCTCGTAAAATTGATTATGATTTTGTATTTTGGATCCTTATCTAAGTACAATGCTGCTTGCTCCATTAGGTACTTCAGCTAGATTAGGCGCCTGCTTTATGCATGGGGCTAAGCTGGAAACGTCCCCCAAGCGCTGTCGGCGGCTCTCTCGCTGTTGCGACACCGCAACCTGGGTACGGATAGGCACCTACTAATAGGTACCGCCGCTAACGCCAAAAACGCTGCCTGCCCACCAACAAACCGAGAAGCCCAGCCAGCCTCGCCCATTGAAGCCTGCCTGAGGAAAAGCCTCCACGACTCGTACGGTCTTGTGACGTCTACGACAATCGCTGCTCTGACACAGCAGGCAACTCTTTTTTCTGCACATCTCCTGCCTTCTATCCGCCGACAGAAACCCTTTCAAACGTCGTCTTTGTTCGTTGCGACCGTGCGTTTGGCATTTGGTTAATCCGTATCACGTCATTGGAGCGGCGAGCGTAGCCACCGATAACCACTGCAGTCAAGATGTCTTCGCGCAACAAGAAGGTCCTTCTCAAGGTATGCGAGCCCTGCCGCCGGTGCCGGCGCTGCGCTGGGTCGCTGTGATGCTGAACTTGCTTCCTTCGATAGGTCATCATCCTTGGAGATAGCGGTGTGGGCAAGACGAGTTTGATGAATCAATATGTATGCACAGTCGTCTTATTCATCGCCACGGCATACGAGGACGATTTATTGACGAAATACCCTTTGGTGGTTTGTTTTAGGTCAACAAGAAGTTCAGCGCAAGCTACAAGGCCACTATCGGCGCCGATTTCCTAACACGAGAGGTCTTGGTAGACGACCGACAAGTCACGATGCAGGTATGAGGCGTTTTGGGACGAAACAAGAGTCGAAAACGACGGTTACTGATGCACTAAGTAGCTCTGGGACACTGCGGGACAGGAGCGGTTCCAGTCACTGGGCGTCGCGTTCTACAGAGGAGCCGACTGCTGCGTCCTCGTATACGATGTCAACAACTCCAAGAGCTTCGAGGCGCTGGACAGCTGGCGAGACGAGTTCCTGATCCAGGCCTCTCCGCGGGACCCTCCCAACTTCCCCTTTGTACGTTCAGTGGCTATGGTAGCCCTTGGTCTGGGCGCATATGCTAATGGTATTGCAGGTTGTTCTTGGAAACAAGATTGATGTGGAGGAGAGCAAGCGAGTGGTGAGTCATGGCTCGATTGAATGCCAATATGGATATGGGTAGCTGACACAGGCCAGATTTCGACCAAGCGAGCCATGACTTTCTGTCAATCCAAGGGCGACATCCCATACTTTGAGACTAGTGCAAAGGAGGCCATCAACATTGACCAGGCATTTGAGGGTATGCGCGCACACGTTGACGACGGTAAAGGTGTTGTACAAAGGCTAACGAAATGACAGTTATTGCTCGAAATGCCTTGGCCCAAGAAGAGTCTGAGGAATACAGTGGAGATTTCGATGATCCCATTAATATCCACATCGACAACGATCGTGACGGATGTGCCTGTTAAATGGGGGAAGACGACAAAGTTGATTGGATCGATACAAACTAGTCAGAGAAAGGGCATGAATAATCAGAGACAAGGAACATACCCGGCTACGGAGCTGATGCATTTACTTATCGACTGGAAGTAGAGTACGGAGAAACGAGGTCATGCCGGTGTTTGCGCGGGTAGTAATATGTTTTTTCTTTCTTTTTTCCTTTTCCTTTTTTTTTTCTTGCGTCAGGGTTGAATTTTTTGTGTTTCTCTTTTTATTTTGCTTCGCTTCTTGGCTGATGGGATACGGAGATGCTCGCAATTTTTGAACGCAAAGGTGCTACAGCCGCTGCCTCGGCTCTGGCTGTCGGGTACAGAGAGGAGAGGGGAAGTAGAGGAGAGGGTTCCTGATGCGGGCTATTCTCGTACGTCAACTTGTTAAGGGATTATGGGGCTATAGATTCTATGCATGGCTGGGAGCAATTTCACGCTATGGACTTGATTATACATAACATCGATGTGCCTTTTCTCTTTCTTGCTTTATATGTACGATGTATGTATGCATGTACGTGTCTCTCCGTGTCTTTTCTTGTACCCATATTTCAAAGCGAGTATCCACCAGTTTCCTAACGGCAGCCATGCTTTGTATCTACAGCCTTTTGACTTTGGATATTTTAATCCTTATTCGTTGATTATTAGGTCAAGCAATTTAACAAACCGTTTGGGAAAAGAATCATTCGATTTGCAATGTAACCTGTTGTATGGCATCGACTTATAGCTCACCCTCTCAGTCGGTGAGGCCCCACTCTGCACCTCGGCTGGCGGCTTACCCCGGACTCTCCACCGAATCATGGTCCGACGGGATTCACTTTCCGCCTCGGCTCCGCATCGACCAGCTGTCCATACCTTCGAGTTAAATATCAGACCATCGCAGCGTCTCCATGTCTCGGCTGGTCATCATTTGCGGAGAAATCTTGGATTAAACTCGATCCATTCATTCATTCGCTTTTCTTTCTCTTAAATTTATCCATCTATCTCTACTGACACAGCAACATTTCGCAATCATGTCTGCTCGGATTCCAGCTCTTGTAAGCTATTGGAGCTTTCCCTTCGCGATTGAGTTTTGGAATCTGGCGTATGGACTAATCAGACGGCGATGGATAACTAGGTCTCAAAACACATTAGCGAGGCGGCGAAGCAAAAAATTGACATCGTTGCCAAATTTGTCGAGGAAGAATGCATCCCGTGAGCTTACACCAACCCCGTCAACTTCTTCTCCCTTGCTACGAACCGACAGACTAATTGCCCAACGATAGCGCCGACCCCGTTCTGGAGGCCCAGGTGGGCGAAGGCGATAACCGCTGGGAGAACCACCCTTCCATCATCGAAGAGCTCAAGGACAAGGCGCGCAAGCTGGGCTTGTGGAACATGTTCTTGCCCAAGGGCTTCTACGCCGAGTCCCCCGGTTGGACGAACCTCGAGTACGCCATCATGGCAGAGTGGTTGGGCCGCTCGCGCAGCGCTTCCGAGGCTTGCAACTGCGCTGCTCCCGATACCGGTAACATGGAGGTCGTGGCCAAGTACGGCAACGCTCAGCAGAAGGAGGAGTGGCTCAAGCCCTTGATGGAGGGAAAGATCCGCTCGGCCTTTTTGATGACTGAGCCCGACGTCGCGTCTTCCGATGCCACCAACATCCAGCTCCAAATCACCAAAGACGGCGACCATTACGTTCTGAATGGCTCCAAGTGGTGGTCCAGCGGTGCGGGCGACCCTCGATGCAAGCTCTACGTCGTCATGGGCAAGTCTGATCCCAACAACGCCGACCCTTACAAGCAGCAGTCCGTCATCTTGGTCCCTGCCGGCCTTCCTGGAATCACCATCAAGAGAATGCTCAAGGTCTACGGCTACGACGATGCCCCCCACGGCCACGGCCACATCACCTTCAAGAACGTGCGCGTGCCGGCAAAGAACCTGGTCCTCGGCGAGGGCAGAGGATTCGAGATTATCCAGGGCCGACTGGGCCCTGGCCGTATTCACCACGCTATGCGAAGCATTGGCGCTGTAAGTTGGCTACCTGTTCTAAACACAGCACAGGGTATGATTGCTAATACATTGATTTTCTTTGCAGGCCGAGCAAGCCCTCGACTGGATGCTTGTGCGCGTCAACGACGAGAAGAAGAAGCCCTTTGGCAAGCTCCTCCGCGAACACGGCGTCATCCTCGAGTGGATTGCCAAGTCACGTATCGAGATCGATGCGGCCCGACTCATCGTCCTCAACGCCGCCATCAAGATTGACGAGGTCGGCGCCAAGAAGGCACTCAAGGAGATTGCCGAAGCCAAGGTGCTCATCCCCCAGACTGCTCTGACTGTCATCGACCGCGCCGTCCAGGCATACGGCGGCGCTGGTGTCTCTCAAGAGACCCCCCTGGCCAATATGTGGGCTGGTATCCGAACGCTGCGCATGGCTGATGGCCCTGATGAGGTGCACTTGCAGCAAATGGGCCGCAACGAGAACAAGCGCGGCAAGGAGACGGCCGAGAAGCACCAGAGGCAGAAGGCCAAGACGCAGGAGCTGCTGAAGCGATATGGCGTCGAGGTTGCTGAGCCCGGCACCAGAATCAAGCACGACGCCAAGTTGTAACGAGGCATGAGTGGTCTGCTTTGCGTTTCTGTCTCTCTTGTTCTTCTTGACATCTTATGAAGTTTTTTGTAAATACTGGGAATTGGATTGATGATGATAATTATGCATTACAACTGGCGTATATAGTAAAGAAAAAAGCTAGCCCAGAACTGGATACAATGACATGAACTGTCACCCTAACTCTATTTTTGTCGGCGTAGTTTATCTTTGTGACAGGCTATAAACAATCAGTGGCTGAGTTAGAGTCTGTTTGCTATATCATGGGCAATTGGTATAGTTTCCATCGCCGTAGTAGAGGTAGAAAATGCAGAAGAATACAAGCAGAAGCGTTCAGGAGTATCTTCACATGCTCGTTTAATATTTGTAATTTATGTGAGATCCTCACCTGGCTTCAATCCCTACCTGAACAGAAACAATTCCCTGCCCAATGACTCACGGCCATTTACCAAACACAAAGCTAACCTGTTTCTTTCCATGCTCAATCCAGGGTAAATCCAGCCCAGCCAAGAATCTCCCAATCCAAAAGTGCCGTTGCCGGCTCCACTCGCATTTTCAAGCATACCGCAGCGCTCCTTGCAGGGATTGCGCTCCAAGCCTGTCGCCCCGCCAACGCCGTCATTCGTTTACTTTCTTTTTGTTCCCAAAGACATGCATGCACCTGGCATGAGTGGAACGGGAGTGAGGGTGGCAACGTCATAGTTTTTGTTTTTCTCTCTCTCTCTCTCTCTTCTCCTTCTCATTCTTCCTTTTCTGCTTAGGTGTTTTTAAAAACGTTTACAAAAACAGCGACTGTCCCCCCCTTCGGATTTCTGAACCCCCCCCTTTTTTTTTCTTCTCCCCTAGGAGCGATTTCACGACTGAATAGCTGCAACACTCGACGATCTGCCAGCGCTTCCCCAAATCGCACTCTTCCGTTCTTTTTTCTTTTCTCCACGAAATAGAGTCTACGAAACTTTCAAAATGTCCAGCAGCAGGATCCTCGGTGAACGGGACGTCAATGTCGCCATGACCGATGCTCCGCCTCTCGCTAAGGACGTCAAGAGCATGGAGTACCATCGCCAGGTGCTGCAGTCCAGGATTGCTCAGGAGCCGTATGTCACCGCCCCAATCTCTTCCTCGCTTCACGCCAAGCCGTTGCTTCGTGGCTTGCTATTTTCAACGCCTTCTTCATTCAGCTTTTGCTAACGCCATCCTGTCTTCTTAGTTCCAAGCAGTACATCTCCCCATCCGACACCATCATGAGTCCCTGCACGGCAAAACTTTCAGCACTGCGCAACAAACAGGTCTCCAAGTAGGTCTTGTTCTCAGCTTCCCTCGACACCCCCCTTTTCTCCATAATCAAATCCGACGACGAGATTCAATAAACTAACCAGAATGTGCCCTTCAATGCAGAGCCAAACCAAAGTCACTCTTCGCCCAAGCGAGCACTAAGAAACTCCAAGGCGAGAATCCCTTTGACGCAAAGCCCACTCAGAGCCAGAGTCCCCTGGGCGCTAGAAAAGCCCCGAGCGATGGCGTCTTGACCTCGAGGATTCGCTGATCCAAAACTCACGATCTGCACTATTTTCTTCTTTCCTCAACACTTTTTTCTTTATACGTGTGTACAATAACGGGTTGCGAGTTTTGGGCTGTTTTTCTTTTTTTCTTTTTGCGCCGCGGCTCCTAATGACGGGAGACGGGAAACATGATTGGTAATGGTTAGCTGGGTTTGGATTGGAACATGCCTCAGACAAGGGGTTTAGAGGTACTATCACTGGTTTTAAGGGACAAAAGGCGTTTTCCGGATGATGTGCATACCATATTCTCAATGGTGGTGCCGGAAAGGGTCGATACGAGCTTTATGTCTCTCTTTTTGTTTTTATTGCCTTTAATGTCATGACAGAAGTACAAATAGCGGGAGCAGATCGGCTGCTTCTGTGGAAGTGCTATCAATACGAATGGATACGATATTTGTTAGTAATAATGACCAACTTCCTTCTTTAAACTGGGTTTCTCTTCTGTACTAGTCTAAGCCTTCCACGCGGTATTAATATACACGACATCTTCATCCGCAACTGGATGCCCCAATCCCACCCTCTGAGGAATGTGCCTTGCGCTGGCGCCCCAAACAAGCGCATACTTGAACGTATCCTTGAGAGTGCGGTGTATCCTGTCGCACACGTCTTCAATGGTGCTGTTGCTCCGTACAATCAATGCCTCGCTAAAGTCTGGGTCGGTTCCTTTCCTCTTGGTGTAAATGCGGATGAGCTTGAGCTCTTTCCAGCACCTGTCGACCACGTCTTGGATTCCCAGGTCCAACTCGCAACTCATGACCACCGTGTGGTCTTCTCTGGCGAGCTTGTCCAAAAAGTCAAGAGAGACGCTGTCGATCTTGTTGTAGACGTACAGGCACCTGATGTACTTGCGGTGATCTTTCATAATGACGTCGATGAGGTCGTCGACAGTGACGTTTTCATCTCGGATAAGCACCTCGCAGTTGAGGATCTTGTAGTCGCGGAGGATGTTGTAAACCATCTTCTCGTCAATATTGTTAGGTGGAGACTGGAAGGTAATTTTCATGCCGCCAGCCTTTTTGACCTTGAGGTAGATATTTCTGCACACGTTTTTGTTAGCTAATGAAAGTGTGAGGCATCTCATGCCACTTACGGGGGCTCGCGGTTCAGTCTGATGCCGACAGCCTCCAGTTCCGCCTCCAGCAATGCTCTTTGCTCAGCTCGCTTTGTCGCGTCCAAGACCATGAGAATCAGGTCGCTCGTCTTGGCTGCTGAAATAACTTGTCGGCCTCGTCCCTTACCCTCAGAGGCACCTTCGATAATTCCTGGCAGATCAAGCAGCTGGATTTCGGCGCCGCCATATTCCAACACTCCGGGAATGGCTGTGAGGGTTGTGAATGCATATGAAGCTACTTCGGATTTTGTCTTGGTGACTTTGGATAGAAATGTTGACTTTCCTACTGATGGAAAGCCTACTAGAGATATTCTGGCATCACCGCTCTTGCTGACATCGAAGCCGGAACCGCCTCCGCCACCCGCTCCAGGACCTGGTTCTAGAAGTTGCGCGCGGAGTCGTGCGAGTTTTCTGTTCACGTCAGAGACTGCTTTGCCAAGTAAAGTTGGACACTTTATTCAAGTTGGCTCACCCTTTTAACAGACCCAAGTGGTACTCTGACCTTATTGTCAGTCTTAATAACTTGACAGAACATTATCTTAAGACGTACCAGTGGCTTTGTTTTCTATAACCAATCGTTAGCCAACTATATCAAAAAGGGTTTGAATCAAGCAGTGATAAGGTGTTGGAGCCAACTGTATGACAGAAGCAATGATACACTCCATCAATCCCATATACATATCGTAGATAATAGGATATGATCGATTGCTCGTAATCATCTCCCATTTCCATGTTTTGTGTATTAATTAAAAATTTAGGAGCGTTCAAATGACATGCAGAATACAATTGCAGCCGTTCATGCAGTAGCCTCGTGGAGCTACCGAAGCTATAACGGCACGTGGGATGTCCGGGGAATCATGAAAACAGAGCAATTTGAAGAAAAGGATCTCCATTATTATGCTTACTCTGTGTTTTCCTCATCTCCTCCTCGATCCTGGATATTTTATTAGACATAGTCTTTCTCACAACATAAACTGGCAACTCACTCCTTGATCTTTTCCGTAATGTTCACCATCCTGGCACACGGTTATTTATAGACGGCAATACCGTCTTATTAAAGAAAGAGATATAATGAGAAGCCCAGAAAAGAGTAGTCCACTAAGACGTATCGTCCAGCGTCACGGAGTAGAAGATGCAGTTTTGTAGCTGGCTTTGAGATTTGAGATGGCGGGGCTCTGGCGCATGAAGCAAAAGACTTGGAGGGGCCGTTGGCGATGGCGAGTGGAATCTCACTAGCTCACCGCCTGCCCTTTACGTAAGTTCACACCCTTCTAGGAGGTGACTAAGCGAAGATAGGATGTCAAGAAAGACTTCGTATCTAGGTAGATGCCTTATTTTATACTATGGAAACAGAGGTTCTAAGCATCTTTTTTTTATGTACAACTTGCTAAACACGTATTGAAGCTGAGAAATTATCTAAATCAACTGGATCATGGAACTTGATGTAATAGATAATAGAATGGGTAGAATTCCGAAAGAAAGAGTACTACCTAAGTATGACCAGATTATTTCAATACTGAGTCGCTTAACCGACGGAGAGCTTAACTAGCAATTAAGACATCGTGATCTCGCTGAGATTTGAACTTAAGTTTGGCCCTGAGGTAGCGGAAATTGAGTGGCGTCCGGGCAGTACTCTCATACACCCGTTAATTCCACCTCCAGTGACCAACCATGAGGTTAACAATGTTCAGCTTCTGTTATAATGCCTATAAAAATCTACAGTTCATACAGCAGCCTTTGGGGCGCATCTAACAACCTAGGCGATTTTTATCCAAATGGTTCTCCTAAAATCATAGTGCACTTTTTAATCGACTTTGCACGTGATTACTAGCGCGCTTGTATGCGCGCCCATTCCTATATAGGCAGCGCTGATTCCCAATTAGCCAAGCAAGAGCAGGTCACCAGTCTACTATTTTTCTTCCATAGCAGAAAGCCCATATCTCTACTGTCTGCTTTCTTCTTCACCTATGAACAACTCTTCTTCTTCCAAAAACAATCGAACCATGGCTCCAATCCGTAAGAAGAGGCCAGCTAGGCCCCAAGTCGAGCCAGACTTCCTCGGCAGTGAGCCGCCGCCTCAAACAGGCACAACGTTCAATATCTGGTAAGTACAACATAACGCGATTGCGCAATCATCTAGCAGAACACCAGCTAATACCAGCCAGGTACAACAAATGGGCGGGTGGCGATCACGAGGCATACCAACAGACGAAAGCGAAGGGACGCTGCAACATCGCTCGAGATAGTGGATATACGAAAGCCGATGGTGTATCTGGCAGCCATTTCTGCTTGTTCTTTGCCCGCGGTCTGTGTCCGCGAGGAGCGGACTGCACGTACCTACATCGACTTCCACGGCCAGACACCATCGTGTCGCCAAACGTGGATTGCTTCGGCAGAGACAAATTCTCAGGCTACAGAGACGACATGGGCGGTGTTGGAAGCTTCTTGCGCCAGAACAGAACGGTTTATATTGGCCGCATCCACGTAACCGATGATATCGAAGAGATTGTCGCACGGCACTTTGCTGAATGGGGGAAGATTGAGCGCAGTAAGTACTCCGGCGACCTATAAATTATCATAATAGTTTTGAGCTCGGCTAACTATGAGCTTTAGTTCGCGTGCTGAACTCCAGAGGTGTTGCTTTTGTAACATATGTCAACGAAGCAAATGCAGAATTTGCCAAAGAAGCCATGGCACATCAGTATGTATTTCCCAATCTCTGCAGCATCATCCATTCGCCGAACGCCCACTGACCAGCCATAGATCCCTAGATCACGACGAAGTATTAAACGTTAGATGGGCAACGGAAGATCCCAACCCCATGGCGCGAGCTAGAGAAGCGCGACGGATCGAAGAGCAAGCTGCCGAGGCAATTCGGAGGGCACTGCCTGCGGAATTCATTGCTGAAATCGAGGGCAAAGATCCCGAGGCAAGAAAACGGAGGAAAGTGCAGAGCAGTTACGGGCTGGAAGGCTACGAAGCCCCAGATGAAATCTATTTCGCTCAAGGCCCTAACGCAATCAATCCTGCTGGGAGACAAGGATATGAGGTGGATCACCAAGAACAGGCCATGATTGAAGATGGGACAGCTGGAGAGTCAGAGGTTCCGGCCGCACAAGAGCAGCAGCAGTCACTTCCTCAGAGCGCGGGAGTATTCTCGAGCAGCACCTTGGCTGCGTTGAGTAAAGCAAAAATTGCAGTGTCCTCGAAACCAGCGACACCTGCATCTACCGGTCCCTTGGTTGCATATGATAGCGATGACGATGAGTAAACGGGCGTTTTGGTACATGGCTTGGATAGGTTTTCTATTTCGGATTGGCATGGGCAGAGCATTGACAATGATACCACCTTGATTAAAACAATGAACAATGTATAGTGTGTCTCATTCAGCTATTGAATATTCTTGAGTAAAGTAGCTCATGCCGCCCAACCCATAAATCCACAATCGGTACGCTCTGCCCAGCCTCCTCAACAGGCGTATGCCATTCCCTTTCCACCATGGCATTGATCATGGTCTGAACATTCTCGCTGGCGAGTAGCTTCTGCGCCTGATATGGCCCAAACATGTTTGCCCTCACTGCAGCTGAGATCAACGCCTTGACGTGGCTCAGCATAAAGACATAGGCCGTCTGTCTTAGTGTCAACCCCACGATGGCGCAAATCGCGCCGAACAGCGGGCCAAGATGGGCCGAAACGAGGGGAGCTTCGCCGCCTGCGTTGTTACTCTCGCGACGCAGGAGCGTTGAAAAGTCCTTCAAGATGAGCGCATCGTCCTCGCTGCCCGGGGGAAGAGTCGTCTTAAAGGAGCGCTCCCAGATGCTCAGCAAGGCCCTTCCCTGAGCGACGCTGGCGCGCCGACCGACGGTGCAGATCACGGCCGCATCGAGCTCATCGTCCAGAGCCGCGAGAGAAGCAGGATCGCGATGCGCGGCGAGCACAAACGGCAGCGTCGTGGAGGCGAAGGATGAGAGCGACAGAGGCAGAAACGTGCCGAAGGAGGAGGCGCGGCGATTATGCGCGGCGAAGGACTCGAGACCGCTGCTGAAGGCGAAGGATCCGATGGGAAGGGCGGAGTCTGACAGCAGGAAGAGGAAATGCGTGGATGAGGAGGCGGATAATTGAGGACGGACTGAGGATATGATACGTGAGAAATTTAGTTGACGTTGAGAGCTGGGGGTGAGGCTCGCAGTGGAATGATGACATACATGGGATTGAAGGCGTTGAAGATGAGCTGAGAGCGCTAAGACGGGCTTTTGCTTCGTTTAAGCGACTTTCAAGAAGGGCAATTTCACTTTGGATCTCATCCTCTGATGCATGAGGAGGAGATGCCATGGGGAGCTAGTGTGGATGTAGAGTTCAAAATTACGGCTTGTTGATTGCACATTAGACCCGTGTGATATGCTAGATACACAGACTCACACCCACGTCCTAACATCTTCCAGCCACTAACAAATAGGTATATGAGAATTACTACAAAAACCCGGAAAAAGAGTTCAATCCAAGCACCGTAACAGATCTGCAAGAGAGCTTTCCGCTTGCATTATTACAATCGCTTTCGCTGATAATAGAACCCTGTTCATACCGTCTCCCTTTGCTGTTAAAACACAATATTGCAAACACCACGCTGATCCCTAAATCAAAGCAACTAGAACACGCTAGATAGCTCCTAAACAGAGCCTCATTATCTTCTTATGGCCTCACATTTTCCTTGTCAGTTCCATCCCGTCGCCGGGCTCTCTTTTCGGCCATTCTCTTCTCGATCCGAGCGAGGGCGGCAGCTCGACGCTCCGGTGGTAGCGATCGCTTGCTATTACTGTCGTTGGATACGTCTTTAAGTTTGCCTTTGCCCACATCGGGTCCGCCGAGGCGAGCAAAATGGTCTTGTAAAAGGTCGACGTCGACGTCTATGTCTTCGGAAGACGATGATGTCTTGGGGTGAATTGTGGGTTTCGCCAGCCTAGGCACTTTGTGGAGTGCAATATTCTCCTCTCCAGAAGACACAGGCACTTCATTGCCAGCTTGGTTTCTCTTTGGCGCTTCTCTACTCAGCGAGGCTCTTCTCTTAGTAGACGACCTCGGCATAAATGGCTTCCACCCCGGCTTCTCGTCGTTTGATTGATCGCTCGGGGCTTCAATTGCGTCCCTTGACTTTGTTGCCGCTCTCGGTGTGGCATCCCTTCGATACTTGTCTCGTAAGGTGCGAAGTTTGGAACTGCTTGCCTCGGGGAGTTGCCGGGGCCTTTCAAGGTCTGCTACGTCAATACTCCTTCGAACCCCATTCGTAGCCACAGGGGGCCTTGATAACATCTCTTCATCGTCTTCGTCTCTTGCAGCTTTATCATTCCCGGATTTGCGATTCCAACCTCCAGGCTGGGCTGTGTTAGTCAACTCCCCGGCCTTGAGGATCTTGAGCTCTTTTTTGAGATCCGAAATCTTGGTTTGAGCGCGCTCGAGAACGGCTTTGGTATCCGCATCGTGAGCTTCACTCTCTTTCTTGAACACGTCAAAATCCTTCTTCAACTGACGAAGTTCGTCGTCTTTTTTTGATGATTCTTCTCTTGCCTGCCTAAGCTGTGCCTTGAGATCCCTCACTTTCGACGTGTCGTTTGACTCGTCAGTGGTTAAAAAATCTGTAATCCTCCGTTGCTCGGCAGTCTTTAGCTGAGCCTTGAGTGAGGATACTTGGCTGCGTAAGGCATCCAGCTCCTTGAGTTGCGCTCGAGATCGTCGCAACTCCCGCTGAGTTTCGATTATAGTTTTTGCTGTGTTAGGCGACGTCGTGCCTTGTAACCGCCTCCACTCTCTTGCTTCGTCGTCGTCTTCTCGTCCCTGATGCAATTCTTCAAGCTGGGCTTCCAATTCCTGAACCCTATGCCGGTACTGGGCCGCAAGAGCAGTTTGCTTTGTTAGGGTTGACAATAACTCTGTTGTCTCGTTACTGCTGGAGGCTCCTTTCTGTTTTGATACCATGTAGTTTGCGTTTTCTGCAATCTTCTTCTCCATGGCAACCACCTTTTCTTGTTCTTCTTTGAGTCTCTGCGCCAGATGGATGGCTTCTAAATCTTTCTCCTCCGCATAAGATTTGAGGTGTTTCTTGTATTTAAGTAGCTTCTCCATTTCCGCCCGCGCTTCTTGATGATATTTTTCGAACTGCTCTTTCCAGTATTTGCCAGATTGAGAATGTGGCTCGTTCAGGTCTACTGTAAGATCTTGGCCGTTAAAGTCGCCATTTTCATCGTAGAGCTCATCTTCCCAGTCCGACTCGTCCGACTCATCTTTGGCAGTAAAGGTTTCTGTCTGTTTGGAAACGTTGGTGGTGCTTTTGCGCCTTGCTTTATCGAGAACATCGGATAAACGAGTTCGCTTGCTGACGGCAACCCCCTCGTTATTTGGGGAAATGGTCTTCGTCGTGGCAAGATCATGGTTGAATGATACGCGTTTCCGCCTCGAGGCTCCCGTACCAGGTGTCAATAGGATCCCTTGTGGCTTCAGTGGAGTATCCGAACCTTGATCCGTCGTGAAAGCTGTCGATTTCGCCGCTCTAGCCTTGTCCCGCGATGCTCGCTGCGCATCTCGGACGGGAGTGCCGAAGAGCGCACTCTTGAAGGCTCTGGCAGCAAAAACGGGAGCAGGAGTATCTGGCATCTCGATAGTTGCGGTGTCTAAGCCAAATAACCATCAGAAAATGATTTTCATGTTAACGAAATCATTGCAGGGACGTCCTCACTTACCGCCAGTGTCCATCGCGTCCGGCGCGTTGTCCCCGCGCCCTAGCATCCATCCGAGCATCTTGAATGATACGACTTGGAAAAATTAATTCAAAGTTGAGATTGGCACGTCCTCAATCGCTTAGTCGTATTCAATTAAGCGGAACTGATTGGATACTGCATTTGGACGTTGCTTCATTCGCGATGTCGATGCGTCGTGGCCGCGGGTGTGTGTTTGTTTACTTCGCCATTGGTGTGTTCGCTGGTGACGAAATGCTAGGTTGTTTTTCTAAAGATTCGCCGCGACCATTAACTTCGTCTTAGTGATAACGGGGCTCTAACTGGTTAGCAGCGTTTCCAGGAATCTGGCGGTGGATCGATCGCACTGGGTCCGCTGAAGCGCACTGGGCAGTCCTGGCTCAGCCCTGTACAGGAACAGATTCAGCGGCCTAGGTGCTGTACATGGCACTAGCGCATCCAGCAACAGGGGGAGCTAGCAACGGACTGACCAGGTGATGGAATTGCCCCGCTGCTGCTAGCTATTGATTGCTTCAACGAGCAGCCGCTGGCGCATCTCTGCGACTCTTTCTCCTTCATACCAGCTTCGCCCATATTCCTCTTATCTCTGACGTCGACATCCATAATGGCTTCCTCTGTGTAAGGCGTCACGGCTTTGGCTGTGGCTCTTACCTAGGTAACACGCGACCATGGCGCGGAAACAACCTAGGACACTGACGTCGCCGACGAAAACTTCCAAGGATGACTCAAGCTTTCCGGGCCTCAAGCCTCCCGGCCCAGATGCGACGAACAAGACCGAGTATGTGGAGCAACAGAGGGACGAGATTATTGCTCTGCAAGCTATATACGCAGACGATTTCATCGAACATGGGGCCGCGCATAGCGCCTGGAAGGTATTCCATCCCATGCTCCTCTTTCTTGCTTGCGCATGTTGACTTACACCAACGTTTAGAAGTCCGACCCGTCTTTCGACATTCGAATAAAAGCTAGTGATGAAGATTTTGCCGTGACACTCGGCTTTACTCTTACGGCGACATACCCAAAGACACCTCCCGTGCTTACTCTTAAAGGCCAAAGCTATTTGCGAGAAGTGACCCAGTTCAAGATTCAGAAATTCCTCGAAACGCAGCCACGGGTCTTCGCTAAAGAGGCAGAAGTAATGGTTGACAAGATTGTCGAAGGCATTCGTGATATTCTTGAAGATGCAGCGCAAGCAAAGGCGTCTGGCAAACAGCTGCCATCGCTGGAGGAGGAGCGTGACAGGCACGAGGCAGCCTTGGCAAAGTTAGCGCAGGAACAACAAGAGAAAGAAAAGCGCCGCAAAGAGGAAGAGAAGAAAAAGGAAGAGAAAACTGCTGCCGAAGAGCTACAACAAGAACTCCTGAGACAGAAGCAAAAGGCAAGAGAGTCAAGGTTCAGTCGTCACACAAATGGCTTGAGCCCGCACCGACCGTCTACGTCTTCTGCCTTGAATGTTGAAACGATAGATTTCGACCAATATTGCTCCGTGACTGATAACATGGGAAACACTTTGGCTTTTAGATCTGTCGCGGGCAAATCTGATCCTCGCGCCGGACCAACTTCCACTGTTTTCACGGTGCGTCCAGTTCTTTCCAATGGCCAAGGCAACCAGCCACTGGCGTTGAAAGAAGTTGTCTTGCGTCCGAATGGTAAGGACCAGAAAGAATTCAAGAAGCAATTGCAGTCATTGGAATCTCGGCTACAGGATCTAAAGATCGGCAACAAGATACACCATCGACATCTAGTCGACGTTTTCGACTACAAAGTTGAGAGCGGTACAGATGCTGATCGCGCTGCTGCTAATACGTGGACGGTGAGGATCCTTAGCCCATTGGCGGAGAGAGGCTCGCTGGAAGAACTGTTGGAGCTTGCGGGGCATCTTGAGATAGGAAAGGTGCGATCTTGGACGAGAGACCTCCTTGATGCGCTGAACTTCCTTCATAATAAGAACATAGCGCACCAAGATATCCATCCCAGGAACATTCTTCTTTTTAGAGAATCTACTGGCGAAATTGTGCCCAAAATATCGGATGCGTCATACCAAAGAGAAATCCATAACCTCAGCTCTAAGAAGCAAGGGCCTTTGGGGCTCGCCACAGCAAAGTCCGCCTACTGGCTACCACCAGAGATCGCTGCTGCTACAAAGGCCCAGTATACCTCTAAAGCTGACATCTGGGATTTTGGAGTTGTCTTTGTTCAAATGGTATTTGGCTTGGATGTGCTTCGCAAATACTCTTCTCCTAAGAATCTTATGGAGTCTAAATTATTTTCGCAACCTTTCCAGGAACTGGTGAGCCGTTTCTTCAAGGACGACAGGCAGAAAAGACCGAGAGCATTTGAGCTTGGTGCTAGTGAGTTTCTCGCGACAGATGCCCCTGTTCTGTTTGACGATACTTCTGCCATGCTGTCGCATACTCCGTCTATGAATTCGTTACAAGCTGTCCCTGTGAGACTAAGGCGGGATTCTATGACCAACAGATCAACAACAGTCTCCCGTTACACAGAAGACTTTGTGGAAGAAGGAAGACTTGGCAAGGGCGGATTTGGCGAAGTTGTCAAAGCTAGGAAAAAGTTGGATGGCCAGATATATGCCATTAAAAAAATTACACAACGTTCCCAAACGAGCCTTACAGAAATTTTGAAAGAAGTTCGCTTGCTCTCGCAACTTAGCCATCCCGCAGTTGTCCGTTATTACAATACTTGGGTAGAAGAAATCCCCGACTCGACTGATACCGAGGGCGAAACGTCGACTGATGACTACACCGAGGACACCAGAGATACCGGTGCCGAATCTGCCGGTATCGATATCCAGTTCGCTACAAGCACTGGCGGCTTAGATTTTATATCGTCCAACGCTGCGGTGGAATTCGATTACGATTCGGATGAGGACGAGGAAGATGAGGATGACCAGGATTTATCTGACGATGAAGATGATGATGACCAGAGCTCCATTATGGACTCTGTCGGTAATCGTGAAAAGCATCATGAGAAAGACAGACTGGCTGCTCTGCAACGGCGCGCTCGAATGCACCGGTCTTTTCGGACTGTACTCTATATCTCAATGGAGTACTGTGAAAAGCGAGTACGTATAAAGTATTCATTATTCTTGAGCGACTACTTACTCTATCCCTTAGACCCTAAGAGATCTTATTGCGCGGAAGCTATACAAAAACAACACAGAAATATGGCGTCTGTTTAGGCAAATTCTCGAAGGACTGGCGCACATTCATTCGCTGAGTATTGTTCATCGTGACCTCAAGCCTGAGAACATCTTCATTGCAAGCAGTACGGATGGCGTGGACAATATCAAGATTGGTGACTTTGGCTTGGCAACGAGCGGCCAATTTTCTGTGGATCGAACCACTGTCAACGGCTATGAGGCAGACGATATGACTAGGAGTATAGGCACAGCCTATTACTCTGCTCCGGAAGTCAGATCTGCATCTAATGGGCAATATAGCACCAAAGTTGATGTATGTTGCACATGTATAACATTAGTTGAATGGCAACCGATGCTAACTCGCTTGCAGATGTATTCTCTCGGAATTATCTTCTTTGAGATGTGCTATTTACCCATGATGGGTATGCAAAAAGCCGATGTCCTTGGGCAGCTTCGACGACCTACTCCGGTTCTTCCTTCAGATTTCAGGCCTGCGGATAAAACGCAAACCGAGATCATACTTTCTCTTGTCAACCACAGCCCGAAGGAACGACCATCTAGCGCTGATCTTCTCAAGAGCGGTAAATTACCCGTTCAGATGGAAAGCGAGACTATTAGACGCACTTTGGCAGGACTGGCAGACCCCAATTCGCCGTACTACCAGAAAATGCTGTCTACGCTGTTTGCACGGCCTGTAGAAGCGGCTAAGAATTTTGCGTGGGACATGAATGGCACCACGCCCAGTGCTGTGGAGCTTCTAAACCAGAGCATCGTGAAGAATGAATTAATAGCCATTTTTCGTCGTCATGGTGCCCTTGAAGCAACGAGGACTTCGATATATCCCAAGACCTTGCATTACGCTGATAACGCCGTTCGACTTATGGACTCTAACGGTACTGTTCTGCAACTTCCTTATGACCTTACAATGGGGCATGCCCGAATGTTGGCGAAGCACTCGCAGTCTCCTCCTCTGCAACGCACTTTTACATTTGGCAGCGTATTTAGGGACAAGCAAGATACGGGACAGCCTCAGATGTTTGGTGAAGTGGACTTTGACATTGTCACGGTTGACACACTCGACCTCGCTTTGAAAGAGGCAGAAGTCTTGAAAGTCTTGGACGAGATTATCCACACATTCCCCTCCTTGTCGTCATCTCAGATGTGCTTCCACATTGGGCACTCTGATATTCTACAGCTAATTTTCGAATACTGTGGTATTCAGCCTTCATCTAGAAGGGCGGCTGCAGATGTATTATCCAGGTTAAATATCCACAACCACACGTGGCAGAAGATTAGAATGGAGCTCCGGTCTCCTGCCGTGGGTATTTCAGCGACGAGCATTGATGAACTTCAGCGTTTCGATTTTCGAGGTAAGTTGAGATTTTCTACGGGAATATCAGTTGAAAGGATTTAGTGTTGGTGCTAACAACATGTGTCAGATACACCAAACAAAGCATTTGCAAAGTTGAAATCAGTCTTTGAAGGTAGCGATATGTATCAGCGCGCCGCGTCAACAATTGCGCATCTCAAAGAAGTTGTCGAGTATACAAAACGATTGGGTGTCAATACCAAGATTTACCTCAACCCTCTGAATAGTCTCAAAGAAGGCTTTTATATCGGTGGCATCCTCTTCTCATGCATCTACGATAAAAAAGCCAAGGACGTCTTCGCCGCTGGCGGCCGGTATGACAACCTAATCAACGAGCAGCGTCCTAAGATTGGAGGACAGTTTGAAAAACGCCATGCTGTCGGGTTCAGTCTAGCCTGGGAAAGGTTGGCGAAAGCACCCAAGTCGGGTGGCTATTCGTTCTTAAAGAAGAGTGAAGAAGATGTAAGCAGTATGTTCAGTAGCAAGCGTGTAAGTCATGATTTAACCCTGCAATTGCTTGAGATGTCCTGCTCACGCTGAGTTACAGTGCGATATATTGGTAGCAAGTTTTGACGCTGGCATTCTCCGGTCTTCCGGTATTGAAGTATTACGGCTACTCTGGTCGCACGATATAAGCGCAGAGCTTGCTAAAGACTCAAGATCGCCTGAAGATTTAATGTCGAAACATCGGGATGAAAACTACTCTTGGATTATAATCATTAAGCAGGATTCCATGCTAAAGATTAAAACTGTGGGAAAGAAAGACGTGCCAGACGTAGATATTCCTATGGCACAGCTGTTTTCTTGGTTGAAACCTGAGATTCGAGACCGAGACGCCAAGTCCGCAGCAAAGTTTCGTGGAACTCCCGAGCCTGTCGCCCAAGGAGAGAGGGATGTTGAACAGGAAGTCAAGATCATGGTTGCCCAAACCAAGAGCAAGAAGTTTAACCGACGCACAGTTGTGGAACAAGCACAAATCACTGCAGCTGCTCTGATGAATTCATTTCTTGAAGGTCCCATCTTGGCCATCGAGACTAGCGATCATCTAATGGAGCTCGTACAAGAAACCAGCCTATCCGACCCAGAGAGTTGGCGAAAGGCGGAACATAGCGTGACGACCTCGGAGAAGAAGTGCATCCGCGAAATTCGTGACCAGCTCGCTACTTGGAGGCGGAAGTATGAAACAAAGAACGGCTCCAAGCATTCGTTCTTATACAACTTCCGATCAGGCACTTGCATGTACTATGATTTATCGGGATGAGGGGCATGTATACACATGATGTGAGAAATATTTCTTGATGAATGAAACCTAGACTACCTACTATATCCAGTACGAGTAGTTGCTAAGTATTACTCTTACCTACTAAGTGATTGCTCCCTATTCACAAGCACTGTGATTAGCCGCGCCGTCTGATGCTATCGCCATGTACTACCACACAACAGTTGAAGGATTCAGGCGCATATGCACCATCAAGACACCGAGAGCTGATCGAGCGATTTCCTTTGTAGCACTGCTTCTGATTAGCGCTGGATGTATTTTTAGGAGCCTATGAAACGAGAATTGGCCAGTCCCTTGCAGCGGTCGGTGCACGCTGAGGCGAGCTGAATGACAGATCTGCGCTGGCAATGGTTGGTCTCCCTGCTTTGCAGTAAAATTGGTGGCTTTTTCTCCCATCTTCTTTTCCTTTCTTTTTTTCCTTTGGTGGCTGATCTGACCTCATCCCTTAAAGTGCCAGACAGTTGCCGTGTATGCTAGTGCTAGTATTCGGGCTACTCCGTAGTGCTAGGCTAACATGAAGGAATCTACACAGTAGATGGCAGCATCAAGTCTGGCCTTTGAATGTACTATTCGTATCTCACGGCAATGCCACGCCGGCTAATTATCAGTAATGCTCCGTATGGCACTCAATTGGTATCTCTCAATATGTATCTCGTATATTGATTGCATGGTTCCTTTTCCCCCTCTCGTCTGAGACGATTCAGGAAACTGGCTAGGGCGGCTAAGTGAGTATCTGCCAAGTACCTTCTGGCGACGAGCTGATAAAATGTGTACTTCTACGAAACCTGCCCGCAGCAATGGTTGATACGGCGCCTAATAAACCACCCCCCAAAAAATGGGCTAAGCCCAAGCAAGGAACTGCCTCCCACGCTGGCGGGACCGAAGGAAGCGCTGGCCGCCTTTGGAGGCGAGAGTCAGCGCTTTCACCGCCCGGTAATTGCGGCAGTCACCTGCTGCAGCCACCTGATGCCGTCACCTCTGCTTCGGGCCCGGCTGAGTCTCGGAAATTCCCTTTCATCGTTCAATGTCTTTGGCAACCGGCAACTTTGCTCTCTTTTTACCTCTGCCTTTCATTTTGGATCTCTGCTGCGTACACGCCTATTCGCTTCCCCTGCTTTGATTTTGGACAACAACATCAAGCCTCTGCTGTTTCTAGCCGTCACTCGCCTTATTTGTTCTGTTCGCCCGCCCCCTTCACCCTTCGCCCTCTCCCCCGTTGTTACCGATAGTCACCTACCAAAACACGGCTGCCCTCGTGACGTTTCCTTCTCAGCAAAGTTGTAGCGAAGAGCAGTGAGGAGAGAAATAACCCTCCGTATCGACAGACCTTTGAGTCAGCCAACCTTTCGAATTAGATCGAAAAGACCATTCTTTCGTATTAGCGCAGCGACACCATGGCACAGAAACGTCTCATGCAAGAGCTGCGGGCTCTTCAGAAGGAGAAATGGGTAGATATTACAGTAAGTGCTTTGGAACCGAACAAACTATAACCAAGATCTCTTTCTCACCATATCAGACGGACGAAACCAACCTCCTCAAGTGGAAAATCGGACTTTGGGTCGTAAATCCTGATAGCGTTTGGCACGGGGCATTTCTCAAGGTAAGACGCCTTACACCAATCACCTCGCATTGTGCTTGTCCTGGTAAGAGTGCGACGAGAGACTAACATGAAACCTTAGGCCGAGATGAGATTCCCAGCCGACTATCCCTACCAGCCACCTGCCTTCAAATTCCTCACTCCCAACATCGTCCATCCCAATGTGTATCTTGACGGGAATCTTTGCATTTCTATTCTACACAGGCCAGGCGAAGACGAGCAGTCAGGCGAACTGGCGAGCGAGCGATGGAATGTCCTTCATGGAGTTGAATCGGTCCTCCGATCCGTTCTCCTGCTAATGGACGACCCCGAGATTAATTCGGCCGCCAACGTCGATGCGAGTGTTCTGTACAGAGACAACCGTGTTGAATACGACAGGCTCGCGAGAGTCATAGTGGAAGAGACACAGAAGAGCACGCCGGAAGGTGCACATATGCCTACCATGGCCGAACTGGCTCCAGTACCAATCAAACCGGTCGATGACGACGCAGACTTCTGGAACATGACCGATGAAGAGGAAGATTTTGGCGGCAGCGACAGCGACGAAAATATGGAAGACGACTTTGATGATGACTTTGAAGATGAAGATGACAAATGATTAGCGAAGCACGACGAGATTCTTTGAGCTGCTCTGCTCTCACACCTGTTGAGCATCTCAGGCCGTTTATCAAAAGCGAGCGAGCGAGCAATAAGTCGGATAGCATCGCGACATCCTATCATCGACTAGCATTTTCTACCCGTATAGCAGTTCTATTTTTGCGGCGTTTGGCGGTATCATCCCTATCCATGCATGGAACGGTCTAAGGGAAGTCTCGGTGTCACGGCGCGGCATCTCTCTACTCTGGAGCCATGGGAATGATGCACTTTTGCTTTCCTGTTTCCTGTTTCCTGTTCCTTGTAGCTTTGGATTTTTGGGTCATTTGGTTCATGGGGCTTTCTATTTTCATTAGCGGGATTATCGTTTATTATAGCTTGAGTCTGACAGTCCTTCGCATTTATATAGAAGGTAGAAGCGTATAGACGTGTTGTGGTACCAAGCATAACCACTTTGTTTTTCCTCTGTTCCCTTCTGTGGTTCTAATCTTAAGTGCAGTGCTCTTTCAAGTGTGAAACTGAAAGAAAAAAAGAAAATAATTCCTCCTGGCTAAATATCGAAGGATAATTACGTGTAATAGTTACGTGGCAAAGATTACTGCTCATGGAAGAGTAAAAGCTCAGTCACTTGATTTATAAAGCCGCGTAATCCGTGATGAATGGCAGCCGCCCGACAGCCAACGCATATGCTATTACGCAGAAGTAGCTCTGGCGGTAAAGGCATAAATAAACTGCTTGATTGCTTTCACTTTTGCTAGCCATACCTACTAGTAGCACTCATTTCTGCGAGTCGGATGGAGTACCCTGAACTGCTACCAAACCAGACAATTAAATGCAGGTACTTGAGAGCGCCGCTAGTATCAACAATACCGAGTAGTGGCCCCTCTATCCCGCTCGGCCTACTAGTATAGCTGCCCGCAGCTTATCTTATCGCCCCAGCATAGTCCCTGGACTGACGTTTGCCCACAGCGGCACGACGACATAGCTGCACCATCATCGACCACCATTCCTAGGCGCCTCATTCTCCATATCCAAGAGCTTGCAGATCCCCGACTTGTGCAGCTTGCCCGCGCCGCTTTTTCAACACCTTCTTGCTCAACTCGCTTTACTCTCCATTGTCGCTTCATCCATACCTTCGTTCATGTCTTTTGCCCGTGGACGACGACGTTTCTGGGGCTAGGGTCAGCTGTCCCGCCCTGTTGAACAAGAGGCCGGTCCCAGAAATCGCACTTCCATTTCGCACCCCGGCACCCTTCTGCTACAGAAACCTCATAGCTGTCTGGATAGAGCTCGGTACTGCTGCTATTGATAATGGCTTCCATGGAACCTTCCGAAGACGAGGTGTCGCAAGTCGTTGACTTTGCGGGCCTCCACCCCGTCGATGATCGAACCATGATCATGAATGCACTAAGGGTCTGTTTGCACCTCGTCACCGGCTCATCTTGGCGAATTTTGGGATACTAACCGCAATAAATTTTGCAGAATAATAATCGCAATGTTGAAACGGTTGTTATGCAGTACTTCGACAACTCGGAGTCGGTATGTTGCATTACCCCACCGCTTGCATCAAGTGGACGGACGATATGGACAAGATGTTGACTGACATCATCTCAGTTCCGCCAGAAATATGCGTTGGCCTGGAATGAATCAATGTTTTCAGCAGATAGAGACGGCACAACTGGTAACAACACAGGCATCTGTATGGACAGGCTAGCTATCCGCGACGTGAGGGAAGACGACATGGTGGCTGACGCTCTTCGCAGCATTTCACATTGAATCACTAGAAGGCAATGATATTATACAGGGAGTTACGCCCCCCCCTCCTAGCTACCCTATTGGAGCTCCATCAAGACCCCCATCACGATCGAATAACAGATCTCCACTTGGTAATATGATTGACTGGACTGCGGGAGACGCAGCTGGTAGTACTCTGCTCTTCGCATAGGAAAGATGACGTTCTGACATTGTTCATAGGAGGGCCTACTATGCACTCACAAGAAGAAGACGATATGCAACGAGCCTTACGAGAGTCGGCAGAAGAAGCAGGGTTTTCTCTGCCTCCACAGGAGTCTGGGGTTATGGACCTCTCCACTGCAACGCCGTACTTTGGCCCTGCGAACCGGTCCGACTATGATCAGAGCAACTGGGCCATGGTACCTGTTGCGCCGCTAAAGGCGAAGCTATCAAGTGCCCCTACGCCGTCCCAAAGAAAGCGAGATCCCGAAGCTCCTGCATTCATTGTTCAAGGATCCAGCTCGGTCGGCAACCACAGCTTGGGCGGCTTACTCACCATTCTTCACGAAATCCCGTTGGCGAGAAATACTCTTCTACAGTGCGGCGCTCCTGCAGCCTCTTACGGGTTTAATAGCCAGTGGTGGAATGGGCAGGAAATTCTGCCTCCAAATGTTTTACGCCAAATGCACTCCGAGGGCTCGGCATGGGGTGACGACAACTACGAGACCCCGAGGCCAAATTTTGAAGAGGAAATACATCGGCTCATGGCCTTCCTCGATTCGACGGAGAGAAGTTACGGAACGGTTAATACCCTCACTGAGTTGCTTTCTGGCGCCAGTAATGGGGTAGAAAAGCTATTCTACGAACGTTTGGGTCAAGTGAACGACGAGATTCTTGGGCCATTATATCAAGAGGCATCCCTCGTTAATGTTGGTGGTGACGACGTGGGCGAAAACAGTTATGAGAATGCGAGGTTTGGATTGCTGGTAATCGATCATAGACGGCCTGATTACGCTCACATCAAAACACTCTACGAGGCCCTTGATCATTTGATGTGGGGTGACGTGCTGTCCTGGGCGGATCCTAGTGAGACGTCCAAGATGGCCATGTTCCAAACCATGGGCGAGGTGCTTGTTATAAAGATCGGCAGCGAAGGCCCCCCCGAATCGTTTGAAATCCCAGAGGTCTTTTATCCCGAGCGATATCTGGCTAGCCGTAAGGAGGAAGCCAGAAGAATAATGTCCGCTTGGTGTAAGACCAAAAATGACATCGACAGAGTGACAACGGAAGAGCGACGGCTACAAGAATGGCACAATGATTGGAACCAGCTGTCTCTTGATAAGAGTGAAATGATCTCCAAAGCCAAGGAGCAGTGGCAGGCATTCTCAAAGTATCTAGAGACTGCTGGACAATTTCAGGGAATGGAGGCTTCGGCGTTCGATATCAACAAGTATCCTGATTATCGGACGGCTCCTTGTCAAATGAACGACGAGCAGGTTAAGCATTCGCAGCAGGTAAATGAGGTGTTGCTTCTGACAGAGCGAATATTATCCGACATTGAGACAAGGACCGAAGGTAGGAACGATTGCTCTCCATGTCTGCAGAGTAGAGTTTAAGATGGGACTTACTGATACCGTGGCATCTAGATCTCCGTGCTCAGCTGGAGCAAATTCAAGCCAAGCAGCGCTTTCTTGGTAAACTTCTGACAAAGGCAGATAAGCCAGGCCGGCCAAAGCCAATGACGTGCAAGAAGTATCTTCTTCGGGGTATAGCAACTGACAGGGATATTGTCTACGTCTGCCAGCGAGTTCACTCAGAGTCGGCGGAGTCAGAGAGCCCAGACACGCCAATTGATCAGTGGTGGCGATTGGAACTTTGTACTGATGATGACCACCAACCAGTTAAATCAGAGGTAAAACCTTCCCCTTTTTGCGCCATGTCTACCAATCTCTACAGCTGGCCCGAATTGATGCTCATTTACTCGGTTACAGAAAATTGATATTGAGCGAGTTTTGAGAAACGTATGGTACGAAACAAAGACGCCGCTGCTTCTATATGCCACCGAGGAAGCAGTTTCGACACCAAGGACGCCACTATCAGATTCCTTGAACATGTTTTCCAAGTCGGATAATAAGGCATTTCGACAAGAACTTAGACAGCCTACCGCTGACAGTGGAGAAGAAAGGATGCGTGTATCTGTGGATCCTATCTCACCTTCCAAGAGGAAACATAGAGACAGTATGGATTCGATGAATAGCAACCGGGCGTCTATCGGCAGCGAGGATAGAGATCCATTTGCGAGTGTATTTGACGGACAGTTAGAAGAAGCGCAGACGGAACTGATAGATATGTCTGGAAGCAAGCCAGACCACGCCAGGGCCTCCGACTTTGAAAGTAAATTTGGAGATTACGGAATCTCTGCACGGATGAACGTCGAGTCTGCAACTTTGACCCCAGATACGCTGGCGGCCGACGAAGGTGCGTCACAACGGCCAACACCTCCGTCTCTGGAAGCTAGCCAGCCAAACGACGTGACGAATATGACGGATACAAGCATGACCAAGGGTCCGGAGATGCAAGAACGAGCTCGACCAATGACATTTGTACGACCTTCGCAAGCGAGCGAGGGAGGTGGAGACTTGAGTATGGACATGGAAATACCGGATGTACAGGAATAGACGTTCTACTACGGTAGTATAAGACTATGGGAGTATGATATTTGGTGCACAAGCTTATTGTCAGGGATGAAAAAGAAAGGGAAGAGAGGAGAAGAATTGAGGACAAAGGCGGTTTGATACTGAGGAAGAGAAAAGGATGTTTGGTGGTCCTTTGTATATGGGGTAAACTGGGTCGGCCAACAGTCTACACATCTTATTGGTTGATACTATAGCATATTTAAGCGAGCTTTGCTGAGACCTTGAATGAAATTGTCTTTACTGTTCAAGGTGACGGAGTTGGCTAATGTCAAAAAAGGTGAGAGAGTGCTCAGAATACTGGTGTTGCAGGGTGTAGAGATTCTGGTTATTGTCAATGCTGGCTATTCTATTGTTCTATTGTTGTATATATGAACTGATTTCATCTTATCCGCCAGTGCGAAGATGAATAAAGCACTAAAGTACCGTTCCCATTCATGTATTAGACTACTGTATTGCTGTCAATTGGTCTACACCATGTATATATACGAATTAGCGACACCTCCATTGACCTGTTGTGATTTGGGTATAGTGAGGTTGAGGCATGGAAGCTTCTAGAAGCTTCCATGAGACGGTTTTGGACCCTGCCGAGAAGCTGCGTATGTTGCACAGAATACAGTAGCGCTTTAATGCTTTGTTTTAGAGATTTAACAATGCCTACCTAGTACTTGGGTATGGATACTCCTATCTTAGCTGCTTCTTTAGGTGCTTTAGTCTGATGATCTGGAGGTCTGTACTCCGTACTCGTACGAGGATGCACGTTCTACCTATTACGGAGACCATTTATATCGGGTGCATGTGGCCATCCCAGGTCCTAGGTATAAAGGCTTCATTAATGTGTGAGTAGGGGTCCACGATGGGGTAATTTGTCAACGATTTGTGAGGGCAGATGCAGGGGTAAAGAAAGAAAGCCCTTGGTCTGGTTATAGTGAATACATCGTGACGTGGCTGGGGCGGTATTATTGATAGAGCAGAACAGCGCATAGCCGGCCTCGTGGTTTCTGAGTGGTGATGGCGGGTCGGTTGCCAACTGGAGCTTAGCGCTGCCAGCGAGCTGTTTTTGAAGTTCCCATGTCTTTGTATCGTAACTGGCAGTTGGGCTCGAATCTGCTTGGGACCCTGCCGTGACCCGAATGGACGGGTAGTGTTGATATTATCATTATCATTGTGATTATCAATATGATTTATATTACGAGTACGTAGTGATTGTTGATTCAACGTGATGGTAGGATTTTGCGGTATTGGCATGTGGTATTTACTTCAACGGGATGGTCAGTGAGGTAACCTGAGCCGGAGATGAGATGGATGAGGCGAGATGAGATGAGATGAATATAAGAGTGAGAGGTTTTTTTTTTTTTAACTTTGTCTAAATGAAATGTGCTCTCATCACAGATACCTACTTAGTATGTATACCGTATTTTGTGACTGGGAAATTGCATCAATGCCCATCACAGCGTAGGTACATACAAGCGCTGCACTTCATTCGTGGTGTTGAGGTACTTACAAGTACACCCCAAGCGCGCGACAAGAGAGCATCACCTGCCCCCCCGCGAGTCACCTGGCTATCAATCATATACCCCGTACTACAACCAGCAGCAGTGAAGAAGGGGATCAAATAGGCGAAAGAGGAAGCAGGACAGAAGGGAGATAAATCGAGAGACAAACCCGTTCCATTTCCCTCTTTTGATCATCTTTTCTATCCCTATTTTCGACAAGCTACCGCTCTCCGTTGCTCTGCGTTGCTCTGCGTTGGCGCTGCTGGTCGAATTAGTAGTGTGTGCAGGCATTTCCTGGCTGGCCGCATCGCAGCGCATCGCATCCACAACGCATCACAACACGCAGCTCAGCACGTCTTATCCTGACTCTGGCATGGTCTTTGCGCCGCCTCCTCTTTTACTCATTGGCTCGCTGCGGTGCTGCATGCCTTAAGCCCGATCCCACCAACTGCTGCTGCAGCGGTTGATGCCCCCCAAGGTGCATTATCTTGCCTGGCGAGGGTATAAGGCGCCCCGACATAAAAGTCGTACCACGTCCAATCCTCACGCCTCGCAACGGGCTCGTCCCATCAATTGGACATCCGGTCTGCGTCGATCAGAAGGGATATACGTTGATTTTGTCCTACGCCGCAGACTGAGTCTCCCATCATAGTCTACAATCTGGCCATTGCATGCAATCCAACCCCAGCGGTCTCGTGCGTCATAGGCGGTAGCGGGAAGCTTCTACAAGGTCCCAGCACAAGCGGCCCCACCCACGGCTCACTCTGCTACAGGTAGCCTGACAACTGACCAGGATCCGGGGCTATCGAGTATTAATTGGTAGCGGCCATCTCTTTGCGCTTGCGTCCCAGCTTCCCCTCCATATTCTCCATACCGACCGATTCTTACTTTTTCTTTCCCTTCACTCCCTTCTCTACGGCTCGATACTACAAAGCGATATTATAACTTGACGTCTCTTCTTTTGCTTGGACCGATCCGCGAAACCGAGGGCCCAACTCTACTCTTTTACGCTCGATTCACTCCAACTTTTCACTCTCGATATCATCACCCCACCAACTGCTACCTAGAGAGAACTCACACCGACCCGTCATCCAGCAGCCATTAAGATGGTGAAGGAGACCAAGCTCTACGATACCTTGAGTATCAAAGCTGAAGCGTCGCAAGACGAAATCAAGAAAGCCTACAGGTATGTACGATGAATCTCTTTTATTTTTTATGTTTTGCTTGCTTTCTCTTTTCCTTCCCCTTTGGCTTCCCTTTTTTTTTTTGTCGTCATTCATGCTTGGGCCAAGAGCTAGCTGTGGGTGGCAATTGGCGAGCATGGCCAATCCGCAAGCTTCGTCCCCACACGACTTTGCCGCCCAACCAGCATGTCCCCGGTTGAGTGTAGATGATCAAGTATCGATGCTAACCACAATTTCGTATACAGAAAAGCTGCTTTGAAGTGGCATCCTGACAAGAACAAGGACAACCCCAACGCCTCCGAAAAATTCAAGGAGTGCTCCCAGGCCTACGAGATCCTGTCCGACCCGGAGAAGCGCAAAATCTACGACCAGTATGGCCTCGAGTTCCTGCTGCGGGGTGGTGCCCCTCCACCCGAAGGAGGTCCAGGGGCCAACCCTTATGCGGGAGCAGGCGGTATGCCTGGCGGCTTTGGCGGTTTCGATTTCGGAGGCATGCCGGGAGGCGGCGGTGCCAGGACTTTCCATTTCAGCACGGGCGGAAGCGGCGCCAAGGCCTACAACTTCACGAACCCTGAGGACATTTTTACAGAATTCATGCGCAGCCATGGTGCCACCGGCGGCGTAGGCGGCGGCGGCGACGACGACGACTTTGGCTTCTTTAGCGGTTCATCATTCGGCCCTGGCGGCGGCGGCCCTCGGCCTGGACGAACAAGGGCGAGATCTGGCTTCGCGGAACCGCCTAGGAATCGCGAACCAACACCCGAAGTTACAACTGTTGAACGACCGCTACCTCTTTCTCTCGAAGAATTATACAATGGAACCACAAAGAAGATGAAGATTAAGCGCAAGACTTTTGACGAGAACGGAAAACGCGTGCAAACCGACCAGATATTGGAAGTGCCCATCAAACCAGGTCTGAAGAAGGGATCTAAAATCAAGTTTAACGGAGTTGGCGATCAAGTAGAGGGTGGTAGACAAGATTTGCATTTCATCCTTGAAGAGGTAAGCCGGCCCATCACTCATCCAATACTTTGATACGAGTTGTTGCTAACTACTTGGCGTTACAGAAAGATCATCCGCTCTTCAAACGAGAGGATAACGACATTGTGCACACCGTTGCCTTGGACCTAAAGGAAGCTTTGACTGGATGGAAGCGAGTAGTCACTACAATTGACGGCAAGCAAATCAGCATAGATAAAGGCGGTCCAACTCAGCCCGGAAGTGAAGACCGGTATCCGGGACTGGGGATGCCCATGACGAAGAAGCCTGGACAACGGGGTGACTTTGTTGTGCGCTACAAGGTCAATTTCCCATCAAGCTTGACCCAAGAACAAAAGGCACGACTCAAGGAGATTTTGTAAAAACAAAAAAAAAAATAAAAAAGAGAAAGAAGAAGAAGAAATAAATAAAGAAAGAAAAGACCAAAAAAAGGAAAAAAAGAAATTCTGGACGCTGCACAAAGCTCGAGAGATGGGGAAGGAACGATATATCCACATAGTGACAGAGGGCTTGGTATGCGGGACATGAACAGGACCTCAAAAACCGAGCCGCGCGACCCCTTTTTGGAAGGCTGGGAATGTCTGTGCAATCCGACATGGACGGAGATGGTAGATGACGGTATGATGCCGCCTGATAGTACGATGATGACAAGCTGGCGTGTTTTCTTCTTTGTTTTAATTTTTTATCTACCCTTTTGGTCACTTTTGCACTGTCAAGAAGAATTGACAGGGAGTACGGCGTTTTCGGGCATGCATTTCTGGCAGAGTTCAAAGCACGCGGTGGATTCTTTGTTGCATGATTGAGAAAAAGACATTACTAGGATTTTGTGATTGAAGGGGACTTGAAAGAGACTTTACATAGTAATCGTGTTCATGTCAGTCGGGTGCTGTAGCACAATGCCGGAATGAGACGGACGGACGGATGGATGGATGGATTTGATAAATTGACTTGTAGCGGATTCATTTTTGTCAACAAATATCTGTACATTGCTTTGATAAAGGTGATGGATGGTTTTATCCATTTTGTAGCTTTATGATTTTTCTATACATTTGCACGATACAACGTGTGGGGTTCGAAATGAGTGCTTATAAAGACCCCTGCGGGCTGTTTGATTACGGTGCGGTCATGACGATATCATCATTGAGTCTTATGGCAGCCTCCTTTGTAGGCAGCGGATGGGGCCCTTGCGGAGTGACATGCCGGTCTCAGCCACTGGCGGCTACGTTCCATGGCGTGGTCACAGGAAATTGAAGCATGAGGAGAATTCCAGCCTCTTTTCATTTGATTAGAATGGCTGAAGGCAAACTGACACGTAAATGTATGTGCAGCACGCGGGGCATATATGTATGTATTTGCTGTAACATGTAACCTCTTGTATGGATTGGGAGTCGTATATACTACAAGGTAGCGTCGTGTAAATAAGCCAAGCAAATCAGAGCCCCGGGCTTTTTGCCGGATTCCAAGAATGGAGCAGGCGAGCGGTCCACTAACATGGTTCGGGGAGGGGCAATGACGACACTGGGCAAGGATCGAGGGGGGGGGAGGGGTAGAATAGAGCGAAAGCCTGAAGCAAGCAAGGCTGCGAAGCTGTGAAGCTGGGCTGTGATATTTGGGGAATAAGAGAGAAAAAGAGAGAAAAAAAAGGACGCTAATCAAGGGGGAGAAGACTATTGTTTTGGGATTTGTTGTCGATGGAATGAATGGCGGTGCCAGCAGTAGATGATAGTATAGATAGTACTAGTAACATGTGATTCAGATGATGGATGAAGAAGAGAAAGAAAGCAAGTACATAGCCAGTAGCTATGATTTAATTGCGCATGGCCACGCCGCTTTGTAACTGGTGAGAATCAGGATTTTGGGGGCAGAATCCACCGTGTGCATGTGAAGCGTGTTTTGCATCGTCTGGATGTGTTTCATATGAGGTAATTATACAGAATTGCACTGGGTCTTTATACATAGTAAGAGCTTGTACAGCTTCCCGACGTTGCCTTGTGGAGAGCTGCTAAGGCTTTTTAGTTTCCTTGGCTTACTGTAGTAGACGACATCCCGTTCGGTTGGGCTTTATATACTTGTTGTTTCGCTCGTCTTGGTCCTCTCCTTTTTTTTTTCTTTTCCCTCATATTCCTGCGAACCTAGAATCCAATTAGATACCCTCTTTTCCTCCTTGTCCTTGTCCTTTCTTATTTGAAATAAATAGAAACACCAGAAAGCACCGCCAAAATGCCTGAAGTAAGTGTGTTTCAATATCCGCCGACTACCTACCTCATGTCCCCCTCCCCAACACTCGCTAACTCGGCCCCCTTTCTCAACAGATCAAAACCATCCTCTTCGACTGCGACAACACCCTCGTCCTCTCCGAGGAGCTCGCCTTCGAGGCCTGCGCAGACCTCATCAACCAGATCTGCGCCGAGCGCAACGTCCCCGTCAAATTCACCGGCGAGACGCTCATCACCGAGTTTGTCGGCCAAAACTTCCGCGGCATGCTCACCACGCTGCAGAAGACGCACGGCATCGAGATTGCGCCCGCCGACCTGGAAAAGTACGTGCTGATGGAGGAGGACGCCGTGATTGCCAAGCTCAAGGCCGCGCTGAGGCCGTGCGACGGCGTCGACGAGCAGCTGCAGGCGCTGCAGGCCAAGAACCAGTACCAGCTCGCCGTGGTGTCGTCGTCGGCGCTGCGGCGGGTGCGCGCGTCGATTGAAAAGGTCGGCCAGGACAAGTATTTCCCGGGGGACGTGGTCTTCTCGGCGGCGACGTCGCTGGAGAAGCCGACGAGCAAGCCGGACCCGGCTATTTACCTGCATGCGCTGGAGAAGTTGGGCAAGACGGCGGGGGAGAGCGTCGCGGTGGAGGATAGCAAGAGCGGCACGCTGAGCGCGACGAGGGCGGGCATCAAGACGATTGGGTATGTTGGGCCGTATGCGGATGAGAAGAAGGAGGAGATGGAGGGTGTGTTGAGGAATGCGGGCGCGGTGGTGATTATGCGGGACTGGAGCGAGTTTCCGGAGGCGTTGGCGAAGATTGAGAAGGGTGAGGTTTAGAGGAGTTTCTTCTTGATGTCTATGACTTTTTGTGCGTGTGTTTTTTTTTTTTTTTGGATTGAAGCCTTCCTTTTTACAGGACTTTTTTTTAAGGCTCATCGTCTTGGTTGATAAAGAGAACTAAGAGAGAAGAGAGAAGAGAGAAAGAGATGGTAAAACGCTAGATATGAATAGATATGACGAAACGAATTGACGCGCTTGGAATGCAAAGACGCAAAAGCATATAGGGAGTCTATCTGGTCTAGTTGATTTTTTTTAATACAATTATTTTTTTGCAAAAGCAATTACTGGTTTACGATTTATTTCCTCCAGTCCATCAAGAAGCTGTTTACACTCTGCAACGTCGTCCTGCTTGGGTTCGCCTCTGGATACACCGTCATAATGGTCCCCAGCCTAATCTTGACCAGCGTCTTTGTGAAGGACGCAGTTTCATCAGGCACGCGGAAGTTGCCCTGATCGTCAAAGAGGTAGCATGACAGCGCGAGGGCGACTCCCACGGAGAGATCCTTGCCCGAGTCGCAGGCTACGACAATCTGTGGCGGTTGATTGGTCCCATTTGCTGAGGAATCCAACCCTGAATTCTGTTTCTGCAAGAACTGGGCTGTAAAGGAGCATATCTCGGGGAGGGCGAGGCGGAGGTTGCGGCTGGCGGTCTTGTGTTTGCCGAGGTCGACTCTGATGTGCGTTGGGGACTGGATCCATGATTCCTTTGGCGTGGGAGAAGCGTCGGTTAGAAGGATGAGGCATTCGTCTTCCTGCTTGGGGGCCGGTGGTGTTGAGAGATCATGGGATGTGGATATGGGGCGGACGGAGATGTGTGGCGTGAGTTGCTTTCGCGGAAGAGCGGTTTGGCTGCCTTCTCCAGCCTGGCGCTTCACTTTGGCTTCCTCTACCAGACGGACGATGAGGTCGGGGAGATCAGCTTCTGGAGCAGAGAGCAAAGCTGTGGTGTTGGCCCAGAAGACGTCGGGGGTGAGTCCCAAGGCCCAATTCTCGGTGTCGTCTCCTGCGCCTTGGATGTAGCCGCCCTCGTCTACCTCGCTGCCAATGACCCGTCTGCTGGCAGTACAGCATATGACGGGTCTAAAGTCTTCGAATATGACATTCTCGTGGTGGTCTTCGCTATCCTCATGGTTTTCTTCATCTGAGTCTAGAGAGACGGGGAGGGATGACTCCTGCGTGATCCAAAGCGGACGAAGAGGTTTTGTGAGAGATTTTGGCAGAGTGAGGTTGAGTTCTTTGAGGGAAGAGAGAAATGATGGTATAAGGGCGAGGATTTGGGAGTGAGTGGATGCGGGTAGGTAAGGGGGGAGAAAGAGCTTGGAGGAAAGGGGGTGGTCTGGGAGGAGGGCGCGATTGATGACGGCACACCAGATGGGGATGGTGGTGGAGAGAGCATCGGGCATGCCTGGTATAAAAGGTCAGCATGAGATATCTATGACGATGAGTGGTTGAATGAATATATAAGAGAGAAAACATACGTTTGCCCCGGCGAGTTGAGTCGACGATGATGATTCTGTGGGCACATATAAGTCAGCCATGCTATCACTCTTCCAACACATTCACTTGAAAATATCAATCAACAATCAGATATAGCTCCTGCATACCCATCATTCTCCTCAATCACATCAATCAAATGCATATTCAGCCTCCTCGTGCTAAACTTCCACGCCCGCTCATGGCCATCCGTGCTCTTGAAATAGGCGCTGCCGTCCTTGTTCTCCGGCGGGATGTACCAGCTCCCGCAGCGCTCATTCGCCACCAGCGGCCTCTTCCTCCTCTTGCGCTTCCCGGATTCAGGATCGCGACGGGAAGTGGAAAAGGCAGAGGCTACTTGCGCGACGTAGGCGGCGTCGGCGCGGATGGATTTGAGGCGGTTGTGAGGCGTGAGGGTGCTGCGGCGGAGTTGGGTGAGGAGGCTGGAGATGGAGGGCTGGTTGGAGAAGATGTCGTCGTCGTCGATGTCGTTGTCTTGGGGGACAGACATGTTTTGAGACAAGTTTTTTGTTTAATTCTTTGCTATGTGTTGTTTCTTATGAGCTGTAGAAGTGATGTGAGACGCAAAGATTGTCAGTGTATATGAATGGCTAAATTTTATGTTAGTGGCTCGTGGTGTGGGTTCAAGTGTCTTTGCAGCTACAACTCATGTAAGACAAAACATCAATCCAGCTACCAAAAGTTTGTCGCATTAAACCACCAGATCAAGCAAAATCATAACTGAGGAATAATCTCTTTCATTCCATCTAATTTTCATATTTTTTAACGTTATCCATTTTTGGTCATTACTCATTATTCTAATTTACACCAGCTTCCAAGCTCCATTCTCCACCACAATCTGAATCTCGCGGCCCTCGTCAATACTCCGTCGGCCAGCCTCCAAAATCGCCGTCGTCGCAATCGTGTTGTTCAGAGTAGGCAGGCCCTTTGCATCTAGATCCTCCGGCTTCGCCCTGCCCTCATTGACCGCGCGGCAGCCGTCGACAAACTTCTCAATGGAAATGTAGCCATAGCCCGTCTGGCCGTTGAAGTTGCCGTCCTCGTCGGGGGCGTATCGCATGTAAAAGGGGTTGAACCACTGCAGCTGGCCCGCGCGGTCGTCTGCGACGTCGTAGCCTCGGTGGGCCTGGTCGACGCGGATCTCGCCCTCCTTGGCCAGGTAGTGGAAGTACTGGTTGGTGTGGATGCCGGCGCGCTGGGGAGCGGTCCACGATGATGTGTAGACGGCGATGGCGCGCTTGTTGGGCTCGTCCTTGCGCTCCCAGGTGACCAGCAGGGAGATTGTGTCCTCGGTCTCATCGACGCAGCCCAGGCTCGTGGCGACGCCCTTGGACGACGAGGCCGAGACCTTGACGGGCAGGTATCCGCGCTGCTGGACCATGGAGTCGCAGATGTCGATGTGGTGGCTGTTGAGGTAGTACGAGATGTCCGAGTCCTTGCCGGCCCAGGACTTGAACGTCTCCAGCTGCGACTTGGGCTGCGACATGTACGAGTAGAAGTAGTTCCAGTCGCCCAGCGTCTGGGCCTTGAAGCGCGCGTCGCTGTAGGCCGGGTCGAAGCGCTTGTGGTGCTCGATGAAGACGTAGACGCCCTTTTCCTGGGCCTTGCGCGCCAGCTCGACGTGGTGCTCCAGCAGCTTGACGGCCGGCTTGGTGATGAGGACGTGGACGCCGCGCTCGATGGCGTACAGCGCGATGGGGTAGTGCGTGGGATCAGGGGTGAAGATGGTGATGGCGTCGCCGGGCTTGAGCAGGTCGATGGCGGCCTTGTAGGCGTCGGCGTCGATCTTGTCGTTGGCGGGGAAGGAGTCGAAGGAGGTGTCGAGGTTGTTGTAGACTTGGGTGATGTTTCTGTTGAGATGCTCGCCTATAGGTTGCCAAAGTTAGCATCTGGATATTCCATCTCATATACACATAGGTAGTAGCTTTCACACAAGGCTATACATACGGATTGCGGGAAACTTGGTGCCATTGACGCCGACCATGCCCAGCTGGCCGACCTTGCCTCGTCGTCGCAGGTCGAAGAGAGTGAGGCCGACAACGCCCACCTTCTTGTCCGAGCCAGACATGCCACCGCCGACAAAGCCAGTGGTGTACTCGCCGGTACCGATCTGAGTTGAAACATGCCAGTTAGAGACGTGTGTATCTTTGCGCAATTGAATATAGTTTCTGGGAAGCTTCACTCACCATCAACACGTTGAGAGGAGTCGCCATGGTGAGAGATGTGTAGAGAGGGGTATCTTAGGATGAGGGGACAAGACAATGAGACGAGAGACTATCAAGAGAAAATGAGAGCAAGCAAAAGAATATGCTCAAGTTATAAAGCATAGAAGAAGAAAAAATGACCATCTACACAGCCTTGCCGAGTCGCGTTACCCGTCAAAGGGCTTCTGTGTATGTCGACGGCGCGCAGACGGAGGAATTGAGGGGCATTTGGCGGGGCAGCAATTGGAGGGATTAATAAAGACCGAGTTGCATATTCAGGGACCCTCAATCTGGATCTTGGGCTTTTACTTTGGCTTTGGATTTAACTGTACAGGGGCTCAAATGCATGCAATTTAGCTGCTACCTCGTTTCTGATAGACGCGGCTATAGGCGTATCCAGTCAGCTAGTTTCAATAGTAGTTGACTCGGTATCTCAACTGCGAGATGGCAGTTGTAATAACCCCAATGGCAATCATTATGCTAGAACGTCATCATCATCTCCAGGCTCTGGATCCTGCGTTTTCATGGTCTCGGAGGTCACTACCCCGCGCTGAAATCCAATGACCCCGCATCGTCGTCTTAGCTCTGTGTTCAATGCTTCTTAGTTTGGCCGTTGGAGACAATGAAGACGTATAAGATAAACGCGATGTAAGTGAGCGAAGACGACTTCTCAAATGATAAAAAAACCCTAAAAAAGGTAGCCAGGAAGATGCTTTACACGGATTGGCTTCCGTCTACGGAAATATTAATGAAGCTAGCAGCGCCTCTACTTTAAATATTCGGCGACAATAACCCGAGATACATGAGTCCTTCACCATGTGCCTAGCTTCTTCTATATTGCCGTACTACCGACGGATGAATTGCGAGCAGCCAAAATCAGGTACAGCGGATCTAGCTCGGGCTACTTTTACCGACATATGAATGGCGGAAAATCCGTCAAATCGGAATTTCCACCAATCATATCCTCTGCTCTTCGCATCCCACTTGCCTCCATTGTACCTCCATCCCCAGAATCATCGTCAACCGAGCCGCGACATGTTTCTCTTATACCAAATATCCACTATCATGGGCCGTTTTATATCCAACCCGCCGTTTTCCAGGGCCTCCAAGTCACTAATTCCTTCTCATTCGCTCGCCGTCTTCGGATCAGGCTCCAGTTGCTCTCTCGACGGGGTCAGCCTAACTGTAAGCCATGGCCTTGATATCGGAAGCTGATCGGTGGCTTTCCCCTCCATGTATTTCCTCTTCAATGTTAGACAAGCTTCTCTGGCTACCGGCGGCTATTCTTTGACCCAGAATTGATAGATGACAGCTTGTATTGGTTTATAAAGATTGGGTCCGTCTTTTTCAAACTACAATATTAGTTTCGTTTCTGTAATCTCATTCTTACTCTTTTACCTATCGTCTCTCTCCATCTTCAATAGTAACGCATCAGCGCCTCATCCTCTCCATCGTCTCCTAATAATATACCCAAGCGTCGTCTCATACTTTACACATACCCAGCAGTCAAGATGGCAACTCCCAAGTCGCTGCCATGCGGCATCTACGCCCCAACCATGACCTTCTTCGACCCCAACACCGAAGATCTCGACATTCCCACCATCAAGAAGCACGCTGAGCGACTCGCCAAGGCTGGCCTCGCTGGTCTCGTCGTCATGGGATCCAACGGCGAAGCCGTCCACTGCACAAGAGAGGAGAAGATTGCCGTCCTCAAGGCCACAAGAGAAGCTCTCGACGCCGCCGGCTTCCAGTCAACGCCCGTCCTCTTCGGCGCAACCGAGGGCAGCGTCAGAGGCGCCATTGAGCTGTGCAAGCTGGCGGCTGAAGCCGGTGCCGCAGCTGCTCTGGTTCTGCCCCCTTCATACTACCGAGCTCAGACCGACGAGGAGTCCATCTACAACTACTTCATTGCCTTGGCCGACGCGAGCCCTATCCCGATTATCCTGTACAACTACCCTGGCGCCGTGTCTGGAATCGACATGGACAGCGACCTCCTGATCAAGCTGGCCGAGCACAAGAACATCACCGGCACCAAATTCACCTGTGGAAACACTGGAAAACTCACGCGAGTCGCCCTCGGCACAAACGCAAAGACTCCCTTCCAGGAGGGCTCAGGGTACATGGCCTTTGGCGGCATGTGCGACTTCACTCTCCAGACTCTCGTCAGTGGTGGCAGCGGCATCATTGCGGGCGGTGCCAACGTCATGCCCAAGCTGTGCGTCAAGGTCTGGAATCTGTATTCTGAGGGCAAGAAGGAGGAGGCTGAGAAGCTGCAAAAGGTTCTAAGCCGTGGCGACTGGCCGTTGACAAAGGCTGCCATTGCAGGCACGAAGCAGGCGATTCAGAGCTACTATGGATATGGAGGATACCCTCGTCGGCCTCTTAAGCGCTTGGAGCAGGCTAGAGTGTTGGCTATTGAGGAGGGTATTCGGGAAGCGATGGACGTTGAGAAGACTTTGTAATCATTATAAAAGTGATAAAGATGTAATATAAGCAATACAACCAACATGTCAAAACAGTTTAACCAAATTTTGCTCCGGGAAAGAATATTACTAGGAGTGGATACAACTCAGTTGATATCTATAATATGTTTGCATATAATTGTTAATCCCTGAAAAGTTTATATATGCTTACTCAATCTACATCTGATTCAAATGGAGTTGTCAGATTGTACTTCGCTTGATTCACTTTAGTGGTTATTAGGCGACCTACAGGTAGCGACTTATGGGCAATCTATTAGATTATTTATCCAAAGTTTTGTCTCTTGTTTAGAATGTAGCTCCTTGTTCCCGCAGTAGTTTAACTATGTCTCGTCTTCCCTCCCGTAAAGCAAGACTCAGTGCTGTATTGCCATTCTCATCCCAGGCAACAATACTAGCCCCTCGGTCAATAAGTAATCGAGCTATATCCACATGTCCACTCTCAGCTGCAAGTTGAAGCGGCGTTCTATACCCTTTATTATTCGCATTAACATCAGCTCCCTGTTCAAGAAGCAGCCTAGCCAAGTCCACATCTCCCTCCGAAGCTGTAATATGGAGTGGTGTTTCGCCGTAGCTATCTTTAGCTTCAATACTAGCTCCTTGGTGAAGAAGCAACCTGGTGATATCTGCTTCTCTCTTCTGCACTGCAAAATGAAGTGGCCTGTCACCGTCGTTATCTGTAGCTTCAACATTGGCTCCTTGGTTAAGAAGCAATTGGACCATGTATACTTGTGCATTCCACGCTGCTCGATGAAGTGGTGTGCTGCCACTTATGTTATTTTTCGCTTCGATATCAGCTCCCTTGATAAGAAGCAACTCAGCCATATCTTCGTCTCCCTTCAAAGCTGCAAGATGAAGTGGTGTATCACCGTCGTTATCTTTAGCTTCAATATTTGCTCCTTGTTTAAGGAGCAGCTTAGCGATATCGACTTGCTTATACCAAACCGTTAGATGAAGTGGTGTGCTGCCATCTTCACCTTTAGCTTCGATACTAGCTCCATTGCTGAGGAGAAATTTGATCACATCTGTTTCTCTATTCCGAATTGCGTCGTGAAGCATCATATCATTGCCATCAATGTGTGCCTCATCGTTTTTAGCCTGACCCTGGATCATCTCGCGGCCGTCGTGCCCTTGGTTGAGGATATTCTTCTGGCCAAGAGAAAAGAGTGCTTCAAGGGAGCGGAGCTGGACATCAAACTTGCGTTTCTTGCGCTCCTGCACAATATCTAAATCTTGTCCAAGCTTAGCTTGTTCCTCCTTGATAAAACGAATCATCTCCTTTAGCTTATTGCATCCCTCTCCCAAAATCCATCGCATTTCAAAATCCTTCATAGCTACTGCTTCCTGTATCCGCTCCTCCGTGACTCGTAATTCAGCCTCAAACTTCGTGTGCTCACGAATAATGTATTCACAAAGCTGCATTCCCACTTGGGTGTCCTTGATTTGACAGCTTTTGTTGATAATCTCATCTTGCAGTTGAAGCATAATAGTTGAGTTAAACGAGAGTATATGCCGGATGATATCGAGACCGCTCTCATGCGTCTGAGCAAACCGGTAGATGTGGCTGCCCTTCTTATGCATAATACCCCATAACCCATCCGTCTCTATGAGCTCTCGCTCTCGCTGAATGGCTATCGTCGTATCAATGAAGCTCCACATAGTAGTAGCGAGGACGACAGATGGGTATGCTTTCTCTCCGCACAGCTTCTGGAACATAAGGAGGTTGTGGTGCTGAGAGCGGGTCATATGGGCGCCATTAATGGGATGCAGAAAGACCACGCCGCTCATCCTAATTCCCTGTTCGAATGACTTGCTGAACCAGAGGGCTATGTCTTGGATAATGTCTACATCAGAACGGAGAACGTGGCCAAAGCCTGGCGTGTCAATGAGGTGGACACGAACTCGGTCATTTAACATAAACGCGGTATCTTCAACCTTGGTGATGTCTAGGTAGCGACCGATATTTTTAGTCGCCATTAGAAGAAATAAATGGTAGAAACTATGGTTGTATAGATGCACATACCTGACTTTGGATCATGCAAGGGTTTCACATCTTTGCCTGCGCACATCGAGATCAAAGCGCTCTTCCCAGCACCTGGACCGCCCATCACGGCGATGTATACGTCTCTAATCTCAGGCTGTCCTTTGGTGGTATCGGCCTTAGTCTGCGGCGTAATAATAGACTGTTTGTTCTTGTCGCCCCGAGTGGAGGGATGAAATTCTCTATAAATTCTGGCGGGAGAGTATCTATTTATGCACGTCAGTATATTCTCTGTAGGCTTCTGTGTCAAGTAAAATTACTTGTCCTCAATCGCGTGCAATTTAACATCATTCACCGGCAGCACTGTGAGAAGTGCTTTCCCATATGCTGCTGCCGTACTTGCAGCATACTTCTCCCATCTCTCAGTTTTATGCGAGTCTGCATAATCGCAAATGCCTCGGATAACGACACAAGGAAAGTCGTCCGTTAAGCCTTCAGCTTTTGTCTCAACACAAAGGATGTTCCTGTTGAATTCTTTGAATTTCTCTCGGATGTTGGCGTCTCTAATGACTTGGTTTCCCGATGCAATCAGACCATAATGAATCATGATGTTCTCCTCTCTTGGCGCCCTGTAGACGATCATTGATTTATCACAAAATCGACAGTCGTCCTCTTCACTTTCTCTATCATCTTCTCCATCAGGGTCTGGGGTGCTGCTAACGTGGCTGTAGCCTGGCTTGAAGAGCAGATCCTGGTGCAAGTGAGATTTGATAAAATTCCTTGGTACGCCATCTCGAGTTTTAATATGGTTGACATAACTAAGCACCTTGCCATGAGACTCGGTTGGATTAGCCTCAAGCTTGGTCATGGCTGTCAACAGTGCTGTTGGAGGATTACTCAAACTGCCTGTCCGCTTAAATTGTCCGTCTTTCTCTGCATTCACCATGGTCCATTGCAGAACTGCAGGATCCCCATTCTTAGCACAGCTGACAACTACATCCCCTAGTCGAACTGTTGGAGGAATGCCGCTGCCGATTCCTATAATTAGGCAGACTTTGATATATGGAAATTCGGAAATCATCTGTGCTGCAGTTTTCGCTGCACTGTAAGGTAAAAGCGGACAAGCAATAACAACATTGTGCCCGCTAATATTTCCAAGTGTATACCAGATGTTTTCGCTTTCTAGATTTAAGACATCCTCATGCCTATCTTCGAGCATGTATAGTGCCGCTTTTTGCTCTTTTCGTAAAGTGCAGATCCATCCGATTGTATAATGCGAAGGCGTAAAGCTAGAAGGAGGCTCTTTCATCCATCCACCTTGCTGGCCTCTTTCCATCAATGTCCTGACATATGCACCTGCTGCTATGTCCCAGAGCCGAATAGTATTGTCGTCTGAGACTGACAGCAGCTCTTTGCTGCCAGGCGAGAAAGCGATTAAGTTAACTTTACTCTTATGACCCTCAAATTGTACAACACAGACTCCTGTCGCTATATCCCAAAGCCTAATAGTGCAATCCCACGACGCCGATGCTAGTTGTTGACCGCTGGGCGAGAAGGCAACTGAGTTAACCGTATTTCCATGGCCTTCAAGTGTTTTTGCGCATTTGCTTATTATCATATCCCAAAGCTTGATAGAGTGATCGCATGATGTTGATGCTAGTTGTTTGCCGTTGGGCGAGAAGGCAACTGAAGTAACTGCATCGGTATGGCCCTCAAGCGTATGTCGGCATCTCCCTGTTTTTGAATCCCATATCTTAATATAGTGGTCAGCCGAGGCTGATGCTATCTGTCGACCATCAGGCGAGAAAGCGACTGAGGTAGCTATACTGATATGGCCTTTAAGCGTCTGTACACATAGTGCTGTTCTTATGTCCCAGATCTTAACTGTCTTATCATCGGACGCAGATGCTAGCTGTTGGTTGTTGGACGAGAAAGCAATTGAGTTGACTATATTATTATGGCCCATAAGAGTCTGCACACAAGTTGCCGTTTTTGTGTCCCAGATTTTTATGTGATAATCAGCTGAGGCTGATGCCAGCTGCTGGCTGTTAGGTGAGAAGACAATTGAATTAATCTCACTTTTATGACCTTTAAATCTTTGTGTGACCTGTCCCGTTTTTATATTACATATCTGAATAGTGTTTTCTCCCGAAACTGATGCTAACCGCTGGTTGTTAGGCGAAATGGCCGCAGAGTCCACAATACAGCTCATAATATCCTGATGAGCGGATACAGTCGAATAATCGGAAGCAGTGCTTTGATCAAACTGTGGCTTAGAAGACCTGTCTTCAGATTCGTCATCAAAGTATCTATTTATAAGAAAGTAGTCATTGTATTCAAAAATATCGGTAGGAACTGGGACAGAGTGGTCTGCTCTGTCATAATCGCTCAATTCCATCCCCGGGAGTCTCACGCTCTCGTGTACGGCCTCGTTGATCCAACGTTGAAGATATTTTGCATGGCTCAAATCCTTTGGAAGATTAAAGCCGCCTGGTAGCACGTTCAGGTCGTGTATGATAGCCTGTGGCCATGGGAGCGCCCGAAGGGCGAAATCGTAGGCGTGTCGCAAGACATGGTCGACCAGGTCCGGTGAGTCTTCAGGTCCGCATGAGGAGCACAAGGGACAGGATTTTATTCCCATTGTCTGTACTGCAGACCAAGAGAGAAGGGTTGCTAGAGAGTTATCTAAGAGTTCCTCTCCGTGGACATTCTGAAGGTGGCAGCCCATGCTCTCCATAGTTGCGTAATCTGCACTTTGCTCTTCACAGAATGGACATTGCCACCGAGGTAGATGGCTCCTCTTGACGTGGCTTTCCCATTCATCTCGGGTACAAAAGAGGAGCTGCGGGGTAGGACAGTTCTCGGCAATGCAGGTATATGGGCATAGATCCTCGATGATATACTGCCTTCAACATTATATAAAGATCAGCTTCAACTGACTGAATTGGAGGATTAATTTTCCACTACTTACTTCCATATTTTGGGATTTTGGAAGGTTTCAGTAGGTAGAGACTGGCAACAGCAAGGACATTTTAATATCTCTCGCCCCAAAGGGATAGGGGGCGCCTTGGGGAACTCGACATCGGATGCGATGAATGTGATTTGCGTCTTTGTTACGCTTGGGGTATACTTCTTAGCAGTTGGGTCAAACTTCAGAGTTCCTTCGGCAGTTGATGCAAGAGAAAATCCCGAAATTGTTGCTGCTGTGTCTTCTTGGACTTTGGTAGTTGGATACCGCGTTAGATCTTGCTTGTCAGCTGAACCCGCCTTCCGTATTTTGGCGAGAGACTCCTCCTGTACAATGTTATTTGAAGATGAAGGATCTATAGCAGACGCTGAATGCATTTGCACCTTTCTCTGGATCCTGGAGCGTTTCTGTGCTACCAAAAAATTATGTCTTCGCCTAAGGTTCGCTTCGATGAGGCGATTCTGAATGCCAGACAGTGTGGAAGTGTCTAATGTGGTGATATATTCGCCGTTTTCTGTTTGATAGCAAAGCCCTTCTCTTGTCGGGCGTAGAAGGATTACACATTCGAGGTGCATTCTCAGCTCTTGGTAGTCATCTGGGTCGAAAGTCTGGTCTGCTCTTCGGTTTCGGGATGCCTTTCCTGTCCGGCGGATGGCCATGCCAATCAGAGCTAAGTTCTTGATAACAGAATCAAGGTTTAGAATAGCTTCGTCATAATTTGTTTCATCCTGGCTTGTTTTCTCTTCGACAAGGCCTGCGTAATAGTCCAAAGAGTCGGCCAACATGACAAGAACATTCTTCACTAACACAAGATCGTTTGCGCGGCCGTGGAGTCTGGCATCCAGCGAGGCCCCAGGCTTTGCCAAGGCGCCAACACCGTCAGCCCAGAGGTTGAAATCGGCCAGTCGACTCTCCAACGATTTGATGCGCTGTGAGCTCAAGGGACATGTGGCTAGGAGCTTGTCGAACTTGGAAATGCAAGACTCCGTGAGAGCTGAGATGGAGACAGAGGCTCGATCCATTTTTCATTGGGACTGTGTAATGAATGATTTACTCTATAAAGAGAGTTGACAAGATCAGAAGTGGCAGGATTCTAAATACCCATTTATATGAAAATGTGTTGCGCAAACGTCGGGTACATGTCGTATCTCTTTGAAGGTGCGAAGGCAGGTTTGTTGTACTTTCTTTGTTGGCAAGGCAGTACTACTTCCTTCAACTTAAGTTACAACAGATTTAGTGCTTGTACTCACGTATTACTGCTAGAAAGAAAGCATCTAGGAGTATATGCAAGGATCTGAGAGACTAATATTTGTGCAAAAAACCTGCCTTCGCATGTTCAAAGAGAAAGTAAGATAACCTCGAGTACAAGGGTTAGCGGATGGATACTTGCGCTCTTAGCTGCGGGTAACTGTGGGCGCGAAAATATAGCACATTTAGCCTCCCACTTAATTCTCGCACTCTTGAGGAATCAAGTAATAGACCTATTTCTACTGTTAGGTGCGTACTGGGCACGCAATGATACGGTTAATGAGGGGGCGGGGGGCTGCGGGGTTAGGCATCTTATCTTAGCAGAGGTTCTTTCCAGTGCCCCGTTTGTTACCAATTACGGAGGGCTCCTTACAGTAAGGCACAAAGTATTCACAGAGTATCAGATACTCTCAGCCGTACCTATACATATACTACCTAAGTGCCCATGTAATACATAATTGAACAAACTACCTACGCATTGGTATAGGTACCTAGCTAGCACTGTAAGCGTATAGCAAAAGTGAAAGAGACACTCCAGCTGTCTTGGGTCTGTACTGGTACTTATATATCGTAGTTCCACTAACAGCCTACCTACTAACCTACCTAGTAGTACATGTACCTATTGGCAATCTACATGGCCCGATTTATATTAATATTTAGGACGGATTATTAACAATGTTAAGTCCAGCAATCGCGAAATATTATCGTGGAAGTATAAATCTAACAGAGCTTTCCTCCAGCTACGTAGAGAGAAACAACGTCTCGCGGCGACGATGGACGAACACATTCCAACTCTCCTGTCATCACATGCCGCACAACTCTCTGGTGATATATTTACTGTGCTAACGAAGGGACGTCTAAAGCCCTCCGATTTAGGATACAAGGAAGCTCATGATATCGCCGTCAGACTTCATCTGATCAACACCTATCTTGACTCTCTTCCGCCCTACTGGATAGAACTTGATGTTGAACAACTCTGCCATATAGTTCTTCGAGACCTACAAGCTATTACTCAGCCAGCAAGAGGGTCGACAAGCTCATCTTTCCATCTAAACTTATCATTTTTTAAATCTTCATTTAACCAGAAGAGTCATTTAAATCCAGAGACATGTCTTATTACTTTCTTCAAGACACGAATAGAAAATGCCAGAAATTTCAAAGCCTCTTGCGATAATCTCCTTGGTAGGTTGGCCAAGGAAGATCGTGATGCGGACGAATTACCCGAGTCCGCGCTCCAGCAGGTCGACATTCCATCCAAGTCTGATGACCACAATGATGGGGTTTTTAAGGCTCTCCAACACATTACCCAATGCGAACCAGCGTCTCACCAAGTTAATAGTACGACAGCTTCTATCGAAATAGATCCACAAACAATACGGCACCCAGCACGGCTATGTCTACACGAGCTTCCAGACAGCCTAGATTCGGCTTCACGCTGCATTTTGGTCCTCGTTTCGGCCATAAACATGACTCTTTGGCAAGAGTTTTGCTTAAACATGTAGGTGTACAGGTATCCTACCCGGCACTCGCGACTACAGTTCGTTCTTGAGAGAGCGATGTCCATCATATCAGATGGTCCGATCCAGCCAGACGCCCACCTCCCCCCTTGGTCACAGGGTAACTCAGCAGTGGCTAGCTAATCAGCCAGATCATCCAAAGGCTAATAATCGCCTATATCAGTTCATCGTAGTGTATTCTTGCTAACTATAGATGATTTAGTCAACCAGAGATCCCCGCAGACGCTAATCAGAAGCTTCTCAGTCAAGGAGGCTTCTGCCGCATTCTAGAAAGGGAGATCACTGCCCGCCTGTTTCTCTCTTTTAACTTTGACAAGAGCCTTTCATTGCTTAATAAAACGCAAGTTTTAAAGCAGATCCTTCAGGCTGGGCCTGGTGAATCCCTTAAAAATGTTCTGCGCCACTACGATCTTACACCGAAAGATAAAGTGATGCTTTCGTATGCCATAGCACGATCATACTGGCAGTACTATGATTCAGAATTGATGCGGACAAAGTGGACGAGCGACACAATCTGGTTCATGTCTGAGAGGGAGAGCAGAGAACACAACGGCCAGCTACCTCTCTGTGCCTATTTGTCGTTCCCTTTTGGTATCTCCGGTGACATTACGCCAGATGTCATATATGAGGACCTACTAAATCATCGATGCCCAAGAATCTTTGATATCGGGGTATTGCTGCTAGAAATCGGTCTAGCTAAGCCTTTCCGGAGTGGCAATCGTCGAGATATAGTCGCACAGGCGAACCTCAACCACAAGATAGCGACTGACGAGCTTGTTGAATTAGAAAAAAGAGAATGGGATGGCTTCACAAATAAAAAGTATTTTGACCGGGCTGTGAAGTTCTGTCTCAATAGCGAGAACTTTACCCCTCTATCAAGGCAACTGAAACCGATTCGGGGGTTCAGACCATCCACTGAGCCGATGGCGCCTTCAGACTCACGTGCAGGCATCCTTATGCGAAGGACGATCTTTCATAAGAATGTTGTTCGCCCACTTGCATGGCTAGCAAAAAGGGGCTTCAAAGCACAAGCCGGGGACATTGCATACGTCGACAAAAAACCAGACCTCTCGCTACAAAAAGAGTTATCTAACGCACAAATACAACAGGAGTCAGAAGTATTATTCCACAGCTCCATTGTTTCCAAGGCGTGGCTAAATGACCTAAAGAAAATAAGTGAGCTGGTTGAACGCAAACGACGTCAGTTTGCGGTCACCAATCCGGTTCGAATTGCCATCCTAGACACTGGCCTTAATAAAGACTTCCTCACCTTTAAGACGAAGAGTGGACTGCTTAAAGGTATTGTAGATGAAGAAGACTTCGTTGATCCCTGCGCACAAACAATAACGGATACTTTTGGCCATGGAACTTTCATGGCAAGGCTTATCATGGAGTGTGCTCCTGGCGCAGATATTCTAGTGGCACGAGTGGCCGAAAATACAAAAGAGCTAGAAAACAGTAGGGAGAATATCAAGAAGGTGAGTGGTCTAACAAATATCCTGCACTTATGAAGCTTACATGGTAGTCGCAAGGCCATTCTTTGGGCCGGTCGGACTGGCAAAGCTGATATTATCTCCATGTCCTTTGGTTTCCCGTATGATGATCAAGCCATAAGAGAGGCCATCGAAATGGTGCAGAAGGAGCGCCAGGAAGAAATCATCTTCCTGGCTAGCGCTGGGAACTCGTCCATAGATGACGAGAGCTTCCCAGCTCGCCATTCTGCAGTTATATCAGTCTACGCAACAAACTGCCACGGGGCTTTCCTGCAATCAAACTCAGCAAGCATTAGTAACGGCGCCGCTGTTCTCGGTACGTATGGCGACGACTTACCGGAATTTATCAGAGAAGAGTTCAGCACTACATACCCAGAGGTGTGCCAACCTGGCTCCTCAGTCGCCACGGCGATAATGGCGGGCATCAGCGCCACTATGCTTGCTTATACCACTGTCCTGCCTTCGATAGTACCTTTTCAAGGAATACTGGCAAGCACATGCAGCAATGTCCTTCAGCGTCTTAGGACTACTAAAGGTATGGAAGAGGTGCTTTGTCGGCTAGTACGGCAAGATCTGGACCACCAGCGGCTCAAGGCTGTGAATCCGAGGTGGTTCTGGAAAAGCAGGCCAACTGACGTCGACCGATACATAGCCATTTGTGATACTTTGAGGAATCTCGATGGTAGATTTCCGAGGGGTTCAAGGGCAGGCTAGCTCCTAGTCTACCAGAATGGCTTTGATACCATTAGATGGCCTTCTTATTTTGATGTATTTCATCCACCGGGGTACATTTTATCTCCTATAGGTAGATTAATATACTATGATGAATTTAACATTCTAAAACAAGATCGATGTAGTAACATAAGATCTGTTTACTTCAGTACCCATCATTTATGTATTTTGGTGTAATTCAACTTGATAATTAAACGGTGAGCGGCAAGCCGGAATTGTCGCATTGTTCCCCAATCGGAGAATTGATGCCGATTAGGCTGCAATATATGCACTTGGGTAGCAGAAAGCACTTAAGATAGAGCCTGACGCTCCTTTTGAAGCCTACGGACTACCCTGAGTGTAAAGCTGTTGTCGCTCTCTCATTATAAGCTGTTCTTCATCCTGTTCGACCAAGCATATATAATCTTGCCTTCTTAATAATCTTAAGCAATGGCGAATAAGACCTGGTTTCTTTCTCCCGATTTTACCTTCCTTCCCGAAGGGCAAATTGCCCTCGGTAGGATCATCCCCAGTCCTCGACAACCAACTACTGCCCTTACCTCTCTCGCTGACCACCCAACTATCACCCTACCAGAAACACAATCTATCATTCAGAAGAATTGCAGTTTTTCGACCGAGAAAAGTCGATCTTTCGGGTTCAAATTATTTGCCAAATTTCTTGAAATTGCCAATGCCAAAGTAGACGTGTCGCTATATAAAAGCCAGTCTTTCAGCACCGTTGATCATGAGGTTCGCGCTTACAGTGGAACCTTTACCACTGAGACCCTGAAAGCAATCGTGGCCCTCGACAGCGTGAAAAAGCATATTGATAGCGGTCGTTTTGGCAAGCGACGTGTTTACATAATCTCGGGAATACGTGTGGCACAACAAAGCTTCACAGTTACAGACCAGAAGAAGAAGCAGGTAGCAGCTTCTCTTGGAATATCAGGGTCTATGCCTGTCGCAGCTGCACCCGATGTGGTAGGGATCAAGATTTCCAACGACCTAAATCATGAGGCAACGAATAGCTATGAAACAGCACCCGGAATTGTCTTTGCGTATCAGCTGCATGTGATTCGGTCTAAGGATATAGGTGAAGAAGGGGAGCTATTTTCGGATAGAACAGCCTTCTTCAGCGGCGAAGCTGAGGATGAAATTGAAGAGATTGAAATCGCCAAAGTAGATAGGGCGGTACTTCGAGAGGACTTGGACGAACAGCTAGATGGCTACAGCGAAAAGTGGTTTGAGGGAATCGATGATGAGTCGTATATTGTTTCTAAAAATTCAAGTTGAATTGCTATGCTAAATAGGCATTAAAAAGAAAGAGATGCGCTAACTACCTAATCCTCTTATTCACAACTGTTTCAAACTAATTAGAGGCTTCAGCAGAAGCATCCTCTGCATCAACACCCCTATATTCAAAATACTTGCCAAATTCGGGATCTTCAATCAAAGTCTGCGCTAGCCTCTTCTCATAAAAGAAAGAAAACTCTGGGCCCTCGTCTGATTCTGGATCGAGGCTACGAGGTGGGTAAACGATAATGACACCCTCAGTAATGCGATCTGTGAGATGGCGATGAGTAATAGGCTTAGCGAAGCCAAAGTCGGTGGATGCCATATAAGCATCACGGTGGTCTGTGAAGAGCACTGACATGGGCGGCAAAGAGTCTATTCGGATGTTGAGAGAAGTCTTGTCACGAATAGTTGCTACCATTTCTAGCGTCTTGTTCACGCCATCTTGAGTGACGCTCTCCGTCATCTGCCGTACGTACTGAGCCACTCGAGACAAGGGCCACTCTGAAATGAGCTCGGCCACGGTTGGCTGCTCCACAGGGGCAGTAATAGACAGAGCTGCAAACATCACATTGCCACGAATGCGTGGAGGGACCGCTGGACTGTGGAAACGTCGTCGCATATCGACCCCTTCACAAAAGAAGATCTTTGAGGCCGGGTTAGGGTTGAATACAGGAGCTCGGACGCGCGTAATAGAACGCCATATAAAGGCTGTGAAAGCGTCATAAGTAGAGATCCATGTTCCATCCGTGGGAGACGCTAGCTTCTTCAGCTCAGCCGCCTTGCTTTTAGGCAGATGGAACAGCAAGGCTACACCCTGGACATGGCCCGGATGACGTTCCGGTGCTGGGGGTCCATCCACTTTTTGATCCTCGAGAGGCTCTTTCTTTATCAGAAGAGAAAGATCCTGGTTCTTGGGATCCCAGGTGGGAAAGATGCTATTGTTGAATGCGGCGAAGCAGTTCTCAGCCAACTGCCGCGTGTAGCCAACCCAGCCCATAGCATCATTAGAGTAGTGGTGGTGATGCATGTTGAAGACCATTCCGCCTCTCACAAAGTTCATCTTGAAAGCAGATACGATAGGGTTAGCACTGGGCTTGGCTTCCGGCTTCTCGCCGTATGTCATTGGCTCGACACTCCAGAGCTTGAGATCGCCTAGGGACACTGCGCTGAAGTTTGCCTTTTCGATGTCATCAATGGATGGATACTTGTCGGCGTCCTCAGGAGCGTCTAGCCATTGCACAAATAGACGGACAGTGCTATCCTTCTTCTTGACAAATGAATAGCCTGTTCCAGTGCCATCTTTCTCGATCGTACAGCACAGATGCCTTGCCTGGCTGATGGTGCGCGCAAGACCCTCTTTCATAATCTCTACCGCCCGAGGCTTCATGGTATCGTCCATCCTGAAGAAGAGCGCGTAGTTGTTGTAAGACATGGCTGAAAGATAATCCAAAGTGGACAACGCAAAGGTCTCTTGTTCGGGATCGTTTTCCCATCCGAATGGATGAAGGTGGAACACATCTTGCTTCGGGGCCATTATTTCGACTGACTGTGCAGAATTGAGAAGTGGGTAGAATGGGGAAGCAAAAGGAGAAATCAGATAGTGAGAGCGAGGTTGGATGGTAGATCTATTAATACGTTTCAGTTTATCATTTTCTGCTACCATTCAAGCTGTTGGTAGAGGGCCATTCTGCCAATACCAAGGGTACATGGAGCCCTCGCTTGCTATGGCTCATCCTTCGGTTTACCAGCACTATCGCTTCGAGTAGCGGCCCTAATTTATGTGATAACTTGGATGATGGAGCCCAGGAAGCGGGGTCCTAGAACCACATATATGAGATACCTATCCAGTTTCTCTGTCATTAGTGCAATCTAACATTTCAATTCGTGGAGTAAAGGAAGTGTGTATGACACTACCGACGTCCCCTGTCATCTTCAAAACTATGCCATGATGGAGTCATCTTGGCAGTAGTTTTGTCAACAGGTGACTTGGCAAAGCTGCGAAGGTGAAGGCTTGCACATCTCCAGTGGGGATATCAGGGGGTCTTTCGGAGGGCAGGTATTCATCCGTACGTAGTCCGTGTCTGTCTGTACATGTATGTATGTTGGTTGGCTCTCGTGAGGTGTCATTTTCCTGCCAAATTAACATGTGCCTGTCTCCGCGTGTGGAGTGTAGCTAATGTGGATATCCGTAATGTCTCGGTACTTTGAGCTTCTGTTTCCGGCACGAGCCGCGCAGAGCGTTTCTTTTCAACGACTGTCGATAAAAATCATCTCCGCATACATGTAATTATCAGCCCACGTTTTGAAAGCACAGAAACTAGTTGAAAACCATCAGGACTTCAAGCCAGCAAGCAGGCATTTCTAGAACCCAGATCTTAGACTTTGCAACGAATCTTCCTCTTCCATACAGTTAAATGTTCTTGAATACATGTATCTCCCGCTACAGACAGATATCTTGTATATTGCACCAACATCTATATAGACATGCTATTTTTGCTACTTTCTTTTACTACCAGGCGGGGATGCTTCCAAGACAATGTCTCTTGGCATGGGGGCTGCTCAGCAAAGCCGCTGCGCTAGCCATGATCCCGGCAGTTTCAGTGTTCTAAATAACGGCGTTTAGCTTCAGTTTGACAGCTACCCTGACATCCTCCCCCAGTCTGCTCTGTATAAACTTGTATCGGATAGGTGACGATGTATTTTTATCCCCGCATGCCTGGCACGCACAGCTTCCAGACAGGGCTAGTGACAGCTCGACATAGCCGAAATGCGAGTGAAGTTGATGCCAACAATTCGCGCAAGTATTTATTATCACCGATCTAGAACTAATGATCTACAATTTTATCTTCTCTTTTAACGACGATCAGAGGGTGTTGTCGATATTAAAGGATCAGGTAGGGAGTTAGTTTCGTCTTGATGAATCGCTAATAGGCAAAAAAACTTGAAAGTGGCGAAGCTTATCTTCATCAGCAAACCCTTGCAGTGTTGAAGAGTTTTAGGCGCTCTTACAGGGGTGTTGTCCGTTAAGCAACTCCAAAGTTGTGCTGCGGAGTAGCTAATAATGCCTTTAGACGGGAGCAGCATATGTGCAATTAATCTCGCTATATTCATTTCGAGTTCCTTGGCTGTCAGCAGCTTACATGGATATGTTCGTCCTACTAGCTCGCGTAACGTGTTTTTGTACTACTTGTTAAAATTATGATTATATCTTTCAAGCCATCAATGGTCATCGTCGTTATGACTTTATCTGCATATTATTTAGATCTGTCTATGAAACAAATAGGGGGCAGGCAGACGAAAGAGGAAGAGAGTGTGCGGACTAGCCAGACTGCTGATGCGAGCCCCAGCTAAATTTAGCAGGGGATCTTTCAGGCCAGCTTCTCATATTCCATAGCTTAACATACTTCCTCATTTGCTCAACCACCCTTCTATTCACTTAAATTCTCTTTCGATCAGCTCGAGTATCCCGACAGCCTGGTTCAGCCGTCTCCGGCAGCGTCTAGTCCCTGTTGTAAGTTGATATGTTATGCAGGCGTAATCAAGTTTCTGTCTTGAAGAACGGCGGCAGACCTTGGTCTATGATGTTTCCTACTCTATTGTACTTCTAATGCTTACTATTATCTTTATGATCAACTTTATCTGATAGGGTATTTCTACAAGTATTCGTTGAATATGATAGTATCGTAAGCCATGTGCCATAACACACGATCCGAAGTTCAGATATGACACAGCTAAATAAATGCGATAGTATGGCCCATACGGACGTTGATGTTTTATTTAGCAAATGGAATTTGACTTTGGGTGCAATTAAATTTGTAGAATTAAAATATCTCCCTATTTTGCATGATTGAAATGAATACTTTACCGGGTTCTCCCCTTTTTCGCCACACTACGATCTTACTCGCATCTTTCCCCGCCAGCATCTTCAAAAAAGGTACATAATAGGCCTAAGTAATTGCTTGTTCCCCAGATTCCTTCTATACTCTCACACCCACCCTGTTTTGTGTCCCTATTGATATGATACATATAAGCGGGCATCGTCCCAACGATCAAGAATAGAGTAGACACGACGGGTCCCTAGTGGCAAATCTACTGGTGCTTTGAGCGGCAATATGCCCGCAGTGGGGGCAGTGCAAACCGCCCGGCCCGTCCACATCCGCAGGCTAAGGCGAGTAGTGTCGAGAATAAGCTTGAGAAAGCCTCTCGTACATAGGCAAGAAGTCTGCAGAACAGCATACAACAATAATGGCCGCTCTATTAGAAACGCTGGTAGCAAAGACTGTACTTGGGGTAATGAAATTTCAGACGTTAAATATGACAGACAATACGACCACTTCGAACCACCAAATACTATATTTTCAGCCATATCAAATCATCATTTAGTCTATTACATTACACCAGAAGCTGGGGCACCGACTATATTAGCAATGCGTTATAGCCTATTTTGTCACTACTCCAGTCTTTTTTTCCTTTCTTCCTTATCTCGTCACTTATCCATGATATATTGGATAGCACCCCTTCTTCGGGCAACGGCCTCTACAAAGGTTTGCACATGCAGCTGCATCCTATCTATGTACTAGAAAGAGATTTTAATGTATCATGCAGCTAGAGTATAGGATCGTCGGCTTACGCCTCCAGGGCCATCAACCATGCCCACAAAGGCGGTGGATAGGTTAATAAACGGGACTGTACCTATCAGCAAGCAAGCATGAACAATGCTGGCAGCAATAACCGTGGTAAATCTCTGCATACTATTATAACCAGTGTAGGTATACCGAAAAGTCTCTCTTTTTGCTGTTTCTGAAACCCTACTCTACATAACTATGCCTATATCTTCTTGTACCGACAGTTAGTAACTTCTCCCGGTAAATGCATCTTCCATCTAAAATACAGCATATTCTTTTTACGATTCTACTTATCTTGCGTACCTACTCGCACTACTTCCCATGTTCATTAAAGGATCGGAGAAAAAAGGGCTTCTATTACGATCTCAAGGACTAGCGCTTACTGATATACCACGTAGCTAGGGGAGTGGTATCATCAACTGGGCACCGCTTATCAATGCTCTCCATCGGCATTGGCAGCGCGGTCCGAGATTCCGCATCTCGCCCATGTGCAAGCAATGGATGTTCCTTGTAAGTAAGCACTGACCCCGTCAACTGCCGAGAGTAACTGCCCAGACATGTTTCAACACCGGGGATTTTTTTCGACTTGGGGGCCTAGAGCCGCGGACAAGGAGGTTTTGAGCCTAGATCTTGGACTCCGGGGTCAGTTCCGGGATCAGTTCCGGGGCCGCCATCAAGCCAGCCACAGCACATCATTCTCGCCTGCCATGATACCAGGCAAGGTAAGCAGTTACAGCCACTCAGAAGCCCGCATTTATTAAGCCGAGCAAGGCGGAATCCGTACGCTGAGAAGCGAAATGTTCATGTACATGTATGCATGTGTTTAAAAACCCTTGTATGGATGGCATGATCACTGCATACAGCACATGTACATACATGCCTGTGGATGGCCTAGCTTGGATGAGGCACAGCGCAAGCTCAGCTCAATGCTGCTCTCATGGGAAAACTTTTTTCTCTGTCTCTGCCTCTCTCTCTCTCTGTTATGAAATCCAATACAAGTAAACAGTCCGCTAATTTATAGAGAGGATGTCGCCATAGCGTCGTGGATATAGTGCGGGCTGTTAACCTGTGCTGTTGGCGTATGCGTGCACTGTACCTAGGTACCTCTTAACTGCATGCATGTCACTAAAGTCGTCTAGGTGGTGGAAGCAGCGGCCACTAAAAAAAAAATCAATCTACTAAGAGCCAGGCAGTCGGGCCAGGATACTATGAGTAATGGTACATCGAGACAGGGATCCAACATCTTGCCCTTCCCCCGCCATCCCGTCTCACTAAGCTGATACTCTGTCAACCGCACGATTCCCACTTCTCAGCCCACCGCTGCAGAAGGAACAAGCTGCTGCGTCCGGGGTGGAAAAGGAAACGAGTTCCACGGCTATCCTGTGCAGAGAGAGCGGCTCCGATCGCATACAAAAGCAGACTTGCGCGTCACTATTTTCCCCTTCATCGCACATGTCGCTGTTGCCAAGCTGTTGCGACTTTTGACTGGACAATGACTGCGAAACAAACTGAGTCTCGCAAAGGCCGCCCGGCCGTCGCGGCTTCGGAGCGCACGCCGCTGCTGAGATCCAGCGGATCTGAGTACGACGCTGTATCTCCTGGAAGCGGCAATGGGGCGGTTGCAGCCGCAGCGCATGCGAAGCGCCATCCGCGCAATGATGGCGATGCAGAGCAGCTGCTGGCCGGCGATGATAGTGGCTATGGTGGCGAGAGCGACTATAGCTACAGTGATGATAGCGACGACCAGGGAGAGACGACTGTGATTGCTGAGAAGGTGTCCTTCTCCAAGCTGTGCCTCATCATGGGCACCGCCTATCTGGGCGTGTTTCTCGGAGCCATCGATTCGACCATCATCGCAACGCTCTCAGCACCCATCTCTAGTGAGTTTCAGTCGCTCAGTCTGCTGTCGTGGCTGGCGACTGCGTACCTCATCTCCAATGCTGCGTGCCAGCCCATCTCTGGCCGCCTGACGGATATCTTTGGTCGTGGCCCCGGCCTTGTTTTCAGCAACATCTTTTTCGCGGCTGGTAATCTCATCTGCGGCCTGGCTCAGAGCTCCAGCGCTATGATTTTTGGCCGTGTTATCGCAGGCATTGGCGGCGGCGGGCTGATGAGCATCTCAACTTTCTTGGGATCCGATCTGATTCCTCTGCGCAACCGCGGCATAGCCCAAGGCATTGGTAATATCTGCTATGGATCTGGAGCCATGATGGGAGGCATATTTGGCGGATTGATGAACGACCACACCAAACTAGGCTGGAGACTGGCTTTCCTCGTCCAGGTGCCTCCGGCCATCCTCTCCGCCGTCGCCGTAGCCATCCTCGTTAGAGTGCCACCAAAGCAATCAGAAAAGTCGTATCTTGCACGCATTGACTTTGGTGGCGTCTTCTTCACAGTCTCTTTCCTCATTCTTCTGCTTCTGGGTGTCAACGCAGGTGGAAATATTGTCCCATGGACTCACCCTCTGCCTCTTACGACAATTCCGCTTTCCTTTGCTGCATTTGCTGGTTTCTTATGGTGGGAAAGCAGAGCAACGCAGCCCATCATTCCGGTTAAGCTTCTTCTTGATCGCACAGTACTTTCTGCCTGCATGTGCAACTTTCTCTCCACCATGGTCAACATGCAGGCTATCTTCTACATCCCACTCTATCTCCAGGTTCGTGGCGATTCTTCAACAGATGCAGGTCTGAAGATGTTGCCTTCGCCTGTCGGTATCTCTGTTGGCTCTTTGGTGGCAGGCTACTTTATGAAGAAGACTGGCAGATACGTCGGACTGGGAATCGGTAGCTTGGTGATGATTGTTTCTGGAGTGGGCGTGTTTACTACTCAGGGCGAATCTACCCCGGGATGGGTGACCATGGTGGCTTTCTTCCTAACTGGTGGAGGCTATGGTGCCATGCTAACGACAACTCTTCTGGCATGTATTGCGGCTGTTGAGCACTCGCAACAGGCCGTCATCACATCAGCAACCTGTAAGTTACTTTTCTCCTCTATGCCTTTGTGTGAATGCGGATATAGAACGTGTGCTAATTTTTATCAGACCTTGCCCGTAGTTTGGGTGGTACAATCGGCATAACGGTTGGTTCTGCCATCTATCAGAACATCCTCAGCTCTCGCCTATGGCAACGATTTGGTGATGAGCCGCATGCTGGCGAAATTATTCAACACATCCGCGACGATCTTAACTTTTTGAAACATCTCCCCGAGGGATGGCAGGATGGAGTGATAAACTCATTCATGGAGGCATTCAAGGGCGTCTGGTTGACCATGCTCTGCTTGGCTATTGGCGCCTTCATCTGTGTCTCACTCATGAGGCAACATGTGCTCCACGAGACCATTTCCAGGCGATAAAAATTGGCCATCAGCTACAAAAGAAAAAGAAAAAACCATTTAATTGTCAACCGGCCATGATTTATGACTTTCATCAATATTTTGCGACGGCTATTTCTTGAATTTTGAGCATCACGCACGGCGATTGCAGTGAAAGCGATTGGGTTGGACATATGGATTCTATCAAAAAGGGGGCGTTTTATGGGATATAAAAAAGTAATTTATACTTACCAGGTATTGAGACTAGAGAGACTAGAGAAAATAGCAGAAGTAATCGCTGAATATTAATTGTGATCAAAATATACCTGTATTTGTCTCTTCGTAGGAAGCTCGTGCATCAACATCTCCAATTCACAGAGAAAGGTCCCTTCCTCTTCAAAGGTGGCATATAGAAGCATAAGGCTTAATCTGACTCTTTAATTTTCCAAACCCCGCTGCATTATTCAGTTGGAAAACAATGTTAGTCTATTACAGGTTCTGCTATTATTGCTTCCGTGGAATCCACAGCCCTTACCCGTAATCTACTCACGCATATCACCGGGTTTGATCTGTCTCCTATCGAGGCCAACAGTGTTAGGCGGTTTAAGCGTGTTGCTGTTACATTCTATTATAGCATACAGGACAAGACCCTGTATTGCGGACGCTATCGGTTCAGCAATATGCCCTGTCGACATTTCCGAGGCCGTAGCACAGCCATTATCATCCGTAGTTTAAGGCGTCGGACAGCGAAGACTGTCAGATTCGCTGTTCAGCTAAGCTTTGCCCTGAGACAGAGATGATGAAGATTGTGCAAGCAGTTGGAAGCCGAACATTGGATAGAAAAGGAGAGCCTTGATACATCAGACGAGACAACCCCGGAATGGGAGGATGATAATGAAGATTCGGCAGAAAAGGGGGCGCAGAGTGATAATACGATTGATGTTAAGATTAATCTGGAGGTTGATTTTAGCGATTGATTTCGACATATAAGACTGGATCCAAGTACGAGACAATTTGCCCTGGCGCTGGATGGGGACCTCGGCGTTGCAATTCGTGTTTCGCATCATCCACAAACCCGGTACCTACCGGAATAGGGTGCTAATACTAATACAGAATGCGAATGATAATACGAGGAATATAGAATAGTCATAATAGAAGAAGGGGGAAAACAATAGATAAACTGTATCGGATCAGGCCGTATCTCGAAAGGGTATTCCATACGAAGCGCTAATAAAGGGCCTGCGTTGCTTTAGCTAATGACGTGCGCATTTGACCCTGCAGAATACTGTTATTTTTGTGATGCAAAACATTCGCAAAGAACAACTCCATTTACCGGGCTCCGGGACGTCCTGCCGAGACCCGCAGCTGCGGCTTCAGGCATCTTCCCGCCGTCTCATCTTCTTCTAGGCTTTTGACTCTCCTTGTTTCTCTTTTGTCTTTAGCGAACTGGTCGGCAAATGCGCAGCAATTAAAGTGAATCAGCAATCCCTTGCCGCAATAATACGAAGGGCTCTCTCCGCATTACCTGAGTTAATAATAAAACAATCTTCCAAATCAAACACGTCATTGAACCACCGCCCAGCTTCGGGTACTCCATAATACACATAAATTGACCTGCATAGCACTACTCCGTACAGCAACACGTAATCCTCTGTATCTGTCACCCGCTTCAGCTGCCAATTTTGCAACCCAGACATTGGTCCAGCCGCCCAGGGAAGGCCCAGAAAAATCTCGGCGGGCCGAAGGTGGCGCAGCGCTTCCAACAACGCCTACCGCGCCCGCTAACTGGATAAGCCCACCGGCTGTGGCTGTGGCTTGGGCTGCTGGGGCGCACAGGCTTCGCTCTCGCTGCCAGTCCAGTCCAATGGGCATTATCTCGTGCCGGTTGCCATGAGCGCAACGCGTGGCTCCATCCTGAGCGTCAATGCCGGGCCCCTCCATCAGCGACTGCCAGCCATCGTTGGAATCCGGCGCTTGCTGTCCGCCTTGCCGTAAACAACAATAACAAGAGTTCTGTATCCTTATTGAGACTTATTTAGTGCTTTATTTGTTGACTCCCCCCCTCCCCCTGCTTTTGCTTTTCTCTTTCTTTCCTTCTTCCCGCTTTTTGTTTGTCTCTCATACGCATAAAGTCTCTTTGTTTCGAGGCGGTCGACGAATAGGCCCAGACTAGCACGAGTCTCAGCTTACGGCCCTAGGTAGCCGCTGACAAGCCCCAGCCTCAGTTCTTAGCTTCAAACTCGACCCTCGAACGACCTACCTCTGCCATTCCACAGGTCCTAGCAGGCCGCTAGAAAACGAAGCTGCGGCATCTTCTTCTTGCTTCTGACACATACGCTTCTTGGCTTTTTCCTACGTTTTGAATTGTCGTTCAGAACATCGTCGTCACCACGCCGTTTCTTCAACAGCCCCTCCACCGAGCGAGACTCTCCCTAACGTCTAGTTGGCCGCCACCATGGCGCTCGTCGAGATTGACCCCCAGATTCTACCGAATCTGAAGCTGAGTCTCCATTCGTTCCAGATCATCTTGGCCTTTCTGGCGTGGTGTTTGGAGATTGCCGTTTTCCGCGGCGACACCTCCAGGATTCTGGGAACAAATGGATGGACCTTTGCAGTCGTAAGCTTTTATCCAGAGTGCTGAGGGGCTTGTGACACAAACTTTCGGTTTGGCTGACGCCTTCTTGCTTCTAGTGCTTCCTTTCCATCCCGGCGTGGATCTATCTTGTCATGACTCCTCGATTCGGCCGCACTCGCAGATTTGCCAACCCGTATATTATGCTTGCCGTTGACGGTCTCTTCATCATCATCTGGATCTCTGCCTTCTCCACCCAAGCTGCGTACAACAGCTCTGGCAGTTGCGGTGGCAGCTGTGGCATTAGCAAGGCTATTGTTGCCGTCGGAGTCTTTGTCACGTATGTATACTCCCTGATACAAATTCTCCATGCTAGCGTTTTTGGCAGAAAACTAATTCTATTCCGGCATAATAGTCTTCTCTGGATAGGAACTACATTCCTCAGTGCATACACTCTGCAATATTACAACTTCCATGGCACGTTACCAGGCTACGATAGTCGCAAAATCAGTGGCAGCGAGAACATCGACCCTGACAAGGCTGCTTTCTCCATGGCGCCCCACGATGAAGAAGCTTATGAGCGAGTCAACATGGACGACCACGATGGTCCGGGCGCTTACGACGACCACAACACCAGCATGAACAGCCGCTACGGTGACAACACCCCTTACAACCCTGATGACTTTGACGATCCCAACCGCTATGGTGCTCTGCCGCCACGAACCAACAGCACCCCCCTTTTCGACAGTGAAACTGAATACCATGGAAGCGCTCTCGGCACTGATATCAGCCACCATAAGACGCCGTCGCCCGGCCCTTACAGCGGTAACCACGCAGACACTTATGCCGATGGCCCGGTGCAGTTCCCCACTGGTCACTACGACCGGATAGAGTCTTGAAAAGGGAAGAGAAATTGAGAGAAAGCATATGATACAGGCACACACACACACTCAAAGACAAAGATATGATGATGGTAGCGGGTACTATCAATGATTTGGACAATCAAACTACATAAACCTCGGGAGGGGAACTCTTGGTGGCCTGGATGCTTATATTTGCTTGGGTAGATTTATCTCTACGGCGTTGACGGCATCCCGATTTTTATTTCTTTGTGTGAGCATCTAACAACATGATGAACGTTGATGAGATACCAGGTGTATATAGAACGGCCGGACACTTTTTTGCACACGGAATGCAGCTTGTTGGATTTTATTTTCTTTTCCTCTGCTCCTGATTCATTCCTTATTTAGATAAGAATAAGAAGATAAAACAAGACCATAGCAATGAGATTCTATCTCGAAATTGATAAAAGCTGTACTTGTGTCTTTGATATTCAAACAGTTGCCCTCCCAAACGCCGTGATTTTAAATAAATGCAGCCGTCTTTATGACCCCAATTTGCACTATAAAGAAGAGGAAACCATGTAATTAGTCACACCCCCCCAACCATTTTCTCTCTATACTCAAGCCTTCAGCTTCTTAAGCCGTTTAGCGATATTGGACGCCGTCTGCTGCATCGGGTTGAGCTTAAGATCCCTCGCCATCGCCCTCGTATCGTCGCCATGCTTGGCCACCAGCTTCTCCAGCCACTCCCTCTCTCCTTCGCTCTGGTATCTGATCTTGGGCGCGGCCGGGTTCTTGGCCTCCTCAATGAGTGACTTGACTACATCCGTCGTGCCGACTCCATCGTCGTTGATGCCGCCCCATTCCTCGGCATTGGCGTACTCGTCTTCTGCTTCGGAGTCTGTATCAACTTCGTTGAGGGGGTCGTTTAGCGGGTTGGCCTTTCGGCTGATTACGCGGACAATTTTTCCCTCTGAGTCGCGCTCGACTTTGGCTTCGGAAAGAACGGCCATTTCGGCAATGGATGAGATGGCGAAAGGGTCTGGTTTAGCGGCGCGCAGGGCGGCGGCGGCGGCGGCTTCATCTTGTGAGGACGATTTGGAGAGCAGCTTCTCGGTGCCGCCAGTGGGTGTTTTTAAACGAGCGAGGAGGCCTAGACGGCGGTAGTTTTGTGCGAGTGTTTCTTTCTTGTCCCTGTGGAGGGGTTAGTTGTCCGTCCTGTCAAGATTGATGGATTTTTTTTTTCTTCTTCGTACCAGTTCTTAGCGATGATGGAGTTGCCGCGAGGATTGAGAATCTTCTTTGTTTTGTTGGACTGGCGGACGACGGCGCGGCCAGAGCGGCGCTTCTTCTTTTGGAGTTCGCGACCCATTGTTGCTTGGAAATGAAAGTAATAACGAGATTTGGAGAGGGTTTCAAGATTTAATGTATATCTTCGTTTCGGCTTTGGCTACTGCTGGCGGAGCGCTTAGAGACTTGAGAGCCCAAATTTTTTGGCGTTGGTCTTATCGATAACAATGGGGCTGGTTAGTGGCGCATGTCGTCTGAATTGAGTGTCGGCGCCGTTCCCGTAGGCCTATTCTTCCTGAAAAGTAATATATTACACATAAATAAGATCTGCATATATCGCTTTATGACTCTTGAATATATCAGCTTTGGCAAAGGTTCAGATCCAAGATGAGCCTCAAATCATATGTTATAGTCAACAATATTTGTTCTCACGGTGGTATGTGAGTGGTGAATGAATCATGAAAGCCGTCAGAGCAGATTGCTATTGATAATATACCATAACAAAATGATTAGATTTTAAATAACATATCAAATCGATGTATTCGAATACAGAGCCAAACCGTATACTATGATGCCAGCAAAGTGATATGGGCATCAATGTAAGAGGCCCATTTCTTAGAGGCGCTGTGGTCTAAAGGGCCCCGCTTCCGTTAGTGATTCCGAATTTTGCCGCAACTTTGCCGAATCAAGCTCACAATGGCTTCATTGAGCTCATGAGCTTCGAATTCTCAAAATATCCTGGAACATCGCTGCGGCGATGGCATCCAAACGGTCTCTAGTGTCGCGGAATGGGCACCTCCGTCTATTGACGGGGTCGCGGGCGCCCGCCCTCTCATCAATATGCCCGTTCTGCTCACACTCTCCAGCACCACGAGCCGCCAAGATTCGATCAAGACTGAGTCCGAAATCTCAGCGGTGGCAGTCAACTTCAGCGACGGCGGTGCGCGTCTCATCAAATGCCCGAGTTGAGCTTGAGCAGGCCCTTTTGGAGCTTGAAAAGAAAATCCCAGATCTTGTCGACCTTTCCAGAATGCAATTGGCGCTTCAAGGATTGCGACAATCGCCAGGCCAGGAAGCGATAAGAGTTGCCGTTCTAGGAATTGCCAACGGCTCTGAGGGCAGAGATGCTGCACGAAAAGTTCTGAAAGCCCTCATTGTGGACCCATTAGTTGATGAGCAGGAATGGGAGAAGAGGTTGGACGAGCATGACGCCAGCAAACCGTTGATTATTCGAGTTGGACCCAGCCGTGGAAATGTTACTCGCCTAGAGCTACCCAAAGACAACTTGCCGGATGTATTGGAGGTCTCTTCTGCAGAACTCAACGGATTGAACTTGGAGCTTCTTCTAATGGATGCGGAAGTGCCTGTTAATGGGTCAGGCCTCCCTACTGTTCAGGCGCTTGAGGAGGCCGTTCTGGTTCCCACTGTTGATGTTGATTCGGCAGACAAACACACTGCTCCTTTGGTCGCTCCTGTTCACCAGGCGATTTTGGTAGCTGACGGACTAACAGGAGCTGTTGGGATCGCCGGATTGCCCATACTTGATAGCTGTGATGCTATCACTGCTGCGGTTGACCTAAAGGGCCTCTCAAAGGAACAACTAGGAGCCAACTTTACAGTAATCGATACGGCTTTAGCAGAAGAAGCTGTCCGCTTGTTCCGCCAAGGTCCCCAGAATGCTATGAAGTACGAACACAATTGGTCTGCGAGTAACCTGGGCGTGTTGGTCGCATGGCTTAAAGCCGGTCTCAAGGCCGCTGATGATGAAGCCACCAAGCCAGCAGTCCGAAGACTCATCGCATCAGTTTTACAGAGCGCCCTTTCTGCAATTGAGACCGAATCTACGAGCAGGAAAGTATCACGCGAGTTGTCAGCCTCAATGTCCAGCCCCGAGATGCGCGACATGAACGAGAGACTCGCAAAATGGGCCCAGCTGGCTCACGCGGAGCTGCAAGAACAGCTTGACTTGGCCTTCAACGGGCGGCGCTGGCAAAAGCTGGGATGGTGGAAGCTGTTCTGGCGCGTAGATGATGTTGCCATGTTGACGAACGAGATCTTGAGCCAACGCTTTCTCCCTACTTCAGAGCAGGAACTTGTCTATCTCACGGGACGGATTGCCCAGCTCTTAGGGGAAGCTGGACAATATTCACAGCCAATATCTTCTCGTGAAGCCGCTTCCGAGGGCGTGGCAACTGGCTCCAGTAAGAATGAGCCGATAATTCCCACAGCTCCTCGATCGCGTCTTCCCAAGTGGCCAGGACATATCGCATTTACCAGACGCTACATCCAGAATGAGACAGTCCCGGCTCTCCAGTCGCTTGCTCAGCAATTGGTTGTTCAATCCCTTGCTACATCGTCCGTCACCTCATGCCTGGCAGCTCTGCTTTACGTTTCGTCATTCTCATCAACGATATTTGAAGCCGGCGCAGTGGCGGCCCTCGGTATCGTATACAGCCTTGGCCGAATGCAGAAGAAGTGGGAGACTGCTCGCGAGTTTTGGGAGGGCGAAGTCCGTGAGGAAGGCCGCAAGGCTATAAGAGGCGCGGAAAAGAGCGCCGCGGAGGTCCTTGATGGTGTTCAACAAAACAAACTCTCGGCCCAGAGAATCAAAGAGCTTGAACATGCTGGTGAATTGGTAGCTAAGGCGGAAGACGCGCTGGCACGGCTAAAATAGATAGAGATAATGGCATATTGTACGACTATGGGTAGGGAATTAGACTTTGTATGAGTAGATATGGAAAAAGCAAAAAATTGAGAGTCCGATGACGTTTGTATGTATATCTAGAGGCTTATTAGTCTAGGGGACGAAAATTCAAAAGAGTTCGAGCCTCGCGCAGCCCGCATCTCCCTTTCTCCTTCACATTTCAGATTTGCCAATCCAACTACCAGTTTGCCATGGTATCTTTTGTCGCTCTTAGTACACACACGCCAAATAGCCATATATCGTTTTTTCTTCTTCTTCTTCTTCTCTCTCTCTCTCTCCGTATAGAATAAAGCACGATTTAAATTCCCGTGATCCTGAACGCCAAGCCCATGTTGCTGCCCCAATGATCTCCCCTTCCCATCGTTTCCTCTCCGTAATAAGGCTTTACCGGCCACGGCCACCGCTGGCACGAGCACGGCTAACTGTTGCACGACCTCTGGCAAGACCGACACCCCTGCCACGTACGTTGCGGCTGCGGAACATGGGCGCGTTTCGAAGCATGTCGGGGACAATGAAGAAGCGGACGTGAGATCCTCGGATGTAGACCTGGTCGAGATGGGAAACGCGGCCGTCGCGGGCGGTGACGGTGATGTCCTTGAGCTGGACGTTCATATTGTCCTCGGCTGCAGTTTTGGTGATTGTTAGTCCAGTTTCTCTTTTGCATGCATGAGGCGAGTTCTTTTAATGCTTTGCTTCGATGATTCGGATTAAAGGATTGTTGGGGAATTCATTACCTTCGAGGAGCTTGCCACGGTAGGTCTGCCCCGATGTGATCTCGAGGGTAATAATGTGACCCTGCAGCAGTTATCCATTAGCATCTCCAATTCAATAGGCAAGTTAAGAGAGTATTAAAACCTCTGGAAGCTGAAAACGAACCTGAGCCTCATTGAGGAGCTTGATCGGGATACCAATGGTGGAAGTCATTGTGATTATCTGCTGGAGCGCGCAAGGGAATGTCGCGATCAGAAGCTCTGGTTGGAAAATTGACCTTTCAAGGACCTAGCAGGCTACGATAGCGGGCTGGCGTTGAGGTTGGAGGTGCCTGCGGTGGCCAATTATTTATCCGCTTTCCGGGGCAGCGCATGGTACCATCATGTATGTAGATGGAGCTATTTTGCCGAAGAAATCCCGCTTATAAGTGTACCAAGAGTCATCATATCAGAGCATCAGAACAGAATTAAGCCCCGTATTCCGACTCAAAATTGTATCATACAATCGAATTATAGCGCTAATAACGCCGTAGATTTATGTTATTCCAAAATTATAGCTAATAAAGTTCCAAATTACGCAGTGTCAGTTGGCGTCGCCATAGCTGACACCACAACTTGCGAAGGCTGGGTATCATTCCCCTTTTTCTGCTTCTTGGACTTGGCCTTCCCTTCGAGCATCTTCCTCTTCTCCTCCTTCCGAGCCTGCTTGTCAAGGTTTCCAATCGTCTTCTTTTCGTTTCCGCATGGCCACTTCGCCATAGCCGCAGCCTCGTCTTCCTCGCTCCATTCACATGGCAGAACAGCAAATACCAGGTATGACGTATGGGTTTTGAGGTCGCTTTCTGGCCTGTGGACGAGTCGTCCCTGCATGAATGGTCTCTCCGCATCATCAGCGGTTCCATTTAGGCCATTCGAAGGCCGATTGTCGCGGCTAGGAGTGGAATCGACATCCATTTCGCTGTCAAGACCCTCAGTTCCCGATTGTAAACCCTGGACTCTTTGTGTATCTTTATTCCTTTCGGCGAGACTCTTGAGCTTTGTGACAGCCTCCGCAACGTCTGCTGGGGAAGAATTGTATCCTTTTTCAGAAGGAAAGTTTACACCGACGCGCTCTCTTGATATGTTGATCTTCTGATTTGAAATTTCCACCATATCCACATCGACCCAGCCCAATGTTCTCAGCTCTGTCACTGTTCGATCAACCTGCTCAATGCATGGTGAAAAGGTGCAAATGTGCACACTCTGCTTGGGATCCAGTGGCGATACCCAGTTGCTGTCCTCCTCAGCTTCTTCACCCCCCTTCTTCATTTTTCTCCTTGAAAGATGATGTACAGCCTCCCAGGGCGCAGGTACATCTAGGAATACGGCAGTTGCCTTTGGTGACTTGCCATCGACAAGAAAGCCGTCATTGTATACATCGCGATGCGTGAGCTGAACAAGGCCGTCGAGTCCATGTTCTCCGATTTCTGCTTGCATCTTGTGATATCGCGATTCGTTAAACTCGAAACTAAAGACCTTTCCCTTCGTATCGGCCGCATCTCGTGGATATCCATTGTAAACCGCTCTCACAGATGCGTGAGTGAAACTTCCACTTCCAGCTCCTGCCTCGATAATTCTGGTTCCAGGTCGAGCTCGTATCCTGTGTAGGATATAGCTATAATCGGGTGTATATACAACTTGTGTTCTATGCGGTAAGCTGGTCGTCCAGAGCTCCGGGGTAGGCCGCAAGACGTAGATGAAGCCGCTTGGCGCTGTAACCGCCTTCTTGACTGGCGCATTGGCAGCAGTGGAATCTTCGTCGTCGTCCTGGCTGGCTATCGGTGTGTCTTCGTCCGTGGCATCTCTTCTCCGCTTCTTGCCTCGGGAGCCCGTATCGACATTTGACGCCCGGACCTGGGAGCCCCATGGCACATCGAGCAATGTTGAGTGAGGATAAGAGCCGAAGCGTGTATTTAATGTTGCGCCCTCAAGATATCCATCGACCGCGCCAGTGGACTTCTCCAAAGTCAGTGGCAGAAAGTTGTCGCGCGATAAGCTGATAATGGCGAGCGTCCCAGCAGACGTCTTCTCGCCGGGCACTAGAAAAGTCGACGGTTTCGTCATTATCAATTTGTATTCGTTCAATTGGAATCTGGAAGCCGCGGGAAGTACAGCAAGGCGGTTTGGCGGAAGCGAAGCTTGTCGGCACTGAGCAAACCAGCCAACCGTCTTATCCTCTTATCAGAAAAAAAAATTCCACGCGAACAAGCACTTGCGATGGCTGGTGGCGGCAGTTGGATTTCCGCAGCGGAACAGCGCCGTGCCCCGCCCTTTTCGCGGCTGAGAGCTGCAAATCACCAGCTAGGGCGATTATGGTGAGGGGCTTAGCGGGCTCAGGGCACCAAGCACGCTAAAAAATAATGCTATTGATGTTCTATTCTTCTTCGACACAAGGGAGGGGCATTTCTGCAAGGGTCTGGCGAGACTACGAAGAGTCACTGCAACCATTTCAAAACCTTCGAGTGACTGATACTGCATACTTGGGTCTGACTCACCTTGGCACGTCGGTGATGCCCTCGTATGCCTCGCGCACCTTATAAAGCCGCTTCCTGGGCACTCTGAATGAATCTCCTCCGTGTGGTCTCCCGATCTCGACCTCGACTCCAATTCTGCGGCGCCGCAAAAAGCCACGTCTATCGAAGATACTCGTTCTCTGCCATGGATTCTCTTAAGCTTCATAATTCGCTGAAGCCCGGTGCGCCGGTGCCCTTTGTTCCAATCAAGAAAGGAGAGGTGTCCTGGTACGTCTGCGGTCCGACTGTGTACGACAAGAGCCATCTGGGACACGCGCGCAACTATGTGTCTACAGATATTATTCGGCGCATCCTGATGCATTACTTTGGCTTCAAGCTTAACTTTGTCATGAACATTACAGACATTGACGACAAGGTGAAATACCTTTGGAGTATATCGGCCTGGCGCAAAGCTTACCATCTAGTAGATCATCATCAAGGCTCGACGACAGCGATTGCTCGAGATCGAAAAGAACAAGAGCTACTCCCAGGAAGAGCTCCTAAAGCTGACACGTACAGCTTTCAAAGCTTATGCAGCTAGCAGCTTGCCATTACTTTTGGAGAATGGAAACGACTTGGACGAGACCACTTACACTGCTCAACGAGACGCAGCATACGGCAAGGTCCTTGCTGGAGGCACTCTGACTGGAGAAGGAAAGCCAAGCGATGCTGAAGCTAAGACCAAGATGCACATCAGCAACATGGATGCGGCGGCGAACGCTCTCAAGACCGGCTCGATATTCCCCGGAGCCGACGAGATCTTCCTCCCTTATCTCGACTCTCTCTACAAGGAATCCGTTGACACAAGGGACCAGAGCATGTTCACAGACTTGACAAAGAGCATGGAGGATTCATTCATGGCTGACATGGATGCGCTCAATGTCCTCAGACCTGATCATATTACACGAGTTACTGCATACGTCCCGCAGATTGCAAAATTTGTGGAAACTATTGTGGACAAGGGATTTGCGTATGAGTCCGAGGGATCTGTTTATTTCGATATTGCCGCTTTTGAAAAGGCCGGAAACTCTTATGCGCGACTACGACCGGAAAGCAAAAACGACAAAGCTCTTCAAGAGGAGGGCGAGGGATCTTTGTCGAAGAACCTGGGAGGCAAGAAGGGCGCTGGCGATTTTGCTCTCTGGAAAAAGTCAAAGGCTGGAGAGCCATTCTGGCCTAGCAAATGGGGTGATGGTAGACCAGGCTGGCACATCGAGTGCTCAGTGATGGCATCTGATATTCTGGGTTCGCAGATGGATATCCACTCTGGCGGTATTGATCTTGCTTTCCCTCATCACGACAACGAGCTGGCACAGAGCGAGGCTTACTTCTGCGAACACGGCAAAGGCGAGCACACTTGGGTGAGGTACTTCCTTCACATGGGTCATCTCTCCATTTCTGGTTCGAAAATGTCCAAGTCTTTGAAAAACTTCCAGACCATCCAGGACGCATTGGCTACCAGCTATACATCGCGAAGCATGCGTATTGTGTTCCTGATGGGCAAGTGGAATGATGGCGTTGAAATCTCGCCAGATATGAGGGCTCAGGCTGACAACTGGGAGTCGACGATCAGCGTAAGTACAAGTTATTACTTTACTATCTGTTGGGTCTAATCACTAACCATGGCTGATACAGAACTTTTTCACAAACACAAAGTCATGGCTGGCCGAGGCAGGCATCGAGAGCGGCGTAAAAGCTCTGAATATCAGCTCAGACAAGCCTGCTACCGGCCTCTTGGCCGAGCTTGAGCAGGCTAAGAAGGAGGTGGAGGCGGCGCTCACAAACTCGATTGATACCCCGCGAGCAATGCTTGTCATCCTGAAGCTGGTTAACACGACCAACAGCTACCTGAAAGACAACAAAGATACAGATCTCGCTGAAGTTGAGGCTATTGCCCGCTGGATCACAAAGCTGGTTGGCATCTTTGGCCTTGATACCAATGCTCAACCCCCCTACGAAGGCCTTGGCTGGGCATCTGTTATTTCCGAGAACACAGATCCTGAGACTGCCGTCAAGCCCTATGCTGCAGTACTCGAGCAGGTCAAGTCAGACATTGCGGCCCTCGCACTGTCCAATGAGACCGTCTCAGCACTTCTTGCCAAAGATCCTGCATCTGAGTTCCAAGCTATTGCTCAGGGAGGTTCTCGTGATATCGAGAGACTGTCGCTGCCTTACCTGAGAGTAGTATCTCAAATCCGTGATGGGCTTCGTCGCACGGTCTCCACTTACGATCCTCAAACCAAGAAAGCCATTTTGCAAATCACCGATCGAATCCGTGATCAAGATCTGACCAACCTTGGCGTTTACCTTGATGACCGGCCCGATAACCAGCCATCTCTCATCAAGTTTGTTCCTGCTGCAGAGCTTATCGCGGCTCGAGAGGAGAAGATTGCACGAGAAGCCGAGAAGGCAAGGAAGAAGGAGGAAGCAAGGCTTGCTAAGGAAAAGGCAGATCAAGAGGCTAGAGAAAAGGCAAAGGTTCCACCTGAGGACTTATTCAAAAACGACGAGCGCTACAGTGCCTGGGACGAGCAGGGCATTCCTACCAAGCTTAAGGACGGAAGCGATGTGCCCAAGAGCCAGCTTAAGAACCTTAAGAAGGCATGGGAGAAGCAAAAGAAGATTCATGAAGATTTGAAGGCCAAGGGTGGGCTCTGATCATAGTTTTACTCTTGAATGCCAGACAAGAGATAGCAGATAGAAAAGCGTAGGTTAGAAACGATGCTTTTTCTTGCTCTTCTATCGAGAAATCCGAATCTGAACGAGCCTTGCTGGTGAATAGCCACTAAAACCGTCTCGCGTATTCTATTTTTGCTCCATTCTTCTTATTTGCCAGTGTCGAGCGCTGAGCCAGCTGGCCGTATTGAATCGCACGTGATAAGAGACTGATTAAAACGCAGGTGTCTTCGTTTTCCCAGAAATTCTCAGCTACATCTCACAAAAACACATGCCTAAACTTCTATCCTCATCTCTCAGGTTTTTGGGTTATAGATTTTTGAAGCTAATTGTTGCAGATATCGCTTTGTATCAGTCCGCCATCTGCGATGAAGATCGATAACCTTTACGTCTCGTACAAGCGAGACACCAGACTCCTGCTACGCTGGATCATCAAAAATTCAAATGATATCATCAAGACTCTGAATGACTCTAGATGCAGCGTTGCATTAGAGATCAATGTCACAGGTCAGGTTACGGTCTCCGATCTCGTTCCTATGTCAGCACTCATCGCCAAACATCATCCCAGCATTCCATCTAAAACCTATCATTTGTTTCAGTCTGTCATTAAGTTGCGATCTATCTCCTACTCCCAGTATCAGCAGCTAGCAGCAGCAAGTTCCAGTGAAGAACTAGAGAGAAAAAACTCGACCCACAAGTTCTTCATTGATACTCTCACAAGTGCATTTGAAGTCCTGGGCGGTAAAAAATGGCTATCCGAAGAACGAGAGAAACGAGCAAACAAGGACGGGGAGGAGCAAAGCGACGCCAATACATTTGCTTTTACCAATAAATTCTCCGTATTGGATTTAGAGAGCGATCCAGAGAGTGGTGATGCTTTGGATACTGATAGCGACGGATTTAACACACAATCTACATCTTCTCAGAAGAAGCAGAAGTCGAAAACAGGTGGGAAGAGAAGGAAGGGAAAGAAAGTCAAACGAGGTCACAGGTCTTCGCAACCGGGTGGTAGAGGTCTGGACGACATCGCATTGGAGAGTTATCGTATAATTGAAGATGACGACATGGCAGAGTATGCCATGGCTGCTCTTGCGCTAACAAGAGACATGATTCAGCTTCGATTATCTCTTCAGGACACTTGGCGTAAAGTAGCCTACGAGAATCTCAACAGTGCAGTGGCTGCAGCCGTCTCCAATATCGCTGTAGCAATGATCAAGCAGTCTGAGGCAACGATATTCATTGACTTTCCAGGTTATGAATCATACGAAATGATTAAGCAAATCATCACCCAAGGCGATGTCGAAAAAGAAAAGAGTGAATTCCACTTTGCTATTCCTACAACAGGGATCAGCGGCTCTTCAAAAGCCACTGAAACACTGCTGGATATCAAAGAGCTCTTCCTTATCCATACCTATCATGACCTAGTTGATTTCATAACGGACTATCAGAAGTCGAGGAGCGGAAAGCCGACAAAGCGTATGCTCGCCGAAATTGACAACTGGAATCCAAACTTGGATCTGCAGAAAGCGACCAAAGAGGAGAGGATCAAATGGAGGCGCTCGTATACCATTAACTGGCTGTACGATCTTGTCAACATAACCGCATGTGTTGCAATCCATGGTAAAAATGCAAAAAACGAAGAATACGTGTTTGAACAAATGGATTGGTCCGACCAAGGCCCATTAATGGCATACCGCAGGATGTTTGGCCTAAACAACTTTGCCGCTAAAGTGACGACACTTGCTATGCAGAAACTTGGCACTGACTTCCACCATAAGATATCGCCGCATCTCGTTTTTCACCTTCAGTGTATTATGGATGCATGGACTGTGTCTCGCGGATGGGCAATCAGCAGTGTGAAAAGCCATATTCTCAGCGAGCCGGCGTAGAGCTTCCGACCGCGGCGTGATTTGGATATCTTTCTCGGCTCAGAAAAATGGAAAGAAGAAGCAGTGAGTGTGGGTAAAGGATACTTCGGAGCAATAGTCATTCTCGAATTGTTTTATATGCGCTTGGAGAATGATGACAAAGGTTTCGAACACACAAAGGACTGCATCAGAGTCCTCGATAAGCTAGGTTTTGAGTTCCGAGACGCATTGGGGAAGTGTGAGATTTTCAACAGCCTTTCGGCGTCGCTCCCTTCAAGGTTCGTGACAACTAATCCTAATGGTGCTTGGGACTACTCTCCTTTCTTTTGCGGTGCGGGTCTGGCGGAAGGCCTCGAGCTTTTGTATCGAAGCGCCATGACCTTGTGGGAAGCGATGCAGGAACCAATGCTAGTCCTGCACTTACACAACATGCTCGTGCAAAGAGGCTACCTCAAGCAGGCTATATCGCTTTATGGATGTTTAGAAATAATATTTTCTGATAGCTTCTTCTCTGGTGGGCAGCCTCCTACCGGCGATTATGTCGAAGCTTTCCGTTCTCAATTCAGCAAGATTCGTTCTCGAAAACCAATCCTACAAGAGAAAATAAGTCGTCGAGTGAAAGTCACTCACGCTCGCGATTTTCTAAACTTGACTCAGCTGCGTCTCTTTAAGCAAAAATCTGCCTTGTTTATGTACGGGTCAGCAGACTGGGATCCAGATCGTGTCCCGGATAGCGATGTCATCCCAAAGTCGGCCCTGGGTTTCGTTCGGCTTAGCCAGACAAAGCGTGTCCGCGATCCAGTGACATCCAATTGGCGATTAGAGCAAACAGATTTTGTCAAACAGACTCGGGCTACAGGCATGAGCGAATCATTCATAATGGCCCTTGACCCATTGTTCGAAACTTTTAGAGACGAAAGACAGACGCAGATGGCTCAAATGACTCCCTATATACCAGATGGTTCTTCCACACAAATGTCTTGGCTCTACAATAGCAATAACACATCTAAAAAGGGAAAGAACAACATAAAAACCATCAAGTACGATATGACGGCAGAAAGAATGTTGAGGATTCTCTACAACGATGTCTATCGTGACATCTGCGGCGGTCTTCCACTCCCCTTTTCCAACCTCAGCTATATATGGATAACAACACAAATGCTACTATATTTCGAAGAGCTTGGGTTGAAATGTCAAAACAGTAGCAAAACTTTATTCCCATTAATTGACCTCGTCGATTTCAACCTGAATAATCCATGCTTCATGCAGAGTGATGAAAGGCTACGTATTACGCTGCGTGCTCTAGGCGGCAAAGATGAAGAGCTGTTAAAGTTGATGGCTAAAGTCTTTGAAAGATGTGGAGGCCAGCTCATCGATTACGCGTATTGGGATACTGAAGACGAGGAGGCGGAAACGAATCTTGGCCCAGTGGTGGAAGATGACAGCTCTGATTGCTGCGTTATGTAGGGGAAAGTGGGCATGGCGTGGGTAGCGGGATAAATTGAAATCTGGCTAAATTGTAAGATATCATGTTCTCATTATCATATACTAGATTTACTGTTATCTTCTCAATACGAGAGACTTGATGAAGATCTATTTAGCAGAGAACAATAAATCGACATGGCTTATAATACCGCTAATTCCTATGCTAACTAAAACCTGTTGGAATAAGATTTTCTAGCTTCCACTCTCACTAGTTATCAACAAGGCAGCAAGTGTAACACCCATTCTGATTTCAATGTCAGTACTTTTTCTCCATGTTAAAGCAATGGGCGGTTCCTGAGGATACTAACCACTTCTTTCGAAACCTATAATCGCATTAACATAACACCTAGAAGAAAGACATAAACAAGAGCTATAATACGTACATGGCCAGATGGACAAGGCAGCGGGAATTGAAAGCAAGTGTCGTACACAGCACAGCCGTCAGTCTGGCGATTCTGCAGAGATGGGACAGCGACAGCTACGCCCAAGAACAAAACGAGAGAGAAGAACTTCATCTTTGATGGATTTTGATGTTTTCTTTCAGAAAGTAAATGGGTAGCGAATTGGTAACGCTGCTATCGGACTGACTTCTCGAGTTGCTTTGGACAGAGGAACGATTAACCCCCCTTTTATACATCGCAGCTTCACTCCTCAGACAAGCAAAAGAGCCCAATTGGATTAAAACAGGTAAGACATTCACACGTAACACGTAAGCACACACGCACACACACAACGTCTCTCAGCCGCTCGCCCGGAATTCTGTGCCGACGAATCATCAAAGAAACAATAGGCTGTAGCTTCGCACTCGCCTAAGAGGTGGCATTTTCCCGGTAACACTGCAGATTATACGAGACTCCTTTTTTAAAACAATTCCAGAACTGAGGGCAGCTGAAGTTCTAGAACGTAACTATGAATGTATGAATACTCTCCTGTACCGCCATGCTCCTACGTGGAATAAATTATCCAATTCAGCCGATAGAGATTTTAAACATTAGATAAGAAGAGAAGCTTGAAAGCTAATGATAGTTGGGTAGTATTTATGTCGTTTCTCATGCCAATTTCGTTTTCGCTAAAAAAAATGAAAGGGTAAGGAGAAGAGGAGAAATAGGTTTGCCACTACTATTGCTGCTGCTAGTACTCGATACCCCCATTCATTAGTACTGTTGATAAATCCAAACTCTGTACAGCTCTTTATGTACTTATACTTACAAACCCGCTGCGTAGTCCCCAACAGATGGCCAGAGTATCGCGGAGATGATTCCTATCGACTGCCGCAGATAGGCAAATTCATCACCTAGCTTTTACTTTGAAATATCATTGCATCACTCCCTCGGCCTAGTATGTCTCTCTACTTCTGCAGGTCAGACTGGAAAGGGCTGCGCTTCAGGTAGGATATCCCAATGGGGACATCCACCACCAAATAAGACGGACCATATTAGGTAACTGCGTATATGTAAAGAGAGTATACCGGTAAATAACAAAGACCGAAAAGTGCGGCTAACATAGTAGTATATACAATATATAACATCAAGTATAATAACTGTTTTAGCTTTTCATATTAATGAAAGCGCCCCGTTTTGAGCGCATCACAGTCCACCTCCAGCACTTACACGCCTGACCGTTGGTGGCGCAGACAGTTCGCAACATCAGCCACAAAAGGCTTCCTTGCCTCAAACAAGAAACGGTACGTACCTCCATCGTCCCAGACCCCGCCACCTGTTCGGGTTGCTCTCCCGCCGCGGCTCCGATTCCGCGATCTCGCCCTCAATCTCCAACCAAACACCAACCTCCATCGTCAAGCCAAATCAACCCTCATTCTTTTCTCTTCTTTTTTCTCTCGCCTCCTCACCATAATAAATAATAATAAAAATAATAATAAAAAATAACCGCCCCAAACATGGCCCAATCAACCGCCCACCGGCGCCTCCTCCAAGAATACCGCGCCCTCACAAACAACCCGCCCGAAGGCATCACCGCCGGCCCTGTCTCGGAAGACGACCTCCTCCACTGGGAATGTCTCATCCAGGGCCCCGAAGGAACGCCCTTTGAGGGCGGCGTCTTCCCTGCCGAGCTGAAATTCCCAAAGGACTACCCGCTGGCGCCGCCGTCGATGAAGTTTTTGGCCGACATGTGGCATCCCAACGGTATGTTTGTGTCTCTCTATCTATGTTTCTAGCCCCGAAAAGGAATTAGTATTTCTCATGTCGCAAAATCCACAATTCGCTACTACTACTACTACTACTACTGGCAAGAAAGCAAAAAGACTAACACGATTTTGCGACAATAATTTAGTCTACCCCAGCGGCCTCGTCTGCATCTCCATCCTCCACCCCCCTGGCGACGACCCCAACCACTACGAACACGCCTCCGAGCGCTGGTCCCCCATCCAATCCGTCGAGAAGATCCTCATCTCCGTCATGAGCATGCTGGCCGAGCCCAACGACGAGAGCCCCGCCAACGTCGAGGCCGCCAAGATGTGGCGCGAGCGCCGGGACGAGTACGAGAAGACGGTCCGCGACGGCGTTAGGCGCATGCTGGGTTTGTAATATTCTTTCTTCCCTGTACGAAGAGGGTTGAGGAGAGGGGAGAACAGGGGAAAAAGATTGGCGATTATAAACAGCCGATGTGAGATGGGATTTGGAGTTTACAGACTGGGGGGTGTTACATCTTCTAATTTTCTTGGTTATAAACATATATATACGTTAGGTATGATATAGGGCATAGCATGGCGTATGGGCGAAGTAAATCGAAATAAAGAGCAAATATCTGATATCTGAACAAACACTCAAGTCATCATATCCATCATCCAACACCGTAATGATCATTGCCATGGTCATCATCAAGTTGGGAAATCCTCTCTCATGTCCCCTTACTCTGGCTGCTTCTATGCAATGCCTGCATATACAGAAAGATGCACGGCAAAGAGGAACGACGATCNAAGCAAATGGTGGCTGGCGGCATTGTTTGAGGATGACCAAAAAAAAAAAAAAAAAAAAAAAAAAAAAAAAAAACAGAATCGCTTTCAAATGAGACGCTTCATAGCCCATTGTCTGCTTTGAACTTATCCCAGCTCTCATTCAGAGTGCTAAACACCAGTCCAGCAATGAGTCTCACCTCAGTACTTGCGTCTTGCGGAAGCTACACATCCAAAAGTAAGCGTATATTCCCAGGATTCGTTCGGAACATCTCAGTTGCATATCTTACCTTGTCAGGGTGGGTCTTTGCAATAGCCTTCATGTACGAAATCTTGACCTTGTTTGCCATGACCAGCTCATGCAGCCCAACCTTCTTCCAGCCGCTATTCTCCCAGAGCACCGAATCCATACTAGCCAGCAAAGCCCGCAGATTCTCTCTCTTCCCGTCTCTCCATGCAGATACCTTGGCGTCTACCTTGTCTGCTAGAGCAAACTTCTCGTCATCCTCTTTGGCAGCGGCCTGGTTAGCTTCACGTAACCTTGTGACTGCTTCAGAGTCTTTCTGAGGTGCTCGACTGGCCGCTGATGGCTGAGGCCGGGGCTTTGCTGCTGGTCTTGGAGCAGGCTTGGGCTTAGGAGCAAGGGCGTCCTGGCATCGCTGACGGCCCTTGACAGCCGTAGCTCCACCAACACCAGCTTCAACACATTGCTTCCATACTGTGCCTGCGTCTGCCCATCTCTCCATCTGCTCCAAGGCCTCTGCTTTCCTGCTTAGCGCCTTTCCATAGAGCTCTTTCATGTCACGATTCTCTTCCTGCCCAGCCTCATTCTTTACAGCCACTGTTTCCCCTTGGCCGTTCCCTGGTCCAATGATTTTGAGCGCTTCATCTGCATCAGCCACTGCTTGTTTAGGCTCTCCAGTCTTTAGGGCAGTTAATGCACGATTTGTGAGCAGGATAATCATTAGAGGATGCGTTGTAGGAACAGACGACAGAGATGAAGAGTAAGACGCATGTGCCGCCGCATAGTCGCCTCGCTTAAAATGCGTAGTTCCCTGTAGCCTGTGCGTTGTCGATGCTTGCAGTGCTGCAGGGCTGATAGAAGGAATTTGTCGAGCAGGTCTGGGTGTGGCCTTACGCGGAGGCGCAACCGCTGGTGCTGGCCGAGGTTGACTTGGGGCTGTTGGTGTTGATCGCTGGACTGCTGGGGAGGGGTTTCGCTGCGTTGGTTTTGACGCCTGTGAGCCGAACAGTAGATCCGGCTCAGGCTCAGATGTCTTTGGCTCTGGCGCCGGGCTTGCCTTCTTTCTCCTGCTAGCACTTACATAGCTAGAGAAGCTGTCATCATCGTCTACTGTAAGTCTGTTCAGCCTTGATCTTGCATCCGACACCATAGGCGGCGGTGCCGTTTGCTGTTGCCATCGTGGAACAGGGCTATTTCGGCTTTGGGGTCCTGAAGATAGGGCGGGCGATGATCCTCGTGAAATCTGAGGCCCGGATCTTGATTCAACGGCTGGACGGCTGCTGCTGCTGCTCCTGGCAGGCTGTGGCCTACCACCAGACTCAAGCATAAGTGCCTCGTCCGTGGCGTTGGAGCTGCCTTGGGTAGGCCTCGGCTGTGCTCGTGCCTGTTGAGCATCGCGCATCCATTTCGGCTGGCTTGGGTCTCCGTGTCCTTCCTGCTGGAATTCCGCCACTGCTTGTTGCATCTTCTTTTGCCCAGTCTTCCAAAGAGTATTGGCAGACTTGAATAGGGTGCTTCCCATAGCAGCCGCTGTTTTCGCAAAGTCAACCTCGCCTCCTCTTGCAGGCGATCGACTGTCGCTTCGCTGATTTTGGCCTCCTGATGCAGGAGAGCCTCGCCCTTGAGAGCCCCGAGCTTGTGACGCCTCCTTTGATTTCCTATGAGCCTCATCCAAGAGCCAATTAGCCGCTGCCTGTGCATTGAATCCTGTTCCGCTCTCCACAAGCCCTCGTCGAGCCTGCTCGGGAGTAAATCCGTAATCAACAAGTTGCGCAACAGCTTTGTCGAAGGGATCTTTATTCACCCTAGGTACTCGCTCGATATTGGGATCTTTATTCACCCTGTGTACTCGCTCGATATTTCGTTCTATGGGTTCGTCATCGTCGGAAGAGCTCGAGTCATCTTCGATTGGCTTTCCTGGCTCGCTTCGCAATGCTTCTTGTTTTGCTTGTTGTTCCTTTCTAATTTCATCCACAGGCCTCCCGAGGTCCCCTAGAAAATCGAAATCATCTGCGCCAGAGGAAGTGCCCCGGCCAGCTCCAGTTGAGGCAGCAGGCTTCACCTCGTGTAGCCCGAAGGGGTCGTCATCATCATCTCCTCCGAAAGCCCCGTTGCCATTAGAAGCTGTTGTTGAGCCCCATGCTGAGGAGTCTGTCAAGTCCAGTTTGCCTTTATTTGGTGCCGGTGGGGGATAATGGCTGGCGTTGTCCACCTTTGTATCTCTGTTGAATGCGGCGAAGAGGTCGTCGTCGTCATTGGCTGAGCTCTTGGCAGGCGCAGGTGCAGGATTTTGCTGTTGCTGTTGAGGGACAGGACTAGGCGTGAAGCCTCGAGATCCTAGAGCATCCCAGTGTTGTCCATTTCCAAACTGTGCCTCTGCTAGCTTCCGTCGCTCTTCTTCCTTCTTTCGTTTCTCGGCTTCAAGCTGCGCTTGTCTTTCGGCTAATGACAGTTTCTGGGTGGCTTTCGGTAGGCCAAAGCTCAGATTGCTGAAGCTATCTTGCGCAACCTTTGCTGGCGCCGCCTTGGGAACCGAGTTGTTTGACTGCTGGGCCGACAGCGGCGTGCTTTGCCCTGTGCCAAAGGGAGATGGCGATGATCGGTAGGGGGGATACGAGGGGTTGGCGGCCATCGGCTTGGGCTTGTTGCCCGAAGCGTTTGCGCTCCAATCGAGGCCCGATAGATCATCCATGGCGAATACGGCGCTGGTTTCTATCGCAATAAATCGATCATGGCCAGGTGTTCACGGTAGGTCATTCGCTGTCCTTGAAGCTATCGCTCGGCCCCATATAGAGGGGACTCCAAGTGGGCGCAAACCGCTCGCCGCGATTACAGGGGCTCTGATTCGTGTCAAGCTGCACAATCGCTACTGCTGCAGGTCACATGACCTCTACTCTGACGGCAACGCTCTCTACACGATCAAGCTATCAAAAGCATGTGAAAATGCGCAGTCAGTCGCTCAATAAATTCAAAGAGAAAATTTTCTTTTCAGTAGTGTGAGTTGAGTTACGTCTTAACATGAGGGGGGAAATTGTGAGATGTTACAATATTTTAAACGCTGTATATGCTAAAACACTATGCACTATTTATCTACCTATGCCAAAATACTCAGGCATGCTTGCGCTTAATACTCATTCATTCATGAAAAGAATCGCTCGCCGAAGCATAAATGGTCTACCAAACTAGATGAATACTACAATACAGTCATGATAAGAAGTAGTAGATCTTGCAACAACATCATACGTGCGCGTCGTCAAAAATAAATAGATAGGATGCAAGGTGTAGGGTAGGTAATTGACCCAAATGGCCAAAAAGACAAAAAAAATGAATTCCGGCGCCGGGAGTCGAACCCGGATCGCCGCGGGACTTTCACTGATGAAAGCGCGGTATGCTAGCCACTACACCACGTCGGAGATGTTATTTGATGTTACATTTGCGCCTTGGTCTAGTATATAAATACTAGAACAACCACTAAGCAATATTCTCCTCCTTCTTGCAACTGAGTTTAGGCTTTAAAAAGCAACCTGCATGTCATAAAAGCGTAAGATGCTCTCTTTTCCTCTTTACATACTGTAGTGCATTGTGAATATTTGCCCTCTTAGCCATCTTAACTAAATGACACACGCGAAACCGAAGCTTGTGCCATACAGCACACACAGAGTGTACACAGGTACTCTGATGTCCTGCTTCGCCCCTGATAGAAGATTGTGTTTTAGATTGTCAATCTCTTGTCGATCGTTTTCTTCGTTTGGCTAGTAAATTATATCGGGAGACTGCCCGATATACGCCCCTCAACATGCCAGAACTTTTGTCCTCTCGATCATTTCGTCATAGGATCTCAAGCTGTCAAACCGTACCTACAGTAAAACCTAGCTGGATGCTAGTGCTCTTGGCAAGAAGCGGACCCTTTCAGATCGATACCCTGTTGGTATATGCACGAGTACCGTACTTTTGACGCGATGTACTCTATTGAATGCCTCACGACTTCCAGTAACTCTTCCCGAATGTCAAGGTCCTATAGCTCGCAAAATGTAGGAGCAGCACATGCGCAGGCTGCACCTACCATACCATTGCTTGGCGACAGCCTGACAGGAGAAACAGAGGCTTGTGCTAGAAGCCAGCAGCCAGCGAGATGAGATGAATATAAGAATACGGTGCGACTCCTTATGGTTGTTTCTTCGCTTGCTGGGCGGCGCCACGGCAGCCTCTTTTTCTCCAGACCCCACTGGGCCAATCCAGGTACCAAGCTTGCAGAGCAAACAATAAAATAGAGACGAATTAATACAGGCTGACTGTGTCAAGTTTCGCTGATTTTCCGAAAGCGATCTCAAGGGGTTGCGCCTGAGCACCCTATTTGTCAGTATGGACCAACAAACAAGCTTACGGTCATCGCTTCAATGTTCACTTCTGCGTTGGCCTTCGCCTAGCTACCAGGCACAAAGAAGCAGGGGCTGCTGTTTTAGGGCAGATTATGGAATATGATTGGCCACAGGCGCTGGTGAAACCGTTTCAAATGCATACAGGGTCTCCCTAATGCAATGCTTGGCCCCTCCATTTTGGTGCCCCTGAATATTCAAGGGCCTTATGCGGGTGCCACCCACCCAGCCTGTTCAACAATAGGAAGCAAACAGGCGTCATATAACAGCGTTCAACAATGGGAATCCATCTTGCTTTATGAGGCTAGCGAGGCCAGCTTTTCCCAATGACCAATGCGGGGGCCCAAAACTCAAGGTTCACAATATTTCGTTTGTCGTTAAATACTTGTCTAGGCCTGGCAGATGGCCTGCGGTCCCCCGAGTCTAACGGCATGACCGACTGCTGTGCTCTCCTGGCTCTGCGATGAAAATTGAGATGAGCGGGAAGCGACATGCTTGCTGCCAAGCCCATCCGCACATCGCATGGCCAAGGCTCCACCAGCCTCGTCATATGCGCCAGAAGCCATCCAAAGTTCCAAGCCGTTTCATGAGAGGAATGGGAGCTGCAATTTAGCACAGGCGCAGGCCGCCGCACCACCAAGGCGCTATAGAAGTCAAGTACAAGCAGCGGATGGCGTTCTCTGCATGTATTCTCATCTAGCGCTGTTTTTTATTTTTATTTCAGCCGCAAGCCTTGTTTCTGATGCAGGCCAAAACTCACTGCAGCGGTCATGCGTATTCCTGGATTCAGGAGGCAGAGCCGGAGTCTATCTAAGAGCCTCCTTAGTGGGCAGTAAGGATTAAGCTCTGCATTGACGACAGCTGAATGGCATATTCCAGAAACCCCAGCAGAGACGAATTAATGCTCCCTGAAGTGGTATCATCACGCGGGTCGGACAAAAAAAACCTCCCAAGGGGCACATGAATATCCCTGCTCGACCCCATGTCTCTTAAATTTCTTGAGTCTTCTGGCCAATCAGCTGTTGAGCAGGCGTTTACAGCATCCCATCGCCTTGAGCAAATATGTACCTCACAGCAAGCGAAGTTTCAATGCCCCTCATCGCAAAGAAGCTCCTAATCGCCGCCCCCCTGTTAGTCCCTGTGGCTATTAATGTTTGCCGCGTTTGGAAAGTCGGGCCATTGATAGCGAAGCCTGACTGGTCCGTGGTTGGGGCGTTTGGTCGACCCTTGATCCTCCGTAATCTTCTTTTAGTGCTTCTCCACGGCGGACGGCCAGCGAGAGATGCCTGATAGCCGGCTATTTGCACGCCTGAAGAAAGGCCAAGGCTACGATCTGTAAGTTGGTGTAGCATACGTACCATGTCCTGCTGTACTTTGTGATGCCTGCTGCTGGGTCTTTATCATTTCTCCCATCTTCTTCATCGATCCTCGGGGCCTGTCCTTGACAATCTCTCACCCATACCCGACTTGTGCATCAGTATTGGCGCGAGGACCTGGAGTCTCCCCAATCCCTTGATAGAAAGATCGCCCTTAATATCCCATATACAACCGCACTCATCCCTCGTTTCACGCTTTTCATCTCTCTGCGCTTTTGTCGCGTTGTGTTTTGCTTAGCATTCCCACGTTCTTTACCATTCCTTTCGGCTCACCAACGTACATTCCTTCGTTTCTATTGTCTATACGCATTTCTTTTTGCACGCTCTTGGGCAGTTTAGCACTCCGATTCTCTTGAGATCGATCGCTGCTGTCTAGTCTCTCTTCTCGCCGTTCGTATTAACACAGGGAACAACAACCCCTTGCGCACTGACAAGCTGTCATCGGAACCCTCCGATTATAGCTAGAATTCACCACGCACCGTATCGATACCCATCGGACCGGTTTCGACTGCGTCGCAAAGTGCTTGTGACATTGCGACAGACGCACTGCAAGGAATTCTTTTTGGTGGCTGTATACGTGTCTGTTGAACACTCAGCGGCCTCTCTCTGGAATCTCTAGACTAGGAGCCGTTTTGTGAGGCTGGGAAATAGCGAAAGCTTTCATAAGTGTGCAGGAGTAGTGTTCTTCATTTCTGCGTTTACTCGCGCTTCTTTTCTTGTGGAGGTTTGACGATAACAGCGATACTTTGGTAAGTCTACTTTTGTGTTTGACAGTTTCGATGGACATCGTACACACAGATTTCGAGAACTTCACACACACACACACACACACACACACACACATACACACACCAATATGAAAAGAAACGCTGCATTTATATTGGCATACCTTGTTCTGCAGGGACCCCGCCAACGCAACGGGCCACAGTGAAGCGATTGGCTCCACGACACAGTTACTGTTTGGACGAGAGATTGGTCGATTACACGAAGTAACTTTTGCGTTGGCCTGCGAGGATGTAGATGCAGGCGAAGGAAACCTCCGTTTAGTGACGGATGTCGAGGTTGGCGCTGCAGCTGATCTGCTTCCTGCCAAATGTTGAGGCTTGTTGATGCTCGCGCCTTCTGTTTGCGATGCAGTCTTTTGGACGACCGCCTTCCTTCCACATTAGAGCATCTCAAGCTCTCCCCTCATTCGGCCGTTGCCATATTCCTTCCATCTACTCTTTCTGTGCTCCCTTCCCATCTCCCATTCTCAAATCCCCATTTATCCCGTCGTTTCCTTTTCTATCTCTAAGCCACCAGTTGGCAGCTTGCAGGACGCTGACCTCTTCTATCCAGACAGCCTCGTTGCGTCGTCCACTCCTTACCAACTCTTGATATCAGTCTTGCCTGGAGCAACACCTCGAGCTTGGATACATCTCATCACAATGCTCAAGTCTGTCATCGCCGTTACCGCGGGGCTGGTCGCCTCTGCCGACGCCTTCTGGCGCATGGAGTGTCAGGGACGTGTTGGCCTGGCACGAATGGACCCGATTGTTTACCCCGGACAGGATTCGCCTCACATGCACGCCATTCACGGATCGTCGGGTGAGTATTCTTACTTCTCTTGAGACTGGTGGGCCGGGCTGTACCTCCGAGTGAACCCTATTGCTACCTACGCGCGGCTCACTGTCGTGAGAGATATCGCCGTCTCTTTCGATCGATGGATCTTAGTTCGCCCAGTCTTCAGCTCCTGGCACCAAATCCGATTTCTTAATAGAACCTGTGGCTGACATGCTCTTCAGCATTTTCCGAGACCTCTGGCACCTCCGAGCTAGTCACTGGCAACTGTACATCATGCCGTGTGACTCAAGATAAATCTGCTTACTGGCACCCTGCTTTGTACTTTCAAGATGCCAGCACTAAGGAATACGAACTAGTTCCCCAAGTCGGCGGTATGCTTGCGTAGGTGGTCTCCCTTCAATTATCTTTCCCGACGGTCTGGCTAAGAAGATGTGCTAGATACTATCTTCTCTACGGAAACAACATCAAAGCCTTCCCTACAAACTTCCGAATGGTGGCTGGCGACACCGACCGACGCACTTACACAGCTGGCGATCCCACTCAACCTGACCCGCCAAAGTCCCTCTGGGCTTCGTTGGGCCAAACAAGCCAAGAAATTTTGGCTCAGCGTGCCATCGGCTTCAACTGTCTTAACTACGATAAGGCGCCCGAAGGTACTTTGTACCGCCACTTCCTGCCGGACAAGGCATACCTCGATGCCAACTGCAAAGATGGTATCCGCTTTGAGATCATGTTCCCGTCATGCTGGAAGGGCGGCGATGCGACCGACAGCCCCAACCACAAGGACCACGTTGCCTACCCGGATCTCGTTATGACTGGAGACTGCCCTGCAGGCTATCCTGCTCGTCTCCCAAGCATGCTGTTCGAGGTTATCTGGAACACTAATGCCTTTGCTGGTCGCAATGGTCAATTCGTCATTGCTAACAGAGACACAACTGGTAAGTTGATAGGCGAATATATCGTATAATTGAGACCGCCTAACATGATCGCTAGGTTACTCACTTCATGGCGACTTTATCATGGGCTGGGACCAAGACTTCCTGCAGCAGGCTGTCGACACTTGCACGAATCCCTCTGGCCTCATCGAAGACTGCCCTCTTTTCAACATCGTTGACCAAAGCACCGCGATGCAATGCCAGCTAGAGGACATGCCTGCGAATCTGCGAAAGGAAGATGGCAATGGACCTTTTAAGCAGCTTTTTGGAGGAATGCCCGGACACGGCGGTAGCCAGCCCGCCAGCCAGCCCACCAAGGTCTCGTCAGCTCCTACGCTGCCCTACCAGCCTGGTGTGACTGCACCCGTGAAGGGTTCTCCCCTTCCTGGACAGGTCTTCAAGGAAGGATCCTCTGATGGGTACTCTAGTGGTGGTATGCAGATTGCTGCTGTTGAATCTAAGCCCGCAGTTACCCCAGCCCCGGCTGGAGCGGCTGCCACTCCTGCCTCTTTCGTCAGCACCCAGTACATCACTGTCGGCAACGTCGTTAGTGAAATCCTATGGAAACAGGCATATACTACCGTCACTGTGGATGCTCAGCCCTCAACCGTGACTGTTACCGCGACTGGTCCTCGTCCTGCCAAGCAGCGACGTAGCGCTCACGGCCATGGACACGGCCACAGCCACAGCCACGGGCAAGGACAAGGACAGCTCTAAACGCTGTGAAACTAAGTGAACCACGCTGACACCACCCTTTTTCGTCATTTTTGAGAAATTTTTTTGTGAATCTGGACAGGATCCAGAGAGTTAGGGGCATTAGTGAGGCATGATTGAATCAACATTTGGCTGCTGGCTTTGTTCATAGGGTAAAAAAAGCTGTTTATCCAGTCTTTGGCATCAAAAGATTTAACGACAGTTGCGTAGGTAGATGTATTATGTGACAATCAATTAAGTGAGATTTAATTTATTCAGTTTATGCAAATTCTACAGTTACACCTTTTCCCTCTTTATACCCTTCAACCTCCTTTCCCTGCACTTCCTTCCGTAGCACCAAGACTTTATATGCAGCCTCATGGCATAGACTGCCTACCTCTACACGATGAGTGTAAACATAGATCGGGGGCAAAGTCATCATTTACTTATGTTTTTGCTAATATAGGCTATAGGTACATTTTGCATTCTTGATGGGCTGTCAAGTCTCAAGTTCTAAATCTGTAAAGGTCAAGTGGAAATGGTACTGTGGATGGAATGGACCACGCCCGGCAACGCATTCCTCAAAAACAGCAACAATCAACTATAAGCACTGACCGTCTGGATTGCTGCGGATGTTATTCTCGCTGAAACAGTGACAAAAGCAGAAGGGCCCGGGGGAAGAAGCCATTTCCCTCACGTTCTTGTATTTCTCTACTCCTTGGCACTCACTCGCGTGTGCTCGCAGCAAAGTTTTAACTTGTTGATATATGTGAATTATTGTATGAAATGAACGAGGCCAATATTAAATAAAATTGACGGGCAAAGAAATCATGAGCTACGCGACGCGTGCGCTTCGGCGAGAAGTCGAGCAGACTGAGCATCCCATTGGGCTGGGCTGGCTGCTTGCCATCTCGCTCTGCGGCGGCGTCCTACTCTTCACGACGGTTGGGTTGTTGCTTGTATGGTGGGTTAAGAAGAATCGTCACCCGGGACCGCAGATGGTATACGGATACTCGGCGACCCGCAACTCACTCTTACCGCCGTCGTCTTCGAGGCTGATCAAGCGGCGGCTGCTGGGATCCGAGTCCTTTAGCAAGGTTTCCAGTCGACTTTCCAGCCGGTTTTCGTTTTCTGCCAAAGCGCAGCAGCATGCCGTACAGACGCCGCTGCCGACATACGAGGGCGTTCAGCTGCCTGAGCGGAGGAGGACGGTTTCGAGGGGCAGGAAGAGGTCGAGGAGCTGGGTAGACGAGGATGATTTGCATGGGCCCAAGATGGTACGGAGCAATAAGAGGAGTGCGAGGGAGTCGTGGTTTGGGAGGGATGGCTGCCTTACGATGGCACCGACGTTGCCTAATATTGGGATGATTGTGCCAGAGTCTGAGAAAGGGTACGTCCAAGTCGGCGAGCTGCCGACGGCGCAAGGACCGCAGTCGAGATGGTTACCGCGCAGTCAGACGGAGCCGAGGCTGGCTACGATACCTGGCTCGCCATTGTCGCCAGGTGGTGATGACTCCTCATCGACGGAGACTGTACCGATACCCCTTAGAGGAATGTCAGTGCCTATTTTTCAGCCAGCTCCTATCCGGCCGGCTCAGATGCGGCACTCAAAGACAGATCCCAGTCTTAAGGGCATCTTGCGTTCAACAGACCTGAGACTCTCTCAGAGGAGCTCACGGTCTTCTGTCAAGGCGTCTATATCGTCTGCCCTCAAGGCATCGCCAACTAAACCATCCGGCAGCAGCCAAACCGGCATATCAGGAAGGTCAGGTAGCGGCTGGCGCGCATCGGGTAGTCCGCCTAAGAGAGGTGGCTCTTTTGCTGGGAGTAGGAACAATTCCACAAGCACAATTGGCAGTGCTGCGAATAGTCTGATCCGCGCGGCGACACAAGAGCTTGAACTCCCAGGGGGTTCATCCAGCCCCAGTAAAGCTAGAAGTGTGCATTGGGAGCGACAGGATCAACAGATGGCGAATAGAAGCCCGGAGAGGGCCCAGTATGCGTCGTCTCTGACCCAGAGCCCGCAACGGCAGAGTCCTCAGCGACAGAGTCCTCAGAGACAGAGTCCTCAGCGACAGAGTCCTCAGAGACAGAGTCCCCAGCGACAGAGTCCTCAGCGACAGAGTCCACAACGACATAGCCCGCAGAGACAAAATCCTCAGATGATGATGATGGTGCCTCATGTGCAAATGCAACCTCCGCACATGAAGTTCCCTCAGATGCAGCATCCACAGCTAGTTTTCCCCCAGATGCAGCATTCTTCAATATCGCATGTCCAGCAGCACCGTTCTTCAAAGAAGACCGCTGAGCGTCGAATGTCTGTCGACAGCGACAAATCGAGCTCCTTATCGACCCTCTACAGCACCAATGAGCCGGAAGAAGAAATGCCAAGGCAGCAACAGCAAACGCAAGATGACGATCCTTTTGTGGAAAAGGGAGGCCCAAGAAGGTGGCCTAGCTGGCAAGCGCGCCAGAGACCTGCAAACATGGACTCATCCCAGAGGCGGGCGAAAACTCTAAGCGCAGCATCACTGACTATGGGCGAGCCGCCATGTCCACCGCCACTGAGACCCGTCTCGGAGATTTCACAGCCGACGAAGATGGGCTGCGAGTCCCTGACGTCTCCCCGGATACTCCAGCCACAGGCAAGACCCGCCAATAGATGTTCCATTTCCCAGATGCCCTATCTGCTTGAGGCGCCTTCAGAAGCGAGCTTCGCTTCAGTATCGGTGGAGTCGGATGCGACTGAAGTGCTTGCGAGCGAAATGCAGAGGTTAGACTGGGTTGACAGCAGCGACTCGGCGTCATCTAGTCCCACCACGCCGACCAGGCAGACAAGGTACCGCGACATGTCCTCATCGTCGCCGTATGACGAGCGAGAGATCATGTCCTTGCTGATGGGGACGGCACCTGCCAATCGAACTTTACCGCTATCTCCTTCTCCTAGTATGATAGCTCCTGATGGAAGCATCGTCACGGTCCTTTCGCCGCCGCCGCGAGGAGGAGGCGGAGGAGGTTTGGTGCGCCAGGCATCTACCTCGAGCTCCATATACACCCTTGAATCCTTCATTGGCACCGACCTAGGGGTCGCGTTAACAGCTTCTCCTTCTCCCAGAGCTACCATGCGGTCACTCGTCGAGGGTGGCCAAAGACTGAGCAACACCGTTGCTGAGCTGCGCCGGATGAATAGCATGATTAGCACATACAGCGTCGCGTCCTTGGCTTCCACGGCCGTTGGAGAAGGGGACAACGCCCCATCTACTCTCACTGCTTCGTTGAGCGGCAGCGGCGCAGGGCTGACTGCCTCTCGGTCCATTCGCTTCGGCACAGCAAGCATTGGTAGCAGGCACTATCTCAACATCGGCGGCGATGCCAGGAGATCCATGGTTGTTACAGGCAGCCATAGATACCGGCCGAGGAGAGGGCAACACCGCCGCGCAGAAACGTACTATTATGGCAAGGAGAATCTAGGGCTGGGGCTGCGACTATCCTGTATCATGGACGGGACAATTAATGTCGTTACGCAAGATGTAGTTGCACAAGAAGATGAAGAAGAAGAAGAAGAAGAAGAAGAAGTTGTGCGGGACGATGACGGTCTCGCCTGCGGCCCTGCCATGGAAATCATTGAGGGGATACCTTCGGGTGTGCTGAGCCAGAAGCTGACTCCTTTGGAACAACTCATTGCCGCGGAGCAGCGACAGAATTTACACCGGGCGAGTTTAGATAGCCTTGGGCTGTATGACAATGATGGGTTCCTGCTCAGCTCACCTGAGAGAGATGCGAAGAGGACGGGTGTGAGAGTATAAACGAGCGACAGAATACGCAATTTTCTTTTGTTCTTTTCTTTTCCTTTTCCCGCTTCCTTGGAGGCGATAAAGGCTTGCTGATATTAGTGGTATAATATTGCAAACTAAATCTTCTTCTACTTTGTAGTTAAGTGTCTCGGTAATGGAGGTTGGGTAAATGGGGGAGTTTATCGAGTTGACATGGCTTGTATATTATTTATACCTTATGGTTGTTTCTTTCTTAAATCTAATGTTTAGTTGCTCTTTTTGTTATATAATGCACTTAATCTGATACCTGTTACTCACATATTCATTTTTTCCCTAGACATTGCAAAACATGTACTCCTCTGGCCAGGGAACGAATCGCCATATAGTTCCTCTTTTCTAACCCTAAACGCCATACCACCTTTTTCATGTCTCCTTTCCTGTTTAGCGGCAGATTACTCGTTATTTTCAGTTTCCACTCTTGGTCGCTTGCTCTCCGGATCCTCGGCCGAGTCGTGTCCGTTGACATCATCGTCCTTCTCAAGCTCGTCGCGTGGGCGTGTCCTACCGGCTCCTTCGCCAAGCTCTTCCGTCTCATCCTCAACCTCCTCCAGCTCTTGTCCCGGGCCTATATAGTTGCCATCTGCATCAAAGTAGTCGTGTACATTTTCTGCAGTGATCCAGCCGCCGCTACCAGGGAACGGTGGAGGAAGCCCGCCATCTGTGACGCCATGGAGAACTCCAGTGAAGCCCTCGACGGGCTCGTGCCCCGCGTTGCCCTCAAAGACGATGCGGTCATAGTCATTGTCGTCATCTTCCTCGTTGTTAGGGTCGGGATGTAAATCAGAGCAATTGGCCATGGCCTCGTAAAGCTGTTGCGCGGAGTTTGCTTCGGCGGAGCTTGATGGGACGATTGTCAGCTCGACGGTTTCAAAGTCGGAGTCGTCAGCGCCGCCGTCAGCAAAGTCAAGCTGCAGCCAGACAGCCTGGGACTCGTTGACAGATTTGAGCGCGTGGATTGAGATTAGAGGGTATGGGATCGAGACACCGGCTTCGGCTTGGTGGCTGAAGACGACGAAGTTTCTGGCGACAGGTTAACAGACGTAAGCTAGACAAAGATTGATGCAAGTACGCACTCTGAAGTCGCAAATACATCGACGGTCTGTTCCGCCAACTCTTCGGCGGCTTCTCCATCGTTCGCGCTGTTGGGTGCTGCAGCAGTATCCTGTGGGAAGATGGCTAAGCTGCCACACTGCGAGCGTGGGATCGTTGCCTTTGCGCCGGCGAGATGATAGTGTAGGATTGGCTTCCCATCTGTGAACGACTCGGGAGTTTGCGACTGGTATTCTGCGAGGGGTGTGTAGTCTGCCGCGGCGGGCGGTGATCGGATTGTGGTTGGCAGCATGACTGCCTGTAGCTTTGAGCTTCTGAATTGAGCTGAGCTGAGCTGAGCTGCGCTTGTGATGACTGGAGGGGGAGCGATGCAAGGCGGAAAAAGAGCGAGATCGTGGGGTAGCTGCATCTTGCTGCCTTATCGATACTGCTTCCAGCTAGGCACTGCAACGGCGTGGGGCCAGTGATGGCACGGCTCCGCCGATCACGATTCCCGCCCGTCTTGATTCAGCCTTGGACCATCAATCTTCTTCTAACTACGATACCCAATCTGCCATATAAATCATCACTGGCGGGCGTTTGGAGCTATCTAGACCATCGGTTTTTTCCCCCAATCAATTCTGCCGATTTCTGCAGCTTCAACATCGATCATTTGCGAGACTCGGTGAACCCAAGTCTTCGTTGTCGCCTATTCCGACACCACCTCGCATCCGGCCTGCTTGCAAGAGACACTATGCATAGCAACCGTGAGTAACATTCCAATGCTGCCCAAGTGGCGATAGGCATATGCTGACGGCAAGGATAAAGGAGCACACCACCTGCTGGAACAGGTCCCTCTCACAGTCTCGCCGTTTGTCTCTCTCCCAACCGCCACTACGCTCTCGTACAACTACAAAACGATGCCTTCCAACATCCCTCCCTCGCCATTGGGCATCCCCAATGCGTCAGATGACCCCTCCTCACAGCCGAAAGCCAAGTACGTAGTATCAAACTCCGGCCACGCCGCGCATCCCGATGATATCATTGCGTCGTGCCGCGCACTGCAAGCACACATCACCAAAATGCAGGAAGATGCGGAGAAAGACCTGAGAGAGCTGGAAGAGCGTATCCGGGAGCGAGAGTTGGCGGAGAAGAGACGCCTGGCGCCGGGATGGTTGGATAGCGATGCCCGACTATTAGAACCTGAGAGATCCGGGCCGGGTCATCAAATCGAGCCCAGCCCGCCGACGTCTACAGGACAGAGCGACCAAGGCGGGAGTGGAGATATATCCAGTGACGAGGGCGCTCAGCTTGATCGGGCTTTTGGAGATATGGCATTGAGATAGATGTTGCTATATTCATAGGTAGTAGAGCGTCCTTTTCTCGTTCTTTTTCTTTTCTGATCTTTTTTTTTTCCTCTGGGTTTACATGGCTCCAGTTTTATGATAAATTTGATGATAGCTACATTTTTTATTAGAAATGGGAAATGGTTTATATTTTGGCAGTTGGCGGCGCGTTTTACATGCGACTCTATTCATACATCCGTTTCTCGTCCATAAAATTACTCCTTTTTGTCATGCCGCTTCGTTGAAGTATGCCAACAGTGACCTGTGTATTTGCCAAGATGCCCGTCAACATTACTAATTGTTCTTATAAATAATCGTAGGCCGACGGTGAAGCTGCCATTATACATTTAGTAACTTATATAGTATAAATCATATAATATATCTATCCAACTTGTAATTAAGGAATACCTATACTCTCAAATGCATGCTTATATCCATTTCCAAAGGACTTCCTTTGTGTCCAGCTACAGCGACTCAAATCGACACCCAATAACCCCGCCAAGCTCAGTCAAAATCCTCCGAAAGCGAAGGATAGTTCTCGCAACACACCATGCTGACAAGTATATTTGTCGACATAGGATCCAACGTGAAAGCCCGCAGTTTCATCCCGTACCCCAGCTCAACTTCTCGATGATCCCACGACGCATTGCCCCACAACACATGTTGGATGCTGATGGGCTCAATGTGTGGGACGTCGAACTTGAGGGGCCCAACGTAAGAATCCTTGCTCAGATTGACGACGCTCAGCATCAAAGTCCTGTTGAATAGCCAGTATGAGACATCTAACAGTTTATGCTTTTTCAACTGGAACCTCTTGGGCGTCGTCTTGGACAGGATCTCCTTCACGATGCCCTTGTTCATGACTGCTGCGAATTTACTGTGGAGGGCGGTGATTTCATCGTCCACGGGCCATGCCCAGGGCAAGATTCCCTTTGCGCCGTGGTTGATGGCGAGAGCGCTCATGGCGATGACCTCGTCGGCGCTGGGGCTGGCGGGCAAGTGGTTCTCGCCGCCGGGGCGGGCTTGCACGCTTTGCATCTTTGGTTTGGGCCAGTGATTGAGCCACCTCTCGAACTGCGCTATATGGCCAAGACGAGTCGGTATGTCTGTCACGTTGCCTATGCAGTTGTCGCAGCCACAGTTGCCGTAGGTTGTGTTACAATTCGTGTGCCATTTGGAGGCGGACATGCTGGCCCCGATGGGATGGACATCTGCCACGATGATGTCGGCCGCTTTGGTGTATTCTTCGAAATAGTAGTTGTCGCAGCTAAGACTGACGGCGATTGGATGGTACGGGTCGATTTTCTTGATAAGGCTGCTTGCTGTCCACATGGGGACGTGGGTTGCTGAGTGACCATCGGGCTGATCAAAGGTCCAGTATGCGTAGAGCCCATCTGAGTCCTTGATGGCTTCGACTTGTTCCCTTACCGCGCTATGATTCTTGTACGATTGTCGTAAATCGTACATATATGTCATATTGAGCGAGTCCAGAGTGCCATAGAGATGCCCCGATGTCTCTGATGCGGGCATCATTGGCACCATTGACTTTAATTTCAGACTATGGTATGCCTTGATGTTTGCAGCGTAGTTCTCTTTATCACATAGAAACCCCTCACAGCGGGCGTAGAATCCATATGGAAAGAAAGGCTCGAATTTACTCCCCGGCGTGCTGTTGCGGAAGAGCAAGCCACCACTAAGATTATCAATCCTGGTGATGCTGCCCTTTGCCTTGCTTGGCAGGACGTATATCTCGCTCTTGACGCTGAAGTTGTGCTCAATGAGCCAGCTGGGCGAGCCGTGCTTGTTTTGGAAACTTGGTGTAGCATGAAGCGTCACCTCATAGGGGGCAAAACTTGGCTTGAATTTCCCAAGATCGAATTTGTACCGATACACAGGACGGTCGGACGCGGCTTTAAGCACGGTACGGCTCGAGTTGAGCATATTCCGAATAAGAACTTCGCCGGTGGCTGTATTCGTGATTGTGAAATTAACGTCTGACGGCCAGTAATCATCATCCTTCTCCATATATGGCCATGGAAAGCCGTAATATCGTGAGGCTTCAGCGTGGATGAAGAATTCACCTTCGGATTCGTCGGCGAGAAAGATGTTGTATCGCGGCTTGAACCGGAGGTTCAGAGACAAGTGCTGCAGCTTGGGCGGCTCAACAACCTGGCCGCCAGGATTGAAGTCGGGGTACCTATCATAGCTTAGATATGATCATAGACGAGATTCCAAATAAAGGAAAAGAGTAAGGGTGACGAGAGTATGAGAACGGGGAGTGTAATGGAGATAGTAGTGTATTAGAGGAGTGATTTACGGTGGCAAGTACGCCTTTCCGCACCATCGAGGCCAGTCGATGTGCTCACCGGTTTGTGCTGAGCAAGGCAAAAGGAAGAGCACGAATATTGCCATTGCCCACATTTTGAATGCCGACATATTGGATGAAAAATGGACAAAAATGACAAGAATTTCTTTAGCGACTCAGGCTGTCCTACTCCCAAGTCTTCTAGTTGTGAAGCCCCTGGATATCTGTGTTCATCTGCTATGCCTGTGCATGCTTTTACGGGATAAGTGTCCCATGCTTACAATCGTCTAAATTATCTTTCCAAGACCCAGAGGCCATCCCATCAAATAGCCACGCCAACAAAAGGCGCCGTCCTCGTAATGCAGGGGGCTGCTCTTAAACCCCAAGGCTTCCACTGTAACTTTATTATTCTATTAATACCTCAAACCATGAGAAAGCCCTTTCGACCCACTGGTATATACTCGAGTAGTACCTCAAAAGCTAAAACCCCATGCGTAAGTTACGTACGTCCTATAGGTACAAAGCTGAAGAAGACGAGAGAAGAATTTAATCAGTTGCTCGAGTAGACTTTGCTACTCCGAGGCGAGGGCATTTTCTGGTAAGAGATCACACAAGAAATATGCCTAAAAACTCTTTCAAGCAAAAAGAGTCGCCAGCAGCTCAGATCTCTTATGGTCCTCTGACCATATCCCTCATGAAAAAAAACCCCTCGGGCTCCTAGTAGTAAGTACTCACCCAAAGCGATTGGAACCAACTATGGCACATATATATGGGTATATACATGTAGACTCAATGTCTAACTCGAGTTTGCGGATCGGTCCGACAGCTATCCACCACAAACGAAGCCACTATTAAGCCATCAGAACTCTCCAGCATTTTTCAAAGAATTATTTACTAGGTACCTGGTATTTTATAACTTTATACGCGTCCCCCCTTCATCTTTGCTAGTTCCCTCATATTGCTCTGCGAAAGATGATTCTTTCTATTTGCTCCGTCTTTTGACTTCTCAACTCATTTCACTTGCATAATCCTTCCATCAAAGACATAATCCTTCAACATGTCTTTTTCAATCTTCCCCTTTATGGCACTCCTCGCTCTGGTGTGCATGACATATGCACAAGAATACATGGGGCCAGCCTCATTTGCATGGCCACTACCAAGAGCATGGAACCGCACTCTTGACAATAATCCTCCTTGTGGATTTTCAGACATAGGAACTCGGTCCAAGTTCCCCATGTGTATGTTCTTTTCTCTTTACCATGGTCACTCAAAACTTACAGTCTTGCGGCTTTGTCTTGCCTAACCGTCAACAGACAACGGATATGTGGCCTTCGTCTCCCAATACGAGACGCGAAATCTTGAGGTGAAAGTCTCATACATGTGGAGTACGTATTTGAACTACCATTTGGACTCTGCTTCCAAAACAACTCCCAGATTACGTTTCTTTGTGCTAAACAACATACCATGTAAAAGACCCCAAATCGGTTGCCGACTTCGTCCCTCTCACACCGAGGCGTTTCCGCAAGTACGGTGTTGGCTACGCCTGTATCAAAGTCCCCGACGCCCCTTCAGATATAGATCCCGGAGCCAATGCCACGTTCCAGCTACGATTCGCCTCCGACTACGACTCTCCCTCACACCGGTCCTTCTTCGTCTGCGCAGACATAACCTACGTCGAGCCAGATGACATTGACTACCCCTTCCCATGCATCAACACCACGGACCTGGAACTGGAACCGCTGCCGCCGGCTAAGAAGAAGAAGCCGGAGGAGCCAAAGCCCATCGGCGACGAGTGGTCTCCAGGCGAAAAAAAGACTGGCCTTAGCAAGGGTGCAATCGCCGGGATTGCTATTGGATGCGCCGTTGCTGCTTCGGGAATCGCCGTTTTCATTACTCACCAAATGAGGAAATATCGTGAGCGGGAAACGCAAGACATGGTTCCGTGCACATGGGTACCGGGGAGTTATGGACTGCCAGATGCAGTACCTGTGGAGGGCGTCTTTTTTTCAAGGCCCACTAGGAGAGATTGAAGGAAATAAAAGGAAGAAGAAGAAAAAGGAAAAGAAAAAAAAGACCAAAAAAAAGGGGGGGGGGATCACTTTTTGAATAGCAGAGTTTGTAGTCGCTCTATCGGGAAGTCAACAATATTGCAATGTCTCGATGATGTATGTACATCTGACTGGCTACCTGTAGGTACCTATCCAAACACCTCTCTCTCAGTGTCAGAATTGGAGACTTTCGATAGTCGAAAAGTAAGAAATGTTACTCTGCGTAAAGAGATACGAGATGCTGTCTGCGTCATACTGGCTTTCATATAAATGTCGAAATGCGCAGACATGACAGAAAATAAACAAGTTTCAGTGGAATGACGCGTCATGATGGCTCTCCAGTGACTATTGAGGCTGAGAAGCTCTGTCATTCGTAAAATAGGTAGCTTCTTAACGTGATGTTTCGACATGGAGATAACCGTTATAGGGCCACCACAAAACATTGTTGTCAAGTTCGAAACGGTGAAAGCAGCTGCACAATCGGATGTTTAGCGTTAGACTTTGGGAATTTTTGCTTTTTATTTGGTTCCAATTTAGTCTCTCATAATGCATCATGTCATTCCCATCGTTATCTCGATAATCCAGCTCCAAGTATAAAAGATAACGTAAGTGGTAAGCAGCTTTTGTGAAACAGCAAAAGACAGCAGGAAAAAAAAAGCATTTAAAAGACAGAAAAAAACAGGCATGCTCCCTTATAAACTCTATAAAACTTTGCGGTACCATCTTGCCCGAAAACTCATCCAAATCGTTCCAAACTATTCTGTCGTAAGATGTACCAGGTCTCTGCGGCTGTGTTTCTTTCTTGTAGCCGTGTCGTCTTTAGAAAACATCATTATTCTAAATATCATCTGTTCCTTGTCCAACCCTGTGCGTGTGTGTGTGCATTCGCATGATGCTGGTTTTGAAAAAAAAAGAAAAAAAAAGGGGTTGAAAATAAAAGAGAGATTGTCGTGAGTCCTGCTCTATACAGTGGTCTCCTTGTGTCGAGACTCAGGAGCCACCAGTGATTTTTCCCACTCGTCCATCAGATTGTTGGCGGTCCTCTTAAGGTTGCTCGGGGATAAATGATGAACCACGCTAGGAAGTAGGTCCTCCAGCGCTGGAGATAGAAGCAATGTATCGGATTTCCTCGCCCTAAAAGTATTTGGCATCCAGAATCAGCCATTCATCCCTGTACAGCATCATGAAATCAAAACAAGAAAGATTATATCCTTACGGCTTGGCATCTTCCTCATCCTCCTTTTCCGGAATGTCATCAATGCCACTGCTATTAACGGTAGAGCCACTCCAGCGGGCAGACTTGGTGGAGACGGGGGAATCCCAGTTGGACCAATCAGTATCGTCAACAGAGTCGAAACCAAGCGGTGTCCAGGAGAATTGCTTCCCTCTCCCAGTCTTTGGCTTCAGCTCGGGGGTTCTGTTAGCTTGGGATGAGGTCGACGTGGCCGTACTGGAACCTTCATTACTGCTGGTCCTAGTGTGGGTGGTATCATGGTTCGGCTTACTCGTATCTTGCTCACGAGCATTGGCGATGGAGGTTGACAAGGGTCGCTGCGGCTGGCCGGTCACCGGTTCATCTCCAACGGTAATCTGGCGAATATCCTCTACGAAGGCGCGGAATCCTAGCTTAAAGTCTTCGACGATGGAAGGGACACCGACAACGGATGCTACGCTTTGCTGGGACCGTGGTTGCCAGGACGAACGTTTCGATAGGGTCGGGTTGGTGAGCTGGGCCGTTCTCTGTTCCACCGATGGGAGGGCGATCGGGTCTGCCTGTGTGACTTCATTGAGAGAGAATACGCTGTCCGTCCGGACGGGGGAAAGAAGAGATAGTGTGCGGGCGTGACCGCCGCGCATCACTCTGCGGCGGGACTGAGCGGGAGTGGTTTGGCCATGAAGGATCTGCTTCCGGCGATCCAGTTCGACGCTGCGTCGCGACGCCACCAAGGCATCATCGTCGATGCTGGCATGGGAGCTTCCAAAGAGTTCGCCCCTCTGGCTATCACTCCTCTTGCGGTAGACTTCCTCTGAAGCCCACTGCTTCTTCAGCTTTGCCAGCTCAATTTCGGCCTGTGCAAGTTCCTCCTTCAACTCCAAGACTCTCCGCTCCTGTGCTGCAATTGCTATTATAAATTCGTTTGCATTGGAGGGAGAAGTCGCGACACTGGCAGGAGTCTCCAATGGCGTTTGAGGGACTGACGAGGCCAGCGCTGACGCAGTCATTATGGCCGGTGAGTCGGCCAGCCTGGGGCCATCTCCAAGCTGCAGGGCAACGGGAAGAGTGAGGGAGAGGCGGTTCTTGTGGCGGGAGACGGAGGGAGATGCACGAGAGCGGCCCCGGGTGAAGGAGTCGCTGCGAGGAAGAGGCGGTGGAAGCATCGCATCGGAGGTATCAACGGTGGACGTACTGGACGCACTGTGCGATCGTGAGATTCCAGGGGATGACGAGGAGGATGAAGCGAACGTGGTGGTTCTGGCACGCGTAGCCGTAGCCGACTCGGTAACAGGGCTGCGATCTACCGCAGACGAGCGGAGGCGGATTTCTTGCTGCTGCGAGGCCATGTCTAGATATTTCGGGAGATTGATGCGTGCTCGTAGCGACAACGATAGTACTACTAGTAGAGAGTGGCTGCCATCAACCGGATGGCGTTTGTGAGGGTGCAAATGAGTGGCTGGGCCCTGGAGGCGCCGTAAGAGAACGAAGACGACCGCTACTCGGACAAGGAGCGCTCTGTGGTGGTCCTGGTCTATGTTCTGATATTCATCGAAGAGAGGGTGCGTGCTGCGGTCGTCGATGCAAATTCCAAAGTGCAGGCCACTCATGGGGCAGCCAGCGCTGATAAGGAGAGGCAAAATCGGTCGCTCCCGCGGCTCATAATAGCACCGGCTGCGGAGCCCTTCCAGGTTCGTCCAGTCCTTGAACTTGAACTGAGGCTTGTGGGTGCCGTTTCGTTTCAGCGCAGGGCACTTATTGGACGAGAGGCCGGGGTCGCCTCGCTGGTGCCCAAACGAGGCCGGGGGTTGTTTTTCGTCAACAAAGCGCTGTGATTATCTGGGGCTAGGCCGCTGGCTTAGTCTGGTACAAGAGTAAACAAAGGCGGTGGGTAGGTTTGATGGGCGAGATATACTGGCGGGAGAGAGACGAAGAGGTGAACCGAAACGAAACGACAAAAACCGCCCTTTCTGGAGATGCGAAGTAGGTGAGGGGTTCTTGAGTCTTTTCCTTGCAGTCGACGTTGAGATCTGCCTCGTCTCCTCCTCCTCTCGCGCAGGAGGGGGATGTCTCGGTCAGCAGGCGAGCGATCCGGGCGGTTTGGTGGTGAGCGCTGTACTTCGCAGTACCTATGGCAACCCCTGCTGTATCGTGCGTTATCCCGGCGTAGTACAAGTCGGTGCTTGTTCGAGCGAACTAGCTTGGAGTGCTGGTACAGTATAAAGAGGTTGAGTGTGGGATCACTATTACAAGCGTCGGATATGCGCTCTCCAGGCGGTGGTTATGTAGTTATAACAAGTCAACCGGCACCGCCTCGTACGAGGTCAGTCAGACATTCGCATTGGGCTCCCTTGCGGACAAGTCAACTGACTTGCACGCTGGAACCCGAAGCCGCCAAACCCGCCAAACCGCAGCACATCTTCAGTGGATCGCTTGTTGTCTCTCAGGGGCTCGGCGGAGAGAGCGAGTGGGGGCACCGCCTAGCGCATTTATGCTCAATTGAAGGCTGGTGGCTGGAGCTTACAGCGGTGCCCAGTTGCCAGTTGCCAGCGACAGCTACAGCACAGCAGCTGATGGAGGTGTGAGGGCGGGCAGGCTAGCGTCAGTAGTACGGGTACAAGGGATTACGTACCGATGCCAAGTGCCATTAGGCTCATGGTACGTGCTCTCATCGCCATGCTCCGTACATGTACTCACGCCTAAAAATACCTGCTCGCCGCCCTTGCTCTCCTTGGACTCAGCTGTACTCGTAATACAGCAGCGTAGGTGCAGGATTACTGCTTGAACCTCAAGACTCCCCAAATTTCCGCGCAATATATCGCCACCTGGTCAGGCGGCGCTGCCGTGTTTCGCATGATTTCTTCCTTGCGTCGTCCTGTAATAAGAATGAGCATGATTGACTATTAGGTACCCTATTAAGCAGATATACTGTAGCTGCTGTATTTTTTGTTGAGTTTGTGACTTGTATCTTTCTGACTAACACGATATTCCGCTGCCATCAACAAAGTTTCTTTTCTTCTCCACTGCCCGCTGCGCTGCCTTCCAAAGGGCTGCAGCCCATTTCACGTGCGGCCCGTTCATGTGACTTCCCGTCCATCTCGCGTCGCGTGCCCAGTTGATCCATGTCCTGTGTTCTGTCGATGTGAGTGGAGATTTCCACACGCATTCGCTTCTCGGCAGCTTCTGGTCCTATCGCGCTGCCGCAAGCGCTTCCCTCCATATGCAAGCCATGATCACGGGCATCTCTGCTCTCTTGTTTCGGGCGTTTTAAGCTTTGAGCTGGAGGGATTGTCTCACAGCCTCGCCGATCTAGCCTCGCGATACTGTGGGGGCCGTGGACCATATGTTAACTGACGGGTCACAACGAAATAGAGGCTGAGGATTGGCGTGAAATGTCGAGCGAAAATGCCCTTGCCATTCTCCCTAGTCTGTGACTTGTTGGAAGAATCCTATGCCCTTGCCACAGCTCGCAAACCGTTTAAACAGGCCTTTGTAGCTTGGTGTGCTCGACACCGCAGTCGTATAAATGCGCCTGACACCAATCTTGCAGCCCTGTTGTCTACTCTGTTGCCCGAAAAGAGAACAGACAGGGTATACTGTATTCAGGCAAACGGCCTTGAGCGCATTGTCGGGCGTGCTTTAATCCTTGGCTCTTCTCGAATCAAGGAACTCGCCATTTATAAGCAGCCCGGCCTTGGCTTAGATCTTGCTGATTGCGTAGAGCGTATCCTGAATGTTACTGTAAGCCATAACTAAGTTGCCTTTTTGGGGGGAAGCGGGATCTGATCTATCTCTAGCCCAACCCGATTTTGCCGGAAGCGCTTCAGATTACTGTTGAAGAAATTGACGAGGCCTTGCACTCTGTTGCAGCCAAAGTAAAATGGAGCTCGCCAGCTATAAGGACCTCGGACGCTACATGTAGTTTTGCCGAATCACCTGGTCGCAGTGTTCTAGAGACGATTTATAGACGGCTCTCTGCGAGAGATGCCAAGTGGTTTACCAGACTTATTCTGAAGGACTTTCAGCCCCTGGTGTTTGACGCATACCAAGTGTATCATTCGTGCGATCCCATTTTACCATCAATATTGAAGATCCGGGAAGATTTTACCATTGCTATCGAGACCATACAAAAGCTTAGGAAAGACAGGCGATCCTTAGGCCAGGGGTCATCATACGTTGATCGAGAATGTTTGGCACGGATCGGGCCACAGCTTTTAACCAAGGTGGGGAGGCAGCAGTGGTTTAAAGCTCGCAGCATAAAACATTGCATTAGTATGTGCACGGGCTTGATGAGCGTTGAAGCGAAAGTGGATGGAGAATATTGCCAGATCCATGTTGATGCCAGCAAAGGTAGGCGTGGTGTTCAAATCTTTTCCAAGAGTGGGAAAGACAGCACTGAAGACAGAAAGCGGTTGATTGGGTATTTACATGCTATCAATGAGTGCTGCTAAATAGTTAACTAACTACGTAAGTAGAATCATCACGGATTCCTTAGGGATAGGAATGGCCGGGTGCGGCATAAAGACCGAGTGTATCCTGGAAGGAGAATTGGCAGTTTACAGCGAGTTGGTAAGTTGCTTTACTATAAGACACAACATTTCATTAATAGGATTTACCAATATAGGAAAAGAAAATCCTCCCTTTTCATCATATTCGAAAACACGTCGCCCGTCGTGGCCGGTTCATGAATACAGAAGAGGACATCCCGTAAGTCCTTGTTGAAGATTGCTGCGGAATGCAAAATATACTAACATGATCAGGCCGAGGCCCCATGAACACCTAATGATAGTTTATTACGACATCTTGCTTCTCAACGGCCGATCCTTACTTGATGTTCGACACTCGGAAAGATTCAAACTGCTTGAGGAAGTGGTTCATTGTGATAGGGGGCAAGCTGAACTCGTACAAAGGCAGATTATCAACACCAATCACCCAATGGCAGCTTCAGCGTTGCGGAATGCATTCGCAAAAGTTATCACAGACAGAAGCGAAGGCCTAGTGCTAAAAGCAGACCAGCCATACTTCAACTTCAGTGGCGATGAACGGCCATTTACAAATCATTGTATCAAGTTCAAAAAGGACTACATCGGCCGCTTTGGCGAGGTTGGTGATTTTGCCGTGGTTGGAGCGGGTTTCAGTCCGGCAAAGGCAAGGTCATACAATATCAACAACCTCAAATGGACTCATTTTTACGTTGCCTGCATTGATAACAAGGAGGAAGTCAAGCGGTGGAATGCTACCCCCGAATTTACTGTCATAAACGTTGTTGAGCTTAATGAAGCCATGCTCAAGACGTTTATGTCATGTACAAATCCAAAACCAGTCCCGGCGGAAGACAATGTCGAGACCAAATTGATACTCGCTGCTGGAGTTCAGGCAATACCTATGACTGTGGCATTTACCAACCCTCCTGTCTTCGACCTGAGATGCTTCAGTTTTGACAAAGCAGGCAACACAAATTGGTGGAGTTTACGATTTCCATCTGTCGCAAAAATTCATTTTGACCGAGATTATTCTGATGTACTCTCCTTCAATGAGCTACAAAATATTGCCGAGACTGCCACCGCTACCCCTGAGATGGAAGATAGCCAGGATAATCTCGCATGGATTGCGAAACTAGAGCAAGCAGATCCTAGAGGACTAGCTGTCGATGCTGCTACGCAGCTGACGGCAACGACTATGCCAACTCCATCACCAAGACGGGCTTCTTATAATTCGCCAGGCTCGCTTCCTCTCATCAGGCAGGTTACTGAAGGCTCCCTAGAGCGATCGGTTGAACTATTAGGCACCCCAGCGCCAGAGCCTCAAAAGCTTGCTGCAACGCAACCACCACCAGCCATAAGCCACTTAAAAAACTCCATCTTCACAAATGATAAGAGAAAACGTGCTGCATCACCATCGATCTCTTTCTCGCCGTCGAAAAAGCACCGTAAGGCTTCAATGAATGAGATCCCACAACCAGAAGTTTCGAACCACGGACGCCAGCCTGAATCACCAACGCGTCGCACATTGGGGGAGATAACTGGCAATTCAGTCCAAAGACCACGGATATCGACATTTCCTCCCACTGGCTGTCCGCGTAAAAACCAAAGCCAAAATTTCTGTAACCGCTCTATAGGCAATAAGGGGAAAGATGAAAGTGTTGATAGGCCGGAGAGCGGTGCAGACAAATCCACAGAGTCCTCGTCTTCTTTCCCTCCATTGCATGATAGCGCTATCGTAATACCAGATAGCGAGGATGAGGGCGACGAGACCGACAGCAACTGCACTACCTCATCTTCGCCTCTAGCGAGAAGATATGATGAGCGAAAAGTTGGCAGGGGATACTTGCATCAACATGTTGAAGATGCTGAGATTAGCTGTCAATATGCTGGGTCTGAATGCCAGCTAATTGGTCGACTCATTTTAGTACCATCATATCTTTCAGGTGCCGAAGAGGTCAAACCCTTACTTCAAGCTCACGGGATAACAAACGTCGTCAGTGACGCTAAAGCTTGGGTCAAGGAGAATGCAGCCAGTATTTCTCTACTACCAGATGGGCAAACAGGGCCTAACAAGATCCTGTTCGTCGACTCGGTAGAGAAAGAGCCAGAGACAAAGGCTTTGCTCTCTAAATTGGAAGATATTCGTGAGAATATTCCGGAAGAGCGGCGAGATTGGATAAGTGTTTTTGACTGGAGAGTTTTGAATCATCTCACTATTTACGAAGACGAAGAGAATACGAAAAAGTATTATGATGGGTTTTATGACCCGTGGCGGCGTTGGTACTGTGGGTTGATTTAACTATATCATTTATCTAGCAGAGGATAGCAGGTCTCTTCTGTCTAATTTTCATGTTCTGTTTCTGGGGCGTAAATAATCAATAGGATTATATATGTATGGCATTAATGATGAATGGAAGAAATTAGACCTTAATATACCTAGAAACTGTCAATGATTAGATATGAGCCTCACGGCTCCTCGTCATACAAAGTCCCGTAGCTAGCCTTCAGTCTCATAAAAAGATGCTCATTTGCCGTCATGACCTTTCTCTCAGCATACGGGTTCTGATTCGGGGTGCTCTCATCTGGCACAAAGTTCTTCACCCTGTCGCTGGGCACAGGCTCCAAGGGTATTGTTCCTTTAGGGTGGCAAAAGAAGGCAATCGAATACCGCGGCGCGGAGCTTGTTTCGCCTTGTACTCTGCTCGCCTGGTTATCGGATGGGAAGACTACCCTGTGGACGGTACTTCTAAACAGCCCGTTGGTCCAGTAAGAGAGCAAGTCTCCAATGTTGATCAGAATCGGGGGGCTGACGTCGTTCTCTGAGCCAGGCGGGCAGACGGGCACAGGAGCCCAAGAGCCGTCTTTCTTCTGGAGTTCTAGGCCAGCCTGGCCTTTTAGCCGGAAGAGTAGCGTGATGGAGCCGTAGTCGGAATGTGCGCCGGCGCGGATATCATCACTAGAGGGAGCGGTCTGATCAGGGGGTGGGTAGCGGAGAAGGCGCAAGATGGAGGCGGATTCGCCGTTGGTGCCATGCGCTGAGGAGAAGAAGTCGCCAACCTGGTGGGCGATTTAGTTCAAAATGGTGCAACAAAAATTTCATAAGCAGACGTAATCAAAGGTGAGGGCACCTACGCCGAGACCTATTCCGAGGAGATGCAACAGCTTCTTGCAGAGCTTGTGGCAAGAGTCTGCAAATGCATTGATCTCAGGCTCATCGCTAGCAATGGTGGGAGGAAGAGGCTGCTGAGCTTTTCCATCGACGAATTCACCAAAATTGAAAGCTCTATATTGAGGTGAGAATGCTTGAAAATGCTATGTTTCCAAGAGGGCCAATCTTACTCTTTGAAGTCTCCAACCTGAAAGTTATGTTAGTTGCCTGCAGCGAATGGATCATAAGATGGGATTGAGGGTGCACCTTTTGGTTCTTGGGATCCAGAGTCTCCGAGTGCATGCCAGACCAGCCGCGGTTATTTGTATTGATGGTGCAGGCCTGCTTTTCTTCTACGGGGGCATCGAATAGCTTCTTAGACTGTAGAAAGAGTTGCAGTTAGTGAAAGTGTATTTCGTGAAAACCTAGCTGTGAGAGAGCCGTACCAGCGCAAATGCCCCATCGATGCTGCTCCTGGAGATGTCTCTTCCGAGATTTTTTATGTAAATGAAGCCGTGCTCCTGGGCGGCGTCGACCAGTTGCTGGGCCACGACATCCTGGTCTCCGGATATGTCGATAACGGGGATGTCTGCTGTGGCAGCCATAGTGAGAGGAAGGGGCTGGATTTTCTCTTTTGCCCTCTACAGTCCGATGGTATAGCAGTATCAAGAGAGGCGAGTGCGATGGAGAGGATCCAGATACGCCCTATTGTCTTGTCATACGATGTATAAGTAGTTTTAGGCAAGTTTTATTATCTTATATGGATCTCCAAGATAGCCCTAGGCGCTATCACTGGCGACGTTCCGGGATCGCTGCGATAACCGCAATAGGTAGGCAGGCATTGGGACACCCCGCCATCAGAGCTTGTGCAGTCGGCGCTGCGAGATTCTATGGCGGGGTTGCAGCTTGGGAGCTTCCCCGCTACGAGATCTAGGCGGCTACAGCACAGGGGAGAACAAGTGACATGGAATTTATGTCACATCTGATGACGGCCCCGGCGTTGCAACGATGCAGCACATAAGGAGACAGATTGTATTGTATTGTTGTCGATTAAATTTTATTTTATTTGATTTTAATAACCTACGACTAGGTAGTCGAGTCAGCTCGTCGACTTTACAGCTGCCTCGTAATGCCGAGGCTGCAGCTCTGGTTCTCGTACTCGGTGCTGTGCTGTGCTATGCTGGGTTGCCCATCAACAAGCCACACGCATAGCCACACGCACGCCACACCCCAACGGGAAAAGATCCCAGACTTTCCAACGGCCCTGGATTAGCCAGAGCAAACCTCCCTCTGCCGTGTGCGCTTACCTTTGCATCTCCACCGTGCAGCGACCACTCTGGAACTGTCTATACCTGATTGACCCCCCTCGTCCTTTTTTTTGTTCCTCCACAACGACAGCTCTGCTTCCCTCTCGCAGGGCCGACTATCGATCAACGCTTGTCCCGGACGCGGCTGCTGGGGAAGGTGTCAGTTTGTTTGTCACAGGAAAGCGTGCTTTGGCCAAGCTTTGGTGCAGCCTTTCATCCTCCGGCCTTTGTTTGCTGTCCTCCAACGAGCCTGCTTTGGCTGTACCTTTCTTTCTCTCTCTCTCCGGCTTGCATTGTGGCACACGCACTAGGAAACTCTCAAGGAAGCTTTGCTTGTTCGATCCGACATCTTGCCGAACTCTCGATCCTATAAAGTCGACGATTCCTCGTACCAATTACACCCGCTCCTTGCTGTCTCGTTTCCGCTTGTTCTTTTTGGTAGCCGGTGATTCTCAGCCTCGTCTTGAATCAGCCCACCCACCACCTCGCTGCCCCGAGTCGCATAACAAACCCGATAGCTGTAAAGCTGCTTGATCTGAGGAGGATTTACTCGAGATGCCTTGTGAGTCCCTTTTTGACTTCTGCAAGGCCAGCGCCGAGCTCGGCGAGACGCATGCGCTGTTTGCTCGTGACGATACTTGCGCTACTTGTGGCGGGCACCATCTGGATTCCGCAACTCTTCGGGTCGTTGTTATGAGCCTCTCTGAGATACTACAGCAGCATGCAAATGTCTCCCTTGCTTTTTGATGCTGCATGGCGGCTCAATTGGTGAATTGGGCAAGCGCTTTAGCAGAGCTGCAGTGTTCTCTCAGGAGGCTGCGGCTTTGGGAATTTCGTGTCCATTCCCAGGCTCCTTACACTTTCACTCTGGATATATCTCGACTGGAGAAAGAGACGCACGCTAATTCCTGTCATAGTTATTGCGGAGGATTCCTGGATCAATGGCCAGGCAAGGTATGCCGACTCTACTCTCTTTCGCTGGCAAATGAGAAGTCTGTGTTGATGACCAAGTAATAGCACCTACAACATTTCCGAGCTTGAAGACTGCTCCATTGCTGTCGATGCTTCATACTACCTGAGCCTCCTTCTGGACACCGATCCTTCTCATGAGCCTTTGCTTCCTGCACTCGGGGGCTTGACGGGCATCCAATATCATATCCGGCAAAGTCTTGATCTCTGGGATAAGCATCGGATTACCCCCTTTTTCATCTTTGATGGCCAATCCTTAATTGGACAAGATGAGATCACTCTAAAGCGTGGTCGCGCTGCGAACCAGAAGACGGATCAGGCATGGGAGCTTTACTCGCAAACTGAGGCCGAGCAGGCTGTCGCTGCTTTTGGAGCTAACCCAGGTATGCCTCATTTTTTAAGCCAGCACAGAAATAGTCTTACTGATTGAACCGTGGTAAAAGGCGCCTTTCGTCTCCAGAATTTATACCCTCTCTTCCAAAGCATTTTGAAAGAAAGAGGACTGCACTTTTTGGTGCCTCCCTACAACGCTTGTGCTCAGGTTCGTTGCGCGCCCATCTTCCTGCGTTTTACAACACAAGCAACCAAGTCTAACGTTAGAAAAAGCTTGCCTATTTCGACATGATCGACTCGGATCAATGTGCTGGTATCATGGGGTCCCAGGAGTTACTTCTATACCCCATTCAAGACTCAGTTATTCGAAACCTTGACTGGAATGCTGGAACTGTGACGGCCATCTCAAAGAAGAGGGTTATGCGCGCACTTGGAGTTAACGAATCCATGTTCATCGACGCCATGCTCATGACAGGAACCTCATTTCTTCCTACATTCCCACCGCTGCAAGACACGTCCATCTATCCAGCCCCATTTACCATTGCGGAGGCAGTTAACATTCTGCGGACCTCAGATAAGGCTGTGGTTAGCGCTTGTGCCTCATTCAACGACATCTTGCAAGCAAAGGACCCCAACTGGCTAGACAAGTATCGCAAAGCCAGAATGGCAGTCCATCATTTTATTTACATTTCCGAGAGCGGCGAGGTCACGGTTCACGACTTCGACCGTCTCACACAAGACAACCACGAATATCTCGGTCTCCAGATGCCCGCAGAGCTATTTCACTATCTCAACACGGGCCTTATCGGGGCTCGCATCTTGAACGGAATAACACACGGGCAGATCCTTGTCTTACCGACTCTGGATGGTACTGCTTCTGACGAGTACAAGAAGCTTGTCACTAGCCAAATCCTTCCCATCAAAGAGCAAGCCCTTGGCCTCATCATTCCCAGAGTTCACAGGGGAATTGGCCACAAGGACATCACGATGAAGGTTTGGTTCGATCCGAACTACTCGTACACTTTCAACCATCGCTCCGCCCAACCACCCCCTTCACAACGGGTGGGAACCTGGGACGTTAAGGAGAAAGACCTACGTGACTTCTTCCCAGCAGACTTTGCCGGCCCAGTGTACTTGGAGGTGCTTGCTCTTGCAAACCAGGACTTTGTTGAAAAGACAATTTCTAGGGAGAAGCCCATCCGCGGCATCGACAGCACTGACATGGTGGTATCGGTCGCCATCTGGCGCTTCCTCCATCTCAGGGGCTATGTTGACGATTCACACAAGCTGACAAATTGGGGCAATGCCCTAGCGACTACGCTTATTGCCATTAAGGACGCAACGGAAGATGGTCCTGACGTGCCAGGCATCGATGAAGCTGCCTTGTTGGCATTTGAATTATTGCGATTCGGACTTTTGAGCGGCAAATATGTTGAAGGCGCGCCTGGTATGCCCCGGAAGGGAACAGATGATGAGAAGTCGAGTGTGATTCTCATTAGCCAATGTGCTTCACTGCTGAAGTTGAGACACCAAGTGTTTGGATACACCGGACCCCTGAACAAGAGTTTACTCGGATTCCGTGGGCTATCTACGACGGTTCGCGAAGCTGACAGAGACTTGATCGAAGCAATTGTGGCATCCATGTTCATGTATGGCCAGTGCAAGCGCGATAGGGCTGATCAGCTAGAAATCAGCCAGAAGTATGACAACCCCCTTGTTACCTTGCAATATGATTTGCATTTGAACATCCCCGATCACTAACTTTTATCTAGGCTTCCTTTCTCACAAGAGCCGCATATTGGACTTGGCATCGCTACATTGACCTTCTTTGATGAAGACGAGCCATCAGATGATAAAGAGGCGCGAGCTGCCCGCCTGGAAGCGTTCCCAGAAACATTTGTGCCACTATCAGAGGCGCTCCCTGAAGATTTCCGTATCGCCATCGACTTCGTTAGCGCCCTCAACCAAGGTGTGCAGACGCTGGATGCAGCCTCATTACCGCCAAATGAGAAGTCTGCCTGGACAAAGGCTCAAGATTACATCAATGCTAGGCCATTTTGATACGCCGCATTAGACGCTTAACAAGACAGGCATAACAAACAAATTTAGCAAAAAGAAAATAAGAAGAAAAAGTCCGCATTATCATGGATAGCCTCTTAGATACCACCCTGTACTGCGTTGACATTTCTTATAATATTCCACAGAGGTCTTACACCATAGAGTAAGAGGTATTTTTTAGGGGGAAGAGTCGGCGGAGAGAAGGAATCAATTACTACTTTTGACTCAAAAATTTATTTTAGAGCTCATCTAATGAGGGGATTTGTGTCTATAAAAAAGGATACTGGGAAGGCGAGCATTCAAAAGGGTATTTTACTCATGGCTGATGGGTATGATATTGTGGACTGGGGAAGTGGGGGGACGTAATCAGCTGTCGGAGGAAGTGAGAAGGTCTTCGACAAACGAAAGCTTCCAGAGGCAGTGCAAAGCAAACAGACTTAGATAGCACAAAATCTTATGAAGTTTGCGTTTCAGGTGACTTTTTTTGGTAGTAATATCGGTGTGGCCTAAAAGAGGCATTGTAGGATGCAAGCATATACTACAGTGGTGACTTGGTGGCCCTGAGATTCAAAGAAAGTAATTTATGAAGACCAATAGCGAAAAAAGCATACACACAAGTTTGGCTGGTTATTGGCTCGCTGTGGCAGACAAGCCCTCTTACTGTAGCTGTGGAGCAGGGGGTGTCATGTTGGGTATTATGGAGGCGCTGCCGCGTGCGTTGCCACGGATGTTTCATCTCAAGCCCATCCGAGAGACCCCTGCTCCTGAGATGACATGTGAGATGAGATCTGTGTGAAAGACTTGGGGTAGGCAGCTGCTAAAGGGAGTTTGAGATGAAGTTTACAATATCGATCTATATACCTAGTAATTGTCTTTAGAGGAACAAATGCAGAATACAACTAAGTTGAAAAGATGCAGAAAAGAAGTCGAATATGTCGCGCATTAAGGCCTGGGTATCAATATATTTTTTTATTATTTTTTTTTCTATTGTGCACATATATGTATGTCCACACTTGCCTGGCCGGTATTATCAGTGACATGCTAAATGGGAAAAGATGAAATGAAGAGAAAAGTAAAATATTGGATATATTAAATAAAATTGACTCGAAATTCTTTTTCCTAAGTTTTCCCCTAGAGACTAGGACGTTCTGTCCTGTCGCCCCTATGACACCGTAATGGCAATTGGACCGGCAACGGTAATATCGTCTGTCAGGGCACCTGTCAAAGGAGCCGAGCTGGACAGCGAGAGATATGTGATGCCGGCAACTCCCTCGGGGACCTTGCAGCCGTCGGCTTCGGTAAAGGGAGTAAACATAGTACCACCAGGAACGACGCCACCAGAGGTAAAGGCGCAAAACTTGCCGCTGGAAGAAGCAGAAGATTGGAGCTTCAGAACCGAGTTGACAGTCGTAGGATCGGTGGGGCTCGCCAAGCTGAGAGTAGGGAAGGCAGTGAGTTTGAGGTTAGAGCCACTTGGGCAAGATGCGATGAATGGGGCAGCGAGAGAAAAGACTGCCTTGGGGCCGAGGGGGGCATCAAAGCCTTGAGGCACGGCCTCCTGCTTGCTAAAGACGCGAATGGAACTCTGGTGACGAGCCTCGATGGTGAGAATCGAGCCAGCAACACCAAGAATAGCCGGGGATGCCAGCAAGGGGGCAGCTCCAAGGTAGGCCGAGATACCGACGTTCTCAAGAATGGCGGCAGTTGCGACCATGCCGGCGGCATCAGTGAAGCCAAAGTTGTAAGTGCAAGGCGCGACGGGCTGGATGTCGTTCTGCGCGAGCGCGGACTGGAGAACAATAACGTGCTCAGACTCGGTGAAGCCAATCTGCGTCAGATCCTTGATTTGAGCGTCGCTGAGACCGAGAGCAGTAAAATCAGAGGCAGGGAATTTGGCGAAGCCCTGTTGATAGAAAGCATTTTCGAGATTCTCCAAGGTCAAGGCGCTGTTAAAAAGTGTTAGGAATGATGTTTCAGTTTAGATATCTCAATACGAGTGTTTAAACTTACAATTGCAGAATATCAAAGTCATTGAGACCAAGAGCCTGGGCAGCAGCATTTTGCCTCTTGGCAACATCATGATACTGTAATTGCCGGGTAGTAAACCTAGGCATCGAGGGGAGGGCGGCGGCAGTAGCAGCCAGCAGAGAGATTGCAGCAGTTCTGAGGGAAGGCATCTTGATAATATTTTCTCGTCGAATTTATTCTTTTGCGTCTCTTTCGTTTTTTTTTATTCGGTCTCGACAGGGGGATTACTCGTCAAGTATGGTCCAGCCGTGCAGTTATGCGGTAAGAATGAAAGTAAGGAAAGTAAATGAAAGATCGAGTCAAGAGAGTAGAATAGAAGATTAACGAAGGGTATACCAGCAAAAGCAGGCCAGCGCTTTTTGACAACCCAAGTAAGATAAAAGAAAAAGAAGGAGAGACGGATCGGAGCGAAACGATGAAGATCAAAAGAAAAAAAAGAGAGAAGACAAACGTCCAAAGAGCGCAGCAACAGACTTATATCCAGATCCAGCTGGTCGATAATCTTTTGGAGGTCGCCAGCCAATTGCCTAGTCGGGTGTAAGTGAGGATAGATAATAAGTCCAAGGGGCCACCGGAACGTGGGACAAACCGCCATGGCGGCTCCATGGGGATCCGTTTCTGGGCCTCAGTTTCTCTGAAAACCCCCCAAAAGGACGGATCCGAGCCTCAAGCTCTGCCCCTAGACGTCAAGAACGAGTCCGGAACCTCTCACAAGCGAAGCCCTCCCCGGCTACTCCCAGCTACTCCCAGCCTATTCCAGCAGGGCCCTGGTTCATTTAGCTCGCTTCGAGCAGCGCCCAGTCCATAGTCCGAAACAAAGCTGATACATGCGCAAAATCAGTGGCCCGGAGGCAATCTCTTCCGCCAGAAGAGGGGCCAGATGCGACCAGGCTGGCTTTTAACTTTAATTATTTCCTTCTTTTTCATTTCCCTATTTTGCTGGGCAAGTTTGCTCCGTATTTCGTTGAGCGGAGGACGGACTGGTATGTGCGCGCCTTGTATGAACGTCAGCGCGTGCGTCATCACAACGGGGAGAGAGCTCATGTCGCACCATGTAGGTGCATGCAAAAGCGCCCACACCAGGCGCAAGCTTCGTTATCGTGACTCTTTTCAGCGTTTGTTGATGCTGGGACATCACAATCTGATCATAGCTAAGGTAGGTAGGTAGTTTCATTTCTCCAGCATTACTCGCATGGCCGCAGGCATCTGGCACGTGAGTTGGCGTGGTGAGTTTGCACAGAGAAGGTGCGGAAACCGGAGAATGTTTAGGTGAGCGTATAATATGCTATGCAACCAGCACTCTTCTTAGCAACGACCGTTTTCCCATGGACGGCGCCAGAATCTTGGCGCCAATAACTTGACCATGTCACCAATCACAGAGGCCTTGCTTGTGTGTCACCAAGTTGACACGCAAGATAGCCTTCCCTTGGCAGCTCCACCACCAGCCCTCCCCATAACTACAGCCGTTTCCAACCCGGTAGAGCATGGATGTTTCTCGAGAAATGTTTCAACTGTCTCGGAATCCCATCAGCCGGGCAATCTATCAGGATCTAGTCACGAGTTGACACATGTGTCCATCAGTCATCACATTCACATATTCATACATGTACAAAAGTGGCCAAGAGCGCGCGTTAGCAATGCTCGTCATATCTTCACTCGCCCTTTTGGCTAACAGTACATATCAATCATATCTCATTCTGCTCCGTCTCCTGCGCAAGTCTCCTTCATTATATCAATGCTTTTGCCATTACATGAGATGCGTCGCCTTAATAACCATTACGTGGCCGCCGGCGTAGGTATTTCTTGCCGATTCGCTTTACCGTGTGCCAGATAATAAATAAATATACACCACACATCACTGCTATAACAAGCAACTATACTCGACCAACTGCCTTATAACCATCACCGATTACATCAATCTGCCAACTGCTTGTTCTCTCTCTCTCTCTCTCTTTCTCTCTGTTATCTTCAATCCCCTTCCAAAGTAAAACCCCCTCTTACAAGGCGTATGGGTTCAGAGACCGGATGGTCAGGCATCTATTAGTAATCGCATGTTAGCAAAACTGGCACCTTGAATGATAGTGGTTGTAAAGAGAGGTACTCACGGTGGGCTCTTGGTAAGATCCGTCTTCAAAATGATTGGCACACGGGTCATCTCCGTCACGTCTTGGATGTAATCGCCACCCTCCTCCCGTAGCGTAAACAGCTTGAGATACTTCTCTTTGTTCGTCAGTCGGGTTTCTACCGCCTCTGTAACAGGAACCTTGGAGTCAGATCGAGTGCGGTGCAGAGCTCCAGCATTGGATGCCGATCGTGCTGGTGATCCAGGTACGCTCTGAGTAGGTCGCTCAGCAAGTGATGCTCCTGCCATAGCCTCAGTCACGTCTGAGGTGTTGTCATCGTCCTCATCATCATCAAACAGAGCGTCGACATCGTCCGTAGAGATTGTTCCAGTATCAGTCTGCTTTCGTGTGGCTTCTTCCCTCTCCTTCTTCACTCGCTCGGCCTCCTCTGCCTGTCGGGCAGCAGCTAGCGCATTTGACATCCTCATGGATGCCGCAGCCTTGGGCCGTTCATCCTCAGGCACATAGGCAGAGCTGGGGACACCCTTCTCCCAGTAAAGCTCCAAAACGCGCTTTTCCTTTCTGAACTCTGCCTTCTTCAGGGGCAGCTGGTCACAGTGGACTCGCTTCTCAAAGCCCCACTCGGGAATCAACACGTCGAAAGCCGACTCGTACACGCAGAGGACGATACCCTCAGCAATAAGGTCACCATTAACCTCTTGGCGCTTCTTATCCATAGTACGGCATGACTCGATGTGGATACTCTGCTCTTGTGCGTTCTGAGCCGAGTCCTTCTTGGTGTTGCAAGCCTCTACAGTCTTGACAAGATTCTCCATATCATCTGAAAACTCAATCTTGCCCTCAGAAAGAACAGCCTCCAGCTGTCGGTGAACAATGATGTCTGCATAACGGCGAGTAGGGTTTGTAAAATGAGTGTAGAGGGGAAGGTTAAGGGTATAGTGAGGCCACACAACCTTGGCAGTCTTGCCAGAGATGAAGTACTTGGCTCGCTGCATTGACTTGAGGAGAACGGTCTCCATACCCTTGCGCAAGTCAGCATCATCAACCTTGAAGAGGCTGTTTTGGAGCGCCCCGCTTCCAGAAGCATCGATGTCATAACCCAGGGCTGTCATGCGCTCGACAAACGTCTGCAGGCGTCGTGAGTTGGGGGCAGCCTGGCGACGGAGCAAGGCCTTGTCGGGCAGACCCTCTACCAGGCGCTGGGCCACATAGCTGTTAGCCTTATGCATGAGCTCCTCGACAAGCTCCAGAGCTTCAGTAGAGTCAAAAATGTTGTGTTGCACTTGGTTGTTCTCATCATCCAGCTGCTGCAGTAAACGTAGGGGGGCGATGGGCTCGCTGCCAGCACCAAGGCGGGCTTCCCGGAACTTTTGAGCTACAGCTTGCAAAATCTGAATGGTGTTGACTGGAACAGTCGCGTTATCAAAAGTAGCAGCGTCGGTCAAGGCCTTGTCCATATCGCTCAACGATACTTTGCCGGCGGACTTGATGATACTCTTGCCCACCCAGCTATCGCCTTCGGCTACGGCACCATTGACCGGGTTCACGGTGAACACGACACTAATGGTGAGGCGTTCCTCACCAGGCTCGAGAGAGCAGAGTTCGCCGGACAATTTTGGTGGCAGCAAGGGGCAGAAGCGGTTGATTAGATGGACAGCAGTGCCTCGCTTCTTTGCCTCGCGATCAGCGAGAGAGTTGGGCTTGACAAAGTGAGCGACATCAGGGATGTGAATACCGATATCAATCTTGCCATCAGGGCGGGAAGTGACATGCACAGCATTTCCGAGCTCAGCACCACCATTGTAGTCAATAGTGAAAACTTTTTCGTCACGGTAGTCACGGCGTGCGGCAATGGCCGCTTCGTCCTCCTGCGCAAGGGACCAATCTTGAAGACCGATACTGCGCAAAACCGCATCCGAGAATTCGTCAGAGGAGAAGTTGTTGTCGCGCAGCAGAGCATCGGTCTCCACCTTAAGTTCGCCCATGCGTCCCAGCTGCTCCACCAGTGTTCCGAAGGGGTGGAGAGAAGTAATGGGCCATCTCTTGATGCACGCAACAAAAATACGATCAGCATAGTCTTGGTGCTTCTCAACGAAGTCACGAGGAGCCTGCTCCGTGGGGATAGCAATCAGGGGAACTCGCTTATCAGTAGGCTTGAACCAGACAATCTTGGGCTTGTCCTGCTGGCGGCTATCATTTGAACGAGAGTTGCCGCCTTCGCGAGCCGCTCTCTCAGCCTCTTGTTTCTCCTTGGTAGCCTGGCTGCTAGGTCGGAGCAGGCCAAGGGTGCCCGAAAACATTTGTCCAGCAACACGCTCAATGACAGCGACGACATGTCCGGCATATAATGGCTTCTGCTCATCATTGATTTCCTCTTCTTCAACGAGGAGAAGGCTCTGGCCTTCGACTTCAACGTCGTCGTTCTTCTTCTGCGTGGGTCGCTGGCGAAGACTACCACGACGGCGGATTCCTCCCTCGGGGAGATTGCTTTCGTCGTTTTGTCCAGCGGATTGGCTGCCCTGGTTAGTGGAGCCAGAGCGAGTGTCAGTGATGTCCTTTCGCTTCTTCTTCTCTTCCTTTTCTCGTTTTTGGCCCCAAACTTCGTCGACGTCGAGGAGCTCGATAGCCACCAAGTCGCCCTCGAGGGCACGGTTGCGGTCCTTGCTACCACAAATAAAGATGTCGGCATCCAAAAGGCCATCAAGGGTAGTGACGTAAGCATCGCTGCGGTTCTTTTTGTTGACTCGTAGGATACCAGAAACGAGCTGGCCATCTCCAAGAAGGGCAGGAAGAGTAGCCTGAGGGAGGTAAGGAGTAAAAAGAGTCTTTCGCTGCTGTTGCTGTTGCTGGCCGCCCAGCTGTCCGGCATGCTGCGAAGCTTGAAGACCCGGGAACTGCTGGCTATTCATCTGCGCAGCTTGCAAGGCCTGCAGCTGACCAAGTTGCATGGGGTTGAGTTGTTGGCCGTACATCTGAGGCATCATCATCTGTCCACCAAGCGGAAGGACCGGAGCTTGGCTAGGGTTGTACTGAAAGCCTCCAATTCCAGACATGGACTGGTTGACAGAACCACGGGACCGGTGGCCAGGCTGGAAGCCCTGGTTTTGGGCAATGTTGCCGGACTGGTCCTGGCTCTGGCCTTGGGTACGCCAGTTGCCCTCATAGTTTCTGGAGTTTGTACGAGCGTGGCCGCCTCGGCGTTGGAAGTCGTTGCCACCTTCGGAGGGGTTGGTGTTGAAGGCACTGCTGCGTAGGCCCCCTCCGCGGCCGTTGACAGCCATGCTCTGGCTACGGCCATGTCCACCGCGGCCTCCACGTGTAGATCCTTGAGTGACGGGAACATCGAGGGTGGACCGGGAACTAGGTCTGTTCTCGTCCTCTGGCTTATCAGATGCCGGAGCGCCAGCGGCGGGGAACTGGAATCCAGAGGTTGTTCGCTTCTGCTGTGCAAGTTCAGCAGCCTTCTTGGCGTCAGCCAAGGCCAAAGAGTGTCGTCGTTGATGGCCGCCGCCGGCACCGCCTCCGCGGCCGCCTCGGGAACCAGCGTTCTCACGCCCTTGGGCTCCCGGAGCCTCGAAGTTTCCAAAAGCTGATCCGGAAGCTCCTGAGGATGGCGCGGGCGGCGGACCCATGCCCATGTTGGGCAGAGCCGACTGATTACGGCGATGTGAGAGTGGCTGGGATGGAGGGCCCAGCGAAACATTTTGTTGAGGAATCTGATTAGGGAACTGAAAGGCATTGCCCATGGGCTGCAAAGGATTGAATGGACCGCCGGGGCCGATGGATTGGCCCGGAGGCATCATGCCCATGTTGACATACTGCTGGTGGGTGGCTTGGATTTGCTGCTGCTGTTGCTGCAGGAGCTCAATCTGTTGCTGAATTGCAAGTTGTTCCACTGTGGGCACGCACGCATTAGCACTCAAGGGTCACAGATTCGATGAAGGTTTTTGCCATGTTGCGGATGCAAGGGGTCGCGGATCAGCAACCGCGTTGCCCCGCGCCGCCTCGAAATACGGCGACAAGGGCAGCGGGCAAAACAGCTACGACGGCGGGCCAAGCATCAAGAAAACAAGGGAAAAGAAAACAGCGGCGGCTTACTTCCTGGATTGGCAAACATGCTCATGAGCGGCGTCAGCTCAGATGGGCTCCTTCGGTGCGCAATGTGCAGCCTGCGACCAGCCGGCCCATGAACGCCGCCGGCGGGATGCTGCTGGGCAGCTTGTTGCTGCGGCTGCTGCTGCTGCTGCTCCATGGCGGGCAGGCAAACGGCAGCGGAAAGGTGCACGTCGGGTGCGGGCTACTGGTGAGTGATGCTGGGGGAGGGTTTGGCGATGGGATTGCCGTGCGAAGTGCGGTTGTTGTTGTTGTGATCCTCGTTTTCGTGGTCAAAGTTCGGCTCTTAGAGACAGTGGCAGGCCCCCGTGGACAAGGACAGATTTTGCCAAAGGAGGGTCGATGCAGGGGATTCAAGCGAGCTCGGCAGAGCCAAGGAGCGTTGGAAAGGAAGGAGTCGGGCAGACAGTGCAAAGCAGATGGGAAATGAGAAGAGAAGGTGAGGATGGATGGGATGAAGATGGGAAGTCCAGCTCCTTGCGAGAGGCTGTGAGGGAGGAGGATGGAGAGAGGGATGCTGCTACCAGCAGATGCTTTGGGGGACGCTGGACCTGGAGCTCCAAGGCCGGGGGGCGAAAATATGGGGGTGCAGTGACGCTCTTGACCACTAGGCGTTTGGCGCACGCCACCTGGGCAGCGCGGCTGCGACCGCTACGGCGAGACCTCCACAGAAGGCGTGAGCTACAGCAGGTGGTGGCGGCCATTCAGTGCTTTAATTCTGTAGCCACACGCACTGGATGACATGACATGCGCTGTAAAACCACCCTTGATCTTGATCTTGATTGATCAATTGATGCTACTGCAGCTGAGGCGGCTGAGAGGGACGACGGGTGGGGATACAATGGAATGTAATGCAATGCAGTCTGAAATACAATGCCGGCTCGAGACTGAGGAAACTTGCGACGGAATCGTCATTCTCTGCTGCAATTGCCTCGCGGCATCCATCCGGCGCACTCAATGGCCTCTCGCTGAGCTGCCGGGCAAGCATCGCAAGCCCCAAAACGTCAAGACAGGGTTCGGTAACCCGCCTAGACTCGACAAATAATGTGATGCATACGCCTTGCCTTGCGACATCTTACCGTGCTGTACCTATGGACTACACCTTGTGCGGATACGAGACCGCTCGACAATGGGCTTCCAATTCTCTCATAGCCGAGCGGATGCTGGCCCAGGGCTGATATCAAAACAACGGCATCCGCCCTCGTTTCGCGCCCATCACAACTCATTCTCGACCCCCTGCTTGGGGCTGTTGGCGCCGCAGCCGTAGCGCTCCGTGTCCCGCTATTCTAACCCATCACGGCGTCACACGACACCGCGGAAAAACAACAGAGATCATGATCAACGGTATGCTCTCGGTGTTTTGATTAGCCTTCTGACTGTTTCAATGCTCAAATAGCGAGTTCTAAATGGAATGCCCTCGAGCACCATCGCCATCAGTGGGCTTTTTCCACCTCATGTCCAGCTGCCTGCTCGCAGTATGAGCCTTATCGCCAGATGGATGCACCAAGTGCTTCGTATGGAGCATACCTAGCTATCAACTTTGCTACCCGCCCCTGAAGCTACTGCTCTCTTGCCCACCCTCATTAATACGAGCCCCAAATTCTAATGACATTGTGTCCACCCAGACCCTATCACGGCCGCCTTAGTTAGGGCATTGCTCACTTGTACGCATTCAACGCCCGTTGAACTGTGTCAGTTTCCATGTATTTATAGAACTGGCGTGTGTAGTTCGTAAATGGCATTCGCTAGCTCCCATCGAGCTCACAACGAGGTTGTTCTCAATGCCGCTGCTCTCTTTGGCAAACACAACCTATTTCGCAGCGGCAGTATGTGCTTCGTATTATCGTGCTATCTCAACATGGGCAACAGGTAGACAGACAGAGAGTATGGGGTAGCATGGATCAACTGGCCGAATGTTACAAGTGCGCTCTGCATATTCAACCCTGCCGCCACAAATACAGGGGTCAATTGACCAAATCGAGAGGCATACAGATCCCAGGCCTTCTATCAACGCATTCTGAGCGCAGGGCTTCCAGTTGGGTTCCTATTGGGCACGCACAAAAGACGCCGCGACGTGTTAGAAACCAAGGTTCTCCATTTGTCTTTTCCGTCATGTATGCGAAGACAAAACGGCATCTAGCGCGCCCTTTTCCTGTTGCCGGGGCTAGAAAAAACAAGATGTCGAGCACCAGGCCCTTTTTTTCCCACCGGAAACTAAGACAAGTTATCCCCATAATAGCTTGTACTACCTTTTTATTAGCAGTAGTACGAGGAATAGGTTAGTACTCTGTCATCGAATCGTCCAAAGCAGTACCCCGTAGTATACACCACAATAGAAGGGAGTCGAATGTGATAGGGCCACGTGGTTATGGGAACGACAAGACAAGACATGACACTATCATGAACAAACCAGCGCAGGGCATGGTATCACAGGGTACTTTGCTAGCACAATCTGTTTTGGATGTCTGGAGAAGGCCAGCGAGAGCATCCATGCTTCGCGAATGCGTCCTAGACGAAATGAGACGAGCGTCAATCGTAGATCCCGGCCCTTGCCACCCTAGTCTAAAGACCTCTCTTGGCTTCTGCTCGGTGAGCTCCAAGTCTACATTCGGAGTAGCGCACATAGCGTGTGCGGCAATCGTCGGGATTACGTTTCAGCGAGTCCCGGCGCGTCATCTGCTCTTCGCCTGACTAACGTGTGAGCAGTGGCTGGGTACGTACCTTGCCAGTCCCTTGTCGCCTCTAGTGGAAAGGCAAGAAAGCTACAGGGCTTAAATCTTGGACGATATCAAAACAACGATTTGTTCGACAACCATCCTTCTGCATCTGATGATCGTGTGATTTCTTCTTTGCGGGCTGTAGAATTCCCCATAAAGAGCGATTGGACTGTTGCCTTTACTCTTTCTTTTCTTATTTTCCCCATCATTCTAGGTCGATATTTTCACGAACCAATAACAGCAAATGCCATCGCCTTAAACGATCTCTAATCTCGCCATTCTCCACGAGAACATGACCAATTCTCCCCCTCCGAGGAGGAGGAGCCAATTTCTGTCGAATCCTGAGAGCGGCCTACTATCCAACTTTCTTTATGATGGTCGGAATAATGAGCTGAACCATCAGAGTGCTCTCGCCGCCGCTCAGGCGGAGCACAAGCGCGTACGAGAAGCGGCCATCCGGGTTTATGAGCTCCATGAGCTTCGAGAAGAACATCAGCGGATTCTAGAGTTAGAGCGCAAGGAGCAGGAGAGACTCAGAGCGGAGGCGGCCATAGTTGAAGAAGAGCGGAGGCTTCGAGAACTCAAGGCCAAGACGGTGCCGAAACTTCCTCCCGAACCTGTGCCAGCGCCTCCCAAAAAGGTAGAGCCAACACCAGCTCCTCAGCCAGAGCCTCCGAAGCCCCAAGAGCCTGCCAAACAACCAATTTCCGAAATCAAACAACAACCGGCGGCAAATGTAGCTGCTCCTCAAGTGAATGGGTTTTTGGGAGGGCAGAATAAATCAGCCACGAATAATGCCTTTGCACCTACCGCTCAAGTAGGTAGCGCGCCAAAACTCGAGAGTCGCTTGCCACCACCTGCACGGGCATCACCGGCGGTCCAGGCTCCGGCGGTCCAGGCTCCAGCGGCTGGTTCTCTATCAGCACAAAAAAATGCCTTGGCAGAGCGATATGTCGAAATTCACAAGGAACTGAAGAGGCTGCGGCAGGTCCTGCAGGCTGAAGCGAAGGTGCCTGGGTCACCTCTCAAGGGCAAGATGGGAACCTATCGAAGAGAGATCCGAGTCTCTATTGGACAGCTTACCGCTGGCAAAGGTGCCAACGCGCAACCCGTAAGTCTTTGCACACATCGTGTTTCTTTAAACGCGCTTTTGGTCCTGACATGCATGACAGATTCAAAAAATCACAACGGCACTAAAGGAATCTCTGGAGGGCAGAGTACCCAGCGCTCCCATTGAAGTAAGCCGGTTCATCGTAGGGCAAAGGCAGCCAGTCGAAGGCGCCTTAAATAACGACAACACGCTACCTTCTCTCTTCATCTACCTCTTAAACATTTGCGCTAAGGGCATCATAAACCAATTCATCAACGAGTGCAGTGCCAACCCAAAGGCTGCAGATCCAATCGGCGTTTTCACCGCCCATATATTTTCTCAGAAAGACTTTTTATGGCGCGGCGAATCACTAATTGACATCCTCATGGCCAAGTTCCGAGTTGTTTGTCCGGTCTTGTTTGGCTTGAGGGGAAGTGACAAGACTGAAAGGGGTAGACTAGCCATAGGATGGAAAAAAGATGGCCCTGGGTATGTCACCGAGCAGACTCACAACGACAGAATGACTGGTCTGGGAGCTGGCTTCGCTTCGATCTCTCTTCGCGACTTTAGCAAGACGGCTAAAGCAAATCCATATCCACCGGTCAACTACTGGAAGGCACTGGCTGGCATTGTCAACTCCCCTCCGAATGAGACTTCGAATACACAGTATGTGGTTTTAAGAGCGATGATTGAAGGGCACGAGCAGCGGTTTTTGAATTTCTACGGAAATGCGGCCATTGCCGCGTTGCGCCTCGCTCTAATCGACTTTCCAAAGAGAGCGCCTGCGAACGCTTCCGCAGCACAGTCATTACGAGCTATGGTGGAGCTACTTCGCACCGAAGGACTTGTTCTAAGCTGAAGGAATCACGTTATTTCCGTTTTATTTTATTTTATTTTATTTTTATTTTTTTTTAACTTTTTCTCCTTTCGTATAACAACACATTTTTTAGGGATTAAGAGAAGGAAGATCTAATGTATGTTTTTCAATACATTGAGGCACCGGCGTTTGGGAGGGAAATTGACATGCCGGAGCATGTGTTATGCTTATTATATATACATTCATATAAACTATCTACGACGGACCCTTAAGGCCACCTGCTCGAGTTAAATAGGAGACGTTCTCTGCACGTTGGAAATATCCATTTCAAGCTATGGGATAATGAAAGAATAAATACCCATTATTCTCGCTCTATGTTGCATCATCCTATCGTTATAAATGTATAGAAAAAAAAAATAGACGTGGAAGGACATTGAATGTATCGACCATGATAGATCGGCATGAAGCCATTGCCCCAGAAAAACTCCTAACCCCAATATTCATTCGCCCATTATAAGAGCTCTCTTCCATTTTTTTTACCTCTCTCCATGAAGATAAGTTCCCAGGCATGAAACAGTGAAACAAAGAAGCCAACCTTTCTCCCCTCTCTCTATCACAGGATCAACAAAAGAACGAGCAACAGTATCAAAACGAATATCAAAACGCCGATACAACAGCTGCTCAGCCGATCTTCGTTCTTGCGCATCACATACTGCAGCTTGGCCATGCCAGTCTGCAGCCGGTTGCCTACCCGGTCCGCCAGGTCGTCTACCACTTCCAGCATCTCGTTTTGCTCTTCTAGTTCTCGCCCCATATCATCTGCCTGGCGACGCAGGTTTCCAACAGTATGAAACACGCCATCAAGATGTCTATCTTGCTCCTGCATAATCTCCACCTGCTGCTGCTGCTCAAACTCAGTGTACGCGTCGCCGTCGCCGTCGCCGTCGCCGATCGCAAAGGAGCTCGGGTCCGGCAAGTCGCTGCCGCCACCACCTGTCCTGGCGATGTTCTTGTTGAGCTCCTCGCGCATGTCCTGGATCTCGGCGCCGACTTCCTGGACGAGACGTTTCCGGCGAGAGGCCTCATGGTCGGAGATGCCGAACTGGGAGGGGTTGGATTCGATGGCTTGGACAGAGGCCACGAGGTCGGCGAGATCTTCTGCCAGGGAAGAGAGCGCGGTTTCGAGCTCGGTGCGCGCAGATGTCAGTTCTGGAGAGGTATGTGATGAGGCGAGGGAGCGGATGCGAAGGTATGAGGCGAAGAGCGGCCGGATGGACGAAATTTGGCTGAGGACATCTCTGTGATGGGTGGTGCTGTTAGAAAATGTAAAGGAATTGATATATGAGGGCATCGGCGCACTGTTGGACTTGGAGGAAGGGGTCCTCCTCGTTCGTTGAGGACATCATCCTGCTGTAGCGGATGGTGGATCAAGATGCATGAGCTCCAGATTCAGTATGCGCCGAGCTGCAATGAAAGCGTAAAGCGATTGAGGTGTATATAAAGCGCAGAAATGAACAGAGAAGATAAAAGGCAAAGCAGAGAAAATCACAGGCTAGCTCCCTGGTTAGTTCCAAGCTGAAGGTTGGGCGAAGATCTAGTAAAGTCGAGGTATGAAGGATGACGTTGCAGGGAATCTTGCGACGGCGAAACAAGGTGTGGCCCCAAGGTGAGGCGGTACGTACCGCGACGGTTCCGGTGAGGACACCGAATGGACAGCATCCACAAATGGTACTAGGAATGAGATGAGATGAGATGAGCGAACAGCCAGCATTTACGTGGGAATTTTTGGCGGCCTAATCGTATCCGAAATAGAAGCAACATATCATGACTATGACGGTTAATCGGTTTGTTTTAAAGAGGAACTAAAAGACTTGGGAAATGCCTACTTAGTATTCCTATCATTTGAGTACTTGCCCCTTGGACTAACTGTCCCAATAAGGAAAAATTCCAGCGATTTTCGACTTCAATTTTTTCTTCAGCCAATTCTTATTTTAGGCTAAGAAACTCTTCAGTGCCCGACTCATCCCGTTCATATAGAGTTGCAGCGATAGAATTCTCAATAGAAGATACAAGGCACCTCTTTTTTTCTTTTCTTCTCTTTTCTTTTCTTTTCTTTAAATCTACCGCAGCGGAATTTCTTATCCGCATCTATCTCCGTTTTATACAGGGTAAAGCAGGCTTTGCTTACTGAAGGAAAATACCAACGCAACCATGATACCCTCCCGGCCGCTACCATGCAGCGAGGAGTTCTCTACTCCGCAAGAGTATACCGAAGCTCTTTTGGAATTCGTGCAGAACACAGAAATATTCCAGATTTTCTGCGGAGGCGTCCACATCCTCGATTTTTTCACCTCAGATCCGGGCATTTTTCACTCAGCCCTGCCAGAAGAATGGAAAAAATTTCTGTTATCCTACGACACGATGAAGCTGCTTGATCTCTTCCTGAGAGACGATTTGGATAATCTTAGCTTTGAGGAGGGCCAGGAACCGCCAGAGAGTCTGATCGATTATGCCAGAGCGCTGAGGAGATTCTCTCTGAGGAGAGAATTTGCGCCGCGGCAGCAGAAGCTACCTGTTCTGCCAAGATCTGTGTCCGTGGGGATGAAGCCCAAAAAGATCCACGAAGTTGTCAATTTCGCAGACTATGTGGACACCCTCTCGGAAGACATTTCAAAGCACACTGGGACCGAGATATCCCACTTTGTTGACTTTGGCAGCGGCCAGAATTATCTCGGCAGAGCACTGGCCAGCGAGCCCTACAACAGGCATGTTGTGGCTGTGGAAGGCAGAGATCACAATGTTACGGCGGCCAAGGTATATGATCTGACGTCTAAGCTGGCGATTCGACCAAAGATGATGAGGAATAAGAAGATGTGGGTGAAAGCTCAGGAAACTCTCACTCCGGAGCAGCAGAAGAACCAAGACGCTATACGAGCCGCTGTGCAAGAGGTCGAGGGGGCGGGCAATTTTGAATTCCAGCCAATGAACATTCAAGAGGCCGAATACGTGGCTGAGGAAGGCAAAGGAGGTGTTCAATACATCTCAGGAAGGCTTGATAGTGGAGATCTCTCAGAGGTCATAGAGAGTATTGAACCTAAAAAGGTTGAGGGCGAGTCTGGAAAGGACCTCAATCTGATGGCCGTCTCTATCCACTCTTGCGGCAACTTGTCTCACTTTGGAATTCGATCCCTCATCATGAATCCGGACATACGAGCCGTTGCAATTGTCGGCTGCTGCTACAATCTGATGACCGAGAAACTAGGACCCCCGACCTACAAGCAGGCTTATCTGCGACCAAGCCTTCAAGCTCTCAACGGAAGGATTGTCCGCGAGTCCGAAAAGAGAGATCCTCAGGGTTTCCCCATGAGCCAAAAGTTCTCGTCCTATGAAGAGAGCGGCATCCGCCTCAACATCACAGCCCGTATGATGGCCTGCCAAGCACCACAGAACTGGACTCGAGTCGAGAGCGACGGCTTCTTCACCCGGCACTTCTTCCGGGCTGTCTTGCAACGCATATTCCTAGACCGCGGCGTCGTGAGCCGCGTGTGGCACGACAGCAACGGCCAGGATGACAACAAGGATAGAGAGGCAACCCCTTTCAACATGAGCACCAACCCCGTGGTCATCGGGTCGCTCCGCAAGAGCTGCTACGCATCATTCAAGGCCTACGTGCGGGGAGCGGTGGAGAAGCTGACGACGAGCACCGAGTACAAGCAGTATGCTGAAGTGATGAATGAAAAGATGGCGGGCATCACGGACGAGGAGATTGAGAAGTACGAGGCCCAGTACTTGCCGCGCAAGAAGGAGGTCTGCGTCATTTGGTCGTTGATGGCGCTGAGCGCGGCGGTAGTGGAATCGCTCATCGTGGCGGATCGGTGGACGTTCCTAAAAGAGCATAAAGACGTTGTCAAGGATGCATGGGTGGAGACGGTGTTTGACCATGGCGAGAGCCCACGGAATCTTGTCGTTGTTGGGATTAAGAAGGATGGCGTTCAATCATAGAAGGTTAAGAAGAAGAAGGAACGGAAGGTGTTCGCATTACAATCAACACAAAAAGGGGAGAGACGGGCCGGAAAGATCGTGCAATTCATGATGAAGCAGCCGCAGCATGAACTGATGATATATACTGAGTGGCATGTTTACTTACTTATTATCAGATGGAGGCCTCGCAGACAAATGCAAGTATAAGCTGTTTAAAGCAGGGGGAAGCTTGAATTGAGGGGTATTACTATCCGTATAAACGAGTGATATACGGAGTATCGAATGCCGACTTATCGGGGTGAAGTACGGCTGAGCGGCATTCCACTACCAGAAGGGTGAAGACTTGGTAGATGAGCGTTTTTCGAAGAAACTGAAAGCATAGCCTTTAGGCGGTCTTTGTTATTAGAGCCCCCAGTTTGGAAATTGGGTTTTTGAATTGTCATTTATCGCTCCCGAGGCATTTTCGAGTAGATTACCAAGTCCGGATATCTCTTTTCCCCACCGTTGACAGATTCTTAGTTCCTTGCAAGCATCTGATCTATGCTATGATGTCGAGGCAGTTTGGGCTTTTACAGGTATAATTGGAATGTCGAATTTGAAGGATTCAAATCAAAGTGATTTACGTATTCTTACTGAAACATAGAAACTAAGACAGTGCAGTCCCGTCAATTCGAAAAAGCGTTGCAAGGTTGGTAAATCAGCTCCTGAACGAGCCCAGGGTCTGATCTGTGGAGCACTTTGCGTGGGCCAATTGCCTGGTGGGACAACACCAAATGATAAAGTCTAGAAAGGTCTTTTGTAATTACTTCCCTCGGCTTTGCACAAAAAGTGCAAAGTTAATACGCTTTTTTTTTTTTTGCTCTTGTCAATGTGGTTTCGTTTTTCACCCAATAGGGAGCCACAGGAGGAGAGAAAAAAAAGTTGACTGGATCATATGAACGTGGCGACTCACGCGCACTGTGGCGCATCATCGCCGTACACCATACAATGCCAATTTGCCCATGGCGCCCTGAGAGACCCGTGGACTGGGACAAAGGACCAAGGAAGAAAAGGTGACAAGTCAACCTGCCAACGAAGGGCTGACATCAGCCCTCTGCCATGGAGGAAATAGCGAGCAGCCTGTGCTCAATGAAAAGCTTGCTTGCTTGCTACAAGCCTCAATGTGACGCTGGTGGCGCGCCTCGTGGACTGTTGGAAATAGCACAAGTCGAATGAAATCCGAAGGCCTGGTCGGCGGTGCTTATATGGCAGTGAGTGCGTACTAATAGCATTAGCAATCAATGCGTATATCACCACACCAACTTGTCAGCCTTAACATGAAGGATTCAAAGGTGGGCAGTGGCCAGGACGTTATCAAAAGCGATTGGGCGTTGCAGCAATATGGATGGATGGGCTTTGGGAAGAGAGGCTGAAACGCCGAGACATGGCGTGTCGGTCGTCTTCTGCATCCACCCACCCAACGGTCACGATGCTTTACCTTTCCGGCTAGCTGGTGTTTTTGGGATCATGACAGTTGGCCGAGTCTTGGCTTTCCCGCCGATGGTGAAATGGCCTGGGCTGTTTCTGTTCTAATTCTTTGGGCGTCGCGTTAGCTGCCCATCATTCGCGCTTGAACCTGCGTTATCAAGTTTGAGTTAGCGGCGCTGTCCCCCTTCAGCCATGTTGCTCTGGAACTGAACACCACCCTCAGGCCTGGACCGTGCCACCGTCATCCGCATTGACATCACATCACCATACCCCGGATCACCTTTGCAGAGCGGCTCATGACGAACCAAGGTGGCTCATGAAACGAACCAAGCCAAGAGGCCGTGCAGGCGTTAAGAGGTGCCAACGGCGTCCACCTATGTCATGTCTATGCCAATGCTCACCCAGGAACGCTGTCACGCAACCTAGACGCCCGAATCCAGCCTCCTTCTCCACCGGGGGCTTGCATTGTAGCACCTCTCCCTCCTCTTCGCCTAGACGGTTGAGCCAGTGCTTTTTGCGGCCGTTCTTGTCCCATCTGGCACAAACCTCCGCACCGGGTTGGGTCGAGCCGTTCTTCCGCTGCAGGTTTAGAGGGTAATAAAGAGCATCGAGAAGGCCGGGTGTGTGCCTGTGTGCCAGCGCATTGTACAGATATGCCCGAGATGCAGCACTACCTCGGTACCAACGCAAATTCATGCTGTGTCCTCGTCGCCCATGTAGATACCTTGCATGTACATAGGTGCGCCCTTTCATTACCGGCTAGGCCGTAGGCCTACGGCATTGTAATCTGCGAGAGGTGACGGGTGTTACCTGGCAGATACGGTGCTCCATACTCCATCTTCGCACAAGAATTCCGAGCTTTAGGGACCCTACCCCTGCGCCCCAGATTTTCGCAGCAGCTTGCCGGGCTTCCAGCGGCTCCCCGCTCCGCTGCGCTGGAAAATGCTCGAATGGGCTGTCACGATTAAGGCCTGTTCCAGGGTCTTCGCTTGGTGTGGGGGGACCTGGCCTGTTCCCTGCTCGCGTGGCGTTTGGGCCTGGTTGGATGATGATGTCTTTCGTGTCTTGGGCCGTCGCCGTCCTGTCCTTGGTGCGAACCTGACGGCCGTGTAGTCATTAGTATGCATTTGTTCCTTAACCTGTTGTCTGGACGCGAGGTCTAGATGCTGCGTGCGCATGGTTCCCACGGCTTTCGCACATCATGGCACATTCGCTCCCGCTAGCACAAACGCGCCGTTATGTAGGGGGGGGGGGGGGATTTGCCGATGCTGCACCTCCTCTCCGTACACCGTCGACTTGGTTGGTATTTATAGACGGCTCAGGCCCTTCTCTCCTGGCACGCATACCGCCCAGTTCTGATGCCTGCGCCGTGGCCTTGACCGGATACCAGGTTGGAGCTACATATCCACCGAGAGATACTGACCCGCGTTATCAGTGACGCCTCCATACCAGCTCCATGTACCGTTTATAGCACACGTAACCTTGCCTTATCACTTATCAGCGCCTTCCACCTCCCGATTTACGGCGCTCCGACTGACTCGCCGGCCTCGGTTTCTTTATCGTGACAAACTTTATCTATCTTCGATTTTTTTTCTTCTTTTCTTCTTCTTCTCAAGCCCTTCGCCCTGTGTCGTCTTTTTTCTGTGCTCTAACGTTGCGAATACTTTTACATTCTTATTCTACTGCTCTTCGTCCATTCTCGGGAGATTTCGCATAAGCTAGGAATCCCTGCCTTGGTCCCCCGATTAGGCGGTTGGCTCGCCGACATATCGGGTCTGGGAAGTCGACGTCGATAACGACAGCTATTGCGCCATCTTGACAATTGTGAGATCGTCGACAACAATTATCCTCTATATAATTCCCCGTGCTCTTCAGCTTCACCTCGACTTCATTGGGCCTTGATCTGTATATTCTTTGCCCTCCACGAGGGACAGCGTCGAAACTACGATGAACACTCAAGTTTCGTTCCTTGTAAGTTGGTCCAGTCATTCTCGCCTGGCTGCAATTCCTAATAATACTGGGTCGTTGCTTGTAAACTTCCCAATTACAATCCTTTTCCCCTGTGGTTAATCGAATTCAATTTTCTCATCTTGCAACTGTGACTCTTTCCATCAATGCTAATTAAATCTCCACTGATAGGAGGGGACTTACACGCTGATCCACATCCCTCTCGAACTCTATCCGACTCTCTTACAGCCTATCCTTCGCATTCTTCTCCCTCAGACACAGAGTCTCAACTTCTCTCGTGATTCAACAGAGTATGAGCTTGAGGGTCTCACGACAGATTTCCAACATGGCTTCCTCAACATTAGCGTCACTCCAATCGAGTGCTCCGTCGTCTGCCACAGCTCATGGGCCAAAAACGTCTTCGAGCCTGCACTCAATGCTCTCCCAAAACCTATTTGCAAAGGCGTCTCTATCTCTGAAGACACCTTCATGATCCTGGCAGTGACAAGCGCTGGTTTAGATCCCGGTGGCCGTGTTATGGAGCTTAGTTCACCCCTGGCCTTTGCGGGGATTCCCATCTTCTTCATCACCACGTATTATTCCGACTTCATCCTTGTTCCTACAAAAGAAAAGGTGAAAGTTGTGAAAGCATTGGTGACCAAAGGTTTCGAGCTTTCAGAGAACCAGTCCAGTTTTGTCAACTCGTCATACGCTCCTAGAAATTCCGACAGCGATTTGTCTCAGCAGCCACCTGGCACCCCGCCACCTTCCAACTATGATGAGCTTCAAGCACGGACCTTTGATCTCCTTGTGAAGAACAATGTAAAGGCCTGTGTTGAGGCAGACCTCGAACTCGTCCAGTGCTCTGGCCGTGAAACGTCGCCGCTCATGAATGCTTATAGTACCCGGCCGTCCATGAGCCGGAAAAGCTCGACGGATTACCGTCGCTCTTGGATAACCCATATTGATACGAAGCTTTATACATGCATCGTATCTGCGCTCGTTTCACAGCCGAGATTTCTATCTCTCACTCTTGCGCAGGATGACCCACCGTCCCTGCTGCTTGATAAAACCTTGCTGCCCATTTTCGACGAATCACTAGTGGGCGACACTGAAGGCGTTTTAATACCAATCTTCCTCGACCTCAGAAAATTGCCTGCAAAGTCTACCGGTATAGTATGTGGTGTTGCTGGGCGACTTGCCAAAGGCACTGATGTTAGTGAGAGCTCCGAGCTTTCCTATCTCTCCACTGCTCGCGCCGGCACCGTTATCTTGTCGAGAGAGCAATCGATCCGAGCAATGGAGATTTTGACTCCATTACTTACGAAATAATCACGAATTGCGGATCAAAAACCGGATAATGACAATAAAAAAAATACGAAAATAAAAGAAAAAGAAAACACATAATATGCTTCACGGCTACATATTCCTAGGTACACTTTATATTTGCTTGCCCTCTGGTTTATCTACTTTGGCACTCCTACTTTGGGAGGGGAGATAGGCGGCATATATTGGTTATGGCCGCCTCTTATTTTTCTTGTTCCTTGCCTTGAAGAGTATTATTAGAACTTTGTTAATATGATGGAGAGAAGGAAAGGGAGTGAAAGAAAAAAAAGGCGAAAAGGAGGAAAAAGGACTTCTGGCTCTTGTTGGGCGATTCGGCGTTGAATTGTATATAGGTTGCGTGTGCTATTATGAGATACCTACTTGATTTTTTTGCTACTTTGATATATATGATCAATATATCGCAAGACACGTCTGCTGCAATCCGACTGCATGCGAATAAAACGAGTTTCAAACATATATTTCTAGAGTCTTTTCAAAAAATGCTATCCAAAGGTACTTGCAATATGTAATATGTTGTTGTATCAAGTGTTTTGTTCCCTCCTCTTACTCTCTACCCCAACCCTCAACGCCACCACCATCCATCATCGACATATAAAAACCAGCACTCCATTCGTTTACTTCCCCTTCTTCCTCTCCTTCTCCTTCCCTCCCGAGTCTCCCAACCCCGCCCTCACCAACCCATCCCTCGCCACGCTATTAATCAACGCAAACCTCCTCGGCCCCAGCTTCACGCCGCCATACCACCTCGTCACCACAACCATGGCGTCCCAAACCTCCATCAGCTGCAGCAAGTGGAGCAGCCTCCCGCCAGCCGCGTCCTCGCCATCGTCGTCACAGTCGTTGTAGCTCACGCCGCCCGCTCCGCGGATCCGCCACGCCGTGATGTTGTGCGTCGCGGAGCGGATGCGCTTGTCCGACCAGAGGAGGTGCTGCAGGAAGAGCTTCGCCTCGGCTGGGGACGTGACTTTGGCGACGTGGGCTACGAATGTAGACTTGTTCTCCACGACGACTTCGGAGAGCGTCCATGGTGGAGGCGTCATGGCTGAGAAGTCCACTTGGTTGGCGGCGTCAACTGTCCTCTCGCCTCGATCCGCATTCTGGCCTTCTCCTTCAACGTCGTCGTCGTCGTCGTCCTTTTCATGCTGTTGCTGTCGTAGTAGTTCTTCCCGCTCGTTTTCTTCCTCTATCCTTCTTGAAAACTCTTCCACGGCGTCAAACAGACAAACACTGCCCGGCTGGAATACCGTCCCCAGGGCTTCTCTAAACACGCCCAGGTCCCTTGCGCCAGCGCCTTTTCTGCCTCCGGAGCTGTGCTGCGTCCCTAAAACGGTGGGTGGCTCAGCTGGATATGATGCTGGGAATTGTAGTCTTAGTGAGGAAGATTCATCGCCTGGCAGTTGTAAGACATATGTTGCGGATGAGGTCTCATTTTGATCTTCTGAGGGGGTGAGACAGCCATCGCCGTAGATGGAATTGAGAGCCTCTACCTCATCTCGGAGGTCCTCGGACATTGCTTGAAAGGAAAAACGAGGAGGAAATTAAAGCTTATTAAATTCTGCTTTGATATTACGCAGGCTGCCGTACTCGCAAGAGATATACTACATACATTCCTTTTCACCCAATAAGCTGCGACTATTGAGGTATGATTTTCACACAGTGCAAATAGAGACATATTGGACATTGATGACACTGTACCACCAGAGGCGGTTGAAAACTACTCGTTTAAGTAAAAGCATTGAATTAAGGCTTGTAGAGCATAACAGCTCTTGAATTTAGCAAAAAGTAATATTGACATTTGGCATTGGGCTGATACAATATGAGGCGGCGCTTTGAAAGTCTGGCCGTCTTCTACCCGTCCTTCTTGAGAAACAGCACCGTTCTAAGGGCCCTCCAGCTGCATCGTACATATACACGCGCAACCGCATCTACAAATACTTGATTGAAAAAAACAATTATGAGTCGCATCGTTTACTCATCAGCCACAGATGCGAACTTGTCCAGCATCTCCTGCTGGATAGCCTCGTACTATAGCAAACAATGTGTTAGCAACGAGGGCATTATTTTCTGTAGGCACGGAACAGTGAGACAAACCTTCTTGACAATCACATCTTCACCTTCGGTGGGGACTTCGAACTTCAGCTGTCGCAGCTTAGCTTGCAGATCACTTGTTGACTCGCGAACCTTTGCCCAGCTCTGGCCCTGAGCAATGGCCTTTTGTGCCTCGTCGTAGTAACCAATCATGAGCTTCATCATCCATTCTGTCTTCCAGAGGGGGCAGAACTGGTCATAATCGGAGTAACCGTTCTGCTGCAGGAAGTCTTCCTTGATCAAAACAGCGAGATCAAGAGTGATTTTGTCGGGGTCAGACAGAGCACTCTTTCCGACCAGCTGCACAACCTGATCCAACTCGTCCGAATCGGAAATAAGCTGCTTGATGCGGTCCCGCAGCCTGGGGAAGTCGGGGTTGTTCTGCTCGTACCACTTGTCCAAGGCCGTGTTGTACTTGCTGTATGAGACGCTGGTGTTGATCGAGGGGAAGTGCTTTCGCTGAGCAAGCTTCTTGTCCAAACCCCAGAAGACCTGGACGATATTGAGGGTAGAAGTGGTGACAGGGTCTGAAAAGTCACCACCTGGTGGGCTGACGGCACCGACAATGCTGACACTGCCGCTGCGTTCGGGGGATCCTAGAGTCTTGGCTCGGCCAGCTCGCTCGTAGAAGGAAGCGAGCTTAGCACCAAGATAGGCAGGGAAACCCTGATCAGCAGGCATTTCACCCAAACGACCAGAAATTTCACGCAGGGCCTCGGCCCATCGAGATGAGGAATCAGCCATCATGGCGACATTGAGACCTTGGTCACGGAAGTACTCGGCAACGGTGATACCAGTGTAGATGGAAGCTTCACGAGCGGCGACGGGCATGTTTGAGGTGTTGGCAATAAGACAGGTTCGCTTCATGATGGGCTCTTTGCGGCCATCAACCTCAATGGTAAGCTCGGGGAAATCTTTCAAGACTTCAGCCATTTCGTTTCCACGCTCACCACATCCGACGTAGACAATGATATCACTGTTGGAGAACTTGGACACAGACTGACTAATGACAGTCTTGCCGCAGCCGAAAGCACCGGGGATGGCAACGGTACCGCCCTGGACACTGGGGAAGAGGGCATCAAGAACTCGTTGTCCAACAACAAACGGCTGGTCAGCCGTCAATCGCTCCGACGTGGGACGGGGAACTCGAACGGGCCAGCTCTGCATCATGGGATACTCCGTCTTCTTGCCGTCGAACTCTACCTCGAGAATCTTTTCGACAACAGTGTATTCGCCCTTGGGGGCAATCTTGGTGATGACACCTCGAGCGCGTGGAGAGAACAGAATCTTGTGAACTGCCAGGAAAGAGTTCTCGAAAACGGTACCCCAAACATCGCCACCGGAAATGTGATCGCCAACCTTGAGCTGAGGAGTGAACTCCCACTTCTTTTCTCGGTCAAGAGCAGGAACAGCAACACCGCGAGGGATATAGATGGACTTTGAGATCTTGGAGATGGACTCTAGAGGTCGCTGGATACCGTCGTAGATGCTGTTGAGCAAGCCGGGGCCCAGCTCGACGGACAAGGGCTTACCTGTCCGAGCAACAGGGTCACCGACCTTGACACCGGCTAAGAGAGCTTGGTCAGTATCATCGCGTCTTTCTTTGTGTGCGCTAATCGTCTCGGCTGTCGAATATGGAAGGGAAGGTGGAGTTGGGATGTCGCCATACCGGTTTCTTCGTAGACCTGGATAGTGGCCTGGTCGCCGCTAATTCGGATAACCTCACCGACGAGGTTGTCGTGGCCGACTTTGACCTTGATCAAATAGTCAGTGTATGTTTTGTAATCACGGCTAAGAAGAAAGGCATCTTACCAATTCGTACATGGCAACGCCAATCATGTCTTCCGCGACAATGACGGGACTGCGGTGAGGTTAGCTACGGAGCTATATCCATGATAGATACCCGCTGCTGCTGGCTATATCGAAATTGACTGACCCTGAGATGGAGTAAATCTTGCCTGTGCAGGCTTGTCAGTACAGTCTGCTCTCTCTCCCGGACAAATGCCCATTTCATCACGCATGCTCTTACCATAGTGAATGGCATCGCCATCCGATTCTGTGGTTTTCTGTGACGCCATACAAGTCAGCTTCGCAGTGGTTGACGTAGCGGGGCATCGCATCAGCCTCGTCGTTTTTGTCTCGACCTTGCCATGGCTGCAGCAGCCCAGGCCTGTGTCTGCCGGATTCTGCTGGCAAACGACGAGTGGAGCGGGGGGGGGGCGCATACAGAAGGCATCTTGAGCGATTGGAGAGGAGGAGCGTCGTCGGACTCTCGATCGGCGGAAACAGAGGACGACTGAGACGGCAGAGATGGCGATGGAGAAGGAGATGGAGGTGGAGAGTTTCGCAACAGCAGCGGCAGCTCGATGGTTGCAGGAGCGCCAGGGCTCGGCGCCGGTGGAGGCGATGATGTAGCGCTGGCCGCGCCTGGAGCAGTCCCACCAGCTCGAGCTTTGGGGCCACTAGTAGCAACAAAACTGGCCCCCGAAGCGATGGCAGCAGCGCGGGCACTACCAGTAGTATTGCCAGCAGCCGCAGCGCCAGCAGCACCATCCACCAGGGACAGCAAGCCAGGGGCGGATGCGCTGCCGTAATCGCTGTCAGAGTCGCTGCTGTCGTCGCTGTCGCTGTCGCCTTTGGTGCTGCCGCCCTCGCGAATCAGGTCTAGCAGAGAAGGCCGCGCCTTGAGCTTTGGCCGCAGTCCCAGCATATGCGAGCGTGATGCAGACAAACAATCATGTGGAAGTCAACGGCTGGGCGACAGAAGACTGAGGAAACACGGGTGAAGAGTTAAGATTCAGGAATCAGGTGAAGCAGGCGTCAGCTCCATGGTACGTTGTCGCACCTGAGAGGCAGCTGGCCGCAACGCCAAGGGGCATTGAAGCTACTAATACCGTGCACCTAAACAAACTTAGCCACAGCGGACGCGAATTTGCGTCCATCGCTATCAATGCTTCTACTCTCGTCATTGCACGAGAAACAAATGAAAATGGGACGGATCCGCATCGTTTTATGCCAGCATGTATCTGTGCGCACTGCTGTTTACCATTCTAATCTGCAATGGCGTTTTCACTCAGCGCCTCTATTGGCGGCCTCCATTAGTAGACTCCGATCTCGACTCTCTTGTCCAACTTTGGGGTGCATTTCACTTCAATACAACAATTGCTCAACTTCAACGACGTTGTTTATCCCAGGCTACGGAATTTACAGATCACAAGCTAATCTGGCCAAGTGGCAACTATTTTGATCTTACACAAGCATTGGCTAAATCTTTCAACTACTAACTACTAGTATCTACATCTATACGACATTCCCCATTACGCAGCATTTCCCTTCAGCGCATTATATCTATCCGCCAACTCTTGCAGCAAATCCTTCCTCGTTGCCAATGAGTTCAGCGTCTTCATCCCCGCCGACAGGCCACATGCGTCGCTATTTACAGCGTGTTCTTGCTCATCCACCACGTCAGACCTCTTTTCGAAGTGAAGCCCGGGCGCAATTGTTATGCAGTTGTTCTCGCTTCGACCAGCCCGCAGTTGGCAGAGCTCTGCTGTCTCACAATCGCCAGTGCACGGAGATACGTTCCAACCACGGCTCTTGTACGCAATGTATTGGTTAAAGGCGTCTGGGTCTGACTGGAACAACGCCGTTACGTTGTGCCAGAACGCGGGCGTCAGCTCGGCGGCCGGATCGGTCACGGGAGGGTTGAGCTTGGAGCCGTATGCTTCCTTGGCGGAGTAGTATTTTGTCCACACTGGACCCGTCGTCTGGAAAGCGGCGTTGGTCATATCGGCAATGTACGTCGTTGAATCCAGGACAGCAAAGGTATCTGGGTCGACGTCGTAGACGCGGAACGAGGGCATGCCCGAGGTAGGTGTTAGCGAGGGACAGATGTAGGACGTCATGATGGCATGTGCAGCATCCTGGCTGCTGTAATTTGAGTAGCTGATCTCAAAGTGGTCGACGTGTGTATGGCCGAAGAACATGGCCGCGATGGTCGACGAGTAGCGGTTCACGACCTGGTCGATGTAGTTTGATCCTGCGTGGAATGCATCGCCCACGCCAGGGGGCATGTGTCCGATGATATAGACTCTCTCTCCTGCTTTCTCTGCGGCATCGAGCTCGTTAACAAGCCACTTGATCTGCCCATCAGGGTCTTGTTCAATCGTCTTCTGGTATAGCCAAAAGTTCATACGATAGTAGAAGTTTGTGTTTAGAGAAATAACTCTCAGGTTGCCGTTGGGATATTTCGTGGAATAAGCACCAAAGTTTACAATATCAGCCTTCGCTGAAGCTCCAACCCAGCGAGTCCATTCATCGGACAGAAGATCGTATACCCATTGAGACGAGTTGCTGATAGACGCGACAGGGAAGGCGTTGACGGGGCTGGCTTCATGATTGCCCGCAGTGCCATAAACGAGGCCAAGATACTGGCTCATGGATGTATAAGCGTGGGTAACTGCGGACAGAGACACGTTAGTCTGTGGTACAAGGCATGAACAAATTTGGAATGAATGAGAGACCAACTCGACTGTTCGTTATAGGCGTCTGAAGTGTTCCAGACTGCATGGTCAACGATATCGCCAGTGAAGATCGTAAAAGCCGCATCCGGCACAAGTTCTTGGATAGCTTTGTACAAGCTCGTCTCCAAGCTCACGGGGGAATCACAGTTGTGGTCTCCATTTGGCCCTGCAGGCGATGTCGATGAGCCGGGCGAGTCGGCGGCTGTATAAGGTCTTATCCATTGTAACCTCGTCAGAATCTATAACTCCTTTTAAGGAAGAGCAGCTCACCTGCAGCAAATAGGCTTCGTGCAATTTGTACTCGAGCCTGACACATAAAGAGGGTCAACATGGATATCCGAGTATTGAACCACCTTGAGAGGCGTCTTCCCACTCGGCGCAGGGCGGCCGGTAGACGGCTTTGGAGAGGGAAAAGGAACATTCCATTGGGGAACAGCCGGCTCGGCGCAGAGTCCGAGGAACGATCCACAGAAGAGCTTTGCTGATTCTGAGCCGAGATCCATGTTTCGAAGGGAATTTGCGATGATGGGTCCCTCGAGTGCAATGACGCCAGCACAAACATCCTTATCTTCTACCTAGAGCGTCTTATTAGCCACGAGTAAAGAGATATAAGATGACTGAGTGTGATGGGTATCAACCTTGGCAAGTTCGCACAGGCCTGTACCGATATCGACAAATGCGCTGTTTCCAAACTCAGCAACACCCATGAGGAGAACAAGAATGCCCTGGAGTCATGTTAGAAATCGGCTAGATACGATTGCTGCAAACAGTATTTCCTAACCTGGCAAGCAGTGCAGGTAGCGGCATTCTTGATGTCGTTCCAAATATCATCTACTAAGCTTCTTGCCTCGATTGCCCTCTTGTAATCCTCGAAATCACGAGGAGGAAGGCTGGTGTCTTCAAGAGAAACTGCGCCCTGGGCAACCGAGCCCAGGGTCAATAGTGTAAGCGTCGAACTGGGACGCATCGTCAGTCACAGATTCCAGGCTGGGCTGTAGAAAGATGATCTACAGGAACCAGGAACCAGGCGCTTGGCAGGGACTTTCATCGTGTATATATAAGTTTACGTACACATCACAATACCTCTACTGGACGCCCACCCACTTACACCAGCTGCAACTGCACCGGTGCGGCACAACATCTCCACCCGACTATACGAGCCTTCGTTCCTCACAAGGCGTTCGGTTCACACGGAGCATCCCCCGGCCTGATCAGGATGTGCTCGCCGTGGCGGATGACCTTCCGGACTTCGTCTGGTTCCATCCGCGATGCCACGCTGAACGAATACCAAGGCCGAGGCACCGTCCACTAGCATCCCCTCAAAGCATCAAAGCCACCCTCCCCTGAAGCCGTTCAAAGCGACGGTCCGGGATCGAGATCCAATCAGAGGCGAGGCCCTACACATGCATTAAGAGAGACCAGCTAATTAGAGGAAAGGATATGCAGCATTAGGGGACTTTCTGGCGCGGTTCGGCAGATCATGAGGCGGGGAAGGACGTTGGCGGCTGATTCTGGTTGGGGAAAGCTTATGCGATATGACAATAAGATCCAAAGGCAATCTCTTTTGTTTCTGGAACTTATGTGTGTGGCTGTAGTTGACGTGCCAAGACGGCAACGAGAGAGAAAGCGCAAATTACCTAAAAACAACTGGGAGGGGGAATCTAAATCACGATGAAGGCGATTCTCAGCCGTAAATAACAGAATTAAAAAAAAAAAAAAAAAAGACCGAAATAAGCCATCTGCTAATATACCAGCAGCGTTGTTGAGATGACTGACAACACCCTGCGTTCTAGAAAAGGCATGTCAAATGACTTCAAGGTTTCTTTGCATAAATCACGAGTCGACAGACTACATGCACAAATACTACAGCATTTTATTTATTATTATTTTTTTTCGACCAATACCAACGCCCATTGCAGTCACCTGCGCGAAATTGCGCATTGGTCTTGGCCTCTCTCTTTTAAACCCGGGAGCAAAAAGCCCAGTTTTTCTCATACTCATGTATGCTCTCGGTCACCAACTCAGAAAGCCGTCCATGCTGGCTAGCCTGCTGTGGGCTAAACGATAGGTGAGGGGCTGCTGTGATATCGGCCGAGAGGTTGTCTGCATGTGAAAAGGACTTGGATGGCTCGTTCACTTTGTAGCGCCAGACCTTCCCAGATGGTCAAGGTTGGTGCATAAGCGCTGCATTTGTTTCAGGTAATGATCTTTGGTTGGCGTTTACTCTTTGGGTTGTTGTTTTGGTGGCTGTTTTGATTGTCGTCTTGGCTGCTGCTTTAGCTTAGGAACGGTATTTAGCGGCCAGCAGTTTTATGCAGTAACACATAGTAAAGGAGATTGTTATTCAACGTCCCGGTCTTGTTATTCAGTTGAATAGCATTTCCCATAGGTAACTAAGTAGCTGGATATCCAAGATGTCAACCTCAATAGCTCTGCCAAAGGACATTATATGAGCAACTAGCATCACCATCAACGGTCAAAGGTCAAAGAATTATCCAAAAGTGCATGAGTTTATTATACACAAGTTCGTCGCCAAGTCGTACAAATATCCATCCTTATATAGAACCTAAAAACGTTGCCTGCCACCCGATTTGATTTATTCCGATTGTCCGACATATAATACAAGAATCCCCCCCCCCCCCTGTGATTATGCTAATACAGTAGGGTACGCTCTGCTGATTCACAGCCGCACCATCATTCCATCACTCCTTTGGTGGTTGAAAGGTGTCGCGAGATACAGCTGTTCGTTCCCATGCAACATGCATCGGACTATCCGCTTCCTGCTGGGTACGCATTTCTCTAAATATCTCGCCCTTCTTGGACAGTGCCGGTAGTTTTCCTTGAAACATTTTGTACCAGTCCCAGTTATCCGAGGGCTGTGGCGCAAGTACCTTCTTCCGGCGCTGCTTGAGTTTATTGTAGATGGTGCGTGCCCTTTGATCGGGTAGTTCAGTAATGTTATATTGAACCGACCAGTCGAAATCGTCTTCTTTTCTGACGTTTGTTGGTCGCTCAACGTGTTCGCCATTCACTTGATTGCGAATAGTGACGTACATGCCCAATAGTTCACGTTGTGGTCGTCCAGGGCTTTCCGTATTATCCATAGCTTCACTTTCGCCCCCCTCTTCTTCTTCTTCGATAAGCTCATCTTCATTCGAAGTTTCCTCTTTACCTAATGTCATTTGTCCATCCTCTCCAAGTTCAGTATCATCTTGTTTAGTCTTTGCGGTTAAATCGGCAAACATTCGTTGAAACGTCTTTAGATTTTGCGCCTTGTTGTCAACGCCGACTGTTGCTTTCAGGATCAAATCTGTCAAGGAAGCCTTCTGTATCTCTGAGTCGGATGCATCAATGTTGGACTCTGAATTGCTATGTCGATCTTCGACTGATGCCTCATTAGCACCTAGATCATCTTCTGAGTCACGGTTGCGACGTGGCTCTACATCTCCTGGCTCGTCGGATCTATCCCGCAGTTCCTTAATCTTGGAAGAGTGTGCCGTCAGAGATGCCACCATAGCATCCAAGTATTGCTCGATTTCAAGTTCAGTCTTGTCTTTAAGAATTCCGCTTTGCTCGAGGGCTTCCTGAACAGCTTCCCTAACTGATCCTATTCCCAGAGAATCATCTTCCACTGTTTCTTCAACCTTGATCATCATATCATTCCAGGCAGCTTCGTTCTGTGCATCTTGGTAAGGAAGATCGTCAGAAAGCTGCTTCGTCTCCTCATTGGACGGCTGTGATTCGGTCTTCGCGATCTCTCCCGTTTCTTCGGATCCTTCTTCGGCCTCTGCTTTGTTGATGGCACGTTCCAATTCCTCAACGGTTGATTTGCCAGCTTCTTGCGTTTCCGTCATTTCTTCATCCGTCACCGGCTCAGCAAAGAAGTATGTAAGAGGCACCTTTGTTGGGCGAGTCTCTACATGCAAACGAAGAGTTCGTCCAGGGAAACGTTTGGTGGCTCTGTCCATAAGCTCATTCAAAAGTGTGACGCTAATTTTGAATTCTTGGTCGCCCACTCGGCGATCATTAGTCCCATGAAGAGCCACATCCATTTCATCCAAGCTGATGTACTGGAAACCAAAAATTCGCTGTGTGTTGTGATAAGCGACGAAGATACCATCCATGCGGCCCATTCGCACTTGTAAAGAGTATTTCAAAAACACAGTTCTGATCATATCGTAGTACTCACGCTCAAAAGACTCCCACTGGCCAAATCGTTTCTGGATTTCGTAGCCTGCACCTTTCTCGTATCCTCGGACGTCCATTCTGACGGCAACAACTGCTCGCGTTTTCAGGTCGAACATACCGGAGCCAGGAAGCCTAGGGTCGTAAGCATCTAATTGTGATCGCATCATGAAGTCTCCCAAAGTAGTGTAGTGGAATGCATCCTCTGCGTTTCTCTCTTCCTCTGTCAGCTGATGAGACCGCGATCTCCTATACTTTTCGAATTCTTCTTTTGGCAACGTAAGAAGCTTTTCCATTGATTTACCAAGCAAACTGAGGATGTTTTCGGTGTCATATTCTTTGTCGGAGTCAAATGCATAGACTCCATCATTGAAGTGTGCAAAAGCGGCGGCAGGGCCACGGCTTATGGCTGTAAAATTGTAAGATTCCGGCTCTAATGATCGCGATAAATACGAAAAATTAGGTTTTCTCCAAGCTGAGAGGAGATAGTGAAAATGAGACAAGATCGAAGTCATGCTCGATGTTGAGCCGCAGTATTTCATGCCGTGTGCGGCACTGAGTTGCCTCAACTTTGCATCTTTGGACGAGGTAACGTAACTCCTAAGCGCATCGAAGTCAAACTCTTTCACCGGCATGATGGAAGCCAGATAAGGATCAAAATTGAAAACACGAGATCGATCATCTTGCATGTGATAAACTCCTGGGTTGAATAATACTCGGTCAAGGTTATGAGAGAGTTGCGGCACTGGTAGCAAGGCGTCCTCTTCAACTGGGCACAGCTTCAGATGCTGGGGCTTTATGGTCTTAACATCCAGGTTCGATTTGCTTTTCGCCCGTCTTCCCTTTCCCAGTTTCTTAGCCAGGGAGGTCTTCTCAGGAGGTAAATCTTCCGGCGCAGCTGGTTCCTCAGCGTAACGAGCTATCACATCATTCTCATTTTGTCGTTCATGCTCTATTCCTTCATCTGCATTTTCCAGTCTTCTTCTTGAACTTGAAGGTGAGTTTGAGGCTTGAAGACGGGATTTTAATGACGTCCATAATCCGGCAGATGGCGGTATTACTGCATTATGGGATTCTCCTTTATCTTTCTGGGCTCCATTCTCATGACTCAAAGCGAACTTTCCAGGTTCTGCAGAGCTGGGCTGCTTCTCCTTCGTCGGTTTTTTACTTTTTGGTTTGTTCTCTGAAGAGTCTTTCCGCGACTTGGTTCTCAAAGAGCTCTGCCGGCGCTTTGCTCTGGCTCTACTTCGTCCTGCCTTGCCGTCTAACACTCGGGTAGTAGTGAAAGTTTTCAAACTGGTCGTAATTAGAGGCTGTGGTTGGCGGAGGGCCCAGAGTGTAGCAAAATGGGCCAGTGGTCTGGCACGTAGAAATGGCTGAATCATGTCAAATTATGAGACGACATGCTATTAGTAGAAAGAAAGCATGGAGTTGTTTTTGTTGGATTGGAGGAAGGACATATACCCTTGGCAAACCATAAACTCAGTGAAAGTACAAGGGTACATCATAGAGTTATGCTTATCGATAAAAGATGTTAGATGTTCTCGGCAATACAGCGGAAGAACACGGCCCTCATGTCACTGACTAGCGGGCGGTAGCTTGCCGTTTGCATGCGCCACACGTAATCCGGCTTTGTAGCGCTGGCACTGATGACGAACTCCCCTGCGACAGCTTCATCGCGGATCTCAAAAAGCTCCAGTAGGTTGGTACGTCATACTAAAACAGTCAGCAGGGCTCGAGGCCTTGAGCTGCAGACATGGGTGCCAGCGACTCCAAAATAGGGTTCAAGCAAGGGATATTCAGACTGTCAGAGGAGCGGAACATTGCGGCGCATGACCCGTATTGGACCTCAGTGCGTGATGCCCTTGATCTCATATGCCACCTAGAAGCTGATGGGATCTTAGTTCTGGGAACTTCCCGAGTCGTCAGAGGACGTCTTTAGCCTCTTCTCGCCCAACGATATTCGTCGAACCCGTGACAATGCCCTAGAAAACATCGAAACTCTGATTATAACCCTGACAACGCGGATCTTTAATTTACGTCACCATCCATCCTTTCCAGACGTCGAAAGTGCTCCAGAACGAGACATTCTAAACTGCATCAGAGTTCTGACCCGAATACTGCCATATTTGTATGAAAAAGAAAGCTTGGCATCATGGGAAGAGAGATTCTTTTGGGCTCCACGAAAGATAAAGGGCCGAACCTCGAATGCAAACGAAGTGCTGTTTGATGGAGCTCAGGATGGGAAAGAGGCGCCGCGGCCCGCAGCAGAAAAGCATGAAGAACTGAGACCTCTAGCGGAAGAATTATTAGATACGTTGATCGACCTCCTGTTCTTCTCGGATTTCACACTGCCCCGCCAGCCAGATGGGCAGCCCAAGGTCTCATATGCCATATGGCAGAGCGGGGTTGGATGCAATACGGCTGTTGCAACGACAAAGGAATTTGAAAGCAACCGATGCGAAATTCTAAGGCTCATTATGACTTTTGCTGGTCAAAGCATGTACACGACCCCAGCGGTGCTTCCACAGAGGGGAGTTCGGACTCTAACTTACCTCTGCACATCTTCCGACAAACAAATAGTGCTTTCAGTGCTATGCTCTCTTCTAAACACCGTGAGTGCCTTAATTTTCACCTTCAGAGGGATCCTAGGGCTAACTAGTCCATCTGTAGACATTGAAATACAATCCAGCCAGCTGGCGTGTACCATATAACACTCTGGTATTCAAGGACACCAAGCAAGTGCTTGTGACTTACTCTATTCACTCCCTATTGGCCATGCTCATATATCCCATACCTGAAGATGCTTCTTCGACCTCCCACAAGAACTACTATCGCCATTTTCTTGGCAGGATACATCGCCCCCAAGACTTCCAGTTCATAGTTGATGGGATGACGCGGATACTCAACCAACCACTTCAGGAGAAAAGTTCTTATCTCCCTAGCTCTCAAGCTTCTTCGAACCTAGCTCCAGAGGTTCTAATGCTTTTCTGGGAGTTGACTCAATGCAACAAAAGGTTTCGGTCCTTTATCATCGACACTGACAGGGCGCACGACTTTGTTGTATTAGCCCTGTTCTATGCTTTGGAGTACAAAAATGAGGCCTCCAAGCAGGGCGTGGTGCGCATGTGCGTTTTCCTCTTACAGACTCTAAGCGTGGAGCAAAGCTTTGGGTCTCACCTCAACAAGTCGTTTGAAGGCCAGGAGAGCCTCCCCGCGAGCATAAGAATTAATGGGTTCAGGGGCACTTATGCCGATTTCCTTCTACACTCAATCTACACATTAATTACTACAAGCCAAAGCAACTTCGCTCCCGTCTATCCAGCGCTTCTGGCAATAATTCATAACATAGCTCCACATATTGAGGGCTTGAGCACGTCCAGCAGTTCTCAGCTAATGCATCTATTTTCATCGATGTCGTCACCTTCATTTTTGCTTGCCAACGAGACCAACCATAGCCTTCTACACTCTCTGTTGGATTCCATTAACTCCATAATTGAAAACAAATATCGCGAGAATCCCGAGCTAATATTAGCCATCCTCAGAAATAAGAAACGCATTGAGGCACTCAGGACATTTACATTGGAAAGCGGGCAGGAGGAGATTGAGAAGATCAATAGGAGAAGGAAAGACTCTGGAGGTCACGTCGGGCCTTTTGATGATGGATCTCGACGAAGTTCTGTGGATAGTCTACGAAGCCCAACCAATGCTTTATCCAGGACCCAGTCGTTGGAAGAGACTCCCGAGGATAGCGCATTCGCCATTGGAGACGACGACGACGACGACGATAGCGAAGAAGAGCCTCAGCCAACCCCAGCGGCGTCAACCGCTAGCGAAAATCCGTCCCAGGCATCTTCTACAACCAATGTCGAAGACGCAGTACCTGTACAGATGCGAGGAATGTCAGAAAAGGCACGAGGGAAAATGCCAGCCAACATTCAGTCTTTCTCTCGGCAGAATAGCTCAACAAGCCTAGGGGCATACTCCACTGCCAATCAGGCGTATGGGGGCAACTTTGAGCCGACAGCGCCGTGGATCGACAGTTGGCTGCCTGAATTACCTCTGCATAGTGTCTTGTCCATTATTCAGCAGGCAACGAGTCTTCTGCCACGGCAAGTGTCCGCTCGAGATGCGACACCCGAGACTCTTCGTCGGATTCAAAAGATGGACTTTGTTGGTTTAGAGCCATCTCCCATCCGAGTTCAGTCGTTTGAGTGGTCTCAGTTGGCACTCGGATGGTACGAATCGCTACTTTGGGGAGTCATCTTTGCCAGTGAGATGCAGATTGCAAAGGGTACTATGGGTATATGGAATGGCACTTCTATCAAGCTCTTCCGGGTCCAGGAGACGGCGGTGGCAGGTCCCACTCTGACCTCACCTAGAGGGGCTGTGGATGCTGTTGGAAGCAATATCGTCTCGCGAATTGGCCAAATCAACCTTCGCGGCGGCCCGGCACCTTCAAATCCTGCGCCGAACAGAGGTGGACCGAGTACATGACATCTGCCAGCGTATTATTGCATTTCTATTACGACGGGAAATACAGCACGTGAAATAAACCAAGAGCTATCGCACGCGCGTCGCAGTCTAATGAGATACTAACCAAATGATTCAATACGCTATGGCGAGCCGTTCTTGCTTGGCATGCCCAAGCAAACCTCGTTCTGTTCCGTGCGAGGCGCCACTTGACCCAATCACCCCCCTGGATGAACATATCCCTGTGTGCACTCAGCGAGAAAAGAGGAAAGTAGCATATCAGCTCTTGGCTGTTCCCTCCGTTACAGCGCTACTGGGCCAATCAGACAACTTGACGTGGCTAGGAGGGCCTCGTGTTAATATCCGCAATTGTCGACACCTAATGGGCATGGGGGAGGTGCTAGAAATCGAGGGCATACTACGTATTTGTACGACTGATAACGATGGGCATCAATATTTTGCGGCTGGGTGGAATGATTGGGCCGTGCGTTCGCCATGGTCTTACACCAAATGGGTGTACGATGTACGTATTTGAGAGCAATTAATAGGGTAATGCAGAGTGCTTATAGGGGCCGGGGCTGGGACGTCATCTGCGCCTCGACACGAGTCTCGTTATTTTAGCCTTTGGAGGCGCTGGCAAGGAGGGAATTGAAACCGTGCATTGAGTGATGGGCTTGCAAACTCTGCGAATGCGACGTGATGACGGCATGCAGCTAGAGCGATCGATTTGGTCTTTCGCTGAGACGCTGCGCTAGAAGCATGTGCTGCGCCGTATTCACGACGGGAGATGATCCGGCGCATGGATCGGCGATTGCACTAAGAAAGCGCTCCCCATAGAATTAGCAGTTGGCAGCTCGAGCTCCCAGCCAGAATCGCGACGAGGCAGCCGAACAGCGTGGGATGAGCCCGTCTTAGCGAGGGGGGCAAGCCACCAGCTGCCAGTCCGTCACTCTCCACGGTTGCGAATAAGAGGCACGCTAGCGCTAGCCGCCGCTTTTACCGTAACCTGAACGATGGCCGAGCAATGGCTAACCCATTTTGCCGTTTCCTGTTATATGCGGCTGAGACAAGCAATGCGTTTTGCGTTTGCGAGCTTCCCTTTGCAAACCCGTCTGGGCACTGATCGCGGGCCTCTGGTCTCTCGCATACAAACGGCGTGTTGTCTCTTCTGACGTGTCGCCGATGCGATGCATGCGACGCTCAACTAACACCGTCTAACGAGCTTCCAGCGCGTTGGAGACTGACATTGTCCTTTTAAACTCGCCATCATGTCTCAGCCTACTCAATCCGCCGAGCCAGCAACTCCCGCGGCCGATGGAGAGATCAAAGAATACAAGATTCATGTGAGACTGGAACACCTCATATGGGCTGTTCAGACGTGAGCTCGGCCTGCTACTAACTATCTCCATGTCTACATGCGCAGGCCTCAAGCAAATACCTTGATCTGACGAGGCAGAAGCTCGAGCTAGCTCGGCTTCCTCGCGAGGTTCCCGACGCGAATTCCAAAGCGTGGTGGAATCCGAAACCCACGTTGGAGCCGCTCATTGACTTTTGGTAAGTGTGTAGTTTGTGCGCGCGCAGCAGCCCTCACCAATAACTAACGGAGAGTTGCTAGGCTTGAACACTTCGCCTGGAGGGATCATGAGAGTGAAATCAATGAATCGGTTCCCCAGTTCAGAATCAGCATCCAAACATCAGCCACAGAAGCTCCGACGAGGATGCACTTCATCCATGCACGGTCGCGCCATCCTAACCCTGTGCCTCTGCTCTTGATACCGCCATTTCCTTTCACCAACTTGTCCTTTCGCCATATCACCGATATCTTTGCCAATCCTAATGACCCAGACACCGACCAGCCCTTTCACTTTGTCATGCCGTCCCTTCCTGGACTGGGCTTCAGCGATTCTCTGCCCAGCAGCGTGCATACAGTTTCTAAAACGGCTGAGATGCTTGATACCCTCATGAAACAACTGGGATATAAATACTACATCGCGACTAATTCGGGATCGTCCATCACTCCTAAAGGCAGTATTGACTGGAAAATCATCAACCATTTAGCTGCTAATTACCCAGAGTCTTGCCTAGGCGTTCATTTAGTATCGCCTCCCTGGAAAGCACCAGAGGCGCGGAAGAACCCCGTCGAATGGCTAAAACTGACGCTGGCAAAGTCTTTGAAGGCTGGGATTCTAGGCTACACAAAAGAAGACATAACGGCACTTCGGACAAGTGATAGAGAAAAGGCAAAGAACAAGTCTGCCACCGACATGACTATCATTGGGGCGTTTGGCGCGTATGACCCAAACACGCTAGCTTATGCTCTTTGTGATTCTCCAACCGGGCTGCTAGTTTTCTTCTTGACTCTAATTAGGACATTGGGGTCAGAGAAGGAGTTTACTTCGACGGAGCTCGTCACGATAACCAAGTTAACGTGGCTCCCGGGTCCGGAGGGAGCATTGCGATTATGGGCGGAGAACTATCTTTTGGCGAAGGAAGAGACGGGGCTGAAACCATCACCTAGAACGAAGGCTGCCATCACGGTATTCTTAGCCGATGACGGGACCAGCCAGAATGGTTCCAACGCAGCGCAGAAGACCGATTCGCCTTCACCATTCTCCTACGTAAGTCCCAACTGGGGCAAGCAGCATTACGATGTAGTTTGGACTGGTCGAGTGCAGGGGAAGCAGGGGTTATTGGCATGGGAGCGGCCACAGGTTATTGCAGACGGCACAAGGAATCTTGCCAAAGCACTGCTTGCTGTGGACAAGAGGCTCTATGAGACGGAGCGCCACAGGAGAAGGACGGCTTAACTCGAGTAGCCGCTGGAGCTGGTGGGCGTCCATCGATTTTCAGGGGATAAATCTGATATGGCTTGACCATACTTAAAAGCACGGGCTCGTAATTGTAAGTTAGTTGGCATTTAATGACGGGGATTTGAACAGTAGATGCCGCTTTCTGAGCGTTTCAACATGAAGCCGAGCTGAATCCCGCTGCCTCTTTCTCTCAGAAGTGGTTTAAAAGAAATATCCCTTTTAATTTATCGGGTATTAATATACAAAGAAGAAGAGAAAAAAAGGATCCTAATTCGAGAAGCATCCGAATCGCTGCTGAAAATTAATGCTGTCCCGCTATATTGCCATCCCTAAAAGTGACAACTTCTCCTGTAGCCAACATAGGCGCGGCGGGGCTTCTGGCTCTAGCTGCCAGAGTGGTCTGTGCGTACTGTCTCAATCCAGTCAGCTATTAGGCCTATAGACCAAACATAGGCTCAACACCTCGAACAAGCGCCGATTTTGGTTTACAACCACCATCATATCTCGAAACTGCCTCCCTGCTACAACAAAGTGGTAGCCAGGAGTCTCCCGAGTCCAAACCCCGGGCGCATCAACTTTATATTGCCCAGCGCCGACGACAATGCTCTCTCGTAACCAGCCCCTCTGGTGACAATACTCAACGGCCCATCATGTCCAACGGCTACGGCAGCTCGATGCGCAATGGCGACGGTTACGGCAACTTTGGGCGGTCGACCGACGACTATGACCCATTTGGCGACAGTAGAAACAGAATAGACCGGTACAATATCCAGCCACCATCATCACAGAGTCTCCGTAACATGCCGTCGCGACCGCGCGCTCAGGAGTCGAGCGCTGAGAGACAGATAACTCAGGTCTTGGAACACATCAGGGGCGAATGGCCGTCTCTGTGTCGGGAAGACTGCGTGCCTGTTCAGCTAGCGCTCCAGCTGCTGGATAACAGCTCGGTTGGTCGCGCTCACGACTACCGCAGGTTCCAGACGACGCATACGTATCTCCAGGACTCGCTGAAGAACATTGTACACGAGCATCACCAGGGCTTCAATAGTTCGATCGGTACATTTCACAAGATTCAGAGCAGCATTCAGGTCTCCCAAAAGCGAGTCCGAGCTCTCAAGGAGTCGTTGTCATTGTCAAAAACGAGCCTGTGCGCTACAGATCCAGGACTAAAGATTCTCTCTGAGGAGTCGAAAGCTTATGACGACCTTTTACAAACGCTAAACGAACTGGACGACCTCCGAGCTGTTCCTGATCAGCTAGAGGCTCGTATCTCCGAGAAGCGGTTCTTGACGGCGGTCGAGGTGTTGCAAAATGCGCTACGAAGACTAAGAAAGCCCGAACTAGACAATATTGGAGCCTTGAGTGATCTAAGAAGCTACCTCGCCAATCAGGAAACTGTTCTCATGGATATTTTGGTGGAAGAGCTGCACGAGCACCTCTATTTGAAGTCTCCGTACTGTCAACAGAGGTGGTCGAGCTTGGCTAAGAACCGAGGCGGAGCCAACGAGGGTAATCACAACGAAGACAACACCGTTACCCCGTTCTACCTAATCTTGGACTCGATTGATTTTGAGAGGCCGGTCATAGAAGATCCCATGAAAAACCCAGAAGCGGACACGTTTTATTACGTAACTCTCCTTGTCGAGGCGTTGAACAAACTGGGAAGACTGCAGAACGCTGTAGAGACTTTGAAGCAGAGGTTACCTGTTGAGCTGTTCAGCGTCGTTACTGAGACGAATAATGAAGTCGAGCAGCGGCACCCAACTTCGTTCCGTGCTACCATTGGAAAGCTCGACGGAGTGCAGATATACAGCCCCAGAGAAATGCAGATGCGAGCAGACGTCATTTATGACCTTCTTTGGACACTTTACGGCAAGTTCGAGGCTATTGGAGAAGGGCAGCGCGTGTTTCATGAGTCTATTAAAGCTCTTATTCGCCGCGAAGGCTCCGGCAATAATATTGCCCTGCTTGGCAGTTTCAAGGAGCTATGGAATCTCTACCAAAACGAGATACGGTCCCTTCTACACAATTATGTAACAACAGACGCCGATGTTTACCAATTCGATTCTCCTACACCAGGAGTAGGTGCTGGTGGCAAAGATGGCATGCGAGAACACCTATTCAAATTTTCAGAGATGGATTCCAAATCCACCGAAGTCACTACAGAGTACGATGCGCTGGAGAGTATCATTCAAGCTACAGTTCCTGGCTTGACGGGCGGTTCTCGAAAACAGGGCTCTGATAGCAAGAGGAACAAGTCAACCGCTGACGACGCCGGGTCAAGACGAAGCGCTATGTACGGTGCGGCCCGGCAGGCATCGGGTCCTTCCAAGTCCTTGGTTGAGCCAAGCGTTTTCAATATGAGTCTGCTCTTACCGCCGACACTTATCTTCCTGCAGCGACTAAAGAATATTGTACCTCCTGGTTCTGATCTGGCCACGAGCACGTTAACCAGCTTCCTCGATAATTTCTTGGTCAATGTATTCCAGCCGCAGCTGGATGAGACTCTTGGAAAGCTGACCGACACCGTTTTTGGTGAGGCCGACTCCTTTTCGCAGGATCCCGCTTGGAGCCAATGCTCTCAGCGACCAATCTTTAAGGGAACCACCGCGTTCTTCCAAGTGGTCACCGCGTTCTGCCGAATGCTTGGCACCATTCCTCCGGACCAGGCCTTGAGTTCTCTCATCGTCACCCAAATGATGAGATATTATGACCGCTGTTTCAGCTGGTTCCAGTCACTCGTGACTAAGAGACACGATCAGCCTTCTGATTCGAACAACTTGCGAGCATCCGCCCGCTTTTCTGTGCAATCTGGCAAAGTGAACGAAATAGCAAAGCAACTTTCAGACGAGCTGGATGGCAGCTTGATGAAGGAAGAGGTGCAGCTTCTTATTCAGAAGACAAACGTCCAGCGGCTGGGGGCAAATGACGTTATCCAGGACCGAGACACGATATCATCCTTGTGTCTTTTATACAACAGTATGAGATGGCTGGCTGCGAAGATTCAAAGCTTGAGGCATATAACAGCGCATGAGACGGATTCGTCACGGCAGCATCTCCCACGCCAGTCAGGCCAACGGTGGGCGTTGAGTGATCCTAGTAAGGCTTCGAGCCAGAATCAAGTGCAGCTTCCTCTTACGGAAGAGACAGCCCAGTAAGTAATCCATGATGAAATACTACCATCTAATATTCAACACCACTAATCAATATTGGTAGAAACTTTGACAATATTGTGTCGTCTTTTGAAGAGCTGGCTGCTACAACTCTATTAACCTTGCACATGGAAGTGCGATGTCGGGTAATCTATTCGCTGCGAAATACTCTGTCGCCAGACTTGGCGCCGTATATCCTAGAGCAGGACGTAAGAGAGCCAGATCCCCAAATCATCAGTCTCAACCAAGAGCTGATTCTTTTGGATGAAACAATCGTGCAATTCTTGAGAGAGAAGGAAGTTTTATTCATACGCACTGGGCTTGGCATCCTGATCAACACTTTCTTGGTCAAGAATGCCACTCTAGCCTCTCCCATGAACGACAAAGGATGCCAACGCATGCAGCTGAATATTCTCGTTCTTCAGCAGAACCTCAAAAATGTCGAAGATGGAACCGACCTAGCAAAGGCCGCAAGCTACTTCTCGCTCTTCGAAAGGGGTCCAGATGCTATCATTGAGAAGGCAAGAGAGTACAAGGACAGGCACGGAATGGGAACGCTTTCCATTGATCCCAATAGCTTCTCATACGACGAGCTCAAGGCTTTGATTGAGCTCTGCTATAGCGAACAGATGGCAAACCCGGAGAGAGGCATCACGTCGGCCGCCAGGAGACAGCTAGATGATAAGTTTGCGAGGTTGAGTGAGTTTAAGTGGGATTAATAGCATTAATAGGTGGCGTTATGAGTTGCTTGTAGATGTTATGGAGAAGATTAGGGTAGATGCAGGCGCTGGGGATATTATCGTATGTTTGGTCATTCTTATGCGTTTCTCAGTGTTAAATGGAGGTGCTTTCTGTATCAAGATTTTGGAGAACTAGATTCAGGCCGGGCAGTTGATCAGTAGGGCTATATCATATATTAAGCATACTTAGTAGCCAAGTGGTATTGGCATTCACGGTATTTTTCAGCGAGCTTTGCCTCTTTTTTTTGTAAAATACATCCTTTTCGTGGAGACAACATTCATTTCAACAGCATCAAATTAATGAGGGAGAAGAAATTTCAACAAACAAAACAAAGACAAGGGGTATCAAGAAAAACGTAATCATGTCCTGGGATGCCTCATATTCGCCAATACCCTGGCGAGCAGCTCCTCCCGGGTATCCTTCTTATGCGGAAAGAGGTTTCTCTAGAAACAGAGAACCTAAATTAGCCTGGTATTGCACATCTACTTTGGAGTAGAGAACAAAACAATAGAGAACAAAACAAAAGGGAAGAATAGAAATTAGAAAGTCTTACTGCGGCTAGCCATCTTCGCATCTCTTCTCTGGTCCACGTTTCTGGATCGCCTTTGGGGTCTTCTTGAGCAGGAAAAATGTCCCCGCCAAAGATGGTCCAAGCTGCTGCCGCGGTGACTGCAGCTCCAAAGGCTTTGTTTGCTGTTAGAATAAAAGCTACAATTAGAGGAGAATATGTCGCTTCAATTTGGACATACCAAGCAGTAGATTCTGTGATTTTGTTAGAAATCGAGGACTCGCTAGGTGTCTTACAGAGCTCAGCTCACCTTGGATCTCATCGCATTGTCTAGCGGAGTAGACATCTTGAGATGACGTAGAGATTTGGATCACGCACACAACCTGCCTCAAACGCGCAAAATTGAAAATTGTCGAAAGAGATCTCGAAGTTATATATCGATGAGAAAGCAAAGAAAACGCAAGTTTGCCTTGCTTGGCCACTTTGCATTGACGGAATGTGTCCTGATTCTTGTCCTTCAAAGCGAAAGCCACTTAGACCACGCACGCTCGTCGCCACACTCACTAGCCACAATCACCAGCCACAGCCACTGCTAAAATTGTGGCTAATGGGTTTACTGGCCCGTGCGTCCACCCCCCGCGAAGCGGGCGCACAAAAATAATTTGTTGCCAAAAATCCAGCATACTATCTCCAATCGTAAATTTCGTACTCTCTGTTGCCAACGAACCCGTCTCACAGAGCCGATCAAATACCGCCAAAATGCCTAAGGAGGTCGCTGATATCAAGAAGGTGAGAATATTCTATCGAAGCGGCATTGATATTTTGTCTTCAATGTACTAATGTTCTTCTTCTCCAGTTCATCGAGATCTGCCGTCGCAAGGACGCTTCGTGTACGTATTCGATGCAGCCAGCCGAAAGGCCGCCTCAGAGGAGGGAAAATCTCAACGATATTCGACAATGGAGGCGGCAGGTGGAATGAATGAATTGTGTCAACTAACTTGCTTTCAGCCGCGCGGATCAAGAAGAACAAGAAGGCCCACAACATCAAGTTCAAGGTCCGATGCCAGAAGCACCTCTACACCCTGGTGCTGAAGGACAACGACAAGGCCGAGAAGCTTAAGCAGTCCCTTCCTCCTAGTATGCGCCCCGACCTTTACTTGTCCCAGATTCAGTTCGACGGCATATTGCCGAAAGCACGAGAATGATCGAAGCTAACCATTTTTTTTTCAACTACAGACCTGCAGATCGCAGAGGTTTCTAAGAAGAACTAAGAAAATGAATTGGCGGTAAAACAGAGGTGGTGGCATTCGGCGTGAGAAGGGTTTACATGCACAACTGGGCGTCTCGGGATACCTTGCATTTCATGTGCTCAGAACGCGCGCTCGCAATAGAGCTCAATATAACGATTTGAGACACAAACAAAACAAAGCAACAATTCGCACACACCGATTTAATGAGTCCGGATGACCTTGTGCCCCAGTTAAGCCGCCCGATGAAGAACACGAAGAAGAAGAAGAGAAAAGGGGGAGCTCAGTTGCTCGGTGATGCCTATTTTACACAATGTGCCTGAAGCGGCGATGATCCTTCTTGAGGGCTAGACTGGCCAAGCCTTCTAATCGTTTCCTTGGAACATCGCCGGCCCAGAATACAACCAGATCCTCCTCACCATCGGTCGTTTCGATCCTCCAGCCTGCCCATATGCTCTTCTCCAGACCTTCTTTTCGCAATTCGTTTTCTAGTGTTTGATATTCACATTGTAGTGCTTCTCGTTGATTGCCCTTGACTGTTATACGGCAGACATCGAATGTGTCGTTGCTGTCCTTGTGCTTGAAGGCTTCGCGCATCTGCGGCCTGGCCCCTGCCGGCTCCATGTGGAACAGCAGGACAGAGTCGCACCCAGGTGCACTGAACTCGCTTAGGCTGCCGTTTGCCATCCTGTTCTCCGCGCTCTGAATCCATTCGCCGTGAGCCTCGGGGGAATCCCAGGGCGCTGTGATGAGAAGTGTTGATTGGTCCGTTGCATCAGTGTACATGCTGCTAACATTCGCGTCGGGATTCAAATTCCACGCCTGGTTCTTGCGAACCCAATTGTCCTGAATCTCCTGACACTCCATGAGAGTCTCGAGGAACTCGAGGCCGTCATATTTGCCCCTCAGCTTTATGAGGGCAAACTCGGTAACGGGCATGACAGCTAGCTGCGTGTGTGAATCGGCTGGTGATACAAGAGAGGCAGATATGGCCGGAGGGTATTATTGATTGTTAACTATGGATCTAGCAAAGCTGCTGCGAGCAACAACCAAAGGCCTTTTATGTCACTCGATTTTCATCAACTAGGCAATGATATGGTGACGCTGCTATCCGTGGCTCCGCGGATAACTGTTGTTTCGTGGTCCGTGTTATTGTTTGCGTAAGATGGTAACCTAGAATCTCCGTGGAAGACGCAGCTTACAGGGCCACCTAATTAAAAAAAAAAAAAAAGGGAAGATATCGTGGCCGCGCAAGCAACGCACTTTACTTTTATAGACAAAATCAACATACGTTCTAGCCCTCCCTCCCCCCAATAAACTAAGGCTCGTCGATCAGCCCAGTATCTGGGCAAAACAAGAGGTGGCTTGAGGCGCTTGTGTCGTCATCACCCCGCCCATTCGAATTGATTGACCAGCCAGAGGAGCGTATCGCGGTGGCACTGAAATCAAACTCAAACGGGCGTAGACTTGTTTTGGACAGTCCCTCACAAGATACCCTTTTTGGAAGGGATTTTTGGCTTTTTATGAAGGGTTCTGACGTGGCGTGGAAAGAAGTGGGATGATTATTTGTTCTGGGGACGTGGCTGCGGCTGAAAAGAACGTGATTGATTGACGGCGGATAAAGAAAGGGTCACGGCGGCGATGCTATAAAAAGCGAATGGGATGAATGCTGAATGAATAATGGGCTGGCCGATGGCGAATGAGCGTAAGGGTTGGTTTTAATTATTTCAGGACTTTTATGGGTTTGAGTTTTATATAAAGTATTTGTTGGTTCAACCTTCAATGACGAGCTACCGAAATCTCGGAGAGAATACATTGCAGCAATTCGAACAGTTAACCTAGGGAATTTAATGTTAAATACGTAAAGTAGGAGGTAATTATATGCTTGTTATCGATATATTTTCAGCTTTCCGTATATTTATCGCTTGACAGAGGCCGTTTACTGAGTGTCTTGGCTAGGCTGTTGTTTCCTCTACGTGATGTCTTTAGAAGACTTTACACGACAGATTTTAAAAAGCAAGTTACCGACTAAAACCCTGAGCTGATTTAATCTCGAACGAGAGGAAGATATTGGATACGCCTGTAATCTTTGTGGAGCACATATTTGCGTGAGAGTGGTCACTGTGTTCCCTCCATACTCATAAGTTATCAACCGTGCCTCGTCCTCGACATGCATCAGATTGAGGCTGCTCTGAAGGATAAATGTTCCTACCATCATATTTATAGATATGAGAGATTATTGCTTCAAAGAGTAGTTTCACGCCCCTGTGAAAGCTAGATGTTGCTGGTGAAAGCGGATGTCTCTCTCAGCATCTGTTCGGCGGAAGGCAGATGTGCCCTAATAACTCACCCTCGGACGTGGAATCTCTTACATTTAATAAACTCGAATGTTCAAAACGAATAAAACAAGATACTTGAGTGATTCCATACATCTCTCAACTTAGAGCGATTTTTGGTGCTCAGCATCTTGAGATCCTAGCTCAGCGCATGGATGGGGGGGGGGGGGGTGTCGATTTGCATTCCTTTATGAATACAATCTATGTAGACTTCTCTCTCTCTGCCACCAAGTTGATTGCGCAATGAATTTTTGCCAATTCTCAGAAAGCCAATGTTATAATTCTCATCTCATGAAGTACAATTGAGCTTTCCGCCTTGAGGAGAGAAACAATTGAGGATTGCTAAGAGCTCATTGTTCTCTCCGTCTCTCATAACAACTAAGCTATGCAGACACGTCGTGAGTATGCTGTAACCTATAGCAAATATCATGCAAACTGCCACTTTAAGGATTAATTTGATATTTTTGCGTCTATGGAAAAGGTAAACTGACTACATATCAGAATCATGAAGAGCACCTATATTCGGCACTTGGATGCCGAGTCCTTAATCCAGAGAGCGTGTGCTTGACTGTTGGCCATTTCTATTGGCCAATTACTTTAAAGGTGACATATTTTTCCTGCACCTACCCAGTATAGCATCTATTCCTGGCATAAACCTTGTGGTAGCCAGCAGCTGAGAGATTGATCGGAACATGGCGACGAATCCAGTCCAGCCACGCACCAGCTGTCTCGCCCAGATGTCTAGCTTCGGCTTAGACACCCTGATCGATGGCTCTGGACTGCAGGGCGGCCAATACGAATACGCAGCGGCATCCCGCGTCGCTGGGATCGACCCCACCTGCCCTGTAGCACGGCAATATCCAGGGCTAAACGGCCCAGCCAATGGGCCTCTGGGGCGCCCGCCACTGGCAAAATTTGTTCCAATTGGGGCCTCACCATTACTGTACTGTACGCACCAGGCTCTCCTGTACATAGTATGCGCTGCGACAGCTGGCCCATGTGCTAGTTAGCGGCTGGCTAATGCAGGCGTGATCGTGGGTGCAACGTTGGGACCGTATCCGGCATCAATGTGTGCTTTGCAGTCGTGGCCCAAGGCAGGCTGCGCATTCGTATCTGATCGGGCGGGAGATGCAGCAGGATTGGAGGATTGTTGTGGCATCTGATGGAATGAGTGCCAGATTATAAGCTATAGATAACTGCTCTCTCTCGCTGTGCGTCTCTTTCGTATGACACAGCAAGGAACAGGATCCATCGTCTTTGTTACTGATACAGTAATCACTGAATCCATATTTGGGGCAGTTGGAGATCAATAGCCCGCTAATCCATCGCCGTGCGGGGCCTTCCTTTCAGGAAAGGCTTGGGCCGCTTTGACTTTTGGCCATCCCAAAAAGCTACCTTTTGGCGTAGGGGGGAGCAGACACGACTAGCAGCTTTGTATTACTTCCACGTCTCGGGAGCTGTTCTGTACAAAGTCTCTGCATCATCCATTCTGCGACCCGATAATCTGCAGCTGCCACCTCTCCGCGCCCCTTTATGTACGTATAGACGCCCACAAGAGTCCGGCCTTGGCATATCCTGAGCAAAGCGCGTGCCTGCGACGACAATCTTATCAGAGGCGACCTCTGCCCCTCGCGCCTCGAGACCCCTGCCCTGACCATCAGGTAGCAGCTCGGATTGTCATGACATTGCAGCGTCCGACGCCAGCAGACGAGCCCTTCAAAGTTGCCAGAGCAGTCCACATGGCTGATGCTGTAGAGACCAACGGCTCCAGCAATGGGAGCGTGTCGCCGGTCAACGGCAATGGACTGAACCGCACTCTGTCGCAGCGCAGGGCATCTGCCCCAATGGCGCCGCCCTTTATGGTTTCTGCGCCAGGCAAGGTGATTGTCTTTGGAGAACACTCTGTTGTGTATGGAAAGGTGCGTTGGATATAAAAAACATGCAGTCTTTCAATCAATCAATCAGTCAATCAATTGCTAACTGGTCATATTCCTTGCCGTGTAGCCTGCCATCGCCGCTGCCATTTCACTACGATCCTACCTCCACGTCACAACGCTGTCCAAGTCAAAGCACACAGTCTCGCTTCGCTTCCCCGACATCGATCTCACCCATACCTGGGATATTGACAATCTTCCTTGGGCCCAATTTCAGCACCCAGACAAGAAGAAGTCATATTTCTCATTGGTCACGCAGCTGGACCCTGAGTTACTGGCTGCTCTGCAGCCGCACATCGACGAAGTCTCCCCAGACCGGCCAGAAGAGATTCGAAAAGTTCACCGGAACTCTGTCACAGCATTCCTCTATCTCTTCCTCTCTCTTGGTTCGCCGCGCTTCCCAGGATGCCTCTACACTCTGCGCTCCACAATTCCTATTTCAGCTGGGTTGGGCAGCAGCGCCTCCATATCCGTCTGTCTAGCCGCTGCTCTGCTGCTTCAGCTGCGGACGCTTTCTGGGCCTCATCCTGACCAGCCCTCAGAAGAGGCACGCGTTCAGGTTGAGCGAATCAACCGCTGGGCTTTTGTGTCTGAGATGTGTATTCACGGAAACCCTTCAGGAGTCGACAATACCGTCGCGACCCAGGGCAAGGCGGTGGTATTCCAGCGAACAGACTACAACAAGCCACCATCTGTGCGCCCATTATGGGACTTCCCCGAACTACCTCTGCTGCTTGTGGACACGAAACAGGCCAAGTCGACGGCAGTCGAGGTGGGCAAGATTGGAAAGCTGAACAAGACACACCCAAAGATCATTGGCCCAATTCTCGAGGCCATGCGCCACATCACAGATACTGCTTCCCAGTTAATCGAGGACGAGGATTTCAACCCAAAAGACGAGGAAAGCCTACGGAGACTGGGTGAGCTCATGGCCGTCAACCATGGTTTACTAAATGCTCTGAGCGTATCACACCCCCGGTTGGAGCGAGTGCGTGAGCTGATAGATCACGAGGGCATTGGATGGACGAAGCTGACTGGCGCTGGTGGTGGCGGTTGCTCCATCACTCTGCTCAAGCCAAATGTGCCAGACGAGAAAATCACCAAGTTAGACAGCCAGTTTGAGGCCGAGGGTTACGAAAAGTACAGCACTACTCTTGGTGGTGATGGCGTGGGTGTCTTGTGGCCCGCCGTTCTGAAGAATGGTACCGAAGAAGATGAAGAGGGCGGAATGGAAATCGACGTGGATAAGTTCCTTAACGCAGAGGGCACTGAAGGCGTGGAGCAACTCGTCGGTGTCCATGGCGATGCGGGCGAGCGAGAAGGATGGAAATTCTGGCGAGTGGAAAGCGAGTAGCCAAGCCTACGTCTAATATCGAGCTCGGAGGCTGTAAATGTGCTGCTGAGTCTGGCGTTGGATCAATATCATGGCGACAAACAGAACATATGCGGAAAGAGGTTCGATAGTACTAATTGCTTTTCAACGCATGAGCATTAGATGCTGTAATGGCGTTTGAGGAACCTTGTCATTTCCATTCTTTTTTTTTTTTTTTCTTTTTCTTTTTCGCTGTATGATATAATATGTTTTAACAAAAATCGTTTCTAATCATAGTTCTAGATACAATAGATTTAACGCATTTGATGACTTGACGTTTTGCCCCTGAAGATAGGAACTTGTTCCGCAGAGACAATCAATCACTCATATACAAGGCCATGTCAAACTTGCATCCAGGTGACAGGTACTAACTTATTTCAACTCTGACAGCCGGTACTTCCAATATCCCTCCCGCACAGGGTCCCACTTCTCCGATAGTTCTTTAAGGCACAGCTTGGCCTTTTCAATATCGCCCTGCTTGTGGTAAACTTCCGACATGAGGTCCAACGCATGCGAGCTTGTGACTTCCTCATCTTCAGCCCCCAGATTAGAGAAGAACTGCGAGGCAAACTCCCCTACGGTATCCAAGCCTCGTCCACCTTTGGCCAAGACTCCACGCAGGTACAGCCAAGAAGACTGATTCTGAGGCGCAAGCTTAATCTTCTCTTGTGCATACGCAATCTCCCTGTCGATAATGGCGTCAGGCACCTTGGGATCGTGCTCCGTAGATGCACTGCCCTTTGTCGAAATGGACGGGTCTGAGAAGACAATGAAGAAGCGATGCGACCAGGCCGAGTTGTTGCGCAGGTCATCCTCAATCATGCTCTGAGTGGTGGCGAGCTCAAAGGGGCTCCAGTAGTCGAGCTTTGTGATGAGGTACTGGCGGTACGACCAGACGTGGTAGTTCTTGGTGTCCTTGGAGAGGATCTTTGAGATGAAATCGGTCTCTGATTTGGCAAACTGCTTGGCGGCCTCGGCGTCGGAGCTGAGCGTGTTGGCGTAGTGGTGGTCGAGGAGGAGCTGGCGGTGGTGCCAGATCTGGTAGTTCTTGAGGTGGTCCAGGGCGACGTCGTTGAGCCACTGGATTTCATCCGTGATGGAGAGCTTGAGAGCGGATACAATCTTGAAGCGGTAGAGCCAGACGGTGTAGTGGCCTGGGTTCATGGCGATGACACGCTCGGTGAGGCGGAGGCAGCGAGGGGAGTACTCCTCGGATGCCATGACGGCACGGAGATAAGAGACGGCTAAGAATAGCAATGTTAGCTGGTTGTGCTTGAATTCCATCTCATGTCATGTAAGGAATCATTTCATCCAAGGGTTTGGCGGTCGTACCTTCAGCATAATCGTCGGGATAGGCAATCCTAGCCAAGGCATCCTGAGACTCTTCCTGCGGAATGGGAATCACATCATCCCACTCCGGGTCGTTGGCAAGCGGTCCGGGGATCTCCCCATAGAGCTCCCTCTTCAATACCGCCATCTCTTGCCGCCTCTGCTTTTCCTGGTCGATATCCTCCTGGGGAAGCTTGGCGCCTTTGCTGCGAGCAGCTTCTCTCTTGAGTAGAAACTGCTGGTGGAGGACGTTGAGCGCGGTCAGTTTAGCCTGGCTCAGAGATCGCTTCTTGAGCTCGTCGATTCTGTAGGTGCTGATGTCCCGGCCGTGCTTGTCTGTTCCCCAATTGTAGTTGTTCTTGAGGCGTCGGCAGGGGAGGCCTTCTTTGGTGACCTGCTTCCAGTACTCGCGGTCGGTCTTGTTCGACAGCGACACCTGACGGTTTGCGACGGGGAGGATCAGTCTCGCGTGGGTGTACGTCTTCTTCTCCGCCGGAGTCAGGCCAGGGAAGCCAACTTCTTCAAATCGTCGCTCAACAGGGTTGGTCTGGTAGTAGCGCTGCTTGGACCGCTCGCCAACAGTCACTGGGGGGGCATCAGGCGGCGTAGCTGCAGGGGATGGAGCTTGTGTTAGCTGGTGGTTGCAATACTGTGCAGTTTGGAGTAGCCAAGCATGAATATACTGATACTTGCCTTTGGGCTCTGGGTTGGCGGCCTTTGCAGTGGCCTTTGGCTTAGCCGGCATATTGGATGCTGGAGGTGTAAATGCGAATGGCGGGGCTTTTTTTTCTGAGTCGGAGCTCCAAATAATGCTGTCTGCCAACAAGGTTTCCCCGCGATGGGGCTCGGACCAACTAACGGCGCGGCGCCCTGAGAACAATGAGAACAATCAAATACAGGAGGCATTAGGCTTTGCGTTTGTTAAGCAGCTAATACAGTACTATATACATAGTTAGAAATTGAAATAAGTGTCCGGGTTTCATTATAATGAAAGTCTTTCCTCACAAAGGAATTGGTGGCTTAGTTTGGCTGATATTGTGTTGGCGCCCAATTGGTATGTACATTATTGAGATATAGATGCTTCTGTAAGCCAGAAGCCGCATTTCCAAATATGATATATGTACGTTCCATTGGGATCTATCTGATTATTAGTAAATGATAGAGAGAAAGAGAAGCAGCTGTTATTGTTATTTAGTCCGGATATGCACCGTGTGTGGCCATGAGATTAAGAATCTACAAAATGCGACAGTATGTAGAATGTAGAGAGTGCATATATTCACCCAACTTCCATGCAGAACTACTAGGTAGGTACCTGTAGGGTGGTAGCTCCCGTGCTGTAGGATCTACTACAAAGGTGTATATATATATAACGATGATGATGATGATGATGTGATAGCTACAATCTCAAACCTGCTGGCCTACCTACCTTGTTTATTATGCTTCTTATATCGCAAATTTACGAACCGCAGACACGTTCCCAAGCCGTCTTTTACCTTGCCAGATTTTGGCACTATCCAACTATACAACTCGGTTGATCTATTCGGTATCACAGGACGCGATGTGTACTACCTCAGCACGCTTTGATACTGAAAAGTACATGTAGCAGCTGTTAGAACCAGGTAGATGCTCATGATATTCGCAAGTTCCTACTTTTTCAGCCAGGGATTCGGGCGGTTGAGGTCTCTTTTTCAAGGCTGCAATGGCAAGATCGAGCAGGAATTGTTTAGGCAGGTCGTCTTCATTGGCCCATTCCGTTAACCATTCTTCATGTCCATGGCAAGTATACATATCAACCAGAAGGCGTCGAGCGGCCGATGATTCCGGAGTCCCTTCATATATGCAGCGGATGGCCGGCCCAACAGGATACCAACACAGACCGTCTGATGCCGTGGAGCGGGATTTGATCAAGATCGCATCTAGGACAGCGTCCTTGAAATTGACATCCTGAAGCATCTCTCCCAAAACGTATGCTTGTGCGAGTTGTATGTACTCATTGTTCCCCTCTTGTCCGGGGCTGTCATTCCGGACTGGGAGTGTTTCACAGTACAACCAGTGCAGGTATACCTCGAACACTTCTGGGTCTTCTTCCTTGAGAGTAACAGATCCACTAGTAGATGTATCCCAATAAGCCTTCATAGCTGTTTTAAAATAATCCGAAGTGCGACATATCAAATGCTCGTGGACGGAGAACGTCACGGGGTCGGTTGATCCAACCGTAACAGTAAGTGTTCTACCCCGCAAACTACAGCCCATTTAGACAGGATGAAGATCTAGGCTTGAAGGTCTCAACTCACTCCAGGGACTTGTGCTTGTGCGTTCTCAGCTGGGTTATGTCCATGATTGATACAATAGGAGATGCAGTAGTATCCGGCATAGATATTGTGAGTATGCTCGATGGTTGTTAGAAACAAGAGTTCTCCGCATTGATGGCGAATGTTACAATGGCCTGACAGGGCTGTGTTGGTAAACACATGCATGTTGGCCATCTTTGAGCCACTGTACTGCATCCAGTTCCTAATGTACCAGTTGGACTTGCATTGCTGCGAGACGGGACCTGGCGCGTGCGGTCGATGCTGCTTACATGTAGGCAGCGCATTGAACCCGCTAGCCATATACATGTAATTATGCCAGCGCCTCCATACATACGTACATACCTACATGTATGGACCTAGGTATATAACTACAGAAGCTCCAAGAGTGATGTCAGTATAACATAGTGAGCATCACTGTATATGATTATCCTGTATTAAACCTCCCTCCACCCGCTGCATAGGTTGCCCTTCATAATACTGATCTATAATATGATCTGTGTGAAAAGAGGTTAAATATCAATAATGCTAGATACTTATTTCAGTTTTACTGTGTATGAGAAAAATATTGGAGTGGTAATGAGTATTTGAGTAGGCACGAATTTAAAGGGTTTTCACGGCGATGCGTTGAATTTATAGCCAAGAGTGAAATAAGTGCTCGTGGTTACTTTGACATGCTGGAGTTTCTATAGAAGAGCCTATAGAGCTATAATCATCACAGGGATGACTATGCCAAAAAGGTCCCTGCTTTCTGTCCCACATCATTTACATTTCATTGCAAATAAGACCCTGTCCAGCCTGTATCAAGAAATTGTATTAGTAAATGCGCGAAAGTGTTGAGTGTGGCCAATACATGAATCAACATACAGTTCCGAGAGTGCAGCAATTAGGCTTGCTGCTGCCAACGCAGCCATCTGGGCCAACTAAAGAAAGATTAAAACGTTAGCAATTTGGGCTCCTACTACGATATCTGAAAAGAAAAAGTATAAAACGAAACCCATACCGTTACGGCAATCAAGGGCTAGAAGACCAAGGACGTTGACGCTGCAGCACATGGGGCTGCTGTTGATCAGGCCGCCAGGGCAGGAAAAGGAGCCGCGGCTGGCAATGCTGTGAGACTCAGTCTCGGTGATGGGGGCGGCGAGGCCCAGGGTTAAAAGAGCGGCAGCAATATACAGCTTCATTATGGCAGATTTATTTAACAAGTAAGATTGGATACTAAAACGTTGTCACGTCTGTTGCGATTGTAGTGTTGGGTTTGCAAGAGAGAAATCTTTTGCTTTTGAGTTGGGGGACCTGACTTATAAAGGCCAAGGGACAGCCCACATCCGGCTTGGGATAATCACAATCTCGTATGATAGTTTGCGGGCTATTAAAAGTCTCAGTCTGTCTCAGCATTTTCCTGGAATGCGTTTAGCTGGGCTTCTTATATTGCGACGTACTGGGCTCTCGTGCATCATAAGCGGTTGTTCATCTCCAGTGCGAAGCCAGGGAGGAAGGAGAAACAGTAGCATCGCCGCTATTCGCATATAGTCTGTGAGAGCTATAGCTCTTACAGGAGGGTCTCAGCTATATCTCCCTTGCAGCCAGTCTAGTGTGGTACCAGCCGTCTCTTTCGCCTAGATACAGGCGGAGAGAGTGTCCGTGCCTACCGTGCGGTACCGCTCCCCCGGTTCTGGGATATTGGCTTGTCTGAGACCTCAAGCTCGGTCTAATAAGACAGTCTCGCGGACTTATATCACTACGCGGCAATTGCTCCATGGACCTACATCGATTTGCATGAACTCCTACACAAATATCGATAAAATGTAATGCATCTTTCAAATACAGTAAGATTTATATGCAATGAGTATTTGAATTTCAACCTTTTTGCGTATGTCCGTTCTAAAGAGGCTACAGGCAGCTAATAGATCGATCAAGCTCCTAAGCGTATGACTTTCAGAATAAAAGCGCCAGCAAAAGTTAGGCCACCAAGCGGCTACCCAAACACCGAGGCTCAACAAAGGATCAGCACACAAGATGTATGTACACACACAAAGTGGCGAAACTCCTGCTTGCAGTGCTGTGTATTATTGTTGTACGCACGAATTTATTTTGCAGTCTCCGTCCCTCTGATGACCGCTTGGCCACGACGACCATGCGCCATCCTGGCCGTTAATATGATACGGTGGATAGCCCAGCGTCGTGAAAATGTCATCCCAAATACATCATCTTCTCAGATGGTCTCAAGTCAATGTTCGAGCTGTGCTCAATCCCTGGCTCGCGTCCGTTATTAGAAACTTGAGGTTGGTCTCGCACGTGTCTTTCTTCGGGTGAAAGAGTACAGGTCGAACGTCGTCATAAGGCCAGCCTCAATCTGCATGGTGAATAAATAATCCTGTGCGCATGTGTGCGTATATATATGGGTATCTCAATTTGGCGCCACCGTATTTGCCCCGTCCCGATGTTTGACAGTCAAATGCCAAAGCTATTAAATATTGGGATGATATATTTATTGACTTGGTTCACTCTCAAAGGGCGCGGAAGTTTTGTGACATGATGAGCCATCTTTTCAGCCCTCGTGCCGGATTTCTCGCCATGGAGTCCCAGTTGGGGGTTAGGACAAAAGTCTCGTTGAACATCTTCTGTGGTGCTTCCCTCCCCTTGCCGAACCGGACCTTGCCCATGGTTGTGACGACGATGCTCATCTTTCGTCCGCTCTTTTCGTTCTTTTCGCTTTCGTACACGGTTTCCGGAGCGCCATATTGGAATGAAGGGTTGATAATGTGCGTGTCGAACGACTCTATCTCATAATGCACATCCTCGCCTTGGGTTTCGAGTAGCTTGGAATACTCTTCCGGAGTAGGGACAACAGAGCCATTGATGGAGATATCGGCCGGTATCGAATATCGAGAAGACGAGTTGATGTAGAAGGTTTCGAGTTTGGCGCGACTGTTTATGGCCTGATAGTAGCTGTTGACAAAGATCTCGGCAGCTAAGATGAGGCGATGTCAGTAATAAAATCCAAGGCTCGGTTGACATTGAAACGCACCATCGCTGGAAGCTTTGACTTCCGTGTCTGCGTCTGGCAACGGCATGATGCTGTGCTTATCGCTTGCAGCGTCGGCTATGGTTTTGAATGAGCTGCTGACGTTGCTCGTACTGTTTCCAATAGTAAATATGAGGCGTACCCCAAAGCCAAAGTCGCAGACAAAAAGTTCCAGCCTAGCTTGCCATGACGTGAAGTGCTGCCCCACCGTTATCTACAGTTATCGCCCATGTCAATTCGCACTAATAGCACTGTATCATGCAATTTCACCATCCATCTCTGCATCTTGCTCTAAATCCAAGCTCGCCGTGGGTGTCGCAACCATGCTGCTCCCATTCAGGTCGCGGGCCCTCCCGGGGCTGCGGCAAGCTCAGTCAAGGCTTGCTTTGCGATCTGGCTGGATTTGCTCCAGCTGTCGAACAACTCCGGCTGCTGTACAACGCTGGAGCAGCTCTCAAAGCTCTGCGGGGTCCTCGAGCGAGAAGCCGTATTATATAACTACGCCAATCTTTTATGTCAATGCTGGTAAATATACCTGGAGTTTAATGAGTTTCCCTAACGGTGTGACTAACATGTTATTCAAAAAGCTCCACATATTGGTCATTTATATACCATGGTCTTGGCGGATGTCATCAAGCGTTGGCAGCAGATTAAAGGTAAAGAAGCGTTTTTGTGCACGGGAACAGATGAGCATGGAATGAAGATTCAGAGAGCTGCGCTGAAGCATGGAATGGAGCCAAAGGAGTTTTGCGACGGCAACTCAAATAAATTTCGGGAATTAGTGGCGGCTGCCAATATTTCCAATGACTTCTTCATCCGAACGACTGACCAAGAACACAAGGACGCGGTAGCAGAATTCTGGCTACACTTGAAGCACTCTACCCCTGAGAGTTTGGGTCTATATAAGGGTTCCCACGAAGGTTGGTACTGTGTCAGTGATGAGTGTTTCTATCCTGAAGACTTGGTGCGGCCTAGCATTGCGCCTCAGACTGGAAAGAAGATTATGGTCAGCACTGAGACGGACAACGAGGTGGAATGGGTCAAGGAAGAGACTTGGTTTTTCCCATTAACGAAATACAAAGACGCTCTGTTGAAGCTCTATGACGAGAATCCCGGTTGGATCAAGCCTGCCCATCGAATGGCTGAAGCGAGAGAATGGATTGAGAACCATCTTGAAGACTTATCAGTTACAAGACCGGCTTCCAGGCTCAACTGGGGAGTATCTGACCCCGAGGATAAAAGTCAGACCATATATGTTTGGGTAGATGCTCTTATCAATTACATAACCAAAGCTGGATACGGAAGCAAATGGCACACGGCAAAAGACGATATGGGAATCTGGCCGGCCGACCTGCAGGTGATCGGAAAAGACATTTTGCGTTTTCACACAATTTACTGGCCCGCTTTGCTCATGGCCCTTGGATTGCCCGTCTCAAAGGGTTATCTTTGCCACAACCACTGGACCATGTCCAACCGCAAGATGTCCAAGTCACTGGGCAATGTTGTGAACCCATTCTTCGCCATTCAGCGATGGGGCATCGACCCCCTGCGATATTTCCTTATGCGCAACGCAACCTTTCACAAGGACATGAGCTACTCTAACCAGCTGATTGGCACCGTCTATATGAAGGAGCTGCAGGCAAACATTGGTAACCTTTTCTACAGAATCGCAAAGCCAAAGTCGTCAGTTAGGTGGTCGACCCTGGAAGCTGTGACGGCCTTTCGCGATGGACATTTGAACGCTTGGGCCGAGAAACACAACTCAAATGATTCCGAGGCAATCTACTTCAGCTTAGAAAGCCACTTGTCCGAAAGTCCCAAGACTTTTTGCAAAGAAATGGACGAGTATGATACAAGTGCCGCGATTCGCGTAGTTTTCGAGCTGCTTAGAGAGGTATGGTTGACTACGTATATATATTACATCGGAAATATGCAGAAACACTAACAATATTGTAAAATAGACAAACCGCTACGTTTCGGATACCAAGCCCTGGGATTTAGTCAAGAATCAAGACCCAGAGTCTCGTGTACTCTTAAACTGGGTAATCTTCAACAGCGCAGAAGCATTGCGCATTGCTGGCATCCTGCTCCAGCCCATTATGCCAACAAAGGCATCAGAGTTGCTGGATGCTTTGGGAGTCCGGCCTGATAGACGAACCCTTGAGTTTGCTGCCAAAGGCAAGGACGCCGACTATGGCACTGAATCTAAGCCCGCAGAGCCGGTGCCTCGTATGAGCAAGTGGGACACGCTGTTCCCTCCAACTGCCAGCGCAGATCTCTCCGATGATGAGCTGCTAGAGCACCTCAGGGTTGCGTTACTGGATAAGACTAGAAACAAGATGAATCAGATGGCTGAGCTGCTGGCCATGGAGGCGCGCATGGGAGAGGAGGCCGTCGCTAAGCTACTGGCCGAAACACATGCAGCCAAAGTTGGTGCATAACCGTCACGAGCGTGGAGTAGTTGGAGTTTTGTATAACTTGGCACTGCCTATGTGCGCGGCACTGTAAGATATGTATGATAGGCTGGATTGTAAACCAGATGATGGGTCTTCAAATAGTAGCATTGTTATTTTTATTTAAACACAATATGTAAATTAAAATGGATATGGTGATTTTTGGTTTGATTGTGTGAATTATTGCTGCTGTTGGTTTTTCTCATTTGTTAGCGGCATACCCAATTGAGCTCATCATTTTTGGCCCAATGCGCAGCTTAATACCGCTATGCTACAAACTTTTTCATTTTCTCACATTGAGCCACCTATATGCACGACCTGAGAGCCGTCAACAATTCAACATGAGAGTCAATGAAAAAATTGGTATGAGTAATTAAATGCCCTGATCCGGTGACTTTGATGCTAAGCGTGTGTAGCTGTCTCAACGAGTAAAGTTTTACTGGTTCCATATGAAGCCCACCAGGTGCTCACATATCATGGCTGGATGAAAGATCCTGTACTAGATGAACCCCTTTCAACTTGGCAATTATTTTACAGCCTATTAACAGTTGAACAGGCTATACAAGAGGCGACTGCATCAGAACCCATGACCTTGGAGGAAGAATATGAGAACCAGCAATCGTGGCGGACGTCTCATGATAAATTGACCTTTATTGTCTGCGAGCCGTTAAGTGGAGAGCAACGAAGTGATGATGCACGGGTGATTACAGCCAGAGTCGATGACTCGCCAGACAAAATGAAGGGAGACGTCAATTTTTTCTTATACCTGGACGACGACGACGATGAAGATGGTGCTGAGCAGCGAGATGGCAGCCATATACGGCTGATGGGCGAAATAGACGTCATGATAGCCGGGCAACAGCATCGCGGAAAAGGCACAGGAGAAGCAGCAGTGCGCACAATACTGGCGTATATACGGAGCAATTTGACTGGTATACTACAGGAGTATGCGCAAGGCGAGAATTTAGACGGGGACAAGATACAGCTGGTCGGTTTGATGGCGAAGATTAAGGAAGATAATACGGGGAGTAGAGGGTTGTTTAAGAAGCTTGGCTTCAGACAAGAGGGAGAGGCGAATTATTTTGGAGAGGTGAAGATGGTTATGAGTTGGGAGGAAGTTGAGGGCATGGGCATTGTGGATGGATTAGAGTATGAAGAAGTAGCATATATGGCGTGAAGTTGGGCATGGGGAATGGCTACGTGCAATCACTCAAGATCATTGACTACCTTACCGGTTACAAATCTCACTCAATTGTTTCAGGTAGGAGCCACTCAACCCAATTTTAGAACAAGGCGGGCTGTAGTTTCCAGGTCCATCTATTCTGGAAGGGAACTGTGGCTATTGGCTATATGTAGAGTATACACACATCATGTCGATGAGGGACGCTACTATAGTTACTAGGTATTCACAGCGATTTTGAACTTTCCAAAGTCTCTCTCCACAGCTGGCTGCCATCAGCATAATTTAGGTTTCTGCAAAGACTTTCTCTCTCTTCAAGTTTCAGGTGTACTTGAGCCTCTTCTAATACCTATAGCTAACCCTTCATAAGGCTATCCATCTCCTTTGCGAAAACGGACCCATGGTATAAACAGGCTGTAATATGCAAAGTTTACAGCTTTTTTTTTTCAAGGAATATCGGCATGTAACGGACGGACCGCTTCACAGCATTTTTAGCACACCCCGAGCCTTGATATAATCAGGCTTATGATTTGTTGAGTTTGCAGGCACTCTTGGGGTGTTTTAACGCTAGACTAGTTGTTGTATTATACCCTCTTTGCCTGTCTGCCTGCCTGACTATCGTGAGCCTGTTTCACAGCATTTTTAACTCTCCCCAAGGCCATCTTCACACCATGCTCGCAAATCAGATCCACTTTAATGCTCCTCCACTACAGATTAGCGCACAACCCCCCACCAGCTGCAACCACCCGCCGCCAGCCGCCAAATCCAAAACCTCCAAAAATTCAACGCCAAGCTACTTCTCACCACCACCAAGCCTCGAAATCGCAACCGCAGCATCCAACAAACCCGCCCAATTCATCTCCACATCCTCTCTCCAACACCAGCGCTCGCCACACCCAAACGAGTCGCTCTCCTCTCTTCCCACAATGCATTCCATCATCCGCCTCGCGCGGCCTCTGCTGGCCCCGCGCATCTCTCCCCTCTCGCAACGGTACGTCTAAAAAATTCCTCTCCAACATCACCAAAAAGCTTTCCAGTGAAACTAACGAGTTCTACCCGCAGGACATTCTCATGCCTCTCCCCGCTCCGTCCAACATTAACTTCCACCTTCCGACCCAACAACTCCTTCACCCCGTCAGCCACAGCAGCCGCAGCGTCACCAGCCGAAACAACAGCAACAGCCGCAGATGTCGTCCCCAAGACAGCGCTCTCAATGCATCCCTCGCTGCAGGGCGCCATGCAGCTCCGATTCGGTCCCCGAAATACCATGAACGGACATACGAGACTGGTGCAGAAGCGGAGACACGGCTGGCTGAAGAGGACGAGGAGTAAGACTGGGCGACGGATCTTGCAGAGGAGGAAGCTGAAGGGCAGGAGACATGTTGCGTGGTGAAGAGGATCTTTTTTTTTAAAAAAAAACCTTTCTGGAGAGAATTATATGACGAAGGATGATCGAAATGAAAAAGAAGCTGGGATATGTGTGAATAAATACGAGTATTATTACTCTGAGGAGATGGGGAATAGGGGAGGTGTATAAAAAGGGAGCATCTAGAGGTATAGATGTATTATTGTATTGTACTACTACTTTCACGCCAAGACTCAAAACATAACAGTAAAATCAACGAGAAAAAAAAGAAATAGCTTGTCAATTGCTCAAAAATACCTGTCATTCCACCTCTTGTACATCTATCTACACTGGCCCAGTGACGCCAGTCTCACACTTCAATGTGTCTGTATGGCACACAATACTCAGATCATCGCTAGCCTCGCCAATCCACACCTTGTATCCTCCATCCACTGCAGGGACTGTCCAATCTTGAGCCACCACGTCCCACACGCTCAGATCCTTTCGTGTGAGCGTCAATGTCACCGTCGTAGACGCCCCTGGTGCCAATTCCTCCGTCTTCTCAAAGTCCCGAAGCTGGATAATCGGCGTATCATAGGAGATATTGTCTGGAAACTCCAAGTACGCCTGCACGGATGCCTTGCCGGCAAACGAATCCCCCGTGTTTTGGACAGTCACCGTGAGGTTGTACGCAACGTCCCAGAGCGCAGGGTTGCCTCCCTGGTCACCGCCGGAGCGAGGACCGGGTTTCTGGACGGTAGAATAGCCGGGCGGGTAGGAATATTTGCCATTCTTTCCATCGGAAACAGCGTTATTAGCATCGCTCTGGGAGAGCCAAGAGTAGATGTAGCGGGGGATGGAGTTGAAGCCAGACGGCGCAACGGCTTGGTTTGCGGAGGGGATGGCTTGTGAAAAATTGAGAATGCCGCTCTTGGCAGGGCGAGCAGGAGGATATGAGCTTAGCTGAGTGACTTTCTTGATTGAGGCTGCTGTGTAGGTGAAGTTTGTATAGCTCAAACCATGGCCAAAAGCGTATCGAGGCTTGGTATTGTTCTTGTTGACCCAGCGATAGTCAATGTACAAGCCCTCGGTGTAGGGATCTTGAGGTTGGTTTAGAAACTCCGAGTTGATAAGCGTGGTAACGCTACTTGGCATGTCGCTCTCGGCCTTGGTGATGGTATAGGGCAAATGTCCACAAGGAGAAGAATGGCCAAAGAGGACGTTTGTCAGGGATGTTCCAGCCTCTTGGCCCGGCAGATGAGCAACAAGCACGGCCTTGACGGATGGGAGATCAATCCAGTTCTCAAGCACCAGCGGCCCAACGGTGTGGATGACAACAATGACGTTGCTGAACTTGCTGGCAGCGTTTTGGACGAGCTTATCGCCATTATGCCAGGCGTATAAGCCAGACGCATCACGGTCGCCATGGTTGCCTTCAACGGTATAAGTGTTCTCGCCAGCGTCTGATGTGATGAATACAATAGCAACGTCGCTGGCCGAGACTTGGCCAACTGAGGGAAAGCTATCAGTGTTGTAGAACGTGACGTTGCTCGCCTCCGCGGTAATGGCTGTTATCGGATCATCCAGATAGGGGTAGTCGACAGTGCCGGAGCCCCAGCCCTGGCCAAGAGTGCCAGTATTGCAGTTGCGATCTGTGCAAGAATTAACGCCGGCGGAGTTCTTCTGAGCATCGGTGCCAAAGACCTTGAGATGCTGTGAAGGCGAAAGGGGAAGAATGTTGTCATCGTTCTTCAACATGGTAATGGCATCCTGAGAAATCTGTCGAGCAATTACGTCGTGATCGGCTTGGACTTGAACAAACTCGTTTGTGACTCCGGACGGCGAGTTTGGCCACGCGGCAGGATACAGGGGATTGACCGCGGCGCCCGAATTGGTGTCAAAATTTGTCGCCGGGTAGCCCTGATCCTGGCCCATTTGATACCATGCCGCAACAATGCGTGTGGCCGCATCGTTGAGGCGATCCATGGGGACGGACCCGTTAAGAGCAGACCGAGTGAGCTCGTACATCCAGTAAGAGTTTCCAAAGAGCGGGATTTGAGTGTCGCCAGGCATGTCCATGTCGAGACCGGCAATGGCAGAGGCAACGCCGGACATGTGCGCGAGCCAGTCGGTCTGCGTGAAGCCCTGGAAGCCCATCTCGTCTTTGAGGAGGTTATTGATGAGGTAAGGGTGCTGAGTGCACGCAGTGTTGTTTACCTGCAGTGATGAAATGAGAAATCAGCTCTTTTGAACTCGTCAAACCCAACTCGAATTCACTTACAGCATTGTATGCCATCATGACGGAGCCAACGCCTGCTCGAATGCTTTCGGCGAATGGCCAGGCGTAGAGTTCATGCATAGTCCTGTCATCTTTTCATAAGGACCGTCATCAGCTATCATCAGCCCGTCATGATACCATATGGGTTATGTATAAGTACCCACCAATATTCGAGCTGTAAGCATATTGGAAAGGATTGTACATGCGGTACATCTCCTGCTCATTGCCAATAAAGTGCTTGATTGTTGCAATCACGCCCTGCTCCTGAACTCCCTTGATCGTCTCTCTTGCACCAACAGCCTGAAGCACAGGATCGGCTCCAAAGCCCTCCCAGTTGCGGCCACCCTTTGGCTTGCGGCCAATTGGACCAACCACAGGTCCTAACCAGACGTTGACTCCCTTGCCTCGATTCTCCTTTCCAATGGCCACGCCGCGCTGGTACATCAGCGACTTGTCAAAGGTCGCACCAACCGTAATGCCGTCTGGGAAAGCTGTGACATTGTCGGCATGTCGCACACCCGCGGGACTATCATTGAGACATAGCTGGGGAAAGCCGACCCGAAGTGCAGAGCCTGTGTTTCCAGCACATCGTCTTGAATATACCACAGCAGCATTAGCTTCGTACTTATTCAAATTACCATCAAGATTGCTTTATCAGAGCCACGAGCAATTTCTTTACTTGAACAAAACACTGCTTCGTGGTGTTGTTTGGGTTGTTTCCGAAACCAACTTACCCTGTTAAGAAGTCGGTCAGCATATAAAATGTTGTACATGATCATATAACGATTACACCAAGACAGCAGAGGCGCCAAGTTTATTTTCGCTATATATAAAGAAGCCTATACTTACCCATGTATATACCAGTTCCTCCAGTGATATTTGTCTTCTCTGCTAGAGTCATGGAGTCGACAAGAGCTTTAGCTTTGGCATAGCTCTCCTGCCAATCGGCGACCCATCCTCCATACGGCGCAGGATAATACGGCGGCACGTAATAGCTAACCGCAGCTGAATCTCGGGCCGACAACTGCTCGTTTTTGTCTGTGTCGGCGATGGAGCCGGCGTGTCCTAGTGAAACGACGCTGGACAGAATACAGATGGCGGCGGCGGGCACCCCAACTCTATCGAGGAACGGGGCCATGGTGCCGATGACCAAGGATACAATGGAATAGCAGATATCAGAAGATACGAAGGGGCTATTGGAAGGGGCGCTTTTGCTCTCGCGTGCTCATGAGGGCTTCACACAAGAAACAAGTATCGACTCAAAGGCTAACCCCAACTCCAACGGACAAGAACAAGTTACGGAGAAGCCATCTAGATGGTCAAGAAACGGCCAATCGTTTCCCTATAAAGAAGAATCTGGGGGCTCCCAGGACAGGAAAGGATGGCTGAGCACTTGCATTCCATCATCGGTCTTGTGTCATGATAAGATGATCGTGACCCCTCCTGCTTTAGACGAGCCAAGACGCAGACAGGCCTATCATTTACACTGATGGCTCTCTTTTGCTCCTCATTTTTTTTTTTTTTCTCTTTTTTCTTTTTCTTTTTTTGCTATGCTTCGTGTCATCTTTCTCATGCTTTCCTTTTCTGGCCTGTAGATGTTGATACACTACCCGAAGTGGCAGTAGTACCGCCAGAGACATGCAAGCGGTCGAATAAGGAAACGAAAAGCAAAAAGACGAGCTGAAGAGATGCGACAGCACGGTCCAGATCAGCTCAGGTTATTTCTTTATCCCTAACCCTGCCAAGAGCTGAACGGTGGCAACACCAATTTGTGATACTAGCATTGATATATGCGGTGGGAAAAAAAAACCACTAGCACCTCATGGCAAATTGGTGCTGTCATGCGACGCCGCCAAAGTCACCGCCTCCAAAGGCGCACAAATCGGACGTCACAATGGCACTCTCAGACACGCCCATCTTTTTCGGGCATCGACCATCGGGCTCGGTGAAATGTCTCGAAAGGCGGTGGTGGTGGATCGGGCGGCTTTCTGCTTTCTGCATTCCGGACGAGAGACTGGCGGGGGATTCCGCTCTGGCTACGACACGCTGTGAATCTCGTCGTATTTGCAGGGATCAGAGGAAAGCTAAGCGGCCGGACGGAGTCTGGGGAAAAGCAGGTCGACAGTGGGGGAAAAGCCATTACGTGGAGTTTCTAGGAGTGCTGTGGGTGGTATTAATAATGTTACCGCAAGTAGGCAAGGTAGCAGTAAGTGAGTATGGAGTGGTGGTGGTGTAGCTTTGGAAAGTAAAGGCACCTATTCATGTTGTCAAGATGCCCAAACCAAGGCGGCTTGCTTTGGCGGTAGAATAGCCAAGGCTAGCGGGGAAATCACAAGGAAAAGAAAAGGAAAAACAGAGACAGCAGGCAAAGGCGGATGACCCTCGGTTCAAATACAGGCTGTCAAGGGCCATTCTGTCGAATCTACAGTTTAGCGCCCTGCACGATGATCTTCTTTGGGGGGGTTGACGAGAACTTGGAGGGTGGGCAGCCCCTACGCCTTACGTACCGTGTGGTTTTCTCCCGGTTTCCATGTCGATGCTTACAACTGCCCATCGTTTTAGGTCTGAGGCATATGGCAAAGAGAGTCGTATCGTTGCTGGATAGAGCATGTCAAAGCGTGGCCTGTCAGCATGTGCGAAACACCTGCATGGCCCAAATTGACAATTTGCAGCATGTCGAAACCAACAACAACGGTACTTGATGCCGGACAGGGGCAGTCCCGCTATGACGGGATAAGGAGTTTTATCCGCAAAAAAGACAGTCCGTTATTACCGTATTGATAGATTAACGGGCGGCTGCTGCTACCCTGTAAATGGTAGGAAAAGAGACAGTTTTGAATAGCCAAGAGGAACGTTTCTGCACTCGCAACGCCCCCTTAGGGAAGGACCACTTGATGCGACAAATGCTTCGTGGGAGCCTGATTAATTACTCCGGTGGATGAATGCGGTCCGATTGCCTATATTTGGAGCATATCTGGGACTTTGTCAACAGCATTCAACCCCAGTTTGTTCTGCGAGTGGATTGTCGCTCTTGTCTAACTTTTGGTGTGGCTCTACTTGTCGCCCTTGTCTTAGTTGACAACTTGCTTCGATACGAAATATATTGCCTACTCTACTGATATGGTGTCAATCTCTCTGTAGTAGGAAAGTTGTAAAAGATCTCTACCTATTTCTGTAAATAATTTCAGCTGCATTAACTTTTCAGTGCATCTTAATATATTTCTTCATAAATAGTGCCTATCTTAGTGAAGAGTCCACTGCGGGTACTAGATTCTCTTTGCGAGCTTCCATTTGGAGATGATGTCCGAGGTCAGGTGGCGGGCAAACGGCTCTTGTAGCTCGTGGATATAATCACCCAATATTGTTAGCACGGTAATTAGTCCATCAACTAGAGCTTTTCCTTTGATGTGGTGGTTAAGGTTTGTGAGTCAAGACACATGAGCTGTCAATAGCCACAATGATTGCAATTACACAAGTAATACATAGCTTTGTGTTAGACATCAGATGTGAGTTGTGAGGACAAAGAGGAACTGTAATTCAGTCTCTTTATCCCTCTTATTCTTCCTTGCCCAGACTGTATACTTGTACCTTGTCCATTCTTCCGCTCTTATCTCTGCGCCATTGTCCAGAGGAATAGCGCTGCCTTTCTCATGCACACCCCGGCAGCAGATAACCGATTTCGAGTCGTCGAGCTGCGAATTCGAGAGCCCTGGACAACAACATCATCACCCCGCAGCGCCACAGCGCAAAAGATCCCGCTCTAATGCCGGCAGAGCCCTAGCCAGTGTTAGTTGGTCCACTAGGAAGCCCGAAAAAAACACCAAGCAATGTCATTTGACGAGATTGCCGCCGACAACGTGGGCGAGGCGTGGGCGTGATCCGCGAGATGACTGGTGAACGTGCTACATGTACTCACTACAACAGCTGAACCCTTGTCGCCATCTCATATAGTGCGAGTCTCGACAGCGCCAATTGTCTTCCATGACGAGTGTTTCTGCGCACCGCATTGTGCGTTTTGAGTTTGTGTAAGCACGAGCACAGCTGCTACAACAGGCTGATACAGGATGCCATCGATGCTCCTTGTCGTCATAACGCATTGCCCCTCCCAGGGGAGAGAATGCTTGGCAGGGCCACGATGCTACACTTTGCCATCGCCCTTTTCAGATCCCCGAATAGCAAAGCAGCGTCTCATGGGCAGCATCTAACGTGAATGCTCAGGCAGCCTCTCACACTGAAAATGCCACCTACCTTGTCAGAGCACTCTAGTGTCGATCCCAGATCCTTGCACGCATCTCCCGCCCGCCTGGTGAACGTCAAAAGGTAAAAGCGCCGATCACCACTCAAGCACACGCAGCACACAGCGCGCACAGCAAATTTCACAGCCGCCCTGCCCTTCTTCATCTCGCCCTGTTTGCAGAATTGACCACCAATCGTCTTTCACGATTCCGTTCCGAGATTCCCATTCGGCGCATTCATCCTTGCCCCGTTGGGAAGTTGTACCGAGTCTGCGAGCCCTCCGGATCAGTTCTCATCCTGGATTCGACAAAAAGTCTTTTCTTCTCCTGTCTTCTATTTCTTATTTCGGAGAACCTCCGGTGCCGCTCGTTCCTTTTTGCATCTTCCCAAGAGCCGTTTCTAAGCCAACTAAACTACATGCAGACACCGGCAAGAGGAAATGGCCCCTCAGCTCGTGGAGTTTTGCGGGGTGAATGGATTGGAGCCGCGGAGGTGGCTGGCGGTTCATGCATGCACTTGGACCGGTGATACGGGACGAGAGCCTTGATGAAGGAAAAAGAAGTCGTAGCTCATCGTGAGACGCTCGTGCCTCATGGTTTTGCCCGGCATGAGGCAGTCCGTCGGCTGCCTGGAGGGATCAGGGGCGCTCGGAAACTCCGAGTTTGTAGCAGTGCCTCACATGGTTTACACCTGCATGAAGAGAAACATCATGCAGGTGTAAAAGTATATAAACGTGTAGGAACTCTCAAAATTATGAGAGAATTGCTTATATGATATTCCAGGCGATATTGTGTGAAGAAAAGAGTGTTTCGGCATTTGCAATCAAGTTTTGTCTGAAGCTTGGCTTATACTCGAGCCCTAACAAGCAAAAAACACCTTGACTTCTATCCATCTTTATCCACGCTTTCTATTATCATTATAACCATATCACAATGAAGTCCTTACAGATTCTCTCTCTTGCTGCCCTTGCGGCCGGTAGCCCCATTGGATCTATCCAAGAATATACTCGCATTCTCAAGGCTCGCCGTAAGTCTGAATCAATAACCCCCCCTTGAATATACCACTTACAAGACTAACAACTCCCAAAGAGAGCGACACCAGCTTCACCACCACACAAGCTGAGCTCAACAACTTCCAATTCTACAGCCAGTATGCCGGAGCTTCTTACTGCAACTCCGCCACGCCTGCCGGTCAGGCCGTCACATGCGCCGACAACGTCTGCCCTGACGTTGCCGGAACTGTCGTCAACTCCTTCACGTGAGTCTCTATTATCATTTAATATCTTCGTCTCATATATATAAAACGAAAGAGAGAAAGAGAGAGAGAAAGAAATCAGCTCGCTAATAGTCAGTGCTTCAAACAGCGGCTCCGTAACCGGCATTGGCGGCTTCGTCGCCGTCGACAGCGCCCACCAGCTCATCGTCCTCTCCGTCCGCGGCAGCAACAACCTCCGCAACTTCATCACCGACGTCGTCTTCGCCTTCACCGACTGCAGCTTCGCCGACGGCTGCGAGGTCCACGACGGCTTCAACGATGCCTGGAACGAAATCGCCGACGCCGCCACCGCCGCCATCAGCCAGGCCGTCGCCGCCAACCCGGGCTTCAAGATCGTCACCACGGGCCACTCCCTCGGCGGTGCTGTCGCCACCCTCGCGGCCGCCACTCTCCGCACCCAGGGCTACAACATCGACATCTACACCTATGGATCTCCCCGCGTGGGCAACGACGTCTTTGCCAACTTCGTCACTGCCCAGCCCGGCGGCGAGTTCCGCGTCACCCACTTCGACGACCCTGTTCCTCGTCTGCCTCCCATCCTCTTCGACTACCGCCACGTCTCTCCCGAGTACTGGCTGTCTACCGGAAGTGCCACAACCATTGACTACACAATCTCTCAGATCGAGGTCTGCACCGGCATTGCCAACACCGACTGCAACGCCGGCACTTCTGGCCTTGACGTCTCCGCTCACTCGTACTACTTGGAGGACATCTCGGGATGCGCTCCCTCTGCTTTTCAGTTCAAGCGTGATGATGGCAACTCGGGCTATAACCAGACTGTTATTGACAGGATCAACAAGTGGGCTGAAGAGGACCGAGCTCTTGTTGCCTCTGGGCAGGCATAAAGCTGATGTAAATATGGCGTATATTTTGCGTACAAAAAGGGCGTTATAGGTTGGTTTTTTTTTTTGGGGGGGGGGGGGGGGGAAGATAGCATGAAATGACTGGAAATGCAAAATTTTGACATGGCTACCCCCGCGCTCTGCTGAGGGATCGATGTACATAAAGTCTCGATATACATATGAATAAGTTGGATATATATACATACCTCTTGCTATATGAACATTAATGATGCATGTTAAAACACTCAAAGTAAATAGGTCGTAGCTTTAGGTAAGGAACAAAGTCTATGGTTCTAATTGACTCCGTTTATTTTCTCTACACTTAAACTCTGATGATATACATTACCGCTTTTACCGCGGTCAATTTTCCGAAAGAAGAGAAAAAAAAAAAAAAAAGTCGTTTCAGTTGATCCGTAATATCCCATGCCTCATAACTTGCTCTGTTCAGCGTGAAATTCGTTTTTGAAAAACAAAAGAAAAACAAAAGGAGGTATTAAAAGTGCGATGCTCTCCCGGGAGTATCATGCTCAGTCCGTGCCTTCAGTTATCATCCCCTGCGCGTTAGGTACGCCAATTAAGATAACACCCCGTGGCACTCTTACTTCCTTCACCTTCATGCAGCCAAAGACATTCACTTCTTTGATATTCGGGCAAGCCCGGAATATGCATCCGAGGATGAAGTCAGTGATTTCTTCGCAGAAGCTAATCTCCAACTTTCGTAGCTCCGGATACTGCTTCTTTCCATCGAAGACTTCTTCAAAAGCTTCGCGAGAGATGTGTCGGCAAGCGTGCACATTGAGATTTTTTAGAGTGTGGCCAGAGTGGTTCATTAGCGCCTTGAATCCCTCACTGCAGAGCCCGATACCGTCGGGATTCTCTCGCGGGTGAGCGGCATCGAGCTGGCGGCACTTTTGCAAGTCCAAGAAATCCAGAGGTGGATTTTCCCAGTCTGTAAAGAGCTTGGCGAAGCCCTTGTCTGTCATTGATTCGCTTTCTGTGATGCGAAGCTTGGATAAGGATCGACAAGTATTATGAATAGCCTCCAAAACACTATCATCCGCATCAGGTACAATCTTAAAAGACAATGTCCTGAGGTCCTTCCCAATCTGTGTGATGCAAGTCCTTAGAGCTTCTGCCGAACTGTCTTGCTGGAGTTCTAAACTAAGATGTCGAAGGCTTGAAAGATTTCCAATTGCAGTTACTCCTACGTCCGTAACCTTTTGATTGTGACAGACCTTTAAGCGAGTTAAGTCAGGGCAGTATTCCTTCAAGAGTCCCAAAGTTTCGTCTCCAAAATGCCTATCGGTAAAATAGACTTGCAGTTCTTTCAAGGATTTGCCCTTGGCAGCGAGAAATTCGTGCCACTTGTCCTCACTTAGTAAGTTGGCGCCATGGAGATAGAAGCTTTCCAGAAGGATGTCTCTAGAGAGAAGATAGTCCATGACCTCATCTTTGAATTGGACCGCACACCGCACCTTGAATTTCTTCAGGTTCGAAGCAACTTGGAAGATGCTGATGAATTCTTGATGACCAAGTTTTGCGCCATCGTAGATGTGCAGAACTTCGGTGGTAGGTTGCGTAAACAAGGGAAGGGTATCTGGCTTCAATAGACGCCGCTTAGAGAAAATCCTGGCAATCTTGTCGATGAGATGCTCAGGTAAATCGCCCAAGCTTTCTGCCAATTCTACATTCTTTGCCAGCGTCTGCACACACAATGTAGCCAAACTTTTCGTACCCACGTCTCCATCGAGCATTCGGCTCTGGATAGTGCGTCGTGAACCAACGCCGCCGGTCTGCTTTCGAGCTTTCTTTTTCGGTTGTCCCTCCCGCTCTTTGGCAATCTCGCGCCCACAGGGAGCACACAGAAGGCCTCCATCAGGTCCTGCGACGGAGTAAGGAGTCACAGTGAAGCGCTTTCCGCAGATTTCACAGTTTTCCATCTGCCCGGGAAGCGGCGCACTCCTCTCTTCAAAGATTGCCTGGGCAATCTCGTCATCATAGTCGTCATCTTCGGCGCCCTTCTTGCGCTTTTTGAATGCTTTGGTAGCTTTGATCTTATCTAACGCCTTGGCTTTCTTTTCTGCTGCGGCGTTGCGGCTTCTTGCTCCCCGTCCAGAGGAGCTTGCCTCAACAGTGACGGAAACTTCAACCGTTTCTGCAACTTCGATTTCTTCGGTCGCTTCGGCCTCTCCTGCCTCTGCTGTCTCTTCAGTTTCCCCTGTCTCCCCTGCTTGCTGTCTTCGGCGATCTGCGTCGGCTCTAATTTGAGCAGCCGAAATATTGTGTGACTAGCAGATGTATTAGCAAACCATGACCGAAGATAGGCTGAGGTGTGTTTCGAAGCATACTGCAAGGAAATCAGTCAAAGCAGATTGGCTAGAGAGACGCAGTCAGCAAAAATCCGTCTAATCAGCTCTAATAATCAACATCGCAATACTTACGGCCCAGTAATGTTACGACTTGGCCGCCCATTCTGACCTTGGTCATATTGACGTCGACGGGCCCTGGACATAGGTATTGGTCAGCCATTATCGCAGCAGAGGAAAGTTAAGCCAGAGTATGGAAAACGAACATTATGAGGGCGTGGATAACAGAAAGCGACTATCTATCTATGTTCTTGTAGGCGTATTATATCTGCGATTCAAAATTTTCATTGCAGAAAAAAAAAACGGTGTAGTTGCACACCAAATATGTTGCGACGTTCTTTCACCCAGTGCCGATGACATACAGCGTGTCGTAGGTGTCGCGAGATAACACGGTGTCACGTGGTCTAATTAAAAAATTCATTACACAATTAGCACTGTCCTTTTTCATTCAAAAGCAGGCAGACGCAGTCACTCATCGGTCACTAGTACAGTCTCAATACAGTGCATATCTCCGCTGTGGCAAGCCCCTTATCCCTGCACGTGCTTTCGTGTGCGCGTCTTCTTCCCAATGTAGGCACTGTGAATTGGCATGGCCGCTAGGTAATCACGGTCGATGAGGCAACTTCCTGACAAGTTTTCATCCAGTAAAAGCCACCCAATTTTTTTTTTATATCTTTTTTCTTTTCTTTCTTTTCGTCCCTTTGTCAGATCGAAGTGGTAAAGGAGAGACCACCAGCCATTGCCTGACGGAAAGGCGAAGAGAAGACTTATTTTCTCCAGCAGTCATCTCAGAGCCTCTTCTGCGGCGTTAATACTCAGCTGTGAGCCTGTGCTTACTTATGCTGGTGGATGAACTGGATCTCAATTTCAGCCCAATTTCTCTCTCTCTAGCCAAGCCGCCCCTTTATCTATCAGACCATTCAGCCCAATCGAGAGATTTTATAGGGCTTTTGTTGTGAATCTTCTTTTTTTCCCTCTTTTTTTCTTGATCTTCGACCGTTGTCTGCGCTGGTGAACTACGCAATGCCTCGTGGTCGGCCGTCTTTGAAAGGGTCAAGCACCCCTGTCCAGAAACCATCTGGTATGATTACAAATGTGTCGTTTCAACCGCCAGATATCACTAACAAATTATTTGTAGAAGCTGAAAGCGACTCTGTCACTGCAAACGGCCGTCTTACCCGTGCAAGATCCACAAGGAGTCTTGCAGCTTCCTCTCTAGTCGATGAACTTTCTTTGGACACCACAGAGTCTGTATCGTCGGCTCTCACGCCATTTGGACAAACTTCAGAAAGTGGCTACTCTACGCCGGGAACCAGTAAACTCCCGAGCCCTGCTGAAGCAGCCACTTCATCAAAGTCAGCTCAATTTCTTGAAGTGCGCATTCCTGCCAAGAGCAGATTGCAAGAAACTGACGGAGATGAGCGAGCCTTACGACATAGCATCTATTCACTAAGCTCAAAATCAAAGGGGAAAAGAGTCACCGAGATTGAGGATTCGGATGAAGAAGATGACGATGTTTATTCCGGCAATAGTCGCGATGCCCAAGTGGCTCGTCGAATGCAGAACGAGGAATACCGCCGAACAAGCCTAAGATCTCGCCGCTCTATGGTCAGTGATATTCAATCTCCTGCCTCGGCTGAGGCATCAGTGAAACGAACAAGATCTCTGTCAGGCCCATCTTCAGCGCCAAAGCGACCAGCCAAAAAGAGCAAGATCATACCTGATTCAGACGATACACCAGAATCTGGTGTAGATATAGACGCCGAAATTGCTGCTGCCGCTGCGTTGGACGACCAGCTAGCCAATGAGATATCTTCATATGACGAAGATGCTGAAGAAATGAGCGAAGATGAAATTGCAGCATCTAGTGATGAAGAGCCCTTAACGAGACGAAGACAAAGGGCACAACCTAAGAAATTGCCTGCTAGGCGCGTGGCGACTATTCGGGGATCCGCCCAGGTGGCTAATACTGCTCCAGTATCCGAGGCTGTGAGGAATTCAACAACAATCGATCTAGAATCCGGACTGTTAGCACTTGCTTCAGACGTTTCATCTGGACTTCCATCTGACCTTTCATCTAGCCCATCATCTGGTCTTAGCACTCCCACTATTAGTGATAGTGAAAGCGTTGATTCCGCCGTAGCTGTGCCCGAGGCTGGTGCACTTCGGAGAATTGCTGCTCAGAGACGTGCATTTAGGCGGTCTAGAAACAAAAGCCGCACTGCCAAGGAGCGAGATCGTCTCGAAAAACACCACCCTGAGCTAGTCACTATGTGGACGGATTTGGAAAACATGCCAGCAATAAATGCTGGCAAGATAGACCAACCGACGACTATATCACGGCAGCTAAAGCCTTTTCAGCTCGAGGGTGTGGCTTGGATGAAGGAAATGGAGAAAACAGAATGGAAAGGTGGCCTTCTGGGCGATGAAATGGGACTGGGCAAGACGATCCAAGCCGTCTCTCTCATCATGTCTGACTATCCAGCGAAACAGCCCACCCTAGTCCTTGTCCCTCCTGTCGCACTCATGCAGTGGCAGTCGGAAATCAAATCTTACACAGACGGAACTCTAAAGACCTTTGTGTTTCATGGAACCAACCAAAAGGCCAAAAATATTACAGTCAAGGAGCTCAAAAAGTTTGATGTCATTATGATGTCCTACAACAGTCTTGAATCAATATATCGGAAGCAAGAAAAGGGCTTCAAGCGAAAAGATGGCATTTACAAAGAAAAGAGTGTCATTCATAGCATTACTTTCCACCGAGCCATCCTTGATGAAGCGCATTGCATCAAAACACGAACCACAATGACTGCTAAAGCATGCTTCGCGTTGAAGACCGAGTATCGTTGGTGCTTAACTGGCACACCCTTGCAAAACCGAATCGGAGAACTCTTCTCTTTGGTGAGATTTCTCAATATCAAACCTTTTGCGTTATATCTCTGCAAACAATGCCCATGTTCGAGGCTTGAGTGGTCTATGGATGACAACAGCCGTTGTTCCGACTGCGGACATGCTGGCATGCAACACGTCTCTGTCTTCAACCAGGAACTTCTCAATCCTATTCAGAAATTTGGTAATTTGGGTCCTGGCAGAGAGGCGTTCAGGAAATTGCGATTGATGACAGGCCGCATCATGCTGCGACGTCTCAAGAAGGACCACACCAATTCCATGGAACTTCCTGTGAAGGAAGTGTATGTTGACCGCCAATTTTTTGGAGAAGAGGAGAACGACTTTGCCAATAGTATCATGACCAACGGACAGCGCAGGTTTGATACTTATGTTGCGCAAGGTGTTCTTCTGAATAATTATGCTAATATCTTTGGTCTCATCATGCAAATGAGACAGGTGGCAGACCACCCTGACTTGATATTGAAGAAGAATGCTGATGGAGGCCAAAATGTTTTGGTTTGCTGCATCTGTGACGAGCCAGCGGAAGACACTATTCGAAGTCGGTGCAAGCATGACTTTTGCAGAACCTGCGTGTCTGCCTATATCAAGTCGACCGACGAGCCTGATTGCCCTCGATGTCACATTGGGTTGGTCATTGATCTCGAACAGCCTGAAATTGAGCAAGACGAAGCCATGGTGAAGAAGTCCTCGATTATCAATCGTATCAAGATGGAAAACTGGACTTCTTCTTCCAAAATCGAGTTGCTCGTTCATGAACTTCACAAGCTGCGCTCTGACAATGCGACGCACAAGTCCATCATCTTTTCCCAATTCACCACAATGCTACAGCTTATCGAGTGGCGACTTCGACGAGCTGGAATCACCACTGTCATGCTGGACGGCAGTATGACCCCTGCTCAGCGCCAAGCATCGATTGAGCACTTTATGAACAATATTGACGTTGAATGCTTTCTTGTGTCACTCAAGGCTGGTGGTGTTGCACTCAACCTCACCGAGGCATCGCGAGTGTTTATTGTAGATCCGTAAGCACCCATCTCCTCTTTTTGTATTCTCCTTCGGCTAGCTAACATTGCTTTCTTAGTTGGTGGAACCCGGCAGCTGAATGGCAGTCTGCTGATCGTTGCCATCGCATTGGACAAACTCGACCCTGCACCATCACGCGTCTATGTATTGAGGATTCTGTCGAAAGTCGAATGGTTCTTATCCAGGAAAAGAAGACGAGCATGATCCACTCTACTGTCAATGCAGATGATAAAGCGATGGATACTTTGAGCCCTGAAGATATGCAGTTTCTTTTCCGAGGCTCCTAAACTTGTTTTGATTTCTTCATTTCTAAACAAGGGGTGTTTGCATTTACTTGAGCAACGAGATATGATATTTGCACCGAAAGGAATGAATGACGGATATAATGACTGGAGGTTTTCCGCGAGAGGCGCTGGGGACTTAGAAATGATTTGCTCATGCTAATGGATTAGTTTTCTACGTGTACGACTACCTATATAAGATAATATACAACAGGCTTTGTCTTTTATAACTATCCCAAGGTCTTACTTTTTGGTGATTACATACCTATTATGCTTCGTTAAGATGCCCTGTATTTCTTTGCTTACTCTATAACCAAGGTGTAGCTAATATCCTATGTTGAAAAATGCTTGTACAACGTAATTTTACAGTATATTATAGGCCTACTTCATCACAAAGAGGGCAAGTCAGTGTGGCATGGAATCAGATATGTATGGTGTATGATGTAAGATGCTGATGTTGTATTATTGCATCTTGTGTTGTGTTGTGTTGTTGTATCCGTCTATCTAACTCGGGATTCTATCTCCCTTCTTTTAATTTTCCATCATAAATAAATGTAGTAAATCCACCACCCAAAAAAAAGTGGCAAAAGTGCCTGGTACGTATTAGTTAGCCTTTTTACAGGCTTTCCTCCTATTGACGGAAACCCTGACGAAAGCCATCATTGACCAATTGGCTAGAATGTAAAATCCGCTCCCAACAATTGCTTTCACTCCTTTTGTGTCTTTTGTTTTTCTTTCCAAAAGTCTCTTCATCCCATGACAATGGGCTCAAGGGCAATATAAGTTATTGCAGTGGAAGCCACATGTTTAGAGATCCAAGAGGGCCTTTGCACCAGCCTCGCTGCAGACGTAAATGGTGTCGTGCGAGTTGGGGAATCCATTGAACTGAGTGGCAGAGCACTTGGTGTAGGCACCCATGTCCTCAAAGTAGAGCCAGTCGCCAACGTTGAGAGTGCATGGGAAGAAAGAGCTCTGGCTGATGAGATCGATACCATCACAAGTGGGACCCCAGATCGAATACTCGATACCATTGCCGACCGAGCACTGCTCGGCAGCGTAGGTGTTGTAGAGGGTTTGGCCATTGGAGTGGAGGATCTTGGCAACGGGGTGTTGATGGTCGAACATGATGCTCGAGAAATTGCCATAGACTCCGTCGTTGATGTAAGCCATGTAACTGGTAGCTTGGCCGGCGGGGTCATCGACAGTGCGACGAGCGATGATGTTGCAAGCAATGGTGAAGGCTGTAGCAACATAGAAACGTCCAGGCTCGGCAATGATATCAACGCCGCACCCAGAGGGGAAGTACTCGGAAAGAGCATTGTCAAGAACAGCAGCCATGGTCTCAAAGGTCTCTCCAGAAAAGCCTCCACCGACATCGAGGACCTTCAGGTGAAAGTCGTAGGCACGAGCCTGCTGGAAGACGGTGTGGGCGTCGACGACGGCCTTGTGGAAGGCAGCAGGGTCAGAGGCGCCGGATCCCACGTGGAAGCTCACGCCGACCACGTTGAGTCCAAGCTCTTTGGCCAGGGCAAGGAGACTCTCGGTGGTGTCCATGGGAGCACCAAACTTCATGCTGAGGCGGCACAGACTGGACGTATCGTCCGTCATGATACGGAGGAAGAGCTCGGCGCCTGGGAAAAGCTTGGCAATCTTATGGAGCTCATCGGCATTGTCAAAGGTCATCTGCTTGACACCAACAGACTTGACATAGCGGACATAGGAGTTGGTCTTGCAGGGTTGGGCATAGATGATGTGGTCGGGGCTGGCACCAAGGCCAAGGACCTGTTCAATCTCTCCCTTGGAGGCGCAATCAAAGCCAGTGCCGAGAGCGGCAAGGAGCTGGAGCACCTTGGGGTCAGGGTTGCACTTGACGGCATAGAATGGCTTGATGCGGGGGAGGTTCCTCTTCCAGCGGAGATGCTGGCGATAAACCTCACCAAGGTCTGCGACAAAGAAGGTGTCTTCCTCGCCGGGGTCGCAGACCTCGTGGTTGACGGCGCCCACGCGTTGGCGGAAGGCCTCGCCGATCAATTGCTTCGGATCGAGAGCAACATTGTTCTGAAGAGCACCCAAATACTGGGGTTTCTTCTTTACAACATGATTATGGATGACATTCTGGACGTAATTGTCGAGGACAGCTGTTGCCATAACCATATCCCTAAAGAGTTGGGGGGGTGAGGGATGTTGAAAATCAGAGTATTCGTATTCCGAAGAAGAAAATCTGAAGACGTCTTTGTGAAGAAAGACTGGGAAATTCTGCAGCTAAATAGCGAAATGGATCTTAGGGTGGTCGAAAGCGATAGCAGACTGTTCCCTCAGTGATCGGGCGAGGCCTCCTCGACGACTCTTCCTCGGCGAGAGGAAGAACCGCAGAACTCCTCCTATGCGGCAGCTGGCGGGGGTCGTTTAACGACGGCGTTGGAGGCTGGTGACGAGGCACGTCGAAGAGCAAGAAGGCGACGAGCTGCTTAGAGTGACCAAGCGGCAGGAGGTGGGATGACGTTGATGATGTGAGGGATCTTGCGAGCGCAGAAATCGTTGTCAGTCACGGCCTGGGGAGCCGTGATGGGTGGAAGATGGAGTGCCTTTGTGGAGACAAAAGGCACCGACGCTGGGATCGAGGAGAGAAGGCGGGAGAGGTCTAGAATGGTGGAGAGGCCAGTTAGCTCAGGCAGCTCGTCAAGGCAGCGCGCCGGATGTTGCAGCAGCAATCAGCGTGGATGAATAAATCGCGATGCAGCTTCCCGCACGGTCTGCGGCCTTCAAGGCGCACTTGCGGCGGAGGAGTCATTCTGCGTGTTTGTGGTGGCGGTGACATTCGCCTCACAAACAAGAGAAAAAGGTTGACCCCAGCCACGGCGGATGAAGACACGCAAACCGCACAAGAAAAGAAAATATCTCGCGAAAAGAGCAAAAAAAAGCCTCACATACCTAGAAAATGAAATCTAGAGGACGGATGCAGATGCAGTAGCAGCAGCGGAGAGGCTATTCTTCACAAAAGTGAATAAAAAGAGGTAAGGAAAAAATAAAAAGGAGGACTGCGTGCGAAAAATTGTGGTGGTGACGAGGGGCACGAGCTAAGGTTTTATCCTTGTTTTTCCCCCCCTTGCGACAGATCGCCGCGAAAAAAAAAAAATTCAATTCTAGAGCCTGCAGTGCGGTGCGGTAATGCGGTACGTACCTGCGTGAATAGGCCCCGGGAACGGCGCTTTTGGGGTTGGAGAGGAGCTGCCCACAATTTTTTATTGCGCGCCAGCGAATAAATTGCATCAGCGATTCTTTGACTGGAGACTGGAGCTGGAGAAAATTGGATCCTGGACGAAGCGGGCGTGAAGAGGCAGAGCCAATGGAAAATCAAGTTTTTGTGATGCAGCGGCTTTATTGCGGTTGGATGCTGGCTGGCTGTTTAGAAGGAAAGGGGCTACAATGGCCTTGATATGCATCATGTGCAGCTTACGGTACATGCATGGCAACAATGGCGACAGGCAGTCCGTACACCACATGTGTTTCTGTACGTGGTTGTGACTTTGGATAGATGGAGAACGCAGTGCCAGCCACGGGGCTCCATGCTGGTGCCTGTTGTTAAACTTTGCAGAGCATGCCGTTGCAAAAAAGATCCACAGTATCCTGTCTAAGCAGAAGCTCTCGACAAAGCCACTCATCAGACAAAGGTACCAGATGCTACTGCTGCCGCTACATGCATTCATATGTAATGCATGATGCCCTACCGTTGCGCTGTGCGTCGTGCCTTGCGTCCATCTCACTCGCCTGGTACTGCATCATCCGTTATCGGCAATATCTCATATCCCAATCTGCAGGCACTGTAGTAATATTGGGCTTTGGCTTGGTGGCTGGAACGAGCCTTTGGCAATGCCCGCCGCCACACCGCACCAGTCCAGATAAACGACATCCTGTCAAGCTTGATTGGCTTGTCTGGGGAAATTGCCGCATGGAAGGGAAACAAGCGCACTGCCTGGCTTGTGACATATCTTTACGGGCACGGGTATATGCTGCACGTTTTCGTCACAATGCACTTTGCCATGTATCATGCATGCAATATGTGTGTATTGTAATGGTCCTTTTTAGCTGAGACAGCTGCCGCGAATCCCACGCAAAAAGCAGCTAACCCGGCGCCGAATGCCCTACATCTCTATCCAGCTAGCCAGCACAAATAGAAAGCCAACTCTAATCCGCATAGGCAGCTTCTCCATTTCTCTTCCCCAGTTTATTTCAACACCATTATTAACCCCCCTATCCTTGCAAGTCCCAATTACTATGACGAAATCACAATGTTGCAGCAAAAAGTGAAGAAGAGAGAAAAAAACATCTCAGCCACGACAAGTTTATATCATATAACAAGTACCCAAACTACAGGACACAGCCTCCCCTCCCCTCCTCTCGCTTACTTTCTTACCTTTTACCCTGCAACTAGGTTCTTTGTGTATCAAAATCATCGAGGCATTTACCCTCCATTTTTAATCCCTCTCTCTTTAAAGTCAATGTGCTCGGCTCTTTAGTCCAGTAACCCAAGGCTCAGGGGCTCTGGCTCTGATAGAACGACCTCCTCGCCGACGTCACTCCTCGTCTCCCCTCACTCCCTCCCCTCTTTCAAGCTCCAATGCTTGTTGCTTGCGCACCTCAGCACCGGTCCGAAAGGGATCATTAAGAGACTGGGTCCAGGGAGGCAGCCAGTGAGGTATAATTGTTTTGCTCTTGCGTTGCTCTGTGATCTCCATGCCATGGGGGAAGTGAGTCGGTCAAGCCGGCTCGGCAAGAAGATGTATCGTATCTAAACGCGTACTGTGCCCAAACGAAAGTCCCAAGCCTCGGAAAACAAATGAAGAAGCAAAAGGAAAAAAGAGAAAAAAGAAAAAAGAAAGGCAAAAAGCCCTCAAGAGGGGAATTATTCTACACATAATGTACATCTTGTGTCGTAAATACATCCATATCATCACAAAATACCCAGCCATAGCCCGTCCACTGACGCCATTTTCACATGTACCCGGAAATCCTCTAGTTGTGTTGATGATGACTGCTCTTTACTCCTGAGAGCCGTTTACATTCATCTCATGAACGGTCCATGTTCCATCCACCCAGCCTTGCTTTTCTCCCAGGAAAGTTGTGCGCTCCTCTCCCTTCTCAATGGGTTCAACAAGGAACTTTTGTGCCACCGCTCTGACTTGATCCTTTGTCACGTCTAGCAGCTGCTCTCTCTTCTTCTGCTTCATCTCATCCGTAATGCCAGATAGGAATCTTGCCATGCCCTCCTGGTTCACAGACTTTGGAGCGTCAACTCCTTGGAACACAGAAATCTTGGCTTCTTCCAGGTCTCGATCGCTCCATTCCTTCTCCACTGCCCAGCGTCCTGCATTGCGCATAATACTCAATGTGTTCTGCGGGTTAGGATCGCGGTACGAGTAGAATCCGAATAGGCCATCCAATGCTTTAGAGTAAGCCCCGCCGCCGTAGGCACCGCCCTTTTCTCGAATCTCGTGGTGGAGATGTTTGTGTGTCAGCAGTTGTGCAAGGATCTGGAGCGGCGCACCCTCGGGTGAGGTATATGATGTCGTGGCAACAGAGAGGCCTCCATAATAGACTTGATATGGCAGAGGAAAGAATGCTTTGCTGTCCTTAGGGAGGGGTGACGGGCCCTTGCTTGCTAACCCTGATGCTTCCTGGGGCAGTCCGCCCGTAAAGCTCTTCAGAGAGTTCAAGTTTTCCTGCACATTCTCGGTGCCGCACGTAAGGGCCGTGCGCATCTTACCGCTAGTCAGAGCAAAAGTCTGGATCTTCTTGAGTTTGCCAATGACATCCTCTAGCTGGTCGGACTCGGGCCGGCTGGTCAGCGAAGTAACTAGTTTGACCTGTGACAAACCGCCGATTTGCTGCCTCAGCCAGGCGCTGCGGGTCAGGCTGGACTCGGCGTGGCCCATTGCAAATCGGTGTCCAGAAGAAGCAATGTCGTTGACAACCCCATCCGCTGAGGCCTGCAGCAGCTGTCGAATTCGCAGTGAGGCCTCCGGACTATCAAAATCGGTCTCCTGCACCAACTTGCGCAGAATGTCGTACATAACAGGCACGTTCCTGTCGAGCGCCATTCCAGTAAAAATGATACCTTCACTAGACTGAGTATAATCGATTGGCGAAGGTGTGGAATGGTATCCAACAGAAACACCTCCAGTCTTGAGTTTGATGAGATCCTCGAGCTGCTCCATGGTCATGTCCTTTGTACCTAGGCGCATGATGCTGTCCGTAAATAGAGGGATAAGCTCTCGAAGATCGTCAGGCAAGTTTTCCAATGTGTTGATGGCGCGGAAATACGTAAGGCCATTGGTTGGAGCTTCCCGCCACTGGATGGGAATACCATTTGCAATTTCATCTCGGACTACCGTTGGCTCTTTTGACCTTGGAATATCCTTGACATGGACAGTAGGCAGACAGCTCAAATCCTCCGTGTTAGTCTTGTTCTGTTCCACCAACAGCTCCTGTTCCTGCTTCTCGAATTGCTGGCGTGCACTCTCCTCGCTTCCGGCCTTGTTCACGGCGTCTTGGATTTTGGAAGACAGCCGCGCTTGTTCCTCGGCGATCAGGTCATCTCCAAAGGTCGCTGATGGCGCCATCGTGAAAGTCAAAGTGTTGTCGTTCAGCAGGTATTTGTCCATCAATCCTTCCAAGTAGCCGCCCTCGGCCATCTTGGCCTGGAAAGCAGCAATTGTATCGTTCCAAGCCAAGGAGTCAAAAGGATCACTTCCGTTGAACCACTTTGGCTTCAGCCTGTTGAGCATAGAATAGCCAAAGGTAGACGTTTTGTGCTTGAGCGCAAGCTCGAGCTGGTGAAGCGTGCCGTCAATCTTGCCCTGGTCAAAGCCCTTGTTCCTTGCATCGCGGAGAATCTCTTGAATTTTGCCTTTGATCTTGGGAACATCGGATTCCTGCACTCCAGTAAGGCCAATTGAGAAGATTCCGCGCTTCGCATAGCTATCGTAGCCTGCATTGGGACTCCAATCAGCGCCCATGCCAGCTTCTATTAAGCCTCGGTATAATGGTGAACCATAGCCGTCCATCAGGAGAGTTGACAGCAATGACACGGAGAATGACTCGACCACATCAGTAGTATCGCCAGTAATCCAAGATACCGATGTCTTATACTGTCGATCCGGGGCAACCAATGGGTCCAATGGGCCGTGGAGAGTAACTTCTCGAGGACCATCCAGCTCAATAGGCAAATGAATAACCTTGTCCTTGGCAATCTTCTCAAAAGCCTGCAACCTGGCGTCAACCTCCTGCAGGTGGTCTGCCAGGGGCATATCTCCATAGGTAAACAGCTTCGCATTACTTGGATGATAGTTTTCGGCATGGAAATTCTTCAGCTGCTCATAGGTCAAATCCGTAATCTTTTGCGGGTCGCCGCCAGAGTTGTTGATGTCGGGGAAGATATGGTCGTGGAATCGAATGTAGTAGAGATATCCCGCATCCGACATCTGTCCCTTCATCTCATTATACACAACGCCCTTGAAGACAAGCTTCTTTCCCTCCGCGTCCTCTGCCGTCGGGTTCTCAGGCCCGATTCGCCAGCCCTCCTGCTGAAAGTCGGATTGCTTCAACAGAGGATGGAGTGTTGCGTCGAGATACACTGACATGAGGTTCTTGAAATCCTGTTCGTTCGTCGTCGCAAAGGGATAAAAGGTGTGGTCTGAAGCTGTCATCGCATTCATGAAGTTGGAAAGCGTCCGGGGCAGCATCTTGAAGAAGGGATCTCGAATAGGATATCTGGAATATTGTCAGCCATGTCGTTTCTCGTAGGCTGCCAAAAGATATCCCTACTTTTCGCTGCCGCAGAGAGTGGTGTGCTCTAGAATGTGAGGGACACCAGTATCGTCCGGAGGATTCGTCTTGAAGCCGATGGAGAAGACATTGTTGGAGTCATCGCGAGCGATGTGCAGATAATCGGCGCCGGTTTTGTCGTGCTGCAGTTGCAGTGCGGTTAGTTCCAGCTCTGGAACGTGCTTTGCTCGGACGACAGTAAAGCCGTGGAGCTTGGCACCAGGCTTCGGATACAGCGCGAGATCCGTCACGGTCTTTCGAGCCGCATTTGCTGCGTTTCGCAACATGGCGAGGGAGCACTATGGCAAGGTCTATAAGTGGGAAGAGGTAAGGATGAGAAGCGTTCTAATGATGCATTGGAACCAAAAAGGCAATACAAATGGCCTTAGTAGCTGCACGATGCCCTACAGCTTAGCCACGCAAATAAATCGACCGCAGTCAAAACCCAGATGCTGATGATGATGTTGTTTCCAGCGTCGGATCTGGCTCGGCCTCTGTAGAAATTTAGCAGAGCCCGCCACCGACGAGCGCTTAGTCACTCGTCGGCAAGGGCCCCCAAGTCTTTCCGGCCATTCGGTTGCCAGAGAGTAGTATTGGCTGCTGACCTAATCCCTGAGGCACTAACAAATTCACCTGCACGCCGCATCATCGCACTATTAGAATTCTAACGAATTAACCACCCACCTGGTCACGCTCCAACCTACGCATGCATTGCCATCGACGGCTGGGGGCAATTTTCATACACGTCAGGATCGCAACGACGGCCCGCCACGACCAGTCTGGGCCTCAATTCGCGATAGCATTTCGTAAATACCAGCGATTGTCCACTGTCCCGTAGCCCAGCCGACAGCTCAGAGGGCGACGATTTTGACAGCAGTTCCGCCTTGTCTCCCGCTGGAGCCGTTGCCCACCAGAGCCTCGAGCCGACGCCGCCATTTATAATCAAATATCGATTAACGTTCAGCAATATAAAAAGAAGAGAGACATACAAAAAAAGAATATTTTTTCTCTTTTTTTGGGTGCGAGCTTTCTGGAGTCCCTCCACAGCTTTCTCCATCAATGTGACTTGGCCCTTGATGAGACTCGAGCCTAGCCAAAACTCTCTACCCTGACGCCCTTTTCGAGCCATGCCGGCAACTCATGTGGAGACGGCCCTCACAAATGGCCACGATGCGCATGCCCACTCGTCACCTGCTGCGAAGAAAGCCAAGGGAAAGAGGGGGATGGATTCGTCCGAAGCTTCGCGCCTCCTCCAGGCCCGTATCTCGCAGCTGGAGCAGGATGCCGCTGGAGAGAAAGACCAAGAGATGGAAATAGGTGCGTCCAAGTCTGCCGCATGAGAAAGAGTAGCCAGCCCAGAGATCAGCTAACGTCCATATCCGTAAATAGAAAGAGAAGTAAAGCGCGCCAATCGAGATCTTCTACAACAGGTATCCAAGATGGACGACATGCAAAAAATTGAGCATCTTATGAGGCGCTCAAGTGAATTGTTAGCCGACATGCGACGCCTGGAAAGAGAAAACCAGAAGAACAAGAAACGCGGAGACGCACTCCAGAAAGAACGAGATGCTAGCCGTACAGAACTGAGCAAGACCGTGGGATTGAAGGAGAAACTTGAAAAGCTGTGTCGAGAACTGCAAAGAGACAACAACAAGATGAAGGTTCGCACCGGCCGCTTCGAGCAAACAATCACCGAGCCTTTGGCGCAACACGGCGCACTGACATTGGGATATAGAATGAGAACAAAGAGCTCCAGAGTACGCAGAAGCGAAATAACGCCGCTTGGGACGAAAAATTCGCAAGCTTGTTATCGAAACTAGAGGGATATCAAGAAGAAAAGGACACCCCCAAGAAACAAGTAGTGGACATGGAAATGGATGAATTGTAAGCTTTACCCACTCGTATGCAGCGAGAATTCTCCGGGGTGCATGAATTAACCGGCGAGACATAACCAGGTTCCGGGTTCGGTTCAAATCCTTCATTGAGCAGTATGAGTTGCGCGAACTGCATTTTCACTCTCTCATGCGGACCAAAGAGCTCGAAGTGCAGTACCACTTATCCCGCCATGACAGGGAGAAGAAGAATGCCGAAGCCGAAGCGAATAAAGCGCGCCATTTGCAGAACCAGGTCGGAGCGTTTACCAAGACCGAGACGGAGCTTCGGAATCAGCTGAATGTATATGTGGATAAGTTCAAACAGGTATGTAATGCAGCATGCATTGGTTTAGCAATTGGCAGCCAGGCCTGACCTGTTGCGTCTTGTAGGTGGAGGATACTCTTAATAATAGCAACGACCTGTTTCTCTCATTCCGAAAAGAAATGGAGGATATGTCGAAGAAGGGCAAGCGCTTGGAGAAGGAAAATGAGACGCTGAAACGTCAAAAAGAGGCGACCACGGCGAATATCATCCAATTGGCGGAAGAGCGGCAAGACTGGAAGCGGAAGATTGACGCTGCCGACAAGAAGAACGAGAAGCTCATGAGCATCATCCAGCAGATGCAGCAACAAGGGCGGAAAGTTCCACGGGAGACTCCCAGCACGGTAGAGGCCAGCACAGTAGAAGTGTGTCCTCCGGATAATCACGGGCATGGAGCCACAGAAGGTGAGGGCGAGGAGAGCGAATATTCCGAGGAGGAGGGCGAGGAGGAAGGGCTTAGTGAATTCGATGATGATACGGAAGAGGAGCCTCAGCCGAGCGAACAGGGACCGCCGGTGCCCTATGGCCCGGAACGCCCGCCTCAGCCAACCACGAATGGACATTAGGATGCGGCTATTCGGTGTCTGGCTGCGAACGCAAGTCCAGAGGTAATCCAAAGGGAATTCAAGCTCGCCAACGTGCCAGTAGACCAGCTGCTCCCGCACCTGCTAGAGCGACTGAAAGATGAGCCATTTCTGCCTAGTTTGCTGAATTTGTGCCTAGACAGAATGTTGCCGCCAACCATGGCACGGCCAGACCTTCATAATGTGCCGCGCGCAGCAGTTATCAGGGTCTTTTGGGACCTGGTATTGGCCTCGAGAGCCGGATGAAGCATGCTTTTTTTATTCTTCTATTAAGACAGATGAAAAAAAAAATAAAAAAGAAAGACAAAAGAAAAGAAGAAGAAGGGGGAGAAGAAGACAAAGTATGCTTGGTTTGTATCAAATGTCTATCTGGCAAAGCGGGATTCATATGTTTGGCTTAACCCTGTAGCTATTATCGTCTATGCTGTTAATCACATTGCCTCTTTCTCAGCGGAACTTATTACTACCTTTTTCCTTCGTCTCCTCCAGTGAGCCCCGAATCTCAAATCGGGGCCAGTTATGCTCTGTGAATGGCTTCCCTTTCTGATTCTGATACATGGATAAAAGTCAAGTCAAGAATGCATTCTTTTGCTATGACTCGTTGTATAGGCATCATTGCTGAACAGCGGGTGTACAAGATATACACGGTCGGCTAGGTACCTATGCAGCTGGATAATGTGCAAGGCGGGTGAATTCTTGTTAGGGCCATCGCAAGGTCAGAAAGTGCTGCTCCCCTTGAATCTTGGAACGAAAAGCTCCCACTCGGAAATGCAAAGAATAAGCATTGGTTGTTTCCCTTTGTAGGTATTCAGGCCAGGTCTTGAACAGTTGTATACTGTCTCAAGCATGCGATTACTAGCCGAAAGAAAAGCACCTGCTCGCGTGATCTCGCCATGCCCATGCAGTATACTATACTTGTCCGTCGGCTTAGTAAATCCAGAGAGAGTCTTTAATTCGGGACTTGTATTTACGACAAGCACTTGATTCACATAGCAATTGATACCTAATACCATGCAGAGCGTATCGTCTAGAGCTTACTGCAATTGACTTCGGTAGCGAATGGTAGCATCAGATCAGTGTGTAGGTGGTGTTACATCCTGGTGCATCGATATAATCATGGACGGCTCTCAACAAACAAAAAGAGCAGCACCTATCAGCCTCGCCTTTGGACCAAAAATCATCAACCTCGTAGCAGCATCATCCGAGAGCGATGTACATAATTTTGCCGGACTTCCATTGCCCCATTCCTGTGCGATGCAATGCCGCCAGAGCACTTCGAGGCACGTCATAGACTATGTACACTGTAAACAAGCGCCAAAATCACCGGGTAGCTTAGCTTCCGCGACGTGCATTAGCTCAGCAGCACTTATAGCCACCCTGGCCTCCCCCGCGGTGTCCTTCCCACGTTCCATCTTCTACAGCATCTCCGTATACCAAAACAAAAAAAAGAGTCCCGTCCAAGCTGTTGATATCCTGAATCTATCAGGAAAAAAACAGCCCGCCATGGACTTTTTACAGGTACGCCCAAACTCAATTGCAGTCAATTGAGAACACACACTCTTTTTCAATGCAAAGTCGCTAACCGATGCTCTCCCGCTGCTCTTGACAGCGCTTGTCGCAATTCCTCGACCGTCCGCTGTTCCCATGGAAGAGGCTCGTCCTGGGCTTCTCCCTGGGCCAGTTTGTCTTCGAATCGTTCCTCACCTTCCGCCAGTACCGTGTCCTCCAGTCGCCCAAAGCCCCCGCCGTCCTCGCCAAAGAAGTCTCCCAGGAAGATTTCGACAAGTCGCAAGCCTATGGCCGCGCCAAAGCTGAATTCTCCGTCGCCAGCGGCCTCTGGGGCCAAATCGTCAACTTCGCCTTTATCCAGCTCGATGTCATGCCTAAACTGTGGTCATGGACCGGTGATTTGCTGCTGAAATACGCGCCCACGCGCTTCACCGGCGAAATCTCCCACTCCATCGTCTTCGTCTTCACCTTCATGCTCATCCAGCAGGCTCTCGGTCTGCCGACCAAGATCTACAGCACCTTTGTCCTGGAAGAGAAGTTTGGCTTCAACAAGCAGACGCCCGGCCTGTTCGTCTCCGATATCGTCAAGACCAACCTCCTGACTGCCGCCCTGATGCCCCCTGTCCTCGCTGGTTTCCTCAAGATTATCCAAAAGACTGGCTCCCAGTTTGTCTTTTACACTTGGGTCTTTACCGCCTCCGTGCAAGTTCTGATGACCACTCTGTACCCCACCTTCATCCAGCCGCTGTTCAACAAGCTGTCTCCCCTCGAGGATGGCGAGCTCAAGACCAAGGTTAACGAATTGGCTGCTCGGTTCAAATTCCCCCTGCACGAGCTGCACGTCATTGACGGCAGCAAGCGCAGCGCTCACTCCAATGCTTTCTTCTACGGTCTGCCATGGAAGAAGCACATTGTCATCTACGATACTCTGCTGGAAAAATCTGAAACCGATGAGGTTCTCTCTATCCTTGCCCACGAGCTCGGTCACTGGAAATTGGGCCACACCACGAGCCTCTTTGGCATCTCTCAGGTACGACCATCCCTATCCTTATCCGAGTAGCGTCTGAGTATCCATCCAACTAACTTCATCACAGGCCCACCTCCTCTACGTCTTCAGCCTCTTCTCCGTCTTCATCAACAACCGCTCTCTGTACTCCTCGTTCGGCTTCCACAACGAGCACCCCATCATCATCGGCTTCCTTCTCTTCTCCGACGCTCTGTCTCCAATGGACACCGTTATCCAGTTCCTCCTAAACATGGTCACCCGTGCATTCGAATTCCAGGCCGATGCCTTCGCCAAGGGCCTCGGTATGCAGACTGAGCTGGCCAGGTCGCTTCTCAAGCTGCAGATTCAGAACCTCAGCTCTATGGATGCTGACTGGATGTACGCGAGCTATCACTTCTCGCACCCCCACCTCTCAGAGCGTCTCAAGGCCCTGAACTGGAAGGGAGAGCAAGCCGTTACCAGTGAGAAGGATGACGAGGGCGTCGTCAAAGCCAGTGGACGCGACGAGTTGTAAGGCATAGATAATAAAAGAACCATATGTGTAGAGATAGATTAGTAGATGTTTTAAGAAGGGAAGAGGAGAAAAAAGTATTCGAGAACAGATCTCTATTCTGAAATGAGAAATGGTTCTCGCGGCTACTGTCATACTATCTATTCGTCTAGATTCTAGCTGCCCATATTATTATACGTAAGCCTATATGAAGCATACAGAATAGGTTTCCCAGGCCTAGATCTTAGGCTCGAGAATTTGTCCTCGTAACACCGATTCTATCTAGTCCTCATCCTCGTCGTCCTCGTCCTCGTCCTCGCTCCCCTCGTCTGAATACTCTTCCTCGTCTTCGTCCTCATCATCCTCGTCCTCATCCTCGTACTCACCAGCACCCAAGCCATAATCATCGTGGAAGTGGCTTAATTCTTGAGTCTGAACTTTGTAGCCCATACCCTTGAATGCAGTTTCCATTCCCTGTACAAAATATGTCAGTATAGCCCTCTCTTATATAGAAGGGGGAGAGAAAAAAAACTGTACCTCTTGCATAAGTTTGGCGCATGTAATTACCACGTTGCTCTTGCCCGGCTCAAAGCAAGGCATGATGAAGTCCTTCAGTGCCTGTCGAATCTCGTCTTCATTGACTTCTCTGACGCGCTTCAAGATATCCTTGCTCCAGTCCTTGGGCAGCTGCTTGAACACGCTCTGGACGAAGTTCTGCTGGGCAGCGCTGGGCATAGTGGATTGCTCGTCTGCAAATACAACCACAATCTGGCTGATGGTACCCTCCAAAAGGTGCTTATCAATTGGCACCTCTCCATTGGCAATCTTTTGAATGGCATCACGCGAAGCAATAATTGCCTTGGAGGCATCTGGAGATCGGTAAATCTTGTAGGATAAAACTCCGCTCTCAACGTTGCGTGAGAAGAAGGATCCGTAGGCATACCCGGCACCACGAACAGCATTCCACAAGGGTCCCTCTACTGTCTCAAGATAACCCACCGCCACCATGATGGCCGGCAATCTAGGATCTGAAAATGAGTAGAGACCAGGGGCAGTGCTCACAGAAAAGGAGCTGTCGAGAGCTGTCATGGGAACGATGACGGCACCAACAGAGCCAGGGGCCTTTCCTTCATCGTTCAATAGACTTGATGGCTTCGGAATAGTAGCCATTGATCCGTTTTGTGACTTCAGAGCTGTGGAGAGTGTATCCCAAGTCGTGACGGGATTGGGAAGCTTCTCTAAGTTTGCTGTGACGAGAATTCTCGTGTTTTCAAAAGTGAAAAGCGAGTTGCGGATTGTATTGAACCACTCGACAATCTGGTCCGGGTTCTTCTGAAGAATCTTCTTGAGACGTTTGAGGTAAACTGCCTTAACAACAACGCGCCTAGCGACTGTAAGAGTTGACTTGTCCATGTGGATAGCTGTGTCCACCTCAGCGGACATGCTGCGCCCATCGCGTTTCGATTCTGGGATGTCCGCCAAGGCTTTCATAATAGCAGCCTTGATGCGTATAGGATCAAAGACAGAATCGAACATCATCGTACGAAGCCAGTTTACAGCCGCAGCATATTTTTCTGGCTCAGCCTGAAACTGGATCATGTATCCTTCTGAATCTCCGAGCTGGCGAGAATTTCCAATATCATAACCAACACTGTCTCTCTCCAGCTCCATTACGACCTGCTCAAAGTTGATTTGCTGTCCATCTCGCTTGATGTGAGTGTTGAAGAAGTTATCGCTAAAGATTGACATGAGTGGCTTTAAGTGAACAGGGACTTGGGCTGTGCCGAAATGAAGAGTAATGTGCACAAAGTTGGTAGGCACATCTTCGAACTGGATGAAAAGCGGTAATTTGCCACCAGGGGCCGCGTTGATGAGTTCTTGCGCACGGCCAGAACCAAGACCAACAGCCTTGGCATGACCGGAACGAGCAGTATCTGATTCGATGAAATGAATTGACTCTGTACCAGGAACAGCCCATCGATCAATAACTTCAGGAGGGATTGGTGCATCGTTCTTCGTCTTCGCATTTTCGAGCTTCTGTGCGAGTTTTTGCAGACCTTCTTCCCCAAGTTCTTCTTTCCGCTTGGCAATACGAGCTTCGTGGTCACCCTTCATCTTGATGGCCAATTGCAGCGATGGCTTGCCCAGAACGGAGACGTGATGAGCATCGGCCATCCATTTGCTCATGAAAGCTCGCCAATCTTCGTCTGACCACTTCTCAAGAACATCATATTCTGCCATTGTTGCCAGATCTTTGAGAGTTGAGCCGTCACGCTTTCCAAAGAGGTAATCGGATATAATGTTGGTGGAGTAAAAGGACTCTGACGTTTCAGCGTGAAATTTGACCTGTCGCTTCTCTCGTCGGATGCATTCTGTCATATAGCTCATGTCCAATGGCTTTGACACGACATCTTTCAGGACTTGGAAGAGGCGCTTCTCCACAAACTCCAATTTTTCCGTTTCCACGCCAGTAGGCTGTAGCCAAATGAGCGAGTTTGGCCGTGAATCCCACCAATACGAGACAGAGCTTGCAAGCTCTTCCCGTTCAACAAGAATGTTCTCCAACACAGAGACGGATGAACCGCAAAGGTAAGTAAGGAGAATATTCAAAGCGGACGTGGCGAGCACATCAGCGCAATGGGGACCAAAGAATCCAATAAGTATTTCGCCAACGGATTCATCCTCCTCGGGGAATTCTGCTGTCGTGACAATGCTTTCCTTGAGGGCTGGTGGTTGAGCTGACTCTACCCAGGGTCTCTTGAAATCGCTATCAAGAGCAGGAATATCGTCTTTGATGCTTTCTTCAAATGTATCTAGTATTTCCAGGAGATTCTCATGGTCTGCTTCGCCGACAATGACTATGCACAAGTTGCGCGGCTGGTACATATCGCGATGGAACTGGCGAATACGCTCAGGGGTCAACACTCGTAGAGCTTCCGTCATACCGCCGGTTTCGTAGCGGAAGCCGACATTCTCTGGGTATAAGAGTCGGCGAGCCTTGAGGTCCATAATTTCAGCACTGCGATGTTCCACAGCCTGCATTTCCGAGTACACAACACCAGCATCGTTGCCTTCTCCATCGATATGCCAAACTTCGGTAACAACGCTCTCATCTGTAATGGTGGGCACAATCACATGCTCCAAATAGACAGGAAGGATTTGTGCGAAGCCCTCCCAGCCAGCAGTCTCAAGAGTATAGGCTGTGTGATCGGTAGCAGTCCAAGCATTTGTACCAGAGTATGCCCGCGAGGACAGCTTATCTAGAAGACCTTTCCACTGATAGTTCTTTGAGCCCATGAAGATCAGATGCTCAAGAGTGTGGGGTGCACCAGAGTCGTCGAAGATCTCGGTAGCGAGTGTGAAGTAGCCGTTGATCTTGGGCCCCTTGCGATCGGCGACTACGACCTGCATGCCACTTCGCTCGGACACATACTGGGTGATTGTACAGGGAGCATAGTCGGTCTGAAAACTCTGCACTTTGCGGAAACCAGGTTTCAACTTTTGAGAAGGCATTTTGAAATCTTGTGAGTAGATGAGCCCTTTCCAGCCAGACCTAAGCAGTAGGAGGTCAGTACAATTGCAATGGCAGTCAATGTCTAACCCCTTGTCCATAAGCTGATGTGCCTAGAAATGAGAAAACGAGATGAGGGAGCAGTGCTATGATTATGCATAATTGTTTGGGTTAAAAAAGCTGGTGCACAGAAAACGGAGTGGCGATGACGTCTGCATAGGCCACCCAGACAGATGAGTATAGAAAGGACCAACCTCAGCAGGTGGCTTTCCAGGAATGCGCAGACAGATTGGCCATATTTGCCGATGAACAGAAAGTACCCGCCGACGCTGATGATGGCGACAACAAGCGGTAAAAGCTCATTCGTAAGTCTAGCTGGAAGCATCTAAGAGGGTCTTCCAGCGGAGCTGCGCAGGAGCCAAACGATGACTTCCAACTTGGGCTTTTGATATGAGAATGTGGGTAGTTTAAGGTGAACGGATCGGTGAGGTGTTCGCAGAATGAATAAGAAGCAGAGGGCATGCGGGAAGTTTCGTTTCAGCAACTCACCAAACACAACGACGCCTCAGCAAGTGAAGACAGGGCAAACTACGCTCTGTCCGTGGAAGATAAAACGTCCTGGACGGTGTCTCTTCTTAACTAATTTCTGGTCAGCTGCAACTGGAGATGGAAAAGAGAAGATCTCGGCCCGCGATCCAAGGTGAGGGGCTGCAGAGACGGCTTATGGAATGTCCCCGGACTGAGAAGACGAGCCCAACGGTCTGCAAGACTCTCGCGCGTCTGACGGCAATAGTCTTCGACAAACTTGATCCCTGTCTAGTCGAAGGATTAAGAACAATATGAAAGTACGTACCGCCAAAAGCTTTGTTTCGTCCAGATGGATCCCATTGTCTGGCCGCTGGTTGGTGGGGGATTCAAAGAAGGAATGCCAGTGACATGTGCCCGCACCTGCGCCACAGAATGAGGGGTTTTAACCGCCGTTAGGCGCGTACACGCCACCAACAGCCACTGGATTCAATGCACGGAGGCGCCAGCCTCAGCTGTCTGTGGCGCAGTACATCATGCCGCGCCAAAAGCTGCAGGCGAGTGACGTTGAAGTTGACAGCTACCAGGTACCTGAGCTCAAATGCTGGCATCATCAAAAAAAGGTGAACCTCATCCGACTTGCGCAAACCAACGCGCTCGCACCCCCAACGACTTGGTGTCATGTCCTGCGATGCCAGCTGATCCTCTACCCAGCATTGATGCTATTTACTGAGGCTAATCCTCGGTATTTCCTTCGAGTGACTAGGCAGACCATCGCGTAGTCGTCCGTCATAGCTGAGGCTGCCGAGGGTCACTGTGGACACTACCATGGCGACAGCGACGGAGCCGCAGCAGCTTAGCAGCGCCATCATATCGTTTACCTTGGATGGTAACTTCCCTGAGGGCGCCTCCGCACTCCTAGCAGTCTCAGAAACCGACCTTGGCCCTACGATTGCAGCTCTGGACAAGGCCAAAGTGGATATTGAGGTACTGAAACAACCACCAAAGTTGAGCTATCGCTTTGGCCATGCATCCTTTTTTAACACCACCTCAATTTAGGCCGAAATACATACCATAAACGAGGAGACAAAAGATGACATTAGCTCGTGGGTTAAAAACTCAAAAGTCTTACAGGAGGACATCGTCCGATCGAAAACAATCGCCAATGAGATCATCCTCCAATCAGAGGCCCCTGAAGTAACTGGAGAAGCAATCCAAGATGCCGAAGAGAAAGCCGATTTTCTTAATCGAGAAGTCCAATATAGCCAACAGATGCATAATGTCTTGAGGCGGATCCAGCATGTCAATCAGCTCCTCGCCGAAGTCGAACAGGCAAGCCGGGAAAGGCGCGTTCTGGATTCGCTGCGGCTGCTCGAAAGTGTGTACTCTCCTGATCCACCCAATCAACTGTGGCTAATTTGGAAAAAGAATCATGGGCGGCCCTTGACGACGTCGGGGTCAGCAAGACTACCCGAGTGATGAGGCTGTTGGATTTGAGAGCCTTTGAGCTGAAGTCTGACATTCACCAAGTATTTGACCATGTCTGGAAAACCCTAGTGCAGATCGATACAGACTCTGGGAAAGTTGCCATCTATAATACTCGCGAAGGTTCGTTGTGTAACTACGTATATATCTTTACTCCCCTTGGGCAACTTTCGCTGACAACTGACAGATGAGAAAATGAGTCTGGAAGATGCTGCGATTGGCTTGCAAGCTTATAAGGAGGTTGATGAGAGAATGGAACAGCTGTGGCACAATTTGGATGCGGCAGTGGTGTCACCACGCATGAATGCTTTGAGATCAAACAGCGCGGGTATCAAAGTAGAGGGAGACGTGCTGGAGCTTGCAGGGTCTGCCGATGGTTCAGCAGAGTCTCTTTTGTCGGATCTCGAGCAGATTCTGACATTTATTGCTCAAAAACTACCAGCAAATCTACTGCAACCCTTGGCCAATATCATGATGAGCGATATCATATCCAAACTTACCCAAGAATGGCTCAATCCTGCTGTTCCTTCGGGGCTCAGAGACTTGGATAAGTTTCAGGCCTTGGTCTCAAAAATGAAAGGCTTTTGTGAAGAGCTACAACGTAGTGGATACACTGGCCTCGAACAGATACAAGACTGGGCCAGTAAAGCACCTACAATATGGCTTGAAAAATGCAGAGAGACTTCCCTCAATAGCGTCCGAGTCAATATTACAAGTGGGATCGGAGAGTCAAAACGGGTTGAAAAGATTGAGAGGCAGATGGTTTCCATAGCCGAGGGCAAGGAGCTTTCTAGAACAGGGGCTGGTGCTGTTGCTGATACGAACGATTGGGGAGATGATTGGGGAGAAGCTTGGGATGATGACAAGGCAAACGAGCCAACAACTGAAGCGAACGACCAGAAAGACGCACCTGGAGGAGACGATGACGATACTGCAGATGCTTGGGGGTGGGATGATAACGAGGACGGGAACAAAGATGTGAAAATGGAAGAAGAGCCAGCGGAAAAGGAAGCTGCCGAAGCCGACGACGGAGACGACGGTGCTGATGCATGGGGCTGGGGGGATAACGATGATGCGAAGGAAGATGTGAAACAGGCAGCAGAAGCCAAGAAAGCCACTGAAATACCAGAGGAGGATGATGGCGCTGATGCCTGGGGCTGGGGTGATGATGCTGGTGATGCTGCACCTGCACCTGCACCTGCACCTGCAGCTCCTGCTTCGGCGCCTACATCAACGGCTCGCAAGACGAGGCCAAGCAAAGCCAAAGAGGAAACAAGAGAATTAGTCTTCAAAGAGACATACAGCATTTCCTCAATGCCTGAACCTGTTCTCGAGCTGATATTCTCCATCTTGGAAGACGGAGCGGCTCTGACAAAGGACACCGACGAATACAGCCTGTTAACTGCAACGGCACCTGGGCTTTTCAGCTTGCCTACATTCGTCCTGGCACTGTTCCGAGCCATTTCGCCTCACTACTACTCGTCCGACGCTGGGGGGAACATGTAAGTCTAGTAGCACTGCAAATTTCAACTAACTCTCGTCATAATACTGACAAATTATCCAGGTTTCTATATAACGATGCCATGTATCTAGCGGAGAAACTATCCGACTTCTCTCTGGCTTGGAAACAGCGCGAGGATCTAACGCCTCGGGCGCGAAGCATGCTTCGCATCGACAATGATGTTAGGACACTCAAAAGCTTTGCTAACCGCAGCTACGCGAATGAAATGAGCCTCCAGAAGACGATATTGCACGACCTCCTAGGAGGCTCGCAGAGCCTAGCACAGCAAGACGATAAAGATGCCTCGATCGAAGCTGGGACAGCACGAATTCGAAACGTGGCCGCAACGTGGGAGCCGATTTTGAAGAGATCTGTGTGGTCTCAAGCTGTCGGATCACTCGCAGACTCACTTGCGTCACGGATCATATCAGATGTGCTGGAGATGTCTTCAATTGGACAAGATGAGGCCTTCAGTATTGCCCAGCTCATTGCTTTGGCAACAGAGCTTGATGATTTATTTATACCCAGCAAACTGGCTGGCACAGCACCAGTGACAGATGAAATGCCTACAACAGCTCAATACGCGCCAAACTGGCTGCGTCTCAAGTATCTGGGCGAAGTGCTACAGAGCAACCTCAACGAGGTCAAGTTCCTATGGTGTGACAGCGAGCTGAGCTTGTATTTCACGGTGGACGAGGTGATTGATCTGATACATGCCAGCTTCGAGGATAATGCAAGAACGAGGGGAACGATTAAGGAGATTAGTGCCAAAGAGCCGTTAGCTAGATGATGGGACTTGAACACAACGAATGAATGAATACGATGAATAATTATACTATTATATGATGTGTCTTCAATTACTACAGAATTGTTTTTCTATTTATTTTCTGTTGGGCATTCCTACTTTTAGTGGAGGTTGGATACAAGCCTTTGGCCAAGTTTGACGATTTGTGCGATAGCTTCATGAGGCTCTTACCCTCGCGATGTCCCCAACAACAAGACATGGGCGGATGGTTTAGTGGTATAATTTTCCCTTAGCATCAAGCAACCTTCTGGTTTAGCTTAATCGCATGGGAAAGGTCCGGGGTTCGATTCCCCGTTCGTCCAGTTTTTTGTTATTGTTTTTGCCACTCGCCCCCTTTTTTTTTTTTTTTTAATATGAGAGAAACATCAAAGACTGGCTGGATGTATTTTAGTAGCCGGCTAACGATGCCGTAATTTTATCTATTTTAGGATTCTAGCTCCCATTCCCTTTAAATTAAAATAGCCCGAGATGTTAAGAAAAAAAAAAAAATCTTACTTATCCTTGTAAATTCGCCTCTCATCCAACTTTCTAGAATCATTTTCCAAAGTGTGATGGATGGGTGTGGACATAAGCTAGTATGTACTACTAGTATCAATCTATGCATGCACAGACAATTTTTTTTTTTCTTCCTCTTGCTCTCTCTTATACACTTTATATGTAAGTGTCAAGACTTTTTTTTTTTTTTTTTTTTTTTTTTTTTTAAATTTAATTTAAAATGAATTCTTTTTGGCCAAAAGCAGAGGCGTGCAATTTCAATTTCAATCCTTTCGATAGTCTCTGTCATGACTCGTTCCTGCATGCTGAGATGGCTGTGTAGGAACGGGTGTTTGTTCTTTTTTTTCTTCTGTTTCTTATCTGTTGGCTGTACTTCATTCAGAGGGGTGCGTGGCAAATTTCCATTTGGTCACTCTTCTCCTTTTGTTTATCCTTGGCCTTTTGCCATTGAGGTTATTTTAATTGCTAATGTTATCATGACCACCAACAATAGTATTGAACAACATGAAGAATTTGTTCTCATCTGATATATCGTGGCCATTAAATTTACACTCTCACCCACAACTGGGTTCGTCAAAGACGTCCATGTAAAGCCCAATCCCGGTCAATCAACCAATACAGTTAGACAAATTCCGTAGGTCGTCCGTATTCGGTGCCCCATAAAAACCGGCACTTCACCGCCATCTAACGACTTATACTGCCGCCTTTCTTACACATAAAACAAGTTCAGAAGAGATACAACACCATGCATCAGCAGTTCTCACCTTGTCGCCATTCTCATCCAATATTCGTCTAGCCTTCTTTTCTTCTGTTTCTCCCTTCTTGGCCGATATGTTGTGTATCTTTGTCTCTCTCTGTGCCCCTCCCTTGCATCTCAGAGCCCGGCCCCTGACTCACATCGGCCTCTCCAAGCATCCCTACTCCGAATTATTGACTCGTCCATTTTGAAATCCAGCTCAGCTCGGTTCGGCTCTGTCGACCTTCTTCCTTTGCCCCCCCTGGCCGACAGTCTGCATTCGCCAAGACCGCTGCCAGCACGGACAAGTAGTACGAGAACTGCCAATCGTACGAGCAGAGAGGTAGCACTCGGTGCCGGCAGTGGCAGTACTGCATAGTAGCTGTAGTGGCGCCAACTCAGCAAGAAACCCTTCCTGGTCCACAGTCGCAATTTGATCATCGTGATTTTTCTCTCCGCGGACGGATTCGACGGCACGCCGAGACACTAGCCAGTCGTGGTGGCAGGTACTACTGCTCCTAGCAGCACAGTTTACAAGGATTTTCTTCCAAGAAGTAGTAGAAAAAACAACAACAAATAAGCATCCCCCTGCCCGGCCTGTGCAGTAGCGCATGATATTCATCAGCCTTGCAAAGACACGTCAGCCTTTTTCATTCTGTTCATAAAAAGCGATAGAACTGCACTTTGTATTGGTATTAGTAGTACCAATACATACACATCAGGGCAGCAGCGGGAAATCCTGCGATCCCAGCCGTTGTGTACTGATACACACAGGGGATATACTCATAGCAACTAGGCAGCGTAAGCAGCTTGTCTCAGGAGGATCACTGCCCAGACCCCGGAGAATTGCTATTTTTACTACTGTGCCCTCTCTGCCTAAAGCAACGAAAGGCTCTATGGCCGGCTCTACTGATGCGAGTAGCTGTAAGATTGATATGTGAGCATCGCCAGCCTCACACTCACGGTGACCTATCACGAGCAACGTCCACCGCTCTTCCCAGCAAAACTCCTGAAGAGAGACAGCTAGGTACAACTAGGCTGGCTTGAGTCTAGATTACACTGGCGCTGCTCAAGCTAATGCAGCTTTCTGCCTTCTTTTGCTGCTGCGCAGTAGTTCTGTTTCTGATCTACGGTCTAGATGGCGGTTCCTGGCGTCATCTCGCGATGTGCCGCTGGCTACCCGTATGCTAACGCTTACATTTCGATGTTCGTCGTCGCCGGCAAGCTGGTTAGCAGTATGTGGTAGACCAGCGGTACTAGTGGGAGGCCTAGCCAGGCACAGCAACAAGTCCTGCTTACTGGGGACCCAGCAGTGAGGGAGCTACGCATGAAAGAGCATGGCATTTCCCCAGATTTTCACTTCCTGGCCCCCCGAGATTGTCCACAAAACGGGCTGGGGTGGGCACGGGATTGATTGCCTTTCTCCTCTGCGCCCGTCTCTGCTTTGGAGTCATTTTACGGTACACGAGACCGCATGTGCGCGCGCATTAGGCCATATTCCGTCTTTCCAATGCACACGCCTCCCCCGTTTTGAACTTGACAAGTAGCAGTACTAGTATCATGCAGAGTACTCGACCTGTCGTAACTCATACTCTCTGTATATGGCATAGCTCACCACCAAAAAAGGCAGAAAGAAAAAAAAAGAAAAGAAAAGAAAAGCCACCAACGGCAACGGCAACACCCTTGCTAGCTGGACAACTGGGCTGAAAAAAAGAGTAAAAATCCGAGGCAAGGAACCAATGAGTGGGAGCTCGTAGGATCAGCAGGGACTCGGGTACCGAGCTATTGGAAAAGGTAGTGCTAACACCTAGTCAGCGGCCAGGGGAGGGGGGATTGACTTACCGCCCATACAGTAAATGTTTATCCATGCCTGTTGGATCAGCAGAGTGAGGCTGGCCACCGAAGCTGCCGCGGCGAAGCTTTCCCTGCTACCCGATGATACTACTACTACCCGTAGCTTTCACCACTACTGCCGAAAGGGGCCCTTGGGCGGAGAAATGTCTTTCTTTTCGGTCAATCATGCGCCAAGGCAGCCTGCTAGCCTTGAGCCATCCGATCGTGATCCAACCAGGAAACCGGATGCTGTTCTCCAGAGCTTTATCGGCATCCCTTCATCCTTCATGTGGGTTATGGCTCCTTCGGAATGACGTTGTGTACGAACCACATGCACACTCCGTAGCGGCAGTAGCACAAGTTTGACCAGATTGAGCCATGAGGTGGGTCGCCGTCAATCTTCCCCTCTGTGCCACACGGGACGGGACGAAACGAGGACTCGAACTCTATACTACTTTGTATGAGCATATGGGTAGTACTATTCGTACAAGGCGGGTAGGTAGGTAGGCGTCCACGACGCTCATAAAATCCAATGAGAGACTATGATCCGTGACGGCCACCCATACCGGAGCCAGCTCCGGTGGAGGGAACGAAACAGATTGGATGTCATTGCAAGTATGGCTTGCGAAGACTGAGTACTCCGTCTGTATTGGCACTACAGCGCTTGCGTAGGATTTGTCGCTCGCGTATAGCTGCAAATATGTGCATGCATGCGCATTAATTGGAATCGGACCATCTCCTGGAGTGTGCTTTAGGAATGGCACGCCGCCCAAGTAGCTTGTCCTGTGTGCGATTGCTCACACGCAGGACGCTCTGCTCCGTTTATCCAAATATTGCCACCAACGCGTATTCCGTTTTATTTCCTTTGTAAAATGTCTTGCCGCCATGCAACCCGCCATATGCAAGCTCAAGCCGTCACGCCCGTCTGTCTTTGCCGCTGCTCACTGCGTCGGCTTACCTCAGCCGTCGACCTTTCTTTAGGAACCTTGTAAAGGCCAATATGACGTCGATTGCTTAGGTGCCCTTTTATATCAGCTTTCTTTAGCTTACAAGTACTACTAATAGTAGCAATGGTAGGGATATTTTTCAAGGCGGCTGGCCCATAGGCATATACGTACAGGTACAAGTAAGCATCGGCGCGTCAGCTCTCGTTTGCATCGGACAACCTGACGCATGCACATGCAGTCAGCGTCTGTTCACTCTCGCGGGGTCGATGGGTAGTTCGACCACTTTAATCGTCCAACAGGAGATAGTATCTGGTGGTCCAGGTTTTCTGCCGACAGGCGCACTGGTGAAATGGCCTTGTGGAGATACGTATCAGCGTCGTGACGCGAGCTGCCAAGGGTTGGCATGTGGAGGTGAGGTGAGCTTCTTCACAGGTCTCTTTGCACCGCATGACGGGAGCGGGTAGCAGAACTTCTGAACCCTGAGGCGGGCGAAGGTGAAGATGTAGCTAGTTACAACATCGCTAAGCCCCCATGTAGCAACTCGTTCTGCATGCTGGCAACGGGCGGGCGGCTCTATGGCCACGAAGCAGCTGCCAGTCCATCCTCGGCGTGTTCATGTCTCTCGCCGCCCATGCCGATCTCGTAAAGCTGGCTGTGGTTCTTTTGATGGGTTCGAGCTTGCATGCCTTGATGCTTCTCCGCGCGTATCTGTATCCAGAGGTACATACATGGGTCCATATTTGGTAGATAGGCATAAGATGGCCCCCTTCTGCCGTCGCTTGATCTGCAGGGCGAGCAGTAGTTCATTAGCTTCGTAAGTTTGCTAGCTTTTGCGCTCGCCTAACCCAAAAGCATTGTGATTGTTCAAAAGGGAAAAAAAAAGAAAGGAAAGGAAAAAAGGGGGAAAAAAAAGCATCATCTAAGGGGGGTCTTCAAAACCCAGCCGCAACTCACCTAGCGCTGTAGACTTCAGTAATCAGAGCTACTGCTGCCCATACATAACACACGCGGGCTGTAGCTGCAGGATTAGCTCAGGCATAGCCTTACATACCAGTGCTAAAGGCCAGTAAGAAATGACAAGTCGTTGCGTGTGAAACAAAATGTGATTGCGGTGAACAGGCTTCCAGAGCACTAAAAGACAGAGACATGATTGTACGGTAAGAAGTCGGAGAGGACCGTGCCGTAGTTGACAGCTCATAGTTGCAATACCATCAGCATGAGTAGTTCTAGCAGCCTTTGGTAGGCCAGCGCGGGTTACCGCCAGCGATGCCTCATGCGCACCGCGGCCATAGTGCCCTCTTGGACTCATACTTCGTACGCATACGCGAGTGATGTTTCAATTCCTGGCTATTCTGCGCCGTAATAATGATCGGTAGAACTTGCCCGTTAGGAACAAACAGGCTGCTACACTGCGCTGTGCTGCGCGGCACCGCTGCGCCACGTATGAGTGCATGTCGTCCATCCTATCGTGCAAGCCGCATTATCTGCTCATCCATACTGCAAGTTCCCACGGCTGTAACGGAGTTTTAGGTCCGTAGGAAGCACGTTGATGTCGATAACGGGGCCCTTTCTAGCGGTAGCAGTAGCTATGCTGCGGTACCCAAAAGGACATGCCGAGTTCACCGAGCCCCCTGTTTTCCAGCTGCACTACCGTCCCAAGGGCATGGCCATCTAAGCACAAGGCTGAGAGGCAATACTTATCACCCATGTATATTGCTGAGACAAGTACTTCGTACCTACGAAGTACACAATTGGTCGTATCCACGGCAGAATTCTGTTGAGGTAGTCTGGTTGATAGCCCAGGATTCGCTGCTTGCTGCTAGAATGACTTGCCAGACTCTAATCCCCCTTAGTCCTCATCACGAACTGCAGACGCGATGGACGGCAAGTAATTGCTCAGGTATCTTGGCATGAAGTACCAATGTGAAGAGGCGTTTCTCATTTCATGTATAAATAGCTCCATCAGTATGGGGCAAGGTGCCCAGCGATTGCCGAAAGCGAAGGGGCAGGGTCCCCCTATTCCCAGCTTGCATCACCAGGGTGTCTCCCCTGTTGGCAAGAAAGCTGGAGCTGGGGAGGGGGTTAAGTCGACATGTTCCTATCAGCACATAGGGGTACAGGTGAGTGTACAAAGGAAGATATCAAGGCTATCTGTACGAGCCCCTTGCTTCCAAATCCTAGAGTTGCTTAGGGTCTTTAGTGATTGCCTCGTTTTCCAGCAGCAAACGTTTTTGTTGTGTATTGGATGAATCGTTTGTACTTGTAGTGCGACCCCCATGAGAGACGGGTCGTGTGATGTATGTTGATGGCGCCATAAATAGGAGTTTAGTATTTGAGATTTTCGGTCCACATGTGTTCCCGCTGTTGCAGCATCCATTCTCGCAGTCTCATTTCTTTCTTGTTCGTCATCTACGGAGTACAATACTGTAAGACGTGCTGGTACCGGTAGGTCAAAGTATGCTGCACAAAGATACACGGTCAGAGATGAGGCTTTGCATAAATACAGCCAAACGAACAGCGCTCATGCATGTTGGAGTAGGCCAGCCAGCCAGCCACGAAGCGTCCTTGCAGGAGTAAACCCCCCCCCCCCAAACAACAACAAAAACAACAGCAACAGAAAAAAAAAAAAAAAAGAGGGAACCACTGGCAGGCCAGCCTTACTGAGACAAATTCCGCCAGCGGAGGGGGGGTAAAGACGCACCAGCAGCATCATGTTTAGTACAACTGCTGCGTCGTCGCGCATCCAGTTCAAAGCAAGGCTTATGGGCAGTTGGTTGGCTCACCGGCTGCTAGGCTGACGGCAGCTACTTTTCGACAATGCGGCGGAGTGAATTTGGCTGAGACACACACACACACGCACACAAAAAAAGATGATATATGATGAGATGATGAAAGAGTCGAGCACCGTGAGTGCGTGCTGGTGAGCTGAAGCAGCTTAAGCCGCCCTCAGCCCTGCGCGGCACAAACTGCTTCCAACCAATTTACCCGATCCGGCAGCCGGACGAAAAGGAGCATGAAAAGCTGCAGCAGACCCAGAGGCTTTTGTTGCGCTCGCCCGCCTGTTCTCACTGCATAATATCTGGTCAGAAGATCGAGATACGCAGCGCCCCAGGAAAGCGGTTAGGGCGCCAGGATCGTAGTGGAGAGGTGGTAGTGCTCAGCAATGGCGCGCACTTCTAAAGTCCCCAATGCTGGTACAGGGCAAAAAATGGAGCCAATATAACATCGTCACATTCTGTCCCTTCGGCCTGCCCAAAGGGAAAAATAGCTCAGTCCACAGTGTCCTACGCATACGGTCATACACATGTCTCATGCCCATGCCCATGCCGTACCGGCAAGAAGGATTCTCTTTGCCAGGCCCCAAGAGTTGTTCGCACATGGAGACGGATAGCGCACCAACCGAGCAGTTCCTCTTCAGCCCCAGTGCCGGGATAAAAGAAGAGAGAGTAATGCTACAGTGATAGTGGCGACTGACGTGGAAGAAAAGACATCAGCCAAGGCGCAACTCGGGAAAGCCCGCCGCCTCAGCCGCCAATAATAAAAGAGAAGAGTTCTAGAAACCCCATCTCCAGCTAGCTGGAATGCCCCATCGGCTCCTCCTTCTTCCCCGCGACAGGCTTTGGACACCAGTAAAGGCCTCCAAGGTAAGGGAAAAGCCAATCCGTTGCTTCCTTCTCCTCAATGGCTCTTGTTGGTGGATGGCTGTAACCGGCTGTCTATGGTGACACGACGCGGTGTTGGCGTGTGGGGATTGTCCGTGTCCGCGTGCAAGTATAGCCGTATGCATGGCTGGGCTGCATGATGCTCGTCCTAAATGCTGGCCGTGTGGAGAAAATATCTTTGCCAGCCAAACGGTGGGCTAGACCTGGCTTCCAATGCGGGCAGCACTTATTATGAATAGGATTAGAAGGGGGTTCATCTCTCATCAACTGACTTGACTTGACTGAAGGTGCGTGTCTTCCCCACAGTGCAGTTCACGAACACCCCGTAACCAAAGATTTGATGCTCTCGGTGCTGTCGTGGCAGCCGCTGGTGCGTCTTTAGCACCTGTCATCCCCAGCCAATTCGTCATTCAGCAGCCCATTTCCTGCATACCAGTCAAGCTGGTCGGCCAGTCCAGGCGTTAGCCGACATCAAAAGCGTCACTATGCTCTCATTGTGCACACCACACCCCTCGAGAAATAGATTCGGCTGTACTTGCTCTGCCTGACATCCCCGTTGACATCTACAACCTCCAGGTACAGATGGAACGTATATACATCATGGTTAGCAGAGCTGGTACTCCGTATCATATTGCATCCCCCTGCCAGCCGCACATGCGCACTCGGTATAATTTGTCCGGTAAAATGACGGGAAAAGGCAAGTTTGGCGGCCACGCTCTCGGCATAAATTATGGTATACAAGTCATACCAGCCAACGGGAAACCCTCAAGCATATGGAACTTCTGCTGTTAGCGATGTAACAGGGAGACAGAATAGTTGCTTCCATGAGTCCCGGCCACCCTGTATTATTACGCAGTGCGTGCGCGCGCTCGAGGCCCCCTCGGTCGCCCAACCGTCGCATAGCCTTGCTCCGCTCTAGCACCAAGGTGTGCGTGTATGCACTGTATCATCAGAGTCGCCTTATCTGCTCTGAATTTATACCTAATAGTCGCCACTCTTGCAGCATGCCTGTAAGGAGGAATGGATGAAAGCGAAACGGTTTAGGACGCTCCCTTACCAAAACGATATTCGACGTTGCAAAAGATGGAGCGGGAAATGGCAGCGGATAAGAGCCCAAAAGCTTTCCATCCTTCTGGATCTGCATAAATAATAGTGAGTAGAGATGGGGTTGATAATTTACCCAATCCGGCATCCTTCATTAATAAGCAGATACCGAGAATGGCTCGTTTGCAAGTGGAATAGAATTTGCGCAGCCAGAGGACTCAGACATAGCTATGATAACACTCATATCTGAGCGAGGTAAACTGCAGAATAATAAATAGAACTGTCAACGAAGCTTAAGATGCACAATGCTGCAAGGGAAGCACGATTAGTCTCACGTCTAATGCATTGTCCTTCTCTGCAAGCCAGCCCTGTGACCTGCCATCTGCAAGGCCAACACAAGGCAGCATCCCATCAAATCAGACAACCTATAGTTTGTGTAACGATGGCCCAAAAAGAATGCGAGCATAATTGCGCAAGTAGATTAATTAGAATGTTCCTTGCGAATCGCAATCCGAGGCGACGAAAGAAAAGCCGCCCATGGTAGTTGAAAATCTCCTGATTATTCGTGAATATAGGAAATGCTTGAAGAGCGGTTGGCCTAGAACTTTTGATGAAGCTGGATTTGTTGAATTATGTGAAGAGACGCTGACCGGAACAGCCATCATCATGCTCTTCACCGCATAACTTGTCTCAGCACGTACAAATGGAGCTATAGTCACTTCCGAAAACCTCCGTAGCATTAGCAACTGATTAACAACAAGGGAGACCACTACCAGTGAGCCACGGTAGCAAATCTCCTGAGAACAGAATGGCTGTACATGAACCCACCATTCCGTTCCCGCGAGTGCCGCCAGCAACCACGCCTTCACATCGCGTAGCGACCCTTGCAACCCAGGCGGCCAGGGTCGTGGTAGCACAAACAAGACTCTTATCGGCAGATAAGGTGTGATTGTAGTCGATCGAACGCGGGTGATGGCCGTCGGCAAGACTAGGCCTTAAGGCCTCCCCGCATCAATCCCGCCGAAATGGATGAGGCTTCTTCATCCCGTAAGCGATCCAACAGCGTCGCGCCGCCAGCTTACGCCGCAGCCATCCCGCCAGCAAGCTGACTCTTTGCTATATTAACTCAGCATGTATTGGCCTGCTTGCGATCTTGCAGGCGCATATGTGCTAATCCGATGCTGTTGGGGGTGACTCTCAAGCTGCATCAAGGATTCATCTGCCCTGAATAGAAGCATGATATGCCTTGAAGTCAATAACCTGGTTACAAACTGTAACCAGTAGCACAGGTTACCCACTCCCAGGACAATTGCGGCAGCAGTTTCGAAAAAGTGGAATACAGATAGTATTTCGTCTTTTTTGCCCAAGTCTGACCGGCCACTGCCCCGTATACCTATGCACCCAGAGGATTTGGAGTGCATAGGGAGCGACCGTAGGCAAACGGAGCCTAGGGCTCCGCTCTTTGATGCGCGTGCCGTCTGGTATAGAGGGGGGACAGAGCATAGTTTGCCATATGGCTGAAGAAGAGGTTGGTCGCATGCAGATTTATGCAGTCCAAAGGCGGGTAGGATTCAGGACGGAGAATACGGGTGTGTAGCAGCGGTGCGGATGCTCTCTGCATTGGACATGGCAGGGGATGAGATTGCGCCCGCGACGCGATGTGTTGCTAACGCGAGGCTGAATGGCCCTTTTCACTTGGTCTTTGAGCATCCAAGCGTGTAAGATATCGAGCCTCACAGGTGTGAGTTATAAGCAGCCTCATGTCATCCAAAGCATTGAATGGCGCAGCTGATGATTTCTTTCTGCATAACAATTTATAAGCGCTGGTAAGAGAGACTCTATGCACCACAGTCTGGTATTATGTTTCGGATGGTGTCCTCTGAGAAGCGCTCCTCATTCGTCTAGAGAAGCTATAAACGTGTGCATCGTTAGATTCCTTGTCCCTTTTCTTCCCATTTTCGTTCTTTCTTGCTTTTCCTTGATTGTTTGATATCCAGCAAGGAAGGCTAGAGATGTGAAAATCAGGCTGAATATCGCAAACAGCTTGCATTCCAAGTTTGTACTTCAGCATAAGAAGTTGATTAGATCTCCCATTTTGGGCAAGCGTTAGCCAGGAGCTGGGATTGGTCGTGCAAATCGTCAAACGAGATTTTTTTTTCCACCTGCGCCTTGAGTCGCCAATATTGACTGGCCAAGAGCTCCGTAAGCCGTAAAAGGCAATTTATTCTTTGATTATATTTGAATGTTTGGTCATGCTGACCTAGTCCAAATCAAGACATATCCGACGCACCCGAGCCAAGACCAAGCTGAGAGGGCATATTGGTTCTCGTTGTTACCTCTTGGCAGCTGTTCTTGAACAAAAACTGCTAGACATTTGCTGCCAATACGACATTTTGGAGTGCAAGATGGCAAAAACGGGGCGGTAGTGTGGGCGTAGGGAACGAGAGGGGGAACCGCCACGTTAATGCTCACCCTGTGCCTAGGTAAGAGGTTTTATCTCAGTATATGTAGTGATATTGAACAGTATGTGGCCATGAAGGTGAAATGGTATCAACATGCGAAGCGTGCCCCCTTGCCATGTTTGGCTTTAGACATGACATATTCCTTAAGCCATACAGAGAGGTTGAAAACAACCTATTGATTACCTATTAGCAATACCTAAACACGTAAAGGTTGGGCCGCTCAGCTCACCTAGACATACAAACATAAAGGCCCTTCTGTTTTGGCTCTTAAAAAAAAAGAAAATTTTGCAACTCAAACTGAAATGAAAGGAATGCCGAGGAGGTTACAAGGCGTCAATCGAAGTGGTGGTCAATGTAACCCCGGGAAATAGTGATGCTCCCACTCACTCATTATATGGATGTCAAAATTTGGCACGCCCGCTTGGGCTAGATGCTCTTTGCCTAGCCGGCTTCTAGGAGCAAAGAAGCAATTTTATTGGAATATTCGACTGCAGAGGAGCGGAGCTAATTTGCTAGCAGTTGACGGCCATTAGCGGCCACTTTGGTGGAACCAACACTCTCAAGCCGCTATTATTTGTCGTGGAATTATGTGCTAATAAGCACGGAGCAGGATTGCAAATTTGTGCGGTGGGTGATGCCTTTGGGGCTCCGGACCCGGAGACCACGGTACAACTTGCTTTACGTCACAATCAAGGCTAAGCACCAATGGCATTCCCCATCAGCGGCCGGCGAGATGTTACTTGCTGGTCCTGGTGATTTGTTTCTGGCAATCCAGCGTTGGTTCAGAGCAGCAGTGCCCGACGAGACCATATCAGTGGATGATAATCACGGCTTGGCAGCCAGGACCAGGGGAAGCCAATCCCTTACAGCACCCGGGACGGAGAATGATTCGAGAAAAGCGTCTGTCTGGAGCAAACGTCAGGCTCTCTTTGGAGATGGCCATCTCAGAGGCGCCTCCAAGCAGATCCCCAGTCGGGCTAGCAAGGTTGTGCGCCTCAGCCGATTGGGCGACTCCAGGGTTAGGACGTCATCGCGTCTGTGAGCTGCAGTGTGAAACGAGAACCCTGGCGACGTTTGTTTATGTCTGGAGTCCCTTGCGCTTATGTGGTCACCCAAGATGTCGGCCGTGCCCTCTGATTGGTCCGGGCTGCTGGCGCCGGTGTACTGCCAGGCTCGAGATTCTCTTCATACGAAAACGTGCATTTAGCTGTGCTCGCCGTATCCGTCGCACGAGCACAAGTACACCGCATCTGATAGGCGCTGTCTTGAAGACAAATTACGTGACTCTCGGAGCCTTGTGTCTCGTCCGGCCGGGCACTTCTGTCTTGGGGCGCGGACTGGCCCCGATCTTCAATGGCCTCATGACGCGATGAAGTCCGGTCTTTAAAAGTCGGTGAAATCTCGAGACTGCCCTCGTCGATGACTCTTACTCGTGCTGTATAGGCAGACGCTCCAAATCAGACCAGCCAGAGACCCCGCAGTTGGGTTGCATGGGTGTCTGAGCCTCGTCCGCCCGAAGCGCTTCAAGAAATCCCACGATGCCTGCTGCGGGTGGCAGAAAGGCAGGTCATGGTCGAGGCGGCTGATTTGGCGACAAGAGGCAGCAGGGCAAGACATCGAGCCCTGGCTTGCGCACACGGTACTTGGTCGCACGGGAGGCAGTACCTCCCAAACAGCATGCATGCCACTAGTGCGCTCAGTACCCAAGGGCTGACGGCTCGTGCTAGGCAAGGCGGCACCAACTACTCTATAACAACTGCAGAGGACGGCAAATGAAATCACATCACGTCCCCAATTCGGGTTACTCTTTCTTTCTTTTTCTTTTCGGTGACTGTGTGAACCAACTGCAATCAGAAGAGCCTGGCCTATGTCGACAGCTCAGGTGACGCTTTTGACCGCTCGGCGGCACGGATGCAGGTTCGCTAAATTCTGCAGGGCAGCTGCATCTGGGCATACAAGTATACCTACCCAGTAGCACCTGCTGCTGGGGCTAGGTGGTATTATGTTCGAGCTTACCAACTCGGCAGCACAGCACAGATTACCAATAAACTATCAGATACTACTAGGTAGGTGCCAACTTGAGGTACTACAAGTACCTGCCAGGTTAGTAGGTATGAGAACGTGGGCAGGTGCTACTACGAAGATAGGCTTTATAGGAGATACGGGTTTATATTAATAGAGTAGCACAAGGCTCTCGTACGAGTTGCGCGGAGTAGCTGCATAGCAAGGGCGGTACCTAAGGCAATATTGGCATAGCTCTCTGCAACTTTGCGCCAGCCAAGAGCTAATGTGCCTGCTAATAATGTACACGCACATCTACGACAGATGGTGGTTCTTGCGACAGGGAGAGAGGAAAGCTCCAGCAGTGACGCCATTTGGCTGGGGCTTCTGCAGAATAAACTGCCAGGGACCAGCGATACGAGTACGTACCGTCCTCACGCCGCATGCGTCAACCGATATGGTGTGGTTACACAGCTGCCTTCAGATCAGGTAGATAGCCCGAGAAGCCATACAGCAGGAGCTCTGCGAGATATGTACCTACAAGAACGCACAAGTACGAGCAGGTAGCACCCGCGTTCTTACCTTAATTTTCGTGGCGGTGGGGGGATCGCTAATCGCACGCCCCAGAGCCAGACCGCTGGAAACTCAGCAAAAGCGCCGAGGTCCTTGCTCCGCTGGTCTGGGATCCATTAGGTTTTGGGCTCCTCTGATAATTTTTTTTTCTCTGTGCCGTGTGGATTGGAATGGAACGTGGATGGAAAAGAGAAAAAAAGAAGAAAAAAAAAGACTGAAGTCAAATAAGCGATGATCTCATCGGATGCTTAAGCTGACACACCCAAGACAATTTGAAGCCACCCTTTTGAGTGGGATCGCATAGCCGACCGTGCTGGCACAGTCATATGTATACCTAGGTAGTAGCTAAGGCTGCACTCATGATCCAATTCGATCAGACGCAATGCATCTCGGCCAACCTGTCAATGCATTCGCCCGTCGAAGAACCAAACACAGCTTCCTTTTAAGAATGCCAATGCTTGTGTAGCTGCGCTTAAATTAGCACCAAATGCGAGTGTGTCGTAAGAGGGCGAAAAAGTAGGCACCACAAAACAAAAATGCACACACGTCTGGGAATCCGAACGCCTCCTCTACTTTCACAGCTATGGCCCGTACACAATGGATTTGCTTAGGCTTATGCCTCTCCCTCTTAAAAACTACACTTACTTTGCCGGATTTACAGTACAGAGTGACACATCAGGATGTGATAAGCGGCAGAAGCAGTAAAAGTGTTCATGTAAAAGCAATCGATCATAGCCAGTATTGCACACTTTTTGAGCGCGAGTAAACCCAGTTGGGGTAGTAATAACGATGCGCGTAATTGAGAATTGTGTGCGATTGGCATCAAATTCCCGAATGCTTTGCTCCCCACTTGCCTCGTAGGTATATACTTTGAGCATACATGCACCTGCACATGGGCGCAGCGCGAGAGGTCTCCTCCATCTTGCGCAAGATATGTAGATGGAGAAGTACCACGAGTGAGGCACATCTTCGGCTGCATGCGAGTCTCCAAGAGAGAGCTTGTGGCAGGTGCAGCCGATCCACGCCCCAAGCCTCGCTCCTCTTCAGCCAGGGCACTGCGTGTAAGTACTGGTACTTGCGAGCCTGCACGCAGACAAGACAGCACACCTTACATATCTCCAGGGCAGATGTTGGAGATTGCATCTCAGCTTCCAAGGACCTGGTGCCTACTTAGTCCTGCGTGCTATCTCATGTACGAAGGAGCGCGTGGCCATGGTGGGATTCAGACCCCAATTTACCCGCCAAGTCGGATAGCCAGAGTCAGCGGCAGACCTGTTGTCCCGTTGCTCAAGAGGGGGGGGGTTGGAGAGGAGGACGACAGAGCCGCCTTCTGCTCGCTCGCCAGCGCAATACGAAGGCATCGCGCTAGCCTCTGCTCTTTGCCTACATGTATGTACTGTGCAGACGCGGTTGGCGGGACGCTGTGGACATCTGCAGCGGGCGGCCTTGGGCTCTGTGTAACGGCGTGTCAAATGTCAAGTCCAGGGAGGTGGTATTGAGAGGCAGCGGCTAGCAAGGTGAGACGACGAGTTTATTGAATCCGTCAGATGCAGACATCGTCATCCGCCTCGGCGGCGCAGCCAGCCAGCAGATTGCGCGACAAGGTTAGGTGGACAGCGCCAGCTGCGCATTGGTCCCCAAGTACGACGATGGCCGACTCCTAGGTCAACGTATCACGCACATATTCCATACTGACGGAGAAGCATCCACAGCGCATGGCTCCTCCGACTGGTTCAGATGCTCTGCCGCCGGCGAGAAGGCATCCATTCGAGGCTAGGGTTTTTTCCCTCTTTTCCCTTGGATGGCGGGGAACTCCAAGACGGCCATCGGCTCATAGAGTGTTCTTGGCAGTCGAGAGATCACTTGATCAGACAAGAACGGAGGGCAGGGACCCGTTGGTCTTGTTTCAATTCCCTAAAGCAGCAAGATAGGTGGCTTCCCGTGTCGTGGTGCATGCGCATACGGGCTCTGATGTATGGATTACGATGCCTTAGTAGGTACAGTAGTCCAGCCCGCAGCCAAGGGGGACTTCGTATCCCGCAGCCTCAATTTGCACTACTGCGGCTGCTAAACTGATACTCGTCCACCAAGGTCGCAGTAGCAGCAGTAGTAGGACGAACCCAGGCCCCTCTTCTGTCACTCTAATTTTTTTTTCTCTCTGGGCTTCGTGCAGAAAGATTGTCGAGGGCCAACACCAAAACGCCGGGGCCAAACAGCTCATCTTCGCCGATCTCTGCTGTCTCGTTGGTTGATTGTGCTGTTTCATCTTCTTCGCCGGGGCACACAATGGCGCTTACAGAAAAAACGTTGCGCCGCTGTCATTCGCTCTTCACATGTACAACGTGATCACCGGGCAATGAGAGGGATCAGCACCTTAAAGCCATAGCCGTTTGTGCTTCCATACAGTTGCAGGCTTTGTAGGGACTGCTGGGAGAGCAGATAGAGCCAGCCCCCCGGAATTGTCCGAGAGGCGCCGCCGTCTAGAACCTGCTCCATCGTGAAGCTGCCAGTCAGGTGTAGGAGTCTATATGCTTGGGCAGCAGATACAACAGGGCAGACGGTCTCAGTCATGATCCAGCGTGCAGCTTCACCGGTCTGAAGGGTCTGAAGGGTCTAGGGGGCGTTGTAAACCCACGCTTTGATTGTCCGAGATCGCTGGTGTTGTCCTGACGTGGCAGCGCGAAGAGTGATCAGCTGCGCCAACAAAAGAAGAGCACGGAACCAATAAAGCGTCACCTTGCTGAAGCGTTGTTGAAGCACAGCCGAGGATCATCATCATGAGGAACAAGTTGGGGTCCTGAGAGAGGAGGCTGTGACGAGTAAGAGGCTCAAGAGTTGACATGTTGCACGGACGTAGTCTCATACGGTTGAACAGACCCAAGTTTAGTTGCCTTTTGGCTGATATGCCGTGCATACCTTACCATTGCTGTAGGTGAACTGCAGTTCACACTACTGTAGACGTACGCATAAAAATGTCGATACATTCTAGATAGCGCACGCAATGATACGTGTAACAGTGCACTAGCAGGTGTCATGAATCGTCTGCCCTCGTCCGACATCTGACGTCTTCATGTACTCATGCCAAACCGCTGGGCCCATGGACAAGCCCTCCGAATGCCATCTGTGATTCGCTGCCGCCGTCCTTGGAGAAGATGATAATTACTAGGGATCAAGCTAAGAGCCCGGCGATCGTCATTGAGACATACTTTTTAAACCATGATGATCAGGAGAGGCACAAATTGTCCAAATGCCCATGGCACTTTCGGTATGCCGGCGTGCCCAACATTGAGGCCGGCTTATCCCAGATAGATTGCAAGGACACTGGCCGCCTATTGCCACCGGCTCCCCGGCAACTTCTAGCCCAGACGAACAGCCTTCTTTTTACTGCTCTATTCTTTTTTTAACCCTTTTTTCCAGGCCTCGATGAGATTAGTAACGAACGGCGGCAGTACCTACAGTACGTGCCTTATACCTAATGCTGCTTCTGCGAGGTGCTAGTCCCGGTGGGCGTTAGCGGAGGAGCCCCCATGCAACGGAGCGCGGGGTGGATAAGAAACCTAGTGGTAAGTTAATGCGCATCTCGAGGAGGAGGGCTGGACACATGGCTGCTAAGGTACCCAGCGACGGCCGGTACCTCGACCACAGCGCTCTCAAGGTACCTGCAAAGACCCCAATCGCTAGCCACACCCTACGCCGGGGCTTCCGTCGTCGTCATTCCTAGTCCCTGGCCGTCGCTGGAAATGCTGCTGCTCAGGCGTTAATCTCTCAAGAGGAACTGCTGCAGCGCACCCCTTGGCTAGCATACCCTCTTGTGCTTTTGTAGAGGAGCATTGCCCGCCCTTGAGCCAGGCTGTACTCATACCAACGTGCTAGGAGGGAGGGAAAGAAGATGTATTTTTGATCTCATTACCCTTTTATCTTGGGTATTTTAATTTCGCGATGCAGCAGCCACGTACTCGCCAGAATTAGAACTCGAGCAGTACCTTAGTAGCTTGCACACCGAGTATCCGCCTACAGCTGAGGGCGGCAGCTACAGCTTACATTGGCACAGCACCTGTTTACCTCGAGCACCAGCTGCTCGGACTGCTTCCGCCTGAACGCTGAAATTGCATGGATGTTTGTCGCCTCACTTTTCCCTCTGACGTGTTGACCTGACGTGATGGACGGGCTCTTCCATTGCATTGACGCAGCATTGTCGGTGGCCCCCTTGTTTCTCCTTGTCTCTCACGCTCCAATCCCGCGCTGTCAAAGGGCCTCACCGGCGCTCGGCTTGTGCTTGGCCAAGGGCCTCGAAAGCACAGCTCTCCTGTGAAATTTCCCGACTGCTGTGAGTAGGTACCCATCAGTGCCTGAAGGGGGAGAGGGAGGGGGGTACACAAAAGAGGAAAAAAAAAAAGAAAAAAAAAAAAAGAAAAAAAGAAAAATAAAGAAAAAAAAATTAGCTTCTAGGCGCAATAAGTCACGCACCCCCCTCCCGCAGATGCCACGCCATTTGTCTGCACGCATTATTTAGTAGCGGTACTTTGCCCGTTTTACCTACACGCCCTCCCACAAATTCTACTTGTACATCCCGCAAGCCATTTTGACTCAACGCTCTCAACTACTTTTGTGTTTCAACCTCCATGCTCAAAAACATTTCCTCTTCGTCCCACGGCTAAGATATTGCCAAATCGTCAACTGAACTCCCTTCGTCAAACCACTGCATATACAAAGGCATCACCATACTGCTTCCTTGCATTGGCTCGTTGTTTATCCGGACATAGCACGAAAAACTCCAAGACGTCCCTTGCCATCGTTACATCCGGTCTTCGATTTGCCTCTTTGCGGCTCTTATTAAGAGATAGTCAGGCTCGTCTTGCAGCTTGTCAACCCAAAGCTCACCCTCTATTTAAGCCAGCATCTTCGTCGCCTTTTGCTGTCGGCGGTCCTGCTTCAGCTTCTCTCCAGCACGCTGCCTCCGAAGGCAAGACAAGACACCAAACAGCAACATCGTCATCAAGCCTCGAGCCTGCGTCTCGCAAGAATAGCCGACTCGCCCCCAAAGGCTCGGCAGGCTGTGTCGCATCGTATAGTTGCCTCGCAGCTTCGCGCGCTTTGCCCGTCCTTCCTGCAGCACCTCCAAGACATAGGCCTGGGGTCAGTACCCAAAGCAGCGACTTGCATACGGATACAATTCTGCCACCTCACAGCCTGTCGCGACCTGGCATTGCCTGACCAGGTCAGATCTGCCCCCTAGTCTACGCTTTTGACGCTCCGAGCCACCCTTGACAACGGCCCACCGGACTGACGCCAGCGTCTGCAGCAGCTACAAACACAGGACGTGTGTGTAGAAGGCCAATTCGCCTACCCTCAACGGCCGCCTTTGCCCTCGACCCTACAAGTTTAATTGTACATACTCTTCGTACCTGTACGCCCTCCTTCATTCACCCCTGGCCAGGACGACAATCCGCAAGGGCTGGCCGCGGATCTACCTGTTTAGACCTTTTTTACATCCCCCCCCCCCCGCAGTCCCCCAGATCGCTACAATATGCATACCGGCACAGCTCAAGGCTTATAAGGGTCAATCCACCGACTAAAACCTCGAGGCTTGCCTCTGCCATGAGCTTGCTATTCACCTACATACCATCTCGGTCATGATGAGTAGCAACACAGATTCAACTCGCTCCTCTACACCTCAAGCATTGGGCTCTAGTAGCATCATGCCTTCACAATCCAACAAGTCTCATCGTCCAAACCCTAGCCACGTCCAGACAGCCTTCCACGCGCAGGGTCCCGAGGCAGCTCCTGCATCTGCCATCAGCGCGTCCACTGGAGCTTCCAATTCACAGCATGGATCTCCAATCATGTCTCCGGGACCTACCATTCTCACCTCCAATTCCTCCATCCAGGCCTCGCCCGAGTCCATGCGCCCCCAAGATGATGTCCAGGGCCCTTCCGAGGACTTCCAGCTACCTGAGTCCATCATCTCACCGAAAACAAGCATAACTTCACTAGGACCCAGCGTATCAGGAAGCCCGAGTGCTCCTTCCGAGGCCCTCTTCAGTACCTATACAGCATCTATTACTACTACGTCGATTACAACAAACAACAGCAACAATAGCGCCGTCGGTACCTCCAAAAATCTAATTCGAAGCCTATCCAGCCGAGCATCAAGGCGGTTATCCAAAGGAAGGCGACAATCCTCAGCCGCTTCCTCAAGCCGCGAAACTAGTGTTGGTCCCTGCTTCTGGCGGAGGCGCAGTGACAGCAATTCAACTGCCCCCCCTGAGTATGGTCTTACCGACACTGATTCTGGCTCCGAAATAGTCAGCATCGATGATAACTATCCCTACCGCCAGCCCTATGTCCATGATCCCATCCAAATATCGCCACCGAGGAGCGCATCGGGCTCCATCAGCAGCGGCTCTAACACTACGGTTGGGCCTGTAACTCCATTACAGCTACGAAAGGGAACTCCGCTCAAAAAGGTATCCAAGAAGAATCGCTCCAAGCGCATACACCTTCTTTATGACCCAGCGACCAACAAAATGAAATGGGATGCAAGCCGTCCACAAAAGTTTCTCCATGTTGATGAAATAAGAGAGATTCGGACTGGTTCCGATATCCAGCAGTACGCTCGTGATTTTGGTCTTTCAGAATCGGAGGAGCGGTCAAGATGGTTCACCATCATCTACTCCGTGCCAGAGAAGTCCAAAGGAAAGTTCCTACACCTCGTGGCTGATAACGAGGAGACCTACTCAGTATGGGTCACGTTTCTCGAGGCCATGCTGAAGCATCGCCAAGAGGTGATGGCTTCCTTGATGACTTTCGATGAGAAGGCCATTGCCCAGTACTGGCAGACAGAGATGATGAAGCACAACTCCGAAGATCAGGAAGAGCTTGATATCACCGGCGTCATGCGAGTGTGCCAAAACCTACACATTTACAGCTCTCAGTCGACTCTTCAGTCTAATTTTCGACTCGCCGATGCCCGGCGAAACGAAAAGCTAAACTATGACGAGTTTCTCGAATTTGTTCGCCTCATGAGACAGAGACAAGAAGTCCACCGTCTTATGCAAATTCATGCTGCAAGGCCGAATGTTGGGCTTACCTTTGAGGAATTCTTCGAATTTCTTACTGAAGTTCAAAAAGAAGACGTTAGCGATCCGAAGGCGCGGGAGATGTGGGAGAGTACCTTCAACAGGCTTGTCCGTAAACATAGAAATGACAACACAAGTGCTACAGTCAGTGCCGATGAGCTGAACACCCTATCGGAGACGGCATTTACCGGATTCTTGAGCTCTAGACAGTTTAACATGCCCACCATAGACGAGCAGCGCGAGTTTACGCTAGATCGACCCATGAACGAATACTTCATCTCCAGCTCGCACAATACCTACCTCCTTGGACGCCAAGTTGCAGGCCAATCTAGCGTCGAAGGGTACATTTCCGCCCTTGTACGGGGCTGCCGCTGTGTTGAGGTTGACTGCTGGGACGGCGGTGACGGCCAACCCTTGGTCGTCCACGGACACACGCTCACTAGCTCAATAGGCTTCCTTGAAGTCATGAACACCATTAACAAGTATGCATTTGTGAAATCAAAGTTTCCGCTTTGGATTTCCCTCGAGGTACACTGCAGCCCTGCGCAGCAGGCTATCATGACCAAAGTTATCAGGGACACATTTGGCGAGAAACTTGTTACAGAACCTCTAGATCCAGACTCTTCCAAGCTGCCTTCTCCCTCTGAGCTCATGGGGCGCATTCTTATCAAAGTCAAACAGCCACGAATGGCGGCCAGGAGTGAGACTATGAGCAGCGATAGTCTAATGGGGATGGGTCGAAAGCGCGGAAACAGCGTCGGCTCTCCATTGGCAAGATCGGCTACCGCCGAGTCCAACACCGCTGCCACCACCCAGTCTCTTCCTCAGAGCCCTATGATGGCCCCTATCAACGCCAGCCGCAAATTTACGGGTAACGGCCAAAAAATAAACACCATCAACGAAGGTCAGGTGCAAGAGCTGCTGGGAAACAACAGCGACTCAGATAGCGGAAGTGAGAACGGCTCGACCAAGGGACTCAGCAACATTATTCCTGATCTAGGCAAGCTGGGAGTGTACTGCGCGGGCCTCAAGTTTGCCGGGTTTGAGGCACCAGCAGCTAAAAAGTTCAACCACATCTTCTCTTTCATGGAAAGCAGTTTTGCAAAGAATTCCAAGACTAAGGAAGACAAGATGCAGTTGAACCTCCACAACATGCGGTACCTTATGCGCGTTTATCCTGACGGCTCACGATTGACTTCAACCAACTTTGACCCGCTCACTTACTGGCGCCGTGGCGTTCAGATGGCTGCCTTGAACTGGCAAACATTTGACATGGGCATGCAAGTCAACCAAGCAATGTTTGAGGGTGGTACGGATTCATCCGGATACGTCCTCAAGCCCGATGAGCTTCGCGACATTCAAGTGCTCCCGAACGACGCTGCTGTCAACGCAGCTATTGCACAGGGCAAAAAGGAGCGATCCGTCGTGTCATTTGGCATTGAGGTTGTCTCCGCTCAGCAGTTGATGCGACCTGCCAATTTGCCTGCCAATAAATCCATGGACTTTTACGTTGATGTCGACGTATTTCACGCAAACGACAAGCGAAACAAGAAGGACAAGGACCTTGAGCTGAGCCATGAGCCCGACTCGCCTCTACGACAGCATACTGAGGTGATTCGTGAGAATGGCTTCAATCCCATGTTCAGCAATGGCCAGTTCCGCTTCAAGGTTACAACTAAACACCCAGAGCTAATCTTTGTTCGCTGGTCAGTCAGGCTATCCAACGATGGCGACTACAACAACAGCGCCAAAGATAAGCCTCCAATGGCTAGCTACACGGCTAAGCTCTCCAATCTCAAGAACGGGTATCGCACACTGCCTCTTCTCAACCATGCTGGCGAGCAGTACCTATTCTCCAGCCTGTTCTGCAAGATTGACATTGAACCTATTGAAAAGAAATTTATTGATGTCCCCCGCCCCGTTCAAGAAGGAGGTAGCAAACTAAACCGCTTAGGCGGCATTTTTGGGCGAAACAATACCAGCCCTCGAAGCACCATTGAGAGAAGTAGCATGGAGAAACGCAGTTTTGACAGCAACTAAGAGCCGAGCTGCCTTATTGTCTAACTCTCAACATGCAATTACGAAGGCTTCTATTCTTTGTCTCATTGGACAACAATAAAAAAGGCCTTTTTTTTCACATATGTTGATACGAGGCTTTGTTACGAGAATATCCCCGCTCTTCCTTGACCCCATTCCCAAAATCGACGCCTATCCAATGCTGGCGCATTTCAACGCTGAGATTTTCAAGGGGGGGTTCAATATTTTTTTTTTCTTTTTCTATTCTTCTAGTCATGCCTGGGCTGGTCACTACCCGCTGACGCTTACCTTTTTTGGTTCTTTTGTTCTTTGTTATTTTTTTTTTACTGTTTCTTCAATTGGCGGCAGAAAAATATTCTTTGGCGACTTTATGCAGAGCTCATACGCCATATGTCTTCTTATCACTATTTTGTGGACTTTTTCTCCTTGTTCTTTTTTTCCTTTTTCATGGACAGCATGGCGCGCGGGACTAAAAAGCGAAACTGAATACCCACCCGTTGTCGACTTTGGGGGGTATGAATAACATTTGTACACTTTCTTCTTTTGGCTTTTTGCTCTTTCTATTTACTTTTCTTGGTTTGTTTTTATGATGGAATGCAAAGGACTACCACAGCGTCCGAGGGAATGCATACACCACCTCTTGTTATCTGTCTATTGACAGATAAAGCATTTGCATAAGGAAAGGGCACACATGAAAGGCATAACTTAGACGGGACAGGCAAAGGGAGTCACACTAGCTTTTTCTTTTTCTTTTTCTTTTTCTTTTTTTCCTTTTTTGTCTCTGATTTATTTTTATGTTTTTTTGTGCGTTATTAAGTAAGACGAGGGTCATATTACTGGTCAGGAGAGAAACAATCTGGTTTTGTACAAACAGACGATACATGTGAAGAGAGCGTTCAGGGATTAAGTGTCGAAATGGATCTTTTCATCAATGATGATGCATACTGCTGCCTTGTGTTGTGTTGGACCATTTAGCGTTGGCGTTGCAAAATATGTTGTACTTTTTTCTTTTCTTTTTCTCTTTTGGCACATCGGAAAGCCCGATCTGATGATACACGGGCAAACGGGAGGGGCGGGGGGGAGAAGGCACAGAGCACAATATGGTCAAGATGGAAAGGGGGCATTTTGGGAATGATGACAGGAGGGTCTGTATGAGTACCCATCTACGAAGGAGGATTGATTATGAGGGCATTTCTCAAAGCCAGTCAGTCTACATTTAGCAACAGGGACGCCTTTACGAAAGAGGGATTATGTATTGTTATTATTAGTATTGAAACGAGAGCGACAGCACATGCATTGTTGCTGCGATTGCATGAAACGGCGGATTGAGGCGCATTACCGCGATGAGTACGAATTACTTGGCATATTTTGGAATATATATAGCGAAATGTGGATCCAGGTCGTGTCTAAAAGAGGCCTCTTTTTTTGGCTTGTGCTTTTTTATTTGTAAAGTGACGTGAGGAAAATGTATGTACCATTGAGGCAGGACATTTCATACCGAGACGTCAGGCCAATAGTGTGACTTACAGCGTATGCACTTTTGGTGTGCCTTACACACGGGGCAGCAGTTGATCATAATAACAAGTTTGGCAAATTGGAGTTTATTTCGGGCCGCTAAAAGAAATGGATAATCAGCTCAGCAGTTGTCATACAAGTTGGAGCACGATGGTGAAACAGAGAGAGAAGAAGGGTGATGACATGACATGCTAAGTCCATGGCTATTAGGAAGAGAGTAGGCTTTATTTGGAGGGGGGCGAGACAGGATAAATCCCACCGGTTGAGATATGCAATAAGGAGATTGGTTTGAGTTATTCATTGAGTAGGTGGGAAGAGAGATGATGTGATTTAACGAGGCTGGCGTCGAATGATTTTGAGTTTCTGGTTAAGTAGGTAGTAGGTAGTTTCGGAGTGTGGTTTTGAGATTGACAACTACATACAAGTATAGTCGATACTCACTGGGTAACTCCCTGGGAACCAAACCACAGTGGTTACCTATTTTACAGTATCTCTTTGCTCTACAGTTGAGTCTCTGTACTGTAATCTAGCTGTGAACGGTTCTCGTTTACTAATAAGGGGAGTCTAAAGCAATGGAGGTGGTGGCGTGTTCATGTCGCAATGGTGGCTTGTGCTTATTATGCGGCCCTATATGCCTACTAGGTATCTCTAAAAAGAGGCATATAATATAAAGTAAAGGGAAAAAGAAATGGGGGGTGGCTCCGCTATCGAGGTTGAGAGAAAAGGACAGGTTTTACTTTGAGGATTTGCATATCTTTGTAAAAAATACTCCGTACACGATGGAATTAGGGGAGGGGGCAGAGAGAGAGAGGGTAATACTCCCGTGGGTACATTTTCTGTAAGTGGTGCCGTAGTGCGTGGCTTGGCACTTGGACGATACTGTTTTGCATGGGCAATTTTTTGTTTTCCTCGGTATGTACCAACGGTGGATTGGCAGAAATGACGTATGTTCTGTTTCTTTGTTTTAAAAGGAGAAGAGGGGGTTAATTTGGTGACATGTCCCCCCCCTTCCCCCCGTACCCTTCTCTGTGGATGGGCAATTTTATCGGCATTTCGATGGGCAAAGGAGAAATGGATTGGCGGTTTATCAGTGATGTGCAAGGAGCCAAAACCGAAACCAGATGTTTCATGACAGCGGCCTAGTTCAAGACAGCTTAGCTAATACAAGAGCAACTCTGGAGGAACTCTGCAAGCGGTAGTAATACATGAAAGAAGAGGGGGGGAGAAAGAAAAAAAGAGTAAAGGAGAGTGGATGCAAAGGGGAGTGTGTTTAGGCAAGTTCTACAGAAGAAGAAGAAGAAGAAGAGACAGACAGATAGTATGTACTACTACCACGGGTTTGAAGTTGCTTCGGTTATTGCCATGTTTGGTTAAGGGGACCAGAGCCGTTTGAAACGGAGCTTCGCGGCTCTAGCGGAAAGTTTTGCGAAGCAAGGTGGCGAGAAGAAAGGTTGAAGAGCCCAATTGGTGTGTGCGTATAGAGCTGGAGTGATGCATTAAAAACATGCAACAGTTTTTGTCTCTTTCTCGTGGAAGGCATCATGTACATACATACCTATGCGTGATATGATATGACTTTACGGGGCTCATTTTTGAGCAATTCTTGATGCTTGAAACAGCGGGGAAGTAACCGTGACTTGATACCTGGAGACGTGACTTTTTTTTTTGCTTTGTTTTAACGTTGCATACGAGAGCGATACGAAGCGAGATTCCCGCCAAGGGGGAGCCAAAGCTTGTTAGCAGCTATGCCCTGTGCTGTGCCGCCATGTTTGTACATATGTTATGCTTGCGAGCGCTGTATTCGGGCTGTGCTCCGAAAGCAAAATAAAAAAACATGTAAGCACTTAAATGGCATTGCCCTTTTTTTCTGCCTGCTTTTCGTGTGTGTGTGTATTGATTGCATGAATGTGCATGGCAGGCCTTAAACCCAGCTTGTATTAGTTTTCCAGTGATGTCAAAAACTGTCAAAAGGAATGAGCAGGACTAAAGTCTCCGAGTGGACAGCTTTCCCCAATATTGCTTTTTTGTGTGCCTCTCTCTCTCTCTCTCTCTCTCTCTCTCTCTTTTTAAGGTTGGTAGCTTTGAGCTTCTTTTCTAATAGCCGTTTGAAATGCAAAGCAAAAAAAAAAAAAAAAAAAAAAATGGCGAGGATCGCGGTCCGCGTTTCTCTCTTCCTCCGTGGCTTAGCCTTAGCCCATGGCGCCGGCCAAATCTTGAGAGAAAGGAGGGGGAAGGGAAAAATACGCTTAATAATGTCCGTTTTTTTTTTTTTTCTTTAAACACAAAAAAAAAATCCCCGCCGTGGAGAAAAGAACGGAGAATGGAAGATGCGGAGAAGGAGTACCTAGAAGCTGCTCGAAAGGCATTGCTGGACGTGGTTTAGGCTGCCGTCTCTCCAGGCAGAAGAGGGACGTTTTTCTGACATGCGGACTTTGTGAGGGGGATCTACAGTGCAGAACGCCTTGTGTCAAGATTAATGCAGAGCCAAAAGAGAATTGATGGGAATACCAAAAAAAAAAAAAAAAAATTTAATAAATAAAATACAATAAAATAAATAAAAATTAACAAGTTAATATTAGAAAAGTAAAATAAATAACGTTTTCAATATTGTTGGGTTTATACGCCTTGATTCCGAGCCGCCACGTCTGAGTCTCGAGACCGAGCAGGTTACAGAGTATCATCACCATGGGCAAGAAAAAGAAAGGGCGTGTGGAATGGGGGGGAAAAAGGAGTTAAACCACAAAGAGAGGGCAAAGAAGAGAGAGAAAGGTACTTGATGGATCATGGCCGGCCAAGTACCTTTTCCACAGCAATACTTTGACTCTAGTATCGCAGCGACATGTGCTGGCAGCCGTTTAGCTTCCCCTAGTCTACCATCTAATAGAGCTTCGTTTTAGTGTAGCTCGGCGTGCTTGAAGGATTTACCTGTTCCTCTTGGAACGGCCAGCTCATAAACGTGTCGTGCTGGGGTTCGCTGCTATTGCCGGGGGAACTCTCTGTTAGCAGCGGGTGGTGTGCCTGTAAACTTTTTTCTTTCCGCTGCTGCTGCGCGCGCTGGGCTCTGGAGGTGGTGGTTGGTGCGCGCGATCCTTCTGGGGGGGGGAGCCCCATGGCGATAAAACACGCCAAGCCCTCTGCGAAAGCCTTACTTTTCTCAGCTCAGATGCGTTGATCTTGGTGAGGGTGAGGGTGAGGTGAGGGGGGCCAATTTGATGTGTTTTTGTTTCCACTATACGCCAATATCATACGCATGACACAGCAAAAGCTGCTTCATCTACGCATTCATTTACACGAAAACCTTGGCAATTCAAAAAAAAAAAAAAAAAATACGACAGATGCAGGACTCAAACACCCCCCCCCCCCTCTGCATAAACAAAAAAGACCATTATTCTTTTTTTTTTTTTTTTTGGTCTTTTTCAAATCCTTGTATACTGCAGTGCGCACAATTCGCAGTGCTGAATCCGCCGGGCTCTCTGCCTGCTTTCAAAGCTGAGATTATTACCCATTTCCCAAAATTGATATACAGGTAATGAATGGTACACGAGAATCCCAATCCTCGCATTTCCTTGGCAGGAAAACGAGAGAGAGAGAGAGGCAAAATAAAAGTGACCAGGGAGGGGCGTATACATGAGCTGAGCTGAGCTGAGCTGAAGCACCAAGTCAGAAAAGACGCGGAAACGACGGGGCGAGATGCTCAAAATACAAACAAAAAAAAAAAGTAAAAGGTAAATTGCGTGAGCGCAAATGACGAAGTTATTCGAGCATCATTACAGCACCACGTATCTGCTGAAACACAGGGGTGTGGGGAAATACATGGCCGGTTGTACCTTTTTTACTACCTCTGCTAGTAATAACTTGCCCTGGCCCTGAGCCCCCAGCCTAGCGGATAACGGGTTCCGTGGCTCCGGCTCTCCTCTCCCACCCCTGTTAAAGCCAAAAAGGCAGCAACAGCAGGCTTTCTTCGTTTCCTTTTTTCCCACTAGGGCAAGAAAAAGAAACATGGTTCATCCATGTTGGAAGCAAGTTTCTTTCTTCTTCTTGCGTATTGACCACGCTCCGCACTAGTACGTATGTAGTGCGTGCGTACTAGCAGTTTCGCCGCGTGTTCGAAGCAGCCTTCCTGCGAATTCCCTCTAATGGAAACCGCGCGGACACACNCTTTTTTCATCTTCTCTCCGCCCCTTTTTTCCCACTATACGAGTACATAGTATACTGTATCGTATCTTGGGTAGTGCTGCCTATCAGCCCTTTCTCCCCCGCAAATTGAGTTCTTTTTATTGTGTGAAAGAAAAAGAGGTCATCTCGTTGTAGTTTAGTTTAGTAGACTTTTGGAAAGAGTCAGCGTGTCGGCGAGTCGGCGCCGAAGTAGCGTCCGCCGGCGCGCATGAGGAAACACGCGAAAAACTGGAGAGGATAGTTGTACTGTCGATTGGTAAGAGAGGGAGACAGCTGGGGGAAAACGGCGTGAAGAAGGGAGGGGGGTGCGTGATTGTGAGACTGGACAATGAACAAAGTCCGGCCAACGGTGCCGAACAAGCGTGAGCTTTTATAACTGAAGCAACAGTTTGAAATGGCAGACGGCACTAGAGCGTCAATTGCAGCTATACTAAGTAAGAGCAGCCAGTGAATGGTGAAAAAAAAAAAAAAAAAAAAAAAAAGGCCCTTGAGGTCGTTTTTGCTGCTTCTCTAGAAAGGAAAAAGGGGGTGAGAAGCCCATCTCACCATCCTCTAATAGAACAACATCAAACTAGCTTCGTATATTACCCATACATTATCAGTAAACTCGTATCAACGCTATATATCTGGTGCTCTAGCAACGATGCAGACATCCGTTCTCATCAAAAAAAAGGATAGGGAAAGTGGCGTCAAAAACAAAACTTAGTCCTCTTCCCTCGTTCCCCGATTTTTCATTCTTCCCATCTCCATGTCAGCAGTGTATATCCATCTAAAATAGTCCCATTCTTTCTTTTCCTGTCTCTGGGACGAACTGATTAGGATCCTTTATCAAAATCTTCCAACTTGCTTCCTTCCCCTTCGTCCCATTTGCCGCTGTGATGTAAAAGCCGTAATTAGACAAGTAAGCAGAGTACAAAAAATAGCAAAATAATTAAGAATTAAACCAAAGAGATTCGAATAAATAACTCGCCATTTAAAAGAAAAATTGGCATGGTTTATATCGAACAAGAACAAAATTAGAAGAAGAAGAAAACATCTTAATCAATATAAAAAAGCCAGGTAGAGGGGAAAGGAGAAAGGGACTTCAATCCACTCCATCGTCATTCAGCTCGGCGCTCGGGGTCACCACCGGGCTGCTGTGACCGCTGCCTCCGCCGCTCTGCTGGCTGCCCTGGCGTAGCATTCCGCTCGCGCCGCCGCGTCCCCACGGCCGTGTATTGGTCACCACGCTCATAGCCACCCGCTCAGCTTCGAGCCGGCTGGCCGCCGTATGCTGGTGCTTGCTAGCAGTAATAGTGCTCTGCTCCTCGTCGTCCGTGTCCAGCAAATCATCGTCGTGTGGCGCCGCATGGCCCCGCGGACTAAGTCTTCGCAGGGGCACATCCTGCGACGCATCGGCGTACAGATTCGGGTCTCTACCCAGAATGCGGTCCGCCTTGCTCTGCGTCCTTCTCGCGCCGCCGTTGGCTCCGACAAGAGGTGCGCGGCTGTGGTAGTTGCCCGTGACATCCGCCGTCGCTGATGGGATATCCTCGCCGTGTCCCCAGCCTGCGTTGATCTCGCGCTGTCGCTGCTGTTCGCGTTCGTTTCTCAGCCTCTCACGCTCCGAGACCCATCGGGGGTTAGCCTCCCAGCTCCAGCCGTCGCCCGTCGTGTTGCAGATAGGGAGGAACCACAGGAGCGGGCTGGGCCCAAAAAGGTGCAGCAGGTTTCGCTTCCAGCCAAGGTCAAAAGCATTGGGCAGCTTCTCCGAATCCTGTTCGTCAAGGTATTCCTCATATCGCTTGCGGCTCTGGTATCGTTCCAGCTCCTCATACGACATCTGGACGCGAGGGGGTTCCTGTGTCGAACGCCGCTCTTCGCCCTCTTCGCGGTGCGTGATGCCAGGCAGTGCGCTCGCATGAAAGTCTACAAACTGTCTCGCTTGCGGGATTCCGTTGGCGAGGCCCTGCGCCTGGTGAAGAGTCCTCTTCACTGTTGACAAATATCTAGTCTTCTCCAGGCATTCAATCGTCGTCTGGTTCCTGCGCGCGAGGATGATGTGCCATGTTGTGAATGCGCCCACGACGAGTCCAATAATTCCACTCATGACGGCCAGCATGATAAAGTTGACCGGCAGCAGCGTATCCAGATACTTGGAGTCGTCCATCACCTCCACCCAAAACCACGTACCGCTAACCGCAAAGCAGTAAAAGGAAAAGACGGTGGTGTAAATCAAGAAGAGCAGAAAGGGCTTATAGTTGCGCAGCCCGATACACGTCGCCAGCCAGGGACAGTGGTGGTCCATCTTGAGAACGCATCTGCGGCATGTCGAGCAGTGGTGCGTGCGATCCGGCTTCCTCGCCTGGCACTTTTTGCAGAATCGAATTTCGCCATTGCTCTTAACAGTGAAGGACGTTGCTACGCGATTCTGGCCACTGCTTGTGGGGAGAAGGCCATAGCCGTCCTCGTTGACTGTTGATCCGGGATCTGTAAAGACAGCTGTTGTGTAGGACCAGTTGAGTAGTAGATAGAGCGCGACGCCGAAGAAAGAAGATGTCGAGCCTATGTTTTTTTTCCCACGCCAAGGCTCTGTGTCAGCAGTTTTCCTTCTTTTTTTCCCCCTTCCTTTTCAAACTGATAGACATCATGATGCTTCATTCTTCACGTACCTATCCAGCGGCTCTTCTCAGTCTCCTTTCCAATCGTCACCACCACCCAACATGCCCACGAGGTCAAGCTGTAGACAAATGCCAGAGGCAAGTATCTGGCGGTGGTGCAGCAAGCCCGCTCGATTCTGCGCGCCCAACGGAACGCCATACTAGGGTTGTCGCTTAACGACTCGTCTTCCATTAAAACAGCCGGCAACCCGACGTCTCCGCTTGCGCTCGCTCGCTCGCTTCTGTGGCACTGGGTGTTCCTCCTTTTTCCCCCGTGCTGTATCTGTGCGCTCAGGATATCGTGATATCGCAGTCGCCCGTATCGATCGTCGCGGACCCCGTCTCTCGTTGGTCCAAAGGTCGGCCTCGAAATGGATTCTCAACCATTCGGCTCGGCGGTGGAGATTAGCTGCGATGTGTCAAATCGCACATTTGACGACGGGGCTGTGCGATTGATTGCGTCTCGTAATCAATCTGACTGGTAATCCTAGGGAGATGCTCAATTCGTACACCTTGAGATGCTTAGGTCATCCAGGGGGCCAGTTTGAATTTCGGGAAATGTCCCGAGTCGCCGGAGAGACGCTTTACCCTGTAGGGCTGCCAACACCTGCCTGGCTGGCGCTGTGGCTGTCATCTACGCACTGAGGCACACAGACAAACAGAATACCCTACAGCGTTTTACATGTTTTCCCAGATATTTGACAAGACAAAAAGAAGAAGAAGCAAGCAACGCCGTATTGGTCTAAAATAAAACTTTTATTCACCGGATTCTTTAAAATGCTCTTGCTCAATACTATTATTAATTCTGACGGCCATGTTTGGGCGTCAATGTCTGGCGCTACAACCTTCAACTATCATCTGAAAGATCCCTCAGCATTCATGTATCCTCAAAACAAGGAATATTCTCCATGGTAGAGCAGGAAATGCAAGCATCTTCTACCAGTAGGTATCCTTTCCATCCTCAGCATCCATCGGATACTTGATCTTCTCCTTGATAGTTTCACCACGGAGCTTCTGCTTCATTTGTTCCGAAGTCGTGTAAATGATGCTTCCGCCCTGGTGCCGAGTTCTCTCTATATCGACAATCCCCGCCGTCAGTTGGTCCATAAACGTCTCATAATGAGCCGTGTCCTGAATATGGCACTTGGAGCCCTTGGCCTCTGCGTGAGAAGTGATGCCTGTCAAAGTCTTGAATATCCTGAGGCAGCTTGGGCACCTATACTTCCTATTTCCATGAACGGGTGATTTGAGGTGGCCAACAAGGCCGCCTGCCGTCTTGAACGTTTTGCTACGTAATTTCATTAGCTATACACGACTAGACTTGTAATAAGAGGCGACATATTCTTACCCGCATAGCCGTTTTGGGCAGTTGAATCTCTCTGTGATGGAGCAGTAGCAGCTGGCCGCATTGAAAGACGGGTTATTCGGATCATCGGGATCCATACCTGCGACGACAGTAGTCACACCCGATTTAAAAGCTGGTCGAGTGGAAATCTGAGTCGAGTTTTGTAGTCTATCCTTGGCATTGCGCTGGCTATCGCTGAGTAGTCGTAAAGGAAGTTCGATTTGAGGTCGGGCCTCATGCTTGATATCAACCTCCATTGTCTCATCTCGTTTCACGGCTGGGCGAAAAGGAAGCTGAAACGAAAATGGCTGTTTGCCCTTTATATCATGAGCTTTATAGCTGCCAAGATTCAACCTGCTGGATGCAGCGGCTTTCGTGGGCTGGATGCGACTATCGTCTGTAATTGCCAGAGCTGGAAATTCTTCTTTGACCATCCCAAAAGATGTGGGCTCCTTGTCAACGTGCCATGGTGAGACTGTGCTATTTGCGGAAGCTGATGGCATATAATTCATGTAGTTTCCTTTGACTCTCTCCTGAGTCAGTTGCTCCAAACGTCTGGGGAATTCCAACTTCTCCTCTCGGAGTTGATCAAGAAGGGTAGTGTCGAGACGAGGACAAAAGCCTCGCTCGATGTGGTTGATCAAATTACTCAAGCGTGTAAATGGGCCACTACCACAGCCGGGACACTCGAGGTTTTGTTCAAGAGGATGTTCCTACCGAAGTGTTAGAGGAGCGTCTTCTCTTAGAGCCCTCAGGTTGACTCACCACTTGCATGTGTCGCATTTCCCCCGCAAGTGTCTTGAAATCACGCGCACAGATCTTGCAGTGGATATGATCTTCCATGTCATCATTTCGTCTCTGCTGCTTGTGCCTCAATAAATCTTCCCATTGATCGAATGCTTTATCGCAATGGTTACAGAACAAAGGTTCGTTGGAGAAAGGATCAATACTTGAATCCATGTTGCTGCATACTCGCTTGATGTGGCAGCGCTATTCTGTTAGAGGATATACCTAGTAGTTGGTTGAATCAGCCTCGAACGAAATCTAAAGGCCAAATTTGCTGAGACTGGTTGGTCTTGAGCAGTCCGAGAGCTTTGATTTGGAAGAGGCAAGACAAGGAGAGTGAGTTATCGAATTGGGGGAAGAAGAGGAAGAGGAAGAATCAGGATCATCTCTACGGAAAGGTGCTTTATACGAGGGAGATGGTACCCAGGAATCGTGTTGATGTGGCCTAAGGCATCGGCATGGCCAAGGCAACGGCAAATACGGCAGGCGCTGGGTGAGTCAGGAGATGCAAATGCTGGCGTCGGTGCTCTGAGGGAGGTACCTTTGGTACATCTATTGAACGAGAATGCACAATAGAATGCCACGCGCGTGAATAGCAGCTTTAGAACAGATGAAAAACCCCTGACTTGGCATTTCGTTTCAGCACATGCAGAGTGGCTGCCCGTTTGCAAGCTCGGGGAAGAGTAATTAGTACAAGGCATCTGGTGTGTGAGTACAGCAAGATAGGATAGGCTTTGGATCGATTTCAGCCGAGGTATGGTATAATATCTCTACTATCTACTCTGCATCTTCCATCTCGCCATAGCCATCTTCATCGTCTCCATCCCTCTCAAAGGCAGTGTGGTCCATCCCATCTTCCTCTTCTGAGCCGTTCTCGTTCTCGTCGTCATCCTCATCGCCATCGCTACCAGCTTCGGAATCCTCACTATGGGAATCCATTCTGCCAAGGATACTAGCAGCTTCGGCCTCTGCATCGACATCGACATCTGCCTCTGCATCCGCATCGTGGGAGGTAACAACAGACTGTTCCTCCGTATCGACATCTAGTCTCCTGGCACGGGGACGAACCCTGACATTATACACCTGACTCTTCTTCTTGGACGGTTCTCGACCTCGAAGCTGCGTGAGCTCTTCGTTTGTTAGATGCAAATTAGGCAATGGAAGGTGAAAGGTGGCCGAAGTAGACCGAACTGGAGTTTGATCCCCACACTGCAGCGTTGGTGCAAAGTCCTCCTTGGTGAGCTGTCGGCCAAACTGGATCGCCACTAGTTTTGTCTTCATGATGGCCTTGACCTTTGCCCACAAGCCTCCGTGATACCAGCCGCTGCTGACATCCCACGTAGGACGCACCTCTGCATTGTCCAAAAGCTCGCGGAGCAAGGGGTCCGTAATGTCGCATACCTGCCACACCTTGCCATCGGTGTGGTACGTCTCTCCGTCGAACGTGTGGCTGGCCGATAACTCCTCTACAAACTCCTTTGTTCGGCCCATCTGAGCTCTGCGTAGAGACTGCCAGGTTTGGTCTTTCCGAGCACGCTTCTGCTTTGGAAGCTTGAACATGAGGGTTTGATAAATTCGATATTTAGGATCAGTTCTGGGGTCAATTCCATAGGGAACAACTCCGTCTCTCCACGGGCCACCCTTGAACTGATAAGCCGCATAATTTAGATACTTTTTGAGCTCGTTCCAGTTTCGAAGCTTGCCAGCAAGGTGATTCAATAGAGATCGACGAGTCCACACGGGGCGATGTGCAAATGCTTCTTCAAGCTGGGCAATAACCTCCACCATCCGTGGATCCGTCATGTCTGGAGGGATTTGCGGGCCAGCAGGAGCAGCATCTTCTGTTCCTATGAAATGGCCAACTTGCTTGACCGCTGTTGTATTAACGGTACCGCCGTCCTCTGTCAAACGAACATACGGATTTTGTGAGTAGAAGTAGTTGAATGGCAAACTCATGTGCGTAAAGATGGGAGGCGGGATAATGTCTATATTCGAGCCTTGGTCAATACCAGGCGTGAATTTGAACTCTTTTATCTTTTCAACTGCGATGATGGTCAATACCAAGTTGCCAAGTAGAAGAATAGGAGATTCAAAATACCATCTCCGGGGAGCACTTGATCGACAAATCTCTGCGCAAAGGATGATTTGTCCATGTCCCAGTAAAAGTCAGCCAGACCCCTGAAGCGATGGGTATGCTTGATCAAGCCCGCAGCCTCGACGTGATATTTGTCGACATTGTCCTCCAATTTGCGCCTTAGAACTCTTGGATCATCGTGACGCCCTATGGAAAGAACATTCTCCGATGCTGGGGCTGATGGGTCGATGCCTTGAAATTCCACATCTCCCTGCCAGGGCTCATTGGTTCCACGCTTGCGCTTCCTTCCAGTCCGTTTGGGGACTGTGACTTTGAGTACGATGTTGTGAGACCTGGCATTATGTGACATGATTGGCGGGCAAAAGGGCTCATCTGGATTTATATACAATGGCACCGAGTTTCTCAGAGGATCTAGAACCTATAACAATAGGATTGTTTATGAGCGAGGAGACATATTCAGACGAGCTGCGGTTCAACACTTACATGCCTAAGTGAAGGGACCCTCCCAAATGCCCTGACGGCTCGGTCGATGTTTTCAACCACCGCGGGGATCTCAACAGCAGTGAGTTCTCTTGGCGGTATGGCATATCGGGGGGCGCCATTCTCCGTCTCTCTCGCGATGCCTTGTGAGCCGGCACCTTCTCCGGCCTCTTGGCGAGCTGAATCCATCGCAAAGAGAATTTCTCTTCTCCTCTATTTATTTCCCTTTACTCTGTACGTATTTATCTGCAAGATGATATGGGCATCCCTGTCGTAGTCGAAGCTTAGCTTATCAGGCAGCTGGAGTGCTTAGCCGCAGATTTTGTCCTGGGCGCTGAACTTGACCCCTGCAGCCGCCGCTGGAAAAGCTCAAGCTCGAGATGCACGAAACTGTTTCAATCAACAACGGGAGCTGGAATGGGGTGGCATACAGTGCATGGCCAGGCCATCGCGCACCGTATTGCTGCAACCGCTAAAATGAGGCCCTGGGTTAGGAGGTACGTAATTTACGCATCACGCGCTTGCTGGGGCGGTGCTTGGAGCTTGGAGCTCTGCACTTCCGATTGGCCAGCGGCAGAGTGCACCCTGACCTCTGCTGCAGCGGCGTTACCGTGCCAGCAGAGAATGGCACTGTACGAGGCCCTGGCCGCCGGCCTGGAAGCTTGGGCAATACAGAATGCCCAGACCCCGGGAGAGAGGCGTGGGCTGGATCAGTGTTCAGAAAGGTGTCCTGCCCATTGAATTCTGTTTGATCTGCAGGCTGGCCACCGCATCGTGTGTTTTCTGAGTTGTGCTCGTTCCTTTTTGGCGTTGATTTCAATCGCCCCAGCTGCTCTCCATACCCCTTCGCCTAGATGCAGACCAAGTAGCTCCACTGCTAATACAGGTAGGCCAGTTTAGTGAGCGGGTTACAGGTAGATGACACCGACTGCCCCTACGGCTGCCGGATCGCTGAGCAGATACCCGCAGGGCCCTGACGAGTGTCCAGCGCCTTGGAGCCTCCTCAGGCACTCGACCACGACCAGCAACTCCCCCGCGTCAACGCCTCGACGGCTAAACCTCCCAAGCTGCTGCGCCGTCCGTCTCTTAGCTCTGATCCAATCTGAGCCCGCCACTGACGCTCTGCAGTCTCTCACTCTCTATCAGCATCTCTACAGCACCTCTGTCGGCCTCTCCCTTCCTCTCTTTTGGCCGACATCGACCATCCACGGCCACCACAGCACCAATCATCGTCTCTCGACACCGGCTCTGCGCGCCCAGTCGACAATTGGCTCCTCCCGCTGAGCGCAGCTGGACCGCCCCCAATCCTGATTCCTGGTGGTTGAAGCGTGTCCACCACCTTGAGCCCCCCTGCCTCTTCCTCCTCGACCAGCTCCCTGTGACCCGCGTTCCTGCGTCCAGCGTCCAGCGTCCAACTCGGCCTCGTCCAAGTCGAAATCGCCTCTCCCTACACCGACGTCGAGATCCAGCGGCCCGTCGCCTCTATCGACACGCGCCTTTGTGGCTTGACGACGCCGTTCTCTGTCTCCGGCATAACTGGCGTTGCCCCCCCTTCGCCCGCCCAGCCTCGCCTCGCCTCCGCTCCGCATCCCGACTGTGTTGCCTCGCCTACCCCACTGCGGCTACGGAGTTGGCTGGACGGCTTCCGGTTCCTCGATATAATTATTCCCTGAGCGAGACTGAGAGACAGCTTCACAAGCCATGATGAAGCGATTCAGCCAGAGAGTGAGTCCCTGCCTCCATCCACCCCCCCTGACGCCCGTCGCGCGCACATCGGCTGATGCAGGTGACGATCATGATTAGCTCTCGCGAGGCAAAGATGCCGCAAAGTCCTCCAAGAAGAGTAAGGATTCCAAGGATGGGACTTCGTCTCCCTCGTCTCGAGATTCCAACCAGTCCCCCGTCCTGACCCCGTCGTCCTCGACATCGACCCTCAACGATCCTCGCAACAAGCCGCTGCCCCCAAACTCTGCTCTTGGAGGTGATCATGGTGCCAACCAGCCCTCGGGCCTTGGTGCTGGTCAGCAGGGCCTCGATCGATTTGGACCGATGGGCAGCGCGTCCAGTCCTAACGGCGCCAATGCTGGTGGCAGAGGTCCCCCAACTGTCGTTATCAGCCCGACACCAGGCGTAAGTATTGCTAAACTTTAGGTAACGATGGAGAGTTCAAGGTTATGATGCTAATCCATCTACTTCATCCCAGCACATTCCTCCACCTGGGGCCACCGAGACAATGCCTCACGAACTGGCGCCCCCAAAGGCCGGCCAGAAGTCCCTGATGATCAATCGTATGGATAACCGAGATGCTATCCCAGAGGGCCTGCGGACACCAAAGCGACAGCACTCATCCCGATTCGACATTTCCGCCCATCGCGAGCTGGAGAAGCTTCCAGGCTTCCACGAGGTACCGCCTAACAGGCGCCAGGAGCTCTTCATGCAAAAGATTGATCAGTGCAATGTCATCTTTGACTTTAACGACGCTAGCGGTGACATGAAAGCCAAGGAAATCAAGCGACTAGCTCTTCATGAGCTGCTGGATTACGTTGCCAACAACAGACAGGTCATCACTGAGCCTATGTATCCCAGAGTTGTCGAGATGTTCAGCAAGAATCTGTTTCGACCTATCCCACCCCCATTGAACCCCCAAGGCGAGGCATTCGATCCGGAGGAGGATGAGCCCGTCTTGGAGGTCGCTTGGCCGCACATCCAGGTCGTCTACGAGTTTTTCCTGCGTTTTATTGAAAGCCAGGACTTCAACACCAACATTGCCAAGGCATACATTGACCATAGCTTCGTGCTCCAGCTGCTAGATCTCTTTGACTCTGAGGACCCCCGTGAACGCGACTTCTTGAAGACGACTCTCCACCGTATCTACGGCAAGTTCCTCAACCTACGATCATTCATCCGACGATCCATCAACAACGTCTTCTTCCAATTCACGTATGAGACGGAGAGATTCAACGGCATTGCGGAGCTCCTAGAAATTCTAGGTTCCATCATCAACGGTTTTGCCCTGCCTCTGAAGGAGGAGCACAAGATCTTCTTGACTCGAGTCTTGCTTCCGCTTCACAAGCCCAAGAGCCTGAGCATGTACCACCCTCAGCTCGCTTATTGTATTGTCCAGTTCCTGGAAAAGGATGCATCCCTCACAGAAGATGTAAGGACACACACACACACACTTACTCCCTCAAGTTGTAAAGTCTTAGATCAAAATACTAACGATAAACTTGATAGGTGGTCCTCGGGCTGTTGCGATACTGGCCAAAGGTTAACAGTACAAAAGAGGTCATGTTCTTGAATGAGGTTGAAGATATTTTTGAGGTCATGGACCCTGCCGAATTCGCCAAGGTCCAGGAGCCTTTGTTCCACCAGCTTGCCAAATCTGTGGCCAGCCCCCATTTCCAGGTCGCCGAGCGTGCATTGTACTTCTGGAACAACGAATACTTCTGCAATCTCGTAAGCGACAATGTGGAAATTATCCTCCCCATCATGTTTGCTCCTCTCTACGAAAATTCAAAGGGTCACTGGAATAGGTACGTTTACCACAAAGCCCTACTAAACTAAGATTGCGTCACATAGACTAACATACAGAAGGACAATCCACGGCATGGTTTACAACGCCATGAAATTGTTCATGGAGATCAATCCTCAGCTCTTTGACGATTGCTCCCATGAATACACAGAGCAGCAGAACAGCGCCGCGGCCCGAGAAGCGCTACGAGAGCGAAAGTGGGCTGCTTTATCCCAGCAAGCTGACGAGCGAAGGGCATCACTGGGGCTGGCCACCGTTGAAGACCCTGGCAGGGCTCGCGGAGGAAGCCTCCCCCGGGTTGATGAAGTTGATCCTGCAGAGGACAACCAGAAGCGTCTCGATTCGCTAAAGCTTCAAGATGCTACTGGACGACAACAGAATACTCATGAGCGACAGGGTTCTGTGAGTTCCAATCGAAGCAGATAACCTCGTTGTGTGATAAACAGGTCCTTTTATTACCGCGGTTTAGCCTTTGTTTCGTCTTTCTTGATTCAGCCTATCCAGGATCTTCTATTCTCGCCTCTTTCTCCATTCTTAGTGAAAATTTGCCTCGACAAATAAGCCTCTCTATTATAAGGGCCATTAGAAGTACTAATATTGTGGTGCTGGGGATATCAAACTGCTTCGCATACATGGAGGCAACTTTGGATGGCGGATCAACGTCAAAGCTGGTTACTAAGGGAAACTGCTTAATGCTATACAAAAGGGAGCTGTAACCTCTAAAGTAATGCTGATGATTCTTCTCTTTTTTTTCTTCCCCTTTTTTCTCTTTTTCTCATGGTCACTTGCATTCACTTGCAGGCTTTTGCAAAAAACACCGATATTGAGCAGCATTCGTGTACGACAGGGGGTCGATACAATAATTATTTGTTTTACTACTCTTTTTTTTTTCTCCCTTCTTCACAAGAGGGAGATGCCAAAACAATGGGAAAAAAAAGAGAAGAAATCTTACAACATTACATTTCTTTCTTTGAAAAAAAAAAAAAAAAAAAAAAAAAAAAGGAAACAGAGCAGAGGTGAGGTACACACACAAAAAAAAAGTTGCGTTGGGGCTATAGAAAATGCCAAGTATGTCGATAAGGGGGGATGAGGATGGAGGAGAGAAAAAAAGGGATGAGGGAGCATATGCTAGCGAATAGCGGCTGCATTTGTTTCTTTCCATATCCTGGAAGGAAAGGAAAAGGGCGGAGAGAGAGAGGGGGGGCTTTGGGACTTTGCTTATTTTTTCTTTTGTTGCTTTCTTTTCGACGTGATGGATTTGGTTGGCTGGGTGGCTGTTGTGGGAGAGGGAGAAGGAAACATACGTGTTTTATTTCTTGTGCGCGTGTGTACTTGATTGTACTTGACTCGGATAGACTACTTGCCTTTTTATCTCTTTTATAGTTGAATTCTTATTTCTTAAGGCTTTTTCTTCTTCTTTTGTTTGTACAAGAAATGGTATATTGTTCTCACATGTAGCATGAAAGGCGGTATGGCGAACCACTACCAGTTAGGTTAGTTCCCATTAGATTTAGATGATACAAAAGCCGGTTCTAATACTCTATGGCCTGATAGCCACTATCATCCCGTAATTCAACCAGCTTATGCTACAAGTCATTACATAGTTCAAAAGGCAACTCTATTACTAGGTCCCGGAACGCCCTGCATCGCAAACCAACACCCCCAACAGACATGAATATTACTTAGTATTGTCCTCTGTAGCCACCACGGCCATATCCGCCTCTTCCACGACCCCTATAACCACCATTGCCGCGTCCGAATTGGTTGTTATGCGGAGACGACTGAGGTTGTTGCGGGGGAGGTGGTGGCGGTGGTGGTATAGGCCCGCCGGGGAACTGGTTCATACTCATAAAGTGAGCAATCATTTCAGGAGGGATCGGGGGCGGAGGAAATCCCGGCAGAGGGGGAGGCGGAAACGAAAACCCCATGGCGTTGGGGGGCGGAGGAAAGGGCATAAGCGGCATATTAGGCGGTGGCTGAGGCTGAGGAGAGCGGTCATCGTACTGACGTGATATCGAGCGATACCTTGAATCGGATCCGTCGTTGCTGTCGTATCTTCCACGGCTTCGGCTTCGACTCCGGCTGTGGCGGCCGCGGCTACGGCTGTCATCTCGACGACGGCTGCGGCTACGACTCCGACTGCTGCGGCTGCGGCTGTAGCTGCGACTACGGCTGCGACTCCGACTCCTGTCGCGCGCTGAAAGTCGAGGTCGCTTGAACGAAGGTGGAGATGAACTTCGGGATCGATCTCGGGAGAAACTGCTCGATCTTGATCTCGGCCGTGGTCTCGATGCGGACTGTGAGCGTTCTCCAGATGTCTTTGCGGATGACTTCTGCCTCTCTCTCATGCGCTCGCAGAATTGGCGAGACCAGCCGTAGTAACTCTCCCCTCCTATTACTTTGCCCGTGATTTCGTCCAGGATAATGCGTTCGCCAAGTTCACTGAATCCCGTCTGCAAATCGTCGCTCGGCTCGCCCTCTTTAGCGTAGATGTAATCTGCATCTTTCAGCAGCATCTTGACGGCATCCACGACTCGCTTTTCCGCAGGCCCTGCCGCGAGTTGAATGGGGCGAATTTGATCGGGGATCATGGGTCTAGAGGAGTTTGGTGTGATGTGAGGTAGCCAGGTCCCTGCCGGAAGATCGTACCATGGGATGGAAGCATCGCCATGGAAGGAGGGCAGAATATACGGTGCGTCCTTGGCGAGTTTCAGGGAGCTCTCGGAAAGCTCAAGATTTACGGCAGTAATCTCAGCTGAACCGTTGGCGAGAGCTGTGCGGAGCTGCGTAACCACCTCTGGCGTGAAGTATCGCTTCTCCTCCCACAAATCAATCAGGCCTTTGAGCTTTGTCTTGTGCTTGGGGCATTTGTCGAAAGCCGCCGCATTGCCAACCATGGCGGGCAAGACGCCGGCCCATGTCTCTCCAAGCTTGCGGTTGGCCTGGCGCACAATCTCGTGGTAGAGCACATCATTGGCAACGTAGAGGAGATGCAGCCGCCGTCTCTTGGCGCTGCGGCGCTTTCCGTCATTCTCCACGGCTAGATTCTTTGACAGAACGGCCCAGAACTTGCCCAAGGCTGTGCAGCGCGCGGCGGATGGGACAACGTTCTCGACTATCCAAGCCTTGCATTTCTACCCAAGGAGGAGTTTAGCAAACATGAGCGCGGATTGTGACAAAGTGCTTGCGAGCAATGAGTCAGTCAAACCTGAACGTTCTGGCGGGAGCACTGGATGATGGCGTCGTCTAGCAGCGTGAAGAAGGTGTCAACCGCGGCGCGGTTCAGCGAGGTCGGGTCGGCGCGAAAGAGAGTGGCCGACAGCGTCGCCTTGGTGATGGCCAGCTCGGGAGAAGCCATCGTGGTTAAGGAGGAGGGAGAGGCGCGATCCAGAAAGGGATGCGGAGAGTCTGCCCTCGCAAGGCCTCGGAGGAACAAAGAAAAGAGGTTCTTGTTGTTCTGGATGAAGCGAGAGAAGCGAGCTGGAAATTATTCTGGGAGCCTTGGAGTCTGTGTCGCAAATGTCGGGAAAACTGCGGCAGCGCTCCCCACCAAGACCTCGAGAGAGCTTCGAAGCTCACGACAAGGACGGGCTAATTGATGCAAGCTTGTTTGTGAGAAAGAGGCAAAAATGCATGTGATGAGAGCTGTTCTATATGGATTGGGTCTTGGCGACTGCAGAAAATAAGCTGTTTTTTTGCTGGGCTTGTGTGAATATCTCAAATTCAACCCGGGACAACCGTGGATAGTGGGCGCGAAAAAAAAAAAAAAAAGGATATTGCGTCAGGCCTCTAATGTTGCCTCCCATCACATGTTTTTCCTTTCCCTCACTCTCAAAATGACATGTGAAATTCTGATTTTGAGCGGTAAAGGTATTTCATTCTATTAAATCGAGTTTCAAACACAGACTTGTCCGGGTTCCCGGTGTGTGGCGCGAAACCTATAGACATACAGCCCGGCGAAGGGTACTATTTTACACCATGATAGAATACAGCGGCGAGCTCAATGTCTCCTCAAAACACTCCCAAGACCAGCTGCCCAACTCTCTCTCTCTCGTCTCCCATGATTTCCCCTTCTCTACCTTTTCTAACTGAAACGGTCCCCTTTACGGGTACGAAGCGGTACAGCACTCTCGTATTTGCTCTTCTCGGTTACTTGATCGGACTCTGTTGCCGGCGCATGCCTTGTTGCTGCCGGATCGCTACTTGCTTCCTGACTCGGCGAGCCGGTATTATCGGTTCTTGCCGGGCCACCGTTGTTCACGCCGCTGCCTGGAGATACCGGCTCGCCGTATTCCAAGGCCCTGTTGGCTGCCTGCTTCTCACGTTGTGCTTTGAGTTTGGCTACGCGCTGCTCCTTGACGTTCTGCTTAGCGAAGTAGTAGGCACCGCCTCCGGCTGAGAAGGGCATTTCACATCAGCTGCGAGCATTGGTTAAAAAGAAAGCAATTCAGCTGCCTACCGAGAAAGAGGGAGCCCCATCCAAGCCTAGAAACCGTTAGCAATTGAAGAACTTCTGCAGGCAGCGGCAAGCCGGGATAAGCGGGCTACTAGTAGTACCAGAAAGATCGGACCTGGAGGAATAGAAGTCAGCAAATGCTGCGCCAATGCTGGAGCCGAAAGACACCTACGTTGTTCATTGTGGCGATTGAAGTGTTGCGGCGATTTCAGGAGTCTGTCAAATGTAGTGGGCAGTGGAGACGGCAAGTTGCGAGCTGGGCTGATGCGATGCTAGAAGAAAGCCAAGTCGTTCGATCAAAAGCTTAGCAAGGCGGTGATGCACCTAATACCCAGTAGTAATGGGCGCAAGCTGGGCCAACAGCCGGCCTGGCGCATCGGCAGCTTCAGCTGGTGGCGGCTGTCAATGCTACAGGGCAGCCCTGAGGCCAATTTTAGCGCTCAGGCGTCCCCGTGGTGGCCCGTGGTGGGGGCCCGTAGGCGCTATAACTCACACTGTACAGGGGCTTCCTTACCGAGATCCAATTTACAGTGCCAAATTAAAAGTCCGGTTTCTGGATATGACATAGATCGTCACTTGGGGCGTTTCCTAAAGACACGCAAGCGTTCAGCAAAACTTGGAAGCTTTCCATTTCACTGCCAGGACAGCGACAGGAGAGCTCCCCCCTTTTCTTGCGCGCTACTCGTCGTGTATGTGAAGCGTCTTGATGCTCTAGTTGTTGATTCGCAAGTCTTTCTGCATAACCAACAAGGCTGCGTAGCCGAACAAAGACTCGTCACCGCGATCCAATCGGCCCCTCGAAAATCCTCACCTCACTCCACCCCTTTAGACTGCAGCATTTCCACGCCCATCTATATTACAAGAATCCGAAGACGACCTTTTACCACGTTTTACTTCTGCGTCCTGCGACAGACTTATCCAAAATCTTGGTGCGCGTATGATCTATTAGGAGACCAAGCTGTGGGTGTAATGGGTAGTTTTGCCCAGAACCCCACCGTCCAGAAACCATGTCTTCCCCCAGTACAGACCAGACAGAGGGCAACGGGCCTGATGGCTCTTCCATCGTGAGTTCTTCTCTTTCTATAAGCCGGATGCCTTGATTCTAATGACCATGTTCGCTCTACTAGAGGCCCGTCTCGTCGCTCCTCGCCCGATTCGAGAACATGAACTCCAACCCTCCGTCGCAAACGCAGCCTACCTCTGCTCCGGCTCCTCCTCAGCCGCGAAAACTCTCGCCAGGGCCGAAGCCAGACAGATTAAAGACGCTCAAGACGGGGCAAGACTCTGTGCATGGTCCTGCTTCCCCGATCACTCCCGTCAAGCCGTCAAATCTGAAGGACCGCGCCTTTCCTGCGGCGTCTCCTGTAAGCCGCGATAGAGGGGCACCGATCCCACCGCCTCCCCTGTCTACACGGCCAGCGCCGCCTATTGCATTGAAGCCTCAAGTGCTGCCTCACCCACCGGCAGTTACAGTTCAACCTCCGCAGTCGCCTCCTAAGGGAAGCGCGTTGAACATCGCCCCAGGTGAACAGTCACCGTTTCTAGGCCCTGCCGCGATTTCTACTTCCGCCACGCCCAGCCGATCTCCTACGCCGCTCAGGATACCGAGCCGACCGCATAGTCCTACCAGCAACGGTGGTGGTAGTGGTACCGCAACGCCGCGATCTCCAAGGCAAGGAATTTCGAAAGCTCCATCACCGCCGCCTCCCAGACGATCCGCCGAGCTAAAGAGAGAGAAGGAACGAGAAAGAGAGTGGAAGCCTGCGCCGCCACCGCCGCCCGCGCCACGATCAGAGAAGACGTTGATGAGAGCGGCTACTGGGATAGAGGTGAGAGGCAGGCCTGCTGTTCAAAGACCCAATCGCTCTCAGGAGTCGTCTCCTATTGGCAGCGCCTCGCGAAGCTCCGAACCCAGGGCGGAAAGCAACCCTCCAGAGCTGCCCTTGCGACCGAGGCCACAGCAGCTGAATGATGCGCCGAGTAGGACGAAGCAGATCGCCGGAGCATTTGAGCAGCCTACCCAGCCTACCCAGCCTACCCTCCGTCCTTCCTTATCTGTGCGGAAACCAACGCGTGAAGGAGAGTCGAATGGCTTGGGTTTAGTTAGGGCCCCGATTACTCCTCAGCTCACTGGGGATGTTCGCCCTGCCTTGCCTGCACGACCCCAAACTACTGATATTCCCCCACAGCATCCAGTGCCGAATAACGGAATAAAGGCACCTCCAAAGCCTCCGCGACCATCTGCTCCGAACCACGCGCAGGTTGCCACTCCTGCCACTCCTCTTCCGCCAGCCCCACCGTCTGCCACAAACCGAGTCGTCTCCAACCCTCTCACACAGCAACTACCCGTAAGGCCACATGGGCGGTCTAAGACGGTGGACGTACCGACAGCAGATCATGCTGCCGTGGATGTCCGTGCGTCCCCAGCCCCTGTGGCTGCTGTCGTAGTAAGGCAAGCGCCAGCACCTGCTGCGAACGAAGCGATCATTCCGAAATCCGACCTCCCTGCTCAGATTACGGCATACCCTGATAGCTCGAGCACTAACCGCCGGCCTCCCTTCATCAAGAAAGGATGTTATGAGATTCAACCAAAGTATGATCCTCGTATCTTCGATGTCTGTGGGCAATATGTCTGCACTACCGGCCCTCTGACTCGGGTGTGGAGCATGCTGGATGGAGAACAAATTGTCAGCTTGGCACACACAGAAGGCGTGAAGGCCACAGCTGTATCGTTTAAGCCCAGCGCGGACCCCGATCAAGAAGGCTCCAAGGTTTGGGTCGGCACTAATCTTGGAGAGATTATGGAAGTTGAAGTTGCGACGCAGCGCATCCTAATGAGCAAAGCGAGTGTCCATGGAAAGTCGGAAGTTACCAAGATATACCGACACCTAAACGAGATGTGGACTGTTGACGAAGGCGGAAATTTCCTCGTCTGGGGTCCCGATAGCGATGGGGAGCCGAACTTGAATAACTATCCTCATCAGTCTTTCAAGATTCCCAAGGGAGAGACTTTCTCAATAGTGGTTGGGGATGAGCTTTGGCAAGCGACCGGCAAGCAGTTACGGATATTTGCTCCGACTCAAGATAATCACAGGCCATTTCAGGTTCTGACAAGGCCAATTACAATTGAAGGAGCGGGAGATGTAACCTCGGGAACGCTGATGAAGGGCTATCCTGGCAAAGTCTTCTTGGGACATGTCGATGGCAAGGTCAGCATCTGGTCTGCATCTGACTATTCTTGCAAGACAATTGTGAATGTCACCACATGGAAAATAAATACGCTATCGGGTGTTGGTCAGTACATCTGGGCAGGATATAACACGGGAAAAGTCTGTGTCTACGATGTTGCTCAAACGCCGTGGGTTGTTTTGAAGGAGTGGCAGGCACATGACAATACCATCTTGGGGATGAAGGTGGACTTTGCCAGCTCTTATCAACTTGATCAATTGCAAGTTGTTTCTCTAGGTGCGGATAGCCGGATCAAGGTGTGGGACGGCATGTTGCAAGACGACTGGCTCGAAGACGAGATGAAATCCAGGGATACGACATATTGCGACTTTGACGAGATAAAAACGCTGATATTTACATGGAATGCGGGTGCTTCTACCCCTCACAGTCTTCGGTACTCTAATGGCGATGCCGCATTCTTTCAAGATTTGTTACAATCGAGCGGCTCTCCCGATATCTTGGTCTTTGGATTTCAAGAGCTCGTTGATCTAGAAGATAAAAAAGCAACAGCAAAGCGTCTGCTCAAGTCGAAGAAGAAGGAGGGAACAGACCAGGAACGAATGAGCCACCAATATCGAGACTGGCGCGACTTCTTACTCAAAACCTTGGACGACTACATGCCAGCAGATCATCTGTACCATCTTCTCCACACGGCACCCATGGTGGGGCTCTTTACTTGTATTTTTGTCAAGGCTTCGCTGAGGGAAAGGATAACTCATCTTAGCGGTGCTGAAGTGAAGCGAGGCATGGGAGGTCTTCATGGAAACAAGGGAGCAGTTGCCGTTAGATTCCAAATCGACGACTCGTCTCTCTGTTTCGTGAATTGTCACTTGGCAGCAGGCCAAACCCAGGCTAGCTCACGTCATAACGATGCGGCGGCGATTCTCGAAGCTAGCCTATTCCCCGTTGAACGAGATACCGAAACTCGGATTGACACCTTTAGTGGCGGTGGAGATGGCTCCATGGTTCTTGATCATGAGCTTTGCATTCTTAATGGCGACCTGAACTATCGCATAGACACCATGTCACGAGATACAGTGGTGAAAGCCGTGGAGCAGAATAATTTGGCAAAGCTCCTTGAGCGTGACCAACTGCTTGTGGCGCGCCGCCGCAACCCAGCCCTTCGCTTACGAGCATTCGAAGAGCTGCCTATTACATTTGCGCCAACCTACAAATATGATGTAGGAACAGACACGTACGATACTAGCGAGAAACGAAGAAGCCCTGCATGGTGTGATCGACTTTTGTTTCGAGGACGCGGCCGTGTGCAGCAATTAGATTATAGACGGCACGAAGTAAGAGTGAGCGATCACCGGCCGGTTACAGGAGACTTTCGACTCTGGGTAAAGAAGATTAGACCAAAGGATCGAGCGGCCGCTTGGATGCAATGCCAGCAGGGATTTGAAGACGTTAGGCAGAAAGAGTTGGCAGAAGATAAGTAAGTTTGCCCTGCCTTATTTCTTTAAGAAGAAGCCCAAGCCGAGCATCGTTTTACTGACCGGATATGAATAGACTATACTATCTCACGAATATTTGTGGTTTCGACGCAGCAACAAGCCATCAGCTAATAAAAGAGAGAGCATCGCGCAAACCGCATAGGAGTCCCAGCAAAGGCAGGGCAGCGTACTAATTTGGATTTTTTTTCATTCATCTATCTAATACATCGTATGCTTCAGAGGGAAGCATATGACGGCGCTGGCGGGTTGGCGAACAATAGGCCGGGCATTTAATACATATGAAAGACGGGGGGCATTCGTAATGATACAACGGGAAAGGGAGACGGGCCCAAAGTTTTCTGGTTTCAGAGGCGCAAGAAAAAGACAAAAAAGCGAGATTTGATGAAAGGTTATGAACTGTTCTTATAGAAAGTCGTGCATTTATAATTTTTTTTATTAGCGACTGGAGCGTTTCGGGAGAGAGCAAATAAGGGCGGGTTGGTTGAATCAAAGTTGGAGGGTTTCAAAGTTTTTGAGAGTACAGAGTAGACTAGACAATGGCTATATTTCTTGATGTCACAAGCAACAAAGAATCAGATTAGGCTGAAAAGAAGAACTGTGACAAGACACGCCATAAGGCTATGATAATTATTTTTTCCAAGATCACATGGATAAGAATTTCCAGGTTAATTTTGTTGAATGAAGCTGAAGTGCAAATGAACTCAAGTCAAGAATAACGGGATAAGAGTTAGAGTGAGAGTAAGAGAGCTAGAGGGGCAGAAGCAATAGTATTACAAGATGGTGAGAGCATAACATCACAGCACAAGTTCAGCTCTACAGTAAGCAAGTTATACAGCAAAGCGAATACGAAGCGCAAAGAGTGGCGTGGCCCGGGAGACGACGAGGCCGAGAAAGTTCGGAGGAACGCCAGGGGGGTCTGGAAATTAAAGAACAGGTCCGGCGGTCGGTCCGGGGGGTTCCGGGGACCCCAAAGTGACGGATTGGCCAGCCGTCTTAAATTAGCCTCTTGTGCTGCCTCTTTGTTGATATATCTGCCTTTGGTTGGAAATCAGTGTTGTTGTTTTTTTCTTGTTTCTCTTTTTTTTTTCCAGTCAATTTACAGAACGGGTGGGAAATACAGCGCTTTCTGTCTTCTCTCTCTTTTCTGATTCTCATTTGGATTTGGGCTTGCAGTTGAAAGGAAGGGGAGGATCTTGTTGGCAGCAAACTACCCAGAGAACGAAATTAGGGGTGATTTATAAAAAAAAAAAAAGCCACCAAAAGGGGTGCTGCCAAGTGAATCTCTTATCGCCAATCACATATACACACGGTGCTCTCACCTCCTTTCACCAGCCGCAGTGAAGCGCTCATTCTCTTTTTTACAGCATCTCACGGCATAGACGTTGCAATTGGAAGGGATTGCAGTGTCTTTTTCATCAATCACCATACAAAACAAACACACGTGTCATACACAAAAAAAAAAAAAAAAACAGAAAAAATGGCTACCGCAGCAACAACAGCGCCATCACAAGGGCCGAGGAAAACGCCCATCGCGGCACCAACCGCAGACAGCAAGCCAGTGCCGCGGCCAGACCTGACGGCAGAGCAGCAGACCAAGTACGAGGCGCTGCTGGAAAAGGCAAAGGCCTTCAGCGAGATCAAGTGCGACAAGGAAAAGGACAAGTCGGGCCCCCTGACGGACCGCGACCTGTCGTGGCTCACGCGGGACTGCCTGCTGCGCTACCTGCGGGCGACCAAGTGGTCGGTCGACGACGCGGCCAAGCGGCTGCTGTCGACGCTGGCGTGGCGGCGCGAGTACGGCATCGACGACTTCACGCCCGAGCACATCTCGCCCGAGCAGGAGACGGGCAAGCAGATCATCCTGGGCTTCGATCGCCAGGGGCGGCCGTGCCAGTACCTCAACCCGGGCCGCCAGAACACGGACAGCAGCCCGAGGCAGATCCATCACCTGTTCTACATGGTGGAGCGGGTGATCGACATGATGCCCCCCAATGTCGAGATGCTGAGCCTGATGATCAACTTCAAGCCGAGCAAGCAGAGGCAGAACACCAGCGTGCCGGTGTCGACGGCCAGGGAGGTGCTGCACATTCTGCAGAATCACTATCCCGAGAGGCTGGGCAAGGCACTCATCATCAACGGTAGGTTTTTTTTTTTTTTTTTTTTTTTTTTTACATATATATTGTACACAAGGAGACCAAACGAGACCAATAGCTAACAATTTTTATCTTGCCTCCAACAGTGCCTTGGATTGTTAATGGATTCTTCAAAATCATTACCCCCTTCATTGACCCCGTGACCCGGGAGAAGCTCAAGTTCAACGAGGACATGAAGCAGTATGTCCCCGCGGAGCAGCTATGGAGCTCCGACTGGAACGGCGATCTGGACTTTGAGTACGATCACGAGACTTACTGGCCTGCCCTCAACGAGATGTGCAAGCAGAAGCGGGAGCAGAAGCTGGCGCGGTGGGCGGCCGCTGGAAAGGTCGTTGGCGAGTCTGAGGAGTATCTCTCGGGCGGTACGGATGTGAGCATCACGGGGTTCAAGTACACAGCCGACGAGAAGAAGGAGGAGCCAAAGACAGAGGCAAAAGCAGAGGCAGAGACTGCGCTGGCGGAGAAGCTAGCAGCGGCAAAGCTCGAGGAGGAGACAGTTGAGGCTCAAGCTTGAAGAAAACTAACGGGAGCATTTGTCGGTGAGACTAGCAGCAAGCATTGGTCAGTTAGAGGAGTAATCAGCCAGGTTAGGCACAGGACTGTGGGTTAGACATGGTATAGAATGTTTGTCCTTTTTTTCCCCCCAATCACCTGTAGAGCCAAAAGGACTGCCCGCTGTTGGCAGTTAATCTTTGGGATTATTATAAATTAGTACCACCAGAAATACACATGACTGCATAATAGATGGGTACACAAGACGGAGAGAGAAAGCACTAGCTATCTATTGTGTTACAAGGGCATACACACATATGGTCAGGCATGATTCGTCCAATAGCCAAGGCAGTCTGAGAGAGGGGCCGAATTAGCGGCCAACAAAGCCAGAATTATGCCTCGGGCGTGAAGACAATCTGGAGACGGTAAGAACATGCCATCGACTTACATGCGTGCTAAAGACATATTAACAGCACGAATACTCCTCTCTTGGAGAGTAGATGGAGCCCATAGGATGCATATAAGATGCTCCATTAACATTACTAGTAATCCCATTCCTTGTGACCTGTCAAGCTAATACGACGTTGGGTGCGCATCATCCATCGCGCAAGCAACCTGATTTGTCGACCCAGCCCATCGGAATTGCTATTCCTCTTAGAGGCGATCAAAGGTGACCGCCTTATTGTTCAGCATACGAGAAGTAAGAAGTACATAAATAATAGATAGCGCCCAACCTGAGAAAGGTCTTGCGGATCAGCTCTTACCTCGCTTAGCGGTGTCCGCAACTGAGCCGCACTGCCCCAGGGTGAGATATGCACGTTGGCTGGACTATTTTCGAGGACATACGTTGGGCCAGCTCACAACTGGACGCCAAAGAAAGAAGTATCGGCCGCGGCCCTAAGACCCGATATCGTTTCAGTCGTACACAAAAAAAAAGGATGACTGAACACAAGTGCACTTACACCGGCGGGCAGCGTTGCACTGAGCTCTGGCCTTGATGCGTTGGGCGATACCGAAGCGTTTCGAATCCATCAATCAAAGGTGCTTTAAAAGGCTACCGCACGACGCAGTCTTGAGTCCGTTTTGCATTGCATAAGAGAGATATCCATTCCGTGCCGTTCTCACATGTTCTTACTGTCGCCTGCAAACTGCAAACTGAATGCAAAAACAAAAGCAAAGAAGCCCAACCAAGCGGCAGGTGATGCAATGCCGTAGCACGGTCCTGGGGGATTCAAAACATAAGGACCGCAAGACGAAAATGCAACTTATAATGGAGAATAAAACCGCTAAAATAGTAGTAGAATCTGTCCAGTGGAAGCAGCAGACGTAGTAGAGGCAACAGAAGCCTGGAGAGGCGGTATAGCACCGAAACATTTCTAACCAGCTTAGGCCACTCTGCCCGCTGGTTGGCCGAGCACATGCGGATTATGGATTAAAGGATCCGGCGCTGAAGATAATCTAGGCAGACTAGAGAGAGGCAAGAATGATGACGACGCGCTATTCCATAGCCAGTGGCGCTATTACCCGCCGGCGGTTGGAAAGGTGGTGTAGCATCAGCTCGGTCGCAGGGCTAATTCGTCTGAAGCTATGCCTCTAATTGCTCGAGTAGACGCCGTCTTCAGCCGCAGGTTTCGTGTCATGGTGGTCTCGCCCGCCTACCTCTTAAGGATGAGTGAGTTCGTGTTGTTTTCGCCACCCAGGAGCAGCACGGGACTGGCTCCAAACACTGTGGACGGATGTAAATGCTCTGATCTTGTGTTTGGACTCTGATTCTGATTTTCAAATTGAAATATAAAGCAGAAAAGAGGGGAAGAAGAGTCTTTTGGGGTCAGGCATTTACTTGGGTATGGCTGGGCAGAACCGCATCCGTTGGGTCTAATGAGAGGTCGCAGCTGTGATCCCCATAGGCAGTTTGATATTGTAGCATCTATCATGCACACGAAACTGATAACCTCTCTGGGTGGCGTTGGGCCGAGCAAACTTCCAGGCACGTCGTAAACCAAGTAAACATCGGTCATCGGTGTCCGAGGGCGTGGATGGAGTTACCGCCGCAGCTCGTCTTTAGCTTGCTCTCGGTTGTTGCTCAAAACAGTATATATATGTGCCCAAAGCCACCAGATGACGTGTTAAGCCGGAAGCTGGGATCCAGCTTACTTTTTCTTTTTATTCAAATAGTCAGCCTCCTGTCTTTCGTTGAACCTCGACATTGGTTCACGCCTCTCAGCACTCACCATGACCCTAGTGTCTATCGTCAGTTCCTTTAGCAGGATGAGCCTCCCTCCCATCTTTGGTACTCCCGTGGCAAATACATCATCATTCAATGCTTCATCTTTCACTACCACGATCCGAGGAGAAAATGCTGCGGGAGGAGGCAGCAGCTCAAACATTCCTTTCGCTGCTGGCGGCATGGTAGACACCATTCTCACAACCACTGGTCACGCTTCGCCTCTCGCACAACTTGTTCTCTTCGTTTACCGACTTCTAGGCACGCAGTTCGGTCTGGATCCGTCAATGGTACTGGCTATCTTGGGCTTCGCATGGGGCGCACTGAAAATCGGTTCACAGATTTATGGCTCTGTCCAGCGGTTTGTTGACGATTATCTCATGTGCGCCATGTACGTTACTGAAGATGACCACATATATATGCATCTGATGAAGTGGTTGTCCCATCATCCAAGTATAAAAAACAGCCAATATCTCATGGCTCAAACTGTCTGGAAGAGCGCTTGGGAGGAAGAAGATGAACTAGAAGATGCACTATTCTGGACGAATGGTGGCGAAGTTGGTGGTGGCGATAAGATGTACCTGAATTTTTCCAACCAAGCAGCCAAATCGGTATGTGTTTGTTGGTGAACAACTTGAGAGACACTGTAAGCTGACGTATATGCCTACAGAGTCCTAGATTTGTCCCTGCTATGGGTTCAACGGCATTTTGGCATAAAGGAACATATTTCAGAGTCCATCGGAAAAAGGAGTCGTTCGTCAATACTCATTCGTGGGGAGGTCCAATGAAAGATCTCGAAGAGGTTAAGATCTCGTGTTTCGGACGCTCAATAGGTCAGTATGCTGAGCCCTTCCTCCTGCAGCAGTCACTAACTGTTGTGAAGATCCCATCAAGCAGCTGCTATCAGACGCTAAAGCCCTGTATTACAATGACACTCGCCAGAAAACAACCATCTATCGCCCAAGAGTCAAGGAGCAAAGGCGAGATCATAACATGTGGCAGCAAGTAGCACGACGCCCCGTAAGACCCATGTCAACAGTTGTGCTCGACTCTTGTGAAAAACACGATATTTTGTCCGACATCAACGAGTATCTGCACCCCTCGACGCCACGATGGTACGCTTCTCGCGGAATTCCGCTGAGGCGAGGTTATCTCTTCCATGGACCACCAGGTACCGGAAAGACCAGCTTTTCCTTTGCTCTAGCAGGCGTATTTGGCATCGACATATATGTCATTAGCCTGCAAGACGCCGGTGTGAACGAAGAAGACTTGGCGACACTATTCACTAAACTACCACGAAGATGCATAGTCCTTCTAGAAGATATTGATACCGCAGGTCTACGACGAGATCTCAGCACAGAAAACGAGGATACATTACAGGATAGTAAAAGCGAAGACAAGGACAAGAAAGATAGAAAAAAGAAGCAGAAGCGAAAGGCTGATACCAGCGACAGCGAGTCAGAGAGCGAACCCGAAAGGAAGCCGAAGAAGCGAGGCTCAAGAAAGAAAGATTTCAGCAAAAGCAATCCTGTGGCTTTTGAAGGCATATCTTTATCCGGGCTTTTGAATGCCATTGATGGTGTCGCATCTCACGAAGGCCGAATCCTCATCATGACGACCAACAAGCCCGAGGCTCTGGACGAGGCGTTGATTCGTCCCGGAAGAGTAGACGTTCAAGTAAATTTCAGCAATGCCACCAGCGTCCAGGCTGGTGAGTTGTTCCATCGAATGTATGAAGCGTCCCGCTTAAAGGAGACGACAAAGACGATAAACGGCTCGGCAAGAGTGGAAGAGGTGGTAGAAAAGACGAATGAGCAGCCAGCAGCCAGGCACTCTATTGATGAATTAGACTCAATCACAGCTGAAGAGATGAAGGAGATATCAGAGGAATTTGGCCAAAGAATCCCAGAAGGCATCTTCTCTCCTGCAGAGATCCAGGGATTCCTCCTCAAGCGCAAAAAGTTTCCGCGCCGAGCGCTGGATGAGGTATCAGAATGGGTTGAAGCGTCACTGCGGCAGAAGGAGGCGAATTCCAAAGTTTTGACTGTGCAGTGAACTCTTTTAATCAGTGGATCTGATGCTAGTTTTTGTATTTCCTCATTGATTGATGAAGGGGAGAAATAGTTTGTAGTATCACGCAGCTTCTGGTTCTCTCGTGGTGTAGATGTTACGGGTATTCCGGTATTGGTGTCGGGGTCGGTGATTGTCTTTTCTTGTCATTTGTACAGGCCATTTTTTCGATATACCTTATTGTGTGGCCTAATTAATATATCGCATTTCCGCTGAATCTGTGCAAATATGTGTAATTGTGATGAAGATGAAAAAAAAAAAGAAAAGAAAATAACTTGTAATCGTCGTCCTTCTGCTGAGGCATTCCTTCCAGGCAGTCACTCTTGAGTGGGCAGGAGGTACGTACAGCCAAGTACAGTCAGCCAACCCCACGTCCTGAATCTCTCGCGAGGTACAAGCTCCAAGCAAGTGCCACCATCCCTCACATTAAACCATCGCCGCCGCATCTCGGTCTATCCGCCCGCTCGAGAGCCTCATATCGCAGAGACAGCAATGCGCCGCTATTCCGCCCGGTAATCGCTAGCTTCAGGATGTCGTCACTCCCCTCAAGCGCCTCCACGGGCAAAGATTCCGGCCTCCGCGTGCCCAGCAATGGCAAAACCATCTACCACCGCCCGCTTAATCGCACCAAGACCTCCGAGCTCAGCCAGGCCAGCTTTGCTTTTCTGTTCTCCGAGATGGTAGCATATGCGCAGAAGCGTGTAAAGGGAATCCAAGAGCTGGAGCATAGGTATGTCTATTTGGCCCACTTGCACCTCCTGATATGCCCTCCCGAATCAAGACTCTCAGCCAAGGCTATGATGGAAACTAACGTTGCCATGCGACACCCTAGACTCAATGTCCAAGGCCATTCTATAGGCATCAAGCTCCTCGATCTCCTCCTCTACCGTGAGCCTGTTCGGACGCAGCTGCGGCCCCAGAACGTAGTGGCTCTCCTCCACTTCATCAAGCAGAACGTATGGCAACACCTCTTCGGCAGACAAGCGGACAGACTGGAAAAGTCGACGGATGCAGAGAAGCCGGACGAGTACATGATCATCGACAACGAGCCTCTTGTCAACCAATACATTAGCGTACCCCGCGAAATGAGCCAGTTAAACTGCGCCGCCTTCGTCGCCGGCGTGGTGGAAGGGGTATGTGACGGCGCAGACTTCCCCGCAAGGGTAACGGCACATACCGTCGGGGAGGGCGATATGTGGCCTGGGAAGACCGTTTTCTTGGTCAAATTTAGAAGCGAAGTGGTAGAGAGAGAGGCTTTCTTGGCGAAGAGTTGATTTTAAACGCTTTGATATGGTTCAAGACTAGGAAGACGGAGTTTGCAAGAAGGGCACAATGGAACGGAGTTTTGGAGTTGATGGTATGGTCAGCAATCGTCTGCTTTGATTGGCACATCGGTTCAGGGCTGCTGCGGGCTGTAGACAGATTCAATAATTTAATGCAGCTTTTTTTTTGCACAATGTAGAATTGATGAGATAAAAGAAAAATCGATTAATAACCATAGCTTCCTAGCCATTGTAACGCCATGCCAATCTCTAAACCTGTGGAGCTTCTACTCCCGCTTAATCCAAGAAAAGGTACAAAGCCTCATCGTCCTGCCTCACAAATAGAAATCCATTCACCGCGGTAATGCCTTTGACGCCTTGCTCGGCCCAGCAGCCTTGCTCTCTGAACTGGGTCCCTTTCTCATCAAGTCTGATAAGCCGAGGTCCTTCCACGAGGGTTCCTTGACGCGCTGCGTCGCGCGCTGGATGCCAAAAGCGGCATGCTGATCCGGAACAACATCATCCTCGTCTTCTGGGTTGATGGGCCGGTACTGAGGCGGAACGTAAATCTCGTCATCGGGGAGCTTGTCCTTGCAGAAGTCCTCGAAAAGGTCCGCGTCGCCGGAGCGATGCATGTGCACATAGTTGAAGCACGAGTCCTTGTTCTAGGCGATGCGTGTTAATTAATCGGTGGGAGCGAGATATTGGGTTTAACTGAGCGTACCATGGTGATAATATGTGGAATGTGAGTAAAGGCTTGACGATGATGTTATTATATTGGTAGAAGATGCAGGAATCCAAGTATGAGCTCGAAGCTCACTAAACCTGGGACTTTATTGTGGGGTGATGTCTTGAAGCACAGGGCGCCTTATAGCGCAAAGAGCGCTACGAATAAACCAACAGAAAGCCTACCTAGGGACATGTAGACAGAGCTCAGTATGAGTCGAACCATACAGCACGGTCTCTTAAGAATGCTATCCAGCAGAAGACAGGCATGGTCAAGGAAATTCTTTGGATCAATTCGCACTACTACAGTTACACTCTCGGGCTTCAGATCTGATGCAGCAATCTTCATACAGCCGCATATGAATAACTCGTCTCTAGATGATCCTCTCTTTATCGCTAAAAGTCATTATATGTTGCTTGATTTCAGGATATTCGTACAAACGTCTTCCATTTACCTATCAAAGCTACTTGCTAGCTTCTGTCTCCTAATATCGCAAATTCACCTTAGACCTATCGTACAATACCTACCTCTTCTTGACCTTAGAGATACATTTCGTGCACACGAATCGTCTTCTTGTTGACAAATTCGTGAAATCCAAGCTCACCCAGCTTCTGAAGACTTTGTGCACCGATTCAGCGAACAGAGGCCCGATGGTGGTAGACCTGTCTCGAGGATCGCCGGCCTTCATGCCGCTGACGAGCTTGACGAAGCCTTCCTTGTACTTTTCGCCTCGCTCACGACCAACGATGATGTGGCGCTTAAGAGCCACGCATACCTGGCCCATACCCTCCATCCTGCCATCGAATCCAATACGAATGGCTTCATCGAGATCTGCGTCTTCAAGAACAATAAATGGATCTCAACCACGGAGCTCAAGAACAGCCTTCTTCAGATTTCTGCCAGCTCGTTCCGAAACTGCCCTGCCAGCCCTCTCACTGCCCGTCATGGCATGATGCCGTAATTGATAATTACCCCAGACTCGTTCGGACGATATATGTACAGCTAGCATGATTAGTTGTCAAGCTGACCAACTTTGGAGTTAAGCCATTATTCAGCCGCTCGTGAAACATGGTGCGCTCGTTAAGGCTATAATATGCCTAGCCTCTATTGAGAAGCCTATCATCGTCGGCCATGTCATGAATCCGAACGTCTCCATGAGTTGTTCTAAATTGTGGTCATGGGTTTATAGGCTCAATTTAAGCAATGGTCGGGTATTTGGCTCTCTCCAACTGGGCCATGAATAGAGTTTATAGTAGCTAGGAACAACCCACTCTCCAATCAAACTGAAACACCGTAAAGCCTCGCCTTTTATGTGTACTTTCTAGAATTCATATACCTAAGCTGTGTCGGCTGTTGTGAAAACTCACAAGACATTTCGACATTGTATCATCAAAGAATCTCATGCCATATATATATTTCTTCTTCGTTTCTCCTTCTCTTCCTCCCTTTGTACTCCCCTCAGAATTAAAATTAAACTCGTTCTATAATATATATACTATTATCCAAGGCAAGATATGGTCATTCTACTCGTTCTGTTGCGTTTCTTCCCGCAGAATGTTCCTACTCTTACTATATGCTTTGACTGCTGCGCAATAGCATTATATAATGGTCCAATTGCATCGGGACATGTTATTGAGATGAGACAATCCATTGTGTATACAATACCACCATATACACGTCCATACGTCAAGGTAAACGTGCAGCGGCCGCGGTCCCATTACTAACGTGCAGCTCTGGTGGGGCGGCGCCTGTCTGGTTTGGTGACGTTTACAGGGCCTTTTCCTCTCCGCGAAGCTGCCACCCCGCCTGCCTGGAGCTTAACCCCACTAAGCAGCCTAATCCTCGAGCCTCGAACTTCCAACTCCGAACCTCGATGCTACTCGTCACTCCTGCCTCACACCACACAACGGCTTCTATCTCGTGAGAAGCTCTCGCCTCGGCTTCAGCATCAAACGCCCACAAGCTGCTGGTAGATGCACTGATCGGCACCACTCTACCTTCTGAAGACCGCGAGGAGCACTCCATCAGCCCACCATGGCCTCCATCGCCGCCTCTGCCGCCACGCCCCAGGCCGTCATAGGCCATGTCCAGAAGCTAGGCGATGCCGATCCCGACTTTCGTTTTATGTCCCTCAACGACCTGCTCCAGCTTCTCACGACTGCGAGAGAAGATTTCCTGCAGCACGACTACAACATTGCCGCGAGAACAGTCGATGGCATCATCAAAACGTTGGACGATCAGAATGGAGAGGTGCAAAACCTGGCGATTAAGTGGTCTGTTCAGACTCCTGGCCTGTATATCTTCATGACAAAGTCACTAACTCCTTATCGAACTTGTAGCCTTGGACCACTCGTTGGCAAAGTCCCGACTCCCATTATTGCCCCTATGATCGATAAGCTCTCTTCGCTGAAGCTCAAGAACTCTGTTGATACCGCTGTACCAGCGTTGGCTCTGCGGGCCGTCATAACTGCTCTCCCTCGGCCTATCCCAGGCATTCCGAGCAGTTCTAGTGTCCAAGAGGCGTATAACGCTATCAGCCGTGTGCTAATTCCCAGACTCATTGGACCCGGACCTTTGACACGAGTCCCACAAGCACCGAGAATCAATTTGCCAGCTGTCCCTACTGGGCTTCTGCAGGATGAGAATGGAGTCAATGCTGAAGCTGTTGATGTCCTAGTGGAAGTTGTGCGATGCTTCGGCCCCTTACTACAGCAAGTTGAGGTGGAGGCGATGCAAGAGGTCGTCTTACAACTACTACAAGCAGACAAAGCTTCTTCTGTGGTAAAGAAGCGGGCAGTAGTTGCTATATCTATGCTTGCCGTCTACCTATCCGATGCTCATCTGGCAGATGTTATCAATCGAATCACCACTGATCTATCTACGCCCAATGTCTCTCCAGTCACCCGCCGTCTCTATATTTCAATAATGGGCAGCATGGCCCGGTCGATTCCTCCTCGATTCGGCGTGCATCTTCAAAAGACAACGCCTTTCATTCTCGCCGCCTTGTCAGAAGCGGAGCTCGAGGAGCATACCGAAAAAATTAGCGACGGGGATGATTTGGGGCCAGAATTTAACGAAATTCGAGAGACTGCTTTAGTCGCGCTTGAGGCATTCTTAGCCTCTTGCCCGCAGGAGATGCGGCCCTTCACAGACGATGCTCTTACCTCTTGCTTACGGTATCTGAAATATGACCCCAACTATGCTGTAGATGACGACGAAGACATGGACGTAGATGAAGAGGAAGAGGAAGATCAAGACGATGAGTTCGAGGACGATGACGGCTTTGAGGATGACGATGATGACGCAAGCTGGAAAGTCCGCCGATGTGCTGCGAAGGCCATATATACTCTCATTTCCACCCGTGGAAGTGGCGATCTTTTGGACAACGGCGTCCTGTACAACCAGGCTGCTCCACATCTTGTGAAGCGCATCGAGGAAAGAGAGGAAAACGTTCGTCTTGAGGTCATCTCTGCTCTGTCGCTGCTCATCCGCAAGACAGGCGAAGGCCTTCACACGGTAGATCTCACTCGAGACGAGTACGAGCCCGAGATGGTCTCTCAGATCCCCGTCAACCGCAAGAGGAGAAGGCAGAGCAGTGCCGGAGGCTCCAGCGCTGCAAAGTTTATGGCGGGCTCTGGTATCACGTCGCCTGGCGCAGAGAAGATTCCTGCTCAGGGCCCACGAGCAGATCTCTCCAAATTAACGCCAAGCATCGTCAAGGCTGCAACCAAGCAGCTGAAGGGAAAGACTGTGCCCACGAAGCAGGCTATTATTAGTATGTTGGATGACCTGGTATCCGTTCAACACGGTGGCCTTGTCGACTTCTTCCCTGAAGTCATTGGACCCATCGTTGATGCCGTCAAGACTACCGGTACTAGTTCCATCTCCTCTTCTCTTGCCGCCGCAGGAGGTTCTGCATCTGCAACTCCAAGCACCCTGCGCGTCGCCTCGTTGAAGCTTATAAGTGATATTGCCAAAACACATTCATCTTCAGTGCTTCAGCCATACCTGAGCAAGGTTGTTGCTGGAGTCGCATCGGCCGTTCATGACCGCTTTTACAAAATCTCAAGTGAGGCAATTCGCACATCAGAAGAGCTTGTCAAGGCAATCACTCCCCCGCGAGCTCGCAATGCCGGATCAAAGTTCAAAGACGACTTGGATAAGCTCTACGAAGTCATTGTGGATCGTGGCTCTGCCAACGACGCTGATGCGGAAGTCCGACAACGTGCTATCCATGCTCTAGGAATTCTCATTTCCAGGACATCTAGCACAGAAGGATCTAGCCTCTTGTCAGCTGAGAAACGAACTGTCGCTCTGAATATTCTTCAGGAGAGAATGAAGAATGAGACAACCCGTCTAGCTGCAGTCCGTGCCGTGGATAATGTTGCAGCATTTGCTGTCTCTCCCGACCAACTAGAGCAGGCTTGGATTCAAGACGTTGCCCTGGAGCTCTCGGCTCAGCTACGAAAGGCAAACCGATCTCTGCGAGGCTCCAGTGTCCAGGCTCTCAAACACCTCGTGCTCTCAGCGGCTACTCAAGGCAAGTTAGAGCCAGCTACCATCCAGGGAATTGTCTCCGCTCTGCTACCCACCATCAAGAACAGCGACACACACCTCCTCGGCCCTACTTTGATCATTCTTGGCAACATGGTAAAGGATCATTCAGACCTCATTATCAACGAAGAGATGATTGGTGCGCTTTGCCAGCTACTTAAATCCCACTTTGCAAGTATCGTCCTCGACCAGCTGCTTGACTTGATCAGCCGTGTCGGCCAGAGCGGTGCTGGCGAACCGCTTATGCAAGGTCTTCTGAAGGACGTAAGTGTTCAAGGTGATCCGGGTGTCGTCGGCAAGGTTATAGGAACCCTTCTGGTGACCGGCGGAACCTCAGCTGGGGTTTCTCTTGATAGCTTTGTTACAGAGCTTCACGGAAGTACAGAACGTGGTGATGAGGCTGGCGTGAGTCTCGCCCTCGCTGTTCTAGGAGAGTCGGGAATGAGACTCGGGGACAAGTCACCTCTCAAGCCTCAATTATTCCTGGACCAATTCCATTCAGAGCCAGACAAGGTGTCGTTAGCCGCTGCCATCGCCCTCGGCAGGGCTGGCTCTGGAAACATTCCCGAGTATCTCCCAATTATTCTTAAGACAATGGAGAGTGGGGGCAATACGCAGTACCTACTTATCCAGTCCATTAAAGAGATCCTGCAGTCAATCTCATCACAGTCTGCCGATCTTCGAGGCTACGCCACTCCCATCTGGGACCAGCTCCTAGCAGCTTCATCGAATGCGGACAACAAGATCATCTGCGCTGAGTGCGTCGGCCGCCTCGCCACCCTGGACCCTGCAACTTTTATGCCTAAATTACAGGTAAGTTACATGTGGAGAGATGATTTGTAGACTGTAAAAACAGTGCAAGTATACAATATGCTAATGTTATCATACGTAGACACTCTTGAAGGACCACTCATCAGGAATCCGAGGCATGGCAGTCCAGGCGGTCAGATATACACTCCCAGAGAGTGACGAGACATTCGATGCCATGCTTCGTAATGTCCTCATTGAAATGCTTCTTGTCATGCTGCAAGATTCAGATATGGAAATTCGACGACTGGCCATGACAACGTTGAATTCAGCCGCTCACAACAAGCCCGATCTCATTCTACCGCACCTGGGTGAACTCTTACCCTTCGTTCTTAGCGAATCAGTGATCAAAAAGGAGCTTATTCGGGAGGTCATGCTTGGCCCATTCAAGCACAAGGTCGACGACGGCCTGGAAGTGCGCAAGGTGAGTAGAGTACGCTGCTCTTGGTATAAATATGCACATGACTGATATTATTTTCAATACAGAGCGCATACGAGACTCTCTATGCCCTCATGGAGACGGCTTTCACGCGAATTAATAATATTGACTTCTATGACCGAGTGATCGCGGGACTTAAGGATGACAACGACATTCGTCAACTTTGCAATTTAATGGTCACTAAGCTCATCGTGATCGACCCCGATGAGACAGCACGACGACTAGACTCGATCGCCGAGGCCTACCGTGGAGTCTTATCGATTAAGCTCAAGGATAATGCTGTCAAGCAGGACGTTGAGAAGCAAGAAGAAACCAACAAGAGCATATTGAGAGTAACCCTTCTTCTAGGTGATAAGATGAAGGCAATGACTGGAAACGCTGGCGCGGCAACTAGCAACACGGCGGCGGCAGGTGTCTGGACAGGCTACTGGGAATGGGCCAACAAGGAGTTTGAAAAGCAGCTTAAGGGTCTGCGAGAGGAAAGCAGCCAGCTCCACACGAGAACCCTTTGAGCCGAAGGAGCGCAGTATCACGCAGTAGTTAGGCTATAATGAATTGATATGAACGCACAGATAGCGATGCAATGTAACTACAGCATTCTGCTCTATACCTAGGCACTGCCCTCTTGTAAAAGGAAAAGAGAAAGGACTCGTTGTAGGGATGTCATCGCCAGATCCATACCGTCAGCGTCTCCTGGACGCGGTTTTGTTTGTGACCGGTACCACACACAAATGCGACGGCTCTACGACGGGTAAATCCGCCAGGTGAGTCGAGGCGCCATCAGAATGTATCATTCTAACTTGGCATGCACTTTCCCGGACATAGTCTCATAAGCAGCGTCTCAGAAATAGTAAATACTATATTACACTGTAGGCGTTGGTAGGTGTTGGTAGGTATTGGTAGGCATCATAAACTAAAAATGCCTATTACCTACTACTCAAGACGGCAAGGGTCCAGCTTATCTCTGCTAGGGACGGGCGGATTGCTCGGCAGGCTAAAATAGCTTCCTCGTACTTTATGAGCGAGCAGTCACATATCGATAAATAATTGCATCTTATGGACAAGGTTTTTTGGGCAAGCTTGCATGGATTGGATTTTCAATTTTTGAACAGGGTACTTCCTTGGTGCCAGCCACTTTGACGTACATGCTCGTAAGCGAAACTGCGGAGAGAGGACTTGGCCAATTTGGTAGAGTAGAAGGAAGTGTTGCAATCAATACGACTGCTACCACATGCTTTTTTTGAAACTTGCCATCTTATACACGCAAATCATAAAATGACTTCATATGCCGCGTAAATCCTTGAATGCGACTTTGACAAATAAGGATCTTCTTATTTCAGGATTATTTCCTCCGGCAAAAACTGCAAGGTGGTCGTATTGCGTATATGGAAGCAGGTGCCTTATACAAAGTATCAACGCACGGGCAGCGGCACCGCCACCCCGGTTTTTGCGGACTACCTAATCCAGCGACTGAGTTGTCTCTCGGGCAGGCAACTCAGCCTTGTTCGAATGGCAGACTAGTAAGGGCAAGATCGTTGATACGGGTAAGAAAACCGTGGTCGTTACCAGGTATTAGGCACTATAAGTGCCCAGGTGATACAAAGTGAGGGGAAGAAAAGAGACAGAGAGAGAGAGCCTTGTCTCCATGTGTCGGCAGTCAATTGATAGGTCGTCCCAGAATTACCCGAAAAGCGTAACGATGCCACCGATGGGAGGACTAGTGTGTGCAGGGGCCGCCATTGGTCGTGTGTGGGGGCGAGGTGTTACGAGATAGCAAGAACTCAAGGCTCCAGGATGCATCCTCCAAGGCGCCAACATGGCCGCAGGCAGAGAGGCGTTGTGGCTTGCACATGGTCGCCCGCGTGAGCGTCCATTAGTGCCGCTGCACTGGGTGTTGCTTGGGGCGAGCCCATTTGCGGTTTACTATAAAGAATGAGGCGGCCGCCCTGTGGAATGTCATCTTCATTGTCCCTGTCTCACACGCAACCACTTATACATACCACATACCTGTTGCACCAAGCAAGATAAAGAGCCCACGCCCACGCAGCTTTTGTTAACATACACTATCCACCGTCTCGCACAGACGGTTTCTAGCCCATACAAGACAAACAACAAGAATAATGGCTCGACGAAGCATCTACCTCGACCCCTATGGTGACAACGCCCCTCGAGGCGTCGCTGGCGAGCCCAGTACCATCTACACATTCTTCCAGGGTGTCGTACGTGAGGCTCGGACTTGGGTCTCGCGCGGCGGACCTGGCGTCAAGGCGCCTACGATTGAGAAGCATACATCTTAAGAAGAGTACATCTCGCCTTGCGTGAGGCGCTTTGCACCATCTTGATTGTTTTTTCCTTTACTTGATATCCATCGACGATCGACTGATTAGCCATTTTGCATTGACGACCAAGGCTGGTGTCCCTGGACCAATATGTAGTACACAGGCACGGCGATAACAACCAGAGTTTGTCGCCGCTGTGAAACCACGGGCGTTCTTCTTTTCTCGCTCTCTTTCTCTCGTTTTCTTTCTTATTGTTTCGTCTGTATTGGTCAGGAGGTTTATGGCGCAAATTTCGGAAGTTGGAGGGCAATTTTCTTATATTATCATGTCCCAGAATTATCACCATGATGTTATCGTTCTGTCGTTTTCGGTCGGCACAGGAATCTCCAGGCGTTGGAATCTGTTGGAATGAGAAAAGAAAAATCATGAACTTGGAAAGTGCGACGGCTTTGAGTATATCAGTCGAATATATCGCTATGCAATGCTCAGATGGGCAATGATATGAATCAAATTGAATCATCATATGTGTTTGTCATTTTAAAAGTTGAATTCTATCTCTCAATAGCATCGTGAAGCAGCGGGTTTGGATACACCTTGCCCGCACCACTACGGCTCAAAGGGTTGGTAGAGGTGAGAAAATATTCTTCATGGAGGTGGTGGGAATTAGGTACGGATTGTCCGAATACAACCCCAAGATATGCATGATACCACTGGCTTTCCCCGTCGGCGTATCAGAGCTGCAACGTGTCAAGTGGCAAATATCGAGCTTACATCGGGATCTGAGGATGCTTCAGCATCGGAGGGGGGATTCGAGGTATCGTCAACCGGTACAAGCGCGAGCCTCTTTTTCTTTTTCATAACTCGCTTGTGACCAGCGCTCTTAATGTGCCTCTGCCAAGCCTGCTCCGTCAAGCAGACGGTTTGGCATATCTCGCATGTCCTTTTACAAGGAATCGCTTTCGGCGGGGGCTCACTCACTCGTGTGAGCACCTCGCGAGCCAAGTCTGATAGCTCCGTGGCGGTTGGTTGAGGTTCTCCAGAAAGAAACTTTGCAGTTATCTCAGCAGCAGGTTCTACAACTTTGGTCTTAAACTGAGAGACATCGGTACTGTCGACCAAGTACAAGCTTTCAAAGGCCTTGGGGACTTGTTCCTTGAGGCGTGGGATTTGCTTCAGCCTGATCCACCGAGTTTGAGAGTTGGCATATCGGCGTGTCGCTGCTTTCATATCTTCCAATGCGTTGAACTTAAGCTTTTCAAGATCAGCTACATCTTTCCCCTCCTCTTTCGCGGACATGTATGGCTCAAACTGCTTGTAGCCGATGGATTGCCATATACCCTTTGTCATGTTCAGAATCTGACCTTCGGCAGTCTTCTCCTTTTTCATGTCGAAAAGCTCTTGGACCTCGTCCAATAACCCGGCATCGAGCATTTTGTCTACTCGGCTGTCCAACCGCTCAACAAGAGCTTCACGTTCCGAGTATACCCAGAAAAGCAACTTCTCCCAGGGCTGATTGGTCTCTGGTTCTTGAGCAGCCGCAGCTTTGCGCTGTTCTTGTTCTGCATACAACTCGGATGCAGGTCTGCCAGTATGTAAATAAATTTCCAGTGATCGCTGGATCTTGCGCCTATCATTCGGATGCCATCTCTCCGCCATTATCGGATCGACCTTCTTTAGCTCTTGAAGCAATACATCTGTAGGCTCTTCCAAGATTGGAAATGATGAAGAGGGATCAATCTGTACATCATCAAGAATAACATCTTTAAAGAGGAGTGGGTCAACATAGTATTGAGTCCCTCCAACGAGGATGGGTAGATTTCCCCGGCTGCGGATTTCACGAATGATTTTGGTAGCTTCTGACTTGTAGTCTTCTACATCCCATGGAGCATGGTCAAGCGGAATATGGCCCAAAAGATGATGCGGAATCCCGCGCCGCTCCTCGACGCTGATTTTGTTTGTTATAATGGGTAGGCCATCATATAGCTGCATAGCATCAGAATTGATGATTTCGCCTTTGAATCGAGTTGCTAGTTCTACGGCGAGCTGTATAAAGTTATCAGAGGATTGAACCAATGCACGTTGTAATGAGACCAGAGACGCCCACCTCTGATTTACCTGTGCCCGTAGAGCCCAAAACAACCAGCAACGGTTCGGCTGGAGCTGTATGAGTGGCCATCATAGATACATGGCGCCGCAGCGTTAAACCCTGGCGACCAAGCATTCGACAACAGACCAAATCAGGGACCCATGCCCACCAAAAAAGCGCCAGCTGGTGGTAATAAGAGGATCCTGCAATGTGTCTTTTATGGCGCGACTCCCCGAGAAGCTTCCTCTTCGAGCAGAACAGCAGCCTGTCAACTGGCACAAGCAGCACCAGAAAAATAATAGAACAAATTCGAAACGGAACAGTCATCCACCCCCACTTCAAGCTCGTTGATCCAGCGAATCTCGCGCTCTGGAGTGGCTCGAACTGGCTGGCTCCGCAGGCCCCTTGTTGCGGTCGAGGCCAGCTTTCTTCTAGCCATCGGCCGGTCACGTGCAACCCCATTCGTTTCGGGCCACATCAACATTTCGGCTTGAAGCCAGATCGCAACCTTCTCTCCAGCTCCATTCATCACTCTCTTCCATTGATTAACCTTTTCTTCTTCCCCCGAGCTCATCCCAGCTCGAACTTTTTCCTCCTTTTCTCTTTCATTGGATGAATTAGTTTTTTCTTTCTCGGGCTCCCCCCTCCAGTCGCCGCCATGAGTTCTCGTGAGTTGCATCTTCATCTCTCCCCGCCAAGCTTCCGGCCAGCTTGCGTCGCGCGCGCACCACACGATCCGCCGGAAACGCGCAATTGATTGTCAATGGCACGCCGCTAACACGGGCAATGCCTCTGCAGTACGTTTTCTCGACCTGGTCAAGCCGTTCGTGCCGTTCCTCCCCGAGGTTCAGCAACCGGAAACCAAGATTCCCTTCAACCAGAAGTTGATGTGGACGGCCTTGACGCTCCTCATCTTCTTGGTCATGAGCCAAATGCCGCTGTACGGCATTGTCTCCTCCGACAATTCGGATCCCCTATACTGGCTGCGAATGGTCATGGCGAGTAATCGAGGTACTCTGATGGAACTGGGCATTACGCCCATCATCTCCTCTGGCATGGTTTTCCAGCTCCTTGCGGGCACCCACCTCATTGACGTCAACCTCGACCTCAAGTCGGATCGCGAGCTCTACCAGACTGCCCAGAAGCTCTTTGCTTTCATCCTGTCTGCCGGTACCGCCACCGTCTACGTCTTCACCGGCCTCTACGGTACCCCCTCCGACCTCGGTGCCGGCATTGTTTTCCTGCTTATCCTCCAGTTGGTTGTCGCCGGCATGATTGTTATTCTGCTCGACGAGCTCCTGCAAAAGGGCTACGGTCTTGGCAGCGGTATCTCTCTGTTCATTGCTACCAACATTTGCGAGTCCATCATGTGGAAGGCCTTTTCTCCTACCACCATCAACACTGGCCGTGGCCCCGAGTTTGAGGGTGCTGTCATCGCTCTCTTCCACCTCCTGATGACCTGGCCCAACAAGCAGCGTGCTCTCCAGGAGGCTTTCTACAGACAGAACCTTCCCAATATCATGAACCTGTTGGCCACCATCCTGGTCTTTGTTGCCATCATCTACCTCCAGGGCTTCCGAGTTGAGATCCCCGTCAAGTCTAACCGCCAGCGTGGTGCCCGCGGCTCATACCCCGTCCGTCTGTTCTACACCTCCAACATGCCCATCATGCTGCAGTCCGCTCTCTCTTCCAACGTCTTCTTGATCAGCCAGATGCTCTTCTCTCGATTCTCCGAGAACCTGCTGGTTCGTCTCTTTGGTGTCTGGGAAGCCAAGGACGGTACTTCTCAGCTACACGCCGTCTCTGGTCTCGTCTACTACATGTCTCCTCCTCTCAACTTTAAGGAGGCTCTTCTCGACCCCATCCACACCGCCGTCTACATTGTTTACATGCTCGGAGCTTGTGCTCTTTTCTCCAAGACTTGGATTGAGGTTTCCGGCTCTAGCCCCCGTGATGTTGCCAAGCAACTCAAGGACCAGGGTCTCGTTATGGCTGGACACCGTGACCAGAGCATGTACAAGGAACTCAAGCGCATCATTCCTACTGCTGCTGCCTTTGGTGGTGCCTGCATTGGTGCTCTCTCCGTCTTGAGCGACCTCATGGGCGCTCTTGGCTCTGGTACCGGTACCCTTCTCGCTGTTACGTAAGTCTCTTTTGTATATTCCACAAATATTAAAGTATAATTAAGCTAACATTACCCAGCATTATCTACGGCTACTTTGAGATTGCGGCCAAGGAGGGTGATCTTGCCGGTATGAAGGGCATGATCATGGGTTAGTTGAACCTACGTAGGGGAGCAAGAGGAGGTTTGATTCTCTAATAAAATCACTTTATCTCCGTTGTCAAGGGATATCCTTGATTGCATGGGAATATTAGTTATGTACCAATAGGGGAATATCATTTATAGGGGCTAAGGAGTATGAAACAAAAATATAAAATGGAATGTACGATTGTTTTTCTTAATACTAGCGACTGGGATTGATAGCTTGAGCTGAGTTTCGGATCGGATGTTTGACAAAGATGTACGAGTGCGGCGCCACGATTAGCGACTAGTTCGAACGGCATGAATAGCCAATACTATCATTGTTTATCCTGAGACTTTTGCAAAACACCAGTTCACTATGTGAGCAACAGAGGCGGGTGTCCGTGCCCCATTTTCCATGGCTTTGGGGTATAAGCGGGGAAAGCTCGTGGTGTCTGTTGCGTTACGGAGAAATACCCGTGTTTGTGGCGCTAATATGGAAACGGCACTTAGCAGCTGGGGCGAGAATCCGCTAACTTAATTTATATGTTGCCATGCAACAACTCGCCCTGTTGAAGCGAGCCTGTCGTCATCGGCTTTTCACTTCCGATTTTTTTTTTTTTTCTAGTATCCTCAATTGGCATTCGAGATATATCCATGCTCTCCAATGGACTGCTCATTATAAATTGCAGACGACCTCTGAAACCCAGCGCCCAGAAACAAGCGCTGTAGCGAACCCTGCATAGAGTTCGCGACGGGCAGCCTGCCGCTGAGACACGAAAGAAAATGCCCCCTAGGAACAGGCGCTTTTTCACGCGAGAACCATTCCGCCATGACGATCGATTGACGCTGCAGCACGCTGAAGGGCCTTGTGGCTTTCTTAATCCGACACGAGCCCATTTCGACCACTCGAAATTATGTGCTGGCTCGGCATCCAACGAGATAGCGACGCCGCAAGAGAGCGGCGACGATGCGGAAGCCAGACGTAAGCCGCCAAAGCAAGACGTCGACTCTAACGTCCCTGCCAGAAACGTCAGGTTCTTATGGCGATCGCGAGACAATCGAAAGGGTAGACATCCCTTACTTGTCCAACCGCCGCTTGCTGGAGAGGAAGCGCCTTTCGTGACACCAAGGCGCACGTCACATCCCAAGGAGATTTTGAAAACGGTCATCAAGACCTTTACGCATTACCCAATCTGGGATATTTCGTGGCTGGTAGCCTTCATATTCACGTGGGGAAGCGTGGTTTGGGTCATTAACGTATGTCTGGCATTTGCCTTTTGAGCGTGGGCGGTAATCTGATGCAGCAAACAACAGGCATTCTTCGTGTGGCTCCCCGTGGTAGCCCCCTCCACCGAATTCGATGGCGAAATCACTGACGGCGGCGGTATAACGGCATTTATCGGCGCGATTATCTTTTTCGAATTCGGTTCCATCCTGCTCATATTTGAGGCCATAAACGCGAATAATTCGGGTTGCTTTGGCTGGGCTGTTGAGCAGCTGGTCGATAGTGAGAGCAATGGCAGTCCGAAGCTGCGGGTAGTCGCAGCTCGCCGACATTGCCACCACCACCACCAGAACCGACGAAACTTTGTTGGCAAAGCTTCATCGGCTACCTTGGCCGAAGCTCGTCCGGATTCCGATAGCGTTGATGGGAAGAGGCAATGGCAATGGTTCCCGTCCTGGCACGACCTGCGCACGCATTATCTCCACGAATTGGGCTTTCTTGCCGGGTGTGCACAGCTCTTTGGAGCTACTGTCTTTGGCGTCTCTGGATTTACCGCATTGCCGGGCATCAATAACCACCTCACGCCACAATGGCGGCTCAATGCTGCGTACTGGATTCCCCAGGTCGTTGGCGGCAGTGGCTTTATCGTTAGCAGCTCGCTGTATATGCTAGAAACGCAGCAGAAATGGTGGAGGCCCGCGCCACATCTTTTGGGATGGCATATTGCCTTTTGGAATCTCGTGGGAGCGTTTGGATTTACGCTCAGTGGCGCGCTGGGGATGGCGTACAATAATTCAGGGGCACAGTTTGAGGCTGGGTTGGCTACGTTCTGGTAAGTTTTCTTATTTTTTATTAACCTTCATTTCGGAGAATATTTGCTAATTCCTTGGCTGTTGCTTTTTAGGGGTTCCTGGGCTTTCTTGATTGGTAGCTACTTGCAGCTCTACGAAAGTTTGAATAAGCATCCTGTGGAAGAAGTGTCATCTATGGAGGATTTTGCAGCTGTAAAAGGATAGAGCGTTGCGCATTTGAGATACCTCTGTGAAAGCTATTTGCCTAGCTGTGAAAGCAAGGCAGCATTTATGAAATTATATCAGATTATTACACCAGTCAGCATAGTTTGAAAGAGTTCTTCGTCAGCTATGCTGCTCATTTCGTAAATCGATAGTTAAACCGTTATGCCCTGCAGATGAGAATACCTAGCTGTCTCGAATACGAAGTAAGTTCAATTCAGTGTCATATTTGTCAGCGTCAGAATAGTCAGAAAGACGGTGAGCTCCCAGCGCAGCAGTGAGACTTTTGCCATTGACTTACGTGGGTGCTCGGTCTGTGCTCTGCGGTGATACAGACCTGGATTTTATCTGTGAGGGTTGGGTGACAGCTGACAATGCGAGCGCAGATAACATTGCAGTGTGTGCTTCATCTAGTTCTTCTGGTGCTTCTCGTCAATCTAGGCCGACTACCCGGTAACCAACATGTCACCTGAGGCTGCCAAGATCTGACGCCCAGTAGTATCTGCACTTGCGCTTAAATGAATCAACCGTTGGGGGCACTTTTATCACAAGGTCTCATGATGCACACCTCGCTGGGCTAGAGGCATTTGCGGGGAACTTGCCCGGGTCAATTCTTTGAGATGATTACAGCTGCTATTACGAGTGCTGCTTTTGCACGAATACGATTTGTAATAGTCTTCTCTACGCAGCATGTTAAGCACTCTGAAAAAAGACGAATTGGATGCAGGTATGCAAACAGTGTTGGCTATGGCGGCGAAACGAGAATGAATTGAGACATTGCTTTGTACTGCATCAGACATGGTGATGCTACTTACTGCTTGTAGTACTGTACGGAAAGCGGCTAATCCATGCAGCGCGATGCGATGCGTGCTGCTTTCCAATCTGAGCTGTATGACGCTGGTCACATATGTTTCCGACGCAATCTTACCGCTGTGAAGATAGCCGAAAAGGCTCTTCTGCTCAGCCAATGTCCCTAATCAGAATCCAAGCCGGTGTCTTGTCAGTGTCAGAGGAACCAGAGAGGATGATGAAACAAAGCTCCAAGTTCGGATGAACCCTTCGCGGAGCTTGGGCCTCCAGCAAACCGAGGCCATGTGGAGAGTGGTGTGCGTGCCGGGGTTAGCCATGCAGGGATCAGTGTGCATGTTGTTGGCTGCATACAGGCCAACCTGCTACTGCATGTAGCTCGAGGCTGCCATTTTGCGTGGCGAGTGAATCGAGACGAGCCGTGAAAGTCGTGGTGTAGTTCTCTATATTGCAAAGCACGAAGCTGCAGCAACTACGTAGTAGTTCTCGAAAAACTGGCGCTTTCGGTATTGCTTGCTGCATCCTGTAGGATTAAGACTCCATCTTTTCTCTTCCGCGCACACGCACTCACAAAATAATCTATCCTCGCTACCCGTCACTAGTGGTACCTTGGACGGAATATGAAGACCGGATGAGGCGCCGCCATAGCGGTGAGTCACTTCGGGGGACGAGACGGTAAGCAGCAAGAGGAGATGGAGGCTTGTGCTGGTAGACAGACAAGCAGACTTAAGGGGAAGGTGGGGATGAAGAAGTGGACTGGCTCATTGTTAGCGCGCGTGGAGAGAGTGCAAGAAGAGGCGAAGGAAGAAGAGAAGAGCAAGGTATGTAGACGAAGAGAGAGAGAGAGATAATTGCCAAAAAGAAGCTTCACATTGTAAAGGCGAGGGCGGCGATTGGGCCGTAGGTATGTGGCATGATGGGCTATTGGACAGCGGAATACCAGTGCCCGAGGCCATCTGATGGACTAGGTAGACACAACAGCATTCGTGTTGGATTTAGAGGACAGGGAGGGTATGTGGCGCCCTGGAATAACAGGAGCTGGGGTGGGAAGGGAACGTTTGTCGAGCCAAGCGCATCGCGTCGAATCTGGTGACTCAATGGATGAGTCGACGCTATGAGAAGGCGATCTATGACTGGGAATGCAGGAGATGCAGCAGCGCAGATGCAGGTGATGATCGGCCTGCGAGATTGGCTACAGTTGGAGATGCAGCGCAGCAGACATATGATAGGTGCAGGCAGTATGGTGCCTTAGTAATGATGCGAGAGGTTCCTGTAAAGTACTTTTGCGGCCCTTTTTAAGCTTCTGGCGCTAGTGGCTGCGGTCCAAGCACGGGCGGCCGGCGGAGAGTACCAAGCACATACTTTGCATCTCCAATCAATCATGCGTATTGGACGCGAGACCAGAGTCCAGAGACAGCTCTCAACGTTCGTGATCCGGCGGTCCAGCAGCGGTTCTCACGGGAGCTTCACTTGTCCCGGCGGCAATTCCTGTCCCGCCGCACTGTTGTCAGTGTGTAATGGCATTACTGCCAGCAATCTGCAACTCATAATCTAATTGTTGACGCGTACGGAGTACAACCCTCCCTGAGCTTTAGCGGGAGCAGAGCTGCCCCGAACCAGCCTAGCATGTGCTCTCGCAACAGCGCCGGATCTGCCAGTATACCTGCTGTAAGAGTTCGCTCATGTGGCACTAAACCGCCAGCCGTAATCACCTTGCTGTATATGCCCGGATAAACCCATCATGTGCTGGTGTGGTCGAATGCATTTGCACTAATGCACCCGCTGCCGTGTGACTCTTCCTGCGCGGTTCTCATCGAATTGTCTCTGAAATTGATCATCACGGAGGCTCGACAGAAGACAGTGCGCTGCCGGGAGCAAGCAAGGATAGATATCAATAGTCGCTATGCCGTGAACAAGGGAAGCCATCGATGGATGGCTCGTTCGAATATCCAAATCAGCATTTTATGTCCTCGTTCGTCTTATCGCTTCATATCTATACTCGTACATATTACATAGCACGCTTCTCTTAGACGCACCGAACCTTGCCACAACACTAGGCCACTATACTTTGTCTGGCTCACCGGTGGCTGTACGAGGTGCTCCGCACGTTCTATGTCGAATACAGGGTGCGCCAGCCCGTTGCCTTAGGTAAGGGCCGCCTGCAAAAATCCCCGGTGGAACCGCTACCGCCACTGGCAAAAGGAAAAAAAAAAAAAAAAAAAATCGAAAAAGCGCCTCCCCGTGGCTTGATGCACTATTTTCCATCTTCCCCACCAAATCGCGCGCAAAGCTTCCAGTTCCCTGTCCGCCTTTTCCCCACTGATAAGTGCTCCATGCCCTATTAGTCTGGCGGCTTTACGGCGTGCTGGCCGCTGGGACCCAGTGGCCTCGGTGCCTGCGCTGCACTACAGACTACGGACTGCGGCATGCCTGCGCGTGCGTCCGCGCTGTGTCCCTTATCCACAGGCGGTATTGTCGCTAGCGCTAGCACGCTCCACATTGCTGTCGTCTTTTTGACGTCCCATCACGGCCTTTCTTTCTCTTCTTCCCCTTCCTTTGTTACTGGCCCTCTTGCTCTCCTTTCTTTTGTTCGCGCATTCGTTGACACTATGAGTGTATAGAGTGGCAGGAGGAACGCGCTGGGAAACGAAGACAAGACGCACTGGCACTGTCAGCATCTTTTTGTCTTTTTTTCTTCATACTTCTTTTTCTCTCTCCTTACACCGCCGACATCTGCCCCGCGACATTGCCGGATTCGAAAGCTTCGGCGCCTTCAAAGCTTCCTACCTTGACCTGGAGAGCCGCCAGCGGGTTCGGAACAAATATATTCTCTATAGTATTGTTACGGCTCTCCATCACAAAGCAACCCTGGGCAGCTTTTCACCTCCAAATCAGAACCAACCATGAGCTTTGCTCAGTGCTCGTGGCCGCCATGGCACGTCGATGACCTCACCGAGTGCTTTCAAAGAGAGTAAGTTCTCAATGCGCGCCCTCCCGTCCTGGTCTATGCTCCATGGTTTCTGGATAATTCAGCTAATGGGGAAATCAACAGTTATCTCAGCGTCCTCTTCCCGTTAATAGTAATCGGCATTTCTTTCTTGCGCCTCTCTTGGTCCAGCATCGGTCGTGTCGTGCGCAGTGGCAAGGATAAGGGTTATAGCTCTATTTCTGCCTCTGACGCCACGCCCAATCACACGGATATTCCTCCCCTCGACGACGAATCTGATGACAGCGATGACGACGATCTCGAGATCAACGGCGGCCGCTTGGCCCTTGCGAAAGTGACTTCCAGGGGCTCAATTGTCCAAGCCGATACTCCTACTGCTCAGCGGTTCTCGCAATTCATCGAGGAGCTTGCTCTTGTCGGCCTCGTTGCTGTCAATGCAATTGCTCTTGTAACTGGTGATTTTGGACCGGGCGGTCGTCTTGCCGCAATTGCTGGGCTTACAACTTGGATATACACCTTGATTCTTGCCACGCTACGCGTTGTGCTAGGTACCTCCAAATGGCGAATCCCTTACGTCTGGAACCACACCGCTACCATCTACGGCTGCACATGGACCCTGGCACTCTTCGTCTTCCGCTCTGCCATTATTCACCCTTACTCGAAGCTTTCTCAGACTCTCATCTTCGTCGAATTCGCTCTCAACTCTTTGCTTTTCGGTATTGCTGCCTCCACTAGAAAGGGCAACAAGACTGTCGTATTGGAATGGGAGGATGGGATCGAGCCCTCACGAGAGCCCCTCGCCAGTCTCTTTTCAATTGCCACCTTCTCGTGGGTTGATGCCATTGTCTGGCAAGGTTGGAAGAAACCCCTAGACATGGAAGATGTCTGGAATCTCCTGCCCAAGGATAAATCCACTGCCATCATTGCCGACTATAGGCTTGTGAAGAAGACGACCGCCCTTTCATGGCACTTGCTCAAGTATTTCCGCAGTCTGCTATTCATGCAATGCGCACTAGCGGCCGTCGCTGGTCTCTTCACTTTTGCTCCCACCCTGCTGCTCAAGGCCATCCTTCAGTATGTGGAACGCCCCGATGACGCGCCTGTCAGCGTTCTCTGGCTCCTTGTAATTGGTCTCCCAGTCCTTGATACTATTCGTTCGTACTGCGATGGCATGGCTCTGTGGATCGGCCGCAAGATCTGTATTCGCGTCCGTGCCATCATTGTCGGTGACATCTACGCCAAGGCGCTGCGCCGAAAGGCCGCCGCTGGCAAAGACAAGGTTCTGCTCGGCGACAAGGCCAAATCTACCAAGGACCAAGATGATGAAGAGTCTGACGGTCAAGGTGCCATCAGTAAAATCAAGCGTGCTCTCGGTTTTGGCGGCAAGAAGCAGAAAAAGGCCGCTAGCACCGATGACGCTGAAGCTGCTGGTCCTGTCAAGGCCACTGAGGGCGAAGATGAGCAGGCCAACCTGGGAACCATTATCAACCTCATGTCAGTTGACAGCTTCAAAATCGCCGAAATCACGGCCTACTTGCATTTTCTGTGTGCTTCGGCTCCCACCCAGCTGGTCGTCTCCATCTTCTTGCTGTGGCAGGTCATGGGCCTCAGCGCCATTCCCGGCATCGTTGTCATGGTCTTCCTTTTGCCCGTGAACTATATGCTGGCCCGTGGCTTCAACATCACCTCAAAGAATATTATGGCTGCTACTGACAAGCGCATCAATGTCACAAATGAAATCCTCCAGAATATCCGCATTATCAAATACTTTGCCTGGGAGCGACGATTCGGCAAGATCGTGGATGAGAAGCGCCAGGCCGAACTCAAGGCTCTTCGCTCCCGATTCCTTCTTTGGGCTCTCGCGGTTGCCATCTGGAACTCGGTTCCTGTGCTCATCACCTTCTTCTCTTTCTTGGTTTACACACTCATTGAGAAGAAGCCGTTGTATCCCTCTGTTGCTTTCACGGCTATTTCCCTCTTTATGCTTCTCCGCGTTCCTCTCGATCTTCTCGGTGACATGTTCGCCCACGTCCAGGAAGCTAAGGTCTCCATTGATCGAGTTGAAGAATACCTTATGGAGGAAGAAACGGAGAAGTATCAGCAGCTCGGTCTGGATAACGTGGATGAAAATGGCAAGAAGCATATTGGCTTCAGAGACGCAACTCTCATTTGGGGCGGCAAAGACAGCGTTGCCGAAGATGGCTCCAGGGCATTCCGGCTGCTTGATCTCGATGTCGACTTCCAGATTGGCAAACTAAACATTATTGCTGGTCCCACTGGTTCTGGTAAAACATCTATGCTCATGGGTCTTCTCGGTGAGATGACTCTTGTAGAGGGCAGGGTGTTCTGTCCCGGTGGCCGCAGCCGAGAGGATGTTCGCCCTGATCCTGAGACTGGTCTTGCTGATACCGTTGCATATGTTGCCCAAGCTGCTTGGCTAGTCAATGCCAACATCAAAGACAACATCATCTTTGCCGCGCCTTTTGATGAACAGAGATACAAGGATGTTATCGTAGCCTGTGCTCTTGAGCGAGATCTCGAAATTTTAGATCACGGTGATCAAACCTTGGTTGGTGAGAAGGGCATCACTCTCTCTGGTGGCCAGAAGCAGCGAATTTCCCTAGCTCGTGCTCTCTACTCAAACTCGGCCCACATTCTCTTGGATGACTGTCTCAGTGCTGTTGATTCGCACACGGCTCAATGGATCTTCACCAACTGCATCAACGGTCCCCTGATGAAGGGCCGTACCTGCATTCTCGTCACTCACAACATTCAGCTCTGCGTGCCTTCATCTGATTACGTCGTCTTGCTTGACAACGGAAGAGTCACTGCCCAGGGACCTTCACAAGAAGTTATCGCTTCCGGCAAGCTCGGTGAGGAAATCCAGCGGTCTCGACCTGCTTCTCATACCGCATCTCGTATTCCATCTCGTGTACCGTCGAGCGTTGGCGACGAGGAGACTATGGTTAATAGCAATGGCGATGCGTCCGATGCCGCAAGCACCTCTAAGAAAGACAAGAAGAAGGAACAGCCTCCACAGGAGGAAACGAAGGCAACCGGATCCGTCAAATGGTCTGTTCTCCGGATCTACCTCTCGTCCATGGGGCCCTGGTGGTTCTGGCTTGTCGCTTTCATGGTTTTTGGCATGCAACAACTCTCGACCGTTGCAACGAATGTTTGGGTCAGAGAATGGGCTAATCAATACATCGAAGAGGAGAACGTCAAGGTTGTTTTCGGCTCCATGTCAGCTACCTACGGTACTGAATCCTTTTCCAAGGGTTCCTGGGCATCTGTTGCCAACCTTGGCAGAGTATATCCTTCTCAGACTCAGCCAAGTCTGCATGTACCAGATAGCCAGATTACGCTCGGGGCAACTGCCATGCCAGAAGTCAATGTCGCTTACTATCTTGGTGGACTTGCCGTTATTGGTGCACTCGGCGCGGCGGCTGCCCTGATTCGAGACGTCTGGATCTTCTTTGGTTCTTTGACTGCTTCCAGGCGAATCCACGACCGTCTCATTACCTCCGTGACCCGAGCCAAATTCAAGTTCTTCGATGTCACCCCTCTCGGCCAACTCATGAACCGCTTTAGCAAGGATCTCGAGGCCGTCGATCAAGACATCGCCCCCACCGCTATTGGCGTGATGACCTGCGCTCTCTCCCTTGTCGTGACTATTGCCCTCATTGCTTTCATCACTCCTGGTTTCCTTGTCGCTGCTTTCTTCATTGCCGTCCTTTTCTACGTTGTCGCCGCTTTCTATCTCCGTGCATCTCGCGACCTTAAGCGTCTGGAGTCGGTTCAACGCAGCCCGCTCTTCCAGCAGTTTGGCGAAACTCTTAGTGGTATGACTACGATTAGAGCTTACGGCGATGAGCGGCGTTTCATCCGTGATAATCTGGCCAAGATCAATACCCAGAGCCGGCCTTTCATCTACCTGTGGGCCTGTAACAGATGGCTCGCCTTCCGGGCTGATTTGCTGGGTAACTTTGTATCTTTCTTCGCAGGTGTCTTTATCATCACCAGCCTGGGCAGGATCGATGCCGGTGCGGCTGGTATCTCGCTGAGTTATGCGATGAACTTTACGGAGAATGTCCTATGGTTGGTCCGCCAGTATGGTATGAATGAGCAAAATATGAACTCCATGGAACGAGTCAAGGAATATTTGGACGTTGAGCAAGAAGCAGATGCTATTATTGAGGATAGCCGGCCGCCGAAGAATTGGCCCGCTAAGGGTGGTGTTGAGTTTGTCAAGTACTCTACTCGTTATCGTGCCGAGCTGGATCCGGTCCTCCGAGGTATCTCTCTCAAGATTAACCCCAGAGAGAAGGTTGGTATCGTGGGCCGAACCGGTGCAGGCAAGAGTTCATTGACGCTGGCTATCTTCCGTGCGCTGGAAGCTGATTCAGGAAGCATCATTATTGATGGCATCGATATTAGCAAGATTGGTCTCCAGGATCTCCGAGAAAACATCACCATTGTGCCTCAGGATCCTACACTTTTCATGGGCACGATTCGAACCAACCTTGACCCCTTTGATCAATACACAGATGAGGAGGTGTTTGAGGCTCTTCGACGCGTGCAGTTGATCGGACCTGATGAGACTACTACTCCCACGACTCCCACTACTCCCACTACTCCCGCTATCCAAGTCACTGCCGAAGGGGAGAACGCAGAAGGCCCATCTGGTTCAAGAACCCCGTCAATTGCCACAAACAAGAACGTTTTCCTCGACCTTTCATCTCCTGTAACAGAATCCGGCTCCAATCTTTCTCAAGGTCAACGACAGCTCCTGTGTCTGGCACGAGCAATGCTGAAGAAGCCAACCGTCATGGTCATGGACGAGGCTACAGCATCCATCGACTACAACACAGACTCGAAGATCCAGGAAACCATCCGGGAACTCACAGGAACCGTCATCACCATTGCTCACCGTCTCCAGACCATTGTCGACTATGACAAGGTGCTGGTTCTCGACAAGGGTGAAGTCGTCGAGTTCGACCATCCGTGGGAGCTGATTAACCGAACGGATGGTACATTCAGGAGCATGTGCGAGACAAGCGGCGACATGGACATCCTGGTTAAAGCAGCCAAGAAGAAGTGGGAGGAGGGCCAGCTGGTAAACGTTGAGCCGTGAACGAGCTAATTAAACAAAGAGAGAAAGAGAGAGAGAGAGAGAGAGAGAGAGAGCCAAACAGGGGATGAAATTAATCATTTCGATTGCTTAAAAGAAGGAGAAAAAGCGTCTCAATTAGAGGTATATTGATTGGCTCTGTATATGCAGTGTTGAATGCATCAATGTGGGAAAGAGAAAAAAAGAGAGAGATGCTTTAGAAAATAGGAGGAGGAAAGGGGGGCCCGGTTGTACAGATGACCACCGAAATGTGGCGCCACTTCAGAAAGCATATACAGGCGGCTCAAGCAGGTTATTTTTTTTTTTTTTTTTACCAAGGAGTTGGATTCCTGGGATGCATGCTCTTAATTTTATTTTTATTATTCTCTCCATTGGAATACATGGTGAGAGATGGTGAGTAAGAAAGAGACACAAAACATGATGTATGAGCATGAATAGTATTTATATATTTCAAGTCATCGATAGTACCTAAATGTATTATTGAAACGCAGTCTTTCCTTTGGCTTAGTGATGTTCGGTTTATGACTTATACATTAGAATAGTTGGCCCCTGCTAAGCATTCACCTATTATTAGCCCAAATCAAGTCTTTGCCCCTTTCCAGTATCAACAGTACCCAAAAGATACAGGATTATGCTTGGGCATTCCATTTTACCAATTCTGCGTAGTGCGACCGACACCTACAGCTGACTGGCTGGCCTTTTCGTTCAATTTATACCCTGAGCCATATTTACCACCAAAGGACGGATCGCCTTCTCTCGTATGTATATTAGTATATTGGGCCGTCCGGTCACTAGACAGTTGTTGCAAAGTGGCATCTGTCATGGATCCCAACCACTGCGCGGAGAAACTGCCGGCCTTCACGTTCTTAGCGTTTAGGAGGTCTCCCACGGTCGATACAAGGATCTGCTGGCTGTTATCCTCGGCGGAAATGTCACCGAAGACGTGTACTCTCTGTCTGGAGGCTTGGTCGGCTGCCATGTTACAAACCTCGAGGCATTGCTTGGCTGTATCAATCTCCTTGAGGAGTCGAACCCGATCCTGCTCGAATTCATTGGATCGTAATGATACCTCTGCACTTAATGACTTCGCCGATAGGTCGACGAGCCGTTTTTGCAGGTCTGTGATCATGCGCACCATCCTGTCTCTGGCCTCGCTGAGCGCGATGGCTGTCTGACGACGATCCTGGTTCGGCTCAGCATCCGGAGACTGCATCTTGTCTTGCAAGGTCTGGATATGAGACCTCGCACTCTCGCAGATGAGGATGCACTGCTGAGCACTTTCCCTTTCCTCCTCCATTCGCTTGACACTTAATTCATCATTAGGGTCAGGCTCGGAGCGCGGATGGTTGGCAATAGCGGCTAGTTTGTCGTCGATGCTCTGAAGATGAGCCTCGAGATCGGTTGTTGTTTCTCGAATCATCTCATTGTACTGGTCCAGCGCATCGCGAGTCATTTTAACGTTATTCCTATGAATATAGTCTCAGGATTATGTAGAAAGGAAGAATCATCCAGTATATACGGTTGTCCCTTTTGAAATGATAGACTGAAATCGGATGCGACTAAGGGGGGCCAACTAACATATTTAGGCTACCAAGAGCAATAGCAATGGTAGATTTATAGCCGGATAGCATATCTTTAAAATCTCTGATATCGCCACCCATGTATCTAATCTGAGCCCAGTCTCTGAAGCTTGTTCTGGAGCTAGCAGACGCATGTTTAGTGCACTTTATGATGATAGCATTAAACTCCTGGCATGTCTGGTGGCAACAGAGCACTGGGAGCTTCAGCATGGAGACAATGGGCCCCTCATCAGTAATGACGTTTTTGAGAGACTCAAGAACCTGTATAAGCGACTCGAGCTCAGAGCGTAGCTCTCGTATCGTCCGCTCAAAATTTCGAAAGGACTGAATCGTCTCATGTAGAGATTTGCCAGCCTGGATTGCGTTCGTTAGAAGCGTAAATACGCCGCATGAGATGTTAAGCGGATCCATGCTGTCTGGCAGCTGCAGCGCTTGGATCGTTAAGGAAAATAGCAAATGTTCGCCTCAAGAAGGCAACTATGATAACTCGATAGACGGACGGATATATTTATACACTGCTAGATTGCGAAATTGACGCCTTGCTCCAACTCACCTGCCAACCTTAATATCTAGCTGTGGGGCAAGCAGTCTGGCGCGCGCGAAATCAAAACGCCGAAGGATGTAATAGAGCCACTTATACGCAGCTGCATCATTATTGGACCAATCGCTATCGTGAATACATCTTCGGTGCCTATGGCGGCCTCCCATCCTTGCATAAAAGCTGTTGTTGGTTGTGTTGGTAATAATAATAGCATTGCTGCTAACCGCAGACTTGAATCTGCTCTGAGAATGGCATGGCGAGGTGGTGATGGCGGTGGGGTAAGTTGTGGCGAAGGATGCCCAATGGATGGCAGGCGATGGGCTCTGCTTCCAAAGCTCAGTTGAGTGAGCTTTCACCAAGGGACGGTCAAACATTAATCCACCGTTTGGTCTTTGTAGCCTGTCAAGGGTCGTATTTGCGTGAATCATTGGCTGTATGAGTATGTTTCGACTAATCTCCGTAACTCATGCTGCTTACTGCCAACAGCTCGAACTCAAGTTAAGCGCACTCGGAACGTGATTCATTTTCCAAGCGGCCTTTTCGTCTCGCCTCGTCTCACACGGCTTCGTGTCGACAGCAAATTCGGCTATTTCCAGAAAGGGAATCATGCCACGAACGAGTGGAGATGGAAACAGAGGCGACGTAAGCTGCTGGGCTCGTACATAGCATGTGTCCGCGCACTTGTTATTTCATAGCGCCATTCAGCCGCATTGGTAGACGCTATTAGTACTAGCCGATTATTAGCAGGCTTTGATGTCGACACACTTGTGCATCTTCACGCATCCACCGCCCATAAGGTACCTACGCTTGGTCCCGGCTCTTTGCGTGTCTGCCCAGCCCGGCCGCCTAAGGGGCGGAGAGTAATAAGCAACAAAGCCACCCGCCAAGGCCAGATTGGATTTCTTTTCTTCTTTTCAACTGTTTTGCTGGTTATCGAGATCTGTCGAGTCTGGAGTTGAAACGAGCCGGTTGAAAAGCGCGAGTGAGAGAAAGAGAAGACGAAAGAGACGAAAGGCAGAAGGCAGCCAGGCAACGGCAAGCGTACCCACGCGTGTACGTCGTACCTTCCACCGACTTTAAGCTTCTTTTTGCTTATCGATTCCGCCAAACTTATTTCTTCAACACCCAACCTACTTTTTCGTTTTCTTTGTGTTTTTTTTCCGCTTATACTACTTGGCTTCCGACTTGCCTCCTCGCTTCCTCGCCTCATAGCCAACATTTCCAACACCATGGGCAAGCCAGACTTCCTGCCACCTGCGTCTCCCGCTGGTGGACCTGTTACTCCATTGACCGAGTCTGCAAGCTCCATCTCTCTCAATCCAACCTCTTCCACATATTCTGCCTCCAATCTCGGCAACCATCGCCAGACGTATTTCGACGATGACCCCGCCGAACTCGCTGCCGATGACCTCCCTCCTCTTTATGACGAGCACGAGAACGATGCCGTTCCCTTCATCGACCCTCTGGCCCCTACCACTGGCCCTGCGGCTACGGGCCTGACTATTGAGCCATTCAAGCGTGATGCTCGCTCAGATACTGTCTACTACATGGACTCGCGCCTCGACTCCGATCCCAAGTTCCTTAACGACACCCTCATCCACCTTTCACAATTGCCTCCTCGGCCTTTTGCCCAAATTCGCGGCACTCACACCGAGACTCGCCGAAAGTCAGATGACAAGACCGAGCAGGTCACAGTAGTTGATTTTGATATTGAGATTGAGCTCACACATCTGCTTTATACCAACATTCAAGACCCTACAAATGGAGCTTGGCGGGAAATGCATTCCGTTGGCAACCTCGAGAAGGTTCGCCGTGGTACCATCTTCCCAACTCGTGCTCCCGGTTTCGGTGGCAGCGGTGGCATCATTGAAAATGGCGAGCCCACCGTCGAAGAATGGTGCCATCGCTTCTGCGCCAGCCGAGCTGGCCTCAAGAACATGGCCTTTGAGCGCCGTGTTACCGGCTGGGACTGGGACTACTTGAAGAAGCACCTGGAGCGCTTGGTCAAGGATACCAACTACCGCGGCCATACCAGCATCACTTTCCCGGTGAGGAATTCGCGCGTGGAGATTTACAACTCCTGTCGCGTCAACCAGATGCGTTTGACCAAGTGGATCGAGGTCATGTTTATGCTGACGCTCATGTTCCTCTTTGCATGGCCGTACCTGTTCTTCCGCACCAAGCGCTGGGAAACCGTCTATGCCGAGTGGTCCATGAGCCGTCAGGAGCCAGATGGCACGGGCTGCATGGAACGCCGATATGCTTCAATGAGCGAGGCACAGTGGTATCACATGTGGGCGAGGGCCATCCAGAAGGCCGTGTTGGAACGCAGACAAGGACACCTTGATCAGGGAGACGTCGAGAGGGCTGACCAGCCGGCCGATCAAGCTGGTGGTTTTGCCGGTATGGTGCAAGCTGGTGTAGAGGCCATGGGAGTTGTAAACAGATCATTTGGATGGGGAGGTGATAGCGGCAGTGCCGGGGGTTCACGCTTTAAATTTGGAAGGCGTTGATTTAGCTATGGCTTCTACAGCTGTGGTGAAAAAGTAGAGGATGATGATAGACTGGAGGTGCGCATCTTCATTGATATTGGACTCCCCTCCTCTGCACAACAACTTTTTTTCTCCATTGGGTCACTGGGGAGTTATAGGGTAGCATGATGTTTTTCAAAGAGGCAAAGCAAATGGTCAATTATTGTACAATCTTTAGCTTGTTTATTTCCTTTTGTTTATTATATATACACTGCTGTCCAAGTACATTCTACATTTATTTATCTACTACTTATTCCTGATTCCTTTTTCCATCCGTGCTCTTTAACCTCAAAGAAGATCAAAGCTATCAAGATGCGGGACCCCACTCAATCTTTCTGGCCAATACTTTTGCCCCGCCGCCGTACTAATCTGCTTAAACGTGGCTGACATGCTATCACTAAGCAAACCGCCTTTTAGCTATCCTCAGCTTTATATCTCTGTCTCTGCTCTTCATGTCCGGTCTGAGCTCGCAGGAACAAACATTCTAACATTTTTACGTCCATGCACCATCAACTGTTATAATCAACGGCCTCAAAAGTCCGGAATTGCTCCCCCTAAGACTATCTTTTTTTGTCTCCTCCACATCGCATAGAAGAATTCGGAAGGGACTGGCAAGGAAGAAATGGACATTTCCAACCCGAGGAGGATCCTGGCAGCCAGCCTGGAAGGTTCAGAGTCGCATCTGAGCCGTGTTATCAAAGGTACCCCTATAATGCGTTCCCTTTATGTGTTTTTATGCCTTATACTTGGGAGAGTGCGCCTTTTATTAGGCCTAGGTTTTGTTGCAGTTGTTTCGGCGTTGAAGAGGAGAATATGGTTTTTCGGCACCATTCATCGCTATCGCCCCCCCTTCTCCGAAAAGGTCTCACATGTTTATACAATGAACTCATGCTTCGTCAATGCTAGATTGGACGATTTGTAATTTTTTTCTGCAAGAGCTAGGCTGACCCTCATCCGAAGATCTCACGGGCACATCTCCAGAATCCCCCTCAGCCTCACTAGCAGGTATCACACACGAACTTGAGCTCAAAACATCATATTACACAGCTTCCATCCCAATCTGGCTGGATGTCATTGCCTCACCTTCAGAATGGGCCTCGTCGTTTCTATCCGAAGAGGCCCGCGAGGTCCTTGCCGTTTTAGGCGGCCTCGTCCTCGTTTTTGCGATACCGAATGAGAAGCCTGCTGCTTTGACCGCAGATGACCAACCTCCCAGTCTGATTCGACATGTGGGCAGTGTCGTTCAGAAAGGTCTTGGTGGGTGGGAATGGGATGGAGTTCGGCTCGCTATTGGCATTGGCGAGGGCGAAGCCGATGAGTGGGATGAGCTGTGTGCGGAAGCTGGACTAGAGTTTGTGCAGCTGAAAAGCGGTCAGATGGATAAGAACGAATTTGGAGGTAGGATTGATACTTTTGCACAACCATCTCTCCATGACCTGCCAAATATAGCACTGATACTGAGAGCAACGTTTCGCTGACCGCAACGCGCAAACGACAGAAAAGACAGGTATCCCCCGTGTCAAGGAAGCTCTGGAGTCAAACGATTGGGAGCAGGTAGATGGCGGTGATCCGCTATCTAACTTTGACGAGGCGTATTCCGACAAGTCTGACGGTGCAGAGGATTTCGACCCAGAGAGCTTGGACTTTGGCGTCGACCGTTCTGATTTCGAAGGCCTGCGTATGGCGATATGGGAGACGAGTCATCGCGAAACAGGTGATTCCGAAAATGCCGACCCAGCTAAAGCTACGCCGGATCAACCAAAAGCTCCGGATGCAGCGGGAGGCTCTGCCGCCGATACCAAGGAGGAAGACCGTGAACTTGGCGACGAGGACATTGCCAAAGTAGAAAAGATGATGAGAAAGCTTCAAGCAGCTAGGGAAATGGGGGAGGGCATGGGTGAGGCACAAAGAAAGCGACTGGCGGCTAGGGCGGTGGAGGAGGTGATGCGAGAGCTTTGAAAGCCACGAGCTGATGCATTTTTCTTCTTCTTTTTCTAGACTTACAGGCTAATAAATGTCTCAGTTGCCGGAGATCCGTTACCTCATGTTGATTTTTCATGCTGAATTGGCGGTAGAGTCTCATGGCATAATGTGCACCAGCATGCGGGGAATTCTGTGGTATGGACTCTATTTACTTGACCTGTTAGGCCTTCCATGGATCCTCGTGCTGTGTAGTTTTTATACACTACTGGCATATCTCGCCAAGTTCAAGACACCTTACAGTCTTTGCGGAATTTAGTAATACAGCTTACTACATCAAATAAGTTGGAGTGTAAATATTGCCACGATGGCCGTGGCTAGCTGCAAGGGGCTGCCATCAAGCATCATGCCAAAGCGTGACAAGTGAGACATGCGCACGCCATGCATTAGCCACAGCAAGGAAGGCTCTCGGTGACTTTCCTCCGCATGTTGTAAGCATGTCTTGGCCGCTGGCCTAAAACGGTGAGGGACGCAAGGGGTCTAAGACTTGCAAGATGCAACTGCGAAAGTTGTTAAAGAGAAGCATCTTGCTGCATTGATAGTGTTTAAGGTTTGCGAGTCAGGCTTCTGTACCTTAGAACGAGAGGTTTGAAGCAAAATCATGTTTCTTGGTTGCCAGTATTATCGTGATTTAGATTCTTTGTAGATAGAGAGGAGTGGGATTTGCCGTGCTCACTGTTTAGACTTGTTTCTCTTACGGGTTGAGGTTGGTCTTAGCCAAGGTGAGACAGAGAGCATGTTGATGGGTGATGCTGCACCAAAAAAAAAAAAAAAAAAAAAAAAAAGCTCCGTTGACGGGAGTGGCAAAAAGGGAGGGAGGACAAAAGAAAAGACCAAATGGCTAGGTGAGGATTGAAGTAGTATGAGACACCGTACCATGCCGAATGTAAGGTGGATCGCTCATGACCTCTGCTCTTTTCATAATAGTAGATGCGGTTCGGTTACATATCTATTTGATCTCTGTTGTTCGAGAGCAGATCGGTCGGTGCTCTATATCGATTTCGTATATTTGAGTCAGCGAAAATGTAGCCATTGCTGATACGCATTGCTCTTCCCTTCAAAGAGAGATACGGCTTGACTCCACCGACTGTAAGTGCTGATATCCTAACCGGATTGTTCATGGCCCAATTATGTAACTCCAATTGGAGGGATCCAGTTTGCTAAATACTCGAGTCAAGCCGAAGTGTATTAATAGAAATCAAAGCCAATAGTATATACTACTCCGTAGTTGATTGCAAAAGGACCTGCCGGCTTTTTCTTCCCATGATAAGTAGGAAAAAACGGATTGCAGCTTAGGTTCGTACGCTTTAGCGGCTATTCCGACAATCGCTCAAGTCAGGCGCATATCGTGGATTTTTTTCCTGCTACTACTCCGCGAAATCCGAATGTGGCAAAAAAGTTCAAGCATCCTGCGACGCTACCAGTCTCATCGCCTTCAGCAGCTTTGCTTTTTTTCTTTCTAGGCATATATCCAGCCTTGGCTGACGGGTAAAATGGCCAACCCGCCGAGAAGTTTGGGCAGGGGTAACTGGAGCTTCTTCCAGTGCGAATGACTAGAAGTTTTTGAAAACTGGACGAGCGTAGCTTTGCAACTTCTACCGTCCAGATTTCCGTCGCTATAGTTAAGCTGCTGCCTGCCTGCCACGAATGCCAAGGGCGACGGAATGATGTTGCGTACATGTATATTTCGATGTTGTTGAGCCTTAAGAAGACTGACAAACAAGTAGGGCAAGACTGGTCATGTTTATTGTTTACCAAGGCTGCGTCTCATGACAGAGCTAGGGACATGTGGTCAGTCAAAGCCGACGGCAAGGTCTCGTCCCGATAAGCCGCGAGACACAAGCACAAAAAAGTACATGTATAGTTTCCAGTAGTAGTACCAGCAGCACACCTGTCGTAAGGGAGGCAGCTGGGATCATGTGGAGAAGGATAGAAAGCCGTGGTTGCGATGGATCGATCGGAGGTGGAAAGACTCGAAATAGGATAGAATGGGAGCCAGGGCACATGGAGCTTTAGCCGCGCTAGAGCTCTCTCTGGTTGCAAGCACTCTGCGTTTCGAACTTGCATGTGCATGAGCATCAGCATGTTGCCTTTGCTTGATGCTACTCGCACTCGCAACGATCTCTCCCTATGATTGTTTAGGTTTAGAACAAAGTCCAGACGGGCGGTTGGGCGGAGCGCCTCCCGACTACTGGTTGGCCGTGGCTGACGCTGAAGGCCGCCAAGAGACAGGGTTCCCGGAATCCTGGTCTGTCTTAGTCAGGGGTAAGGAGGCTGTGGAGCAGCTTGAGCTTTTCCGAGACCGTTGAGCATGCTGCACTGTGGCTCCGTTCGTACTGTGTGCTGTCTGGGCAGAATCTTTGGCCTATCGTATTTGAAATGGCGACGTCCAAGTTTTCTTCAAAAGGACTGCCGGCCAGACAGACATGCTTCCTTTGATAGGCAGTATATTCACAGAGCATGCTACCACGTGCGTCGTGTCGATCACGTATCGACTGTAGGCTACTTGGCTTTGGTAAAGGCTCCAGGAATGGGGATAGGGATATCCTGATCTTCTCTGCGGTCTTGCCGTTGAATTTCGTCATTTCTCACAGAGAGATGGTGCCACTGGTGGCTAGTAGTGCTCCGTCGTTACAACACTTGCATGCCTCTTGTATATCGGCAGCCGGGCGACCTTGTATGTATATGATGCCACCAGCAGGTACTGGGGTCCGGTGCTCCGTCCTCGATGCTTGGCAGGCACTCCGACTTCCACACTTGATACCCTCCTGCCGCGATCATCGGCGGCGAGCGAGCAAGCGAGGCAGCGGACATGTGTCAAAAGGGGGAGGGCTCTTGTTTGAGGTGCCCTCAACAGCAGGCCCCTCGCCTGGCATGGCTAGAGAGAGCGTGGTCGATATAGTGCCCGCCATGATGGAGCGGTTAAGGGGCGCACTGTACGAAGACGCAGACCCGCTCCGTGGCCGCATCGGACGCTTCTGCAGGAACACACTTTTTTTGGGCTGTTTGTTCTGAGGTGGTATCGGCCTTTCTCAACTGGCACTTATCCCCAATTACCATTAACAACGAGCACCTGGACTCGCATCTACACTAACACCCTTGAGGGATGAATCGCCGGATCTGTAATTCTGCCGCAGGTTGGATCATTTTTGCATGCTATGGGCGAGCAAAGAGCAGTAGTACTGCCGTCTTCTCAGGTTGCAATTCAGCTGTTCTCCGCAGTTGTACTGCTAGTATGGCACTAAAAGATACTCCGTAGTAAACAAAGCAGGTGGTAAAAGCGCCTTCGCGGCTCACCAACAGCTCGCCATGATGTCACCCCACTGCAGCTCGAAAGTCATTACTCCGTACTGGATTGTGGCTTAGGGTTGGATGCTTTGAATCGAGCCATGGTGGGCGAGAGCCACAAACTCTCGCACAGACGCATGAGTAGCGCCATGCGTGCGTTAGGGCAACTCAGAGTGGTATGGGGTTGGAGCTGGGATTTATCTCCCCATCATACCTGTTCCCGTGCCAAACGCCTGTGAACGCTGTGCTGCTTCGGTAGGTAGTGTTCGTAGATAGTAATACATACTACATGGTATTGCTTCGTACGGAGAGGTGTTCTTCGTGCCGTCACTAGTAGTCGCGCTAGTAGGCATTTGTACTGCGCTTGCAGCACTGGGCTGCCAAACCAGAATGATACAGTAGTATACCAAACCGTTCATCCGTGCTCCTGTCTCACCCGTTACAAATCGTGTCTAGCTTGAGCTGCCGAGGTGAATGGCAGATGGCTGATGGCAGAAGGATGCTAGATCGAGTAGCAGCATGGACCGATGGTAGGCTTGGTAGGCGCTAAGCATGCACGACGTGAGCCCACGAAAAATCCTGCCTGTTTCGCACATCGGAAACGACTGATGGGATGCCGCAGATGGATGCGCCAGAGGAGTAATGGGAAGGCAGGCTGACGCCTGGCTTCTATAGGCTGCTAAGCTGCACAGCAGACAAAAGTATCATGTACCACGAGTGCAAGCAACGATGGCAAATTCCTGTCAGCTGCTTGGCCAAGGACGGCGAAGCCAATACTGTACGTGCCTGTGTTCGTATACTCTGTTGGCTTCGATGCTCGCGCGTAGTTCTTGCAGGTACAACTTACTGTACCGCGGCAGGACACGGGACCGTACCAGGCGACGGCCTCTGATGTAGGTACAACTATGTACTCGTGTTGCATCGTGGTCTTGGATTACCCCGGCTGATACTCTGCTGTTGACCTCCGACTCGGCCGCTGGTCAAGCTGTGGGGGCGTTGGGTCAAGCGAGGCTCAAGGTGACGATCTCTGGGGGCTAGACTGACTAGAGCTGCCACCTAGTCGTGCTACAAGTACAAACAAACGCAGTAGCGCAGGCTGATCTGGATGCTCAAGCTCTCTTTTGCTTAGTTTGGAAAACGACGGAGAAAAGGCGGACGAGCATGTTGCGCGCCTGGCTGAGATGAGTGGCTGCGCTGGTTAGGAGGGCGAGCCGGTTCCTTCGTATGTACACACGGATACCGAGTACTTGCCTACTACTAGTAGTGGCGCTTCTGGTATCCGTGTTTGGTGGACGACAATGGCGGCCTATTGTCTCGCCGAAGGCACGCATATCCTCGCCCTTACGACAAACGCGTGAGAGCTTGAACTGGCGACGAAAGGGGAAGAGTGGGAAAGGGGACATGGAGGCCAGGCAGTGGAACATCAGATCGCCGGCGTGCAGCAACGTGCGAATAGGCGGCGTGCACGTGCCCGTATGGATGGCACTGTACAGCACTATACTTGTACTAAGCCAGTCTCGAACAGTAAGCCAGCCGGCGGCAGCGAGCTTTACATGCTGCCGCGCAGGCTGCGGACCTCGTCTAGCTGCTCGAAAGGCCATGCATATACAGGTACCGGTGATACCTCCGCCAGCATTGACTGGCAGCGCAAAAGAGAAGCACTGCATGTGGTACTAAGGTATAAAACCTGAGACGATGTACTTCGTGTTGCTCCGTACGCGTACGGGGCTGCAGGTACCCTGGTGATGCTTCAAGGCTCACATCTCCTTTTTGTCCCTTTTGCTCCGTCCGCTGGTGGGCAGAACCGCACCCGAGTCGCTCCGTCTGGAGCTTGTGCTTCGAGCTACAGAGTCTTAGGGCGCTGCATACCCCGTACTTGCAGTATCAACTGCTCCAAGTATGCGCTCATCGCAGACTAGCCAGATGGATCCGTCCGGGATAAGACCTACAAGTACGTACTTGTATCGCTGGCCGCGATTATGACTGCTTTGGTGAAGATGCATGAGAACCAAGCAGTAGTGGTCGTTGCAGCCGACGCCCGCGCTATATGCCCAGTGTCTTACCTTAGTTCGAGCAGTAGCCGGTACTTGGAGATGTGCTAACTCGAAGAGACGAAGGATGGCGGGTACGGGTTGCGATGGGGTGGAAAGGAGAGAAGGACGACATGAGTCTTGTCAATTGCCGCGTTCCCATGGACTCGCGGGATCTGCAGGCACGTCATTGCGTGAAAGGCCAGAAGAAGAGTTGAGCCTTGCCCATTGAATAGCCGACAAGACGGCGCGACGTGATAGTCTGGTGTTTTAGCCATGCGAGGATGTGGCTGACGAGAGCGCGAGCGGACGGATAATACCATTCTCGTGCATGTAGCAAGCGCTGGCTGCAGACCGAGCAGACGCTCGCCACCTCAGGTACCACGCCATTGCGTTTGCTACTACCACTTGCGGTGCTCAGCTGGTTCAACGTTGTAGCACGATGCGTGCTCGTGTAGTATCCATACAGTACCTCTTGGACGGCACGCACTCGTACAAGCTGGGCACACGCAGCTTGCAGGCTTCACCTCAGGCGCGAGTGCGATCTCTGGGAAGCATGCGATGCGATGCGATGCGATGCAATGCATGCAAGGCAAGGCAATGCAGGTACCGTACGCAGAATCAACAGGAGGAGCTGCTACGTGCAAGGTACAAGTCAGTACTTGCACGGCGCTGCGCTGCACTGCGCTCGCCTCTGGGAACTGGACCTTTTGAGAGCGCGCCGTCTCGTCCAAACACGAACAACTGAGCTGGCGCTGCTGCACTGTGCCGGTACTGTCTGTGGCCACTAGCGGCGCTGGCCCAGATTCTGCTCTGAGAGGAACCGATGCGCTAAGGGAAGACAGGGTTGACAGGCCGACAGGGTTGCGATGGGTGCGCCAGCGGCTGGTCAACTGGCCAGGAGGGACTGGGAGGAGCGGAACAGACAGCCAGCGCCGCCTGGGTACCTGCGCGGGTACCTGCGAACTCGCCTTCTTGGCGCTATCGACTGCTGCCCAGCTCCAGAGCTCCTTGTTCCCCGCCAGTACCCCCTCCAGGGCCCTGTCGCCATCGGATGTCTAGAGCAGGAAAAAGCTCTGACCAGCCCGGCCATTGGCGCTGCGACCGACGGATGCAGGGCCCGTTGGCCAATGCTGCCAGGGTCCGGCCGGGACAGTGTGGACGGGACTGTGAGTAGCGCTGCTGGCGGTGCCTGTGCCTGAGCTGATGCCTGTGCCTGGCCATGGCTGGCTGCCGCACCCGAGGCACTCGTTCGCAGCAGAAACAGATTGGCAGAGAGGCGGCAGAGGCAGGCAGGTACCCGGCATGTGCCTCGCCCGGCGCCTGTGCAGCAGCGTGCGGCGCCAACCGGTACCTGGGCGGTACGTGCGTGTGGCCTCAGTTGTTTGCTAGTGGGAATAGCCCGCAGCGTGCCTGTACAGCCTGCAGAGCCTGCAGCGCAAGTGGCTGCCATCCCCCCCTCGCTGGCAGCAGCCGTAGCCAGTGGCAGCGCTCTGTTCTGCCCCCAGGCGCCAGGGGACACCCCCTCCCCCAAACCCACCGCCGGCTCGCCTTTTTCTTCTCCCAAGTCTCCTGTCCCCCGTTCCCTCCTCCGTCTTCCCCATCACCATCCTCGCGGCCATTGTCTCCTCCTTTTCCTTTCCCTTTCTCTCGTGCGTCTTTCTTTTCACGTCACTCTCTTAATCTTCGGCCATTTCGGTTACCGTCACTCTTTCCGGGACCATTCCATTCTTTCGGCTTTCACATCCAAGGCCTGTCAATCTTTTCGCTGGGTAGACTCCGCTATTTGTATTGAGCATCAGCTTTGTTCCTTGCAAGGATCCCAGACCACATTCTTTTTTTTCTAGAACTCGACTCTGTTTTTCTTTTTTGGCTATTACTCCCTGTCTTTGCCTACTACTCGCAGTATCAACACCATATACGAACCCCTTCGAGCGCCCATCGTCGCCTCCTTTGCCCACCTGATTCCTTTGAATCTACCATACCCTTACTTTTTCTGGGAGGTTCTGACAGTTGTGTTATTGCGACTTGTCTGATTGGGAGCGATATTCTAAAGCTCAAAAAACCTTCTACACTATCAACCCGAACACGCCATCGACTCCCGGCCACGAACGGTAGCACGACCTTGACGCGTCTCATTGCCATGGCTACCGAGTTAGAGCAGCCGCTGGCTTTGACGGCCACAGTGGTTACGCCAACTGCTCCTATTAGCCCGACTGGATCTATGATTCACCACTCGGCAACATCCTCAGACGGCACCCCTGGATCTGCCTCTAGACCTCTCCCTTCTCCCACCAGCGCCAATGGCCAGGCCAATGCAGCTCGTCGCCCGCCGCGCAAAAGCACCCTCACCCAACAGCAGAAGAACCAGAAGAGACAGAGGGCCACACAAGACCAATTGACGACTCTGGAGATGGAGTTCAACAAAAACCCAACTCCCACGGCTAGCGTCCGCGACAGGATAGCCGAGGAGATTAATATGACTGAGCGATCTGTTCAGATCTGGTTCCAGAACAGGTACATATCACTGCGTGACGATTGGGCATTGCTCGACGGCAATGGGGCTGACATTTCTACAGACGAGCTAAGATTAAGATGCTGGCTAAGAAGAGCCTCGAAACCGGTGAAGACATTGACTCTATCCCTGAATCCATGCGACAATATCTCGCGATGCAGGCAATGGAATCAGGCAAGGGGTTTGCTGGGAGCTACATGGGCCGCACTGGCCTGATTCCCTTTGGCGGCGGCAACATGCTCTTTGGCGGCGATCAAAGCGCGCAGGGCAAAGTTTGTAAGTCTATCGCGATTCCTTTCTCTTTTTTCTCCAACAGTGCCGATTCCCGGGTCTGCCGCGCGCAATCAGCGGTGCTAATTGCCCTCTAGTGATCCATCATCTTACTTGCCGCTCTCTGAGCATCGGCAAGTGGACACGAGTTGGACAAAACACCATGGATCTCATCATCTTCTACTCGCCGGACAAGTGCACCATGACTTACTACATCAACAACGAGCAAGCTGGATACAAAATCGAGTATCCCTTCTCTCATATCAAGAACATTTGGCTTGAGAACGCGGACAATGACATGAACAAGCTGGCTGGCATCTTCATTGAGCTTAACCAGCCGCCTTATTTCATGATGGATGCAACTTCATCAACAACGGGGTTTGATTATGTCAGTGATTTTACTGAGGACCAACAGGCGTCTCAGTGCTTGCTTCACCACCTTGGAGGCAACCCCAAGGTCTTGGCCAACCAATTGGCCAAGTTGGTGTCCCTGGAGTCTTTCATGAACCGCCATAACCCTCACATGCGACAGGTTCATCCATTTGCTGATCCCCAAGCAATCTCTGCTTCGGCGCCTGTATCTCCCACATTAGCTCGACCCTCGTCACAGCCGAGCTTCGGCGCACCGCCTATGGCCATGGCTCAGCAGCAATGGGGCATGGCTAACATGCACTCTGCCGCTGGTATGAGGCCCCAGGGCCACAAGCGACAGCGCAGCCGCTCTGTTCCAGGACCTATTGACTTCGCCATGTTTCAAAACCAGCCCATGCCGTCTTTCTATATTCAACCTCCTGGGGATATGGGCGCTCAGCACAATCCTAACATTTACGCTCCGGTGCCACAACAGCCCAACGCTGCCCACAACTTGAGGATTGATACACAAGCCGGCTTTGGTTTGGATATGCGGCAATACCCCATGTCGGCAACAACTGCCTCGCCATCTGAGTTCCCTCCAAGCCCAGGCTTCTTCACCCCTGGCCCTGAGGCTGGCGGCCCCCTAGCTCCATCAAACTACAGTACTCCATATGGTAACGCGTTCTTGTCACCAATGGTTAGCGCTGAAGCCAACATGCCCACAGCCATATCTCCGCTGCCCTTCAATGGCCCTACTGAGCCCTCAATTGTCGAGCACTCTCCTCCCATGTCCATGATGGGCCGCCCTGGCTCCTCAGAAATGTACATGGGCCAAGATGGCTCATGTGCTGTGTCGGATGACGGTGTTAGCTTGAATGAGATGTACTCCAAACACTCAATCAACATGCCCCCGATGCACGAGTCAATGCACGAACAATTGCATGAGCAAATGCACGAGCCTTCACCAGGAAGCTATGCGCAGCATTCACAAGGAGATATTGATATGGACCAGCTGGTTCATTTCGATGCTGTTGATCCATCCAGTCTATCACCAGAAGCGATGCAGTCCATGCCTCGGTAATCTTGACGGACAATGGTGGCATTGCTGGCTTCGCGCTTCATTTGGTCTTTTGTTGCCCTTGGCGTTGTTTGGATATATCATTACAACGGAAGGGCGTTATTCGGTAAACTATACCAACTCGGAAACTGCATCGTGTCTCTCTGCAAGACATCTAGGAGCTCATCTCGCCTCATAAAATCTTGTTCTCCCATACTTCTTTTTTGTTAGCTGCCTATCGGTGGTATAATATGTTTGGCTTGACCTACCTACCTGCCATCGCAAAATGCGGCCATGATGAATCTGCATGACGGTATCATTCTTTAACATCGGTCATGCATGTCCGGTACAGCGATCGTACGAGTTACTTCTGCGCGTGGAGATTTTACTCAGCCATACTCTTTTTTTTTATCTACCGCCTGCGCATTTATCTCTTGTTTGCTTGGTGTCCTTAGCTGCTGGATGTATCACATCCACACACTCCAGTATATCTGCTTCTCCTTTCTTCTTCTTCTCTTTCTTCTTCATCTGTTATCTCTCCCTTTGGCTGTCCGATGCGTAATTGCCTAGGGGAGCACACAACTGTCTCGCATCCCATGGGGCTTAATTTTCTTTTGGCGCACATCATTAGTTCGGGGAGTTATCATTTTTGCTTTGATTCGTGCTTTTGTACTTGTGTTTCTGTTTGGTTTGCAACCCCGGAGGTTGTGACTGAATTAAACTGAGTTTTTGTTGTATCTTGGAATTTTTTTTATTAATGGAAAAGCCGAGAGGGAAAAGGAATATATGGTGCAAGAGGTGGAAAGACTTTTTCGTTAAAAGTATAGCGGTGCTTGTGTGTATGTGGAGATGTCGTGTATGTGAGCGAGAGAGAAGCGAGGAGTCTTTTTCTCCTCAAAGTCGATGGCGATGGAGAAAGCATCGCACTTTTTTTTGTAACTATTGAGTAACTCTCGAGTTACGAGGGAATATGGCGGTCTTATTGGCGGCCAACTGTGAGCCTTTGCAATAGTACTTTTGATGTTCAAAGCTTCCATTTGCTTTTTACGTGAATTAACTTGTGTCTATTTTAGCATGCCTTGTAGTTTCAACGAATCTACGCAAATACTGCCTACCCACCTGTACTATCAGCCTTTTATACCTACCATGCCACATGATCTTTCCCACTGATTCTGGTCTGATATTGCACCTATGTTTGACATGTTGGTATGTATATTACTTGTTTATAAACCACATTGAAAGCTATTGCCAATTACGCTGATTGTACTACACTACATGCATCTTTTATCTAATGATTTCTACTCGGTATCATATACATAGCAGTGAGGGCCACAAGTGGTAGAGGCCAAATGTCGGTCTGGTGTTAAACCTTGTTTAAAAATAGAATAGAGTTTCTACGTCAAACGGCTTCCACTGTGGCCCAAAGTACGTATCTTTGTCGTATTTGTATAGCACCTTTGATACCTACCTACTAGGTAGTAGCAAGTCTTGCGTGTGGGGAGATTTTAATTTAGTATGGATGCTAAAAGCGGCACAGCTGAGATCTAGCGAAGATCAAGCTCTAGCACTGCCGACGGTGCCCAACCGCTCGGCTTGGGAGAGCATCGCCTCTTACACGTAATGCGGGTGCGTCATATCAGACGCGCCTCGTTTCAGAGCCCGAATCAGGTCGCAGGGGAGAACCGAGCAGGCCATTGACAGGCTCAGACGATGAGGCGCTGCTGGTCCTTCGTGCGTACAGGACACTAACGTGACGTCCAGCCAAGCTGGCTCAAGCCTTCTGGCAGCGTTGCACCAGCGTCTCTCTCTGTAGCTGCTCGCCAACCCTCCGGCATATCCCCCACCCCCGTCCTCGTTTGTACATTTGATTTATCCAAAGCATTGCATCCTCATCAGATTTATCACAAATACAGTATTTACTATCTCTTTGCCATGGCAGGCCCTCAGTCTTTATGCTGAGGCCGTGCTGCCATACCATGACCACCGGCACCTAACGTCAGCACTAACGTCATCAACAATGGATCGTCGGCACCAGCCGCTGTCTCAGCCAGGCGACCAGCACAGCCACGCACAAGACACCGAGGGCACCGCAGAAGAAACGAACCATGCAGGTCAGGATGGCACTGAGCCTAGCCCACCGCTGCTGGCCGAGGGCACTTCATCGCCAACAGCTGGCCCAAGGCGCTCTCAGACGGATCCTACAGCAACATTGTCGCCAATCCCGCAGACTTCAAACAGGCCATTGACCGGATCTTCATCGAGACCACGGTTCTACGAGCATGTTGATTCGGGTCAAAGCCCATCCGAAGGGAAAATGGCCCAAGACACATTGCTGAGAGAAGGGCTGTTGGACGCCAGACCAAAGCCCGCCGCCAATAAGACGAAATCGCCCTTTTCTCTCGCTGCTAAGAAGTATGGGTATAGTAGGATAGCGAAGGGGACGAAGGCAAGTCGGAAGCCCGGATCTGGGTGGAAAGCTCAGGCTGAAGCATTCGTTCAAAATCTCTACCGGAGAGTTGTTTTGGAAACAATTCTTCGTCGCAAACCATTGCCGCCCTCCAAAGACGGGCGTCATATTCCTCTTAACCCATCGGGCGTCGATCCCGGTGGCCTCATAGATGAACGCAGTAACCAACCTTACATTAGCAACTTTATTCGTTCCAGCCGCTACACAGTCTACGATTTTGTCCCGAAGCAGCTTGTCTTTCAGTTCAGCAAGCTTGGAAACTTTTACCTCCTTGTTATGGGCATTCTTCAGGTAATTCCTGGCCTGAGCACTGTTGGAAGATGGACAACAATTGCCCCACTGGCCGGCTTCGTAGCCTTTAGCATGGCCAAAGAAGGCTATGATGACTACCGGCGGTATCAACTCGATAAGGCGGAGAATCGCAGCATGACCTGGGTTTTGGCCCATGGCGTAAGAGAAGGGAAAGAGAGGCCACGAATGTCGGTATGGAAAAATGTAATGAAGAGAAAAAGAAAAGGCAATAAGAAACGACTCGGAGCAGATGAGGACGATGTTATTCTGCAAGACATTGAAGAAGGGACCCTTGCCAGATTGGACGAGACGAACGACTGGATGTATGTGCAGTGGCAACATGTCCAAGTAGGAGACATTGTACGCCTCCGTCGCGACGAACCAGTACCCGCCGATATGGTCGTGCTTCATGCTACAGGGCCGAACGGCGTCGCATATATCGAGACAATGGCGCTGGATGGCGAGACTAACCTTAAAGCTAAACAGGCCTGTCCTCTGCTTGCAGATAGATGTGACACAGTAGACGGGCTCCGGTCGGCTCATGCTACAGTGGTATCCGAGGATCCCAACCTCGACTTATACAATTATGTTGGAAGGGTTACCATCGACAGCGGCGAAACCGTACCACTATCGTTGAGCAATGTCGTCTATCGAGGCTCCATACTGCGAAATACTACAATGGCTATCGGACTTGTGATCAACTCGGGCGAGGAATGCAAAATCCGCATGAACGCGAACAAGCACGTGCATGCCAAAAAGCCGGCAATGCAGTCTACAATTAACAAAATGGTCCTTGTTCAGATTTCCATTGTTATCTCTCTCGCCGTTGGATTGACTATTGGATATTATAGATGGCACAGCGACACAGAAGAAGAATCTTTCTACCTCGTCAATGTTCCCTTATACGACGCAAGCGTACCGTTTAAGCAGATTTTCTTTGGGTTCTTGATAATGTTTAACACATTGATTCCGCTATCGTTGTACATTAGCTTGGAAATTATCAAGATCGGACAGCTCTTCTTGCTGCAGGACGCGGATATGTATGATCCGGTCACGGATACTCCCATGATAGCCAATACCACGACCATTTTGGAGAATCTTGGTCAGGTGAGCTATGTGTTTTCGGACAAAACGGGGACTTTAACAGAGAACTTGATGCGGTTTCGGAAATTGAGCGTTGCTGGTGTTGTTTGCCTTCACGATATGGATACACAGGATGATGGGACGGCCAAGATGAAGTCTCAAGCAAAGGGAAAGCAGCCTGTTTGGACGACATCCATGATGATGAGCCAAGGGGAGGGTGACGAGATGGGGCAGACGAACTTCTCTGGACAGGTAACGGATCTGCATAACGCAACTCCTGACATGAAAACCGAAGAGCTACTTGACTACATCCGTCGGCGGCCCAACACCCCCTTTTCTCTTAAGGCCAAATTTTTTTTGCTTTGTATAGCCCTATGCCATACTTGTTTACCGGAGACCAACGAAGGCGGAGATATCGACTACCAGGCCGCATCCCCTGACGAGCTGGCCCTTATCGAGGCGGCACGGGATCTGGGGTACGTGCTCATCGATCGACCAGCTCAATCCATCAAGCTGCAGATTCAAGGTATAGATGGGGCGCTACAGACGGAAACGTATCAAGTATTGGACGTGATTGAGTTCAGCAGCAAAAGAAAGCGAATGTCTATTATTGTTAGAATGCCTGACAACCGAATTTGTGTCTTTTCCAAAGGTGCGGATAACGTTATAATGTCTCGTCTCAGGCTTAATCAAGTGGCTGCACAAAAGGTCAAGGATGTCAATCGCCGAGCAAGCGTGAGGAAAACGTTTGAACAGGACAAAGCAATTAGACGCATGAGCACTCAAATCATTAGGAAGTCTTCTATTCGCAATAGCTTTGGTTTAGCCCGAAGTAAATCAAGCGCTGGACTCGAAGGTCTAAGAAGAAGCATGAGCAGGCGGTCTGCAGATATTAATCGGCTCTCACAGGCCGAAGGCGTCGCCTCGTGGCTGCATAGGCGGAATACAGAAGAAATGGTGTCCCCTCGGCCTTCGATTGATATCCTACGGAGCCCGAGACAGAGTTTGGGGCGCATGCCATCGTTCGACTATAGGGATTATTCTGGCGAGGATGATAACAGAATAGACGAATTAGTGGCCGCTGATGAAGCGATGATATTTGAAAAGTGCTTCCAACACGTGGACGACTTTGCCGCGGACGGGTTACGGACGCTATTATATGCCTATCGATATATTGATGAAGAGACCTATACACAGTGGAAAAATCAGTACAAAGAGGCAGAAACGAGCTTAGTTGATCGCCAGGAACGCATTGAAATAGCAGGCGAGAAAATCGAAGAGGAGTTTGAGCTTGCTGGAGCTACAGCCATTGAAGATAAGCTCCAGGAAGGGGTCCCGGAAACCATTGACAAGCTGATGCGTGCGAACATTAAAGTCTGGATGCTCACAGGCGATAAGAGAGAAACTGCCATAAATATTGGGCACTCAGCGCGAGTTTGCAAACCGTTTTCGGAGATTTACATCTTGGATGCTTCCAAGGGGAAAATACAAGATGCCATAACGACGACACTTACTGAAGTCGGACGAGGCATGGTACCTCACTCGGTTGTTGTTGTAGATGGACAGACACTGGCCGTAATCGATGCCGATGATGATCTTGCTGCTTTATTCTACGATCTGATTGTACGGGTTGACTCTGTCATTTGCTGCAGGGCGTCGCCTTCTCAGAAAGCTAATCTGGTCAAATCCATACGACGATTTGTGCCTGAGAGTATGACTCTGGCAATCGGCGACGGAGCAAACGATATTGGCATGATTCAGGCTTCACATGTGGGCATAGGAATTTCTGGGCGTGAAGGTCTCCAGGCGGCGAGGATAGCCGATTATTCGATTGCCCAGTTCCGGTTCCTTCAGAAGCTGCTATTTGTGCACGGTCGATGGAACTACATCCGGACGGGCAAGTATGTCTTGGCCACGTTTTGGAAGGAGACCTTCTTCTACCTCATACAGGCACAGTTTCAACGGTTTAACGGCTATACGGGCACTTCTCTCTACGAATCATGGAGCCTTACGCTTTTCAACGGCGCGTTCACGTCTCTGCCTGTGATTTTGCTCGGTATTTTCGACAGAGATCTGCAGGCGTCGACCTTGCTGTCTGTGCCGGAGCTGTATACTTTTGGCCAGCAGAGGCAAGGGTTCAACTTGATGCAGTATCTGGGCTGGATGATCCTGGCTGTTGCAGAGAGCTTTGTGACGTTTTACTTTATGCTGGAGGCGTTTGAGAGCATTCTGTTTACGGAAGACAATGGACTGTATGCGATGGGGTCGATATGTTTCAGCGCTGGCGTGATTTTCATCAATGTGAAGTTGCTGTAAGTGTTTCTGAGATGCACCATATGCTGAAGCATTGTACTAATTCGGCTCTCTTATATAGGCTTCTCGAGTTCCACAGTAAAACGTTGATTCCACTTATTGGACTCGCTGTAGAAGTCACTGGATGGTTTGTCTGGAATTTATTTCTATCCGCCATATACCCTAGAACAGTTGGTCCTATATCGGTGAGGGATGCGTTTCTACACACTTTCGGGGACCGACTTTCCTGGTGGACTACGCTGGTCCTCACGTTAGCCACCCTCATAATCATAGAGTTGGCTGTGCAGGCTATTCGCCGAGTATACTGGCCCACCGACCAGGATTTGATGCAACGGATAGAGAAGGATGCCAACTCGAAGCAAATATTGAGACAGTACGCCGCCGATGGAGCTGGAGACCTGGAAAGGGGAAAAGCTCAAGCACAGGGAATTGAATTGGAAGAAATTAGACTACAGCCTGGTCTTCAGCGAGAGGAGGGGGTCACGCTACTGACGGAACGTGAGAGGAGTGTAGAGAGAAGTCAGAGCCCCCAGCCTATCAGCGCAGTTTCGAGAAGAAGCTTCCAGGATTTGGCTCCGAGAAGGTCGGTTAGGATGAGCCACGATGACTATCGGCCGCCGAACTTTACGCCGCTGGCGGAAGAGAGGGAAATTCCATATGAAGACGTTGAAGAAACAAGAGAGGGTGCGTGAAAGACTTGTCGAGACGATAAGAGGACCGAGAGAGAGAAAACGAAAAGGGGGGAGAGGGGGAGGCGATACCATTTCTTCTCGATTTGGCGGCAGTGACATGCATACATTACAGTTTTAGAATCTTTGATACAAGTGGTTCTCATTGGTTGGGAGTGGGAGTGGGCTACAGTTTTTTTTTTCCCTTCTTGTTTTCACGTTCATGATTGAGTGTTTGGTGGACGATACGGTATGAGATATGATAGCATGATTAGGCTGTTAGGTATTATAGTAGAATAACGAATTATGATTTACACGAGTAGCAGATTCGGGTATCATGCTTGATATTTAACACGGACAGGGGAGAGTCTGCCAAGAGATAAATAAACGAGCAACCAAGCAAAAGACAAAAAAAGAAAAACACAATGACTCGTTTAACGTGAACGAGAGTCATAAAATCGTTACACGAACACGAACACGAAAGCATTCATTTTTTAGCACTCATCATCGCCCACCGTTTCATCCACTCTAACTAATATCTTACCGCTTGCATGCAGCCCGCCAAGCTTGGCATATGCCTCCTTGACGTCGTCAAAGGGCCAGACGCTGTCCCTCACTACGCGTATCTGGCCGCCTCCCAGCATCTCGGCAATGCGCTCGCGATCCTCCAGCGTCGGCTCCATCATCGAGACGCCCCGCCAGAGACGGCCGACGCCGCCTAGCCAGCGGCTCACGGGCCACCACTCGTTGAGCTTCATCTGGCATACGGCGCGGAGGAAGTTGGGGACGGAGAAGTCTGGGGGCTTGATGCCGACGGAGGAGTATGTGCCTGAGGGGACGAGGTAGGCAGGGGAGTTGACGTAAAGGGATTGGTGGCCCAGGGTGTCGATGATGGCGTTGAAAGGGTTGGCATGAAAGCTTTCGGCGAGATGGGCTGGCAGGCTGTTGTTATTGTCAGTGTGCTGGGTGTAATCGATGACGAGGTCTGCGCCGAGGCTCTCTACGAGCTGGATGTTCCTGGTGCTGCATATGCCGACGACGAAGCCTTCGGGCCCAACGACCTGGCGAGCCATTTGGACGGCCATGGTGCCGATGCCGCCGCTGGCAGCGTTGACGAGGACGCGGTCGCCGGGCTTGATGCCAGCCTCGATGACCTGCTGGTGGGCGGTCATGCCGGTGAGGAGACAGCCGGCTGCGTCGGCGAAGGAGGTCTGAGGGGGCTTGTGAACGGCGAAGCTGGCGGGCAAGGCGACGTATTCGGCCAGGGCGCCGGAGCCGGTTGGGAGGGCGTGGCTGGCGGGGATCATGGCGATGATTTTGTCGCCTTTGCGAAAACGAGTCTGGGTGGTAGTATTAATAGTAGCAGTAGTGGTACTACTGGCAGTGGACTCGACATGGGGATGCCAGACGTCTTGGACGGTGCCGGAGAGGTCCATCTCGGGTATGCAGGTCTTGTTACGCATAAATGCTGGGACGAGGGCCATTTGGAAGATGGCGCCGACGTTGAGGGCCGCGAAGGCTACTTTGACGAGGATCCATTCTTCTGAGCGAGAGGTTTCGGGCGGAGGCAGAGTTGGTATGGGGCGAGATGATGTGAGAGAGAGGATGTCTGAGGGGGAGCCGCGCTGGGAGAATGTCCAGGCTCGTGATGCTGCCATGGTGTTGATGTTGGCTGGCTCTCTTGCTGTTTGATTTTATGAGTGAAATTCACTGACAGCTCGCCATTCTCTAGTAGTGCTCTTACTGTGGTGGTGAGAGATGGAGCGAGAGACGCGAAGATTCCATCTGAGCAGTAATAACTGCTCTGTTAGCCTGGCTCTCGCTTGCTTGGCAGCTGAAGCTGGATTGAAGCTTGACTTAGGATACCATCCTTTGCCTAGTTTTTAGCATGAGATTCTGCGAAGAAGGGAATCTGGCCTAGAGCCTCCCCCCCCTCTCTCCTCTTCTCCAGCTTCAGCTACCAGCTGCAGCACAAGAGCCTAGAACAGGAATATGGTCTACTAAGTCCATTGGTTCATATGCCATTAACGGTCTTGGACTCGACTTGGCGGGCTGGGGCTGTACACGCCACAAAGCAAGCTTGCTAGCGAAAGGAACGTTGCTGCAAAAGCCACCCAGAGAGATGACCCGAATGGCCTAGCAAGGGGCTTAGACACAGAAATAGTGCTGCCTATAACAATAACAATAGGAGTTTGTAGGGGTAAGTGGGCTGTTAAGCTTAAACAGTACGCCATAGAATTAGAGACACCGAGTTTTGCAAGTACCTGGTCAGAGCGATGATTGCTCCAGGCAGGGAGGGGAGCGAGCAGGACAATGCAGAACATCTGAAGCATACGCGAACTATTAGTTGCCGCACAAGCGATCGGCTTTCTGTGGGTCACCCGTTGTTTAATCAATCGGCTGGAGAATTGATTGCTGCCTTGTCGCCTTGTCGCCTCGCGACTGAAACGTGGAAACACTGCAAATTGCATCGTGAAGTGTGCTGCCTGTCAGGCTGCCTTATTACGACTGCGGATCGCATTTTTGTCCGCCAGGCACTAAGATTGGTGGCATATCCCGCGTTCACGGCTGGGCCACGAGTGCGTGAAAGCTGTGGCTGTTGATCCAAGTGCGCGCGCTTGTCTGAAACTCCGCCGCAATGCCCGACAAGGCAAGAAGAGTGGTGTATCAAGCGGCTTCATCCGCGGAGCTAGAAACGGGAACTGGTCCAACATCGTGAGCAATACGCGAACTCCGTGCAGCTACTACTACTAGCACGTAGAACGTAGTGTCTGTAGCACTTGTATACAATAGCCTAAGCAGAGGCCCGGCGTATGAATCTTCTGGAACACTGGTCTTCCAGGGGTTTGGGTTGGTATTCCCATTTAGATCCGGCAGCTGAGGAGTCATGCCGGGAGCAACGTCGACTAAAAAAAGGCCAAGCAATTTCGGCTGCACATCCCCATCGGGCCCTCTATAACAATACGCGGTGCTCGAGCTGTCATCAACGTCATCGTGTTATATCAACAGGGTCCAGGTCTAGGGCCAGGTGTGTAGGATTTGCATGTGCTCAACACTTGGCTCCAGGATTTGGAGCGGCCGTGTGTAAGTCTACTGACGCAGCATATCATCAATATCAGCACATTTAGAGCTGCACATGATACATGTATGGTGCCAGTAGTACGTGTTCTAATAGCCAGCTGCAAATAGACGTCAACTGCAAATCGTCTCGTCTGCGTGGGCTACGCAAATGCCGACCGTCATGTCTTATGATTGACTCACGCCCCTCCGCAGGGCCTGAGGACCGGGGTGCGGACTTCCGAAGCGGATTCGGGTGGGTTTATCCGGTATTCTCGGACGACGGCAAGGCCCCGAACCCCGGGGAGGCCAGATTTGACCATTGACGTCCCATTATGGGGCAGCCTGAAGCTTGGCGTGGCTCTTTATTTTCTGAAGCAAGCAGCGCCGGCGCAACGCCGCTTTCTGAGAGGCGTCAGTAGGAAGATGGGGGGTGGAAAATAGACGCAGCGGGCGATACGCTGGCTGGAGGCGTCCAACACGAGGAAAACGATGCTGCCAAACGCCATGGCTATCAAGACGGCCAATCGGCATCTCCTTCTATAGTCGATTCGCTTTAGAGTTGCAGACGGCAGAAGAGAAGAGTCATCCCGCGCTGATCTTGGGCTTGTCTCCAAAATTCTGGTGTGCGCTTTCTCTCGGTCGCGAGGGGCAAGAGCCGTCTGTAGCGTAGAGTCACGCTTGGTCACACGCCAGCAAAGATTCGGGACCGCGAGGCTAAGAGTTGCGCAGTGCCGGACCTGTGGCCTACTTTTTTTGATATTTCGGATCCGATCCGGCTCCTGAAGATTCCGATGCAAGCGTTTATTCCCCCCATAAACGAGATGAGCACAGAGGGAAACAAAGCACAGCGGCCAAATATTCCGCAACGGGGTTAATTGGAGGCCTTGCTGGAAATGAGAAGCAGACTATTATCCCCTTCGAGGCTGTGATTCGATATAATCGAGACAGCGGCCGCGTATGCTGTCCAGTTATAGTGCTTGGTAGCGCCAGCAGAGACGAAGCTCCATACGCGGCCTCGACTAATTCATACTCGTACATGCATCAACAGCGTTCGCCCGGCAGCCATCGCCGGTGCCTGTTGCTGCTAGCACATCTTCGTTTAATTCGTTTAGACCGTACACTTCCCAGAATGGATGGCCGTTTTTAATACCTCGACTGAGTCATCAGTGGTGTAGCCTAGCTCCAAAGCCGTTTGCGCACTGCCACGCCTCAGGTTGGCCAATCCTCTATGCTGCCGGTTCTCCCCTGTAGTGCTGGGCTCGGGACCTTTTTTGAGGTAGGCATGATAATTTCTCGGATGAGCTATGGGCGATACGTCAGAAATGGTGAGCGCAAGAGAAATGAGCCATGACGAAGCCAGGATTTAGACTTTTGCATACTCCCTGCTTGCTCTCTGATGGTTTTTTCTCTCTCTTGGCCAGGTTCAGCTGGCTGGAGAAAACAGACTCAAAGGGGTTTGGTAGCGTCACCTACGCACCACAAAAGAGATCCACAGCCTCCTGCTGTCGAATAATACGGGAGAATTATTACCAAAGTGCGGATTCGCTATCTCGAAAGAGGCACATGTACCTGAACAAGGGAGTCTGTATGGAGCAGTACGGCCGAATCCGTTGCTTGTCGATGCTACCACCAATAGGCAGCATGTATATAGTAGTCGCTTGATCCATATCTACCCGCTGATTACTCCGTATATTATGAGCGATGGATTGGAGAAAAAAAGTTGAGTTGGAGCTATAATATATGTAAGGCTTGGGGAAGGAAAGAACTAAACGCCCAAGGAGCGCTTCCTTCCATTCCTGAATCTTTAGCTGCTGGGCTGGCAATTTATTATGCTCTAGTACCTGCACAACTCTCTTTCATCTCTAGGTTCTTCTTTTCGTCTTTTCGTCTCCCTCTTCCTCTTCCTCTTCTTCCTCTTCTTCCTCTTCTCTCCTTAATCCCTACTTTCTACAGCTCCAAGGCCTCTCAATTGGTCTCAGTTAGTTCCCACGTTTCTTGCGTTCCCCGCTGTGCAAGTTCCGCTGACCAACCAGCTCCAACCTGAGAAGCTCCTTTGGAATTTTCTCTCCGCGGCCTCCGTTCATTCGATAGCGGATGTGATAGCCGAGTACGCGAACCTTGATTACAACTGGGTACGCTGCAAGACTGATCGCATCGAGTGATTCTAATAATACTGCTTATACCTATTGCCACTATTCGGCAGCAACAAGCCACTGCAGAGAAATCGCACCACGCTGCACCGGCCGAGCGCTGAGGCCCCTGGACCGCACCTAAATAAGCACACGCGATCACACGCACACACTGCCGCTTCCCACCTGCTCGGTATACTACATCATACAGTACACCCATTGCGCTGTATTATAAATTTGCGCCCGGTACCTGGCGCTGGAAAAGCCGCTAGGTCGCGCGCCGTCGGGCTCATTTCGACGGAATAACGGACATAGTCTACCGACGTCATTTAGGGCTCTGCTTAGAGCTCTCGACCCGGCCAGACATCCCAGCCCTGCATCTCAGTCTTCAGACGGGAACGAACTAGAGACTTTCTCTCCGCAATTGACGGCGTCCAAGGGCTGCGGAATAGTCCAGAAGACGGCGGAAAGAAGCTTAAAGGGGAGGGTCTGTCCAGCCAGGTCGCGGTAAAACGGGCCCACGACCTGCGGAAAGCTTGGATAAGAAGCTGAGCTCTTCCGTCGCAGCCGTCTCCGCCGCGCCGCCAAGAACGGCCGACGTCTCTCTATCTGTCTAATACCACCATCTGCTTGTGCCCATTATCATTACTGACCTCCACGGCATCCTTTCCACCCGGCAGCAGCGCGTCCGGGATCCCACACGCCGTCGCTTCATTTCTTGGTCCCAACAGCACCTCCACCGCTGCCTCCTTGAATACGCGTATCTGGAGCGGCCACATTCGTCCGCTTTTGTGCCTCCCTGGCCCGTCCGGACACAAGAGAAGTCTCCGGGATAGCTCCAGGCCCTGTAGGACCTGGTGGTTCTAAGCGTTTTCTCGCCCCCCCAATAGCTCACTACTTTCAATTCTCACAGAAGACTGCGCCGTCAGCTTTTTATTCTTCGTCAATTACAGCAACTCCATCTCCCGAGCTGCTGCACGCACACACAACCTCTTGCCCCTGTCTCGCGAGAAACCAGCTGGGTCAGGCAATATCATTTCTTCTTGCCTGCTTATGAATATCTGTTCACGCGCCATTGGAAAACCCCCCTGATTTTCTCTCTGGTCTATCTGTGCCTGGTGCACTTTGGTTCTATTTGCCACTTTTGGATTACCTTTTTCTTCTTCCTTGTTGCTTTTTCTGGTGGATTTGCTTTGCTTGTCTCGCGTGTTTTCTCTTCTTTTACCGCTCTCAGTCACCCCAGTTTCGGGGTTTGACAGTGACCCGGCTTTATTATTTACACCCCACGTTCTCCCCGCTGGTGACATGTGAAATCGCCCGCGCAGACTTGGTCATGTCTTCAAAAGCTTCACCCGTCACTCACAAACAGCCTAGGATATTGGCTTGTGTGCTGTGCCAGCATCGCAAGATCAAATGCGACAGGAATTCACCATGTTCCAACTGCATCAAGGTGCGCGATACACTTCTCTCTGACTCGGCCCTCTAGCTTCAAGGTTTCATTCACGTATTCACGTGTTGTTCCGTCCTCCGCTCCATTCTTCAGTCTCCGGGTTTAAGCTCCCTCCTGCTAAGAGCAAGCTCGGGACGAAAAGAGAAGGGGAAATGGATCCTTCCAGCTCTCTGTCCGGCCTTTGATTCGAAAACAAGCTTACATTGCCTCAGGCCAATGTCACCTGCACTCCTAGTACGCCAGCACCAGCTCGTAAACGCCGCCGCCCGAACCAAGATCTCCAGGAACGCCTTGCACGATGTGAGGAACTGCTCAAGCAGTATGCCAATGGGTCTGTGCCGATACCAGGTCCTCCTCTGCCTCCTCCTCCTCCTCCCGCTCAGCGCCCGCTGCCACCATTTCCGGCAACCCCCTCCAACTCCATCGCGCCATCCTCCGAGGCACCTGTCGCTACACCGGCCAGCGTCGACTCAACTATGTCGCGGAAACCAAGTACTCTCATTGTCAGAGAAGATGGCAATGTCCGATTTATGGATAGTTACATTTGGACTAGTGTATATGAGGAGGTGAGTGAAAGACATGACATATGTCCAGGCCTGCGCAAAGCCTCGAATTTTTAGTTTATCAAGATTACGCTATATGTGTTTCTTTTCTTCTTCTTTCCTTTTTTACCCCTCATATTATTAATAAATTAAGATGGCTAACATGAAAGAGATAATATAGCTACAAAAAATGCGAGAAATCGTAGAGACCGATGACCCAGAAGACTCCAGTCTTCTTGGCTCAGATGAACTCACCCCTGACAATGTCGCAGACCTGGTTCTTTCGGCCGATATGTTCAACTCGAGTACTGAAGATTTGCAGCCCGATCCCATCCATATCTTCCGACTCTGGCAGCTGTATCTTGATCGCGTCAATCCTCTTTTCAAAGTCATCCACGTACCGACCACGCAGCCTTTCGTAATGGAAGCAGCTACTAATATGAGTAACCTACCGCTACACTACCAGGCCCTTATGTTCTCCATCTTCGCCATGGCTAGCGTGTCCATGACATCAGCGGAGTGCATACAGACGATTGGCATCTCTCGCGAAGCTGCCATTCAAAGGTTCAATACCGGCACCAAATCAGCCTTAATCAAATATAGCTTTCTCAAAAATCACAACATGACTGCGCTACAGGCTGTAGTTCTTTATTTGGTAAGTTCTATGCCGGACATTCATTTCCATCTTTCTCCATCTAATAATGGACTGTTATTAACGCATCGTTATAGCTTTCGCTTGAAGGACGCTATGACAGACATGCACAATGGGTCATCAGCGGAGCTATCGTGCGAATAGCGCAAAAGATGGGATACCATCGGGACGGATCGCAGCTCAACCTGAACCCCTTCGAAACCGAGATGCGCAGGCGCATTTGGTGGCATATCATGATGCTCGATGCTAAATGTGCCATGATATCTGGTCTGAGTTCGACGTGGTTGACCAACAACTGGGACACTAAGAAGCCCCGGAATGTGAATGATGCGGACCTATACCCCGGCTCAACTGAACCCGTTGCTGAACGTGATGGCCCAACAGAAATGGCGTTTGTTATGGTTATTACGGAGATGTTCCGCTTTAAAATAGAAGCGGACAGTTCAAACGAATCTCGTGCCTTTGAGGCCGCCATGATGGGGCAGACGCTCGATGAAAGCGATACGGAAAGCAATACCAGAGCCATCTTTGAAAAATTTCGGACTAAAGCTGCAGAACTTGAAGAGAGATTGAAGCTCATAGAAAACAACTATATCGACATAAGAGCTGGAAATGCTCACGCTGCAGCCCTTGCTATCCGACCAATGCTCACAAGTAGATTAGCCGAGATGCTCGTTCCCATGGAGGAGCAAACAGAGTGGGGAACCGAGATATTTGGACCCAAGGATAACTTCTTCAAGGTTCTGCTGATGATGATGGAGCACAAGACACTGGCACATGAGCAAATGGTCGCTGCTGGCTTTCAGTGGTTCATGCGTCAGCACTTTCAGCTTGACGTGTTCGCAGTTTTCACAGGACTACTCCACGATCGCCCGATGGGAATTCTTTCTGATCGCGCCTGGATCGTCATGGATAAAATTTATCTCGACCACCCTGACTTTACAGATATGACGATTAAGCAACATGTCGCACAAGCCCAATTTGTGCTCAAAGCTTGGCGGGCTCGGGAGACCGCCTACGCCCAAACCGGCCAGAGGATTGATGTTCCCGATTTCATCAGTCGACTTCGAGACCTGGTACCTTTTAACGACTCCAAATCGTCAGGCCAGGGATCCGTGGCATCCCCTGCAATAGCTACACCTCAGCAGCAGCCCATGGCGGGGTTCAACCAGTTCCTAGGCGGCTATCTCGATGTTTCCACTGTAAACTGGGAAATGTTTGGGGAATTCTTACCAAGTAGCGGAGAACAGCTCTCTACTGCTATGTTTGAGGGGTACCCCCTTGATAACCTCAATATGGGCAATCTGGGCCAGAGCTGATACTATGCATCTCTGATATCGGTTCTCTCGATGTATCGCGCCAAGCTGAAGAGAAGGTGGAAGACTCATACACATGTACTTGTAAGAAGTGCGAGGTAGCTGAAATACAGAGTGTGCGGCTGATTGGAGGACAATTCTTGTTGAGCTAGAAATTGTCGGATTTCTCTACATCAGAGGCAACTCCCTATTCTCCTCTATCTCTATCTCTCCCTCTTTTTTTTTTCTTTTCTTTTTTTTATTACTCATTTCTTTTGGTTTCTCTTCTACGTCTCCATCTCCTCTATTTTTCTTTTTGAACGGGGCGTTCAGGTCGACATAGAGTTGGTCTCCTCTCTGCATGGACATACGAATCGCCACAAAACATAATCATTCTTCTTCATCGTGTCGGGTATAGGTGGCTTTCAACACGATATCATATACGATTGAAACGGAGCCACTCCTACGTTTAATTTGTTTGCTAGTTTACCTATTGCACATTTCTGCTACTTGGCAATTTCTGTGTGTATTTGGATGAGCTTTTTGAGTATGGAGTGGGAGAAGATTGGTCACAAGGTGTGATTATGTACAACATGGAAGGCGCTTGCATGATGTGTATATATATATTATTTATATATTCTATCGGTATATACTCGTGGCATTTTGTGCACGTTAATCTACCTAGCTTAGTCACTGAAGCCGAATGTGATTCTTTGTTCCATCTACAGCGTGTATTGTTTATTCTCTCTCTCGCTCTAACATTATTCGATATGATCGATGACTAATGTAGCATCAATATATAGTAGCAGCGACTTCGTAGTAATACCTCAATAGTCTTATTATTTCCACCTAGTTTCGATAGATTAGTAAAGCTCCGTAGGGGAGAGACTGTATTGCTACCGGCGTGGCATATGTGATATGGCTGTCGAGAGGTGACGGCAACTTTGCTAGACAGAGAAAGCTATCTTAGCTCGTTCCTTGCTCTTGTTCAGCGCATTCTAGTTGAATCGCTATCTGTGTAAAATCGGTAAATAGGAGATGTTAAACGGAGATAATGGCGATAGGTTTGCGTAAGAATTTGTTCGTGGCGGCGATTGAGGAGCGTATGAAGGAGAAGGAGGAGAGGCAAGAGGAGAGATTTGGGAGGGAGGTTTTCTGGCGCCTAGACGAGATATCCACTAAAGAAAATATTTAGAGGTCACTTTGCAAATGGATTTGGATTGATCTGATGGCGTTTTGCTTTGGACTGGCAGCTGGTTAGAGGCGTGATGGTGACTTTGATGACTTTAGCATGGAACGGTCATTTTTGGAATCGGAAAGAAGGCTGATGGGAAACGTGCGAAATGTAGAATAACAGTTGCTCTTGAGATTTGATTCACGCTGAAGTTAATCAGAAAAATTGCACTGCTGGTGCTGGGGCAACTTGGTTTCAATGGCGACAAAAAAGAGTAGGCTAAAAATCAAAACAAAGGAAACCAACACAAACCAGCCTAGTTCAAATTTTGCAAAGGAGCAATAATAAGCACAAAGACGGCATCATTTTTTTTTTTTTTTTTTTTTTTAATATATATCATGTCACAGTCAAAATAGAAACAATATCAAAGGAAATACGTCAAAGGGATGCAGGTTATGTAATGAATAAAGGGTGCATTTATTCGAGGAGATTCTCACGAAGATAATGATGGTTAATCTTACACCCTATGAAAAACATGACGTTCCGCCATCTGGTGACCCTTTGTTAAGAACCAGTAATAAACCCATTTCCTTGTTAACCCTTTGTGAAAGCCAAATTATCCTCATCAAATATTCATCATCATCATCATCATTATCATGTATCGAGAGAATGTGCGGAGTTCGCTGCTGGTTATTTAGGCTTGAATCTCCTTCTTGGCGAGTTGCTCCTGCCCTTCAGCGGGGACAACGTCTGGGGCGTCTTGGGACTCCTCAGCGGCTTTTTGCTCAGCTTGAAGCTGGACAGTAGCCTCGGGAAGATCTTCCTGGAAGTGGCCTGGAAGCTTGGCCAGAGCGTTCTCGGGGAGCTGCTGGGGTTGCTGCTCGGCGAGGACGGTCTGGAGCTGAGAGTACACGGGAGCCTTGCCTTTGCCTTCGTATTGAGGCTCGCGGAGATCGTCAAGACTGTTGTACAGCTCCTGCTGGGTGGCGGTAATGGGGGCGTCCTCTTCTTGGTTGGCGTTGAGTTGAGCAGTGCTGTCAAGTTCCTGGGCTCCGTCCTGAGGCTCGCGGTAACCAGAAGACTCACCAAGCTCATCGACGTGATAGAGAGCAGAGTCGAAGGGGAACGGGCCGTAGATGAGATAGTCGGTATCGCACTCGTCATCGTCATCGCCTGCTTCAGCGAGGGCGTCACGACGCTCCTGATGCTTTTCGCGGCAGCGAACGACGAACATGGCGATGATGCAGGGGACGAAGAGCATTGAGAAGAGGCCGACGAGGGAGCCTGCAATGGCCGCGTAGAAGGCATTGTTGTGCTTGGTGGGTTTGGTGATGTCTGTCATGATGAATGATGGAAGGGGTTGATGATAGCAGTGACTTGATGACTTCTTTTGGGAGGAAAAGAGAGAGAGAGAGTTTTAGTTGAGAAGAGGATGGAAGAAGGGGGAGAGGAGGAGGAGATGGATGTTTTTTTGACGTACCTTTACTTGGTTTTCCTTTCTTCGGAAGAAGAAGATATGCGGTTCGATATTGATGAAGCTTTGCGTGAAGATGCGTTGAAGCGTGATGGCTAGCGATGAAGTAACGAGTGAAGCTCCAGAAGGGGAGAGTGAAGGTGGGAAGAAGAAAGCTGGAAAGGTTGGGGGGGAGCCTTGCAGAATTTGAAAAGAGAATTTGAGGGCGAGCGGGGGGATTCTCTAACACTTTGGGTTAAAAAAGTGATTTGGGTAGAGAGGGAGAGTGAATTCTGCAAGTGTCGGCAGCTGGTTATGGCCTGTCTCCCGCAGAGAGTGTTGTCTCCCCCCCTATTTTTCTGCGCAGTTACTGGAGAGGGGCCACAATGTGAAAGAAGAGGTGCTGAAAGTGAGATGTTTCTGATGGAACGAGAAGGCCTTGACGAAGGGGAGAGATGTGTTATGGTATGATATGGTGGATAGATGCTGTGGATGTTGTGTGTTGGATGTTTGGTTGCCGTGGTAGGTTTATGGCAGCTGGATTTACTAACGAGATGCTGCTAAATATCATATACAGGGCCAATGGTTCGCTTCAAATTCGAGAAAAATCAAGCATCTTGTCGTTTATCGACATAATGGAGGAACGCATGGGTGTATTGCTTCAAGAGAAACCAACTTGGCAGCCTTGCTGCTCTAGTAACTCTTCATGGGCGCGAGCCAGGAGGAGGTCCTGCAAAGTACTTGTTCCTTCCAGCAGCTATTGGTAGTAATAATCAGGCTATTATTGTTAATTGCTACATTTCACTACCTATTTTGCAGCAGAGTGCTCCTGTATTGACACGAGAAATGCGGGTTATCTCTTTTTATGGCATGCTTAATTCGGCTATTGAAGCCAGCTAAATTTTGCCAGTTCCATCTCAGCTACTTTCCTCTGCTAATACGTCATTGCTGCAGGACCATTCACTCTTAGCTCTCAGATTATGGATGGAACCTCCGCAATTTGACTCCTGATAGGTAAGTTCGAGATTCTTTGGGGCATTGGAAGTTTAGCAGCGTCGTATTCTTGGGGAGCTTCAGGCTGTTAGAGAAAGCCTTGTTCATTGCTTCCATGCTTGATATTCTTCTCTCTTTTTTCTCTCTCTCTCTCTCTCTTCATGGCAGAGACACATAACCAGACTAATCTGATTTACCCCAGCCGAGTAAAACTCGTAAAGCTATTGTTGACTTGCAGGACGCAGATTAGAACGCGTACACGACACGCCCACCCCTCTCCTCGATGCGCAAATTCAAACATGCGGTTTGCGACCAAAATTTCGGCATTTCATACAAATTAAAGCCTTCTTGAAACTTGAAAGCATTTTAGTTTGATTCGATTTGTTCACGATGAACTGCTTGATGATCAGTATCCGAATTCGAGGCATCATAGAGATTAAGGAGACACGCCTATTGTTAAGCAAGAATCAACTACCGTAATAAAGCAATAATACATCTACAAATCGCCCAAATTATGATGCTGCGGCAGCATTTATCAGTCTTTTGGAAATCAAGATCGAGCCGCTCGACAGGCAAAGAATTTCATGTGGTGATATAAATATATTTTCTTATTAATTTTGGTCATCTAATTGTTCAACACCAGGTTCTTTGCCTTCTCCGCCAAGCCGTTTCCATTCACGCTCTTCTCGTTTTCGAGGCGCGCCGCCCTCTCAGACAAAGTCTCGCTGTTGTCGGGATCAAAGAACGGCCGCTCTCCAAAGATGGCAGTGCGCTTTCCTTCTCGCAGCTCGGTGTCGTAGCCGCCAGGAACGGCCTTGTGGGCGATGATCCGGTTATCCCAGAAGGCGACCGCGCCGGGAGTCCACTTCCAGCGGGCGGTCACGTCGTCTGCGTTGGAGAGGTGCTCGCGCAGAAGGGCGAGGATGTGGTGAGACTCCTGGGCGTTGAGCTCCTGGATGCGCTCGAGGAAGGTTGGGTTGTAGAAGAGAGACTTGAGGCGGGTGACGGGGTGTGTCCGGACCAGGGGGTGGGCTGTGGAGATGGGATATCTGTGTGGTGTTCCGCCACCGTTGATGGAGCCGAGATAGGCTCTCTGTATCGTCTTTGGTTAGTTTTGACAAACTACTGATTGATTTGTCATGGGCAGAGAAGCGATGGAGAACAGATTATACATACATCTGAAGAGTGAATTCCGTGGAGGCCCTCGATGGCCTTCTGGAAAGCGGGACTGAGTTTGTCAAAGAGCGCGGTTTGGCTGGTGAAGATGGTGTCTCCACCGCTGGGGGGCGTCTTGAGCAGACGAAGCAGGGTATACGAAGGCGGGTTCACCTCGTAGGAGTGATCCCCGTGCCATTCTCCAGAGAAGTTGCCATGACCTCGGATGTTTCTGATGAAAAATTAGCAAGAAAGCCCACGGGGTGGCCATTCATGAGTTATAGAAGACTTACCCGCCACGGCCGATGATGGTTACGTGTTTGGGGTCTTGCTGGTTGGGGTCTCTGTCTTGCTACGGCGTTGGCTCCATGTTAGAGACGCGCCATTATGAATCATCATCACAAATGGAGCTACGTACAATGCCATAGTATGATGCAAGCTCGTGCTGCTGATCAAGAGTGATGTCTTGGTCACGGAAGAAGACGACGCCTCTCTACATTCAATTGTCAGTTGGCGCTTCTTACGAATATCGCTTTTAGTTGAAAGCACAATGACTCATTCTCCCTCTTCTCTTCTGTGCTTTAATTCCCATCACTTTTTCTTCTTCTTTCAAAATTCAAATGCATACCTCTGCTACCAGCAGTGCCAGTTCATCCTTTTGCTGGTCGGTCAGCTTGTTCAGCTGGACTCCTTTCAGCTCAGTTCCGATATATGGAGTGACCTCCTCAACAGCTGTCGCCAACCCCAGCAGTGAGGCCTTGGCTGGGTCGGCGAAGAAAGCTCGATCGCGGGCTGGGACGAATTCCTTGAGCTCCTCATGAGGAGGCTTATATGCCAGCACGGCGGGGGTGATTGCGGTGCCGACGATGACGCTCGGAGTGAGGACGTTGGCCATATTGGATGCGAGTTATCGAAGAGGATATTTAATTCTCTTCTTTGAATTTTGGCGCCTTTTCTACCCTTGTCCCTTGTCTCTTCACAAGATCCTTTTCGTTAATCTTTTTCTAACTTTTTTATACGCCCAGGGCTCTCAGTTCCTATTAACAAGCAACTGGACAATTCTTTAAAGATGGGTACGGCTAATAGATTTCGACGAACCAATCGGCTTATTGCCCCGATGTGTGCGCATCTTCGGAGATGTCAATTCTGCGTGCGGGAGGCTATCGCCATGCCCATTCGAGATGACGACAGCGCGCGAACTGATAACCCCGCGAACTCGGGCATGCAACCATCTAACACGCAGTTGGTAGCCATGCTGACGATCTTGCATGCAGTGCATCCCGCGGGGAAGCTAAGCTCGAAGGCTCTGGGATATGGAATCAAATATCTGGATTCGTAAGTTGCTGGTTGTTTAGGGCCGGACCAGGGCCATGATACCATTATTAGGTTGCAAACGTCATCAACCTGATAGGTCTACTGAACAATGTGATAGCAGATCGCTTAACTCGCAACGGGGGAGTTTTATATGTTTTCTGTAGATACTTGACGGTTTTGCGCGTCGGTTGCGCTTGGAGGTGTGTCGAGGCAGAGCATACATGTACATGATACCATTTCCATATCGAAGACGTGATTTTCAGCCATGCAGCCTCACATCAAAGGCGCGCGCAACGTGATATTTCACTAGTTTGATGCTTTTTTGAGATGTGACGACAGGTGAGACGAGATGGTGACTAGATGTAAACGTATATACTCTTTAGCATTTGTTTAAAATTAGAATAAGAATAAAAATATATACGGGAAGATTATTATTTCATTTCGTTTGTATTCGTCTTTGACTTTAGTTCTAGATAATCTGTCATGTAATTGGCAACAATGGCGATTGAATCAACAGAAGCAGCAATTCCATCCGAGGTGCTCGACAAAGAAAAGCCCATTGATGCTGCAAGCTCGAGGTCCAACAAGAGCGTTGTGCCCGACAACAATGAAAAGTCTACCGCTGTGGTCGACTCTCAATATGAAGCAGCATCAACCAGTTCCAACAGTGATGTGTTCGACATCAAGGCAATCGACCCCGTTTTATCTCGGAAGATGGCGCTCGTGAATACGGCAATTGACGAGATTGGCATGACAAGCTTCCAGTGGAAACTCTTCTGGCTCAATGGATTTGGATATGCAGTTGACTCGGTATGGCGTGCCGCATGACCCTCACTCACTCCAACTCGTTGATGAGCCAAGTACTTCGTTAACTGACATGTTGCGAGTTTTTGATTTACATGTAGCTTCTAGTTGTCTGCCAGTCTATTGCGAATCCAGCCGTCCAGCAGGAGTATGGACTGCCAAGCGCTCACGTATCTGGCATCCCTCTGGCTTCACAGGTTGGCCTCCTGGTGGGAGCTGGCATCTGGGGCTTCTCCGCCGACATCATTGGCAGGAAGCTTGCCTTCAACACAAGTCTCCTCTCTAGCGCCGTGTTTGTCCTTATTGCGGGCGGTATGCCATCGTACATCTCATTCTCGGCCATGTAAGTCCCTTGCACTAAGACTCTTCTCTTACCTTTCCCAGGTCAAGGTTTTGGCAGAAAACTAATCCATGTTTATATACGTTGTCAACCAACAGCGTGGCCATCTACTCGGCCGGTGCTGGCGGCAACTACATCCTCGATGCAACAAACTTCCTCGAGTTCCTCCCCACCAGCTACGCATGGCTCGTCACCTTCATGGCCGTCTGGTGGGCCGTCGGATACACCATCACGGGCCTGCTTGCGTGGGCCTTTATGAGCAACTTCAGCTGCGCGCCCGACGCGGCGGTATGCACTCGAGCAGATAACATGGGCTGGCGATACTTGCACTTCACTTGCGGCGCGCTTGTGCTGGTCGTGGCTTTTGCGCGTCTGGCGTTTGTGCGCATGGTGCAGACGCCGCGGTGGCTGATTGCGCAGAATCGCGACGAGGAAGTCATCAAGACGCTGAACGATCTTTCTACCAGGGCAGGGAGATGGCACAACTTGACTCTGGAGCGGTTGCAGGCAGAAGGCGTGGTTCTTCACACGGAGGAGTCCGTCTGGTCTACGCTCCGGCTCAAGATGCACTTCAAGGGCCTCTTCCAGACGCGGAGGCTGGCCTGGTCCACCGCCGTCATCCTGGCCAACTGGTTCGTCATTGGAATGGTCTCGCCGCTGTACAGTGTCTTTCTGCCGTTCTATCTGCAATCCCGGGGTGCCGTGGTCGGCGACGATTCCAACTATGCTACGTGGAGGGACTACGCCATCAACCAAGTGGCCGGGCTTGTCGGCCCCGTGGTTGCAGCAGTGCTGATTGAGACCAAGTTCTTTGGGCGCAGGGGCACTCTTGCGGTTGGTGCGCTGATCACCATGGTGCTGCAGTTTGGCTATACGCAGATTAAGACGCCGGCGCAGAATCTTGGTGTTTCGGCTGCCATTTCAGCGGCATCGTAAGTTGCGATTTTTTGACTTAAAACACCCCACTCATTTAATTTTTTCGCTGGACAAAAGGCTAACAAGTTTTTTTTTTTTGTGGCTGTCGCAGGAACATCTACTATGGCACGATATATGCGTATACGCCGGAGATTTTGCCGTCTGCGCATCGTGCGACGGGCTATGGTCTTTGTGTTGTGCTCAACAGGGTCGGCGGGATTCTGGGCGTGTTGGTGGGCAGCTATGCGAATGTGGAAACGACAGCTCCCTTGTTTGTTTGCGCGGCCTTGTTTGGGCTGCTTGTCATTCTAAGTTTAATACTTCCCTTTGAGTCCAGAGGAAAGAGAAGCCAATAATAAAGGAATCTTCTGGCTTGTCTCTCGTGTAAGATGTCTTTGTGTAAGATTGAGCTGAAGAAGAGATGAGTTGCATATTTTGCCGTTGCAGCCGCGGTGGAGATGGATGGCTGCTGCTGCTTAAAATATCAGCCGTGCCTGTTGCCAAATGAGGTAACTTTTTGTCATCTTTCTTCCGATTCAGTATCAGAACGGCGATCCACGACCAGTTATATATCATGCCGCTGGGCTATTGTCGGAGAAGCATCTGGAAACCCCCTCGGAACCGGTTTCACTCGCTGTATGTGAACCGGCCCAGAGCAAAAAAATGCCGGACAGCCTCCCCGTGGCTTATCTCTCCCGGCGTAGCATCTGCCGGCTTGTCGAAGATGGAGAATGCGGGGATGGCACAGGAACAAGAACCTGCCCTGACTCGGGACGTGACGAGATTCGGCGGTCCAGCCTCCGGCCCGGCCACCGGACATGGACGAAACCTTGTCCACGCTTTTCGATTTGATAGGCTTGAGATAAAGTGACAGGTCTCGTGTCATTTGCTCTTCTCCAGCGAGAGGTTCTAGAACTAGTTTGGAGATTCTGGGGTCTAGTGCGCGAATTTGTTTGATGCCCGCATGATCAAAGCATTACGTGGTGGCAAACTTCCCCACACACGATAGCGAAGAGGATGTCTCTGGCAGTAAGACTTTGCTATCTCGGCTGAGGTAGAGAGGTGTGGAGATGGGGATGATAAGGGATAGAGAATCTCCTCGGTCACAGGTGGTGGAAGAAGAAGAAATCAATCAGCTAGCTAGCTATTAAGATGGTTAAGATGGTTGATGGCTAAGGTGAAGAAGACAAGACATGTAAAACAATATTTCATATGTGACATCACTATGTAGAGAAAATCGACAAGGTCATTAATTTTTAAATGGTATATTCTTTTTTTCCACTTAATCCTATTTTCTAAAGCCATATGATGCGCGCCAAATCCAGATAGTTTTATACAGATTAACCCAAAAACACTAATTAAAAAAATGGCTTCTCTCATGAAACAACGCCTTTTCGCTTTCCAATTTTTTTCTTGTGTCTCTATGCAGATCCAAGGGCCTTGTCCAGGGACTCAATCAGGTAAGGGACTGTTGTTAAAAAAAAAAGTCAGTTCAGCTAGATCTTAAAAGAGAATAAGTTTTGTTTAGTTGGGGCGGCTGGAAACTCACTGTGAGCCTCCTCAAAGACAAGCATGGGGCGAAGTCGCACGGTTCGGACACCGCAAGTGCCAATGTTGACGCCAAGGGTCTTCATCTTCTTGACAAGAGCGGCCGAGTCTTTGGTGTCAAAGGCAATGTAGGTTCTAATCAAGAGGGCATTAGTTACGTGAAATTCGTTTTCATTCATTGGCTGCTCGCTGCCACTCACCCTCGGTCCTTGCCACGAAGGTTCTCAACCAGCTGTGGGTACTTTTCAGCGAGGCGCTCCATCTCCTTGTAGAGTGCCGCACCAACGCGAGCCTAAAAAAAAAATCGAGTTAGCTTTTGATACTGAGGAGTAAAAAAAAATAGTTTTCTTTTCTACTGGAGCTTACAGTCTGGTTGCAAAGGTCCTTGGACAGAATCTCCTCGACGACGGCCTTGGCCATGACAACACGGGCTGGGTCACCGATCCAGCTATTTTTCTCAAATTAGCACACATAAAAGTAATTAAACACCATGGAGGAGCAACTAACGTGTTGAACTGGCGGTAAGCCTTGTCAGGCACCAGTCTGGGGTTGCCAAAGAAGTAGCCCGCAGTGTTGGCCTTCTTGGAGAAGGTGACAATGTCGGGAGGCGAAGTAAGGTTCCAGTGCTCGTGGCCCCAGAACTTGCCGGTGGCGCCGAATCCTACACACGGTGCATTAGCGGACTTTTTTTTTCAATATGGTGAACCTGTGTAAGATAATTGAGCATACCAGTCTGGACCTCGTCGACAATCATGGTGACGTTGTGCTTCTGGGTAATGTCGCGAAGGCCCTGGAAGAAAGCGGCAGAGGCGTGGTTGTCACCGCCCTCGCTCTGGATGGGCTCGACAATCAGGCCGGCAACGGGGAACTGCCACGTCTTGATGAGCTCCTCGACCTTGTCGAGGCAGCGCTTCTCCTCGGCGGCGTTCTCGGCGGCGTACTTGTCCAGAGGATATTTGAGCGCCGGGAAGGGAGCCTGAGGCCAGTTGAAGGAGGGGATGTCGAGCTTGTGGACGGCCTTTGAGCGCGTGGTGGACAAGCTGCCGAAGCCTCGTCCGTGGAAGGAGTTGGCGAAGCTGAGGATGGCCAGGTCGGGGGAACCAGGCTTGGCGTTGTTGAGGCACGAGGCGATCTCCTCGTCGGTCCACTCCACGCCCTCGCCGCGCTGCTTTCGGCGGTAGAGCATCATGGCGGCCTTGTAGGCCAGCTCGTTGGCCTCGGAACCAGACTGGGCGGTGAAGATCTGGTCCAGTCCCTTGGGGGCGACTCTAAGGAGGCCGTTCTTCAGGACGTCGTGCCACTGGCTGGAGGGGAAGTTGCCCAGCGCGGGACGGTTGACCAGGGCGGAGATCAGCTCGGGGGACTGAGCGGCCTTGATCAGAGTAGGGTTGTTGTAGCCAACAGGGATGGAGGCAATCTGAGAGTAGCTGTGTTTGAGAAGTGTTAGATGCAAAGCCTAAAGCATTAAGATAGGTATGTGCAATTGTTATAAGTCTAATCAACATACACATCGAGGTACTGGTTGCCGTCAACATCGACAATGCTTTACGTTTAATAAGTCAGCTTCTATGCTACAATTCATTCAAAACTCATGACATGTTTAAAAGATAACATACTAGTTGCCAAAGCTCTTGTCATAATCGGCAATGAAGTAGAAGGCTCGGTTATCAAAGAAGGCACCCAGCTTCTCGGCCTCAGCCTTGGACTTGGGGCCGGGGATCTCAGTGGCCACCTTGACTTCGCGAACAGAAGACATGTTTGCTGCAGGAGGATGAACTTGTGTGAGATGAAGAAGAGTTAAAGTTCAAGATTGCTCTGATATACAACAAGACAATATCTTCTCACAACAAGATGGGTAGCGCATACTCTGTTCTTTATAGTTTCGAATCTTGTCTTGTAAGTGCCCCCCCGGCAATGGCCTTTGCCGGCTAACCACGGTGGCGGACGTGGGGATGGGGCTTAGCGTCGCGACCGGGCCGGTTCCGGCTGCTGTGCCGGGCCCACGTGAACAGCTTCCGGGTGGTTTTCTGGAGATGCCGGTCGTGGCAGATGGAAAGATGGGAAGAACGATATCGGAATTGGCGGCGTGGGAAAATGAATCGTGGATGGGATGCAATTTGGTAATGCGAATCTGGCACGGATTGATAATGGGTTCGGAATCCATCCGGATGCTGACTTGCAGCCGGTTCTATAAGAAGAGGCGGGGAGGACATTGGGGAGCGAGTTCATCATATATATCTATTCATAAATACATTAAATAAATTTCTTAAACTTACTTCTTTGTTACACTTAAGAATAAAAAGAATCACACGATAAGTTTGAGAATACACACAGATAAAATGTCTGCTGCCGCTGCATCGCTCCTCAAGGACGCATCGCTGCTCAAGACGAAATCTTACGTCAACGGCGAATGGGTCGAAGCCAAGTCGGGAAAATGGTTCACTGTTGACAGTAAGTTGAAAACTTAGAGACAAAAAAAAAGGTCATATCTGTCTATATAGCATGAAAGTTTCTCTAACGTTTGATGCACAGATCCTGCTACTGGAGAGGAGGTTGCAAAATGCCCAGAATTTGACGCGGAAGACACTGAGGCCGCCATCAATGCGGCCAACACTGCCTTCCAGACATTCCGCAAGGTGCCCCCCCAGGAGCGCTCTCGCCTCCTCCGCCGCTGGTACGACCTCATGGTCGAGAACGCCGAGGACATTGCCAAGATCATCACCCTAGAGAACGGCAAGGCCCTGCCCGATGCCAGGGGCGAGGCCGCCTACGCCGCAAACTTCTTCAAGTGGTTCTCCGAGGAGGCGCCCCGGATCTACGGCGATGTCATCCAGCCCAGCGCCGCCAACTGCCGCGTCGTCACGCTCAGGGAGCCCATTGGCGTGTGCGGCCTGATTGCGCCGTGGAACTTCCCTGCGGCCATGATTACTCGCAAGGTCGGCCCTGCTTTGGCCGCGGGCTGCACGGTTGTTGTCAAGGCTCCTACGGAAACGCCCCTGACGGCGCTCGCCATAGCCGAGCTGGCTCACCGAGCCGGTATTCCCAAGGGCGTTGTCAACGTCATCACTGCTTTCGACAACACGCCGCTGGTTGGCAAGATCCTCACAACGAACCCCATTGTCAAGAAGGTGTCCTTCACCGGCTCGACCCCTGTTGGCAAGATCCTGATGAACCAGAGCTCCTCCACGCTCAAGAAGCTCTCCTTCGAGCTGGGCGGCAACGCGCCCTTTATCGTCTTCGAGGACGCCGACCTCGACTCAGCAGTGCAGCACCTGATTGGATGCAAGTTCAGAGTCGCCGGCCAGACATGTGTCTGCGCCAACCGCATCTTCGTCCACAGCAGCATCTACGACGAGTTCGTCAAGCGCGTCGTCGACATCGTCAAGACGTTCCAGGTCGGCAACGGCCTCGACAGCAAGACCACCCACGGGCCCCTGATCCACAGCAGGGCCGTGGCAAAGGTCGACGAGCACGTGCAGGACGCAATCTCCAAGGGCGCTCGCCTGCTCCATGGCGGCAAGAGACTGCCCCTGGGCCCCAACTTTTACGACTTGACTGTTCTGGCGGACGTGACGCCCAAGATGCAGGTCTTTAGAGAGGAGACGTTTGGACCGGTCGCGGCCTTCTTCAAGTTCGATACCGAGGAGGAGGTTGTTGCGCTTGCCAACGATGCCGATGTTGGTCTGGCGGGATACTTCTTCAGCAAGGACAACAGCCGATGCTGGCGCGTTGCTGAGGCGCTGCAGGTGGGCATGGTTGGCGTCAATGTTGGGGCCATCAGCGATCCTGCTATTCCGTTTGGAGGCGTCAAGGAGAGTGGGTTCGGACGAGAGGGCAGCAAGTACGGTATGGATGAGTACCTCACCACCAAGATGGTCATGACTGGTATCTAAGCGCCGGTTTGTGAAAAGAGAAAGGAAGAAAGAAAGAAAGAAGCAACGGAACATCTCGGAAAAGAGCGAATAGCTCCATGTATTATTTGGCTTAGCGATTGCATTAATGTATCAGACTTATTAGAATTAGTTTTAGAAGGGCATAGGGAAAAAAGAACAAAACTTACCTCTTTCAACGTCCTATTCTTGCACTTTCATGTCACTTGTTGGCTTCAAGAAAACGCGGCGTAGCTATTGCTTCAAATGTGCGTATGATCGCTGTGACTCTATATATAATAACTCGAACCGGATACTTGACGCCCAAATGAAGTAAAAACATGCCCAAAGTAGTCGACAGTCATCCGGTGTCTGCCCGAATCCCCAAAAATGATTCGTAGAATGTAAAGTCCGACCCATCCCAACCCAAAATCATAACAATCTGATATTCCATAATAACCGTCCCATACTCCAATTCGTTTTAACAATAGCAATATTTTCCCTCCCAACAATTAAATCAGTATGCCGGCCTGCGGTAATGAGCGCGTATCGTTGACTTATTCAGCCGAATGTCCCTCTCGATAATTCAGCCACTCGCCGCTCAGTTATTCCTCAAGGCGTGAGGTGATAGCTCTCTATGACCAGAGATTAGATATTAACCTCCTCATTTTCCCATTATAACTTCTTCATATGCATATGAATAGCCAGAGTCGTTTATAGAAACTGCATCACGATGCAGCCCCCCCACGTCTCCTTCGTCATCTCGCCATGATTGCCCGTAAACGATCGCGTCTCCTTTGCTTCTGCGCAACAGGCTCTTCGATGCCGTACGCTGCCAATTCGAACGGATCAGATGCATCTTCGAGTTTTTCGAGTTTTTTCCGCCTCAGGGTCAGCCAGAACAGGACCAAGAGTGCGGATCCGATGAGAAGCAAGCTATAATAAAGAAATGGTAAGTTAGTAAGTCTGCATCTTTGGATAATATAGGATAAAGGGAAGGAGATGTCATACGCTGTGGCGATGATTACTGCGATAAGGACATGCGTTTGAGACAAGGGCTTCTCGCATGTATTACTCTCCTGGGTTTCTGTGCAGCGCGCCAAAAGGCGATTGGTAAAGCTGTTTAATTGCTCTGTTGAGCGTCTTAATACGCTTCCCAACATCTCTCGCGCCATAACGACGCCTTTGTCACTTTCCATCACTGCAATAGAGAGAACAGTAATGATGGATGATAAAGAAGTAAATATGTGTGTAAAAGAGTGTGTAAATGAGTGTGTAAAAGAGTGTTTTTGCAGGACGCAAAACAAAACACCATCCCTCCAGCCACCATCCCTCCAGCCACGACCTCGTATATAACGCTCACCTTATCACGCTCGTGTCTCTAGCCAGCCCCCAATACTACTCACTAACTAAACCATAGTTTGACTATTGAACCGCATCACCCATTGCGCGCGGCCAAGGAGGGCTGTGCAGCGGAGGTTTCAGATGTGCATTCCCCACAACCCTGGGAAATGAAACAGAAGCGGCCAGGCCAATGGAGGCGCCCTTGTGCCTGGTTTCACCCCGCGCTGGCCGACGCTTTTGGTGTAGCTTGGCGCTGGTGGCTGATCGTTCTGGTATGGCGATGCAAGCGCAGGATCGCCCTGACGCCGGTGAGACGCTATTTACCCGCGCTCTCTCAGGGCATGGCCGTCTTCAAACGGCCTGCGCAATGCCGGAGGGGGAACTTGATTTGTCGCATCGCGTCTGTCTAGGAGGACTTGCGCTGCTAGTCACGGCTTTACGCGCGTCCACATCTCGTATCATGAAATACTACTCCGTACTGCTAATGACGATAGGCGTTAGAGCAGAGATAACAGACAATGGAAACCCAAAAGATGAATTGTGACACACGAACCGGGTAAAAACTTGCCGAGGGCTAATAGTCCCATCCCGTCTCTGTAAAACCGTCACATCACGCAAAAGCAGCACCAACCTGCCGTTTCCAGCCATGCAGCAGGGGTCCACTCAGATCTACAGCACATACATACTTGTATCTCAACCCTCGGTTTCCCCATAATTAGAAGCTTTGACAATAATCCACATAGAGCACTTTCAAGACGCATGATGTCAGAAGTGATATCATATTAATACATACATACATGGTGGTCCCTCGAATGTATCATCCATCCATCTCTCGTTATTATGATTAATTATAGGCTGGCGAGCCGTAGCCCTTGTTGTCTTATAATGGCGGCGGCTGCTGTTTGAACCAGCCACCGTCAGCACTCTCCCTTCAGATACCTAGCCTTGTGCAAAAGCCGGCATGGCGGTTGTACCGCAGGCCCTGCAGTAAGGTTGTCTGTTCACTGTTCTAGTCCACCACTGTAATCATCATCCAGCTCTGTTTCCTGTCGTGTTACAAATATGGGCGACTTGACGTGAGGCATCTTCGGTATCCTTTTTGGTTAAATTCGTTCCCTTATCGCCAGCTGCGTTTTTCATCCATGTCCCGAATCGATGTTATTTCCAAACTCATTTCCAAAGAATGCCGAGAAGTCATCCAGACTCTGCGGAAATGACGCAAAGTGTCCGTCTACGCCAAAGAATGGAGTGCCTGATGGCATCATCGAGGGTTCTTCCTTCGGAGCTTCTCCCAGATGCCTCGGCTGGTCCATCACCGGCGGCACCATCGGCACTGGCTTGCTCTCAACACCTCTCTCAACCATTTCCGCTATAGGCGCGTCGCTCTTCCAAAGTTGCTCCCACTTTTTGAATTTCGCATATTCGGACTCGCTCACCATAGAGCTGGCTGTCAGTTCCTGTGCATTCATGTTGGCTATAGCTTGTTCGAATGCCTCTATTAGTGATGTTTCGGAGTGTGCAGACTGGCTGCCAGTTGACATTTCCTTGAGCATAGATAGCCCATCCCGTAAAGCCTGTCGGAACATGTATGTTTTTTGAGAAAGACACTGCGTGGTAATGACCAAAAGAGCCGCCCGACAAGAGCTGAATTCAGTATAAGACGCACGAGCAAGGCCAATGCTATTGCGCAGAGAGCGACACGTGTCTATGATTGACAGTGCGGCCTCAGTACAGTCCGCAACCAAGGTCGAACGAGTACCCTTCCTGCTCAGCGACGCACTGGAGGGCCCATTGGCAGATGTAGCTGGACTGGCGCCGTCCTTGAATCCTGCCTCAGGGAAGATAAAAACGCGGCCGACAAACATGCGTACAAGGCAATATTCCAGGTGCAGGTGCATATGTTGGCGAGAAATTGTCGACTGAGATGTAAATTCTTTGCAAAAAATGTCATTCGGCAGAGATTCCCACCAGCTTTTAAGCTCGCGGTGCAGCCCCAAGAGCCTCTTCAGGCCTTCTGGAACGTCATGCTTGGGTAGAGACCGTAGTATAGTTCTAAAAATATCATTAGCAGGTTAATTTGGTATTCGATAGTGTAGTATCTCACATCTCTTGAGACATTCTGCTGAGCTTTTGATTTAGTTCAAAAGTCGCCAGGAGATGTGCAGTATCGGTTGGTGAGGTTGATGACCAAAGTTCGGGGAGATGAATGGGATAATCGGCGTCCACATCAGTGCCTGAAATAGATGTTGGCCTTCCATGGAAGATTCCGACACGCCTATTCAAGTGTTAGTTCAAGTTGCAATTTGATACTCTATTCGGGGAAAATAGTATCCTCCAGCCGTAACACGTACTTCTCAATCGTGTATACACTCCACCACACTCGATTCCTGGTCTCGACAATGCGCACATCCCGATTTTCGACAGGATATTTTCTATGCATGCCGTTTTGTATCGCAAGCTTCAGGGCCAGATTTAGATAGATGTAAGCCAATCCAGATGCATCCACTGGCAGAGTGTATATACCCAGCAATAGGACAGCCTGCACGCTCTCCAATGAGGATACTGTAATGACATCTGGAAGCAGTCTGCACGCTTGCTGATAGAAGAGTATTCCAACTGCATCCTCCGAGAAGGCTCCCGCCCCTTTCTCTGTGGGGTTCTCGGCGCCTTCAACCAAGGATTCGAGATAAGCAAACTGCGTTCCAATGGCGAAAGTAGCAAAAATAATGCCGATTATTCCCACATCTCTCCGAGAGAAAGATGCAGGGTTCTCGTAAGCAAGATTCAATTTGGCCTTGAGCCAGTCTTGTTCAACGAAGAAATAGTTGGTCTGCGCATGCTTGAAAAAGGAATAGACTAGGAAGTCGGCGATAGGTCTCGGTGGTAATAATGATAGTGATCCTAGAATTTCTGAGTTTGACTGAAGCTCCTCGGCGCGATAGTATTCCTTGAATGCCGTCGCAGACTTGGACGATTGCTACATAAGCTAGTCAGCCTCGATGTTAAAGACAGAAATAGGTAGCATGTGATATTCACATTTAAAGAATCATTTGTAACTGTTTGGTCGATCCACTTCTTTATGCGCATGGAAAAGTTCCAGTGTGAAAACTCGCCGGAATAATCTGTAGGTCCAAGTTAGTTTTCAGTGCGTGGCAAAAGGGGCAAGATCAAGCGTTATACGTGTAACATTGCCATGGAGAGGTCGCATCTCAAACTTCTCGTCCACGCCATCGAATTCGGAGCTCTGTGACGAGATATCAACCGGTCGAGAGGAGTCCCGGCGCTTGTCCGTGGCCTCGGCCAGGTCCTTGAGAGCGTCGAGGTCAAGCGCATCCTTGCTGCCAACGTAGCCCTGGACAATCCTCTCGAGGTATTCTAGGCGCTTGGCCTGGTCAGCCGCGCTCTCGGCTGGGCGGGGTCTTTGGTGGTTGTCAGAACGATTCCGCCTTATGATGTTGAGCATGGACAACCAAAACAGCATCATGGATGATAAGCTCTACCTTGCTATTGCTGCCGGGCGCACGCCTGAGCCGGCCTGGGAATCGGCATCGGCAGACGCCCTGGCCGTGAAGTCGCACGGGCGGCCTAGCCGGAAGCACCGCCGGCACGGCACACCTCCATCGCACCTCTCCTTCTGGCGGCGACAGCCATCGCACCTACATTTGCGGTGTCAGATGAGATTCCTTCTGGTTTGAGCTTCCTTTGCTCTCGGGACAACGTACGCTCGAGCCGCTCGTTTCCTCTCTCTATCTAGGTGACGGCTGGACTTTGACGGCGGCTGCTGGATGTCCATGGGGGTCACAGCGATGACATCAATGCAGGGACAGTCCGAGAAGCCGCAGAGTTTTTGATTCCAAGTGACGAAGCCCCATTACCGATGAAGCAGAAGAGTGGAGATTGAAGATTAGTGTTGGTCACTGTCGCAACTCCCCAGCAGAAGATATGGCTGCTGCTAGGCGGCGATGACTAAGCACGCGACTAGACGGCAGCCTGGCCGAGGTCGGGATATATCGTAGTCTCTACTGGTGGTAAGCCCAGCCCCCAAGCTCGATGCTAGCAGCAGCAGCTGTTTATTGCTTATTTTATTACTATTTTATTACCATTTTATTACATAGTGTCGAGCCAGGCGGTGGATACCAGAGTCGAGATGCAGTGCGGGGGGCTAGCCCAAGAACCGGAACGTCGGTACTCTGCGGAATCTTCCATTTCTTCTATACATGCATGAGACTCGTTGGAAGCCAGAGCCTCAGCTCTCTACAGGCGCAGCGTTTGTGGGGCAGTCCGTCTTGCATACAACGGCGTATAATCTGCCTGTTAGCTGCATCTTTGTATTCTGCCAGTTGATAACTTGGTGCCTCCTGGCTACTTACTAGATCATCCAGTGAGTAGAGAGGTATATGTGAGTGCTCGAATTACAAACCGTTGCACCTACTCATCGTGCCTTGTACTGGATTCGCCACAGTCGCCTCCACGGGGCCATACACCAGACGGAGACACTAGCTGTGTTCCATGTGAAATATCGAACTACTACACTCGTTAAAGAGATACGGCGTCAAATTACGTGCTGCTGAGCGGGTGGACAGAATTAATACCGTGTTGCCATCTGTTTTGTATGTTCCAGCCTATAAACGGCAGTCTACGTTAACAAAGAGGTCAAAAATAGACTACTCACGCTGCAGTAAACTTGCTGATCACGAAATTGCTCTCGGGCAAATAGTTGCAAGCGACCCTCTGTACGCTATTGCCAAGATCTAAACCCCTGTAGCCACTACCTTTACCTTAGTGCTAATATATGTTAGCCTACCTATGTGTCTGCTCTATCAATTGTAAATGATATCTACTATGATAACCTCAAAAACGCCTACACTTCTAACCTGATGCGGCCGGTTAACACCAGACATCAAGTAAAAGAGCGAGAACAGCGAGTTTTACACAAGCCATAGTGGGATTGAATGTCGCCGTGGCTGGTAAAGCAGAGTTGTGCATACGTCGGAGTTTTTGTCCGTGCCCTAAACTCAATCTGAATTGATGAATAGTAATCACGGCTTTGACCCCACGGGTGGTGCTCCCACGCATTTCCAATTCTGTTGAGAATATATTAGTAGAAGGACGAGTTGCAACCGCTCCAGAATAGAATTGCCTGTGGACTAGTCCTCAAAAGCCCAACTAATATACATCCATGCATTGATTCTTGATCCTTGACCAACCCACTTCTGCTTCAGCTTCAGTATCCGCTTTCCACAACACCTACTAGGTAGTTGCTCCATACTATCTACCGGCGACATGCCGCAGTCCTTCTCCTTTGTCAACTTTGACGGGCCCAACCTCGTCCCGGATGCGCAGGTTCGGCGGCGCATCCGGCAGCAGGCGATGAGAGACACTGCCGTGGCCCGGAAACAGAGAGGCGGCTATGGCAAGCATAACATGAGGCAGTATCCCGTCTTTATAAGCCAGCCTGACGGTGTTGAGGCTGCAAAGGATGCGCCGGACTCAAATGAAGTACAGCGCCTTCGCCAATCTATAGATCTCTACGTCCCGTTTTCCTTCCAGGATCCGAGCTTGCCCAAACAGTTTTCTCTGCTTCTAAATCTCATGCCGCTGACCGGCCTTCGTCTTGGTGTCGGGACCCTCTCCCACTATCTCTACGAGCCAACCCAGCCCAAAGATGCCATCGTATCAGCACAGGCCTCGAGTCAGAGGCTCCTATCGTTCATCCCAAGTCGGTATGGACACGTCCGGCTGCTTCGCCACGCAACAGATTGTGTCATTGCAAAGCTTCAGTATCTTTCGCAACCGGAAGAAAATAGATCGCCCAAGGGAGATTTAAAAGCGCTGATGCACTATCAAAAAGCACTTAAAACGCTTCAAGAGGCATTATTAGACGAGCGCGAGTGGGCGAAGCCAGAAACTCTTTGCGCAACACAGCTTCTAGGGATTTTTGAGGTGAATAGAACATGCAGATATCGAAATCGTCTCGGCTTTTAAATCATAATTAACCAAAGTATATCTACAGGCCTTGAATGGAAATGAGAAAGATTCTTGGATGCAACACGTCGGGGGCGCGGCTAGACTTGTGGAAGCTCGAGGGGCTCACATGTTTAAGTCGGAATTTGAGAAAGCCCTGTTCTTGTCACACATTGGCCCAACGGTAAGAATATCCAGGCCTCAAAGTTTCAAAAAATTACCAAGTAGGCTCATTGTATTTTTACTCAGGTCATGTCAGCATTTCTAAGCAATACAACCTGCTTTCTGGAACAGTCACAGTGGCAGGCCGTTATTCGAGAGGCGGTCAACGAAGACGCAACTCTTTCAAATGATAAGGAATTTGTCCTCGCACTATGGGGCGGCCTTATTGAGCTACCAAGGCTCTTCAAAGATACAACTGCACTTCTGATGGCGTCTTGCCCGCCTCCACAGAAGATTATCGACGAACTCATAGAGCGCTTGTTGGCAAAACGGAAAAATCTCATGATATGGCTGACTATGATAAGGAAGAATCCCATAGTCAAAAACGGAGGACTAGTAGATGATGACAATGGCGTTCTCATTTTTTCTACAGACTTTGATTATAAGGCTCTGGGACCCTGGTGTCTAACACGCATGGCGTTGCGAGGAACATACGCCGTGTGCCGAATGGTCAAGTCGCGGCTTTTGTACGCTACATCTCCTGAAAAGTTTCAGTCTATGGAAGCGGAAGCGCAAGATATAGCACGTCGCGTTCTGAGTTTGCAGGACGACATGGCAGCCGCCAAACAGTCTACTTTGGTATGGAATCAGTTTATGGCGCAGGGAAGCTGGATTGCGAAGGGGATTGTTGAAACAAGAGAGTTATGGGGAGAGACCCGGGACACGAATGAAGGAATGCTTGAAAAATGGAAATTTGAGAAGTGGAATCAGGTTATAGGAAGGAAAATCTCTTAGCTATCTACCAAAGCCAATGTCAAAAACTTCTTGGGATACTATCTCCCAATTATCAGTCCATTATTAGCCCATGATTATTAATGCATTCTCAATTTATTCTTAATTTATTGTTCCTTGCATCGGATCGCGAAATTAGATTCTTAATTCATTCTCAATTTATTCTTAATTTATTGCTCCTTGCTTCGAATCGCCAGATTAAGTTCTTCTTGTTGAGCGTATGCCTTAGATCCATTGCCCATTACTATATTAGTAGTAGAAGTAGTAGAAGTAGTAGAAGTAGTAGAAGTAGTAGAAGTAGTAGAAGTAGTAGAAGTAGTAGAAGTAGTAGAAGTAGTAGAAGTAGTAGAAGTAGTAGAAGTAGTAGAAGTAGTAGAAGTAGTAGAAGTAGTAGAAGTAGTAGAAGTAGTAGAACCGGTAGTAGCACAACCTGAAGGAGTAGTAGCAGGGCCAGAAGCAGTATGAGGAGCGACGAGATTAATCGAAGTATCAGGAGGAGAAATTGGAGATTTGAGAAGCGGAAATCAGGTTATAGGAAGGAAAGTCTCTCAGTTATATGGTCTGCTCTCTTGCTGGACTTTTTGTTGTTGTGGTGGTGGTGGTGGTGGTTTTGGTGTGTGTCTTTCTGTATCAAAGCCAATGCTTGTCATCTATCATGTCATCTAGAGATTGTTTTCAAAATAATTCTCTTCTCATAAGATTTTAAGTCATTAATTCCCTTGAATCAATGAATAATTACTCCTAACTACCAACTTTAAGAAGTTACGCCAAGCTCAATCATTAGTGTCTTAATGCAGAGGTGCAATAACGATTAAATGCCAAGTTAGGCTCCAGAAGAGAATAGTTTTACTAACGCAAGATTATTTTATTTCATGAAAGCGAATTATTGATAAACCTTTGTTTTACATATGCTTTGCTCATGAACGATGAATGTTCAATAACCCTTGAGTTACCGGCCATGTTTCATTACAGATTGGTCATCAATTATTCTTTTCCTTCAGCTCATGAATTCCCCAAAGAACTTTCTACCTCTTCCATCGGGTAAATTAATCAACAGGTGTTGGTATCGCAGTTGCCACGTGGGTCACTGCAGCTGGGGTCGTTGGGCTCAACACAGAAACTGGTTGGGTCGACTCCAAAGCCTCCGAAGTGATTGCACACTTGATCTCCAGGACAGTCCTTTTATTTAATTTTTAGCAAATCATTATAAACCATAAGTACTCAGAAGTGGTGAGAAGCTTACATTGCAGGTGTTGCAAGCGCTAGCCAAGGCTGCGGTGAAGACGAGAACGGCAGCGTAGAGCTTCATTTTGAGGACTGAATAGATACTCTTAGGATCGGATATTATGAATTGGAGGCTTGAGTAGAATGTTTTATTAAAGTTCAATTACGAAGGGATTAAAACAAGTATTTATAACTAATTCCTCTGTAATCCACAACCCAGCGAGCTGCTCTCTTGCACCAGCGGCCACGCCCTATGCTGTGCTACTAGCACGATTTGAGCTACGAATATCTTACGTCGGACGATTTTCTGCGTCTTCTTATTGGTATAGCTAACCACTCGTTCAACATCGATGCAATTCACCGACTTGCCGACTACCGTTAGCTCAGATCTCTGACCCTCCCTACATTCGCCTTCCCGAATCTGCATCCATAGACAGTTCGGGGTAGAGTTATAGCGGCGCTGAACAGTGACTATTACGCTATTCGCGGCTTGAATTGCCGTGGCGACGGCGACTTGAAAGAACCCTGGTATTCCTTGATTGAGCGTGTCATCCTTAGCGTAGGAACCATGCTAATGTCCTCTGCATTGTTAAAGAACCTGGTTTTCATATTACTATTCGAAACTTGGCAGTTACTTGATTGGGACTGTGTATGCATCGTGGCTCCATCCTCCTTCATAGGTAACGAATGGTCAGTACCCGACGACCCGGGCCAAGTGAGAAAATCCATCATTATTGGTGGGCTCGATATTTCGCGGCGGAATAGGCTATACACTGCATATTTAAAGCGATTTTTTGAAGACTCCCTAATATATATCAGCACGTCGACAGTATCAACTGGCCCCTATTTACTTCCAATCCGGTGGTATTTAGCCCGTTTCCATATACAATTTGAATCTGAAAGCTTATAAGCATAGCTAGTAACAAACCAGCACTCCTAAGAAGCTTTCAGTTGACGCATAAGTTGATATAGAATATTTATGCTCAAAAAGAGAGTTAACTGGCCTGTTGATCGACCTTGGCGATTTTCTCCTATGGTTTTTTGCTTTTGGTTTCATCGGACTGATCACAATACCTGTCAACTCAATATTCCGCCCCTAGTCGATATAGTTACATCTGCCTTCCTAATCGATCCATGGACACTTTATACCTAATAAGCATCTCGTATACCGCAGTAAGCTTACTTTACAGCGGGTATGGAATGACTTGTCCTCAAAATAGCCACTAAGCATACTGCAGTGGATCACCATCAGGTTATAAAACATTTAGTAATTGGATGCTCATAAACAGACCTAGCATGGGGGAATAAAGATTTAGTTTATTTATATTTAGACTTCGACTGTTGACACGTTTAGTCCAATTGATATAAATAATGAGGTTTTGGGTACAAATATTAAATTTCCATCACCGTATAGGTATACGTTGAACCACTTAATTGCTTCATAAACTTCTTACAAAGACAGTCGCTCGCTTCCCTGGCGTTTACAAGAATACTAGACCTTAATATTCCCATGAATTGCTAGTATACTATCAGCTCGATAACGTGCATCAATTCCAAATGAAATGCAAATATACTTACCACCAACTCTCCACCTCTGTGCAAACTCACGAAGTGCCCAACTGAGTTCTTCAAGAGCGGAACCAGTAAACATTCCCTCTTCATGTAAATCCACATTGGTTTTAGCCAACAAATTGGCGGCACGGCACGTGGAAGAAAGTCCAATAAGAGAAAGTCCATCGACTCCCTTTTTTAGTACTGTCCCGCTCATAGACTTGCAGATATCGACTGCCATTCGTCGCGAGGACTCCATGGCGAGTCTATCTGCTGTACCAACAGCCGTTTGCGTTTGCCTAGAGTTATATACGCTGAGCTCGAATAGAAAGCTAAATATGTTGGTTTAGCTCCATTCAATTGCTCTAGAAATGGTATCGCGAAATCATACCTCAGTGCCAAGGCAATGCTATCGCAAAACACAAGAGAATTTGGCCCAGCAGCTTGAATGAGAGCAAAGCAAATATTTCGAAGCCGTGACTCAACGGCTGCATATGAGCCTGTTGAAGACCTTACCATCTCTTCGAGTTTTATATACTGTATTGCCTCTCGAACAACTTTTGCGACGTGGAAAAGCATCTCAAAATTCGAAAATGAGCCGTCGTTCTCGCCTAACATTTGTTCGTATGGCCAGGCAGGCTCAGTCGATAAAAGAGAAATATCATCTGTCGGCACTTGTATATTTGTCGACATTTGGATGTCTATCGATGCTTTTGGAAGCTCTATAAGACTGTCGCGGTTAAGGTTAGATCAGATATCGTATCTATAGAATGATACTAGGCGACCCGCGAAGCCAAAATACCTACCAGTCCATAATAGCAACTGCTCTCCGGCATATAATGGCTATATTTGGCTCCTTGTCATCATCGCTTCCAAGAGCTAATGAGAGCCTGTGCAATCTACAAACGGTCATACAAGCAGCAATTGTGATTTTGGACTCTTGATCGTGACCATGGCCGTATTCAAATAACGAGAGTAAAAGGCCAATCTGGAGAACTTGTATACAAGGCCTCGAAGACGTTTGCAAGAGCAGAAAGGACTGCTTTGTTGCCTTATATAAATTGCAGCAGGTATCATGAGCTGGGTGCTTGCAGGGCGGCTGTGACACTAGAGCCATGCATAAAAGCAACACGCCGTCTCTACCATGACAATTTCCTAAAATTGAATCTGTAGTAAATAAGGCAATTTGATCATCTGTCATAATCGGAAACCAGCTATGGACTGTTTTCTTGTATGTTTGAGCAATGGATGTAGTAGTCAAGCGGATTGATCCAAGCGCCATATGAAGGATTGAAGCCTCCTGCTCAGCATCATCGACGTTACTCAGTAGGGCAACCGATATCATACCAACGAGCTTGTAGCACGTTTCAAAAGAAACATCAAAAATACACACCGTCTGATGATCTGTAGGTGGCAAGACGCCGTCTCCGTCATCAGTGCAAACTCCGCCGGCGGAGTTGTTAGTGGACATTTGGCGTCCATAAACGCATCGCATCTGCTTCCTAAAGGACGCAAGAAATGAGAAGGAGGCTCTTAGTAAAAAGTTTGCTAAGAAGTACAAGTTACTTACGATGCACATCGAGTACAGGCAGGAAGATGCTTGTCGCAGCGGGCTTTTGATCTTCTGCATTGGTGACAGACTCCGGCCGCTCTGCCAAAGATTGGAAAATGCGGCGGAGAACTTGTGTAGTTCGGCGTGGAAGCTGATACTTGCATTCTGCCGATGAAGCTATCGAGGTAGATGTAGCGGCAAGGTCAAATTTCTCTTATTGATGGTAACAATAGAACTCTGCTCGTACACGTGTAAAGGTGAAGTTCTGTTAAGGATAGATACATGTTTCACGGACTTTGAGTTTCCAGGCGGCCGGCTAACCAGCGGAACCAACCAACTTATAAATCGTGAGCAGGGATCGGCCGATGCATTAGCGCCAGTTTGCAAGTCCATTTTCAGCTTATCGAGGAGCAAGTCGCCCAATCAGAGGCAGCGCCATAATAGGAGAGGCTTTGTTGCTATATCGCTACTTTATAGCAAAATCATGGACTGAGGTTGAGCGATACAGTCGATCATTTGTCTATATAAACTCACTCTCTTCCGCTATCTAATTTAATTTAACAGAAATTCATTTTATTTTCAAATTAAGAAAAACAGCAAGTTTAACAGAGCCATTTCTTTACGCCCAAGATCCAGCCATCTTCAGAGGGTACACAAGTTTAAGATGTCGCCAATCAAGACCGTCGCAGTTCTCGGTGTATGTATTAATTCTAGAATTAACAAATAACCATTGACTAATATTGCCAATCTTCTTTGGGCCACCGGAAATGTCGGCAAAGTTGCTATCCCAGCTTTACTCTCTGCCGGCTTCCTTGTAACGGTCATTGCAAGGCCAGAAAGCACCTCGACGTATCCTCAAGACATCACTGTTAAGAAGTCTTCTTACGACAACCTAAAGACACTTACTGAAGCATTGGAAGGTCAAGATGCTCTTGTTGAAGCATTCAACCCCGCCGCTGCCGAACACCAGAGCACCATCGTACAGGCTGCTCTGGCCGCTGGCGTGGCTCATTTGATCACACCTGAGTTTAGCACCGACTCTTTTTCTGCTAATTCTTCGGAAATTCGAATCTTTGAGCCCAAGCATAAGGCTCAAAAAGAGCTTGAAAAGCTCACATCGTCGCCCGACTGCGCTTTGTCGTGGACAGGCATTGTTGTGGGAGCATGGTTTGACTGGGGCATTGAGACAGGGTTCTTTTGGGTTGACAAAAAGAAGCGTACCATCACACGTTTTGGATCCGGCAACCAAAAGGTCTCAATGAGTCATCTCGCGCTCTGCGGAGATACTATTGTGTCTGTCCTTCAAAATCCCGAAAAGTACCGAAATCGGGTTGCTTATTTTGCGGATTACGCCGTCAGTACGAATGAGCTTATCAACATGATTCAAAAAGTTTCGTCTCCTGGTGAGTGGGAGATTGTGGATCTGTCGGTGGAAGATTTCAAGAAGGAAGGATTCGCACTTTGGGATGAGGATACCAAGCAAGGCGTAACAACTCGGCTGTTCAGCAAAGCATATACCATGCTGGGGACTGCGGCAGTATTCGATGAACAGAATCGCTACGATGGGGATTTTACGGCCAAGCTGGTACCTGGGTCTGGCAGGCCTATCGAAAGTTTGGAGGAAAGCCTTAGAAAGCTGCTGGGCTACGCTTGAGGAGCTTTAGGTCATTGAAGATTGGGGGCTCTGGAACTAAGCTTCCATCTCGTAGCACGCTGTATACTAAGTCGTTTGTTTAAAGCAAACTCTTTGTATTAGAAATACACTTCTTGCAATGTTATTATTACTGACCTCCATACCGATTAGCGAGTTTAGTACAATGCGTCTCTTTTCATGTCAGAGTTATCATTGAGAGGCATGATAATTGGTAGAGCTTTCGACACGATGTCGATGAAAAGTTTGTGCATCAAAACGCTGATGATATACTCTGGTTATGTAGCTAAAAGATTTTCCTCCCTATAACCTGATTCCACTTCTGAAACTTCCATTTTTCTCCCTCCTGAGAATCCGATTAATTTCGTCGCTCCTCGTCCTTCTTCTAGCCCTGTTACTATTTCTTCTGGTTCTGCTACTGATACTACTGATACTACTGATACTACTAATACTATTGATACTGCTGCTACTACTTCTTCTGGTCCTGTTACTACTTTTTCTAGCCCTGCTACTACTTCTTCTAGCCCTGCTACTACTTTTTCTNTACTACTTTTTCTAGCCCTGCTACTACTTCTTCTAGCCCTGCTACTACTTTTTCTGGTCTTGCTACTACTAATGTAGTATGGGTAATGGATCTGAGGCTGTGGGTTAATAATGGACTAATAATTCGGAGATAGTATCCCAAGAATTTTTTGACATTGGCTTTAGTAGAGAAAAAAAAAAAAAAAAAAAAAAAAAAGTCCAGCAAGAGAAGAAACCAGATATTAGAAGCTTGAATTAGATAATCGCTCTAATTCTACCCTTCAATTGTCATACCTGACAACTCCCGCTAGTTGGCTTCAGTCGAGAAGCTTATAAACTGTATAAGCGACCAAACAATATAGAACCAAACCCATAGACATTCCGAATAATAGCACTAAACTTGCAACCCAGCCCGTCTGTTTGGGTTCGCCTCCATTGTCAGTCGATTCACTTTTGATATCAGGTCGTCGAATAGGGGTTACTGTCGTGGGCGTTTTTGTCGTTATTTTTCTCAGTTTAGCATTTGCGTGGGTCAGTGTAGCCCTTGTAGGGGTGATCACAGGATGCAAACTCTTTAGCCTTGGGATCCTAGACGGTCGAGCCATTTCGAAGACTGGTGAGGTGATTTACTCTTGGTCGTAAAGTGTGCTCTGTTGCTTCCCGCTGCCGAAATGAACATGGCGAGCAGAAGATGGACCAAACGACAAGCAATTCATCTCTTATATGAGAAGCAATTTGCTGTCAGATTCGACCAACAATTGAACAACTCAAACTTGACCACTACGCTGTTCAAAACATCGAGAACAAAGGAAAAACGAGCCATTGAAGTCGGAAGCAAATTACGCCTTGAACCGCTGTAGTCCATAAATACACCCGAAAACAACAGGCGTCCTCTCTCCTCGCCATTTGTCTACCTAGCGAACCACAAACTGACGCCCAGGCAAATGTCAACATCTCTGTTGGCAGCCTTGCTCAATACGCACCATCGCACAATGGCCCTCGAAGCCAATTGCACAAGAGTAGGCATATATAGATTCAACGCCCTTTTTTAGGATCATTACACATAGCACATTGCGGCTTTACAGAATACAGTCACAAACACACAAACACAGGTGCATAAACAGCAAGAAATGTAGATCTCAGAATGAAGCGACATCGGAACGAACAGTCTCCAATGACGAGATTAACGAAAGGATCGGTCTCTCTCCAAATATCCTCGGGCCAAAATGGCCTTGCCGACGTCGATGTCCATAGTAGACAGCGCGCGGCGGATATTCGTGACTATCTGGAGAGGAAAAAAAAAAAAAGAAGAAGGAGCTCCGTAAACTCTCGGCGCGAAATTCTGTGCAAAATGGTCAGGGCATCGGAAAAAATAAGGATGAGTCAGCATACAACTAAGGCACGTGATAGCAGATGAGGAATTAGAGCTCCGTGATTGGCCCACCTAAACCGAGGAACCGAGCGCAGTTCCGGTCCGAAGAAGCTCGTCACGGATCTTGAGCCCGAGCGACAAACTGAGGGAATCGAAACTTCGAATTCCTGGGGAATCAAACAATTGCCCATTGACCCGGTCTTTACCTGCCATCTCCGCTCCTCCAGATCTTTCCCCCCCAAGCTGCCCAAGATGATCGCTCAACGGCTCGGCCTCGCTGCCATGCGCAGTATGTTTCTCTTTCTCGAGCTCTTTCACATGGAGGAGAGCTGCGAATAGCCTCAAAACATGCAGACGGATGTGCTAACCTCGAAGCTTCTCTCGCAGGCGCGACTAAGCCCAACGCTTTCTTCAGCCAGAATATCCCCCGGATGGTTCTCGCCTCTGCCATGTCGACCTCACAGGCCCGGTAAGCCACGCTGCTCGACCCCACGCTCTCCGCCGTTAGCAATATCGAAAAGCAGCCCCCTCCATGAAGGACAACAACAAAAAAAAAAAAGACTTTGCTAATACGATGCCTCTTCTTTCTTTCGCAGATCTATCTCGACTCAGAAGCTCACCCCTGAAGAGGGCCAGCAGATCCTCGTCAAGCAGCGTCTCGATCGCCCCGTCTCTCCCAACCTGGGCATCTACAAGATGGAACAGACCTGGTTCGGTGCCTCCGCCTGGACTCGTATCACCGGCTGCGCGCTCTCCGGTGCCGCCTACGTCTACTTCACTGCCTACCTCGCCTCTCCTCTTCTCGGCTTCCACATTGAGAGCGCCGCCCTGGCATCCGGCTTCGCTGCCCTGCCTTTCGTCGTCAAGGGTGCCATCAAGTTCGCTCTGGCTTTCCCTTTCACCTTCCACTTCATCAACGGCATCAAGCACCTGGTATACGATCTGGGTATCGGCTTTGCCAAGGCTCAGATCAAGAGGGGAGAGATTGCTCTGTGGATTTCAAGTATCATTGGCGGTGGTTACTTGGCTTTTGGCTTGTAAGAGAAAACAACGGAGTGGAAAATATAATGGGAAGGAAATGTGATACCGGGCGAGCAATTGAAGGTGCAGTGTAAAACTAAATGGCCGTGGTAAGGCCTTTTTCGATTAACTGTCCAAATCTTGATATTAAAAAAAGAATTATAAACAATCCGAACATTGCGCACTAGTCGTGCAATGTAAAGCTGATTTACCGGATATCAACCAATCTAAAACGCCGAGCGCCTTTTTCATATGCCGCATTAACTGTAGCTGTTTACACAATAGTCCCCTTTAGTACCCTTTACTCTAAAAACCGAGCATCGAGAATTGTCTTGATCAGCTGATGGTTGCGAGCAGCCGCAATTTTCTCGCCAACAATAGGACCAAGGAAATCGTTGAGGTCAGAAAGCTCGGAGGCAGGGGTGCTTCCATTTATTCCATTAGCTTCTGCCGCATTAGAGTCTGTTATTTCCGTTCTCTGCGCAAGAGACGCTACCGCCTGCACAAGGCCCTGCACAAGCATATCATACTCAATAGAACCTTCAGATTTTTCTTTCAAAGGTTGAAGGATTCCAGAATCAAAGCTCTTGAGGTTTCTCAAAACCAAAACTCGAATGGCTTCGGTTCCTCCCGCCTCGAGAAGGCCATGGATTGCACCGTACAGCACGGCGGGAGGCTTGGTAGGGTCCAAGAAGTACTTGAGACACGTTCTTGTGAGCTTTGGTCGAAGTAATGAGTTTGATGCCGAGTATTTTCGGGCAATGCGGCCGAGCAGTGAGGCCGCCAATTGACGGAGATCGTATTGCTCTTTGAGCGAATCCTGTCCCTCGTCTGTGCCCAGCTTCCTCGCCATCAGGCACGTCAGCACAGGGGCGGAGAGGGAGCTGGCGTACGGGTCCAAGAACAAGCTCTTGTTCTCGATCAACGCGTTTGTCAGCTCCATCATCTGCTTCAGAGTGAATGTGTCGTCGAGCTGATGTGTGACTCTGTCCATGATGAAATTGATAAAGTAGGGAACTAGCTGATGAAGACCGGGATCATCTCGAACAGAACCCAGTGCAGCTTGACGTAGTCGTATAACTTCCTCGTCCGGGTTATCGTCGAGGATGGCGGCCTGAATCTTGTCGAAGTAAAGGATGAGCTCCTTGCTCACGATATGTTTAACAGAAGGTTGGCCAGCCGAGGTATCATTCCCAGCCAAAGCCGACAGCGCGGGGTTCGCTCCTGGACCCTTGGGCAGCAAATCTTGCGGTCTCAGCTCGGCGGAGGTAGGATTCTGAGGGATAGAGGGCTGAACGCCTTCAATAGCAAGCCAGTGCGCTATAGAGAAATGTCAGTGAAACTGCATGCAAACGCACACGGCCTGCCAGGTAAGGCCTACCAGTAAAGTTCATATCTCGCGGCACTCTAGGGAGCGGCGCGTTGATCAATTTCTCGAAATCCACCTCTTCATCCTCGATGTAGAACAGCGGCTGGCCGGGTCCCAAGCTTGCCTCGCCATATCGCAGAGGTCGCGTCGAATCATAGCCATACAGAGGCTCCGCATCCAGAACTTTGAGGGCCAAGGAGACGTCGTTAACCGTCATGGTCGTCCGTCGTGCCGCACGCATCAAGCGGAGAGCCTCGATGATGACCTGGCCGATGCGGTACTCGACGTCCTGTGCGAGAGCCTTGAGGGCCTCATCGCTCATGGAGCCAATGCCCACCGACTCCGCCACATCCTTGACGTTCTCGGTGTTCCACAGCAATTTGGGGTTTTCGTTCGCCATGGTTCCTGCCTTTCGATTGGCGGCGTTGGCGGTGTGAGGCTGCAGCTTCGTTCGAGGGATGGTTGGCGGCCTCGTGAAGCGATGCGCGAGCGGGTTGATGGTAAGGCTGAGAGATCAATGCGAGGCGAGCTTGGATGAATTGTGGGGAGAAGGCTGGAAGATACAAAGTACAAGGTACCTGGGTACCTGGGTACCTGGGTACGACCACGCGAAGTTTCACAGCTCTTGTTCCAGCGGCTGCAGCGGGGCAGCTCTAGCGTGGCCTAGTAATTCGGCGCATGTCAGTGGTCCAGGATGCCGAATTCGGGACGTGGGGTTTGACTCTGGCGGCTTGCAGTTCCGATTGCTCAGAGGCTGAATGAGTGCATCATTTTTTTTTCCCTTTTTTTTTTTTTTTTTTTATATCCAGCCATTGAGCCGCTTGACTATTGCTTCAAGAGGATCTAAGTGGCAATGGTATATGCTGAGTTTCTTTCCTAATTTTTTTTCTCAGTAGGAAGCAGCGGCGCAACGCCCATTCGACACAATGCCGGGAGTAAGACGATGTCCTACTGATCGCGATATCCTCACTGAGCCTCTGACTAACAAATTTTCAGCCCAGGACTTTGGCCTTGGCTCTCTCAGCCACGAGAGTCGCATCTCGCCGCGTCTCTCACTTGCGATTTTCTCGACTTCCGACTTACCGACAGCATGCGTTCAGCACCTCTCATCCCTCCCGACGACCAGATGCTTTCCACTCCATGCTTGAAGAGGCGCGCAAGGCTTCCGATCTACTCTCCGCCAGCCCAAGTTCTATTTCCAGTTCGCCTCAAACACGGACAGAGAAAATCATACAGAAGCATTCAGTTGGTCTTGCGCCTGGAAAGATTGTCAAGTCTGGGGACTATGTGTCTCTTCAGCCGCAGCACTGCATGTCACACGACAATTCCTTCCCAATCGTCCAAAAATTCTTAAACATCGGAGCCTCCAAAATCCACAACAATCGCCAAGTGGTTTTCACATTGGATCATGACATACAGAACAAGACCGAGTCTAACCTCAAGAAATATGCGTTTTTGCAAGAGTTTGCCCGTACTCATGGAATTGACTTCTACGGTAAACTTCTTTCCGTCCTCCAACAAGCTCGGTCAAAGACTAACAACAACAGGCGCTGGCCGCGGTATCGGTCACCAGATCATGGTCGAAGAGGGCTATGCTTGGCCGAACACTGTTGTTGTCGCATCTGATTCGCATTCGAACATGTACGGAGCAATGGGAGCGGTTGGTTCGCCCATCGTAAGAACTGATGCGGCTTCCGTACTTGCGACTGGACGAACTTGGTTTCAGGTGCCACCTATCGCCAAGGTAACATTTACTGGCATCCTTCCACCTGGAGTCAGCGGAAAGGACGTGATCGTGGCTTTGGCGGGCTTGTTCAATAAGGATGAGGTCTTAAATCACTGCATCGAGTTTACTGGATCAGAAGAAACATTGCGAAGCATTCCTGTGGATCACCGCTTGACCATCTCGAACATGACCACCGAGTGGGGTGCTCTGTCCGGAGTCTTCCCCGTGGATTCCGTCTTAATCTCCTGGTTACGAGCAAAGGCTACTCTAGCATCCATGTTTGAAGGCGGCAAGGGGCGCTTCACCCACGAGCGCATAGATGAGCTGGTGAGAAATCAGGTTGAGGCCGACCCCGGTGCTACGTACGCCAAATCGCTCTATCTCGACTTGTCCACTCTGTCTCCTTTCATATCCGGGCCTAATACGCCTAAAATCGCAACTCCCCTCAAGGATATCGAAGCTCAGAAGATTCCCGTAAATAAGGCTTATATCGTCTCTTGCACGAATAGCCGTGCCTCAGACTTACAAAGCGCTGCTCAAGTCTTCCGAGAAGCGGCTAAAGAAGACGGTGTCATCCCCAAGATTGCACCAGGTGTCGAACTTTATATCGCCGCAGCTTCTCTCCCCGAACAGAAAATCGCTGAAGAGGCTGGTGACTGGCAGGTGCTTATTGACGGTGGAGCACATGTATTGCCCTCGGGCTGTGGACCATGCATTGGTTTGGTATGTCATGCTTCTGTTTATTTAATAGGAATATTTAGTTAACACTCTTCAAGGGAGCTGGTCTTCTTCAGCCTGGCGAGGTAGGCATCAGCGCTTCGAACCGAAACTTCCCCGGAAGAATGGGCGCAAAAGACGCGACAACATATCTCGCCAGCCCTGAAGTAGTCGCCGCTAGTGCCTTGAAGGGCTACATCGGGGGCCCGGGCTGGTATCAGGCGCCAGAAGGGGTTGAGAAGGTTATCATTGGAGAGGGCAGCGGAAACCTTGAGGCCGACAGGGCCATGAGCGTGGAAGATGCTCTCGATAAGATTCTCAACGAAGCAGAGAACATGATTTCTGGTGCCGAGAAAGATCTGAACGGCTCCAGTTCGGCTCCGGTGGAGGAATCCGAAGATACTCTGACCGATGTCCTGCCCGGATTTCCCGAGTCCATTGAGGGCGAAATTGTTTTCTGCGATTCCGACAACATTAACACGGACGGCATTTACCCTGGTACGCTTTCTTTCTTCTTTCCTTCCTTTCTTTAACATCCAGACGTCGGCGTATATTAACCACCGTATAGGTAAATATACCTACCAAGATAACATCTCCAAGGAGCAAATGGCTGAGGTATGCATGGAAAACTATGACTCTGCATTCCGCACCACTGCCCGTGAAGGCGACATTTTGGTAGTTCCCTACAATTTCGGATGTGGCTCGTCCCGAGAACAGGTATGATATCTCTAGCGCATCCGCCCCTTCACATTCATATCTAACTGGCGAACAGGCCGCTACATCGATTCTGGCCAAGAAGATCCCACTTGTTGTGGCTGGCAGTTTCGGTAACATCTTCAGTCGAAACAGCGTTAACAATGCTCTAATGGGCATCGAGCTGCCACGCCTTATCCAACGGCTGAGGGAAACATTCAAGAACGAGGATGGCAAAAAGGTCCTTACACGCCGCACCGGCTGGAAACTCAAGTGGGATGTCCGCAGGAGCAGAGTGACCATCACAGAGGAGGGTGGAGAGACGTGGAGCGAAAAGGTTGGCGAACTGCCACCGAACGTTCAGGAGATTATTGCCAAGGGAGGATTGGAAGGCTGGGTAAAGTCTCAGATTTCACAGTGAAGGAGTTGAATCATACAGCCTTTTGATCATGGCTTGGCTATGATTTACATACATCATGTATAGACTTGATATCCTGCCATTTGTTATCTGTCAATTTTTTTTTTTTTTTTTGTATTCTTTTGCAAAATTGGCGGGTCACCAGTGCGAGCAACGTATATACTTGAAGAAAGATGTTAGGAAAAGGGGAAAGAAACAAAAAAAAGCAGTCGATTGAGAAGCATCAGTTTCAGGGTTGAGAGTGAAATAAAAGCAAAAACTTTAAGCGATTTTCTAGTCCATCACAAGCGATCTAAGGCAACAACAACTGAATGCGATACAATGATTTCCATCCACCAGCTTAGGCACCAATGGCAGTAACGAGCGCCTTGGCAAAAGACGTGGCCGAAACCGGGTTCTGGCCAGTAACAAACTGACCGTCAACCGCCACCTTGTCTCCAAAGATATCCGCCTTGACAAACTTCCCACCAGCCTCAACGACCTTGTCCTCAACGAGCAGAGGCATGGCGCTGGTCAGCTTGACAAAGTCCTCCTCATCGTTGGAGAAGCCAGTAATCTCCCGGCCCTTGATGATGTGCTCGCCATCAATCTTCACGTTGACCAGCGCAATGGTGCCGTGGCACACCGCAGAAACCACCTTGCCGGCGCGGTAAAACTCCTCAATCAGGGCAATGGAGTCGGCGTCGTCGACGAGGTCGTACATGGGGCCGTGGCCGCCGGGGTAGAGGATGGCGTCGAACTCGGCCGCGCGGCCGCGAAACTCCTTGATGGTGGCCGTGTTCTCCCACAGGGCCTTTTGGTTCTCGAAGAAGGACATGGAGACGGCGTCTTCCTTGGAGAGCTCGATGGAGCCCTGGTCGAGAGGGGCGGCGCCGCCCTTGGGGGAGACGACGGTGAATTGGACGTTGTGCTCGGAGAGGATGTGGTGGGGGTGGGCGAATTCGGGCTGCGTGTTGAGTTGAGAGGGTCAGTGATGAGTTTTGAGATTATTCTTATTTCTCATTATGAAGAGGGGGGGGGGGGGGGGATATGAGCAACGTACGAGGTACCAGCCGGTTTGCCTGTTGATGGCGTCAATCTTGTCGTGGGAGGTGAGGACAACGAGGACCTTCTTGGGAGCCATTGTGATGAGTTTGTTGTTTTGAAGATTTAAAAGGATGATGTTTGTATAAGAGTGTTGTGAGTTGCAAGTGTTGCAGGCTGAGTGTGCTGTTTAATTGAAGTTGTTGTAGTTGTTGTTGTATTGATGTAGAGCTGTCTGGATGCTTCTTCTACTTTTTTTTTTTTTTTTTCTTCCACAACTGGTGATCTCAAAGCCTCTTTATACACCTCCCCAACCCTCCTTTCATCTCCTCCATCGTCCTCAGCCCCATACCAGCTCCCCCCCAACCTCCACACGATCGTCCACTCATCTCCTTGCCCTTCTCCAAGCTTCTACTATTCGGCCATATTGTCTGCCCGGCCTCACCAGCGCATTGGTTACGGCCCCCCGCTTGTGCATGAACCTCTAACCCCTGTTTCGTCGCGGCAGGTTCCAGAAATGGCAACAGATTTGCTACGCTGCGGTGTACGGCACAGAACGGGCCCTATTTTGCTATACAGGAAGAGCCTAGGCGGAAGAGCTTCCGAACAATAGGTTACGTAACTACGCGTAAATGAAGGCCTTTGTGGGGTCGCAGGGCTGCTGATTCCTCTGGCGCGGCGGATGATACCGTGCAGACGGCGGCATGTCCCGCAGTGGAAGCGGCTGCGTTTTGCTTACCCTGGACTGAGGGCAGGACTTAGGGCTTGTCTCCGGGATTGAGGCACGGTAAAAGATTCTATGATGGTTGAGACAAGCGTTTACGATGGAGTTAATGTTGTCTGATTTGGTGGGTTTGTAATTATCTCCGCAACTATGCATTCGGGTTGTTTTGGATTGGTGAGCAGTGGGATTGGAATCTATAGTTGGAGTATCAGAAGTGTAAAAGCATACGAGATTATTGAGTGGTGTATTGGACTAGAATAGAACAGTTGATGGCGTAGAAACCACCCCAATGATTCCATTCAGCTGACACTATTGACGTTGAAGAAGAGTTTTGGAACATGGTTGACGGGATAGATGATGTAAATTGCATCTATAGGAAAATTACAAGGAATCCATCTTTCATCTTGATATGTCAATTATACCCAACGCGTCTTGCTGATCCATGTATATTGGATTGTTGAATTGGTTTCAAACCTGAAAAAAGTATATTTTATTCCTAGCTCTAGCTTGCGATGCTGCTATTCATGTTTATGCTACTATAGCGAGCCATACGCAGTCAGACTCTACAAACAGCCATATAAAAGGGGGGAAAGGAAATGCACAAATGTGTACAGCTTTGCTTATGAAACATTGTAGTATTGATAATAGGATGGCAATTTTCATCATATTTACTTGTGCATGGTCCTGTCATTGGACACCAAGTTTCTTGTCATGTTCTCAGGCTACCTCTACACACCCACCTTCGGAATAAGAATAAGTTTGGAATCCGGCTCAATCTTTATCAGCAATCATTGTTAATCCTATTTGCTCTACTCAAAGAAAGGAATATTCAACTGCCAAAGCTAGGAAAAGCACACAATTCGGAAACATACTTCCTCGAGGATTGAAGTTGGCCACTTCCGGCCCTTCTCCGAATGGAAATACAGCTGCAGGCAGAGTCGAATTTGTCAGCTCTCATCTTTGTATCAGTAATGAAAACCAAGCGGAGTGAGAAAGAAAGCGGGAAATTTTCGACTGACATGATGTTTCCCCTGCTATGTTTAATATACAAGCTGGCCTAGGTTGAGTCTTGGTAGAGCACTTCGCAACAACACCAAAATAGGTATGTGCAAGTGACAAGATCCACAATCGTCAAGTAGAATCTACATCAGACCACGCCGGCCATACGCATCGAATATCACTCATACATAATACCATTACGAACAATGACCATAATGAAATTATCAATTGCTGTCTCGCAAGTCATGCATCCCGCATTCCCCAATCCTAACAATACCACTCGCTACTTTTTTTTCTCTTCGAGCTTCAAATACAGATAAATACATAGAAAAAAAAAAAAAAAAAAAAAAAAAAAAAAAAGAAAAAATCGCTCATCGACTTAAAAAAAAAAAAAAAGGAAGACAAGAGTATAATCAGCGCTCAAAAAAAAAAAAAAAATTAAGAAAAAAAGGAAAATGTCCCTTTAGCTCCCTGTCTAACAAACTCGTAGATTACACATTTGAGACATCATCTGGACAAACTGGAAACTCCAGATAGGTAGGGGAAAAAAGGTATAAACGAAGGAATATGTGTGGGTAGTCGCGATGAAACACATAAGAAAATCTTGAGAATCGACTGGTCGTTATATCAGCGAATCATTCCCGCTGCGCCTTCTGCACACCAGGCTCATCATGGCCCAGAAACCAGAGACAAGATCAAGTCCTGTTGTCGCCCTATCTCGTCTCTCGCGCTCCTTGGATATCTCTCCGCCCGTGGACTTTTCAACCGTGGTCTGTTGTTGTTTTTGTTATAGCTCTTCTTCACCAGGCCCTCATCTTGTCGTTCCATCCCTCTTTGAATCCCATTACAATCGGAACTTTTCTAGGGTTTCATCCGTTAACTTTAGCCCATCTTTACGTCGCCGTTTAACTCGGCCTGTTGCATAGTCGCGGGTTGTTCCTCCTCTCTATCATCCTTTCGCTTCTTTCCCATTCTCTCACACCACTGCTCAGCGCTCACAATCGTTCCGTCCAAAACACCAGTCACCTGTGTTACCATGTCGAGGCCCTCCTTGGCCAGCACTAGTACCTTTTGCGCACCCTCGCGCAACGCAGAGTCATTATCTCTGTCGGCGTTATCCGATTGTCTCTCAGACATGGTAGCAAGGCGGAAGCGCTGTGGAAGGCTGGTAAGGTGGCGGCGAACAAGCACTCGAGCGTTCTCGGGGAGCGCGCCGCCGGCGTATTTCGATACGTTATTGATGACATCTTGAAGGGTCTTGAGGATGTCACCCTTGAGGCTGTTAATTTTGGCGGCGAGTTCGCTTCGTGACGGATTTGGCTTCTGTACGCTCTTTTCCGTGCCATCGACATCCATAGCTCCGGCATCGTCTGAGTTGCCTGTGGATGATTCTCCCTCCGACTGTTCCTTCTTTTCCGCCTTTTCTAATTCCTCCAATGTATGCTTCAGGTTCAGAATGGCTCGATTCATGTGGTCGTTGGTCCATCGAAGCCAGCGCAAGCAGTACTTTAAACTACGCAGGCTCTCAGCGCTCATGGCAACACTCAATCCCGATGTAGACATCATAAGACGAGTCTGCCACGGCTGGCTACTTGGCGGCTTGTGAGTGGCGGGTGCTGTCTCAGAGTACGCAGGCGAGCGCAGATCGTCATAGGCTGGCAGCGTGTCTACAGTGCTGGCGGTCGATAAACGGCGAGGTGTCTTTGAAGATACGACAGATGACGAGTCATCAAGGCCGTTGGCGTCCGGCGACCCTCGGAGATCGCCACTGCTGCTGCTCCTACTACTCTCTCCTGTCCTTCGTCTCTTGTTGGAACCGTTCGGGTCGGGGTCTGAAGTTGGCGCTGGGTGTCGACGACCAGAGCCCAGGAACCATCGTACGCCTCCCTCCACGCCAGTCACTCTGCCAACAGAGTTGACGGTGTTGGCGAGGGGAGTCAAGTAGCCCTCGACATATTCGGCGCCCGACTTGAATCGCGGAGAAAAGTTTTTGGCGCCGCCGTATGCTGAGCTGGCGCCACCAATCGTAGATGCGACGAGGGGGTGAGCGGTCGTGAGGAGCGATAATAGAGGCTCGGGTTTCGGTGACTTGGGCTTTGTCTGCTGAGGCTGGAACGGAGCGATGGGTGGGCTCATGGGAGGCAGCGAGGAGGTGTCGGGTGGTGATGATACAAAATCTGTGTAATCAAGCACTTGATTAGTATTCAACTTGGCAACGACGGCAATGAGTGAGATTGATTCTTCGGGACAGAAAGAAGAGAATTTCGCTGTTACAAGCAGTTGACGTAACAATTCCCATTCTCCATGCTCCAAAATGTTGCTACTCACCTGCTCTCAAATCGCCCAGTGCTTCGGCCGCAAGTCGCACGTCGGGGTCGTCGAGTGTGAGGCTGCTCGGTGTTGGTGTCCCCTCATAGAGGCGATCTGGCGAGGGCGAAGTCGCACTCGCTATGCTTGCCGAACCATCCACGTCCATGACTGTGGCAGGGCTGTCGGGCGCGAGGAACGGCGGTGGTTGTCGGTACGAGTTTAATGATGAGGCTGATGAAGCATTGAAGGACGGTGGCCAGTGGTTTGGCTGCAGCGGCGGCGGCGGGTTGTGATGGTGCTGGTGCTGTGGATGGCGATGCGGCTCAATGTCGCCGGTGATGCTGCTTAGTGACGGCAAGATGCGGTTGTCGCCGTCATGGTGCACCAGCGGAGGAAGCCTGTCGGACTCGGACGGGCTGGCGAACTGGCGATGGCTGTGCATCGACGATGGCGGCGGAGATGACAGCGATAGCGGCGCAAGAGGAGCTTGGTGATGGTGAATCTGCGCGTAGTTTGGCGGGTGCTGCGTCAATGGCCGTGGCGACAGCGTGCGCAGGGGCGGCGCGTTTGCGTTTGCATCCGGCGATCTGGGGTCGTGATGGTCAAAGGCGATGGAGTCGATGTGCGGGAGTCGAGGTCGAGGCGGCAGAGGAGGCGGCAGTGGTGCTAGAGATGATCCGAGGGGCGGACCGGCCGAAGCTGGTGGATAGCTGTGGCTGCTGGCGAGCGTCTGGCGATGCATGTGATTGCGGTCCATATCTGCGGCAGAGGGCGAAAAAAAAAAAAAACGGCTGATAAGCACGCAAGCAAACGGCTCCAGCTGACTGCGGGTAGCGGTACTATGTACTTGTGGCAGCAATTGGTAATGAAATTGAATGCATACTAACAAGCAGCAGGGGTTTCTGTTTGGCGGGAATAAAGGCCGGGCTGTGTGCGCGCTGCCAAGCGCAAGAAAGGGCAAAATGCGATGGGAGGCAGAATGATGAAAGTGGCAACGAGCGAATGACGATGATGGCTTCGATCTGCTGCAGTAGCTCCTCGCCCAACAAGTCTGCACACCAAAGCAGGAGAGGAGGAGAGTGTGCGTGGGAGAAATGAAGGAGACGAGAGCTCTGAACAGCCCAGGGTGGTCTGAGCACGTGGATAGCAAACGGCGATGATGCTGATGACGGCCGTGATAAGAAGAGCCAGGGAGGGACCACGGCAATTGCAAGCCTGGGCAAACACGGCCGACGAGGGTAATGCCAGCAGCAGCGCTCTGTCGAGAACAGCAGCACTATTCCCGTGGAGCAATTTTCTTCTTCTTCTGCTGACCCTGCTGAAGAAACAAACAGGGAGACCCAGCAGAGGCATAGAATGGAAATAAAAGTAAAAGTAGCCAGAGCAGCGCAAATCCACTTTCACCGCGCCGAGTCAGGACGAAACAGCACTCGCCGTGTCACTCGGTACCTGGATCACAAGCAAAGAAAGTCGAGATATTGGTAGTATATGAATCTACACGCTCTGTCCACCTCTCTCTCTGTCTTCTCTTATCTTCTTCTTAACCACCCACCCCATGCTGATGCTGGTGCCGGTGCCAGCCTGCAGCCTATTACAAAAGGATGGGCTGTCGCTTTCTAGACTTGCTTCCCGGGCTCGGCCTCTATTGCACATCCTCCCTCGTTGGATCGTCCGCTTGCTGGAAACTCTGTGACGCCGTGTTGTGGTGGCTGTTACGTACGAGACCTGGCACTAACGCAAATGTCGATACCTCAGCACCGCATTGGGCCAGGCGGCGGCATGCTAGACAATTAGGCTGCTTGTCCGGAGCACCTCTTACCGGAGCACTTCTAATTCTCGCGAGGCCAAGGTCAGGCGCTGAGACCGGCTACCCCATTTCTGCAGGGTCTGGCAGGGTCCTTGGAGAGGGCGCCGGGCCCTGGAACATGCGGACAGCTGTTTATGCCATCAATGGGGGGCCTGATGGGGAGTTATGGAGCAGTCCCGGTGGATGCAGTTGTGTACTACCTACCTGCTAGCATGTATACAAGTCATGAAGCTTGCATGTGCTAGTCGAGCTGCAGGCGTGGAAGAGAGAGCGAAGATTCCATACTATGTCATGGACTTTTTTTTTTATGCTGATGCCTGCTGCGAGACCGATACGCAGAGTCCCATCCCGTCTCTTGGCTTCTCTTTTTCCTCTCTCTCTCTCCCTCGCTCGCAGCTGTCCCGTGGGTGGAGCGGCCGCGGAATGGCGCTGCCAAAATGCCACATGGAGGCAAGACATTGCGCCGACTTGAGCGGCCGATTGGGAAGCTGATTGAAATGGCTGCAGCTCAATTCACCATTGACAGCGAGGCTTGTGCCATGCTTGTGCAGCACATCGCGATGAATCAGTCAATCTGGGAGGTGGATTGATCCTCGCCAACAGCTTGGCGCCGGCATCCCATCACTTGCTTCTCCGAAACAGCAACGACTTGGACTTCGCCCTTTGTACGACGGCTAAAGTCGAAATCCTACATTAGTCGCCCTCCCCAAGAGCAGCCGGAGCCATTGCCGTCGTCAACTACCCCAATCCTCCAATAGTTCCTCGCTGGTGGTGCTGTCACTGCTGCTAAATCAAGCCCCAATCAGCAAAAACCGGCGTTCGGGGCCGCTTCGAGCCTGCTCCAAGCACGTGCCTGAGTGTTTCATAGGGGGGAAAAGAGCACATAATCACATGCAATGTGACGCTCTTCCTTTCTGCTCCAACTGCTGCCCCCACCGAAATCCCTGCTTGGCCATGGCCCGGCCTTCATGTGCTTTTCCCCCTCCCACCGCTTCTCGCCCTCCATGATTGAGATTTAGCACGTCCGTGTCTTTACTGGCAAGCCTGGACTGCCTGCACTCTCCTTCTGGTGGGGGCCTTTAGGGGCAACTTGGGGCCACTAACTGTATCAAAGGAGGGCTTGATGTTCACATGGCCATGAGAATTCTCACCAAATTACGCGCCAGGTGTGGGGAAGCGCTCGTAGAGTTGAAGCCGGCCGTAGACTTTTGATCTCCATCCCCAATACCCTTCTGAGGTGGTAGCGATGGCGAGGCACGGGCTCGTGGTAGCGCATCCAGCACACACCAGACTAATACTTGAACAGCCACAATTCCCAACAAAGCTTAAGCTGTGTAGCAGGAGATGGGCGTCGCTAAAGGGCCTGATCATGGCCTCGCAGTTACCCCGAATCTGATTTCAAATGCGGGGACCCCGGATGAGACATCTCGGATATCTTGTGCTTACAACGTACTCTGTACTGTGTATCGTTCATCAGCGAGGTATACGGCATCGTCTGCGCTGCCGTTGCGTTTGCGTCGCGTTGTTTCAGGAGAAGAAAAGCAGCAGCAGCAGCAGGGGCCGCCCGCTTCCCTAAAGCACACCACCACTCCAGCACATCTCCAGATCGCTTCAGACCTCAGCATCATCAGGCAGTGGAATCGGGTACTAGCACAGGCACATTGACGTCTTCCCCAACAATGTTCAACGGGCTGTCTCACACGGCCATACATCTATTCGTAGAAAAGCTCCGACCAGCTATGCCACTCGGCACGCTGCTAGCTTTCGGCCATCACATGATGCTTTTTTACGTTGCCCCTTTTGATCAACAGGTAGCGTGCAATACCTATTTCCGTACTGTACAGCAGGCTGTGTTCACGTTCTCTCTGGTTGGGCGGCTGCAGTGCTTGCCACGGGCTGGCATCCATCGTCGCGCGGTGTGGTGTAGTCGAAGCCGGTCCGTTGGCGGAAGCTCGCTCGCCAAGTAAGCTCACGCAGCTGTTACTGCCGCTGCCCATGCCACATTGAGCTAGAGACGTGATAGGCGCTGCTGTTTGCACAAGGGAATCATCATCGACTTATCGACATCGTTGCGCTTCCAGCAGAACAGCGGTTTCAACGTCCAAAGTCGTCAAGTCAAATTACAGTGTGGCTTCATCGATGGTAAAATGTCCGGCCCCTCTGACGCCGCCCAAGCAATCAAATCCTGCCCAAAAGCAGAAGACACACGCGGGCAGCTCTTAAAGAACCGAATATGAAAACAAGTTTTCCTTCCTCTCCGCACCTCGAAATCGCTAACTCATCCACGGCTCCGCGGCTGTCATGACAGAATGCCATCCAATCGCAGGTTTAAAAGATGAGTTGCACTGTCTAATGGGTGCGTTGAAGAGGAAAAGAAAGAAAAGAAAAGAAGCGTCCACACAAAAATCTCAGCTTCATACTTTTTTTTTTCCAGCGTAGTGGGGCTACTCAGGAACCGATCAATTCCACGTGACTCTTATCATCAAGGCTTGCCGCAGTTTTGCCGGCTGCAGCTATCCCTGTCCCGCAATAGGCCCTCAGCTGTCCGATTCGTAGGGGCCTAATTTCCAGCTACGTAGTCGCGAAGCCGCCATGATACCCGCCTTGCTCTGAACTCGTCCCTCCGGCCAGCTAGAGGAATCCCAAGACCTGTGATCTGTGTATGACGAGACCGCCTCGCGTCTTTCTCAGTCCCTGGCCGGCGTGCCAATCCCCGAAGTTGTCCCTCTGAGCGCCCCTCCGCCCCGCCACATCTCCTGGCCGCCTTGACATCCGCTGTCATCTTCATATATCATCTTCGCCATGGCGTCCGCGCTCTTCTTTCTGGATCTCAAGGGCAAGGTACTGTGAAGTGAAACGGGGATCATGAGATGATGCGTTGTTTGGCCCGCTTGATTCTAATATAATATCTGTCAGACCCTCCTTGCTCGAAACTATAGGGGTGACATCCCTATGTCCGCCGTCGAAAAGTTCCCCGTCCTATTGTCAGAAGCCGAAGAAGAATCATCAGCCGTTCCGCCATGCTTTTCCCACGAAGGAATCAATGTCCGTAACTATCCAGACAGCCCTCAATTATGGCCATATGCAAATACAGCCACTCGAGAGTAGAAGCATCTAACACGTGTACTCAGTATCTATACATACGCCACAACAACCTCTACCTCCTGGCGCTAACGAAGCGCAACACCAATGCCGCCGAAATCCTGCTCTTCCTGCACAAGGTCGTCGAGGTCTTCACCGAGTACTTCAAGGCCCTGGAGGAAGAATCCATCCGCGACAACTTCGTCGTCATCTACGAGCTTCTCGACGAGATGATGGACTTTGGCTATCCCCAGACCACCGAATCCAAGATCTTGCAGGAGTACATCACTCAAGAGTCACACAAACTGGAGATCCAGGCACGTCCACCAATCGCCGTAACCAATGCCGTGTCTTGGCGATCAGAGGGTATCCGTTACCGCAAGAACGAGGTCTTCCTGGATGTTGTTGAAAGTTTGAACCTCCTCGTCAGCGCCAACGGAAACGTTCTAAGGAGTGAGATTCTCGGCGCCATCAAGATGAAGTGCTACCTCAGCGGTATGCCCGAGCTAAGATTGGGACTCAACGACAAAGTCATGTTTGAGACGACTGGCCGGACAACGCGTGGTAAGGCTATTGAGATGGAAGATGTCAAGTTCCACCAGTGCGTTCGACTTTCCCGCTTCGAAAACGACCGAACGATTTCATTCATCCCTCCCGATGGCGAGTTTGAGCTCATGTCCTACCGCCTCAACACCCAAGTCAAACCCCTGATCTGGGTCGAGTGTCTCGTTGAATCTCACTCCGGCTCCCGTATCGAATACATGCTCAAGGCCAAGGCTCAGTTCAAGCGACGAAGCACGGCCAACAATGTCGAAATCATCGTCCCTGTGCCCGATGATGCCGACTCCCCTCGCTTCAGGACAAACATCGGCTCCGTTCACTATGCCCCTGAACAGAGCGCCATCGTCTGGAAGATTAAGCAATTTGGAGGTAACAAGGAATTCCTCATGCGCGCAGAACTTGGTCTTCCTAGCGTGCGAGGAGACGACGAGCACGGTGGTGGAATGACGGGTGGATTTGGAGGCAGCATGGGTGGAATCGGTGGCAAGGGAGCTAAGCGGCCGATCCAAGTCAAGTTTGAGATTCCTTACTTCACAACAAGTGGAATCCAGGTCCGATATCTCAAGATTACTGAGCCCAAGGTAAGTCTAATAAGTCGCAAATCTCCTGGCTCTTTTTCTATATGTGTATATTGTGCTAATCTACTGTTTCTGTCCTTTTCAGCTTCAATATCCTTCCCTGCCCTGGGTCCGATATATCACGCAATCTGGCGATATCGCTGTTCGACTGCCTGATGTAGTCTAAACCATTTAAATAACCTCACTTTGACATACAACTACATGAGAAGGACGACAGAGTAAGGAAAGAAATGAAAGGCGTATTTAATTTAAGCGGCAGGCCGTTCTTTCTATCAAAGCTAGCGGCATCGAAAAGAGCGTATTGAGGGAAAGGGGACGGCAAAAGTCGTTGTTATATTCATGTAGAGTCCTTCACAGTATAGCGATTTAATGGGGACTCTTGAGATTTTTATGGAAAGAGGATGGAAAAGAGAAGAAGGGCTGATCTAGACAAAGAGGGCTATTATGTCGACATAACGTTTTAAGACAGGATGGCATCAAATGAACTGAAATTTCACATGATTTAAATCCCAGTTTTTGTTTTGTTTCATTTGAATCTTTGGAAATTCTTCAAATTGAAGCTATCCCGGAAACGTGAATCCTATCAAAAGTGCTGTCGTTGAGTGCTGCTATCGTACCAGCTACGATCGAGTGCAGAAATAGCAATAGCAAGTCAAAAGGAGAGGGGGAAAAGAAATAAGCCTCATTCATCAATCATAAAGAAGCAGATACATCCAAGGGTGCTCCTAAATGAGGCTGTAACGTATCATGTGTTGTCCACTCTTCCAGTAAAACGTGATCAAGTCGAAAAAAAAAAATCGTCATAAATGCGTGAAACATCACGAATAAATCAACAACTGAAACAAAAATTCAGGGGAGCATAGAGAGGATAAAGAAAGAAACAAGAAGCAGTCGTTTAAAGCCTCATCGCCCCAAGGTTATTCATTGTCCCAGACAAGAATACCCCTCCATTCCAATTCAGCAATATGTGCTGCAGTGGAGTAATCAGGATTGTCAGGATCAAGATAGATGGAAATGAAGAATCCTCGTGGGTCTTCTCCGGTGGAGAGTGCATCTATTATAAGATTAGCATTCTGCTGCGTCATTGATGTAGTAGCATCTAGAATCTAAGAGCAGGGCTTCAAGATTGTAGAGACCCAGAAATAAAAAAAGCCACAGCAATACAACGAAAAGGGGAATACTTACAGCCTTTCGGGGTTGCAGTATGGTTCCAGAACCCGCCATTCCATCTACCACGGGCTGCATTATCTCCCAGAAACGTTTGCGTCACTGAAGTATGGTCTTCTGCGTCTCCGAGTTCGCTAAACGCCATCAGGCCGAGGACAATGGGCAGCTCTCCCGCAAGGCCAACTGACGCAACTGCATTATAGGGGTTGCGATATGTTTTCGGCACCAGGCTGGGTATCCAGCTTGGGCTCGTTCCCGCAACGTACTTGCAAGGTGCAGGACCTGGTCCCATAGGGCTGTCCGGATGTACTGCCTGTGAAACTCCCGGTTGGGAAGGAGGATGGAAGAAGAGCAGGGGGCTCCGATCCAGCGCGGCACTGGTAGACAGTGGGTCTCCGTTGTCAACAACGATAGGGAGTAGGGGATTGCACGAAAACACTGCAAGCTCTTTGTATCTTTCGGCGCATTGTAGCTGACCGTTGTCGGTATAAACCGGATTTCCATCAGCACCAGCCAGGCAAACATAGCCAGGAGGCCACGCAGTTCCAAGGAAGTCTCCCCGCCACCATCCATATCCATGAGCTGTCGTTACTTGGCCATTTTGATATCGCATGACATAGCTGGGGATCTCGCCGGTAAACCCGCTGGGCTGATTCGGTGGCACACGATTGTACCAGGGATCTCCGTTTAGTAGATTCTCGTCAAGTCGCACGCGTAGCCTGTTGACTACAAAGAGAAAGCTCGTTGGGTTATAGTAGCTGTTGCTTCGGCTATGAGCCCTCGAATGCTTATGCGAGGTACTGGTCTATGACGGTACTGCATGTTAGTACTTTGTGCACTTCTATAAAAGAGGCAAAAAAAGGGGAACGACAAATGAGTCGTGTAGTCAACGGCCAAAAAGAAGAACTCACGCTGCCAAACATAATGCGTTCTTGTTTTCATCAACGTATGGTGTAAATGAACGCGCTCAGAAGTGGTCTTCAAACGAGGTACCAAGTCAATGATACAACAAGCTTGTAAAGATGATACATGGAGCCTCAAAGTGCGGCACTGAGCTACATATTAAGAATTTGCGGCTCTGAACTCTTTTCTGGCCTTTGAATAAACTCCACAGGCATCGCTGCCCAAAGCTATGTATTTAATCTTAGTTACCAGTCAAGGTTGGGCCGAGATGCAAGGCATCAAATATTACAATGCGATGAAGATAGCCGACTGCTGGTGATGAGATCGGGCTAGGAAGGAGAGAATCCCGTGCGGAGTTGCGGCTGAAATTCAGGCAACGTAAGAGCCAGGAGAAAGTTGACGTCGACGTACATATGTGGTAGTGTCTCGTGGACAGCCATTGATGAACCGGTGAGAGCAAGTTGCAATTCCACTGGACCTCCAGCTTCCCATTTGGCTCCTTCACCCCCACTGGCACACTTATCGCTTCTTGCGCATGTGAAGAAGCGATTGGGCTCTCTCTTAAATGTCCCACCAGAGCGAGCCTGCCCTGCCAGCTGTACACAACACCACTTCACCAACCACCGGTCACAAGACCTTCACGATACTGCCAGCGGTGGGATGGGCTAGCAGATTATGCCAGCCGCGCTGCTCTTCCGCTGCTATAATGCTGTCATAGGTCGAATATGCCGGGTTTCCTGTACACTGACGCCACCAACAGTGGTTTCCCGGGGGCTCTGAGATGCTCCAGTGGAGGCAGGCTTGCCGGTTCCAGAACCCAGCCTAAGCTTAGAAATGTCGCAGAGCAAAGCTAAACACCCTTTGGGGGCAGTGGACCAATAGATACATAGCTTGACCGGGGCAAAGGGATTATGGACCTTGGGCACTCGTAAACCTTGAACGGGCCTATCACTACTCGGCGTGGGCGACAAGGCTGCGGCCGGAAGGGTGTTCCCCCGTTCGCCCCCCATCGGCTAGAAAATGAGCGCTGTCAACTGATGGTAACATATTGGCAAAGCAACATGCATGACGAGGGATCCCGGTTTGAACACACAGGTGTGGGGTCTGGAAGGACGTATGAATGCGAAGGTGTTGCAGTTTGCTATGCTGAAGTGGCCGTCCCAATATGAAACCATGCGACAAGCCGCCACGTCCTGGACAGATTATCATTTTGCACTAGCCAAAACTAGCAGCAGGCTTTAACCTCTCAGTATGAGGGGCGAAAAAAAAAGTGTGTCAGGAGAACGCAAACGTTTGGCAGGCTCGTCATTGTCTGGGCGCCAGCAGCTGAATGATGTTCGGGCTATGAGACAGCAGATCCGCAACTCCATATAATGGAGGGTTACACGAAAGCTGGAGGTCGACTTCAGGCCTCGCTCAGTCGAAGCACAGGATTTATCGGGTAGAGCACTTTCCGCTCCCGAAAGTCTTTGTCTTATATGTCAGCCTGAACATAAGGGTGCCAAAACGCTTCATAGACCGGGATCCGTACATTGTCTTGTTAGACAGAGCCTAAGGCGCCACGTAACATGGAAAACGCATGGTTCCATGTCACCGCTCGCATATGATTGCCTCATTGCACGATATTTTAGCGACAGTATTGATGTTTCTTTGGTATTCTAATGGTCGATTTGAATGGATTGCCCCAGGCATATGCAATCGCTTGCATACCCAGTTCAGTTGTGAGATCTTAGGCCCTCATCGTAAGGTATCGCAGATGTGTTGATGAAGCGGTGAATACAGAATGCAGCACGACTTTCTTGAGCTGTTAGTATTGATTAGGGCCTGGCGACAACTCTGTGTCTGCTTACCTGGAGTCTCTAAACTCTCCCCAATCATAAGCACGCGCGATTAACGCGGCGTATATTGCTGGTGAACGTGGTACAATACGGTTACACTCATTTTTGAAAAATAACAAGGACTGTGGAATATAAAATAAATTTGCAGCCACTGGCAAAGTTTGAAAACAGGAGATTGCGCGTTGGAAAGTATTTCGCTTCAAGGTAAACAAGAGTAGGATTGAAGAGTATGATGATTGAGTGAAAGATTTCTATTCATGAGATAGGGAATGAGAGATATAAGAGAGAAAAAAAAAAAAAATTCGACGAAATCACTGAGGCTGCCTGATTTGGTTGCCTTACAAGGCGTTGGTTGTTGAGGTGGTTCGCATCCATCTGGTGGTGGATCTCTGAGGCTCACCAGCTCCAGAGTGTGATCAACGATTTCGACCAGGCTGCCTTGTTACACAGATGATATATCTTTTTTAAAGGGCCAAAGTGCCACTTTGGCCGCATAAACTGATATGTCGCTTCAGTCTGACCGCCTAGCTTTCTTATTCGGTGCTGGAGCATCGTCCGAAGTGGCATCGGAAGCGATCCCCGATAAATAGACTCTAGCCTCTTGGAGCAATCGTTTCTCCCCCAGCCTCACTGTAACGGCGGCTTTGCGCCGCTCGCTAAGATCGCTACCCGCAAGAATTAGTTCATCTTCTATGATTGTCGTCGGATACTGTGACATGAGGGTGTCAAGCGCCCTGATGAGTACAGTATTCTGAATCTCGTCACGTTTTCGCTTGTCGACAATGCATGATGGATCCACTTTGCGAATGGCCTTGAGCATTGATTTGAGCTGCTCTCGGAGATCTTCTGGTATCTCGCTAAACTTAGCTGGATTGGCGAAAGTGCCGTCTGGATTAGGCTCATCTGATTCTCGTTCCAAGACGAATGTCTCCTCGATGTCGTCCAAATCCAAAAGCTCTCGCTTATTTAACATCAGCACGTGTTTAGAATTCACAACATTAGAGTAAAACCCACTGCGCTTTCTAGCTGCTCAGTTGACAGGCTCAGGTTTGCTGCTAAAGCATTCTCGATCATCTCCCATGGAAGCTCAACGACGTCATAACGAGAATGTTTCGGCGTCACGTATCCGTACCGACGAAGGAGCTCAGAGTTAGGATGGGGGCCGTAGTAATTCAAGATCTCTTCGCCAGCTTTGATAGGTCGTAATGTTGCCACAGTGAGGGCATCATCTCCGTAATTGACATGTGCCTGCATGATGCGAGTAAGTTCATGAGTCGCCCTTTTGAGATTAGGTTTGTGGTAGGTGAGATCATACGTTATACTCGGCATCAGCGTTGAGAATATCAGCCATTGGCACCATGCCCATTGTAGACTTGGCCTCACGGTCTTCGACCCATTCTTCAGAATCGTCCTCTTCTTCTTCATCCTCATTCTGGAAGTCAAAAGCGTATGACATTATCGTGCTTCCCATGCGATGCGCTAGCTGGATAAGCTCTTCATCGCTCTTAGCCTGGCTAGTTGGGAAAACGTCAGGGTTTCCACGGATGACTGGCAAAATCTTGGCGTGGAACATTTCTTCAGCATGAGCCTTGCCAATTTTTGATCGTGTGGCGCTCGCCTGGAGTTCATCAAGTTCGGCATCGGACCAAAACATGGGAGTCTCGAACGTGGCTGGAAGGACATCAAGATAGGGCTTCCACTTTGAGTGGTCTCCCTTGAAATACTCATGCATCATGACGATAATCAGCGTGCTCCAAGGGTCTTGCTGCGGCTTGTCATCCACTTCCATGGCAGTGTCCTGGCTGAGGAAGACATCTGGCAGCTTCGCTCTAAGCTCAGAAGTCTCGATATTGATAATTTCACTTCGTGGCACAGTAAACAAGACTGTATCAGCGGGAATATCTTGAAGCGCCACTGTCATTTTTGTCAATCATTGCCATGCCACAATTGGAGTTCAATGGCCAACAAACCTATGCCGCGGCCTGCATTTCTGTCTCGGAGGTCTCTAATGTCGATATGGTCAGAAAACGTCGACCCAGGGAGCGACTTGAACCAATCAAGGAACGCCGTTGTATGGCTTTGAAAATCATTGGTAGACATGATGGAATCTATGATGCCGCTTAGAATAACTCAAAATCAAAAATTTACAAGCAGAGCTGCAGTGAAAAAAAGAATTGGAGATGATATTTGGTGTAGAGTACAAACTCTGCGAAGGTGCCTGATAGACGCAAAGCATTTTCATACAGTGCGAATATCCATTAAATCAGCGAAAAAGTTTTCTTCGCACGGAGCTCTTAAAGCTTCAGCTCTCGTTGCCGCTTGCCCAAAAAAGCTAGGATCTCAGTATTGAAGACGAGCCTCAGAGAAATGCTCGGCTCGGCAATTTTTTTTTTCTTCTTTTTTCTTTATATAGATGAATACTGCTAATACTACATTCAAACTGTCACTCACAGCCCCTCTCCCGGAATTGCTTCTCTTCGCCATGGCGGATGTCTCATCCACGTCGTCCTGCTCCCATAACAAGTCGCTATCCTTCACCACTCGGCTGGCCTCTTTCAGCGTGTATAAGCGAGAACCCATCTATCTACAGCCTCTTCTCCTCTCATTTTCAGGATTGAATGCTTCAAGTTCAATATTGACTATTTACAGACACCTTGTCTTTCTTACTGGCCTCCCTCTTCTTTGGACGCAGCCATTCTTCCATGCCCAACGGCCAATATACCCGGTTTTGCGGCCCTCCCATGCCGAAATCTTCTGGGCTTATCAGACTCGGAGAGTCTAGTTCCCTCACGTCCCTATCAATGTCGTTCTTTTTGCTCCTTTTTATTGTTCTTTTCGCTTCCCGAGCAGCATCTTTTCTAGGTTCATCGTCCCGTTCATATGGAACGATGTCGTTAAAAAGATCCCATCCTGGGAGCTTGAACGTCCTCATGAGCTCAAAAACGGCCTGCTCTTTGTCTTTCGCCTCGATCATCAAATCCATGTCTGGTTTGCATGGGGGGAGGACCTTGACGCGCGCAGAATGTTTCCGCCGTTCTCGAGGAGTGATAGCATCCGCTGTCGGTTCGCTATAGTGCATCTTCTGCGTGATATTCTTTCTCGTCCAGGTCTTTTCTATGCGGTCGTATAGGTCCATAATGTCCAGGGTACCCTCGCGGACGCTGGGGTCAAATATGATGTTGTGATGGTGATAATCCAGAACCAGAGGAATATTGAGCTCCTCGCAGATTGGTAAAAGGTCATGGACACTCCATGAAACGTCGTCGTTTTCTAGGACTAGCCTCCTTTTCACCCCCTCGGTCAGCCTGGAGTAGTTTTCGCGGAAACGATCCAGAGTGGCTGCCTTGTCGCCATATGTGCCTCCCATGTGCAGGATCATGACGGCATCTCGGTCCATCTGCTCTGGTAATTTCAACAACGATAGCATCTCGTCATGGTATTCGAGATCTCTGAAGGCAGCTGCCACAACCTCTTTCCTAGGGCTGGCAATTTGCGTGTACTGTCCCGGATGTGTTGTAAGGCGATGACCTAGCTCAGCAGCTACTTTGCCCGCATCGGCCAGTACATCGGCGGCGAATGGAGCGAGTTTGTAGCCGTGCTCCTCGTGGCTTGCAAAGGGAAACATTTCACTACTGAGCCGCATAAACTTGATGCCATATTTGTCGTTCCATCGCAACATTTTAACTATGTCTCTTGCATTTGCAAGGCCTAGATCTTGTACAAATTTGAGCCCTCTCTGGACATCTGGCGGCTTTGTTTTGTCTGGTCGATTTTTTGTAGGATGTTCAGGTTGTGTTGGATCTTGTAGTGGGTATCTGTGGTCGATGATTGACGAAATGCGGCAAGTTCGAGATGAAAAGACTGGAGGGTTAGCTGCTCTGAGATATGTATTCAGACAGGCCTACGCATACTCGCATTAGCCTCCATGTGAATAATCAAGTTGCAAGGTTCGATGATAGCCGTCAAAATGGTCTTCGAATCGACTGCATCAGTACTCACATAACCGAGGCGCCCTTTCCACGGCAATGGGAGGAAACCGCTATTGACAGGCGGCGGTCGTCTTGCACTCCTCTCGGTCGTGTCCGCATCTGCATTTGCCTCAGATGTATCAGCTGTCTCCGTTTGTTCGACGATTTTGGGCTTCTCTACAACTTTTTGTTCGGTGGCTTCCTCGAGATTCTCTTTTGCTCTCCTCTTCAAGGCCGGCCTGGTTCTAGTCGCCTCCTCTCGAACCCTTTCGGGATCACATTTGGATAAATCTGAGGTTTCCACAGCTAATCGCTGTCTTTTTACTGCACTTTGAAGTTTCAGACCCATCTCTCCAAGTTCTTTCATGGTCCGTTGAAAGGCTTCTTGCGAAAGACTTGAGCCGCCCGCCAGGCCAAAGGGTGCTTTCGATCCATCTCCCTGCCGAGGGTTATCGTCCTGCTGGTTAATACCTCCATTGGTCTTTCTCGAACTACGTCGGACTTTGGCTGCAGGTGGCTCTGCTACAAATGGCTCCCCTTTCTTCCTCTTGGAAGCCATTTCGCGAAATGAACGAACCAGTGGCCGGCGTAATACTAGTCGTGAACTAGATGAGAGGGAGAGTTGTTGAGAGCTACTCAGTAGTGCCGCGGCAGTGCACTGCAAGGACAAGAGGGATGGATTAGAGGCGTGTCAAGCACACAAAATCATCTTTCAGCAGACTTATATATCATTCAACTATTCCAACCAAGGCAGCGCAGATCAAGCGTTTGTGACGAGTCAATATCGCTGCACTGGTTACGAAAATGGATGTTCACGCTTTCGCAGGTTGTCCGTGGGGCACTGCACAATAAGGCACGGCCGCCCTGGCTTTTAACCTCTACGAAATAAGCCTTGGTCAAAGGGGGATGTGCGTAATAAGACACCAAGACAAGCGAGAGCGGGCAAATAGGGTGCCACAGCAACGCCTGAGGCCTCGATCTCTGCCCAGATCCCAGATTCGTCGATTCATAACCATGACTTCGATGAAGTCATCAGCCCGCCAAACCATCTCGATCGGGATCGTGCGCAGGTGGATACGTACCAGCTCCGCCAAGGAAACTCCACCAACTTTCGCTGGCGAATTGCGGCCCAGCTCATGTCTCAAGGCGGCATTGCACGTCTCTTTTAGCTAGACGGGCTAAACAGCTCTGTCTATTATCAGATGACCTATTGCACATCTCACTAGTTCTTTGAGAAATAATCTGGCCGAGCTACCTACGAGCCGCAAACCATAGCTGCGAGGTGGTAGAGCTTCTTGGAGCTTCTAGCGCCAACTCTGGTTGTAAGTGATGCTAAGGAGCACCACCGCATCAGCATGATGCAACCCTCCCTTGTCTGTGCCTGGTGCCACCGTGCCACGGAGCACAACTCCGTGGCGACACAAATGGAGGACTGCTATTAATCCGGAGGCGAGCCCCCGCTGAAGCTGTCATCGATTTGTAGACGATGCTGCAGTTGGGCATGGCGATGGAATAGACACCTGAAGGAGCAACTCTATGGCGTTCACGATCTCCAAATCACCATGATCTCATCCATGCCAACCACAGATACGGATGAATACGCTTACTGGTGCTAGCCCACGGATTACTCCGCACTGACGCTTATGAGGGATCCTCGAGGGGGGAGTTTTGTCTGTAGCTTTTTGTAATTGCTAAACCCTAGAGTTCGGTGGCGGTAGAAATCATCATATGCCTGCTCATAATAAGCTCTCCAAAGCACATGGCTGGTGGACGAACAACTCATTTATGCGTAGAGATCGATTCAACCAACGGCTAGTGGCAAGGCGCCACAAGCGTTTATGAAATCACATGTGGAGCCCCTCTCATTACCAGAAGCATCATTTTCACTTTGGTTTGTCATCTGCCGCTATTCCAAGGCTCCAGAGAAAGGCGCCAGCAGATCATTATCTCGATTGGGGATTGACTTTTTAAGAATCATTGCTAGCTCGGCCATGGTTTTGAGGCCATCGCAATGCAAGTGTGTACTGTAGATGTGATTTGGGGGCGGAGACGGTGGAGCTCGCCATGACATTGCTTTTCAGGAATCTCTTACATGGAGGCGACTATCATTTGGTAATGCTTCTCCTCACTCACAACAAAGAGAAGGGTCTTGCGACTAGCACGTTTTCTTGAAATTGCGGCACTGAATTGTCACCGTTACCGTTTTAGCTTATGTGTGGACTCTAGGGTTGCATGTGTATGTATATGTATAATTTACTTAGGCTTCAATTCTCGCGCAGGATGAGATGTCGGGCCGTGGAAATAAAATGTGAACATGTGCTTGCGGAAAACGCTCTGTCGGTGCAGCGAGGCTGACTGCGAAGACGTGTTTAAAGTACTGTTAGCATCATACGTTTGTATAGCCGTTTTGTTCCCGGCATTACATACCAGGTACCGGAATAAGGAGGGCTGTGATGGATTCCAACGATCAATTCGTCACCAAGTTCCACGGAGAATTCGCTGGTAGACGGCAGAGCCCTTGCGCCGGCATGCGCGTGCTTACGGAGTGCTATCTCGGACTCCGTACGGACAATAGCAGGAAATATCCTGGACCACGGCTCTTCGTCCCTGATAAACACGCCATTATAACAGACCCCTGATCGCTGCTCTGTACAGCTGGCGATGAGAGGGGCCTTAAACAACCTTTTAAGCTTGGTAGCCTAAACATGTGCTTCGTTCTTAGTACATACTCTGGGGTACTGCTTGTAAAATGCTAAGCAGCCGTCGCAAGGCTGCGTGCTCGCAGTGATCCTGCTTTGGCATTTGTCAGATAATTACGGAGTACCTACTAATGGCAGCAGTAGGTAATAGTGCAGCAAAGCTCATCCCAGCTTAATCAACATGTATTGGCTGGCCCCCAATGTCAACCGATACGTATGAAAAAACGAACACGTGGAGCGGGTCTTCGGAGCAAGCTCAAGCTAAACACGATGCAGCTGGTTCTCCCTGCGTAGAGTTTTGCTGTGCTGGCAGACTTGTACTCGTCACCGTCATTAAAGCAGGGCCATTGAAGCAGAAGCAGGGCGAAACCGAAGCTGAGCTGAGAAGCGCACTCGTGCTTGCACGACAGGGGTGTTCGTCTACGTATACGCTTGCACGAGTAAGGTAAATAGCAAGACAGGCAGACAATGATGGGGAGAAGAGTCAGGCGAAACTCCGCTCTGCAAATGAGAACAAGAAGAACACTCTGACTTCCCCAACCGTATCCGTGGCAGGCCCAAAGGGGAACTCGCAACGCTACTCTTGTACAAGTATGTACTGTAGCATTACCCCATGTTCGTGTCATGTCCATTTGGGTGCGCCGGAAACAAGGTTAGCATGCCTTCCCTGCTGTGATGGACAAGGGTATGTGATTTGATTCATGCACTACCCGCCGGAGAAGCAGCTCCGCTCACGCCGTTATCTCTGTTCACAAAGGACATACAAACGCATACCCCATGCTGTTGGTCGTATCTAACAGGTAGGTAGCCTGTCGAGATCGAAGAGTGTGACAAGCGTGAGCTGTGCTCCGTACCCCAGCTTCCAGTCGTTAGTAGAAGCAAATCGCCTCGTGGTCTTGGAGATGCCATCGTGATGGCGTGTCTGAGCTTCCCGAAGCATGGAATCGTACGAGCATAGCACGGCTGCAATATTTGCCGGCAGTTTAGCCCATCCACCCGTACGGAGAAAAAGACTCCATGCAGGTAAGAGGCACGCAAAAGGGATATTGGCGCCATGCCAGCTATCCCCACGCTTGGTAACTGACCAAACCAAACCGTGGTGGGGCCCAATATCAGGATCGAGAGTCAAAGGGGGTCTCATCTATTGTTCTGCTCTATTCCCTTCATCTCTTGATATACGGAATACTCGGGCTCTTATGACATCCCTGCGAAGAGAGTGCGTGGAGAGGCCCAGATATAAAATCACGATGAATGGACCCCTAATATTGATGAAACAAAATTAGCCTAATAACGAGAGGATATAAATAGTGGCTTCGAAAAAAGAAGCGTCGCAGTTTCTCGCATTCGCTTATCGGTGTTATCTTTTGAGTCTCTCGCCTCGTGGACTTCTTTTCACTATGGATCCATGCTTCAAACGCATGTCCACGTTTCTCATGCTCGTCCCGCTGTATCAGGTTTTCGATCAAGCCAAGCACGGCATTGCTCTGTCAGGGGATTGAGTCAAATTTCCATGGGTGTGGGTTCCATCATCTCGGCGATATTTGCTGGTTCGTATCGCCTAGCTAAAAATAAGTGAAGCATCTAAGAAGAACATAAAGAAGGACGCTTTTGTTTTTGCTTAACATCGGTTGACATCGGTTGTGAGCACCTGGTAGTCTATACTGCTGGCTCGCCTATTGTGCTGTATGCTACTCGGACCTACTTTGTGCTGCCTAGGTTTCTGCTGGAGCATTGCAACATGCAATTGGAACTGATTCGCTGCTCTATCCAGAGTGTGGCAGGCTAGTGCGCGGTAGATACATGCAAATACAGCACCGGAGAGGCTGTGACGGGTATTCCAACGAGCACTCCGCCGTAGCATTAGCAGGATGCAGGCTGTGATATAACCTTGAACGGTGCTGATGGCTGGGTATGCCGCTGTAGTCTAGTGCCAAGGGAGCAAAAGAGGGCATCTTGGCGAGATGAGACGATGTACATACATTGCGACGCTCCGTGGAAGCTGCGTTTTTCCATGGCCCCGAGGGGCGCAGAATGCCAAGGTCGGTACAGAAGTACCGTGCTCCAGGTACATTGAGTGAACACCTTGCTAGCCCCTCACCTCGACCTCAACGCTTTCTCCCCCCTGTCATATCACCAAGCCATGGCACCATTCACCTGGCAGCTTGCTTCAGCATCACCCCGTCCACGACGATGAACACACACATGGATCTCGCAGATGGCATTGCAAGCGTGGCTTTATATGTGGAAAGCCTGCAGCCAGCACTGCAGCACTGCTACCGCGTCCCCCAAGAAACCTGACCGCGCGGCAAGATCTGGATTCTGATGCTCCTGACGACGACGGCGTCTGCCGGGTGGCGACTGATTCTCAGCAAGCGATCGATTCAGCGCGACAAGGGCCTGCAGTCACCACGTTTTCGGACCATGGCCGGCCCTCTCAGAACGCTGGGGCACGCCTAGCAGTGCATTCCGGCCAGCCAGCCATGCGCTTTTGTGGCAGCTTATTCACCCGCCTGTACGGGGGTATATGCACTGTACTACCTGCTAAGACGTATGCACAAGGACCAGGACGAAGTTGAGGGCTGGGGCTATCGGAACCTGCGGCCACTTCAGCCTTATGCTGCCGCTGTTCAGGAAGAGGAAAGCGCATGAAGGATGCTGCTGTTTAGCCAAAAAGCTGCCGTCGTTAGCGGCACTGGCACCCGTCCGCATCCTAGACCCAACAGCATCTTGGTCTGCGAGTGCAAGTAGGTACCTACTCCTGATCGGCATACTGAACTTGCTGGACACGGCCGTCTGTCCCTTCTATAACGCTCTGCTGCTCTTCTTTGGAGAACTATAGGCGAACAGACCCAACTGGGATAGCTCTTCCGCGCCTTGTCCGCTACGCCCAGTCTATCGTGTCTAGGCAGCCCTTCATAGTGGTAGCGCGAACAGAGAGCCCGGGTCATACGCGAACTCCCCTTGTCCGCCTTTCTGACGCCTTTCCCGGCTTCCGCTTGGCAGAAACAGCAGAAGGAGAGAGATTTTTCTTGAATAGAACAAGGCAAATGTTTGCTACGCCCACTACAGACCTACTGGGTACTAGCAGCGGTAGCGTTGCATCTTATCGGCGCCTCGATTCACTTGCCGATGCTAGTCTGTGCCAAAACTGCTCGGCATGGCGTCCAAACAGCCACGCAGCGGCCTGGACCCTTGACAGGTCATATCAAAGCGCCCAAAGCACGTCTAGCCTGGCTTGCCGCTCCTCCCAAAAGCCTTCCTCTATGCAGCCAGTGGGCGACAGCGAGCTCCAGCGCCGTTTTGGCCCCATTGGACAGGCCTTGGCCCCAAGGCAATCCCCCTGGCCGACCGGTCCAGGTCTGGCAGTTGCGTGCTGCGCTTGAAGCAGGCTGGCCATTTAGAGCTGATGGCGGCCCTCCTAATTAATCCATCTCTCTGCGCGTTGGTCAGCCCTGGTCAAAGGACCCGGTCTCATCTCCACCACGCCTCTCCACATGCTATAGCACAACTCCCGCTAGCAGATAGCACTAGCGCAAGCCCTTCGGTGAGCTCAAGAGGACTGTGAGCTTGTGTCGAGGTGCTTACTCTGCGGCATTCGCAGGACGAGGAGCTTGAAGCACCAGCAGGTACATGTGGTGCCTTAGGTAATTACATGGAGTACCTAGTACTATAGCCACATGCTGCGGCAGCAAGGAATCGAAGCCCGAGAAGATCGTAGTACTGCTCTTCAAAGACGAGAAACTACAAGGCCGGTATGTAGACGGCGATTGCACTACTGGGTACGCAGAATACTCAGCTTCGCAAAAATACATGCGTGTACTTTTGGACAAGACTTGCCCAGACGGAGCAGCCATTTTTGGTCTGCTCCGTACCGATCATTGCATCCATCCGCAGCCCCCCCGCAGCAGCCGCCCTACAGAGCGACTCGCTGCGCTAAAGGCTAGCGGCTTAGCGCAACAACCGCACCCCAAATCCAGTAAATCCCAGCTCTGGGTGGCGCCTAGCTTGCTTGCTCAGCAGGTACCTCGTGCTAGCAACGGCAGCTCAGCGCTGCAAAAATCGGCTCCCAGCTCGGCCCAGAGCCGGCGTTAGTTGCGGCCGACGTTGCAAGGCCCTCCATCCTTCTCGCATTTAACAACGTCGCCTCGCCGATTTGGCCGCTTACCGCCGACTCCTCGTCTTTCCTCTCATTGTCCACCCGTCTCGCCCACGCATCAGTCGGTTTACCTGCGTTGGTATCAACCGCGAGCACTGTTGGCTGTTGGCGCAAGCAAACGACGAGCGAGCAAGCAAGCAATCAATCAATCAATCGCAACAAGCGACAAGAAACGCCTCGCTAATCAGAGCTTCCCCCCTTCTCCCTTCGTCTTGTCCCGCCCCGAGCCTAGCTTGACGGAACCCAAGCAAGCCCGTCAGTCGTGGCGTCTCTCTCCGCGTGTGTGGTGTGTGTGTGTGTGTCGCCGAGGCTGTGTCTTAAACTGGGGGGCCGGCATCTGCTCTGCGCGGCTGAGCTTCTTTTTTGAAGCAGCCTGGTCCCAGCCTGGCGGTTTCAATATCACCACAGCATTGGACGAGCACAAAACACGTCGCCAGCAATCCTGCGATCCGACATCCTAGACACTGCGTAACGCACGTCCTGCTGGCCATCAGTTTTCGGGAAATAATTTCGTTCTTTTTTTGCTTCTTCGTCTCGGGATTGAGACCGAAGCTGAGAGGCGAGGGCGAGACATTGATCCTCACCTTGTTGCACCCTGTGCCGTCTCCTTCTTTTACGTCGTGACGGAATAGCATGCCCCATATGCGCGAAGTCAAGACCTGTGACCGCTGCCGGCATTTCAAACGGCGCTGCGATCTTCTCAAGCCCTCTTGCTCGCGATGCATCCAGGCTGGTGTGCGCTGCAGCTTCGATGTCAATGGCGTCGCGGTGCCCAGCGCAGCAGCTGCCAATGGCGCTAGTGCGTCTCCCAGCTCATCACGACAGGCGAGGACTGCGCTGGCATCATCAACTCCTCCCGTCAATGGCGACCCGGCCGCAGGCCAAAATGGGCTCATCTCTCCCACTGCATCCACCGAGAGCCCTGAGCCGTCTGTTTCTCTCGATGCGAATGGCATGCCGGTGGAAGGTGCTACAAACCCGCTGCGCGTTGTTCGCAAGCGCAAGCGCAATTGCCTAAGCTGCTTGCGCTGCCATCGTCTCAAGGTCAAGTGCGATAAAGAGCTGCCTTGCGGTCGCTGCAAGTCGAGCGGCAACGGCAGGGAGTGCTATTACAGCTACAACAAGGGCCCCAACGGTGGAAAATTCCCCTGTCCCACAGCTCCATCAAACAACGAGGAGACAAAGACAGTTCTTGCCACCTGGCAGGTCCAACATAAAGTACGAGGATCCAGCCATTGGAGAGATCTGATGACCAAGGTATGTTTGCAAATGTTATCCCATAGTATAGCCTCTGCGTGCTAATAGCTGGGTTACGTAGATTGGCGCTTTGGCATCTTTAGAATCGGCCCCGCTAGCTGCCGCTCTTGAAGATGTTGCTACAAATGCTTGCTTGGCCAACTTCACGCTGCCGGGGAATTTCCCCTTTGGTACCCCCGGCGCCACCAAGTACTATGCCCGCGAGGCCGTCACTCGACTGTTGGCGGGCGAGAGGCAAAACCATGAAAGGTACCTCCAACGGTATCTTGATTTGCTCGATGTGGTGAATCCCATCATCGACCTCCACATTTTCAAGCGCGAGATAGAGAGGTATTGGCTGGATCCCAATGCCTCCAATCTTTGCTGGCTGGCACAGTTCCTCATGGTCATGGGCCTCGGCAGCTTTGCCTCCCCCGAAGGAGAGCCTCCCGTCGCCACAGAGTTTATGATGGCTGCTGAGGCATGCCTTATGCAGACGCCCTTCTCCTTCCGGCCGACCCTGCTCACGCTCAAGACACTAGCCCTTATGGTCGTGGCCAAGCAGGTCTGCAATCCCACTTGCTGGTCCGTGGATTCGTGCTGGTCCCTGCTTGGACTACTCGTCCGCACGGCCTTTATCTACGGTCTCCCGCAGGACCCATCCTCTGAGGAGACGGAGACTAACCAAGAGGAAAAGGACGCCCGGCGAAAGCTATGGCTTACTATCCTGTACCTCGATATCAAGGTGGCCATGTGCACTGGCATGCCGCCCCTTACACGACCAGATGAGCTTGGCAGCTTGCAGAAGATTCCAGACTGGGGCCCGCCAGATAGCCTCCAGATGGTGCTGTACCAGTCGCTGCCAACCGTGCTGGCCGTCATGGCACAGATCAATTGCAAGAAGGATCAAATCTCATACCCCGATGTGCTGCGGTATAATGCTCAGCTGCGAGAGCTCATGAGCCACGCCCAACGCGTTTGCGTCGGACAGCTACAACGAGTAACCGTCGACATCTTCCTACGACGATGCCTTATGGTTTTGCATCGTCCTTTTGCGTTGCACCCAGAGGGCCCTGTCATGTTTCCTGAATCCTACTGGTCATCCTTGGAATGCTGTCTCGCCTTGCTGGTGCATTACCGTGAGATGTGGTGCAGCGATCCGAACCTGCGATTAGATCTTGTCGGACGAGCTTTTGTGCTAGATTTCTTCTCCGCAACCTTGACGACGTACATCCATGTTCTTCGCGCAGATGCGCCTCTTACAGGAGCTGCGGCTGTGGGATGTGCGTTTCCTCCTCGACAGATTATCCTCGACACTCTACGAAGCTGTGTCGATATCTGGAGTTCGGAAAAGGATAAGAGTGTGTGCTACCGCACCGGCTACAATCTGCTCGATGCGGTACTCAACTTGGTTCCTAAAAATAAAATATAAAACGCTGTAACGGCGTAACCCAACTTAATACTACTTTTGCCAAAGTATTGTCCGAGGATGCCACAAATGAGCGATAATGTGTATTTGGAAGATGGGCTGAATAATCTGGCCTTTCCCTCCCTTTCCTCTTGCTACTTTCCTCAGCTCGGCCAACGCTTTGAAAATGTTGATAAGCTTGCGGACTCTCTTCATCTTCCTTACCTTTTAACAACCATAATATGAGAGACAACAAATACGTCACATCTCTCTCCCTCTATCATACTCATCGACATCTTGTTATGAGTTTCGAATGCGTTTATTTTTTTTTCATAAGGACTTATCTATTATTGTAGTCTGTGAGATATACTCTACATAGCGGCATGGCATGATCGAATCTCCGAAGCGTGATTTCTTTTCTTTTACCGTTTTCTATGGTTTTATTCCACTCTCGTTTTTTATTAGCCGTCATTGGATTTGCGGGCTTGGGTTTTGTATAAGGATGAAGACATGAAACAAAGCGTGATGATGTGTGGGCTATGAAAAAGGTCAGCAGGACAGTTATATACATTAGGCAAGCGTATATCTGTGAAAGCGCAAGTCAATAGCAGTAACAATCACAATATCACCTATTCGTCTGCAGAAACTGAAGGGAAGACGGTGCCTTCCTGAACCAGATGCGACTCTGTAGATCGCCGATGTATTATGGCGTAGATCGTGATTGATAGGCGGTGATATTCGGCACACGGTGGAAGCAATCATACGATAATGTGCGTGTGCAGATATGATGATGCTTTTGCATCTATTCTTCTCTCTGCTGGGGACTTTTGTTTTAATCCTAACTTAATGAAGGCATCACTGAGTCAAGCTGAGTCGAGCCGTATGAGCTGGAGAAAGACATCGTGCTCTTGCTCTGCTCCGTCTGCGAAGATGTGCCGCAACCTGCACGCATCAGTCATGGATACAACGCCCTGGCAACGGCCGTGCATAGAAGCCCGAGCCAAAGCACGATATGAGATCATAGAGCCCTTTTTTCTCACGATGAAGCATGGAACAAAGCACCTTTTTTCGCCCTCAAGCCGCTGACTGCTCGTCTCTGGGCCGCAGGCTTGTGATCAGTCAACCCTGGAAATGGGGTGTGACGACATGCCACCGGTGCGTCATCTGGATGCTACCAGCACTAGCCAGCAGGTGCTTGCTTGTACAGCGCCAGCGTGGAAAGCCCACTAACAAACAGCCACAGCGTTTCGATCCCCGCTTAAAAGCTCCTCTCCAAGCTTTTTGGTGGCCCCAGCAGCTGCAGCTTTTCGGGTTACGCTGCTCCCCACCTTGCCGTCAAGCTGGTTGAGAGGGTACATATACATTTGCTCTGTACATGCCTTTTTGCGCATAAACAAAAAAAAAGCTCAGCTGCCTCAAATTTCTAGACTATTTAAGTTGCTGGACCGAGCAACGTGATTCAGATCCTCCGCATATTCTCGCACCATCCGCATCACCTGCGAGCTATAGCTGCCTTCTGACACCGGCTTTCAGCCTGCGCTATCTCAGCCTCATTCTGTTCTGCCCAAGCCAGACTGACCAACCGCCAAGATGACTTCAGTTGAGCGCTCTCCGCCTTCTCACAGCCCGCCTGGCCCAGATGCCAAACGGCCTCGGGGTAAGTCTCGTGCTCTTCCAGCGTTGCTGATGCCTAGTGTTATTCACGCGAGCGGTGGCTGACTCTCTTCCCTCTCGGGCTGTAGGCATCCTCAAAAACCCTTCCTTTAACTCTCCGCCATCTCCAGAACAGCCGCGAGATCGGTCTCTGTCGGCCAAAGAGGTCACCCTTGCAAACACCCAGATCAACGCTGGACCTCGACGGTCGTCCTCTGGAGCAGGCTCACGCCGCCACTCCTCCCACAGCATCGGCGACCCGTCCGAGCCGGCCCAGCGTCTCAAGTGGGACGAGGCCAACCTGTACCTGACCGAGCAGGAGCGCTCGTCGACTATGAAAATCACCGAGCCAAAGACCCCTTACGCCAAGCACTACGACCCCGCAGAGGACCCGACCGATGACGAGGCGGAAGAGGTGGACGGTGCTGCTGCTGGCCGCAAGACTCAGCGTGCCGGTGCTGAGGACGACATTCCGGGCCTATCGCTGGGCGAGCCAGAGGAGGAAATCCCGGAGAGGCCAGCGCCGGCGACACGCAGCTCCAGCGAGAAGACGGTCCATGTGGACAACAAGAGCGTCACCCCCTCCGCCGAGGAGGAGGTCTTGGGACTCACGCCCGAGGAAAGGGAGAAGCACCGCAAGTTCGAGGAGGCGCGGAAGAAGCATTATGAGATGAAGAATGTGGCGCAGATTCTGGGACATCCGGAGGCTATTGATGATGACGAAGATGAGGAAGATGACGAAGATGAGGAAGATGACGAGGATGAGGACGAGGACGAAGGGGCGGAGAATGGGATTCCCCCTGTGCCTCCCTTGCCCACCAATATTGCCAACGGCTCGGCGTAGTTGAAAGAACCACGAATTGGTTTTTGTGTGTTTTCTTTTTAGCCATATTTACTATTCGGTTTCTTCTTCTTCTTCTTTTTTTTAACTACATTTCAGTGCACCGCTGCATTATGCTTGGAATACGAGAGAGGGGGAGTATATTTTCGCATGAGTACTTGGTTGGAGTTTTATGGGTATGAATATGACGGCGTTTGTAGGTGGCATGGATGCGAGGAACGCACATAACGGCGGCGATGAGATTATGGAAATACCATAGTGACAGTTTGATCAGGACTAAAAAGACACACTGGTTTTATGTCTGCCATGTGCTGCATGTCTTTGTTCTATCACTGGCAAACGTGAGCTTTAGAATTTGCGCTCCCAAAGAATAGAACCTCTTTTGAAATAAGTCTCATTCCAATCATCAGTCTATAAGCTATCAATCTCTATATTCCCATCTTTATATACAGCATCTCCAAATAGCTTTGCCTTCCTTTTATTGTTTACTGTATGTTTTGTGTTCCCGTATGACAGCATAAACGCCCTTCGCTCAAAGCAAACCCTTCCGCGCCAGTTCAATCTTGCGCGCGGCTTCTCCCTGCTTAAAGCCACCCTTTGAAACACAGGTGCGCTTTCCTTCTGCGAGCTCGAATTTGTCGTCGTTGGCATCCCACGCACAGGGGCAGTGGTGCGGGAAGTGGACGCAGGCGAGGGTGTCGGGGCAGAGGTAATTGTCACAGGTAGCTGCTCACATCTTGCATTAGCATCTTGAATCGTTTGGATTACTTTTTGTTCGGACAGTGGACAATGGCAAATGGCGTAAGAGAAGAGAATACTGGTGCAATTAAGAAGAAGGCGCGGGATCGCGGCACTTACAGTGTATGTACTGGTGTTGATAATGGCGAGCGTCGCTGGGGTTGTTCTGCGAACGCTGCTCTTGGTGGTGACCGCCGCCGCCGCCGCCAAACATTTGGTCGAAGAAGCCGAACTGGGCGTTGGCGAGGGCGAGGAAGGAGAGAAGAGCTATTAGAAGCCGCATCTTGAACAACTCGATTGGCGATTGATTTACAAAGTGGCCAGAGAAGGTCAAACAAAGTTGAGGTGATGACGCTCTCGGCAGTGGGAAGAGCTGCCGAATGATTACGCTGGCCACTACAAATCCTTATCGATAAAGATCGCATTGGTGACTAAGCGTCAACAACCAACTCCAAAAATTAAGACTTCCGAACTAGGATTGAGACAAGGATGCATTGGAGCATTTTGACATCAAACCCCTCGTAAAGAGCCGAGCAAAAAATATTTCCCCCCCACGACAGAGGGGAAAATTCGTATGGCCATGCGACTCTTCACCATACAGCGGCCGATATTGGCTGCTGTGGCCGCCATTTCAAGGCCAACAATTGCGAACAGCGCTGTTGCTCCTCTTGGAGCGCAATTGGCCAATGTCTTGGCTGAGGGTCGAAGAAATGCTTCGGTGAAGGCGCAGGGAGCCTACAAGAAGAAGAGCAAGAGGGGAATTCCTAATAAGCTCGGTGCCAAGCGGACTGGAGGTACGTCTACAGCAATTTGGGGGGGTTTTTGTTTTTGTTTTTGTTTTTGTTCTTTTAGCTGTGTCGTGAACGATTGCTAACTCGGTGTCATTTTTTCTCTTTTGAAAATTAAAAGACCAATTCGTCATTCCCGGCAACATCCTTTACAAGCAGCGCGGAACACACTGGTGGCCAGGCGAGAACTGCATCATGGGCCGCGATCACACCATCCACTCCATGGCGACAGGCTACGTCAAATACTACCGCGACCCGGCGAAGCACCCTGACAGGAAATACATTGGCGTGGTGTTCAACAAGGAAGACACGCTGCCGTACCCGCAGCACGCCGAGCGCAAGCGCCGGCTCAACAAGACGGTGCACACGATACGGACCGAGGCTGCGAAGCCCGAGCTCTCGCCGTCGGGGATCCCCTTTGAGGTCACGCGAGTGGAAGCTGGCGAGCCGGACAGGCTGTTGCGACTGAGGGCCGATTACAGCTACCGCGAGGATAACTGGCGCATCGGACGGCTGGTGAAGACGACGGGCTTGAAGACGACGCGGTTCAGGACGAGGAAGCAGTGGTTCCGGCATAGACGGTGGAGGAGGGAGCGGGAGATTTCTGGGCAGAGGGAGGCGGAGAAGAAGAGGGCTGAGAGCGGGGGGGAGAAGGTTGTGAAGGCGATTAGCAAGAAGGCGGCGAAGAAGGCGGCGAAGAAGGCCGGCAAGAAGGCTAAATAAATGAATGTGTGATGAGTATGGGTTGATGATGGGGATTTTTTTTTTTTTGCTTGGGGATATTTTGTACCTGTCTCAATAAAATAAAGTGTATAGTAGAAATAAACGAACGAATTGATGGATTTGAACTGGAGACGGGAGACATCTTGCCTGTATGGATATCCAATGGCATGATATGGCACTGGTGGCGGAGATGAACCTGGTATATCTGATTGCAGCTGATTAGCCGTGCAAGTGCAAGATTGCCTAAATAGGTATAAGAGAAGGCATGTGCAAGATTACCTTGGTACGTAGGATATCAATGCAAGATTACCTACATATAGTTAGGTGGGTAAGCTTATTTAGATGTCTTGTCTTACAGAGTTCATTTCGCCATGAACAATTGAACGAGGTCTGAATACGAAAATTCTGTACTCTAGTATTTGCCTTGTCTGGGAACTCTAGTGTTACGTACAGTAGAACCAACGATGACCTTCATAAAGAGGAAAGAATTACACAAAAAAATTGGCAGGACTGCTCAGCGGAATAGGCAGAATCCAGGTGTATAAAGCTCAGCCTGGAAGCAAACAAGCATCTCATCGAATTTAGCAGCAAACAACCTTCTTCCTACCAATATTGCAATATACCGCTACCACCTGTTGGCACCTCGCACAACCAACACATATTCATGTGCCTCTGCGCGCTCGCGTTGCGCCCGCGCTAACGTCTGCATCTGCCCCTCGCTGCGTTGCATGTCACTAAAGCTCCACTGTAGCAGCGCTCTCCGCGTGGCCTGAACTCCACGCTAGAATCGCGATTGGGACGACAACAGAGGGAGCAGATTGGCGAGAGGCTATGAATCCAACGACACCGCCATCCCATTTGGAGCTCTACTTCGACCTTCACCTACAAGGACAACCAACATTGGTCGCTGCAGCTTGTCTGCGCGCCATGCCTGGAGCTTGGGCGGCCTGAGAGAGACACGAGGCCGTGCGTTTCCCATTGCGCCGTCGCCAACATCGAACGCACCCGTATACGAAAACATAGCCTCTACCGTTGGCTTAAGAGAACACGCCTTGGCTCCTGAGCGCGGTCGGTAGCTCCTCGCACGCCTTGCCTTACTCTGCGGCCGGACTATGGCTTCCGCCCATAAAATGAAGCGTACGGAACAATCCCTGTGGAGGAAGAACAGCCAGACGATGCGTCAACGCGACCACCCAGCTGATACGCCGCCTCCCTTAGTCGTCAGTGGTATTCTTCCGCCTTCGCCAGCGGTTGGCAGCTCCATTGCCCACGTCGAGACACCCGTACCAATACCTGTGCCGCCTCTGCGTGCCCTCAATTCCAACTTTACCACCGGACCGGCCCTGAAACGAAAGGCATTGGCGACAAGCGACAAGATTTTGCAGGCACAGCAGGACTGGGAGGCCAGGCAGAGGACAGCCATGGAGAATAAAGGTGAATGGATGATCCTATTTGGTTGCATTTGCTGGGCGCACGGGGCAGATTGAAACATGGGGCTGGTAGGCCTTGGTCAGTTCAAAGTGAATCGAGGTCCCTACCCAGAGTGACCATATTTGCGCCATCAGCTGCCACTCTGCTGCCACTTCACTTGAGCTTGTGACACCTTCTTTTATGCTGAATGCGCTAACATTCGCGTGTTTAGGGCCCGCTGTACTACCAAGCAACAACACCCCTTCTGCTCATAAGATGGACTTGACAATGCCACCAAAAAGGGATGAGGCTAGAGGGGTAGCAGCCGAAGCAATATCAGGAGCACAACGATTATCGGAAGAGGTGCTGATGCAAAGGATGACGGAACTCAATAGATCTGCGAGCACCGGCTCGAAAGCGCGTCGAACATCGAGAAGCCAGCTTGTGGAACCACCCGCATCGGTATCTGCGTCTGAAACCGCGTCGGTATCTCCAACTCGGCAGCTTACAGCTACCGATCAGATCGACGCCATAGACCTTCGAAATACTCATGGCAACTGGACCGGACTACAGGAAAATTCTGACAATATGTCGTACTATCTTTATACAGGTGAGTATTAGTATTAGGCCATGTTCATCACGAAGACGCAGTCTTTAATTAGAATGTTTCACTGATTCGATATCTGTTGCTGCTCCCAGAGGATGACGGCACTGTGCGAGGAACACAGAATGCACCATTTCCCCCAGGGAAAGAACGATATGATCATCCTGAGCCCGAGATGGGACGGCCGTTTGTTTGTCCGGTACGCGACTGCAGAGCTCTTGCCATCAGCATGAAGCAAATAGCGGCGCACTTTCATGGGAAGCATAGCCGCACTTTGTTCAATGACAATGGCGACGGCACCTTTTCCAAGGTGAGAGACTATGCAAACAAGGACGACAGCTCTCCCGGCATCATCGTTTCGCGCACCCCAATCTCTCCTGGAGCACCTCCCCCCGCAACCCCGGAATACTCAGAGAGGCAGAAGATGCTACTGAGCAAAAGAAGCCCGCCCATGCCCAATCCAAGAGCAAACGTAGTTGGAGCCATTCCTGGATACATACTTGGACGCACGCCTGGATACACTCCTTCCGACGTCCCAAAACGCACTTTGCGCACCGAGACGAATAACGATGTCATGGATGAGAGATTGGCAAAACGTCCCAAGAAGACTCCAGTGCCTCTACCTCTACCTGTTCAAGCACCTGTGCTGCCACCATCGCCGCCCAGTCAGCCCTTGGAGCAGCCACCGTTGACTGAAACGCTTCTATTTTTGCATCGGTTTCTCTCGCCAAATCAGCAAGTCCCTTCTCGGCCGGACATACTTGCGCTATCGAAATATGAGCGGGTTCGGAATTTGCCAGCTTCATGGATAGACTATCACATTGATAAGACAATTGATCCGCTCCATTATGCCTGTGTTTTAGCATATCTGGTGGGCACGGCAGAAGAAAAGAATCCATGCCGCAAGTGGAAAGGAGTGTCACGGCTGTCTGATCCGTGCGTGGGTTTGCCTGCGAGCCTCCCAGCTGAAGCGCGAGCTGCATTTAGCAAATCAGAGACGTGCATGGCCTGCCAATATCAATATTGCTACTACCGTACCAAGAACGAGTGCGACTGGGCTAAGAATGAGAACCGCATGGTCCTTGATGGTGTGAGCGAAGACCCAGCAGATGCAGCAGCACGGGCAGAGGCAGACGCGACATCCCAGTCTAAACACGAATCGGCATCTGACAATAGGGCCAAGGCAGTTGTGGTGGACGATGGTTACACAGACGATGACTATGACATAGTCTCAGAGGGCCTGTCGTTATCGAAAAGGGAGCCTGAAGAGGTCCCTATTCGAACCTCTCAGAAAAAGAGCTCTCCACCTATATCAGCCGCCGCATTAGCTTCGGCAGCGGCTCAGAAGCTATCTACCACCACTCAGATGGAGGAAGTGGAGGAAATGGAAGGTTGGGAAGTTGCCCCTGGTACCATCAAAGACGAAGTGACTAATATGAGTGAGTTCCCCTTTGCCATCGCTGTTACTCAGAGTTATACCAAGAAGCGCGTTAGACTAATTGACTATATACTAGATATTGGCTTTTCCAATGCCTACATGTCTGACCAACATCCTATTACCATCTCCCCAGGCATCGGCTTCAATGTTCTCATCCTAAAGCCAGGCCACTCCTATCACTGGCCGGAGGAGGTGAGCAAGGTGCGCACGTGCTCTGTCAGCACAGGCAAGATCAGTGTCAAGACGGGCAGCAACCAGACGTTCAAGCTAGGCCCGAATGGAGTAGTTGTCATACGGCCAGGACAGAGCTGCATGGTTTCAAATCGGCTTTACACAGATGCGGTGCTTCATTGCACGACTTTTGAAGACGACTTCCAGACGAAGTGATGAACGAGGGAGGATAAAGGAATAGAGAGGGGTTATTTGGAGACGGACGGTTACTTTTTTTTTTTTTTTTTTTTTTTGTTTTTCTTTTTTTCCTTTGCTAGACGGAGATGATACCCTGCATACATGTACATAAGCTGGCGTTTATGGTCTCGTTTTATAAGGGAGCTTTCTATCCATCTTCTTTTCTTTGCTCTACTTTTCATTTGACGAAGGCGAACAAGACGTTGTGAACAGGGATATATGGCTATGAATATTACTATAAGTGGCAGTCGGGTTTTTGAGGGAGCGTCGAAGCGTGGTTACCAGGATTTCTTGAAGCACTTGGAATATCTTCTTTCACGGCATCTACATATTTTACACATGATTTGACATCAAGGCGGCCTCAAATCATTACTCTCTACCAACGTGAGTCGGATGCGACGCCGAACTAGCCATGACGAATGCCGAGCCCACAGATGGCAGGTTTCTCATTATGTATCATGTGCATATCTGCGGAGCATTCAAAAGCCGACAAGCGACAATCCGATGAGCTTAAAAGAGGGTTTTTTCCCGCTTTAGTGGATCTAATTAATCTTGCATTGTCTTCGACTTTGGATGCCAGCCTGGGGGTCCATGTGCCGCAAAATAGTCACGGTGGCGCCAGTCTCATGGCCAGAAATACCAGGGTGCAGCTGGGGTCATCCGCAGCTGGAGGGGCGCTGTAAGCACTGTAAAGTCTGCTGAAGCGGATGCCTCCCTCGCCTGCATTCCCGCCGTCTCGTCACGAGCGATGTAGATGATTTCGGGTTTTCGCGAGCAGAAGGGCAGAACGGGCCTTTTTGTCGTTGGTGATACGTGCCTGTCCGTACTTGTCGGTTCCTGTCAAGCTGCGGTCGATGCCTGAGTGATTTTATAGCGTGGTCTTTGGTCTGAGATGGAATCGGGGGTGTGTGTGAGATGCGAGGGATTCGTGATCTGGGGTTGCGATGCCGAGGGTGGTAGATTTGTCCTCGGGGCCTGTGGCTGCTGCGGCGTGCCATGGCCGTAAGGGGTGGGCGTCTATTTTTTTTTACTTCTGTGCCGTATTACTCATGGCATTTTGCCTTGGGTCTAGCAGCGTGTTGCTGCGATGGCGAAGACGCCTTGCCTGGTTTCTTGCTGCTGGCTTGCGTATGCTGTAGCGCGCAGGTGATTGCTCGGTTTCGTTTGTAGGTTGAGAATGTGATGCGGGCTGTGGGGATACGAGGTGATGCTTATGCTCTCTGCGATGGAATTTTTGACTTTGATCGTGATTTCTTTTTTATTTTACATATTTTGTTTTATCGAGCTTGGTTCATTATATAAAAACGACGTCTGCTCTGACTAGGGGGCTTGATGAAGCTTGGCTTATACGCGGTAATCTCTCTGCTTGATCCTTGACGCCAATCTGCTACTGTATCGCAGCCGAGGCCGCTGTATTATAGCGAGGGACAGGTATGGCTCGTGGCGGTGGCGGCGGCCCGATGCGGCGGGCCTCTGCCAGCCTTGCGCTGGACTTGCCTGCTCCTCCTCCTGCGCGAAGGAGATCGGGCAGAACAAAAACACCAAGTATATTTACGGATACCGACGACACCGACTTGAAACCCAGAGTTAGCGAGAGATTTTCTGAGAAGCCAGGAACGGGAACGGGAGAGAGCCATAACCAGCAGCCGAGGACTCGCTTTACCATTGATCCTGAGGGCGAACTTACACACGATGAGACGAGCGTTGATGTCGTCACGGTGCCGTGCCCGGGTGGGCATCCCCTGCGCAGCTGGAATCGAGATGGCCTTATGGGACGGTACTTTGGTGCACCGTCAATGCGGGATGCCGAAGTCAATGAGGTGGAGCGGCAGGGCCCGTCGTGGGTGAGGCAAGGCATTCGACGAGAGGCCAATAGGGCGAGGATCCTGCTATACGAGCACCCGGAGGTTGTGGATGGCATGACGCTGAACAAACTGGCTATTGCGCTTCTGGATGAGCTCAAGGAGTTGAGGACGAGGGAGAAGCAACAGGAGAGGCCGCTGTTGTTTATTGGGCACAGCATTGGTGGGCTGGTGGTGAAGATGGCGTTGGTGCGGGCGAGCAGAGACGCAAAGTATGAGGGGATACTGAGGGAATGTTATGGGGTTGCTTTCTTTGGTGAGTAATAGAAATAGCTGTTAGTCTTGCCTTGCCATGATGGTGATGCTAACGATGGCATGTCTAGGAACGCCGCATCAGGGGTCCAGCTACTTTGCCATGCCCACTCTCGCGTCGAGCATCCAGCATCTACTACAGCTATCAGCTCCCCTGCCGGCCTCTCTCACGGACGATTTACGTATGGGAAACCATCTACTTCTCCATGTAGACGAAGACTTTAAAATCGTATCAGACGACCTTCGTGTATGGACTTTTTACGAGACAATCGACTCTCGACTGTCGGCCAACTCGGGAGACATCTACTTCACGGCTCCCCTGACATCCATCAAGTCGGCCATTCTGGGAATGCGTCAAGAGCGCATTTTCCCCTTGCAAGGCGACCATGCCAACATTGCGTCGTTTGGGAGGCACAACGTGCACACCCTGCGACTATTCCTACGACAATTGGCGGAGTATATCGAAAAGGCAGATTCCAATGCCCGAGAGGATGCGAGGGCGGGGAAATGGATGCTCAACTTGGAGCAGAAGGTGACGGTGGAGGTTCATGGCTTTTTCGATGACGCGGGGATAGATGATGGGACCGTGAGGGCCTGGTCAACGAGGCTGCCGCTGAGGGAGTTTCTGAATAAAGGTCCCGAGGCCTGTCTGAGCGAGAGGCTGAATGAGTCGGAAGTGCCGCCTGAGGAGGGAAGATTCCTGGCTATGAGAGGGCGGACAGGCTTGGTGGACATGGATGGACCACCAGAGGCTGTTTCCTTTCCCCCGGATCCATTGACGGTGAAGAATGCTCTGGGGATTAATCAAGATATGATGCCTTCAGTTGATCACACTGCTAGACCTTCTTCAGTGTTGCCAGTGCCACCGTCGCCCATCATTCTACCAGTTGACTCTCCCATTTCAAGGCCAAGGAAGAGTACGGAATCTGCACCGTCAGCAATGCGTTCACGTTCCACAGCTGGGCCATTGACACCTCCTTCTCGGCCCATCTCTCTTCCTCCTCAGCAAACGTCACCTTTTCGGAAACCCTCGCCCCTTATGCGTGCGAGCTTGGATCAGGAGCTTGCTATAGATCGTCTTTCACCACCCTTACGAGGCCGCGTAGGGCGATCCTTCAGCCGGTCTATGAGTCTTGACAGTGACATTGGCGGCACATCATCTCCCCCTCGGTATCGTGGCTTTCCTCCTTTATCGCCGCGAAGTCGAAGTACGTTTGACAGGGCTCTTGTTGGAGATGAGAATGATAGCGATGACGATGGCGATGAGGGTGGATTGGAGGGATCTCCGAAGCTACCCGAGAGCGTTCTTGCGATTCGGAAGATGGCGAAGGAGAGGGGCCATAGGCCGAGCGAAACTGTGATTGTGGACGATGGAATGGTGGTTCATACTGCGTTTATAAAGCCAGAAGCCAAGGCGAGGAAGTTTGTTTGGATTCATTTGCCTTTTAACAATCCCACCTGGGTGACTGTAAGTTTCCGTCTTCTGAACCAGTGTCATGGATTGATGAATGTATGAGAACTGACAAAGGATACTCTCACTAGGCTGTACTTCAGACGCTTCAGGTTTCCTACCAGAGGGACTTTTCAGCTCTGTCGAATCACGATTTCTGGGTGAGGAGGCATACGCGTGGAAGACACTCGCAGCATTATGCACATTTTGCAAAGCCGGGATGTTACTTTACAGCACCTCGAACGTGTAAGTTGAAACTTGTTATACTTTTAACCCGAATACCTTAATACTGAATACTCACATATTTTTATATATAGTATCTCCGAGGACTCATTCGGTAACCAGCCGCTCCCTTTCTCCGCCTAGTGAGGATGACCAGATGTATGTCTGTCTATTTCTTCCGTATCTACACTTTGACTCGTACAAGAGACTCATTCGCCGGCGCGAACTTATTGCGAAGCGCTTGGCTCATGGAAGGGCAAGGCCAGTCCCCGAGTCTGTTGCCAAGTCGGACTCTCTGGAGCTACAGGTTGTTTGGGAGTTTCTAGGGCATGACCCACCAATCAACTGTCGGCGTACGCTGGATCAATATGGATACCCGTCGATCAGGGATACACGGTCTCGAGATGACGACCAAATGCTGTACAAGTTGACAAAGGAAAGATATTACGACGTGGCCGAATACAGGGGGTTGTATAACCAGACTTCGGGCAGCGGCTCGGCATCAGGAGAGAGTAGTAATAAGAGCGGGAATGGAAGCGGGACTGGAAGCGGTAATGTTGGCGGGAGCAGAACAGGAAGCTGGAGGGAAAAGTTGAATAAACAAAATGGCGGCGAAAACGGAGATGAAGAGGCTGAGAAGGACGTCCTTAATGGGAACGTGCTGATGGTGGACCAGCTGTGGATCTGGACTATTTCAACGCGTGAGTTGATTGTTTGCTTGTACTGTATTCGTATGATCCCATTGCTAACATGTTATAGATACACTGCTTTCGTTCTTCCCCAAGCGTGAAAGCGATCCTATCGAAGGGCCACTGTATCAACAGGCAGATCTGCGCGATAGCATCTTCAACGATGTCAATGTAGATCTCACACGCCTCTGTGATACCTCTTTTGACCTAGCGGCACTGGCAGCTCTGCATGCAGTGAGCGTTCTTCTTGACCGGTCTTCTCATCCTGATTTGGAGGTCTTTCGCATCTTTGAAGAAGCCATCAGCGTTTTGGTAGGTCAAATTGCTGCTCTGATTGGATATATACCAAATGCCTTTTTTTTTTTTTTTTTTTTTTTTTTTTTCTTTTACTAATGCGTTTGATAGACTGAGAAACTTACAACATCCCTCAAGGAGTTCCGCTCAGAAGGATTTCGTGACAAGGCTTTTGATTATGAACCTGTCGAGAATAAAGCTCGCTCGATTCGGGAGCGCCACAAACAGGAGGGTCGACGAGCCGAACAGGAGAATAGGGATAACACTTCGGCCCTGCTAGAGCTGCGAGATATTGAGGACGAATTGGCGACTCTGCTGGGTCTCTTTGAGAGACAGACCAAAGTGATCTCAGCGATGCACACCATCTACAATCGCCCCGAGATGAGAGCCCACACGGTCCATGGAAGAGGGTTTCTCGTTGAGGCTCTGAAGCGGCTGGGGGAGTATATCCAAGTGACAGAGGAAATGATTCGACGGGTGAAGAACACGAGGGATGAATACGACAAGCTGCTGCAAATGGTGCAACGCCAAGCGCAAGTTGACGAGGTGCGACTCAGCAGACTTCACGCCGATTTGGCCAGCGCACAGAGTCGGAGCGTATTGATCTTTACGACCTTTACTGTCATATTCTTGCCGTTGCAATTCTTCACAGGTATATTCGGCATGAATACGCAAGAATGGGCTGGGGGCGACAACTTACCGCTGCGGACGATTGCTGTGATTGGCATCCCGGCGAGCGTGGCCCTGATCGTGGTGACTCTCATCGTTGCGTGGAGCACCAATGCGCGACGGTTCTTCAAGTGGATCGGGAGACAGTACGGAGGGGCGCTGCGCTTCTTTTACGAGATCTTTGGGAAGCCCGTGGCGCAGTGGACGATGAAGTATATGGATGATGTGGCGGCGAGGAGGGGAGGGAAACGCAGGCAAGGAGGGCCTGGGAGAGGTGAGGACAGAGCTCCGAATGGTAGTTTGAGCACGGAGACGAGCGATTTCTGGGAGAGGCATCGATTGGAGAGGGAGAGGGGTTATCAGATCCCGGAGGTGAATAAGGCGCCGGCGAGTAGGGCGAAGGGAGGGGCGAAGTTGAGGAAGAGTCAGAGGGGGTGATGGGATGGGACGGGATAGGAGGTTTTTCATTCTTGACTTGTATGATTTACTGTGTTTTTTTTTCTTTTCTTTTTCTGTTTGTTTGTTTGTTTGTTTGTTTAAATTATGTATATGATGATGGGATGGTGATGTGCATTATCAATGTATGTAAAATGGGATTTTGGTATGAGTATATGTAGGTTTGGTGCTATCCGCATAAGAAGAGGCACAAGCATCACAGCACAATAAAACAATAATCTTAAAAATCATGTAAATCGATGTGCTTTTTTTTTTTTTTTGTTTCCTTTACTCAGCAAGATTTATATACACACATGGTTCTTTTTTTCCCTTCGTTGTTTTTCAGCCTTCAATCATCTCATTGCTCTTCCCATCCCGCTCGTCGAGCAGCAACCGCGCGGTCTCGGCACCACCAACCGGCAGCTTGATCGAAACGCCCTCGTAGGGAAGATGCGTGGGCAAAATACCCAGCTGGCGCAGCACGGTGGCCTGGTCCCACAGGATGTGCTCGTGGTAGAGCCGGTCGCCGCGGATGTTGATGATGCCGACGGTGGGGATGGCAAGAGGCTTGTTGGTCGGGGCGATTTTGGGGATGAGGGCGGGGATTTCGGTTGTGTGTGTGCAGCAGAAGATGAATTCGTCTGTTTGTATTTTGTCAAATATATATATATATATATCATTTATTTATTTTTGGAGTGTTTTCTATAAAAAATTGATGGGAAATTGAAAGGATGGACTTACCGACGATGCGATCTGGGCCGATGGTGCGGGAGACTGTCTTGAGAGTCGTGTCCGGGGGGTTGCTGGAAGAGTCGAGTGAGTGAGTGAGTGAGTGAGTGAGTGAGAATCAACTTTGGTATGAGATGGGGGGAGTTGGAATGAAATTACCAGAAGATGAAGTGGTCGCGGTAGAAGGCGGTTAGTTTCTCGCGACCAACACCTCCCGTCATCTGCGCAAAGGTCAGCTTTCCAACTACGAGAGATATATGACATTGAATCCGGTGGCTCACGGTAGGAACATGGTTCACATATGGCTCCGCCTACAATTTCTGGGTTAACTTTTGATTGTGACATAACGGGAGAGAAAAGAGTAAACTCACCACCATGGTGGCCATGGTTTTGGCAACGCTTCGTCCCACAAACTCCCAGTAGCAGTGTTCTTCCCAGATGGCCTCGAGATCAAAGTGAGGGCCGCCGAGATGCTTCCGCAGGAACACCAAGCTCCGCGTGTGCGCCATGCTGGCAGAAGCGTTGTCGTAGGCCGCCGCAGACGGCAGGACAAAGTGAGGCGTCGTGCCCGGGTAAGAGTGCACCTTGACGTCTTCGGGGCTTTTGCCGCCGTCTTCTTCCTCAAAGCTGGGTGGTGGTGGAGGGATGCTGGTGTGAGAGAGCAGCGGGAGGATGGAGGCGGCGGTGCTGTCAGGGGCGCTTTCGGAGAAGGTGACGATGCCGGCGATGCCATGCTGCTGCAGGCGCTCGGCGTCGAGCAGCAGCGACGGCACGATGACCTCGTCGTAGATGATGAGGCCGAACCTGTCCTTTGTGTCGACCTTGTCATGCGCCCTCAGCGCCTCGACGCCCTCTCTGATCTGGTTCACCACGTCCGAGACGGTGGCGTCGTCGCCGGTGAGCTCCTCCATCTCGTTGGCCGGCAGCGTGATGGCCACGACGGCGAAGCCCTCCTCGGCCCATTTCTGCAGCGGCTCCGGGTCCAGTGGCTTCTGCACGGTGGCGGGCCGTGGCGCGACGGAGGAGCTGCTGGGGAGGATGGCGATGAGGCCTGGGCCGGCGCCGCGGCGGGAGAGCGGCGGCTGGAGCACGGAGGAGGGGCCGATGGCGATGGCCGGGGCCGAGGGCAGCGGCGGAGCAACTTCGTTGGGGGAGGACGCGTCGTAGGAGGCGGGGAAAGAGGCCATGATGGTGGTGGTGGTTTGTGGATTGAGCGAACTGGGAGTTTTGTATATTGATTTATCGACGGGGAAATATGCTGTATATTGCTTTTATATCATCATCATGATGGCTTTGGCGGCTCAAACAGAATGAGGGGTAGCTGTTGTGCCCGCTTGGCCATCAGAAAAAACAGCACATACAAAAAACCCCGCCATGATTTGATGTTCGGAGGACTGTCCCGGGATGGTGGATTGTCCCGTCCTCTTCACTTACACGCTCCTGCTGCGCATGGCACGCATTTTTGTTGTCATCACTTACATCAGCTGCTGCGTGCATAATTCAGGGCGTATCGCCTCATCTGAGCTCGGCGCTGGTTCCGGAGCCAGTGCTGGATGCAGCGCTACCTGTCGAGTTGCTACTCGTATCAACTATTGCAGGCATAACATAAAAGGCGGGTTTAAGCAAGATGCTAACGCAACGCAATGCAATGCAATGCAACAATACATGCAACCCACCGAGTTCCCAGACATCTCATCTTACTCAGCGTCTGCTCCATTCATCTCATCTCAAGTCCCAAGACACCAGGAAACAAACAAAAAATTCCGTCAAAATTGTTGAGGCCCTGTGATCTGATCATCTGCTCGCCGCCTCTCCTGGTGTAGTGCCAGACGCTGTCATTCGTCCCCCATCAGGCACTTGCAGGGGTAGGTAGCCAGCCGCTAGACACACGCTACGAGCCCTGTCGGGTCACAGCGAGTGCTACACTGAGACTCGATTCAGCAAGGCCACGGGCTCGCACAGGCGGCTTCTGGCAGTCGAGCTTCCTGTTAGTGTTAGTGACGCTACACACAGCCTCGTTCTCATTTGACTCGTTTCTCATCTCATTCTTGCGTGTCTCTCCTCGCCCTTTTCTTTTCCACTCTCGCAGCTAGAGGGTCATGAGTGCTCTTCAATAAGAGCACCGTCTTGACAGCTGCATCAAGAATACCTAAACCAGTCAGATACAGCTCAAGATGCCCCTGCGCCGCTTCACCTCCTCGTCGAGGCGGCTCCTCGCGCCGCCCATCCAAACGGCGCCCTTCAAATACCTCCTCATCGTCCCCGTCGTGCTCTCCGTCGCCACCTTTGCCGCGCTCTTCGCCAGCTCCGACGTCGACATCGCCCTGCTCTGGTCGCAATGCAACGCCCACGCGCGCATCCCGGGCCTCAGCCACATCCCGCTGCTGGGCACGCCGGCCTGCTTCCTCGTCAGCTTCTTCCACAGCGCGCTCGACTCGCTGCGGTCCAGGGCCGTCATGGGCGTCATTCTGGCCTACGTCGGCGCGCTGGCCACGGTGTGCACCGTCGAGTCGGCCAGGCGCTGCAACAGGCCCAGCGCGCTGATTGCGAAGCCCACACTGTGGTGGCTGGTGTTCAACCTGCTGGGCGGCGCCATGGTCTGGCAGCTGGTGATTGTGCCGGCGTTTCTGCACAGGGCCAAGGCGCTGGTGTTGGCGGCGCAGGCGGGCGAGGATGGCGGCCGTGATGAGGACGAGACCGGCGTGTCTGCGGACTCTGATGCCCTCAATGCCAAGGAGCAGGGCCGCACGCTTCCCGACTCCGAGGCGGTGGCCATCCCCATCGCCGTTGCGGTTGGCTACTACCTCCCGTCCGTTCTCATGCTGGTGTACAACTCTCCGGTCGTCATCACCATCTGGCTCTTCTTCCCGGCCTACGTCTCGCTCGTGCGTCAGGGCGTGCGCTACATTATCCAGAGGATACGCCGCGTTGGGCCTACAGACATCCATCACGAGTCGCACTGGCAGAGCGTGGCCCTTGTTTACACGCTGCCCATCGTCCTCTCCATTGCGGCGCACCTGTTTGTCCTTTGGAATCTTGCTCAGCGTGATGACCGCAAGGAGCTGACCAAGCTGACGGTGAGCTTCATCGAGATCGACTTCCAGTTCATTGCCTGGACCGTCTTGTATTGGGTTTTTGTCGAGGTAGGGTGGCGGGTGCCGCTCAGCATGATTGCGATTTCGATCCTGGCCGGGCCTGGCGCGGGAACTTGCTTGGGGTGGTTGCATCGTGAGACGCTGCTCAAGGAGGGCTTTGCAGGGCGCTCTGATGGGTCTTCTGTTGATGATGAGCGTGGTGTAGGCGAAGAGGAACCACTCCTGAGATGAGATGGGATGGGATGGGATGAGAAACGATGAGCAAAGGCAGTATAGCGAAGCGAATATTTGCACCGATGCGATGAGATACCCCCTAATGATTTCTGCCACAAGATCTAATAATTATAAAATCGCAATTAGCAGCTTGGCTCTTTTTTCATTTCCTATAATATATATACATCCATCTCACTAGTCCAAAGAAGAGCGAATTTTGTAATGGTACATCCTGCCGTCGTAGCCAGGTGCATTCATGCTTTCTAGATTCAAAACACTTAGCTTCGTCTCCTCATAAATAGTACAAGGTATGGTTACACAACGCCGCCGCCGCCGCCGCTATTCCTTTTCTTTTCTTTATAGCATATACTCCCTCCCCCCCCCCTTTTTTTTTGTCTATGAAAATTTTAGTTGTCCTTGGGTACCTGCGCCAAGATCCTCTCCCTCACCACCTGCGCTGCCACCGCAGACCCGTGCTGCAGCGTGACGGCACCGATGATGGCCATGAGCGCCGAGTTTAACACCACTTCCACGCCTGAAGCCTCGAGCCGTTGGGGCTGTTGTTCGTGTTAGCAATGTCATTTCATCAAGTGATTGGTAGTACTGCGAGAGTCGTCAACGTACCAATCGAGGCTTCCACCGCACCACATCCAGCAGTCCAACATTGTTGGCCAGCTGGTAGAGCTTGTCCTTGCCAATGACGTCTCGGGGTCCCATGACGTTGAGGTTATCTACCGAGAGCAATTGGTCGTCTTCCAATGGTTTTCTGTCGAACTGGTCGGGGAGTATTGAGCCGTCAAGGGGCTCTTTGCTGACAATCTCTTTTGTTGCCTCCATTACCATCGTCAACCGTCCTAGAAATTTCAAGTTTAGCTCACTATTCTGCGTCCAAGTCAGGTCGTCGTAACGAACCCAGTAGTGCCAATCTGTCATTGAACCCTCTCCTCCCCTGATCAAAGCTCTTGTGCGTCACTGCCAGCCACTTGAGCTCCTCCGGCAGCATCTTGCTGCCTCCCGGTCCGAGCAAGCGATTGTACACCTCATCCAGCCGCGTGGGGTCGTTATTCACCGCCCAGATCTTGTTCCGGGCGCTCTTTGCAAAGTCCAGCTGCAGGGGCGCCTTCATTCCCTGGGGCGTCTGGCTCCATCGCGGCTTCGTCTTCGTGCTGGCTGATGTCGCGGGGATCTTGAAAGACTCTGGTGTTGAGGGTGCTGATTCTGATTCGGTTGCGTATGTGCGCGCGCACGGGGCGAAAGCGCGAGCCGTGTGCCGGCAGCGGGCCAGGCTCGGACGGCAGGACTGAAGAGCCATGGCTTGTGAGATGAATTGTGTCGGGTCGTTTTTCTTGCGATTTCGACGCTGTCTATATGGTGTTGAAGGCCTATCGAACAAATCTGGAGCATTTTCTGGGGTCACGTGTTTGGCGGCATGCTGCGATCTTATCTTATCGGTGGCTTATCGATTGTGCAGGTGCCCATCGCTGAGTAGCTTCAACGTTTAGGCTGATCTTACCCTGCAAATCTGACTGCAATGCTTGTTCAACAATTGCCCAGTTTTGGTTAAACAAGCGCATTATTTGCTGGTAGAGTTTCTAAGATGATTGGATATTTTATACCAAGCGTAAGCTAATGGTAGATTTATATGAAAGAAGCTTTCAATTTGTCATGGACAGCGCCCAAGTATGATGAAGTCTCACTTGAATAAAGCAAAAAAGAAATGAGCAAAATGAGCAACGGTTATAAGCATCTCGCCAGTATACTATAAAAACAGTTCAGTGGAGTTGTTTACAATAAAAGTCAATCGCTCTCCGGCTACTGGGTTCTCAAGTTTAGGCCGTGTTCGCCTTGTACGACATGGCCACATACTATAAGCTATACAGGCGCCTAGTTGGATTTCATGTACGAAATCAGCCCTACTGTTCGCTATTTACCTCCGCTGATTCCCATTTCGGGCATGTGGCGCCCCTGGCCTTCAGTGGACCCATAGCGCTAACTCAGCTGTAGGTACGGAGCACAGCGGAGCTCCTGCATTCAATCTGACGTTTTGTCGCGACTCGAGGGAGGTACCAGCCTTACATTTTTGCCTTCTTTTCTTGCTCCCTCCTCTTCTTCTTTACAAACCTGACACCTCAGATCACTTCTGCCTTTCCATGAGAAGCCATCCCAATCAGATGACGTCTGCAGACTCTCTAGACGGCAGTCTGCGCGGCCGCCTTGCCGCCGTGCTTCCCAAAGGCTACAGATTCGGCATCCATCACGTTTCCACACCTCCCACGAAAGTCGACGCGCTCTACTCTGCGCCCCCGGGCGAGCGACCCGAACGAACGTACTGCGAGAAGCACTTTCTGAGCGTGTCAATTGACGTCGAAAACTCATTATCAGATGCTTCAGCAAGTGAGAACACACCAGAGCAGGCTGCGCAGCGCAAACGGGTCCTGATTCTCGGCATCGAGATCTTCATATACACCACGGCTCGGTCAAGCACCTTGTTTGTCTCCAAGGCTGACTCTACTGGATTTTTGAACAAGCTACAGCTACCACAAGGTGCTCCTAGCCCGATACGAGAGGTTTGCGCGACCTTTGTACGCTATCTGGTCGACAAGAGGAGGAGAAAGGACGTGCAGTTCGTCGTCAGCTTATTTGCTCGCGCCCAAGACCAGTACCTCTTTCCTGGAAGTATTGAATATGCGGGCAAGCATGTTTTGGACGACCGCGGCCTTGTGAAGTGGTGGTGCCGAGTGCTTGACCCCATCGTCGAGTCGCCTCCACACGGCAGCCTGCCCGCATGGCGGAACACCAAAGGCTATCTGCTTATTCCTGGCTTAGACGCTTACGAAACCCGTGCTTTTATCCCACGCCGTGCCGGCGCAACAGCCAGCTGGGCGCTGAGCCACCCGCTTGAGCGCATTTCTCACTACTCCCGAGAATTTGACTGGGTGCCGCCGCGATGTCTCATTCCCAAATTCCCAGACGACCCCAAATGCCGATTCCGCGATGAGCTGGATGACGAGGTTACCAAGACCAAGGCGATGAAAACGACGGGAAGCTGGAAATCTGTAAAGACGCTGGACATGTTTTGGGAGATGATGGCATTCCGACAAGAGTGTTCAAGCGGGAGGATGACGGGGTTTATTTGGGTCGTGTTTGATGATTTGGATGACGAGTCAAAGCAAGATGGTAGTGATATTGTATCAGTATCTAGTGCCTCGGTCGTAACCAGTGCGTTGAGCGCCGCTCCAGAGACGCCCAGGAAGCAGAGAACTCTGTCAAATGTTACGCCAGCGACCACACCCAGGAGACTATTTCCATCCAAATCAGATCAAACTGGTGGTACGCCCACCAAATCAAAGCGTGACTCTGAGCTTGAAGACAAGAAGTCCAAGAAGCGAAAGGCGGCAAAGATTAAGAGAAAACTCAGAGGCCCAATTATACCGCGCCAGCCACGTATCAAGACCAAGCAGCGCAACTATCTCTTAGACAAGCCCGTATCGACGGCTTACTACTATTGGCCGCATCATGGCCGAGGGGAGAGAATCCTCGATGAGGCCGATTATAAGCGTATGCACGAGCTGCTTCTGCGTCTGGACTTTGCGACCCTGGAAAAAGCCACTGGCAGCACTCGCCGCTGGTTAAGCGAAGTCGGTCTCGGCAGTCGGTGGGGCTTTGATGTTACGGGAACACGGGAACTCGCCGCTCCATCGGCGGAAAAGATGGATGGCGGAGCGGCGCCGGTGAACAACTTGTCTGGCCTTGTTAAGAGAAAGAGATCAGATACTGTAGGGGAAGGGTCACAGGGTGAGGCCGCCAGTGGCGTGAATGTATTGGGCAGTGGGCTCGTCAGGAAGAAGCCGAAACAAAGTGATGGCGGTGATGCTGACACTCCGCCAGTCAACGTGTTGAGTGCAGGGCTTGTGAGGAAGAAGCAAAAGACTTAAGCTCATGTACAGCCGTACGTACTGATGGGCTGGCCCCTGATTTTTCTTCTTTGCGCCTTTTTTTGAGGATGTAATGATTAGGATATGAAGCTTGTATTTTTTTTTGATATTTTTTTTAATGACAAATCCCGATATCTTTTAATGACAAATACCGATATCTTGGTGAATAGTTTTCTGGGTGTGTTTATGTGATGCAGGAGATTGAATCGATTACTTGTAGAAAGAGTGAACGTGAGCTGAGTCCAGCGATGAAGCAAGGAGTGGAAGATGGTCAAAGGCAATATCCTATGGGCAGAATGTATGTGCTGGTGTTAATCTAGATTATGCGGTTGAGGCACTGATACCGAAAGGGATAGAATCCCAAGACTTATATTTGGGATGGATACGGCCAAGTTTGTCTTACAGATATCATGCATAGTAAGTACCTAGATATCCAGCGTCTGAAGCCGGACTTGTCACACACTTGTTGCAATGACGCGCCTGTGCTATATTTGATCTGGATCAGTATTACATACCCAAAGAGCTTGCGTGAACTTGAGTTCTTCTATGCTGTACGAGCTTTAGTGATACTACATTGCCCGGTTTATTGATCAGCCTTAGCCACGGTTAGAGTAGGGTCCAAACACAAACATCCTCGTCCTCCATTTGTCTCTTCTTGGCATCTCTCCTCTTTTTTCGGCACTTGGGAGAAAAGGTCAGCTTGGAGCAGACAAGCTGTGAAGGTAAGTCGCACAATTTCGCGGGGGTTAACATATTAGTATAATCACGCGGTTTCCATCTTGTGCTGTAAGTGATGAAGTATGAAGGAAAAGTGTAAAGGTTGATGACTAGTTTTTACCGTTCTCGCTATTGCTTCACGATACTCATCTAGAAAGCATCCTGAGATTTCAAGGATGTTTCATGTATCCGCGCTGATGATGATAACTCCAAAGATATAGCTACAAGGCAGGCTTGCCAATTTTAGAGTCTTTTATGAGTCTAGTATCAGAAGGAGGTGAGCTGAGACTAGGACATGTGCTGAAGTAAACACAGAGTCTCTAAGCTGACTACTGCTCGAGATACATGTGCTCAGAGCATCACTGCTATGAAGCTGGATTAAGGAAGAAACAGCAGACTTAAGCAGCAGCACAATCATCAATCTACAATACGTAATATTCTCGTACTCTGTATAACTGCTCCAACTTGTAATTCCGATACACGTGCAAGATGTTCTAGAAAAAGCCTCACCAGGGCCCACAATCCCTCATCCAGAGCAACTCGGAGCAGCATCTTTATTACCGAACGGGAAGTGAATGAAACTTTTCTCAAGCTTACTACGACCTGAGCTTCTTGGCGAGGTTCAATTGGGCCTTGTGACGCGGCCAGGCTGTGCAAGCTTGCCAAAAGGGGCATAAAGACCGGGGACAGGAACTGGGCCACGGCCGAAAAGAGAAGAGACAATAGACGAGACAATATCTTGCAACTGTCTAGAACACTCGAGCCTCGCCGTCCCATCTCTAGGCAACAACTTCAACATGTTTCACATGTCAGGCATCATCTGCTGCTGCGCATAGGGATTTCCAGGTACCGAGATAACTTTGTTGGATGGATGAGGGCGAGGCCTAACAATTAATTTAGCCGCCTGACAGGGCGCATAAACATCATCAACCCCACGGTCTCATGACTGTCTCAAAGGCCGATCTGCCGGCGCGTTTCCCATCCGAGTATCGACTCTGGGGAGCACCCCCGTCTAGTTCGTCTAGTTTGCGGGGTATTAGCGGAGCTGCTGAAGACGAAATGCGGGTTGAACGAGGGAAGCACGGGACGTAGAGGGGCTTATTCTCTCTTCCTTTGGCATATCTAGTCTCTGAGAGGAAAGATGTTTATGGGGGCGGTGAAAAAAGTTCTCTCGGAGCTCCAAATGAGTGTTTAGCTGCAATGCTTATAACATAAAACACGGGCTGTTCCTCAATCCCACTCGCATGAATCATCGTGAAGAGCCACAATCATGCCGCGCAATTCTCCGGAGAACCCGCATTGAAAAACTGATAGCAGGGACTGTTATGAGCGCATCAGCTCGCTACGGCCGTGCTGAGGCACCGGTAAGTGTCCGATGGAGGATGAGGTGCCTTCTTCCAGACTGGTCTGTTGGAACTCCAAGGTGTTGAGGGTGTGTTCACGGCTCTGGATTTGCCGTCTAGGCGCAAAGCTACTGGGATCTTTTCTTATAATCTCTTTGATCTTTTTGGCTTGTGATGCCGAAAATCTTTGTGATTCATTTTAAGTTGATGAGGGGAATGACGAATATTGCACTACGATAGGCTGTCGAGAGATGTCAAGTGTGTGTGGCTATACCAGCCAACCCCTGCAAAGCCAGTTGCAAATAGTCTTGGATCCTCGCGTGTAATATGCAAAGTAGGCCTATGGCATGGAAGAAAATAAAGAATCCTACCAGGGGGTGGCGACAGGGATCGCCCAGATCATCTGGCTCCCGAGCTGTCTCGGCAACTCAAAATACCTACTACTACTACTATTATTACCTGCTACAAGTGTTGATATTTTTACATATTGATAGTATGAGCTTACTGTTCACTGAAACGCTCTTTCGGCACTCGTGCGGATGTTTCAGGGAGGTTATACCATGCTTATACCCTGTTTCCCTCGAGAGTCAGAAGCGAGATCAGGAACTTCTCAAACCCGTACGACAATGTAACATTCCCCGTGTTAACCCCAGATAGTATAATAATGCTCCGTTTGCAAAGTCACGCACATGGTCGGTGGTCCCGCATTGGCGCCGGGGTAGGCGGGCGTCGTCTTACTGGCGGAGCAAGTGAAGCGCCGCATCGTGAAAGAAAAAAAAAAGGCCTCGCCAAGCCCCATCTGGCAGTTTGTCCTTGCGCTACCTTGAGTGCCTGGCAGGAAAAGGGTGTAGACGGGCTGGTTTCTACTCGCCAATCGAGTCGTAAGATCCCGAGTTTGGGACTAGTAGATCTACTCGTCGTGGAGAAAAGCATGTGCTTTGTAGAGGAAGTCTTCTATATGGGGGCAGACGACGAGTATAAGACTGCCGTAGATCCTCTGTTTCGCTCCGTTTATGCTTTCGGTATTCCAAGAGCAAAGCAAACTCATAGTATTCCTTCATACATCAGAATATCGTCGTACAAGATGCGATCAGCAGCCCTTCTCACAGCTCTCTTGGCGGGCCAGGCCTTTGCTTACCCAAAGCCGGTCATTCAGTCCACCAGCAAGCGGGGCTGGCCTTCAATCAACGCTTTCCTCACTGAGATTGCGAAGATTATGCCTATTGGTGATACCATCACGGCTGCTTGTGATCTCATTGGAGATGGTGAAGATATTGCTGCCGATCTCTTCGGTATCGACAACACGGAGAACGAAGCCTGTGGCGACGTAACCGTTGTGTTTGCTCGCGGTACTTGCGACCCTGGCAACGTCGGAGTGCTTGTCGGACCATTTTTCTTCAATTCGCTACAAAACGCACTCGGTAGCACATCTCTTGGTGTTCAAGGATTTGACTACCCTGCGAGTGTTCAGGGCTTCCTGTCTGGAGCGGTCCAGCCAGGCATTGACTTGTAAGCCACATCCTTATTACTAGTTTTTCTCATTTTCAACCTGCAAAAGCACAGGACTAACGAATCATTTTAACTGAAATAGGGCCAGCAAAATCACCTCTGTCACACAGAGCTGCCCGAATACTAAGCTTGTGGTTGGTGGCTACTCCCAAGGTAGCTTGGTCGTACACAATGCAGTGGGCCACCTGGACGCAGCAACCGCGTCCAAAATCAGCGCGGTGGTGCTTTTTGGAGATCCAAGGGACGGACAGGCTCTCCCCAACGTTAGTGCTTCAAAGGTTCTAACCGTTTGCCACGATGGCGACAACATCTGCGCTGGTGGAGATATCATTCTGCTTCCTCACTTGACTTATGCTGAGGACGCAGATAGCGCCGCTGCCTTTGTTGCACCTCTTGTTTCATAAATCACATGTATTATTGCCGTATGAAAACTTTGAAAGCGAAAAAATGGGGCGTAGGAAAATTACGCAGTGTATATAGTGGAGTGTTCGGCATTTTGAGCAGTGCCGCTGATGATAATGTACATAAGCAAGCGTTATGCGATTCAATACGAATTACTTGATCAAATTGTTAATTGTCTACTCATTTGTTTATCTATTTCATTTCTCACTCGCAATAGTCCACTGTGGATTCTGGCTGGCGTTGTGTTTCCTTAGACGAGCATCTTACTATACGTGGCAGATTAGCCAGAGACAACTGTTGAAGCAGTCATATTAAGCACCAAGGCAAAATATTAAGCAAATGTATGATATAAAATTATTGCTAATTTAAGTCTAGGCTGGTTGAATATACCCCATACCAAAAAACAAATCTAAGTAAGTCCCCCCGTGAGTTGATGGTTCTGCACTGTTTGAAGTATCTATTTGCGACCGATCAGTTCGAGATAGTGCTCCACAACAGAGACTGTTTGCTCTTCGAATGACTTGAACGAGCCAAAAGTCTTCTGAGCCTTGGATGAATCGATATTGACTGGAGCTGTGATCGGTCGGGGAACAGACTCGAATTTGAAGACGCCATCAGCATAAGCCTCTGGGAAGCGTCTCTTGACAATCTCAAACGAATCGGCCCAGTCAATTGTTGGAGGTGCGTATGCGATGAAATCTTCGTTGCTCTTAACAATGGACGAGTCCAGGGACTGGATGTGCATCTTAGCAACGTCATCGACGTGAACGACTGCGCCAACCAGAGGCTGTTCTTGGGCATGGCCAAGAATGGGGCCCATAAGGAAGCCGTTGGTGCCCTTGGCGATGTTTGAAGCGTCGGTGACAGTGTCATCGCGACCAATGACGAAGACTGGCATGATGTTGACGACAGAGAAAGCGGGCCTTTTCTCGGCGACGAATTTGGTGGTAGCCTCGTAAGCTAGAGCCTTGGATACTTGGTAGGCGTTGATAGCAGATCCATAGGGCCCCGTGGTGTTAACGGCGCGGGTTTTCTCTAATAGGCGAATTAGCATTTGCTCACTTCCAACCATTAGCCATGATAGCAGGACAAAAGAATTGACATACCGTCGATCGCAGTTCCACTAGCCATGGTCTCGAAAGAAGCGACGGACAAGATGGAGCCAGTAATTACAATTCTTTCGATGCCGGTCACCTTGTTTGCAGCCTCCAAGACACCGACTGTGCCCCGGATGGCGGGCTGAATAACCTCAGATTGAAAGAGCTCTTCGGTATCAACTGGCATGACTAGTGGGGAAGCAATATGGACGACATATTTGACGCCCTTGACGGCTTCATCGTAGGCCCCAGGAACGGTAATATCAGGAACAATAATGCTCTCTAGGTTTGAGACATAAGGGGCAAGAGGCTTGAGTGATGTGATGCGGTCAAAGCCAGCTTGGTTGCGGACAGCGACGCGGACTTTATAACCGGTCTGGAGGGCTTCAACAAGCGTTCTGAAGCCAATCATACCAGTGCTGCCAGTGAGCTAAAGAAGAGTAGTGTTGTTAATAAGGGAGATGACTAAGTGCAGTGATTGGAGGATTCAAAATGCATATAAGACTTCGGGGTGGATAGGGACGTACAAGGACGAGATCGCCAGCCATGATGATTATTTGGTGGGTTGATAGATTGTTTTTGGTAAAAATGTTATATTAAGGTAAATTGATTTATTTCTTTGAACTTATTGTTGATTTGGTTGCAGCTGTGTGTAGTACTGTTGTTGAATTGAGTCTGGAGATGAAGATGAGAAGCATATCGCTACTTTCCAGCTCCTTATATCCATCTCCCGTCCAAGCAATTTTCTACATATTTCAAATCTTCCATCTGTTACTATCATGACACTCATCAAGAACTCTGAGATTTCTAAGCTGCACTCGGACTTCTCCTACATCCAGGGCAAACGTGAGCCATTCGCGGCCGTCCCGTGGCGTTGAACAGCCATGCGACGGACATGTAAAGATTGCGGCCTTAAAAAAACACCGCAACACCGCAGCGGACATAAATTGTATTTTTTAATTCGCGGGCTGCTTAGACTAGCAGAATCAAAGCCCGCAGGAACTCTGAGACCCACTTGATGGAACATTCGTTGCTGGCGCCATGAGCTTCAGCCGCGGCACAATGACGACAGATCTCGTTGCTGATTACTATTCAGAGCACTTTTTGATTAGTCGGACGGACTATGATTGGCCCATCTTTATTAATGGTGATAGAGCAAGACTATAAACCTTCTAGCTCCCGAGGCACATTCCTAGTGCAAAGCGATTAAGAAATATGTAAACTATTCGAACAAACACCACTGGATGGGCCGACTATTAGGAAAATCCGAAGGGTTCCATCTCAGCTCTACCAATGTCGTAACTACGATGCCGTAATATTTCCGAGTCGGAGTTAATTGCCTCGCCGCTTAACGTAATTAGGAACCCGTAACTCTGGTTTGAGGCTTCGCTTTTACAAATAGGAACCCATGGCAGCTGAGTAACTGAAGTTGATTGAGCGCATAGACTATTGACTGATGATGTAAACGTGTATAATTGGTTTGATTCATTTAGGCAAGGTATATTTGGAATCGGCTGCATGTGATGCTGCAAGCACAAATCGCGTGGAATTGGACGCACTTAGAGAATGGCATAGAATATTGTTCATTGTTTTACTGATCAAATGCCAATTTGAACCAGCCCTTGCTACAATTGTCACATTCCAAATAATAATGACTTGTTGATAATCATGTAGCACACATGTATATATAGAATTAAGATTAGTAATGTGCCTCAAGGAGGTTTGAATATATGGACTGCATCAATTCCTAATCTCTCGCAGAATCTGGTTCTTAATATGTATATCCCAGTTTCTGATTGGTTTTTAAATACGCTTAGACACAAACGCCGATACTGAACTGGCACTTTTGTCTACGCAAATCCATGAAGAACCATAGTGGCATACATTGCTAGAATAGGTCCTATCATCACGAAAAAACAATAATGATAAGCATCTCCGCTGCCCCTCTGAGCTAGAATCCTGGATTTACTAATTCTGAAGTTGTCTAATTGTATTATCAATCATGACTACATGCTTACCTGGCCCCATCGACCCATTGACGCCAACATCTTTCACATTAGCGTTGCATTGCTGCCACCAGGTCCTCGCTTATATGCCCCCTGCGCCGCATTCGAAGTTGCGTGGAAATTGGGGACTTCCATATTGCTCGATAAGATCGCTCTTCTTGATAGCACATCGTAGATCTAACCACTCCGATGCACCCATCCCCAGTCTATCACAAGCTGTATTTTCCTCATTGCTCTACCAAGATGACAACAGGCCGGGAATACGAGCAGCCTTTCTCAGGAAACTGCGTAAATTAGTTTGGCTTTTAGGATTGCTATCAAATACACTTCCATCAGTCACCTCACGTTGGCGAGTATAAGTACCCTCAACACGACGACGGTAAGCATCCATAAGCAGGATGAATACGTTAACTTCTGGCCTGTCGTGAAGCTATGTATTCTGGCTGAGGCAAGTGAAAGGTACAGAAGCGTGTTTTCTTAGAGCCCTGATCCAGATAGGGATTCGGCCTTACCGAAAATATTCTTTTGTGGGCTTTCTAATACGCTTTTTAGCACTCGCGAGAGCAATATGAGTTGTAGAGCATTTGGCGCATCGTTTCAAAGCTACCTCAAATGTCCCTTTTTTACACGAATTGCAATGCGTATCCATTGCGAGGGGTTTTAGTTTTACTGTATGAATATTCCTGAGTAATCTGTATTCGTGTACTCTGTGAGTATATCGGAAACAGAGGTAAAATGGCCATACACCACCAAACAAGCATCAATTTTGCGGGGTTTTTAGATCAAAGCAATAAGCAAATGCTGCTCACAGGCACCTAATTGTAATACAGATATACAGCATAGGCAGTTATCCTTTCTAGATTACTTTAGCTTCGTTAAAGTAGTGTGCTTTATTATTTAATCATAAAAGCACACGCACTCTCACCAACCTTTCCTCATTACAGTTTCAACATTCTTCAACCAGCCAAAAGTATCTGGCGATTCTTGCCAATTTTAGACATTGGACCGATTGGACGCGCGAACTTATACGCCTTTTTAACCACATGGGATAAATGCCATTCCAAGCTAAGAGGTTAAATAGTTGGGTCTATCCCTGAGAAACTCCCGCATTATAAGCCGCTGGATTTGAAGAGACATTTAATTCACAAGCAATTAGAATAAACTTTGTAAACAGTATGTCTAGAGAATAATATACACGCATTCTATAAATCCCTAGGCCGCCAAACATTACGCCTCTCGAGTCTCAACCCCTTCATGCCCTCACCCTATCACAGTAAGCGATACTAGCCATGGCCTTAAAACACATTCTTCAACGGATGCGCCCAGGCAACACGCCCGGAAAATGGCTCTTCTGCGTCCAAAAAGTTAAAAGCCAAAGCTGCACTGGCAGCCGGTCCTACTAGCCAGTTGGCATGGATATTGTCCATAAAGTTTGGCACCAGGAGGAAGCGGGCTACCAGATAGTACCAGATATTAGCCCAAGCGTGAATTCGTGTAACGCTCGCAGAGACAGCCGCATCACGACTGAGAGGTGCCCATCGCTCATTTTTGTAGCTCTTGTACATGTTCTCTAGAGAAGAAACGTCGGGACGCTTCGAGGGCCCTGAAGAGGCCACCAGCTCTCGCAAGTGGTTGACCAGAGACACCACGTCTTGGATGCCGTTTTGGTAACCTAAGCCAGCATTGGGGCACGCCTTATGGATAGAATCTCCCGCGAGTGCGATGCGGCCCCAGCCCCAGTTGTTGCAGATGCCCTCCTGCAGATCCGACATGCCGCTTGTCATTCTCTCAGCAAATACGTCCTTCACGGTCATAGTTTCATCGAGGTGGAAGTCGGCAAATCTGCCGGCCATTGCTTGGACGTCTTCATCGGTGTAGAATGATCGCTCCTTGGTCGGCTCTGGTAGCTTCTCGTAAAGGAATATCCAGGCGCGTTCCTTGCCGCTAAGGTACATGATGGACTTGTCTTTGCTTTGTGTTTCATATCCTTCCCCCGAAGCTGTAGGTCTGGGAAAACTAGCCCACATGCACCGGTAGGTGGACGTATATGGAAGCTCGGGGTCCCATTCTGCGTTTGGATTCGCTTGTAACGCCAGTTTCCTCATGATTTGCCGAGTTTGCCGAGTCTTGCTATTGACGCCGTCTGCGCCAAGCACCAGATCGCCTTCATAAACGCTTCCATCCTCACAGAAGACTTTGACCCCATTTTCATCTGATTGGATGTCCGTAAGTTTCTTGTTGGTTAAAACATTGTGCTTGAGCTTTTCAGGTAGCTGGTCGTAGAGAGACTGGACAAGCTCTGCACGGTGAAAGGCAGAAGGTACACCACCGTGGCTGAAAACTTGAGTTAGATCATTTGGTGACTGGAAAGTTGTCGAGACGCCCGGTAGACTACTCACTTCTTCTTCGACTCACCAAAAATATCCGGGTTATCCTTGAACTGGTGGCCATCTGGAGTGAAGCATTTCTTATGGTTTACTTCGGCATACAAATCTTGCAGCTGATTGAGCAAACCAAGCTGATGGAAAACCCGCAAACTACTTGGTGCTAGAACTAGGCTGGCGCCCACGTCAAGTGCGATTTGACGGCTTCTTTCGAGGACAGTAAACTCCATACCCGCCTTACACAAAGCGTGTGCGGCTATTAACCCTACAGGGCCTTGTAAAAAGAGTTAGTTCATAAATCTTAGTCTTTAGGATGCAAAGTTGCGTACCACCGCCGACTATGACGACTTTGAATGATTTTGCCGCCATTTTGTGAGATGATGCTTGAGTGTCTGAAAAAGAAGGGCTATTATGTTCAAATATGTATGTTCCTGATGCAATTTAAAGTTCTTGATAGTAACAGAAGTCTGTCTCTCATTTATATGTCTACATCATAGGCTTATGTATGTTCATCTCAGCGTAAGATATTACGCGTGTATGGATAGACCCTTAGTATTCCAAGCCACCTCATCACCGGACAGTAGTGAAACTCCGACTGCGATGGGTTCATGTCCATGTGCAAGGCCAAAAAATACTATTCGTCTAGAGGAACAGACCCGGCGGACGGACTGTCCGCTGAAGTACAGCACATGGCCAGCATGCGATGTCCATGCTCGCATGAGCCACTCCGCAAGCTCTTGGCCATGTTAGGCAATACCGCTTAGCTGAGGCAGTAGCCTTTGGCACTTTAGAATATGAGGCCGGCTAAACGGGCTATAACGTTGTGGCAGAGAACACCAGGATACCCTCGTTTCGGTAGATCAGGAGCCAGTCCACGAAATCCGCATTTGCCAATCCGCATTAAACTCGCATACGGGGGAAGCTGTCAAGCTTGTCATGATGTTCGCCAATACTTGCAAACTTTGCAACTGAGAATTCGCTTACGCACTATAATCCAGGGTTTACTGTAAGCGTGATGGGCTGCTGTAAGTATGTATATTACTTGGGAGACATGTTTAAAGTGCTTAATGTAGCGAAATCGTCTCTACAAGTATAAGGACATTACTTACCTTGCGATTATTCCATCTTAAGGTTACGTACCAGTAGGTAGGAAAATATACCACTTTGCGTAAGGGCATTACGTATCCTTTACATATCAATGGTGCTGTGATTCTAACAGCTCTCTCCAATGTTGTAACAGGTCAGCGTTGCAGCAGTTCCTGTAAACGGTTAGAAAGCCGAGGGCTTAGATTTCCCTAATTACCCTAATAAGCTTCCCCTGATTGGCTAGACAAGGGATATAATACAACGCAAGCGTTGAACACACCTCCACTGAAAGCCTCCCTTTCAGATTGAAACCTCCCTTTCAGATTGAAATTCTAGCTTTACTATTAAAAACTGGATCTTCAAACTGAGTGCCTTGGCCTTTGCCCCTATTTGCCGCGGAATGGTTAGATTTCAAGGGGGATCCAATCAATGACCCTGCCTCTATAGATCAAGTCTTGCAATGCTCAACGCAGCATTCCATCCTGCGGGCCCATGACTATTTCACTTTTTTTGCTTGTGGCGGAGTACGGAAGAAGGTGGTCGGCTTTAGAGATACTACCCGCGAAATGCACCTATCTGTTAGGCAACAGCATTGAAGTAATTCTAAGCGCGCGCTTGGTATGTTGTCACCGAAGTGGATATTCTCATTTGAGTTACAAAGCCGAGCAGCAATGTCCCTTGTACGAAATGCCACCAAATGTACATCGTAATGCGAATAAAGGGGCCATTGGCATGGACCAAGTATATTGATGCGCGCGTCAATTACTAAGCGGAGTTTACAGATCAGTCATAAATCTGGCGACATGTAGTCGTATTTGAGCCCAATTTTTATAGGTGTTCTAATTGTTACATTTTGATGACAAAGGCTATTCTTGTCTTGCGAGGATTGTGCCGGTTCGCTGTTGGAGTAGAAGATGAGCTTCCTCTTCTTGTTTCGTAGAGATTCTCGTCTAAAGAAGAAAACAATAAGTTGAAGACAATTATCCTCAAAGTGATGAACATGAGATTGGTGTAAATAGGCCATGCAAAATTAGAGTTAAAATATAGTAAACGCGTATATATGAAGTTCGTGTAACCAAGACATTGCACCTAGAGTGAACAAACGGATCGCCAGTGTTTTTGCCTGTGAACTAACGTTATATTAAAGTCTATTCGGTTATCCAGCATCAGTTCATTGCAAACCCATCTTATCCGGACCTTTGTATCTCCTATAGCAAACTCATCCATATACCGCTTACTAGAAATGCTCTGGCGCTATTGCTTGTGAAGATTAATGACGCCTTAAGTGCAAATGCCAGCAGATTCTTAGCTGAAGCTATTTTCTACAATTCATCATAGTTCCCAAACTAGAGGTAGACTATGATGTGCGACTCGTTGAATTTGGTGAAAAAAGGTTTAAATTAAATTAAATTAAATGTACAATGAATAACGCCAATGTAAGTACTAAAATATATATCCGCTGCATTGCGTAGTGGCAGTTTCAGTGCTACGTAGACAGCTTAAACATGCAAGGCAAAGTTGCGAAACTTACGGTGTAAGGTTGGATAGTATAGTGAGGAATAGGGCATTAAGTAGTCCGTGTTTACCAAAAGAGAAGGAAAAAGGTTACTTAAACCCAGGCCTGATTGACCTAAGTTAAGTGGGAATACCGCCTGAATGTTAAAATATACTGCCTGAATAGCAATACTCTTATATTAAAGAAGTAAAATAAAGCTATACAAATAATTCTTTTTTTTATTTTCTTATATTATTCGCCCCTACCCTATTATTCTAATATTAAGCCGTATAAAACCCCTACTGATACTACGCCATACCCCCTGTATCATAGATAGAGAGAGAATATTTTATCGAGTTATACTACGGCTTGCAGCGGAATTAATAAGACAATTAGAAACTACAGTATTTCCAAAAGAAGAAAATTATTCCAAAATGTCCTTGTCCCCGACTTCGTCTATGTACTTACTTGGTTAGAAAGTACCTGAACGCTTTCAGATCCACATTAGTCTCCGGGTTTCTAAGATCGGGTTCTGTCCACGTCAGGAAGTTCTCGAACCCAGACTTCTCAAGAACTCTCTGACTACCAATGTTGTCCGAGACTGCCCACGTCACAATCTGCTCCAGAACCGGTCCATCTCTATCAAGGAGTGTGCGCACATCAACCTCAATCTCCGCAGCTTCTCGCGGTAGATTGCGCCACATGTCCAACCATGCCTGGAGAAACTCAGTTACAATACCCTGATTCCAGAATTCTTTACGAATCATGTAGCCAATTATCGGCCAGCCAAACATGGAAGTAAATCTGTAGCAGCCGCCGGTACCAATCATCTCTCCCGTTTCCTTGAGACAGATAGCAAAATTAAACGTTCCTTCATCCTTTGGTGGAAGGAATAGGTCAAGCCTTCGCTGCGTCTCCTCCATATCTTTGTCGATTCTCCCCTGAGGGTTATTTGCCATTACTTCCGGCTGCGTGCGCAACACGTGCAAACTCTTAATGTCCTCGGGAACAATAGACCGAATAATTAAGCGACTGGTCGTGACTGGCTGACGGCTAGAGTTTAGTGGTGTTGGACGGATGGGCAAGGTCGTCTTCACCAAAACTCGATCTGGCTTGGAATTTGGTAAGGATGCCATGATTGCTTCCTCGCTTGCAGAGGCTTTAGATCTGCCGATGAAAGTAAACCTGGACCTTCGTTCCAGACAACCTGATAACTTTCATATGGGCCTCCGCCTGCGTTTTTATACGTTGTTATGTTTTGTACGCACCATGTTATAATGACTCAGACCTTCTTGCTCTATAATTGCCAAAATAGACATAAGAAACGGGCTAATTTCCACCCGACTATTACAGTGGTCGCTAATTGTACAAAGGACTTTTCCGAAAGAAATGCCTCACCGCCCATTATAGTATCACTAAAGTTAGGTCTCCCAAGCGAGTAAAAGCTCTTTTAAAAGAAGCGGTTTAATTTCCTCTAACAATCCATAAGCAAATACTTAACACCAGTGAATATTTAGGTACACTCTATCTTCCACAACATGAATAAATACCTCAATTATATATATATTTATACAGTGAAGTCAGACAATTCTATAATCTCTGGTTATATATATATATATATATTCGCTATGCTTTACATACCCTAAAACAGTCCTGTTACTCTGTAATAAGTTGTAGTGTAATGTCTTAGCCCCCACTCTACGTCCTAACTATTAGTTTAATTACTAATTGCCGGCGCAGCATAGAGCCCTTAAGACATTAGACTCAAACGCAATACAGGCTCTATTTTAGGAATAAGAATAGTAGGTACAAACAGCATAGAGTGCAGTTCATGAAATTGATTACTTCATGTTGTATCGAAATATTGGAGGAGTAATTAATGCGTCGGGTTCCTGTTCGCTAAATAATAACTGCCCATGCTGTTAATGTGAGGTTCCCAAAACGGCCACAAACATAAAGGGAAACATAATATAAATCAGCACAGTTTTTACTCTTTATTATCACTATTTCTCAATGCGTGTTTTGTTTTGAACATCCAACAATGCCTGTTTATTCGCTGGGCCTTGGGGGTATTACCACTAAGTTTCGCTCTAAGTTAAAGTCCCAGTAAAAATAAAGGCAGGAAGACCCGCAAAAGCCAAAAGAGTATTCTATAATATTAGTACATACCGCATGATATCGCCTTGTGGGAAGTGGCTCTAAAGGCCGGGATAGATGCCAGTACTACATAAGTAGAATAAAATTAAAAATATAAAAAATATATTAATAAGTTTTTTATGAAAAAAATATTATTTCATTTAGAATACAATTATAAAGGTATTTTTAAAATTAAAGGTTTATTAAAGCTTTATAAAGTTTAATAATTTTAATAAATAAAATTTAATATATATATATATACTTAATTAAATAAAAAAATATAAATATATTAATATTCTTTTTAAAAATATTAATTATATTTTAAAAATTACCAATTGCATATTCTAGTAGGAGAAGGCAATGAACGTATCATCTGCCTTTTCCAATGGATGAGGTGACTGTTTATGAGTAGAGGTTAACTTTGCCTCAGTGTCCTTTCTACTCGTGGTTGGTATTGTGCTGGTACCCTGTGATTCAGTAGTGCCATTCAAATGTGCGTCGGACTGGGCACCGGTAGTCAGTTGGGGTTCAGAAGTTAAGGGAACTGTCTTAGTTGGGCTCGACTGTACAGGATCGTTTATATTGGTAGTCGGTCTTACGCTACTATGCTCTTTCCCAATTGAAGTCGCCCCATTACTAGCCTCATTTCGGGAAGACTCGTAACCTGATGCTGCGCTATTACTTTGCAATAAAGTAGATGGCGGGTCATAGGGCAAAAATGTAAATTTACTTGCGGGGTTTGATGTGGTCGCTAGCCTATTGGTCACACTTCCCTCCATAGGTTGAGAAGTTGTTACATGCTTTGGCTACATGTATATATTGACTTCGGCGGAGAAATGCCAGCTACTATTGTACCAGAACCCTTAACTGACATGCCATGCCGAAAAAAATGCAGACTGCTCTTTAAAACACCATGCGAAAAATCCTAATGTTAAACCCAGCTTGCGTACTCTTGCTACACGCTAGAACATCAACTCATATGAATTTGCGAGATGGATCTGTTCAACCAAGCATACAATAGTTTTAGTCCCAATGTAAGTGAGCCTTACAACCCGACAGATGAGAAAAGCTTCAACTAGGTATTGTTTCCCATTTTATTGATGCTAAGCATCCCTGTGCATGCTTCCACCGCTAATGCGTGTGATATGGATGATCAAAGGGTCCGGATAAAGAAAGCAGGTGAAATACCACGCAGCGTCGGTATGATATGGGAAGCGGCTGCCCCCGGAATTCACCGGTGATTACATGGTGTTTTTTTAGCCCAATGCTACGTTTTTTTGACACTTATGTTGTGACCTGTAATCGTTGTACACCGAGACTTACTACGATTCGCTGGATGCGTGTGATGTGTGTCTGGAAACAGCTGATCTTCAGTGTGTCTTACGCCGAGTGCTACTTGCAATTAGAAATCAAGCTCGCCACATTGATTCACTTTTGGGAGCCGGGCAATCAATGAGCTACGAATTAGCGCCATATGTGATTAGCTGTCTATGTGATACTCAAAACCGTGCGCCTGGCTTTAATTTATACGTGTTCTTCTCGTCTCGGTTACCCTGCAGTGAACTTCAAAAGTTGAAAGATGAAAAAATAAATATTACAAAATATTGGATGAATAAGAATTATTGACTTGAGATTATATACTCCGTAGGCTTTATAAACTAGGCAGTTTCGGTAATGGTTGGGTGTCCTTGCCAGCGTGGTCATATGGATAAATATTGGGCTTGGGCTATTGATGAGCGCCCGAATGTACATATAATTCGGCCTCTGTCAATAATGATATACCGTGGATTCCACTCATGGAGCCCAGTGGCTGGGGTTTTGCGGCCTCATTTTATATCGTTGTCTATGCCGTTTCTTATATTCACTTTTAAAAAACCTGTAAGAGAATTGACTTGGATTGTTCCCGACACCCATATCCGTGTATACAAGGACAATGTTAGCAGCACTAGGTAGTAGTCTGTAGTTGAAGTAATATCATAGGCACAGAATATCTCCTCCGAAGGTCCCGGAGTGTTTATGCATCGTCAGATGTTCAAAAACCCCAAGCCAATAAGGTGATTGGTCTCCACCCCAGCTGCAACTTAACTGCTAGCGAAATGCTTGGTCCGCGACTCCAAGCGCATAGAGTAGTATCCAGTGAAGCGAGACAAGAGCTGTCAGGTGCTCATTGGGGGACAGAAGTTTGACGATCTCCCGGGCCCCGCAGTATGACTTGGCCGCTTGGCTGTGGAACTAGAGGAAATGCCCTTTGAAGTCTTGTCGTATGATAATCATTCCACGAGTCTACTCTGGAGAATAGTCGAGTTAAACACCGAGCATTTTGTACTAGATATTGTATTTAGATATGGTATAAGGTATCATTTATCATTAACGAAAGACTAAAGCACATTTAACGACCGAATCTATCTATCATTACTTCATTTCCCCATCCATTCGCAACTTCATTAATATGGGGAACCACCCATTTTCCCCCCATGCACTCCGCTACTCAAAATCTCTCCGATTTTTCTAATCTGGTATCTTTCTATTTGTAAAGCACTATTGCCGTTTCTAGCTGCCCCAGATGCTAGTGCGCGCACAGACATCTGCAGGTGTTCACGGATTGACTGGTGGTGTAGATGAGCGAAAGCGTGCCGCTGCTACCCTTAAATCACAGAGTAATGTGTCGTTGCTTAAGCATTATTGGCGCCAGCTGAAAGCTCCTTGTTCACGGGAGCAGCAGCGGAGTGGTTGTACTCAGCACGGAGGAGGATGCCCTCAACAATGGTGTTGGCCAGAAGGAAGAAGCTGTGAATGTTAGCGGGATAGTTATTTATACTATACAAATTGTCAAGGCACTTACAATGCAAGGAAGTTGAAGGCGTCAATGGCGTGCTTGCGAGAGCAGTGTCCCTCACCAGGCTTGCCGAAGCCACACTTGCCGCTGCTCCAGTCTTGAGAAGAGAAGATGAAGGAAGTGAGCCAGAGGTAGGAGAAGACCAGGTTAAGAGGAGCCAGGTATCCACGGTATCGGCCAATCAAAGGAAGGACTGAGCCAATGAGCCAGAAACCCAAAGTGATAACAGCCTAGAAAGACAAGTTATTAGTTTACAGCTCGAGGCAGCGATGTTGATAATTAGAGTCGAGACATACAATGACCTCCTGGTAGACAATGTCGACACCGCGGTAGTCATACTTGGAAAGGAACCAAGAGGCAAGACCAGTGACGATGATTGAAGAGATGAGAACCATCAAGTGGTTGGCAAAGGCGATGTATCGCAGGGTGGCGTGCTCCAGAGAACCGAACATTTTGATAGGATTAATGGTTGATGCTTTGGGTATAAGTGATGCTGATGGGTATTATTGGGTTATTATGCAGATGCTGCTAAGCGATGCTTTTGGGGTATATATATAATTAAGTGTTGGGTATCGAATTGGTTGCGATGCTGATAAAGATGCTTCTATGTCTTTCAAGCTAGATGCTTTGAATGTAGAAGAGGCTGTTGAGGCTGATGCTGAGTAGCTAAATCACATCCAGATACGCGGAGCGCACGACCTTTTTTATACCAGTCTCGACAGCCATCTCGTCCTGATACCCTCGGCCATCGTGCCGTACAGACCTGTTCATCGGATCGATGTCATCTGATGATTCGCCTTGCAGCGAGAAGGCAAAAAAATCAGAGCAGTCCAGCAAAACGACGTCATAGCATGCCACTCTCCCAATGCCGAACGATCAAAGGCCGTCCTAGCATTGGGCCATCTGCCGGCGCCGGGAGCTTCGGCAGTCGTCGTGCATTAGCACATCACAACTGGGTGATTTGTGCACTCGACATTTTAGCTGCATTTGGGTGCCCAGACCCTTGAGCTTCCCATCAGGTTAGGCCGTTGTCGTTGCTCTTTGCTGCTTGTTAACCGAGAGCATCCAGGGATTGGAGATTTCCTCGGCTAACTCGCTGCCATCCGTCTAGCCATCCATCCATGAAATGAGGCACAGAAGAGGAACCAAGACCCCAATGAGGAGAATAATGCTTGGTCTGGTTGCATGCATAATACACAACACACCTCTAACAAGCTCGGTAAATCTCGGGATCGCAAATTCTGTCCAATGATGAGTTGCATTTCGTCTTATCGAGTGTGACCAGTCAACCAGGGCCGGCTAGTTTTGCCCAGCGCTAAGCGCCTTACTTAGTAACTCGATGAATCCGAACGATTTCCGATTCTTGGTCTTGCTCTGATGGGCAGCGAGCAACCAATCATGTTTCGCCTGCTTGACTAGAAGAGACAACAATCCTGCCAGGCTTGTGCGTGCGGAAGTCCCGAAGCATCGCTGAACTCATTCCGCATATCGGAGATGGTTTGCAGTTCGGGCATGGCCTTGTTCGATCTTTGTTGCTCTTGTTTGTTTCCAACGTGAGATTGATGACATTTCTGCGGAGAGCGGCTCGGTGGTGGTCGGGATGTGATTAAAATTTTTCTTTTTCCGAATTATCAGCCAACACGGCTACGTTAACGACGTCATACCAATCAATGCAAAACGGAATGAAGGGAATCAATGTTAGCCAAAAGCTTCGAGTTTTGTTTTGCGATGCTCATTGACCAACGCAACTTAAGGCGACAGCTCGTCCATTCAACGTGGCATTGCCCGGGCGCGATGCAGTAATACTCATGTATCACAATCGTGCCATTTTTCTGTTCCTTTCTTAAGAGACTCAACAGCTGCCGTTGTCAATAATTAGTCAATAGGTCTGCGACGTTGACCAAGTCTGTGCGACTTTGCCTTCTTGCCGGATCGTGAGTTCGCGACTTCGCGATTGTTAGCGGCAACGGCTGGAGCGGGTATCGGCCATCAAAACATGCTTCGTCTCATTAGCCTCCGTGATCGAACCAGTACCGGATCACGATCGAACTCACGAGTCATTGGTAGACAGTCTTGCCTCTGAAGGGTTACATTTGAGAAATTTCTCCCGCCCAGTAGAGGCTAAGAGGTGTTCCGGAGCTGCCGGCTGCATGTTAATGGCAGCCAGTAGGCACATTTTATCCTAGCTGACGATCACATAAACGCATCAGGTGGCCCATTGCACCAGACACTTTTTTTTTTTTCCCCAATGGAGGGAAATCGTTTTCGATTCGATCTATTTCATTGATGTAAAGGTTTGTGGTGGGTAATGGCGGGCATGTTGGATTGGTAAACTGACTTTCAAATACATACTATGTGTATACATACTCTAGCCCCCCACATTAGTTGGTCGAGAGGCTTAGGTAGGATTGCAAGTTCAAGAAAGTGATATTGCCATCGTGATTGTGAACTGTACTGTTCACATGTTTGGCAGTATTTACTGACCGAGATGGTGAAAGTAAAAGAGAGAGAAATCCCAAGACTTGGTAGGGAGATGCAGTCCTCTTAAGCATAAGACGGAAGGCTGTGCCACAAAAGCCAATCGTTGCCACCGACATCATCAAATGCGTGGCCATCGAACTCAATCCCCAAGGGCTTGTGATCAGATTCTTCATAATACAGCAACCCGACGTCGCTTTTAATAGTTGCCACGGCCGGAAGCAATGGCTGCAGCTCCCGAGGAATGACCAGTTCAACTGCCAACGGGTTGAAGATTGTGGGAGTATGGGCCTTTTCTTTCATAAGCACGCCTCTATAGTGACGACACAAATGCAACGGCAAACACGGGATACTAATCGAATAGGTTGTGAAAAGACGTCGAAAGAGAAAACGTCATAAACTAGCTATACAGCTTGCCTCGGAGAGAGCAGCGGACGCTACGAGACCGGCAAAGAAATGCAAAATGCCCTTCTGCCTTGCCGCAGCTGCCATATTGTAAATTAAACTATATTGATGAAGATGAAATGCTACTGGCGTTCTATTCAATAAACATTAAAGTTTGCCAAGACCACCGCAGATCCGCCCTGCGATAACCGACTACAATAGTGGTCTGCAGCCTGATCTGTGGATATCCCATCCACTTTTCACTCACAGCAGCGTCAATCACTATAATACGAATCTAAAGCGACTCAATTACGCCAAATGCTGGAACCGTACGCCCCCCGGGATACGTGGCAACGACTTTAAGGAATCCAGTGTAAGAAACGAGAGGAACCCCTGCGCTCTGGATTTCTTGATCAGGTCTGATGCTGGACAGACGCAGCTCCGGTCCACCCGCAATGTTAATAATCCAATCAAGAGGATATGTATTTTTAGTTGCGGGCGATGTAAAGGTTCTGTTGGATGAGATTTTCTCGGTAACCGGCACAACGCTCTGCTCTGCCTGTTCTCCTGTTCGGCGCGTCGCAAACTTTTTGCTGCCATTGATAGGGTCGGTCCAAGTCCAGATGGAGTAGAGTTCGTCTTCAGATCCATCAGACGCGTGACCCGGAATATGAACCTGGAACCATGAAAAGCTTTCGGGGATGACTCCCCACTGGCGATCGTACCACGTTAGAGAGCGGCTTGGGTCGACGTAGACTTTTGTGCCGTTGACCGATATCCAGCCTGTTGTTTTCCCAGCCGGCATGGACCACTGGAATCCAGTTCCACCTCCAACATGGAATGTGCCAGTGCCGGCGTTGAGTATAGGAGGAGAAGACATGTCAAAAGTGAGATCGAAATCAACGTCCGCGGTGGCACTAGAGATTCGCATCCCAGAGAGTGGATCTGTTGAGCTAGTGGATTGAAACGCAAAACCCGGAACTGTGAAGTTGAGAATGCCAGTGGGGCCATATGCCTGTGCTACGGCTGTAAGGCGAGCATATTGCGAATATTGAGACGTATCTTCCAGGTCGAGAATTGAAGCTCGGTATATATTGATGAGGGCACCGCCGCCTACAGCCAATGCAGGTACGGCGTTTGCAACAACGAGATAATCTCGACCATTGGAGCCATGGATGAAGGAGGAGCTCCAGAAGGAACTACCAGTCGAGGCAGGATCGTGATTTGTTTGTGAGGTCGACAAGTTATATGGCGTCGGATAGTTAGCCTGTCCAGCACGTCATATAGAAGTTAGAATTTGTTCTGTCTTGAACCAGGAGACAGATTGAGCGGCCGTAAGACTCACCAGACCGCTAGACGTAAATCCGCTTGTCTGAGGATGAAATTTCCAGCCTGGATTGACTGCAATTGCAGTGGCAATGAAGGCTTGGAAAGCAAGCAGCTTTCTCTGTTTGTTTGAAGGGGCCAGCATCATGTTATCTGTATTCCTGCGCATGTATCTTAGTTAATTATCCAGCTGTAAGGCGTAACCAATGGCGTATAGAAAGGTGAAGAGTGATATTACTATATAGACAAAGAAAGGTGTGATCCTTCGATGGGCCCTAACACCTCTACCCCGACCCAATGCACAATTGCTACATGCAATTATCTCTCCTTGGCAAGCTTGCCCCGCAATGATCCTACCCCTTAGTAAGATGGCTCTTTTTGGAAAGGTCTCGATTTGTGGTAGCAAGACAGCTAGAAGATCGTCGAGTGGCGGCATTCCGGGGTCTATAAGCCCCCGATTTCACCACGAAGGCTGCGGTGATAAACTCTAATACCTAGATTGGCTTTCTGCGGATTCTCCCTGCATGGAATTATGCATAAATTGCTAGGATGAAAGACGGGTCACTGGAGAACCTGTTAGTAAGCGGCGGCCGGGGATAGGGGGTAATTGGAGATAAAAATGCTGATAAAAGCAGGGGAAACAATTACCGAGATATGTGTTGCTGCTTGCTTCGTGTTATTAAAGGAGAGTTTGGGTCAATCGATCGGTGTAGCATGCCTTCTAACTCTGACCGCGTTTGCATAGTAATACGTGCTGCGTTCTGTATGCATGTTGTGATAGGCATCTTATTTGTCGCATATGCCGTGGATCTACCAAGCAGTTTACATTAAGCTTAGCTGGATTCTAATAGGTAGATAGCACCGTACACAGAACAAGACTCAAATATCACGGCATTTGACATATGACCTGGTCATCGTAAAATCCACATTCATATAACTTTGTTTAATAGTTCAATGCTTAGGAGTCATGTTGTGTAATCTAATCTATGAGAACAGCTCACTTCGTCTCTAAAGGAGCTTGATCTTCATAAAGGTCATTAAGCAAACGGCAGATAGGCGGCAATAAGACCACCCCATCCACCCTTATTATCGGCGCTCAGCGCAGCAGCTTCGCCATTCACGGTCACCATATTCTTCACCAAGTGCGTACCAAGGTTGAAAATCTTTAATCGCTTCGGTTGGCCCTCGATGGAGACAATGTTGTCTTGAGCGTACGGGCCTGAAACACCATTAAGGCCGTTGAAGAACTGTCGCATTTGGTTATCATCGTGTCCAACGCTGGAGATAATGTATATGCGTAGCATAAAGACGTAAACTTACTTGCCAGAAGCCCAAACCATAAAAGGTCATGTCACTGCCGCCTACGACACGGAGAGACCAACCCATGAAGCATTGGATTGAGCTTCCATCGCAGTTGGAGTAATCAGGGTCAGAGTATCGGGAGTCAGGTCTAGCACATCGATTAGTTTTGTAGAGCGGTGGATTAGGCAGATGCGGGATATAAAACTTGCGTCCAAGGCGAGGGAGCCGCAGGTGCAGGCTGCCAGTATACAGTCTCCGTTTGCGCCATCAATGCTTGGACATTTTGTGCGCCAGCAAACTGATACTGGTAAAGAACGTTGTGCTCAAACGCTGTACCAACAAGCCATGTCCCGAGCTTGGATTCTACAAGAAGACCTCGGCCCACGGCAACAGATTGGCTAGTTCCGTTGGTAGCACCGCTTAGACCATCGAGATCACGGTTGACAGACCAGCCCCAAACACTCTCCAAGTAGGTCTGGCTGTTGGACTTGAGATGCATAAACAAGAATGCGGCTTTGCACTGATCGATCGGGGACTGAGGATAAGAGCGGCACTTGGTTTCAACGGCAGAGCCGATTGTGCCACCAGCGCGGAAATGTGAGTCCCAAAGGCCAACATCACCTGGTCTTAATCCAGCTGCGTTGTTCTCGACAAGAATGGCACCGGGAAGGACATCTGCTACGTCAAATGCGATATCGCTCACCTCTATAATTCCACGGGACCCAGTGGTGCCCATCTGGAAGACAACCTGAGGATTCTTCTCATCCTCAAACGCGCTTCCGTATGCTGCAGAAGAACTTTTTTTAGTAGTTAATTCCACATGCCTTGATCTAAAAGTTGAACTTACCACTAATGGTAGACCAAACCTCACCGACAATTCTAGATCCAACCGGGACATGGATGGTGCCGCTGACGCGGTAGTTTCCAGCAGGGAAATATGTGATCCTTCGGTTGGCATTAGCCTTGAGCGCAGCGTTGATAGCTTTGGTGGCATCCGTCTTTCCATCTCCGGTAGCACCGAAGTTTCGGACACTGGAAAAGCAGCCAGAGCTGTATCTTTCGTACTGAGGTCGCGACTTGGTCCAGTAAGCGCCACTGGAATCTACAAGAGCTTGGGGGCGCGAAAGTGAGCCGCTGCTCTCGAGGTATTTGCCAGTGGTCTGATCCTTGTAAACGGTGCCTTGGATGAAGGAGCCGATTGTAGTAGGGCGAGTTGATCCCGCAAGGAGAGGATTACCGTGCGTATCAGCGACAGCATGGCCGACACGATTGAGTTTAAGGTTCTCAATGATGAGAGAGCCATCTGCGTTCTCGGTATGCTGCGATACAACAACATTGCCTGTAGAGGTGGCTTCTGAATCAATCAGGATGACCGATCCGACAGAGTTGTTTGGAGGAGCGGTAAAATTTACGCCAACGTTAACATTGTTGAACTTGACGCCCTGCAGGGATAGAGTGAAAATGTGGTCAATTTGTATTCCGGTTTTGACATTGTTGAAAGTCAGTGCACGCATGGCGTACTGCTGGTTATTCAATCGTATCTACTCGTACCATAGATATTAGCCATTGTCCACACGTTCAAGAATTTATAATGTTGGAGGAGATAGTCTGCCGACTTACACCAATATTCCCCCCAGTGAACTCTAGATCGCCCATAAAAGTAGCAGAACCACCGCCTCCGCCAGTAGTTCCGTTGAAAACAACACCCTGATGTAAGCTGTTTTCAGCCATTTTCATGTGGTTGAAGCTCAGAGTCACGGCCTGGGCAGAAGGCCAGTTGACACAAGCAACAGTTGATTTGACATCTACACTGGTTGTATCAAATACGAAGTTTCGTACTTGGTAGTAAAGGTTGATGGTAGTGGGGAATGGTGAAGTGGTCGGAGAAGGGAAAGTGTCTAGGAGGTATAAACCGGAAAAGTTCTTATCAGCTTTGAGAATTGGCCTGTCCAGTGGATTGCCGACAAGTTGTGTGAAGATGTAGCTGTTAAGAGTTCGTGAAATTTTGTAAGTTCCAGAGGGGAAATAGATGAGTGCGGGCTTCAGCGTTTTCGCCGGAGGATCTCCCGGACCACATCCCCATAAGCAACGTCCGCCAGCTGAAAAGGTTAGTTGAAAAGCAGGATGTTTTTAGAATTGGGTAAATACGTACCATCAATCGCCGCTTGAATGGCCGCAGTATCGTCTGTTTTACCATCACCCTTTGCACCAAAATCTTTGACATTACGGTAAACTGTGTATGAGGAATCATTGAGAAATGGAGAGATGCCGGTATGCTTGATTGTCTCAATCCAAAAATCTTCGTTGCGGACCACAGGGTGGCATTGACCAAAAGTGAGACTGGCATCTAGAGACGCAGTAATATCACGGGTAGTGAGTCTAGAATCTTTATCAATACCAATACTCTTTTGCTGTACAAGTACAGAGGCATGGGAGAAAAAATGGGGAGAGAGAAAAGGAGTTACCTACGCCTCTGGAGCGATTTCAATCGCAGCAGCGTTCACTGTAGATGCCACTCCGGCGAGCCACGCCAACAGTTGCGTTGCTCGAACCATGATGGCGCTGGTCTGACACTGTATGGAAGAATCCTGAGACAGCAAGACGAGTGCTAAGAAAGCCCAGGCAAACAGTCTTACTGGATTTCCTACGTTCCTCGGCTGAGCACACAGGGAAAGGACGTGGGCATTTAAAGGACAAGGAATCTAAATAGACTTGATAAAATGTCATAGAGACGATCCGCAAAAATATCCGTCATTGTTACACTTTCTCCTCGCATCCTACACTTTTCCGAAGTCTTGGCTTTCCCCGGTTTCTGGATAGCGAATCGGAAGGCCCCCGAAAACAGAGAGCTGCAGGTATGGGCATTATGGTTGGTGGAATATCTCAAATCTGGGGTATTGAGAGCCGGCCCGAATGGCGCGTAGCAACAATGAGGCTCGAAATACCGGTAAAGAGTTCTTGGAGAGGAATAAGGGACAGCTTTGTTGTGATTCGTGTAAATTTACCAACGTTGTGGGGCGAATTGCCAAGATGCTGCTGTTTACTTATACAGGAACTATTGCAAATGAGATCAGTCGGCACATTGACGCTGAGTTTGGCTCTCCAATTACGTTGACCAATTACCATATGGGCTCGCTTATAACTCTAAGGTTCGAATGATCTTGATGAGAATATTATACATGTACTCAGCGCTGCTCACCGCAAGACCCGTAGCTGCCAAGAGGATTGTATATTGGAGGCATTTTGGTGACCCCCACGGATCATTTAGGGAAATCCTGTCTTGCCTAATTGGATGGTTTAGTGAATGATTGGGCTGTTGTTACCATATTGAGAGAACAAGGTCTTATTATTGCCAATCTTGTTGTAGTATGGTTAAATATTTCCAGACTGTATTAGAGAGCATCTTCGTCTACCTCTCGCAATTACCTGCTGTGATATGTAGTTTTAAGATCGTGAATTGTTGAGAGCGTCGTCTACAGATATATGGTGCCAAGAACTTGATAGTTGCGTCAAGGTTTAGACGTAGCACCGGAAACTTTTCTATAAATAACCGCACTCTCATATCGCTTCTTTTCTTGCATTTGGATCCACGAATAAACAACAAGAAGCAATATGAACGCCGTTGACAAAATGCTCTGAGAACGCGTGGGGAACCCGGTAAATGCGCCTGTAGGAAAAAGGCAGCCGAGAACGCAGAATGTAACCCTCCGATCGGATATGGTTGCCCTTGAAATAGAGGGGGGGGAATAGTATATATACCTACTTATAGCAATGAAAACCCAAGATAAAAGTATGACTATATATGTATAGAAAGGCAAGAAAAAAAAGAGAGAAAAAAAATACAGCCTAAGCTCGAATCGTTGTTTTATAGGAAAAGCCCAATGCGGGGGTCGAACCCGCAACCTTGAGATTGTATCAGAACGTGTGTCCCTCTTAAGAGTCTCACGCTCTACCGATTGAGCTAACCGGGCAAGTCACATGACCGTTGACCAATCAACGGCGATGAAATTCCGATTAAGCACTAGGCTGCTTGTTGGACGGTGTGACCCTAAAAGATCCTATAAGCCTTTGATTTATTGGTGTTGGAGAGATGAGTTGGACAGCATATGATGGGCTGGCAGCTTGACGCAGACACCACACCAGCAACACAAGAATATCTTGACGCTTGAGACAGCGTCTGATTGGAGGACTACGAAGCGTTGTGCATGAAACTGATTCATGTAGGATGAGCGAGTGCCCCCGCTGGATTCGTGCGCAACCTGCCTCGCATCCTCTTTGTTTCCAGTCCCTCTCTTCCACAATCCCATACGCCCCTCGACGCCCTCAACTCTTCCATGTTGCAACGAATTGCACCGAGAGGCAGAGCCTTGCGGCAGATCTCTAGTCCTGCCCGGAGCGGTCCAAAGTCGCTATTCACGTCCTTGACCACAATCGGTGCGACGACACGCTCGGCGCGCCATTCAGCAATAGGGCAGGTTGGAGCTGACTCAATTTGTCGTCCTCGCGCCATGATGAGCAGTATATCGGCAGAACCGTCTCAGGTCTCCGAGACTGGGACCTATCTCGATCACATTTCGAGCCCGGATGTCGACTTTGACCATATCAAATCAACCATGACGTGCACGAAGTTTCACGATTCGATCTGGGGTTTCGTGGTAAGACATGCTCCTCACTGTCTCCTCTGAAGATGGTCCAAAAGTGCGCCTCATTAACGCACAAACTCAGATATATCGGTGCTCTCAAGGTAACCAGGCAGCTTGGGATCGCCTGCTGCAGGCCTTGCGCAGCGAGGTCCAAGACAGTCTCAGATACTACATCCGCCCAGATTTGTTGGAATTCCATGATCTTCACGTCATCGACGACAAGTCACTCTAGTACGTTTTGCAACGTGCCCACGCTGAGTCTGCTACCGCTAATAGCTGTCATTAGCGGGGCCACGTCCCACCAAGTCCGAGATCATTTCCAAGCCTGGGTCCCAAAGAACCTTGAGGACCGTGTCCGGCCGGGTGCCACTAACTTGGACGACGACGTGGACTGGCATTACGCGACATCTACGCCCAGATACAAATATTGTCTCTTTGCGGATGATCTCTGTCTCGAGTCCGTGGACCACCCCGGTAGTCACAGGCCAGCCGTAAAGCTTCTGTGCAAGGACTGGGAGTCCCCATATCTCCCAGAGGAGAGGAACTACTCAGTTCCGGCCCCATTCCATGATGGTGCCACCGAGTACGACGAGGAAGATGTGGGCTGGATGTACATGCCGCTGGCCTACTACATAGACAAGTATGACTTGCTTGGAAAACATGACTGGGATGACCAGTATGTGAGACCTCCATACATTGATGGGTTTGAGAACGAGGAGAGATTTATAGGGCATTGGAGACAGAAATCGTTAAGCGAGGAGGTCAAAGCCACTAGTGAACCTTCTCTCTAGATCGCGAGATCCTTTGTGAGAACTGGACAAGATGGTGACATCGCACGGATGCCCGGCATTTGCTTTCGAGCGTGCATGTTGCTGACAAATTGATACGGGCATATTTAGAATTGCTGTCGCCATTCATTAAAAAAAAAAATGTCATGAGTGAGAAAGTGTGTGACTCATGGATTCAAATGTTCTGATCTTCACTATAATGCGCGGGGAACGAATATGATATCTCACAGGACATGCTCACTCCGCAGGATTGGACTGATCTGAAACACTTTAAAGCCGTTTAAGAACTATACAAACTCATGAAAGGCCGCGTAAATAGAGCAAACATACATAGAGGGATCGCACGGTTCTCCCCACGAGACGATCAAGTCGCTAGTCGCTAGACGTCTTCAAACCTGTATTTTGGTGTTACTTGGCTGATGGATAGGCTGGGTCCGCTTCACGTCAGAAGTCTCGCAATGTGAACTACAGTTGAATATATTGCGAAAGAAATCTACCAACGATGGGAGTGGCATTGAAACCAATCCTCTACTCTTCAATTCATACATCATACCCTGATACCCGCCGTATTATCAAATCTCCAAAACTCGTCTCCAATAATAGCTGTGTGTCACTTCTTGTAAGCCTTGGACGCTTAGGAGCCGGGCGGAGTAGTTTCGACGGTTGTTGTTGTTGTTGGAATTACGCGCGTTGTGGTTGTTACGAGCCGGTAGGCTGCGCGCCGGATCTCAAGACGCAAACTTGCTCGTAACCATCTGAGGTCATCTTGCTCCAAATACCAGTATCGCAGTTGGATCCAATCCAGGGATTCAGTCTGGTTAGTTCCGCAACCGTTATGCCGAACAGATCGGGAACCATGGAGCAGTTGAAGTTGCCTGCAGCACAGTCAGCATGCAAACACTAGACAGGCAATTGCGGAACAAGTTATCTAACGTTTGTCCTGGATGCGGAAGTTTGTGTAGCAGCTACAGCCCGATGGCTGAACTGACGAGGCTGGTATGCGCGTGCGGTTCACAGGTGCGCAATAGTCGTATGGCAGCGCCACAGTTGCTAGAAAGTAAGCAACGCCGTCAGTAGACATGCAACGCATGGAGCAGAAGACAAGGTAAAGGTGCAACGGAAGGCCGTACGCGGAGTCTGCCATTTCTGTAAGCAGTAGCTTTTCCCTGCTTGGAGCACGCAATTACTTCCCGATAGGCTGGGATTCCACTCCAACAGTTGCTCAACAGTGACGTTGGCATATTGTGCCCAACTACAGCACGAATTTGCCGCGGACAGATTCTTTAGCTTGGAAGTGGCGTCAAACGCGTTCTCATACTCGTAGCAGTCACTGATAGTGCCGGAGGCCTTGGGCTGCAAGGTAGCTGTCCGGACTGGGCTGGGCACGAAGTCAGTTGCGGTTTCTGGACGCGTGAATGTGGTTGCCGCCGTAGTAATCGTGTATCCAGAGTAGGTCTCAATGTTTCCTACAGGCTTGACGCAGTAAGACGTGTTGGCCCACAGATTGCTGCAGCGTGAATCCACTTGGGGGTTGAGGAAGTAAAAGTCCGACAGGGTTAGGCTGAACTTTAGCAATATTGAAGAGCAAAAGTCACCGGCCTCGACCTTGACAATATAAGCGTTGGATTATGGTTGATCAAGTGAGTGCGTTGAGTCGACTTACGTAGTACCACTGTCCGCACCTAGTATTTGATTGGCCCTGTGCATTCGACGGCACCGGGGCTGGGGTCGTCACGGCGTTGCCCGAACCGACATTGACTGTCCCCGATGGAGAGCTATGTTTTGTCGAAATCACGGCCCTTATAGATAACAGAGACTTTGGAGCTTACCTCGAACAAAGGTACCAGCCTCTCCACGATGCCAGGTTAGAACAGGCCGAGTTGATCATTGGGTTCCATGCCAGGACTTGAGCAAGGGTTGCATTCCAACTCATCATCAGAGTTTCGCAGGTGTCATAGAGATCCAGCTGATAAGTACGGCATGTACTTCCGGTGGGCAGACAGAGCGATTGGCCCACAGCAGGGAGATTGTCGCATCCGAGGTTGAGGTTATTCTTGGTGATCAGCTGGTATGTCGACATGCCATTGGCTGCCGAGATGGTGACGCACGAGTCATCCTGTTTGATTGTATATGATGATCCTGTACAGGCAGGTGGAGAGGGGAACGTGGTAGCATTAAGTGCATAAGATGTTGGCGTAGCAAATCCATAATTTGCCGCACTGCAGCTCTTCGTTATATCTGCAAAAGCCTCAGCGAGCGTGTCGCTGAACCCAAACGGCGATGCCAGCTGTATCTGCTGTACGCCCAGCTCGCACTGAGAACACGTCTGAGAGCTCGTGTAGTTCGGCTGGTTGATCCAATCAGACACAACCAGGTCGCAATACTTTCCAGAAGCCCTGGGGAAAAAAATTCAGTCAATCGGCCAGGGCTGGAGTTTCTGTCGTTGCATCAACCAAGCATGAGAAGACTTACTTATCTTTCAGACACGATAGACTCGCCGCGTAGAGAAAACGGTCAACCAGGAAAGTTGCTGTAAGTCCCAAAGAAAATTAGATAGTGTCTGCGAATTGTCCACTTCCTCACTCGCTCCAGGGCAGGTATCTGACTGAGAACTCACCTGGATAGGCGAATTTGTTCGGAACCATCACATCGGAAGATGCCGTGCATGCTTTTAGGATAGAAGTTCTTAGACTTCGCAAGTCATTCTGGCAGGAGCTCTCGCACAACATAGTAAGCTGCTCTCTGGGAAGAATCTCAACACTTGCTCCCCTATGTTACGTCTTGTCAATATGATGGGCCCAGTGTCAGCAAACTTGATGTACATACTCTAAACCGACATATCTCGGTAGCCATGCAGGACAAGACGACACAGTTCTGTTCACAACCTCAAAGCAGCCATGGCTTAGCCCAAGTAAGTCATGAGGGTATATGTAGCCATCGAATTGTTGGCCTTGGACGGTCAAAATCGCGGCAAAAATGGTTGTGAAAAGAATGGATATGATCATGGTGTTTGACTTGGTAGAGCAGAGCAAGACGAAATTGATTTCTTGTAATGATATCAAAGAGAAGCTGCTCTGGTTGACCAAAGAGGTCTCTGTATATACAAAGTTGCATGTACGTGTGAATCCTAGTCAGAGGCAATTACAGGAGGTCTCGGTCAGCCTCGGGTGAAACTGCCACTGACGGGAGGCGTCACTAAAGGCTGTGTGGGTTTGGGGTTGTGCTCAATATCAAGCGAGGGCATTTGTAGGGGATGGGGTTCACAAGACAAGGTTTTGTCTTTAGACTATATATTATCAGCAGGACTTAGCAAGGTTTGATTCCTCCCATCATAGTGTTACACGACGATACTATAAACTGCGCTTTTCAATCGTGTACAACAGTAAGCAATCTTAATGGTCGGCAAGTCAGCTGATGGGAAGACTTCCAGGATCCGTATCACCTGGATTCTTGCATCAAAATGTTCCTGATGTCGCTAATGGTTGTATACGTGACCGTTTTGGCGCAGCCTGAGAGGTTGAGGTTTGAAAAGAGGTTACACAGAGGATGAATCATCCTACGACTGACATGCAAGAATGCAATTTACCCATCTTAGACAGGAGCTGAGTGCGTTTCATTTACATGGTACTTGGATACCGAAGCTAGCCAAGGTGGTACCAACTGCTACACAAGCTTACTTTAAGCATATGGGGGTAAAACAGGGGGTTATAATAATACTGTATTGATGTGGGTGGCTATTTACACTGGGGGTGCTTGTTCCATGAATACAAGTGTAGCAATCCACCCCATCCACTGCTCGCAAGTGGTAAATGCTTCTCACCCAACCTCTTTCAAGACTGCCATTCTCTTCTTGCTTGAAAACTTTTATCGAGTAGAAGAGTGGTCTCTTAATGATGAAGCCAATCATTATTATCTTACTGGCGCTGCTGCAGCTCATTGAGCTGTCCTCTGCTTCTCCTGAGTCGCTGCAGGATTCTCCGCCTCATGGAAGCCTCTATGCACGTCGACTTGAAGCGTCTTGGGACAATGGCTCTACTAGAGTCTTGAACGCCTTGCAAGCTAGAGAAGACTACACATGTGGTCCCGGAAGTGGGTTCTCTAGCCATCTTCCACAAGGCTCGTGTACCTAACGTGTGTCCAGGGCCTTGCAGCAATAAAGCATGCTGTGGTGGTAAGGACCTACTTACAGGGATCAAGTTTAACAATGCCGTTACTGATTCAGCGTCTAGCATCTGGAAACTGCGGCTATGGGGCTACCTACTGTGGCAAAGGCTGCACCAGTAACTGCAATGCCGTTGCTGAGTGCGGTAAAGACTCCAAGGATGGCAAGACAACATGTCCGCTAAACACTTGCTGCTCTCAGTACGGTTTCTGCGGCACCACTAAAGGTAATATGCTCCCCATTATAGCACAAAATTTGTCAAGTGTGGAATTTTTAAGATGAAACCTTTACCAGAGTTCTGTGGGAAAGGCTGCCAGTCAAACTGCAATCAGAAGCCTTCGCCTCCGGGAGGGTCAACGAAAGGAAAGGCATTATCAAAAGGTAAAGTGCGCCGTGTGATAAGTCGTGACGGATGCCAAATTAACAATCTAGTTATTGGATACTACGAGGCTTGGAATGCTCGGTCTGCCTGCCACAAGACATCACCACGCGACCTACCACGTATGAAATTTCACAGCTTCAAGATATATGAGTACAGCTGACGAGAGGTTCTAGTCGACTCCCTGACGCATCTCAATTACGCTTTTGCTTTCCTAGACCCGACATCTTTCCAGATAACAACTATGGACGCCGCGACTCCTATTTCTCTTTTTGATGACATCTCGGATCTCAAGACCACCAACCCAGACTTGAAGATATTTGTCAGTATCGGTGGTTGGACATTTTCGGATAATAACACCTATACGCAGCCAATCTTTGGAAACATAGCCCGCAGTTCATCCAACCGCCAGCTCTTTGCCAACGAGCTTGTCGCTTTTCTGACCTACTACGGTTTTGATGGAGTTGATTTAGACTGGTAAGCAACGGCCCCGGCTTGGTATATAAATTTCACTATCGCTACTTGGTTTCTGACATCTCTGCAATAGGGAATATCCTGGGGCTCCTGATCGAGGTGGCAAGAAGGAGGATACGAAGAACTATGTCGAGCTCGTCAAGACACTCCGAGCCACTTTTGACAAGACTGGGCATAGCTTGGGCATTACCTTCACGGCGCCGTCTTCTTACTGGTATCTAAAATGGTTCGATCTGCCGGGAATGTTAAGGTATTGCGACTGGGTCAATTTGGTATGTTTGAAATTTAACTCGGAAGACCGACAGCTTCGGGTAATTGACCTTGTACAGATGTCCTACGATCTCCACGGAACATGGGACAGCACAAATCCGATGTAAGCCTTGTCCATTTATTCAAGTAATAGTGGTGGATATAAATGCATGCGTATACTGATAACCGACAGTGGCGCCATTGTCCAAGGCCATACCAACTTGACAGAGATCAAGTTGGCTGCAGAGTTGTTCTGGCGTGTGAAGATTCCAGCTCATAAAATTGCCTTGGGGTTCGGCTTCTACGGTCGGGCTTTCACACTTGCTAATCCCAGTTGTACAACACCAGGGTGCCCTTTCTCAGGAGGCGCAAAACCAGGTGTGTGCACTAAGACAAGCGGATGTAAGTGCTGATCCAAAGTTTTGGATATGGTCTCTGCTAAGACGGCGGTGATAGACCTTGCGTATTATGAGGTGCAAGACATCTTGAAGAAGAACCCCAACATCAAAATCATCCATGACAAAGAAGCAGCCGTCAAATTCTTCACTTTTAACACCAATCAGTGGATTTCATTTGATGATAGGGATACTTTTAAACAAAAGATCGAATGGGCAAACGATGCTGGCTTCGGGGGCTCCTTAATCTGGGCGTCCGATCTCGGTATGCATCAACACCGACACCTCTCCACTATTCACACCCTGCCAGGCTAACTTCTATGATAAAACAGACGACTTTGAATTTACAGCGCATGCGGCTCTCATGGGCAAAGACAAATTGACCATTAACTCACCACAAAGCAAGACGTTGTTCCAAAACAGCCTATTGACGAAAGATGATCTGAACTCGTATCTCCGTAAAGACTGTTATGTCCAAGAGGACTCTCTCACTGCTTGTAAGTCAGGTGATGATCAGGTTGGTTATGATAAAGCTGGCAAGGCAAGTTGACAACCCAAACCATGTCTCCTGTGTAAGAAGGTGTCATTAATTGAATCGGGACAGTCAAAAAAAGATTACAAGCCAATCTGCTGCCCTAAGGGTAGCGGAATGACCAAATGCCAATGGAGAGGTGGCACCGGCGGCACAAATGCTGGACGTGACTGCAATGGACAATGCCACGCGGGAGAGGTCAAAATCACAATGTCTGACTATGGTGGTTCACCAGGAGAATCCTCTGAGAAGGCTCACTGCACCAGAGGCAAGAAGGCATTTTGTTGTGAAATGGGTATATTCAATGACGCCATCGGCCAGTGCAATTGGTCTAATGGAGTGTAAGTTCGATCATGATGTCTTTGGTTCTTTGAGTTCTGGCTGATTCCGCTGCAGAGGAAGCTCGTGCAAGAGTGACCAGCAAAAGATCGCATATATGTGGGACAAGACTGGCTGGGGCACAGTCTTCAAGCACGGCAATGAGTTCTGTTGTCCCAAGGATGATCCACCGCCACTGTTGGACTGCCGCTGGGTTGGTAAGGGTGATTGTGCGGACAACACGTGTAGCGGATCAGAGGTCACTCTCTTGACAGATGGCCGGGGAGACTCGAAACACGGCTGCTCCTGTAAGTCTTTAGCCCTCAGTTGTCTTCGACCAGCTGTTTTTCGTAATATCTAACATTGCAAATAGGGGGGCGAAAGCGAGCTCTCTGTTGCACGCCAAACACACAAACGCTGCAAACCGCCGTCTGCGATTATGATTTGTGCAGTTTGATCGAGAACAGGGCTGCATGTGACGACGAAGCTGGCTATGATGATGAAGAGGGCTATACAACCTTGCTTAAACGTTCTTCATACGTCACTGGCGACGGTCAGATGCTCTGGAACTATAAGGATGGAGGCATGGTAGAAGAGAACGAGTATCATCTCGAGACCCGAGGTGCCAGGGCCAAGCCAGGGCAGCCACGACCCAAGGGCCTTTCGCTGTTTAAGCTGACAGGAGAAACTATTTACAAAGGCTTGACCTTGGGTCTGAAAAGCCGTCCCTACTGGCCCGGATTGAAGAGCCTTACAGGGGATGGGAAGGACACTCTCTTTATCCGCGGCGGCTACAGGCTGCTGAAAGACGCTTGCGGCTCGACAGCAATGAGGTTCATTCCAGCCGCAGAATTACCAAAGACGGGATTCCAGCTGGAGCACATTCGTGAAGTCAGCATGATTGACAACTTTGTAAGAAGCTTGCTGTCCGGTCAGCTCTACTCTGGTGGCCCCATGAAGATCAAGCTCGATCCTTTGGCGGTGTACAAAGGCTGGAACAAAGCATACGATGTTAGTCTTCCGATAATTGGCCAGGCCGTCCATGACGCGGGCGACGACTACACCCTGCCGGTCACACCCAACGACCGCATCTTCGAAACCATTGGGTCGTATGCCTATCGCGAGGGCACGAGTTTCCTGCCTGGGACGCTCAACCTCCTCAAACGAACATTAATGGCACGCAACTCCCCGCTTGGCACTATAAGAGAGTTCGAGAAGCTACTGAGTAAGGTGGCAAACAATGGAGGCGAAGAAGAAATGGAAAAAGTGCTCATAGCAATGCAGGGAACTGTTGGGGTTTTCAACTACCTTAATGACGCTGTCCTGCACCGGGCTTTCACAGCGGCTGGCAAGACCCTGGCCACCGAGATGAAGTATGCAGACGAGTTCATCCCGGAGCTCAAGGGCATCTTGGCGGCCTGGAAGGAGTGGGAGCCTGACTACTATGATCATGTGGTATCCCTAGCGACAAACTGGCTCCTCACCCGAGGAGGATTGATTAACCAAAAGTTTGCCGGCAGCGTAGAAAACAACCCGGCTGCATTGAAGCTTGTCACTTCCGCGGCACAGATAGTCTCGCAGGTGGGCCGGATCAAGTCCCCATTACGATAGTCTACAGAGAGGAGTTGATAGTTAGTTTGCTTCTTGAATAGGGTAGCTGGTTTAACCCAGTATCATACTAAAAGAACAGCAATGCACTACCGAGTTTTGCCAGGGATTACGGCACTTGGAACGGCTATTAAAGTTACATTAAAGGTTTAGTTCAAGTATGAATCGTTGCGTTTGCAAACGTGTGTCCACCAGCGAATCCTGGTTCAGTAGTAGTATTTATAGGAGTCATAGATTTCATTGTGGATCTCGCCATGGGTAGACTCATGATTCTAACTGTGAATTGCAATTTCCGGAGTTCTGGAGAGAGGGCCTTTTGTTAGTAACTGCAAAACCAACAACACCGAACTATAGGCAGGTTCAAAGACGTTCACTTGTACAACTCGTTTGGAAGAGCGGTGTTGCTTTTTAGTCGTAACACGGTCTACAAAGCGAACTGTTATACGGCAAGACATATATTCAGTGCAGTGTGTACTCTATCACGAACCTAGCAAGGGCGGCAAGTCAACTGGGACTCTGGACTGTAGTATGCCTATTTACGGTTGAAACAACTGGAACTTGGCGGCTAACATACTCTTACCGGCTGGCTTCCACTCGCTTAGATGCCGGCGATTTCCTTTTTCGAACAGCGGCTCGGATAATGATCAAGGAATTTGGAGGCACATTCTAACAAGATCCGAAGATTGTCCATACTTGGACCTTTCAGATAATTGACTTACCACTTCCTTATCCCATTTGCCTGCACTTTGCCAAACTTCACCGGCGCCATCCACATCTTTTGTATTATATAGTTGGTTTCCCGTTGAGGCCAGTCTGTGAATATTGTCCTTTCCTGCTTTAATTCTCTTAATGCGGGGAGTTGGACAGAGATTTTCTTCTTCGGTTGGCGGTCTAACGAGAGAATATGATGCCGCTGATTCCGACGTAGGACTGAAGGATTGAGAAGCTCGTCGCCGCACGACTGTAGCGCGTGAATGCCTTTCTCCCTCTTGCATTGTCCACGTCATGACCTGTTCTGGTTTATAGGCATCGTTTAATATTGACGTAGTTTTGGGCGTATCCTTCAGAGCAAGCTTCCAAGTCTAGGAGTTCAATCTCTCAGCCGGTCAATGACAATTGACCCCGTTCTTCCTCTGTACTGTAATTCATTAGCATGGCCATGCAATTGTCTAAATACAGCAATCGGTAGGGAGTGAAGCTAGTAAATGAACTGAAAGGAGCTAAAGGATGGGTCTAGTGGTATAGGAGCAGAGATTAATAGGATTAATAGTCTGTGCAACTGTCCATAAGAACGAACATTCTGAAGATTAACCCTGACTATAATATGATATGATATAATATACACAGCTAAGCCTTCCGTATATGAATCAAACGGTCCATATTTTAGAGTTGCTTGATCACTATAAATTACTTAGTGAGGGTAATATAAGGTATTAAAATATATATAATAACAAGCCTTCTTTAAACTGATTACCGGCTGTTTACCAGCCGCCATTGTTTTCAAAGCTCAGCAAATTGCACCCTTTGTCATTCTTTTGCCATGGTTTACAAGAGGCTGTACAAAAAGTACCATTTTGAGGAACAGTGCCGAACTCAAAGTAGTCCCGCAGGATCTGGTTGGTGCAGTCGCTCCAACCTGCTGGGATGGCACAATGACCGACAGAATCCTGAATCACCACAGCCGAACCAGGATGCCCTGCTGACATAGCTTTTGCATTCATAGGAGGCGTAACTGGATCTATTTTATTTGTCAAAAATAGAAGTGGTGCCGCCGGCACGCCAGGCTTGAGACTGGGGTCTGCGGGGGGTGTAACCCAGGGCCCATGGAATTGATAATTGGGCTGAAGACGGTAGCCCACGCACTGGAGGGGAATAGTGGCCCATTTTGCCCCAAAAGTGATGGATTGGTTGAGGAATTTCTCGACCTCGTTAGAGTAGTAGGCAAGATCATGTTCAGTTTGGTTGCTAGCAGCATCGCTACAAACGACGGCGTAGGCAACTTCTCCGCTGAAGACTTGACTGCCGGCGGCACAGTCGGACTGGATATCGTCGGGAGTGACTGTATCTGCAATCAAAGTAAAGTTACCTTCAAAGGCATCTGCAACCATTTGTGCCAGTGGCGGAAAACCTAGGATGGGCCTGTACAGGGCTTGCGATATGCTGTCGCGAATATCACGACCAGTAACGGCTGCGATGCTTGTGCCCTGGGCGTTGTATACCGGCGCCGCGTCCAGGTCTGTGATGAGTTGGTCCACACGCCTTCTAATGCTAGCACCATTCACGTCTTCGGAGGTACGGAGCGGGCAACTATCACCAGCGTTGTAACATGTGTCGTAGAAATAGTTGACAACGGCCTCCGTGTCATCCAGGTTATGATGCCATAACTATGCACAAGTTAGTAGGGTGACCATGATTTATAAGTAAAAGAGAAGTTTTAATTCTTCAAACCTTACCCCTTGCATGTAGTCCTCAGCGTAGATAACACCGTCGAGGACCATTCGCCCAACACGCCCGGGGAACATGGACGCGAACGTATTCCCGAGAAGGGTGCCGTACGAGAATCCCAAGTACTGAATCCGAGCAACTTGATTCCCTTCCGACCTAGTTTTATGCTCATCCTCGCCTCTGCGGCGCTTAATTAACGCAGTCTCCTTTTTCCGGAGCTCATCAACGCGATCCACAATCTCGACCATGTCGCGGCAGACAGCGGCGGTCGTGACATGCTCCAGGATATTGGTTTTGCCCAGCGTGTTCTCGCACACAGCACCCAATCCCTTGGAAAGCGTTAGGAAACGTCGTAAGGCGTCTTCACTGGAGTCAACGGGACCTAGCCCCCGAAGCACTTGTTGGTTGGCGTTCCTTGCGAGCTTGTCGCCCCCGAAGCAATCCACCTGAGGGGTCGAGCTGCCCAAGCCGCGGGGGTCGAACCCCAGATACTCATACTTCTTGTTGTTGTCAATCACTTTCTGCAAATGGCGGCCGGATAAGCGAACGAGATTGACCCCAGGATCGCCTGGTCCACCCGGGTTCAAAATAATGGTGCCGCCATAGTCGGGGTGGTCGACCGGTACTGAGGCTGGAAGCGTGGCGATGGCGATGGCGACAGTCCTGTTATCTTTGGGGTTATTCCAGTCCAGTGGCACCTCGAGGCGCGCACAACGCAGCCCATTGAAGCAATCATGGTAGCGCAAGTCTTCAGTTGGTTCAATCGTCGTCCAATCGAACTGTGTGTTATTTGCAGATAATAGACCTACGGTTGCTTCGACTAGGCCGGCGACAAAGATTGTCGCATATAACAGCAGCATGCCTTGAGTTTCGCTTTCCTAGAAATGACTAACTATAGAATAGTTCGCTTTCGTTGAAATATCACTGAAATGTGTAGAACATGGTGACCTTCAGATACTTATATTCGATGCCACTGACAATGACAGAAACCATTTCCAATTACGGGACGCAACCCTTGAATTCGCCTAGCCATAATTTACATAATAGTAACATCCGAATTATCTACCCCTTGAGCTATGTGGTCGAATTATGGCTACGAGAAGCACCATTCAAAAGAAAAAGGGGGCAAATCGGGAGACCCCTTTCTCAATCCCATTGGTTGACCTTCCAAAAGGGGGAATTTAGCACTTTTTCGCGTCAAGTATTCTTGTTAGAATGGCTGCCTCGTCAATGTAGTTCTTAATAGCATATAAAATTGGGCTAAGCTTACGAGAGTTGCTCCTTTCCCTGGTAGCAAGGTCTGAAAAAGAGAGATCCTGTAGCTATATACTGTAAATCTAAACGAATGATCCCATTACCTTGTAATTTAATCACTTGTCAGCCAGTTTTATTGTATATGATCTTCCTTACAATAATAGTTCCAAAAATATTAATATATTATACTTGCTTGGCTTGTAAAAATATCCCTTCTGTATATTGTCTGAGGTGTTATTTACTTCCTCCTATCATCTTAGATACGACGGACGCTGCCCTCCGTGCCCGCTATAGCCTTAGAGATAAAGCACGCGCCACTGTTTCTAGATATCACATTCACCTGTATCTGAGGAGTTCTGAGGGAGAGTTCACTCAGGTTGTCTATGCACTCACCCAATCACTCAGTGCCCATTTTACTAGGTGATTGTCTACATCGTGCACATCTGAGTGAGACTTCAATTATATTCTTGCTTTACAAATAAGGTTAGCGCCCACGCGTCACTCTGTAGCCCGGTGAACCAAAAAAAAAAAAAGTCCCAGATTTCCTCTTACGGAAGTGAATGAACCTAGTAGCCTAGCTCAAACGCAAAGGAAAAATATTTGGAACGGACACGACGTCGCTACACCTAACAAGATTCTGAAACCATTTATTGGGGTGAATCTATTCTCGTTGAAATTAAAGCGTCGTTTTAACCACGAGCAGACTTGTCAGAAAAATCCCCACTATTGTTGTCTTTGTCTTTTCTTACTTCACCTATTCACCTATGCACGCGGTCTCTCGTCAGGCCCGCCTATTGGGAATGCAGCATGTTAGATAGACTTCAGCACCAGCATGATATTCACCCCTTATTTGGTCCCCGAAAGTAACAACGAGCCCTGATCTACTCTTTATGAAACCTGGGGAAGGGGATGTCTTTAGCCACGTAGTCTCCGTAAAAGACTTTAGCTCATTTGTCCAAGTTATAGTTGGAAGTGCCAAATTACCATTTCAAGCGGCAGATCCTACAATTTGCATCTGTAAAGATGTTCAAGTGGGTAGTGGGCCGTCTAAACTCGAGAGTGCCGATTTCATTGCCAGCCCAAAGCGAGATTTTGGGATATAAAAGTCTCGCACTTGTCCCTGAACTAAGACGTCCTCTCTTCATCCAGCACATCCTCATTTCAAAACAGCAACCAAAGTCGCCACAATGCATTATACGGCAGTTTCTGCGGTGCTAACCGCTTGGCTGACCGCTCGAGGAGTCCAGGCTGCCCTTAACGGATACTGTCCACCAATGGGCCCCGTCCTTCCGCCACCGACAAGTCCTCATACAGATCCAGGATTCGACTCAGCAGCAGCTAAACTGACTGTAAACCTTCAAAAACTGACTTCTGGATACAACTCTTCGGCCGTGTCTGTGGGTGTCATGTCTATTCACGAGGCCGCTCCAATGTTTGAATTTCACCATTCTCCGCAAAATTTCGATCCTCGAGGAGTCTCAGAAGTCAACTCAGACACCGTCTATCGCCTAGCGAGCATGACAAAACTATTCACTGTCCTCAGCCTACTGAGGATTGACGGCATCAACCTCGAAGATCCTATCACCAAGTATCTTCCTGAACTTCGCGATATCCACAAGGAGGCATCGGCACAAGACACAATCCATGTTGTCGACTGGGATAGCATTACGCTGGAAGCCCTGGCTGCGCATCAAGGAGGAATAGGCGCCGACTGTAAGACATTGCCTCCGGAAACCGGGAGAGAACTTCTAAATCTAACAATAGTTAGTGGCGATAGATCTTGTAAACTTTCCCGGCGATTGGACGGCAAAAGGCCTTTTACCAGCCGATAACACAACGCGACTTCAATGCTCCGGGTTTTTCGGGCTAAGACCTTGCAATAGAAAAGGTACCATCTGGCCTAACCCCCAATAATGGCTGCAAGGGAATGTCCAGTGCTAAATTTCAAGGCAGATTTCTTTGACAATTTTGGCAAACGCCCGCCAGTGTACGCGCCATTCACAACGCCGGTCTATTCGAATATTGGGACAACTCTGCTGGGTCTTGTCATCGAGAGTGTAACTAACCACACTTACCAGGACTGGATCCAGCAGAGTATCTTCGATCCAATCAAGATGAATCGATCTTTCTTGTCAAGCCCGCCAGAGTCGCAGGGGTTCATCCCCATTAACAACATCGATTGGTCGGTTGAGCTTGGTGTCGAGGCTCCGTATGTTTGCACCTGATTGTGAATTCTTTTGTGGCTACTTACCCTTTGTCAAACTAACCCATCTCTTAGCACTGGCGCGATATTCTCAACCATATCTGACCTCATGGCGTTTGGCAAAGCGATTTTGAGCTACGAGATGCTCTCCCCTGTGAGGACTCGCAAGTGGATGAAGCCTTTGGCATCGACCTCTTCGATTAGCACCCTCGTCGGTGCCCCGTGGGAAATCTACAGAACTAATAACGTAACCAAAGACGGCCGTATGATAGAGTTTTATACGAAAGCTGGAGACCTTTTCTCCTACCACTCTGTTATCGCTCTGATTCCGGATTACGACTTGGTGATGGTCGCCCTTGTGGGTGGACCCGAAGTGTCTGGCGCGACAACCTACCAACTGATTGGAGAAGCATCAACCGCTTTGCTGCCCGTCATTGAAGCGGCCGGTAAGGCCAAAGCACATAACCAGTATGCAGGGACATATACCGACCCCTCGACCAACTCGTCTCTTATACTGTCCCTCGATGACGGTCCTGGTCTGAGCGTCACAAAATGGCAAGTTCGTGGAGTGAATGTAATTGAAACACCCTTGTTAGGCGAATCTCCAGCCATACCGCCACGAGTTCGACTGTACCCCTCGAACCTTTCCACCAGCAACCAAACAGCTTGGAGGGTTTTGTTTGATGGCAGTGCTGATGAGGCTGCTGCGGAGGACGCATTATATCCGTGGGATCAGTTCAGCTGTAGCTCGTGGTCGACGCTCGACAAACTTGTTTATCAGTTCCAGGCTCAAGATCTATTCATTTTTGGTATGACAGAGGAGGACGGAGGCGATTACAAGGCCATCAAGATCAATCTTCCAGCTTACCAAGTGGAACTGGCTCGCGTAGTCGAGTAACGATGATGAGATGTTCATCTTTGGTCGAAGGTATTTTGAAAAGCCTAAACGCCTTGGGTGTTACAGTTGGACTAAGTACCTAGGCTTAATTGCCGCTTTAGCTTTTAATCGGTTGGTTGCGGTGGACTCAATTTCTTGATATACGTAAAAGCTTAATGTCTCAATTACCTAATTTAGCTAAGTGCTTACGCATAAATTATATTCTGAACTAATAGCTTGTACTAGAAGCACATAGGTTTGGATATGTTACATTTTTCTTCCTGTATTTTTGTAATAACTCCGTAAGTTAATAATAAGAGCAAATAGAAACAAATCATTGAAACTCATAAATTCATTGTTAGTTACTAAACTGATATTGAATTTACAACTTCAGAATTGTTATTAAATATAGCAAGCCTTATATACCTTGTGCAACCCTTGCCACTTGGCACAAAGATTGGCTTCATCTCACCCCGCTTCGGCACTTAGTATCATCCCCTACAAGGGGGCCTAGTCTATAACTCGGGCACTTAAGTTGTGGAGCTCAGTCAATGGATCTCAGGTCTTCGATCGATGTGTTTTCTCCTCCATCTACTCTTTCAACCCTATAGCGGATAGACACCATGCCTCGCCCAAGTAGCCCTCGAATGCAGCTACTCTGTTGTAGCCAAGGGGCCGCTGACCTAGCATCAGAGGGGTGTGTTACCTCAATCTCGACAGGCAGTCCGTTCGTAAATCTCCCGGACGTAACAGAGATAAAGGGTTGGAGAGATTATGGATCACTGGATGCATCTCAGTGGGAAAGACACAGAGCAACTATTAAGGAGTTATACATCGATAAAGGGAAAACGCTGAAGGATGTTACAGAGATCATGCATCGAGATTATGGTTTTAATGCAACGTGGGTCTTTTGCTATCTCATACACCGCTCTCTATTACTAATTTGATGTGATTCTAGCATCAAGATGTACAAAATTCGATTGAACAAGTGGGGATACTTCAAAAACGGTCGAAAAGGCGATGCCAAGTTAGTATCGCACACAAAGAGACGAAAACAAGTTGTAAGCAACCTTGTAGGAAGAGCTTTCGGCGATACGCAACCTATTGCCTTCATCTGTGGTACTACACGCCAGACACTGTCCCCTAAGCCTGTCGCACTCCGGGATCCAGATGTGTATGGGGTGCCAAGTCACATTTTCTCTTCAATCAGTGCCTATATGTGGGGTTCTTATGAGAGCCAAAGATGGACAGTCTCTGAGTTTGCATGCGCTACCTTCTACGAAAACGCCTATTTTCGGCCTTCTGCAGAGCTGATAAACTCAATTGTGTCGCTTACAAACCTTCTCCAGGAACAAAAGTACCATCAAGCAGGACCTGTGATGCGGCGGGCAGCTATACAGATGGAAAATGTTTTGCGAGACCAGCCTTTGGACCTCCTCACCTGTCTTTTAGAGATTGCACTCCGACTTCACTCAACGGCTCCCAAGTTAGCGGTGTTGCTTATGCGACATTCCGCAGACATAGCGAAAATCTACTTCTCATCTCCCAAACACCCTGTACGGGTTTTCACACAGCAGCTGGCCAGCCTTGATAGTGCCGAGCTCGGCGCCCTGGCAGTAGAGGCATACGCATGCCAACTGAAGATCTGGCAGAATGTCAGGGACAGCAACCCCCGCAACGTTGGCGACAGTCAAGCAGCAGGTTTTGTGTGGATAACAGGCTTGGCGCTAGCTGGCGATTTCGATGAGCTCCCATCAAGCCTAGTCCCGCGCTTGGATGACCTGATGCTGCGAGTAGTCGAGGCCATGAAAGACTCGGAATGGTGTACGGAACTACTTCAGTCTCTTGCAGAGAGCGATCAAATCCAACTATTTATCGGCCAGTCAGAGGGAAACCTCTTGGGAGTGTCCCTGCAGTCGCCCGGCAAACCAACTAAGGTAACCTGTGCTCAGCCTGTCGCTCGCTACAGCCTAGCCCATCTAAATGCCCGATACCGGCCTTTTACAGTCGAAGATCGGTCTGGGCGCGAGACTATGGAAATACAAGGGCTACTTCAGACGGAAATGGGGTCATTCTTCATGGGGATGGCTAGTGCCCTTGAGGGATGGCTCAAGGACGTCGGAGAATACAACAAAGCGGCTGCAGTCGCACAATATCGTGAAAAGTTTTTAGCCGCTGGATTAGCCGATGTCATTTCAGTTATTTAAACTTCCTTATACCGGAGACATACAGGTATTTCATTATGGGGAAACAATTAGGCAGTGGCATTGCACCAACTCCGTTCCCATTTTCCCCCATGTTTACTCCAATAATGGCCTTGCATCAATTTAATTGTTTATATAGCGGTGCTGGAAAACCCCTTTGAAGCAGTAACTCCTAACTTATAAGCGCATAATTCACTTTTCATTGAACTTTACTATAACTTGACGGCAGAATGAGGAACATGGGGTTAGATATAGCCCAAGAAAGCTATGCCTTGCCTTGCTAACTATAGATTGCTTGATAATACGCTTGGCATAACTTCAAATAGTACAGACTATAATTTCAAGATTGCCTAATGAGATAATTGCGATATTTAATTTGTATAGGCAGCGTTTACGGATTGTAGAATCGGAATGTCACAATGTGTATTATAAAGTTACTTCCAGAGTAATAAACTAAAATAACCCAATAATTACTAAGACTTTCCTTATCTCATTTGGACGAAATATCGGACGCTGATGAAATGAACGTCTGAAAATGAGGCTATATAAGAATACCCTGTATCGTCCGATATAAGGCGGGAAGTATGCATTTTATCGGCAGACAGATCCAAACTAAGACTTGCCTAATAAGCTTAGCCATCAAAGTCCGCTATGAGCATTGCAACCAGCCAATAGCACATGTAGATTTCTTGTGTCACTGATTGAAAATCAGTAATCGAAACTCTCAATACTAGTGCTAGGCTGCGCAGAACTCCGCAAGACACCGCCTCGATCATTACAACAATCAAGTATTGGGCAAGCGCAGCGGTTTTAAACCTCGGAGTTAATAAATCGTATTGCTTTTCATTATGGAGAAAAGTTATTTCCATCATATACATATCACACACAGCTAGAAACCTTAGGAACATCGAATCACTAAAAATCGTGCTCTATAAATAAGCATGAGACACATCTTTTTTCCTCCATCCATTATATTATGGTATATTATTGCTAGTATACTAGTGCTTAAGCTAAGCAATCCAATCGACAGTAAAATGCCAACTACTTTTCATAACAAATATGCAATTGTCACCGGAGGTTCCAGAGGCATCGGAGCTTCAATTGCACTATTGCTAGCAGAGCGAGGCGCCCGAGGAGTATGTTCATTACAAGGAATTCAACTGCAGATGTTGAAAGCATAGAGGTCCAATTAACTCTGGCTAGTGGTCATTACATATTCTGGTAATGAAGATGCGGCAAAAGACACTGTAACCAAGATCAAAGCCAATAGAGCAGACGCGATTGCGATACGTGCTAATATTTTGGACGCCGATGTTGGAGAGACCATAGTGGATGAGGCTCTCGCAGGATTGAAAACCAACGCAATACACATTCTTATCAACAATGCTGCTCTGTGAGTTTAATTAGTTTCAAGAAGTTTATAACACTAACAACGATCAGTGCCACTTCAGAACATCTGCTTCCCATTCTCCATACCACCATCGAGAATTTTGATAACCTTTTCCGCGCAAATGTACGGGCGCCAATTTTTACAACACGCGCAGTGCTTCCTTATATGCCCGCAAAAGGTGGCAGAATTATCAATGTGAGCTCTGTAACAGCCAAACAAGCTGCTGATGAGCCGGGGATACTGTATGGCGCTAGTAAAGCAGCATTAAACAGCATTACTCGATCTATGGCAAGCGCTCTGGCTGCAGAGAAAAGCCTTACGATCAATTCGATAAGCGTCGGGCCTACTAAAACTCCTGCCATGGAAGACGCTTTAGCTAATCTTCCAAGGGAATATATGGAAGGGTTAAAAAATTATGCCACTGCCGAAAAACGACTGGCAGAGCCGGAAGAGATTGCAGCAATCGTGGCTTTCGTAGCTAGCGAAGAAGCTCGTTGGATGAATGGAGCTGGTGTTCCTGCCAACGGAGGGGCGATCTTGCTGGCTGAGGGCTGATGAACTTGAAGGTAGTTCAAACTGTTATTTACATGATTTATTCAATGGATGATGGTTTGGGAATGATTGTGAGACTATAGCTCTAAATGGCCAAACAAAAATAAAAATACTCCATGTCACAGAATGGTGCCGCACGGAGATATCCAATACAGCCAAACCGGACAGAATTTTCGGCCTACTATATAGGTAACACGTTGCGCAATAGACCGCCACAACTGATGGGGTCTTTGGATGCTAACACCAAACGATTGGTGCTGCGAGTTTATAGACAGCCAAATGCATGGGCCATTGGCCTCCCACAGCAACTTGCCGTTATTCTTTCAGCCGGTGGAGCAACGCCATCAAACTTGCTAACTCATTTCCACAACCAGAATTTATCGCTTCATCCAGTATCCAAAACCTACAGCTTCATCTCCCAACACTCCGCCTTCGAATTCCACGGCGTATAACCACCATCCTCTTCCCCGACAAACGTAAAACCCGCCTTCTGATACAACGTCCTCGCAGGCACCAGAATGCTCTGCGTCGAAAGCACAATCTCTGCATACCCCTTCTCTCGCGCAAAATCTAAACAGAGCTGCACAAGCTTCTTCCCTAGTCCTAATCCCCTCGCAGCAGGTTCAACAAAGAGCATTCTAATTCGTGCCGCGTTATCTCGTTTTGTATCTTTAACGATGCAGATGCACCCCATGAAGGCGCCGTCTCGTTCCGCAATCCAGCACCGTTCGAGAGCAGGATCATAGTTTTGTATAAAGCCGGCGGCAATGTTGGCAACCATGGCTTCAAAGTGTTCGTCCCATTTGTATTCTTCAGCGTAGATGAGGCCGTGGCGGTAAATGATGTAGCCCATGTCACCCGGGCGGTGCGTCCGATACAAAATGGGGCTAGCTGAAAGAGTCATTATTCTTTGTTATTTTCAAGGATTGTTCTTATTCCTGAGTTGTTCATTATTCAGCGGCTACCGTTTGAGATCAATTGGATGGGTAACCCTCTTATATTTGTTTCCAACGCTAATTGATTCAGGCCACAGTCGGTATCTGACTAACAAACCGCCACCTGTGCAGCTTTAGCAACAAAGCATATTTGAAGGGCGCAAAGTCGACATACACATGTCAAAATAGACCCGCATTCCGAGCTATAAGGCGTCCCCACCAACCCTCCTTTGCGGTCATTTGCAGAGCCTCTAGACTCTTCAATTACTATGCCACTCATAGTAATTTGCCGCGGAGATTTTGAAGTAAATAAGCATAAAACGAACCACAAAACTGATATTGCCTCGGTCGCCCTTTGGTATTTTGTTGGATATTGTCACCGAATATATAATGTAGATTAGATGTCTACACCATGGCTATCGCAGAGTATGACCATGGCAGCAGAACTTTGTTGAAATGCTCTATATCGATCCAGCAAATAGGGTATTGTATCCCGCCTACGATTTTTTTGTGGGTCTGCGAGGTGTTCTGGAATTCACTGGCTTGCTTGAGTGAATTATGGACAACGCGTTCACTTGTGCTGCTTTCGCCTTTTTCGGTGAATTCAGTTTTGCTAGAAGATTGGATTTTTCGTACCATAACTTACGCATTCGTATCTATATACAGGGGCTTAAGGACGATTGGTCTGTCAAGGGCTTCCTGATTTGCATTTTATACGACTCAGCGCCCATGTTACAATGCTGGAGGTGATATAATTCATCTGGCAATGCCTAGCAGGTCTATGCAGTATGCATGTGTATAACTTGAATAATTGCAGGTGGGCAACAGTGAAATGGAGCTAAATTGGTACCTAACAAAAGCTATATTATACACTCCTATGACATCTTCAAGTATCAAGACACAAAAATGGTACCAAAAGTTATTGCAAAGACGCAATTATATCTTCCAAATTAGCAAATTTAAACTCCTGGAGTGTCTCATTCCATACTAAATCCGTCAGCTTAATTCCATCGGTATAGAACCAAGAGGCGAGGCTATTAATTGAGCAACAGTCAGATACTTGGCCAGAAAATTTATCAAGAAAACTGAGAGAAAAGCTTACGGCGCATTTTTGCAGTTCATCAGGAAACACCCATGAGAATCCTTTCCATGGCCTAGAACGGCATCCACATATGTGGCGCTACCTCTCTCAGTTGGTCTTCCAGCAATGGCTAAAAGTCCTTTGACTGCCACACCAATTGCTCCTTTAGCATCTCGGGCGAGGCTTGTGCCTTTTGTAAGCCCTGGGTCGACCATATTGATAACGACGTTATCAGGGTTTACCAGATCTGCCAGTTTGACAAGGAATAATTGGCTTATCAACTTGGACACCCCGTACCTCTCTTGTGGATCCCAGGCAGTGATATTTGTATCATCAAACGAAGCCAGGAGAGGGCTCTCATTTCTGTTAGGAAATTTGCACAAGTGCGCCGTAACTGAGTTGACAATTGTTAGATGAGGTAGCTCGTTACCCCTCGCTTTACTTTTTAGGCAAGGAAGTAGAAGCACTGCCAACAAAGCTGTGCTGAAATGATTGACTTGCATGGTCTTCTCATGACCAGTTGAACAAGTGCTAAATGACAGCGGACTTAGTCCTGCATTCAAGATAGCAATATCAAGACGATCAAGTTCTCTGTGACACCTGTCAACAAAGGTCTGCACAGAGTCGTAGGATTCCATATCCAGCTTCCAAACATGGATCTTTGCCGCTGGATTTGCATCATGGAGTTTTTTAGCCGCTTCATTTCCCTTTTCCAAAGATCGTACCGCCATAACAAGATGTGAGAGACCAAGAGCGAGAAGCTGCCTTGCTGACTCAAATCCTAATCCAGTATTTGAGCCCGTGATAATCGCGCATTTCCCTTGTACGCTTGGATATCGTTCTTTAGTTGGGAGCTCAATTTTTGTTCGGAATTGATTTTGAATGAATATAGGAAGGAAGCTATCTGGGAAAGGGTCCATCTTCTTTGAGAGAACAGCGGGAGAGTCTGCACTCTCAGCATTGGCGTTTTTGTTGTGTCGCATGGTAAAGAGGTATCGGTAAACGGGTAGTAAAAAAATCGCTCTGATTCTAAATCGTTTAGAAAATGGTGACAACGAAGATGTGAAAAGATGTGAGTTTTACAGCACGACATGTATTTATATGCAATCAATTAGGATATCTTGGGTTACCTGACAATTGCTGTTTAGCTGGTGGAAGGGAAAACACCCCACTTGGCTGTATTAGGAAATTGAAGAAAGCTTGGCCATCCTTCTATGTACAAGTATCAAGCTGAACTCCACTACTTTCTTGTCCAAGACGAAAGGGGTAATCCAGAAAGTCTTGGCATTTCCTTCGTGACGAAACGACGAAACTACGGAGTCCGGCTTTTCTGGGCCACGTTCAATGCCGCTTTCAATGCTCCGCTAATTCCGGGGACTGGTTAGACCATTTGTTATAGGGGCTCCCATTTTCAACACCTCTGAGATCTTGGCAATTCTTTGCTTTTCTATTTGGACTTCTGTTGTGACTACTTTGGAACTTGTCCATTTGTTTCTCCGGAATAATGGCGCAACATCAACCGGCCAAAGTAAGCACTAATATCGTGATGTGGAGGTTGATGTTAATATCCTACCTAGCAACTAGATGGCTTCCAGCATCAATCCATCGAATTCATAGTAGCAACATCTACTTCATCTCTTAGTAGAAAACAACAACGAACTATTCGCAGTCATGCATCTCGGGGAAGGAATAAAAAGCGACAGCGTCCACAACTCAGATCCTGGATTCTACAACAAAATGGTTGTCCATCATTAGTAGATGACCAATATACTTCAATACCTCCGCGAGTTGGCTGGGATCTTTCTTTTTTCGACTTTCCTATAGAGATTCAGCCTTATATGCAAGGTGATCTGTCTTTAGGCAAGTGGCCGTCCCTTTTTACCCAAGTTCATAGATTAACACGCCATACTAGCTTTGTCTCCGTTGAGAGAAGCTTTATATCCTCCGGAAATCTGCTTACAGGTGGACCCTGCGTCTAGTTCCTGGACCACGGCACTTCTTACTGATTCAGTATACTTACACTGCACGCTATTTTCAGTTGAGGCATATCTTGAGGCATGCCTTCAAAAATCTCAAGGCCCACTTACGCACTTCTATTTCCAAAAGACAATCCGACTCCTGCAAGACAGATTAGATAGACCTGACGACCCGCAAACGATTTCAGATCCCACTATAATGGTAGTATCCGTTTTAGGATTGACAGCAGAGGTAACTGGAGATTCTATGGCTGCAAAGAAGCACATGGAGGGGCTGCGAAGAATGGTTGATCTGCGAGGAGGGCTTGAGATGCTGCGATTTGACAATGCTCGACTACCCGCCAAGGTTTGCCGGTTAGTATCATTCTCAACTGACTAGAGATTCTTCTCAATACTCGATTCTCTAACATAAAGAAGCATTGATCTCGTGCTAGCTCTTAGATTTGGGATCGAACCAGTTTTCTTCAACAGTACAGTACCCTGGAGGTCATTTGTTGACCATGGTCTAATTGGAAAGAGTAAAGGGGCTTTAGCAAATAATGAAGAAGTTTCAAGGATCTTGAGTACTCTTGATAAGAGACTGACGAATATTTGGAACGACTTGAAGGAGTTTTCTCAAATCTGCAACCTTGCATCCCAAACAGCTCATAAGCTCTCGCCAAATATTTTCAGCGAAATTATGATTTCGATTTACTATCGACTATTAAGTCTTAAATTTAAAGATGACCCGGCTGCAGAAGCCATTCGCGTCGCGATGATGGCCTTTGGGGCAGGTATATTTTTCCAATGGAGGGGCATCAAACAGCGACTGGCATACCTCGACAGTCTTTCGCAATCGTCTCTTTCAAATTTGAAGGAATCACAAATCCGACTGCCTCCTCTTTTTATCCTATGGCTATTGGTGGTTCAGATTTCCGCATTTGCACAGCTGCCACCTATCAACCATTTAAGACTATGGGTTGATGATGCTGTTTCACAATTGCGCATTTCCAATTGGAAACAAGGTCGCCAAATGTTAAAATCGGTGATGTGGATTGACTATTGCCATGATAAATTGCTTGATGAAGTATGGCTAGTAAACGCTTTAAATTCCGATGGTTATCATTAAAGCTGGGTAATATTAATTTAACTACCTTAGAATAGCCTATTAAAACAGTTAGAATGCCTAGCTTTCTTCATAAAATCCCGTGTTTTTTTAGTACTATCGCGGACGTTTCGATGACCTACGTTGAGGCTGATATCAAGCAACTTAAGGTAGCCGTAGAAAGGTAGCCGTCCTTTTTGGAATCAGACCAAACGAAATTGCAGACAGCTCACTGTTTGCGAGGAGATGTGTCATCCATGGAGGCAATTATACTAGCCGATGGCCGAATTCATCGGACTTTGGTAGGTAATAAGGAAGTTGTCATCTACAAACTCAGGCGAATGGTCTCGTCAACGTTACCAAGCCTGTCATTGAGATGTTTGAAGCGCTTCAGGGAGCTCATAATGTATTGATTACTGATCTTCAGATACTTAAAGCTTATTCGATGATGAGAAGCAGTCTATGTTATTGTAACTTGATAACGGATACTATTTTTGAATCTTGCACGATTTGAAGACTTATAGTACATTCATTATCTCTAAATACATCAAGATACCTGAAACCGGACCAAGGATTATTAAGAGTCTTGAAAAGGTCGCGCTATAGTTTCATTTACACGTGTCTTTATGAATTCTCCTTGTCTGCTGCCTGTTGGCCCGTGTTCCAGTCTTTGCCTATGCTGAAGCGCATACGTGTTAAATACATGCAAAAAAGCCTTATAAATGTAGCCAGAGAAATGCAACGACGACTTCAAGAACATTATTCTTTTTTGTTTCTCATTAGAAGACTCTTTTTTTATCAAGTCACAAACCCATTTTCGCGATGAAGGCTGCGATCCACTGGTCTATTCTTATCGCCGCTTCGGCCGCTGCTACGATGAGCCACGCTATAAACGAAATCGACGCTGTGAGCATATGTGGAGAACTCGGCGTCATGAAAGTCAACATCGACGAGCTTCCCGAAGGCGTCTCTCTTGAAGACGTCCGTTTGTGTGCCGATCACCCGCTCGGCCGTGACCGTTCTCTCGACCCGTCAGACGGCGCGTCGATTCCGCCGGAGTACATGGAAATTCATCATCTTGATATGGAGTAATATCTTAATACTCTATGCTTGCCAATTGGGAAAAGGCATTCACTCTGTCACTACACTTCGTAGTTGTAACAGAGGCGCAATCGCTGGAGGGCCTGCGATTAAGAAATATTCCAGTAGTACTGAACTGCAGAAAACAGCGGGAGGATATGGCCATTGAAAGTATTGTACACTTCATTTTGATTGCAGAATTAATAAAACGACTTTTGCTGTCATAATTTATGCGAACTATAATGCGGATGCGCTATTAAACAATGCGTGCATGAAAGGTAGGATGTGATTCTTCTCAAGTTTGGTATTGCAGATGTATTAAGGCCCCACCAAACATTATCGAGAGAGTCAAGACCTCCATCAATACTAGATTAGATCGCTATTACGCGTACTGCAGCACTATTTTGCCATAGCATAGCGCTTATAGCTCACAACATAGTGCTCATTACTCTAACATAGCGCTTTTGCACCTACTATACTAAGGGGCCACCGTATCATATGTAGTGCCATTATGTTTATACATTTATAGAGCTAACGATAGTGTCTCTGCAGCATGAGAATTACATATATCACCCTAAATACTCTTGAAATAAGTACAGCTCCATCCTTGAGGTGACGAATGAAACCAATTAAACATATGGAAGCCGATTATACACATCATGTTCCTATTTGAAGACTGGAGCTCCCCGCATACACTGTCCCTACGAGTCACGCTGTACCAACATACGTAATCCGAAACGTTGGCTTGGGACTCGACTAAGTAATGAGCTCAAGAGCTGCGAACGCAATGAACCTTAGCCCAGTCTGGATTTTTACTCGATTCGTGTTGTATTTAATGCTGTAATTACTCAAGTCAGGATTGTGCACCCTGGCGAATCAGTTCAGCTGAACTTACCCCACAGTTCTTGCATGTGCAGCCCTGGCCACAGTTACACGAGCTGGGGCCAGTGCAGTTGCAGGTCGATCCACACTCACAAGCCATATTGTTGTAGTAGGTAGTACTGGAACTATGCAGTATATCTGTAGTCGTTCAATAAGATGAAGAATGAAATGCGAAGCCAATCATAGAAATGTTGTGGTAATCTGGTTCTTATAGTCCTCAACCGGGATGACGTAATCGTGAGACCTTAGAAGAAGATAATCTCATGACTCTAGCTTTTCTTGCTAAAATGTTATGTAACCATGACAACATGATATTAGGTTATATGGTTCAGCTCGAAAAATTGGTGTAGGAGAAAGTTCTATGAAAGGCTTGCTGCGTAGTGGAAGTATTGGCTCCTGAAACTATAGCCCATGATGAACACTATAACAATTACTCGTCTCCATAGAGTAACTGGAAACTAATTCCGGATGAAGAGTTAGGTTGGTTATCGAGTAATCATATCACTCAGTTTATTGGATGAATAGTTTGAGTGTTAATTCATACGTGTTATGGCAGCATCCTAAGTGTCAGGCACCCTGTAAACACCGCTCTTGAAAACGGGTCTCACTCTCCGCTAAGCGGCCCTGCATAGGGACTCCTACGATTCATTAGGTCATTCCATATGCTAAAGTTATAACTCAAGTGGCATCTAACATCGTTTCCGATGGACCTGGATTAATGCGTGCCACTGTGACTGCAATCATTCTCGGGCAGTTGGGGTTTTGGGGGCTGCGCAGTACATTTGGAATGGCTCAGCTTTATCACCCACTCTACATAGTTCACGACTTCTTGGTGGTATTTGCAAAAATTATCCTTGGTATCAAGTACATCTATACATGTCCGAGTATTAAACCCAGTTCTGATATAAGGGGCCGTCAGGATTTACGCAACGCCACCTATTGTCACCATAGGCAGTCGAGAGCCAAAAGTGTAAAAGTGCCACTACTCCCAGACACCCTTTGTGAGGAGCCTTTGGGCTGATTTACGCGGAATACAGTATGCCATTGATTGCACCCTCACAGGTACCATATATCGGATCCTTCCTATACCTCTCTAGAGCGCGTGCTTCCGAAAATATTTATCTAAATCTTGTTACGACGAGTATTTTGTATTCGTATTGTAGAGAACGTATATGAGGGGAGTGTTCAAACTCGGCGAAATCTCGTCTTTAGTAGCATCTTCTTCGAGGAGCATTGATTGATCGTTCAATCATCTGTTTTCCTTCCTCTGTTGGCAGTTTCCTACCCACGACGGAGTTACCCGCTCTGCTTTATATCGCGCCCATGGTGAGAAAACTTGCATCCATCACAGAAACCACAGTGATTTTTGTAATCCTTGCATGCATCGGGAGTGATTTCGGTGACTGTGATGGTGCACACGTTGGCCGATGGCTTTGGCTAGGCTTCTCGTTTTCTCTACCGAGTAGTATTCCCTACTCCGTTGTGTCGCTGGAATTGGTAAATGGCTTTCGACGATTTGCTTCAGGTATTGTGACAAAGAGATTCTTTAATAATGGTTTCTTAGCTGATGACTGGAGCTTGCAACGATGCGCTTGCTGTGAATTTAGGCGTCAACTTGGAACTTTGCGCAGGGTCACCATCTTCTCAGAACTATCTAGGGTCGGTAGTGACGCGCCGTCTTTTTCTGAAACTCTTTTTAACGCGGAAAGACACTCTCCTGAATGGTGTAACCGGTACATTTTTTACTCAGGTTCGTAGTAGGATGAGAAGATACTTCCACCTTTGGTCGTGATAACGTGTGAAGATGGAAGACTTTAGGCCCAAAGACACGCTAAGACCTGCTAGATTATAGCACAATGTCCACTGGAAAAATCCCGGCCACTGGACACGCATCAAAATTCCAATCACAGAGAAATATTTCGCAGCACACAGGAATCACCAAATTATCAAAACAATTACCAATCACTATCTATCAGAAGGAAAAAAAAAAGGTTAGACCAGGAAAAAAACGAGAAAGCGAAAAAAGGAAAAACAAAAAATGCAGGGTGGGATCTCGAACCTCGGTCTCTCTCACGCAGGGCAATGCTAACACTCCGCTTTCTCAGCGGGCAAACAGCGCATTAACGCCGGCTGCGGACTTTTCTCTATGCTTGACCATTCGACCACCCCGCAGCTGGCGTACCAGCTATTGACATTGGAAGCAATTATTTTAATTGATAAAAGAAAGAGTGCAAGCTGGCTGGGATTGGAGAGAGAAAACACGCTTGAGCTTTGCAGCTCGAGCTGGGAACGAGCGCTGGCTTTATAGCTGCGAGATTTGAAGATGGCGCTAAGCGGGTGGAATCTGGTTCCCACTCAGCATCCACAATTGCTATTTTAGCATCGCAATGCTAGCACCAGAACGGTCTTGAGGGTGTTTTGAGCTCCGCTAAATTCCCTCTTGGGTGGACTTGGATTTGAGTCAACGAATCAGGCTGAGCATCGCGAGTTGCTGGGAGCGGGAGCTGGGGGATGGCCAGCGCTAATTATAGCGGGCAGCTCCCTGTAGAACAGGCGCAGCGCTGGCTAGACTGCCGTGATGCAACTCTCCGATGTGCAGCTGTCGCGAGCTTTCTGCATCTCGAGGACCGCGATTCCTTGCACAACTGCATCCTATCAGTCCTATAAATCTCTCAACTTCTCTATGCTGTTCAATTCGCATTGGCCATTGGCCGCCAGAAGCCCACATCGTAGCCGCCCGCTGTTGAATTCCACAGGCGGCCGGGCGGCTGAGTACGCTTGCAGGGATTGAAATGCAAGTTGGCCGCGATATTGTTACAGCTGCGCTGCCTCGATGGCCGCTGTCCTGTCAAAATGTTGCGATGGAGACCCTCGGCGCCTCGTGAAGCGGCTATTTCTGGATCGAAGCCTCCTACCTCTCTCTGCAAGACAGCCTGAGTTCCACGCTGCGTGTCTTAAACTGTTCCCTCCCAGATTTCGAGCGCCATGCCCGCATCACCTTATCTTCGCCGCCACAATGGTCATCACCAAGCCAAACAACGCATTCTCCGCCTTCTTCTCCTCCGGCCACGCCGACTTTCTGGCCCTCCTCCTCACGACGCCCATCAGCACTTTGCTCCTCTACTGGTCGCTCAACAACACAGTGTTCTCCGGCTCTCTCCTCCGCATCATCGAGTCAAATCGCCCAACGGTGCAGTTTGCCGTGCAGCTGATAGCCAACCTGCTGTCGCTCTGCCAAATCTTGGTGCTATGCAGGCTCATCAACTATGGGATTCGAATACGCCTTGCGCGCAACGCGATGAAACTGAACTCTGTGAGGGCGTGGATTGACGCCATGCAGCCGAGGATTAATTTCAGCCTTCCCATTCGGTTTCTATTGCCTCTTTCTGCATTTGTGGCGCTGACAATGATCTTGTCGGCGCTCTGGGCCGCTGCGCTGACGCCGGTCCAGCTATCGCAAGATGTCGACCAAACCATCATTGTTCCAAGCTGGGACAATGTTAGTCTCGTAAAAGAGTATCCTTCCGAGGTTGGCAAAGAGGGAGCCACAGTGCAGAATCTCAAAGGTCGGTTTTCGTATTCTGTCGGCAACCAGTTGCTTGGAAGTCTCCTCGCCAGCGCATCCTCCGCGACCACCATCGACGGGTCGCCTAGAATCCACGAAAAGCTGGACAAATCTAAGTTTACGTACATCGGTCGCTCTTATGGCATTGGTTCATCGGTGGGGTTGGCGGACGAGGGAATCTTGGATAACAACCTGGCGCTCGGATACGCATTTCAAGAGACGGGATATAACGCCGATGTAAATTGCATCTATAATGCTTCAAGCCAGTTTTCTCTATCACCAACAGTCGATAGCCTGATCTATGCTGCCAGTGGGCCCCTGCCTGACAGCGACAACGGCCCCGAATACTCCGATTACATTGGTCACAATATGGATCGTATAGTTTCCGTCGGCGTCGCTCATTTCGCCAACGAATCAGCAGATGTATATCCACTCCGAAAGTATCTGGCGTTCGCGACTGGTTCGAACTATGACTTCTTAAACAAGATCCAGTGCGATATCAATTTTGTCCCAACGCGATTTAATGTCACGGTGGATTTTCAGGGACAAAACATCACTATCAAGGCTATAAACGATACCAAAATCCAAGATATTAATCCAAGCAGACGCCTAAAAAGCACCGTGATGCGCCAATTTGAGCTCATTGCCAACGACGAGACGAATCTCTACATCTCAACAGTCGGGTCGGCGTTTAATGCTTCCATTACCGATTTCCGAACCTACATTCACTCCTCTGGTAGATTTAACCAATGATCAGACACTGAAATCGTGCTAGCTGCCGTTGAGAACTCCATTACTGCCATGGCGGATGACATGCTGGGTGCGTATGCGTCAGCGCAGCTCATGGTTGGCGATTTAACACAAGGCATAAATGCTACCGTGCAATTAACTGCCATAGCATTTGGCGGGATCAAGTACAACATCGCGATATTCGCTGTCAATATTGCCGTCATCATGCTGCTTTTGATCGAGGTTATCAGAACCAGGGGGTGGAAAGGCCTGCCCGATTTTGATGTCGCAGATATACGTCACTTGATCATTGCGGCGTCAGAGGGCGGAAAAGAACTGGGTAATATTGCTTTCGGACAGGAGAATGACATTAGAGACGTTCCAATACGGTATACAAAACTGATGGGCGACCGTTTTGCGATAGTGGCAAATGAGGAGGCTGAGGGTGCATTCATGATACAGCACAAAGGGCTTGTGATTTCGACAAAGAGTTCAGTTACAGAGTTTGATAATATAATATAAATTAACATTACGCGTTAACAGAGGTTAAATCACTTGTACCAAAATACCTACTTCATGTTAGATAGTGTGGAGACAATAAAAAAAGAGTTGAAGTAATACCTTGAGAGCTACTAATCATGTGGACAGCCCAAGCTTGCTGTCAAAGAAGTTTTCAATAGATGGTATTATAACAGAGAATAGCATATCAACTTTTCATCATGGCCCGTCATTGAGTCAACTCTAAGTACATATCGTCCGAGTTATTGCCAATATGGATCTCCTCGGATGGGTCGCGATCCATCAATCCTCCATGCTCGTTCTTGCGCACCCAGGGGTTAATAATATCAACTACTTCAATTCTGAGTTGACTTTGCTAAATATATGGTTCTTGTGGTGCTCAAGGAGCTCAATATGCCGGAAGCACTTGAAGCAGTAATCCATATCCCAGCAAGTCTGGCAAGTATACCTCGTGTCGTATATATGCTTTGAATGTGGTCAGTAACTCATTTCCTACATGCATCATTCGTTCTTGATTGACTTACGCATAAGTAACTGTCGCATAATGCTAATGGCATTGTTTCGCCAGTCTTAAGAGATTTCCAAGTTGCTCGACGAGCCGCCCTATTTACTCGTTCATTTGTCTCCACATCACATCCACCTAATACCGAAGCGTCAATTGAAGGCATCGGGTACTCTGTGGTTTCTACCTTGGACATGCCGTCACTGTCATGCCAAGCTGCTACAACTCGTGGCAGCCATCCGCATTTTGTAACATCTGTTACTTTCACTCCTTTATCTAAGAGAAGCTGTATAGTACACATGCTCGAGCTATGGCATGCTCAGTGTAAGGCAGTCCAACCATCATCATCTGCCTCGTGCACTGTCGAAATATACGAATATTAGCAATACACTAGCTAGAATCCATGCTGTATCGTCCAGGCGTATGCTTTGTACAACACCAGGACGAGGCTAGAGACGGATGACTGTGATATTTGAGAGCGAGTTCCTAGCCTACGTCGGAGTTATGGGCCAGTTACCGAAGCTCGATGCAAAACTCGTTATAAAGCTACTCATAAAGCTATTTCCGACTTGTTTATGATCGGTAATGGCCATTTAACATCGATCTCCTAGATATGTCAGTTCTATGGAGCCGTGTGGCCATCATCGCCTTGTTCAGCGAACATTTAACCGTTGTAGAAGTCGAGCGCTAGAGCCTTTGTCCGCCTCAATAAAACATGCGAAGATGCTGCACTATAGGGGAGTTGCAGCCATATCTTGCTTTTGTGACAGTAAATTCGCTGTTTCGATACGCCATCTGCGGTTGATATTCGCGAATATCTTCAAATTCCCAAATACATGGTATCTTGTAGCGAAATATCGTCCCAGCGCGATTGAGGGTATGTTTTGCGCCATAACGTAGTGGTCAAGTGTCTGTCTGACAGCAGTTACGTGGCGTGCGTAGAATGTGAACCTCCTGCCGGGAAGAGTAGAAGTAACGAATAGATGTCTTCCCACCATACTCTACGTGGATATAGACTCCTATCTGTGGGGCGTTCATGGCAAGACCGCGTGTATATCAGCCACATCGACGTATTCACGAGTTTCTTATCCTTCAAGATGAACTTGAGCGCTAGGCGAATGCCAGACTTTTGACGACGAATAATAGATGGCCGTATCGCGATCCTCCGTTGCTTTCTTACCTATATTGCTAATCTAGACCCTGTCGAAAAAAGTATGGGTCGCGTACGCATCAATGTTATCTTGTGTCATATATTGCACAGTCATGGACAGAAGATGTCCGTTCTGTGTTGCGAGCATCGTTAGCGATAAGCGGAACCGTGGCTGCACTTCTGCGCCTTCCCACTTGGCCTTGTTCCTGTGCTGAAAGTTTTCTCAGGCGGTGTTTATATATGCAAGACGGTGATTGTTCATGCCTCCCAGCTTGCTGCTCTGAAGCTTGTGCACACTAAACACCCGATATTGTGTTCCCAGAGCTAGTTTGGCCTTGCGGAGAGTTAGCGTTTCGCGACAGTCTGTTTCCGCAACCGCGCGGGGATGGTCTTTGTGGGATCGAGCTGTGGGTGATCATGGTATAGTGAGATTCAAGACTGGAGTTTGAGGCTCAGTAAGGACGTAAGCGTGAGGGGTCAACAACAAATCACGCCTTTCACGGTTGAGAAGAAGCTTTGTGTGGTAGATGGATGGTGCATTTCTGACCATAGGATGAATTCCAACGATTGTTTGGGGCCGTGGCGACGCGCTAGTTGCAGGGGCCTTTGGTGCCAAACTTCACTAAAGCATAGCGCGCTAGATCTATGATGGACCTTTCGAAAGATTCCACCCGCTAAAACAATGGAGCACACGAAATCAAGGAAGCATGGATTGACGATGAAAATTGTATAAAAGAGAATGAATGTAAAAGGAACGCAGAGGGCACACATAATAAGAAGAAAACGGAGGGAAAAAAAACCAAAAAAATGCGAGATGGTGAAGTTCGAACCCCGGCTTTCCGCTGCGAGAATGCTTGTGCCTGCAGGCTCACAAACACTCGGGCGCTGATTCGCACTATGGGGTTAACCACTGTACCACCCCGCGGTAATGAGGAGCAATATTTTTACTTATAACACAAAGGGCGCAGGCCAGCTGGCATTGCTGGGGGAGAAAAGACACGACAGGTTTTGGGCTGGAGGTTGGAGCTGGGAAGCGCTGGCTTTATATGTCCGAGATGGTGCCTGGCGGGCGCTAAGCAGGGCAGATCCGGTCCCCGCTCAGGGCCCCAGCCTTTTAGCTTTAGGCCCACGATGCTAGCACTAGAATGGTTTGAATGGTGATCTTGGCTTGCCGCCATTTGTCCTGAGCGGACTAGTCATATGGCCGTTGGGATTGGCATTTAATCTCGCTTTAGATTGAGCTCGATGCACACTACGAAATGCACTGCCAACAAATATATCATTGACTCACCCCCGAGAGAGGATGAGACATTTTGTCTGGAATGATAGATTGGAAAGAAATATTCATTTTCAATGTTCAAAGTCGGCCTATTCAAGACCAAGAGCAGTACCATGTAATTTTTTCCACTAAAGTTTTTAAAAAAAAGCGTTGGTGTAAATTTTTCTCGAACTTTGGCTATATGATAATTACGTGTTGGAACGCTCGGATTGGTCAAACAGAGCATATGATAGAGGTTACAAAGAGCCTTGTATTGGTACAAAGGAAAATACTGAAACGGCCTATATAAGTAGCTAGGTTGCTGTCAAAGAAAAGGGGTGCTCCACTGAGCTTTCTGGCTAGGCCCAACTGATTCCAACTTTACGGAACAGTGGGAACAACGTCTGTGCTGACAGGTTGGTTCTAAGCACTGGACTGTTATCTCATAGATGAAAGCACCCATGCCACAACTACACTATAGAGTGTTAGCGTCTTTATCAGATTGAGGGCTCTGAGATAATACACACGCATGTCCAACTATGAACTGTACTGGAATTTCTTCGACTTTTGACGGGCACTATTTTGAGATTCTCCTCTGCTGATGAAGTTGAAATTGGGCTTATCATTGACGCTCTTGGAGAATTATCAACAGTAGCAATTTCTTGGATCTCATTATTATGTTCAACCCCAATAAAGGCATTGGTTCGTTGTGCATTGGGCATATCATCTTTGCTTGTGGTGCTGTGGTTGCTTGATATGTCATCTGGCACATCATGTGTATTCTGTTCGAAGACATTTTCTCCTTCGACATCTTCATCTTGCGGTGCATTAATATCCGTTGCAATAGATGTTGGCACTTCAACTGAATGTGTAATTGAACCAGAGATCGGTAAATCTTCATCTTCATTAGCTCGTGGTACGGCGAAAATTGCCAGCTGCTCTTGATGAGAAGCAACATGTCTTTTGAACCGTTCATGGTTTACGAGTATCCCTTGAATTGATTTAAATGGTTGGCTCCCTGAATTCGACTTCTGTAGCAACTCTTCTGCCCATTCATCGCAAAATGGACAATCTCGCGCTTCAAATTGCGTGGGACATTTTCTACCTCCTTCTTGAAGCATCCGTAGCTGAGAATCCGAGAAATCCCCATGAACTTTCAGGATATGGTCTTGCAAATCTGGATCAGAAAAGCCAGCTGATTTACACAAGATGCAGGAATATCGTGATCTGTGTTTTTGTAGCTCATGCTCAAACCATGAATCACGATCTTCGAAAAACTCTGCATCGCATTCAACACCGCCTTGCGTGCACACATATGCTTTCAGATCACGAAATGCATGAAGTCTATGTTATGAATGGTTAGCCAAGATGTATGAGCCAGACCAAACTAGATGAAAAGCATACTTCCAAGATTTTTCATGCCGAAAAGACTGTATAGTGAAGCATATCGGACACTCAAATGGCTGATTTGTTGGAGCTAAGTCGACCAAACGCGGTAACGTTAGATTTGATAAAGAAGTTGCCATTGTTGAAGCGCTAACAAGAGAGAAATCATCGAATTCCTCTTCTTGTAGAGTCAAGTTGAAATTTGGGAGAGGAGCAAATGTTGTAGCTTTACTTGATAGCAGCTCGGTGTCCGTGGCATTATGAATTGTAGTTTCATCTATACCCAGTCGAGATCGGTGATCTCTGCAGTATCTAATGAAGTTTCTCCTTTTGGCGATTCCACCGCCAACTCTTATTGATAACGGACTATTAGCTATTTTGGGATATTTGTTTTTCACATAATCAATATCGAAAGAATCCGGGAATGTCAAGTCGGAATTTAGAAGTGCTTGCTTAAATCGGTCGCGTGGCGATAGCTTTCTAATAAGCATACCTAAACGAAAGAGAGAATTTATGCATTCGTGGATTATCTGTAAATTAATACTGGCCTCATCAAGAGAGCCTTTGCTGGTCTTTTCGATTGCGCTTATTCCGACTATGGAAGAGTTGTTATCCTGATCGATTGCGATATCTCTATTTGAAATTGGATGGCGAATGATGTTCGTTACTACCTAATAAGTGAGATAAGTGAGGCTATACTTGCTACAAGAGACTAACAATCATCAATGGCTTCCTCAATCTCGCCTAGCTGTCGATTTATCTGCTCTCCGATATCTGCTGCTTGAGAGAGTCGCTGGTCGAGCGATAGTGGTGTTTGAGGGCTACGCATTGCACCCATGTTACCTGCCCACAAAGAAAATCTCTCCAGACAGTCTACAATCGCAGACGGTGATACATAAGGAGAGAGGGAAGACTGACTCTCTCTACTGAGGGTTATGAAGTCCAGAAAGTGCTGTCGTACATTATGACTCTTGGCTGAAATAGTCGCCATTTGGGTTATATCCGTTGATGATGGAAATGGCCAAGTTTAACTGATGGTGGGCAACATCTCATATGCTGAGAAAATGATGAGCTAATTCCTGCCAATTAACAACCTGCACGTCGATTGCTGACTGCATATACCCCGCTTGCGAGACAAATGCATAGGCGAGATGCGATTGGTTCACGCAATCACGCATAAAGACGTGCACAGCGGTCAGTCACATCTCTTGAGGCTGAAATTTTGTTTCCGTTATTTAAAACTTTTTATCGTTAATCATTGTAAACACAAGTCGATTCATAATGTCCGGGTCAGGTTTTGAGATAGCAGGAATTGTACTTCGTGCATTCCCACTCGCTATCCACGCCCTCGAGATATGTCGCGATACAGCAAATCAAGTTGGCCTCTTTCTCCAAATCAAGCTGGAATATAAGAGGTGGAGAGACGAGTTAGAGTATCACAAACTACTATTCACAAAGAATTTAAGACAACTTCTGCTCCCTCTCGTCCTAGATGACGACAAAATCGGAGAGCTTCTACTGATGCCAGGGGGAGATTGTTGGCGAGAGAAGTCAGTCGCGGAACTTTTTGAAAAACGTCTTGGGGACTCATATGGTCTTTATATGCAATATATACAAGGGATGGGTAAGACCATGGACGAAATAAATAGAGAGCTCGCCATTGACTCTGAGTGGGCTCGGAAGATGCTTGATAGCTCGGTAAGAAGGTTTGAGCCAACGAAAACGAAGACATAGTTAAATGTTCGCTCCAGCAGAAAGCATCGGATAGCCAATTCAAGCTGAGAGAATTTCTCAGTCGCCAATTTCATAAGTTCAAGCTTAGCAGCAATGGTGTTGTCCGCAAACGTCTATTCGAGGAGCTACAAGAGTATAACGATAGGCTCGAGAGGCTGTTAAGAGCCAACGACGAAGATATGCACTTGTTAATCGACAGAAGTTCAAGACACCAATCAGACAAAATTGACATAACAATTTGTAACTTTTGGAAAAAAGCTAAAAGCGTCTTTCTGGCCCTTGCTTCTGCTTGGACTTGCCAATGCCAGCAACATGGCGCAAACTTACTCCTTCAACATCGAATCACAAGCAAAGCCGAGTTTGATATCACTTTAACAGGATTTATTTCATCTATATACGAATGTCACAGAGTTCGGATCTCAGAAGGCAAGGATAATGTGTTAAACGAGAGCATTAGCCTTCTCGACAGTGTTCCCTCTCGGCAACCAAATCACAAACAAAGGCGTCCAACAAAATCTGCACTTCGTATAAAGAGTGCAATAAAGACGCTTATAGGGTCGTCGAAGTCTGTTGATCCATTTGAAACACGGGGCAGCTTATATGTGTATATACTAACAAACTTCCCAGAACTCAAACGTCAGTTACACTTGTGCACGCGGAAAAGAAACCCGTTATCCCTACATACAATAAAATAGTAAACCTCTGTGCTTCGTTGAAGATGTCTGAAACGCCGTGCTATGGTTATCTTGAGGGAGAGGAATGTCGATATCACATTTTTGACATATCTCGGTATAACAGCGACATAGCTCGATCGGTGACCTTGGACCAGCTGCTTCGCGGTGATGTCCCTCAACTATTAACTCGTTCGAAACGATATAAAATATCATTGATCCTAGCTTCGACATTTCTTCAACTACTGGATTCCCCATGGTTGTCAGCATTTCCAAAAAGATCTGATATCGTTTTCTTTAACAATAATGATGGAGACGCAGCGTTCTTTCGACTAGACCAACCACATATAAGCCGCGATTTCAACACTTCGAATGTAGCAAGCACAGATTCTTCATCAGAGAATATGTTCAACTTCACTGAGGCACTTGACCATCTCGGTATAATGCTCTTAGAGCTTTGTTTTGGTAGAATTATGGAGGATCAGCCGTGGGGAAAAGAACCGTCAGCAGGAGCAAATGACCAGGAGAAGAAAGGACTTAACATATTGGCAGCTCGTGAATGGCAGTGCCATGTGAACGAAGAAGCTGGTGGAGACTATGCTGAGGCGGTCTCGTGGTGTCTTGGAGGAAACCGGATCGCGCCACAGGAAAGGTGGAGACAAGAAATGCTGCGTAGAGTGATACAGCCTTTGCATAGGTGTCATGAATATTTGTCAAATGGCGGGATTGAGATATAACTCAATTGTCCATGATTATGAAACTTAAGTTTACATCCAAAAAAAGTATATACATTGTACTGAGTAGTATTTTCACCAAATATCATCCAAAAACGCCTCTAAGAAATCTAGTGATTGCTGTCTTCAACATATGAAATGAGTCGAATGCCTAAGCAAGCATTTCCTCAGAAAATTGGAACCCGCCCTTTACTGTCACAAGCCTATGACCATTCACAAATACAACTCCATGACCATTGCTCTGCAGAGTCATTCCTGGGACTACTACCAGTGAGCATTTCATTTCGCCTTCTGCGTCACACCATTCACTAAGCGCAAAGAAGTGGCGACGAGCGTTGATGACGGGCAATGACGACCCACTGCTGCCAACATTTCCATCCCCCTTGCCAAGCGTTGACTGTATTTCGATGCTGCATATCCAAAGACTAGTATCCAGAAATACTAGAGTTGATGGACCTATAAACCCAATCACTGAACGTATATGAGAGCTTATGGCACTGAAGCTAGGTTCAATGACGGGATAATCCGACATTCTTGGCGAGGAGGGGTCAAATACAGCCGCCGGCCACATATAGAACTGTTGGGGCACAGTCCCTATTTTCCGTAAACTTTCGATCACTACTCCGCACCCTACATGGTACGATGCTGCAGCGAAAGAATAATCTGCCTTCAGTGGTTGCAATGGGAAGCGCTCAGATTTTGGAGAAACTTTAAGCTCTCTGGGCGATGCAGGCTTCTCGGATGATATGGGCCGTTGAAGAAGAATGCCATCAGGCGAGGTCAGTTCTTCGTAATTGGCCCAACCAAAAACACGCGCAATATCGCCACTTACGGTAACAAACCAAGCTTCGTTGGTGGGATGCTGAAAGACCGCGCAAGCAGAAGTGGTAGCCAGTCCACCGCCATCTGAAAAGCGAGAATCCTTTGTACTGCCATCCATGCGTGATTCTTGTTTTACAGCAAGCACTTCTCCTGACGGCAATGCCCAAAGCTCACTAACATTGTGACCTGTGACGAGAAGACGATCGGCTGCACTATTCAATAGCAATCGCATGACAGCGCCACCAAACCGGCGGTCGAGGATGGTACGAGCCGGTGCCATCTTTTGACCTGGTACTACTGTTGCAGCTTCTCGTAGCGATATGGGCGGCTCGCTGATCAACACTCTGCCGGACTCATCCGCTGAAACGATTAAATTTTTTCTCTCACCGAGAGTAACCTTGGTGACTGATACACCCTTTGCGTGCCGGTACAGTGTGCCGACTTTTCTTCCGTCAGCAACAGAAAAGAGATGCACTTCTCCATGCTGATTTCCTGCAATAGCGTACCAGCCATTGGCCGATATCTCCAAGAGACTGGTTATTTCGGGTTCTTCAGAGCTATCCATTGTTCTCGCCACTGGTATTGGGAGATTTGCGGCGTCGCTTGTACTTTCTAGCTCGTCATTTCTCCTGACTAAGGCTGCCGGCTCCCATGCACGGCACTGCTGGCCGTGAATATCAAGGAAACGCTGTCCGTTAAAACTAAATACAAGACTTTTGATTGGATCATACAGCCCATCTATACGATAAATAGGCACTAAGATGATGTTGCCGTCGTTGTCTTGATCAAAGCCAAAAATTTCGATCATGCCCTGGCTACTCCCGGTGACCAGGCTGTACCCGTCGGGCGAACAAGCAATGCTGTGTGCATATACATTGTGCATCACAAACATTGAATTCATGGTAAAGTAATCGAAAATGCACAGCCTACCATCGTTGCATGATACAACCAGTGCTATAATATCCGGGTTTGGATTGAATACCATGCAGTCGATGCCATTATTAGCGTCAATGACACACTGGCCCAATATTTGCTGCTCATCAATGCCCCATATAAGTACTGGATACATGCGAAAACCAACGGCGAGCAAGGTAACTTCAGTGGTAACGAGAAAAGCCACACAAACTGCGGACCGATGGGTAATAATGGAATGCGTATGTGAATCAGGCTGAGGATTTTCAACAGCAATTACATCGACTTGGCGTCTCTCTAGGCTCCTGGAAACTGTTAGCTTTTTTTTTTTTTGTTCAAATATTTTCTCATTTGACCAAAATATTACCATCTTGTTAGACTGCCGGACTGGAACGCGCAGATAATTTCTTCAAGGCCCAAGAACGTAATGCCAAGAGGTGATGAAGGTAAAGAGAATTGATACAGTTGCGTGCCAGCTTTTGGCTTCCATATAATCATATATTTTACGCCACAAGAGGCGAGATAATCATCATGTTCGCTGAATTGGAGAGCCTTGACCCTTTCGGGATGAGTCATGGTCAGCTGCGGTTGAATAGGCTCAGCATTGTAAAGAAAAATCTTTCCTGTAGATAACCCAACGGCGAAAATACTGTTACCATGGCTGACAGCAGTTGTATGACCCTTTGGGAAGTCAATACGGCTGAGGCAGTCATCCCAAGTTCTTGCTGGATGGCCCTCCACAGTTAGTGCTGTGACTCGTAAATCCTTTGAGAACCTTTTAAATATCATAGAATCTGTAGGACACAGGGGAGGTATCAGGCGGTGGATCGATTGTGGATATGCGAGCAGCTGAGATTGGAACTTGGAGGCTACACGAATCAAGTCTGTCACCCATCCCGCGACGATGCTTATTGACAAATCTGTGTGCGGAACATACTTAGCTCGGCGGGCTAAATAATCTCGCAGGTTCATTGCAACCCTATTGATAGGGCTTAAGTTACAACCTTTAGCGAGATATTCGATCCATGACAGAATGCTGTTATCAAGGAACGTGCACAAAATGTCCATTACACCATCTTCTTTTGATGTACAACGATATACGTGCTCCGAGAAGAACATGGCTGCGTAATCAAGCAGGGATGTGTCAAGCGATGACAGAGTGCGAGTTCTAACAGAATTCTTTTGCTTTTGCTTTGAAGGGCGTTGAAATCTCATTGGTTGTGTCTTGAGGCAGCCTCCAGATAGGAATTTTAGTAGAGTAGATGCAATGCTGGTATGACCGAGATCCTTATATATTGCCAGCTCGCGGCATATATTCTGATCGAGAAGAAATTCACGAGCTGTTTCGTGTATGACATGCGCCTTTTCCGCTGCATCAATGTAAACAAGCTGCCCACATACTTCGGGAATTGCCCTTTTCACGCTCTGAAGTGTCTGGTTGAGATCTAACTTTACAACACAGCGCAATTCTTCCAATGACAAAGGGCGGCGTGCCAAAACAACCCATGTCAATATCGTCTTAGCGAGAATTGCTTTGCTCTTATCCATCTGGATTGACCGGATCATCTTTCCATAAAGGTCATATAGTTCCCCTGGTATTTCCTTCAGGATAGCTTCCATGGCCTCTTCTGTCCAGACGTTTTCAAACTCTTGTGAGACAAGACGGGCCCAAAGAAAAGAGCCCGATGACTTTTCGAGCATCCTATTACACATGGCCTCCAAATCATCCTTGGTCTCGAAGCGATCAAGTTCTTCGAGCTTAGTGGTCAGGAATAGCCGAATATCGTCTATCGTATCAGAATCTGACATAAAATAAGTACTCACTTGGGGCCCCAAAGACGCTCGGCCACGTTCAATTGCTTCTAAGTTGCGACTTGTGATAAAAACTTGGAGTTTTCCTTCAAGAGGTAGCTTAGTTAAGAGCTTCTTAGTAAAGAGTGCATTGAAGTTGTCGCATTCATCGAGAGCATCGATTACCCAGAAGTGTTGCCTTGCGAATGGTAGCTTGAAAATCCTATCAACAAAAAGCTTTGTCCAAATAAGTGCGTCGCTAGCCTTATCCCAGACTATTCCTTCATGCTCAAATTGGATCAATTTCTCTTTCACCAGATTATCTTGAGTTGCCATCTGGAAGGCGAGGGATCTAAAACAATCCCTTAGCGTGGATTTATCAGATATCGAATGCTTGAAGAAGAAATAACTGCAGCAGACAGGCAGATGGTTTAAATGATCGATAACGTGACTGGCTAGAATAGATTTTCCAGTTGCTGGTCTCCCAGTTAGCCACAAAATAGTGGGAGCATCGCCCGCCTTCCAGGATATGAACTGTGGCTTATTTGTGAACCACTCGCAAGATTCGGGCATTTTGAGCTCTGATTGTATCATAAGATCCTCTTCTAGCATATCTGGTATCTTAAGAAAGTATTTCAAGCGTGAATCAGTTTCAATATTCCTGTCATCTGTTGTACCAAGTTGTAGGAAAGCCCTATCCAAACTCTTCTCTTTAATCTCATCAATAGCAGTGTGAAGAGCGTTTTGTAGCATTTTATAATTAGAATCTTTGCGACTGGTAAATTTGCAGACGTGGCGATGGTCAGCGTTCATTGCCTCGATCCGTTCATTATCGAATCCTAAAATTGCTGAATATTTCTCCACCACGATTCTGCTTATGGGCCCTAGAGCTGTAGGCTGTGTCTCGTAAAAAGTCCATAGAGCCAGATCCATCGCAACATGGCGGAACCGATCTCTGATCATAGCAAGTGCTGAAGATCCAGACTTTAAGTCTGTCACAAAAGGCTTTTTACCCCAGATGGCTATCGACATGTTTTCCAAGACCCCTGCCAGATCTGACCCATGGTGGGGAGTGCCAAGGAAGAATATACCATATATCCTCCCCGCCAAATCTTTGTATGACGGATGCTGTCGCGCGATGATATAAGCCTCTTTAGCAATACATCCGCCCATACTATGGCCAACGAGAATGATATATGTGCTATCTTGACGTATGCCTGGGTGGTTTTTCAGTCCTCCAATTAGAGACTCTGCAAAATCGTGAATATTTAGGATGCTTTGCTGCTGCCATTTTCCCCCCCAATCAGCTTTATAGCCAAAAGAATGAATGCGCACATTCTCAAATCCAGTTTCATTCGGCAGCCAATCTCGTGGCCAAAATGGCTTTAGAGTGCTAGAACTAGACCATGTCTTTCTGCTATGTCCTCCAAGGCCGTGTATAAATATGAGGTCCGCTACAGCGCTATTAGGCTCTGGATCATAGAGAGTATTGAATCCCAGTGATTCGGTGTCTTGGTTTTCTGCTTCAGATGTATCCGTGTTGGCGTGGGTTACTTTAGATTGTAGGCCTTTCATAACCGCTGGAAGAGGTGACATTGTAGCATTCTTTTTGCGATCACGGTCAAGAGGTTAGCATTGCTGTATGGCCGCTTGTCGTTGCTTTGCCAAAAGCTCCTTTACGATGTGGCGGTACGAGAGAGGGGAGGCCTTCGACTGTGGGTGGTATTTACCTCGCCAGCGGCTATGATCTTCCAATGAGAGACGCGACCCAGGCGCTTGATTCCGCTCACTTTGTGCGCGGCAACTCACGCAGCACAAATTAATCAAAGTGTAAACGAGTCGCAGGTGGGCCATTCAGCGCAGCCTTGGATGCGGGGATATCCAGAATGTTTTGACTTAAGTTCGTCCAGCAGCGGAATTCTGCTAGGCATGGCTATCGAGGCAGCAACCTAAGTGCATGATAGTTAAGAAATCGCATCAAACTATAGCGTTTATTAAATGATCCGATAAAGGTAAATTGATCAGAATATGCAACCTTTGGTGTGAACATAGGTAAACCACATGTACTTACACGTTTTAGGCTATGGCTTTTTGTTCTCAGGGCTGCGGCTCAGCCCGTACCTGACATGAACTATATGACTGCATGCGATATGGTCTTGTTTGACACTATAACCATTCAGTAGTCTCAAATCGATCCTGTTTATGTTGTAGGTAATACAGTTTTGTAATTTGTAGAAGGATTATCTCATTTTAATATGATATTTAAGGATGAGAGAGGACATGGATTCCCATGGTTTCCCCTCTACGGTACCCCCCATCCCCCCATTGTTCGTGATACCCTATACATTATCATATTTTAATCCAATTTATTAGGCCTTGTCATCTATACTCCGTAACCCTCGGGATACTTCTCGATGAGTGTCTTTATCTCGTTTACTGCCCTAGGCCAAAGTTACTCCAAAAATCAGCCCCATGGTGAATGCTGGGGTAATAAACTTACATTTGCACAAACGATTCTTGCTCTGGAAATAGCGCCGCTGCATGTAAGTTAAATCTCCTATGTAGACTGTTTAAACAACTGTATATAATATAATGAAGTGAATGGCACCTTACAAGGAGTAGAGAGCGATGCGGTCATCATAGTCGTCTTTTGGCTCAGCTCTAGGTATATGAGAATGATATGCTTGAACATAATCGCATGTAAATTTGTTTCGTTCAGGGCGCCAGTTTCCTAATTCATCTGTTCGCGCGTCTTGTTACTTGACAAACTAGAACAATATTTGGGACACTACTGTCAGTAAGCCACATTACTTACACTCGTTATGTGCCCAGAAGCTAGCAGGGTCATAAATGATGCCCTTCTTGGTCTCGTTGATTATTCCTGTGTTTCCATACCACAAGTCTCCATGTACTAAAGAGGGCTTTATTTTTCGTCCCTCTGTTTCAAGTGGTCGCAAGAGCCTGGGGATGACTTTATCAAAAAGCCGGGGCAGCAGTGCATCAAGTTGCAGATTATTGTTGCCCGCCCTTTCCTCACGGATCTTCAAAATATGGCGCAGGCCATTTGCAAAAAATTCTTCCCAGCTATCGCACCAGGTATTGTCCTGAGGAAGGTTGCCATTATATGTTGTGCAATGAAATCCGAACTTGCCCTCCGGTGAAGAGTGAGTGGAATGCAATTGGGCAAGCTTCTCACAGAAGGAGCTGGGCTCGGGTACGCCTTCGACAAAGTCATAAAACTTGCAAATATAAAAATGTGAATTTGGATCGTTCTTAAACGTTCCCCATGCCGTTGGCTTGGGACAAAATTCGGGTATAATTGCGTGGATAGCTAATGTAGACTCGAACTCGCCCATGAGAGCCAGCTTACCATGATGACCAACGGAGACCTAAATTCGGTTAGCGATTTTATCAGTTATAAAGATTTTTTTATCACTTCACAGGCCTTCATAAAATAGCGCTCTTCAAATCCATCATTGTGGAGCACTGTGAGACTAAACGCTTTTGCCCACGGGGATTCTTGACGGTATGCTATGTTTAGGATTGCTGTAACACCTCCTAGTACTGATATGACGCCGAAAATGCTCTATTAGTACAGTCTCTAAGAACTAAAGCCAAGTAAAAGAGCTTACCAGCAAGAACATTAGGATCTAGATTCCGCGGACCTTCAACATCATCGTTGTTGCGCAGGGTGCCATTCATCTCGCCTGCGCTTTGTTTTTTTTTTTTTTTTTTTTTCGAAAAGTATGCCCGGAATAGTGAACTCTTAGAGTTCTATATAGAAGTTACGGCCCCTTTGAAAGATTCTGTTTCTAGGTGATCAGTAAGTCATTTCATGGATCGTATGAAACTCATGCTGGGCAGTCGAAGTCTTGGGTAGAGCCAATAGCACTTAATTGCCGCACAAACAAACTTGAGGAGATTGAATATGCCCCATATTGTTGAAATCAGAATATAGAATGATTGGCTAAATTCTGCTGTTGGTTGGCAGCTTTATTGTAAAGCCCTATTCTCAAGTTAAAACGTGCGTGCTTGGGCCTCAGGGCGCTAACGGAAACAGATTTCAGAAGCTAGTTCTGTGAAGTAGGCTATGGAACCCATTAGCATCATTGCCATGGTGTTGGGTACGTGTGTCATTTTCCTAGTATTCAAAGCAAGGTCCCTACCATAGAACTATGCAAATTTCAGGCATTGGTGAAAGAAGCCATTAACTCTAATCCTATAATACTAGCGTGGTGACGGTGCCAGTGCGTGTAGAAACGAAAATAGAAACCGTGCAGACAAGCGATCAAAAAGAGCGGTATGCCTAGAAATATGATAATTTCCAAACTGTAAGCTACAGATTACTTCATACCAGCATAGTCGTATTTTTCTCAGCGTCTATGAAGCACAACCATGAAATGAGCCTAACGATGTGCAGAGAGCTCTAAAATAATTACATTACGACTGACAAATGGAATACGATATCTAGTTCGACTGTAGTCCTGAATTTCAAGATGAAATGAAACTGGAGCTGGCTACCCCTTGAATAAGCTGATCTGTAATTGATGCACTGCACGTCGCAGTTGTAACACTCGCTGATAAATGTGAAAACAGACCGAGGAGTACTAAGGTCCTGATGATTATAAGGCTGGTAATAAAAACTACATAATGAGGCATCCAAGTTGCAACTGAAAGGCGAGATCGATTACGTATATCTGAAAACTATGCACTATGTATATAGCCTTATACAAGCCAGCTAGTCATACATTATGTCCGTTGACCATTATTCTTGGTATAGACTGTTCGATATTGTTCTCAGTCTTGATGCAATCCACTACATGCTACTCAAACTCTTCTTTGAAGCGAACCTCTTTTGGCCCCGCCTGGATGGAAATATTTCTATTAAAAGATCCGCCAAAGTAACGGCCATGCTTGAGGTTTCCCGCTTGCTGGAACGTTTGGCGGGAGATTTGGGTCGCTGCCCCATCCAATCCGAGCTGCCCACATACCGTTTCGTATTGATCATCTTCCTCGGCTTGTAAAGTAGCATCGCGTTTGGTGAGCTCCCCTTTCTGTATTATCTCTTGTTTCTCTCTGGACGCATTACTCTTTAATGCGTACAGCCCAGTTGTTCGAAGTTGCAGCGGGCCATAAAGCCATGTGATATCGTCGTCTTTTGACCTGCAACGTATGAGAACAATACACTCCTGAAGTTTTGGCTGTATACAAACCATTTAATAACGTTTGGCAAGATAGTAGGTAAATTGTTCCTAAACTTGGTCCAGGATCTCCATGCAGCATTCTCTAGGCGAGCCGCATTTTCGTAGTTGGTCTTTTGTGATTGCACGTGCCTCCAAGATTGATGAAGATCTGCTTCCTGCCACACATGCGACAAATAGTCTACTTGCCGCTCAGGTTGCAATGTTATACCATTATCGTCTTCCGTTCTGTCACAGCTATCCAGAGATACGGAGTGCAACCAGCGCTCACTATCAGAGCCCACCAGTCGACGACGAGGTGCGTGGTCAGTCACTTCAAGCCCAGTGCTATGCGCTATAGATGTGGGTTGCAATATTTGAGCTGTATTTAAGCTATCTAGGACAGAAAGCAGCGGTGTGGAGAGCACACGTCGACGCTGTCGATACCGTGATAATCTGTGGAAAGAGCCTTGGAATAGAGGCCGTATGCGTCGTTTTTGGAGCTTCACTAGCAAGCAGAAGATACTGAAGCTTAAAGCAACGAAAGTGATGAGCTTAAATATCGAGCCCCTTTGAGGATTGGGAGGCCAGGAAGGAAGCTGTCTGCGAAGAACTGGGGGTGGTCCCAAAGAGTCGGGTTGCAGCTCACACCCAGCGGGCTCCCAGTCGAACTTTCAAGGGCATGGTTAGCACTATCATGCTGCCTCGGCGGCTATATATCCATGTACGCTTACGGATTGGCAGAACTCTATGAAATCCTTTATAGCCGTCCATTTTGCTAACTCGGTGGCTTTTTTTGCGTCTGCGGTACCGGTAAACGTCGGCCAGAGCGTCAAGATCGCGACCAAAAGAGGAACTGCTACCATGATATGACTCCAGAAACCCGCTTCATATTCTTCAAAGCCGAGACCGTTTTGCACAAAGCTCCGACCCAAGTAGAGGCTCTCAGTTGGGCAAATAAGAAACCTATTGACAGCATGATGCGAGGAGAATTCAAGCTTGCCGCTGGCACCGACTCTTCTTGGCTTTGCGTTATAGGATGCACCTGACTCGGGCTACCTCCAGCAGCATCCGAAGACGAAATCGTCGCCATTATTCTAGCATATATCACGAAGTAGGAAGAGCAGTCCCAACGTACTGTGGATTAGAGTGACACATTTGGAATTGCAACAAACTGTGTCCTTGGATTGACTTTCTGAACTGTTGGCAGGCAGCCTTATGTACGACTGCGCCCCGCGTAATAAAATGCCTTGGCGCACGTAGGCATTCACTATTGGCTGCCTTCGCTATCTGCAGCTGCACTTCGCCATCTCAAGCCTTTCCACCGTATCACTACTACAATTGCGATGTTTGAGCAGGACTATGGAATTGACGCCGCTGAGACGCTTGAGTTAGCTATGCTGATCAAGAGGGGAATAGGTGTCCCGCTCTGTTCTTGAGCTTGTAGGTTCATCGCAGATTTTGCGATTAGATCTGAGAGTTTTCTGCCTTGGTACATGTACTCTGAGAAGATGTATGATTTAGAAGCCAGGAGTTAGCCTAGCCTATAGTGAACTCTTCAAACGGCCCTTATAACTTAATATCCGTTTTAGCAAACTATTTCCGACTTCTTACCTCCGACAACAGCGAAGCAAAATTTGTAGATCAGCGTTAAAAGCTGAAAAATTAAACAGTAAGCAAAGTTTCGTTCCCCGCTCGTGCACTATTTGCTGCCCATAGATAATAATCCATTATACGGCCCAATTCAGTTGCGCAGCGTGAGATCTATTGTCTTTTGAATCCGAGAGATTCGTAGGTTACCCCAAACATTTAAGCTATGTGGTAGAGTAGAGAAACGGGTTTAGCTAGTTATGTTCCTATCGCAGTGTCAGATTCTGTTACGGACGAGCGGATGCGCCAAGTTCAACGTCATCTGGGACAATAACAATCCATAACCCTGCTAACAAGCATCAGCTTCGTCAGCCGATCTCTAGTTGGTCTGCTCAACTGCCAATAATCGGAATTAAATCCCTTACAACATTATCTATGCCCTTTTGAAGTATTCCCACTCACGGTATTGAGGTTGTCCCTTGAACATCCGGCTCACCGTTCATCATATGCTTTTAGCCTACAGGCTAAAATGGATCGTCAATGCTTCAATTACCAATTAACCAAGGCGCACGAAAGGAAGACTGCTGCGGTGAGCTTTCTCCGCCAATTTCTACGTCTGAGGCTTTGTTACTTTTCGTACACGTAGCATTGCACTCATATTTTCGGTACAAGGCTAGATTAAGCTGCAAGATGATGATATATATGGGCTACTCTTTTAAAATCCTTGGCGGGGGAGATTGATGCTACACACAACTCTCGGAACGTTTGTGCCGCCGGTTAGACTAATATCCTTGTACATAGTAAAAAGAGGCGACCACTTGTGCATGCGGAGTATCATAGACGAGATTATCATTGGCTACAATTGATACAGGTCCAGGTCCCAGGTAAGCCATGATTTTTACGAACAGCTAGCAATGAGAACCATCAATGAGATTAGGCTATTTGTGTTGTCAAAGGCATTCAATTGAGATAGCCTCTCATATATGATCGCCATCACTATTATATACTGCTCTTGCTTCGCTTGAGTGGCCCATTTTTTGACGAAGGCTTATCCTCAGTCTGCTTACGTATGCAGCTTGCTAAATACAACAGTAACAGATCACACCATGCGGTTGATTCTCTTAATCTCTAACTTTGCCTTGGCGCTAAACGCTGCCTCACTACATCATAAATCCGACTTCAAATATCTTGTCACTTTTGGGGACAGCTACACCGATAATGGCCGGCTTAGCTACTATGGAGGCCATAATGATCAGCCACCACCTCCAGGAGTTATGCAACCAGAGACCAATGTCACTGCTAGTGGAGGTTTGACATGGGCACAATATGTTAAGAGCAGCACTGGTGCAACTCTTTATGACTACGCCATTTCTGGTGCTACTTGTGATAACAACAATGTGGCAAGATGGGCATCATTCCTCAATGCAAACTTTCCTTCAATTATCACCGATGAAATTCCATCATTCAAGAAAGATCGAAAGACGGCCTTATACCGTGGCGTAAATGCGGCAAACACCGTGTACGCTCTTTGGATAGGAACAAATGACCTCAGCTTTACTGGGATCCTCAGCGACTCTCAGGTGGCGGGAACTACTATTTCAACATATATTGACTGTATATGGGCGACATTTGATGCCATCTACGCAGAAGGCGGTCGACGCTTCGTGCTGCTTAATCTGAATGCTCTACAGCTGGTGGGATTATATCGTCCTCAGTCTGATGGAGGCGCAGGCGACAATCAATTTTGGCAAAACAAGACATTATATAACCAAACAGAGTACGCACAAAAAATTCTCGAATACACTACATCGTCAAACACCATTATAGACTATGGAGTTCCATTCTATCTGCTCGTTAAAAATCGCTGGCCGGGAGCGAAAATATCAGTATTCGACATCCATACCCTTCTTACTGACATCTACAACAACCCTAAGAATTATTTGGAGTCGCCGCACAATGTCAAGGGATTTTACCATCACTGCGATGTGAATGGTGCAAATTGTAAAGATGGACCAGGCTCGCTTGATTCTTATCTGTGGTATGTATTACAGTTCGCATTGAAGGATAGAAGCTAACATCGACAACAGGTATGATGAGCTTCATCCTTCAAATAAGACCGGTAAGTAAAACTATATCCTATATGGTGGTTACTCGAACAACAAATTTTTAGTGAAGATACAGACTAAAGATTTTCTAGACTCCATTATTGCCCAAGAATTTATTAAAGTTGTCGCTGGAGACTCTAAATTTGGAACGTCCTGGGGCCATTAATACACAGGCTATTGGCATAAGGGGAAATAGTGTTTTAGGTACTAGTAATAAATAATTGAAAGTTGTTATAATTCACTACGCTCATCTACCCATTTGCCTCTCACACCATGCTTAAGACATTGATTAATGAAATACGAGTACCTGGATTCGCTATATACATTTAATTACCAAATCTGGAGCTCTCTTTTATTTCTAATACTCCGCTAGTTGGTGTTTCAATCCCGCTCTCATCATCATTAGCCTTCTTCTTCCCAGTTAGCCCGTGATATACTAATTGCAGCTGCTTTCTACCATCGATAATAGGGTAAAAGCCAGCAATAAGCATAGTACACCAAACCCAAATGATTGCGATTACAATCCAGGCTACGAAAAATTCTTTACCGAAAATATATCTCGAGCCGTACATAGGAAGCGGCCTACTCGCAAATGGCTCATCAGTACAAAGAATTATGAGATGAAAAACGATTTAACTCAACTTACCAAAGTACCCAGTGGCCCAAAAATGTCGCAGCAGCCCAAAAAGCAGCGAATTTTCCCCATTTTGCAAATTTGGCTGCGTCTTCTGTGTAATCTGATACAGCAGCTACGGGAGATTTGGAATCAATACGCGATTGAAGTTTAGCGCTGCTTATTCTGGTAAATGATAGTTTCTCTTTTCGAAAGTCTGCCCAGTCATAATTGGCCGGTTTGGCGAGGGAAATGACGACGGAATAGAGACCAGGGCTGAATGCTGAGGCAACAGTTCCGTAAACGCATGGCAAAGTTTGGCCAGTAGATGCGACGGTGATTTCTCCGTATAGTGCATGTGCCGATCCTAACCAAACAGCTATGCCGGTAGCCATGCCAAGAAGCGGGGAGATGATGGCAGCAGCCCAAGATTGCCTTTTCCAGAGAATCGTGAATACCGTGGGGAAGATTCCAGGACATGTTAGGACTCCAAGCATATAAAGTGTCCAGCCGAGATTCACGTTTCCATAGTAGAGAGCAGTCGAGAAAGCGGCAGAAAACAAGCCGAAGAAGACGACACCAATGTGGCTCCAGCGAATCGCGTCTCTATCTGTCGCTGCTTTGTTAAAATACTGTCGATAAATATCGAAGCTGATGATGGACGATACGGAGATGACTTGAGCACTGATAGTTGATGTTACAGCCATGAAAGTAATCAGTAAAACGGCGACGGCACCTCCTTTTCCAGCGATGGCGTAGGCTGCATAAGGCATTACCAGCCCGTTAGAGACTTCATCAGCAGTCATTCTTCGGGGGTAGGTGGGAAAGCGTGCGGTATTTTCTAGACCAAGAGCCGAGAAACTCATGAGAGTGCCTAAGCACCAGGGGATTGCAAAGTACGCAATGCCACCAATGATGTATCCAGGAACCACCGCTTGGGGAGCAGCACTGAATGCCTTTGCAAAGAAGCCTGTATCCATGATGACGAGGCCAAAGTTGGCCAAGATATGGATGATGCCAAAAAAGATAGCCTGTATAGTATTGCATGAGTAAAGTATCGGCTTAGTGCGCCAATTGCCAGAAATGAACTTGCATTTTTGCTCGTCATAGTCAAATACGAGCCACCTTCATTACCGGGAACTGGGTGATCTTGACCGGCTTTGACGATGAGATCGAACAGACCTGCAGGAGAGCTTATCTCCGGAACAGTAAAGGTCTTGATTGTGAAAAAGCAGATAATGATTGTGATAACGAAGGTGTGAAAGTAATCGGTCAAGAAGGTTGCCTTGATACCACCGACGAAAGTGTAGAGAATAACGCCAACAGGAAGCAAAAACGTCGCCGCAATAATATGCATCCCGGTACTAAGTTTATCATTTATTAGCAAAATTTGAACTAATGTGATAAAGTGGTTACTTTGAAGCTATTCACTTACAGTGCTGTTATAGCTGCACTAGCTCCAAGCAGCATATTGGCGATAGCAATGATGTTGTTTATCAAGCATAGAGCAATCCACACAATATGTCCTGTCGTACCATATCGTATTCTCACAATTTCAAGTAGTGTGTGAGCTTCAGGAATACGCAACTTGCATGCTATCCCAAGCAGTGCAAAGAAAACAATCATAGGTGAGCATCTAATAATACTTTAATTAGTAACCCGCAATATGACTTGCTTCTCAGCACCGACATCTTACCCAGCAGCAAACCAAAATGGCCCCGCAACACCGAAGTTGTATCCCACAAGGGTGCTTCCCAACATGGCTGTGCTCCAAAGCCACGATGATATAACAGCTGAAGCTGTTAACCCCGTACCGACAGACCGATTCGCCGTCATGAACATTTCAGTTGTCCTGTTGTCCTCCCCAGCAGTCCTTTTTAGCAAATGGGTGGTAAATATCATGATAAAAGCAATCAAGAAGCCGACCGCAATTACTACGACATAGCCAGCTGCTTGTGGTAGAGGCGGGCTGACAACGTTGCCATTTGCTGCTCTTTCAAAATGAAGCATGGTATAAGTCGATTGCAGCGAGTCGCGCAATGTTTAGCAGTGAAATGAAACACATAGTCCGCAGGAATGAATTGCCCAATGCGTCCTCATATTTGATTTATGAATAAATATTTCTTCTTTTATCTAACTGTGCACCTTTTTTTCTTTTTTTCTGCCAATTAGCCACGACTTCCTAAAGCGCGACGTTTTAGATGTTGCATCATTTAGCTCCGATGGCGCGAGAACTTGCTGCTGGGATGTTCACATACTTAGCTTCATAACAGCGATCGACCGACGGCAGATAATTCGCAACCCCATATTTGGGAGACTTGGCAGCGCGAGATCGGAGTTGTATTGAGCTCTCACATGCTTATTGCTGGACATTACCCAGTAAGTTTAATAATATATGCTCAACTTTGTCTACTTAGCGCCCATTAGAGCCTTTGCGGTATGTCATTATCGATATTGCGCAATTTGAGCTCCATTGACGTCGTTTAATTCTGTAGCAGGCTGTAGCAGGCTGTAGCTAATTCTCCTAATGGCAATTTATGATCGTATGATATAATAAAGCACATCTAATTAGGCTGCTGCAGTGCCACTTTGGTGATACCATACATAAGCTGGAGCCCCGCGTTTTGAGATCATGCTCAGTCTAGGGCAGCCTTCTCAATAGCTTACAAGCGATAAGATTGAATATTTCAACATGGCAACTACCACTAGCCAAGTCAATGGCGCTCCCAAGAAGAAGCTTATCCTCAATGCTTTCGTTGAATCCTGCAGTGGTCATCAGTCTCCTGGACTTTGGCGGCACCCTCAAGATCGCTCTGCCGAGTTTAACGACATTTACCATTGGGTGGAGTTAGCTAAACTGCTAGAAAGCGCCCATTTTCACGGTATATTTATTGCAGACGTTCTGGTTAGACACCTGAGAAAGATTGAGATACTCTATAGCGGGACTAACTGCATGATTAGGGTCCCTATGATGTCTACAAAGGCCCCCGAAATCCAGATCCAGCAATTATTTCTGGAGCGCAATTACCCGTTAATGAGCCATTAGTTCTTATTCCAGCAATGGCAGCAGCTACTAGAAACATTGGATTTGGAGTTACTATTGCCACAACGTATGAGCAGCCATACCATCTTGCTCGCCGTCTGAGCACCGTCGATCATCTCTCTGGAGGTAGGGTCGGCTGGAACATTGTGACTGGCTATCTCGACTCTGCTGCAAGAAATTTGGGGCTCACGGAGCAGCCCCCTCATGATGAAAGATACGCCATTGCTGATGAATACGTTGATGCAGTGTATAAGCTATGGTGCGTATTACTAGACAATTTCCTTGAAAGAGAATTTTCTAACAAGTCGTGCAAATCTACAGGCAGTCCTCATGGAGAGATGATGCTGTAAAGCTTGATCGCCAGAAGGGTATCTACACGGATCCTGCTCTTGTTAGGCCCATCAATCATGTTGGAAAATACTATACCGTACCAGGGCCGCATGTCTGCCAACCGTCACCCCAGCGCACTCCCGTTATTATGCAAGCCGGGACTTCGAAGGCTGGCAAGGCTTTTTCAGCGAAAAATGCAGAGGCCATTTTTGTAGCTGGGCATAGCCCATCTGTCGTTGCCAAGAATATCGCCGATATTAGAGCCGCAGCAAAAGACGAGTATAACCGAGATCCTAGCACCATCAAGTTCCTAGCCATGTTCTGTCCTATCATTGGAAAGACACAGGAAGAAGCCGACGCAAAGTACCTCGACTACATCCAGTATGGCTCTGAAGACGGTGCTTTGGCATTGTTTGGTGGCTGGACCGGCATCGATCTAGCTCAGTACGGCGACGATCAAGAGCTGCGCCATGTCGAGTCCAATGCTATCCGATCCGCGGTGGAGGCCTGGTCCAAGGCTTCACCTCAGGTTCCAAAATGGACCAAGCGCGCTGTAGCGAAGCATATACAAGTCGGTGGCTTAGGGACTACAGTAATCGGCACTCCAGAAAAGGTAGCTGATGAAATGGAGCGATGGGTTAGAGAAGCTGATATTGATGGTTTCAACATTGCTTATGCTCTGTGGCCTCAAACCTTCCAGGATGTTATTGATTTACTTATTCCAGTACTGAAAGAAAGAGGGCTTTTCTGGGATGGATACGCTGTTGATGGAGGAACGTACCGGGAGAACCTCTACGGGAAGAAGGGAGTCGCTCGCCCGCCATCAGATCATCCCGCCGCAAAATATCACTGGAAAGCTTGAATTTGGCGCGATATATAATAATATCCAAGTTTTTACATTTGATTTGCTCAATTACACAAATGTTACGTGCATTAAAAGGCTCCTTACGTCGCGCCGCTCAATGCTCACTCTGTTTAATAGATAATGTCTGGAGTGATAATCGATATTCTTCATTGATGTACGTTCACAAAGAAATCCAGTATTCAGCTCTAATAATGTCAATCCAAATTTCTTACTCTACACGCCATAACTATTTAAAACTTGTGGTTCGCCATTCAATAGGTGCGAGTAACTAGACTTGTTATGCTGTCACTATGCGCAGGGACGTAATGTAAGTTCTTTACGCTAAGATATGTAAAAAGATATGTCCAAATATCAGCCTAATAAGTTTTCAAATCCCAATATATTCCTAGAGAAGGCTTCAATTTTGGTGGTATCCCTCATCTCTATGTCTGGGGCACTGGATTCGAGAAGTAGTTTGGCCTCCGTAATTCGTTTTAGGATTCGCACATCTGATACCTGACGAGCCCGCAGAGGCGCATCGAAGTAGGCCTGATCTCGTAATATTGCATGATTGAGGACAGCCACGGTAATGAATTGTAGTGATCATATAAGTACACATTCTAAGTGCAGTTCGTACATGAAGTCGGTGTAATAGCTCCAACAGTACTCCTTGAAGCAAACATACGGTAAAGCTTAACTTTGAGGGTCTAAATGAACGCCCAATTGGAAATAGGTGTTATTGCCGGGGATGAGGTTTGTAATGATAAAAGAATGAGAAGGTAAATGTGAGGTGGCGAGTTGGGCGCTTTTGTTGAAGGCAGGAACATGGTAGATTTTTATTTGCAAGTAGTACCGTACGTCCAACCGACCTAAGATCCATTTGCGTCTTGTGTCACTGAGGCGGCAGGGCTTTAGTGGTCAAAGGACCATTGGTATTTGCGCAACATGAGAGTTGTTGGGGAAACTCGAAGCTCAACGTGGCATGATTCGTTAACGGTGTACGCCGTATCACAAATCGAATAAGCATACAGTGGCGTGCCAACGAATCATTGTGCCTAGTTTAGAATTTAGGAACATGATAGAAGTCAGCATTGTAAAGTCGCAATCAAAACCCCGCGTTGTGTAGCTCAGCTCAGCTAAGGAACGCCCGCATTTTGTTTAGAATGCACAACAAAACTTTGGTGTGGCCGAATACTCGACATTGATGCCCTGTGTGCGACTGCATTCACCCGTTGCCCCCGCCTGTACTCATTTCGCCTTCACTACCTAGCTTTCACCAACATTGTTTATTTCACAATGCATTTGTGCCGACAATCAGTATTAAACGATTTCTGCAACCAAATCAATATCTATGTTTCTGCCGCCGGTTGACCATTATACTGGATCTCTTGAGTAAGTCAGCCTACTCCATGTTAGAAGCAAGCTAAGGTGGAACAGCCATGGCAGTCGATGAGCCACCCGTTCCTGACGAATTCTTTCTGTCTCCTGAAACGCGTATCATCCAAGCCAAAGGTGAATTCGTGGCTGCTGGTATAACTTCACTAGTGGAGCGATTGCCAAACGGCGATATTATCAAGACACCATGGGACGATTCTGCCCGAGGGGATTGTGTGCAAGACCTAATCACCGAGGCGAAGATCTATCAAAGATTGGGCGAACATCCGCGGCTGGTGAAGCTTCGAAATTGGGACTCTGTGCAACACACAATGACAATGGAGTATATGCCACATGGCACGCTGCAGCAGTACATCGAAAACCATTATAAAGATATTTCACGATCCCTACAGCTCCAATGGGCTCGACAGGCAGCTGAAGGCCTGCAACTTCTCCACGCATCCGACATTCTTCACTGCGATGTTGGTCCACATAACTTCCTGTTGGACGCATCACTTGATTTAAAAATTGCCGACTTCAGTGGTTCATCAGTAAACGGCTCCTGCGCCTCTGTCTGTCCCAGATCCCGGTACCGAGCTCCTGATCCCGATTGGTGCCCAGGCAAGCCGCCAAGGTTAAGAGAAGATTTATTTGCTCTTGGCTCTGTTTTTTACTTTATTTTCACCGGCAACGCACCATTCCATGATCTTGAGGAGGACGATGTTGAAAGAAATTACGAGGCTGGCATTTTTCCTGATTTGTCGGAGGTTCTGTGCTCCGATGTTATCACTCTGTGCTGGCAGCAGCGCGCTGGTTCCACACAACAGTTATATGAGACTATCGAACGACTCTGTGTCTCGGAAAATATGTAGGGAAGGTACTACAAAATCAGGCCGATTTAGCCAAGCCTATAGCATTTCATTAGTAAGGATAAAGGGCACAAGAACAGCCGACGATATGCAGGTCCCATACTACATCATGTGCATAGAACAGGATGAGACATGAACAATCACTGGATATTCACGAACAGACAAAGGAACAAATAACGTGTAAAGTTTGAGTTGGTGCAGTCATTGACGCTCTCATTAACATGGCGTGAGAGATCGACAAAGACTTATAGAATATAACCCAATATGTACAACATATAGATATAGATGAGCTATTTTGAATTGTTTTTCTTCTAAACTATATTCACCAGTCTCAGCAGAGGTTGTGCAAAAGTAAAACGTAGCTTATACTGGCGGCAGTGGTGGCAGATACCCCACTTTGCCATCACGCAAGTTGGAGTCTAATTATAGAGAGTGGAAACGCTTTCACGAAGTTATATATTTGCTATTAACTGGATGACTTTGGACATTTGATAGTAAAGGTACGGTGTATAAATGCTTTCTTTAACCCAGACGCAATTTAAACAAGAATAATTGCCTGTCTAACATAAACGCGACCGAGGTAAGGAGATGGAAAAGAAGTAGAACTGGGTTATGTTGAGGCAAAATCGGTGTGCCCTCAAAGATTAATATGTCGATCAAGTATTGTATCTACTTATATCCTGTAGATGAAAACCCACAGCTATTGAATATTTAATAATTCAACATAGGCTAAGATCAAACTCGTGTCAGTCTCCCTAAATCTCTGCGCCCGTTCGCCCATTCCTACCTGGGGCCCTTTTTGCCTTCAGGGAATCTCGAGCAGCATTTCGCGTGAAGAGTCCAGCTGTTATGAAAGCCAGTACACTAATCAACTCTGGGATCAGAGATAAGATGACACGGATTGTGAGAGAGCCTGTTAGAAGGCTCAGAGACTTGTCTTGTGTGACCAGCGCAACGAGGGCATAGATGACCCTAATGCCACTAAAAACATTCGATACAAGAACAGACCAGAGAAGCTATTTTGGTTACGTCAACTGAAGGAATTCCGTATTCATTCATGAGGAATACTTACTTTAGTTCCTGCAGCAGTAGCCGATTTTGACTTTGAACAAGTTGCAGGACGAGCAAGTGTCCATACTGATACAATAGCAATAATCGCCCAAGAGAGCGTCAATAGAGCTATACCAACTTTCACCAAAGAAGCATTCGTGGAAGCATCTGAAGATTTGGCGTCACTAGAATCCAGATTTGAAGCACCAACAGCCAGAAGAGCAACCCCGGTAGTAACAATCCCATGAAATACTAGCACAGCGGCCCATTTCATCTTCTTAGACAATGGGTCACTATAATAAGCCCTCCTATTAATATCCATTAGCATATATTCATGAAGAACTGCAATATTTTCTAGATAGTGGAATATTACGCTTCTTGTAGAATGCCAGACGCAGCAAGGAGAAGAGGAGATAAGCCAACGCTTGATATAATGCCTGCTGAAGTACTGCCAGACAGATCCATAGCACCCCCAACGATACGAAGCGTACAGAATGCGAGGAGGTAAGCCCATCCAAGCAACCCAGAGCGACCATGTTTTAACAGGATGTATATATTTGGGATGCTGAGAGTAGCATAGATGGCTAGCTCGGCGGTAGATGTCGCTGTCATAGTGCGTCACTTATGCTCTTTCCTTCTAAGTGTCTTCAAGCGTTTCGCCAAAATGTATTGATTTCGATTCCGATTGATATTGAACGATGGTTTGGCAATTATATGTTGGCTTCTGTCACTCCCGTCGCTAAAGGATGTGAAGTCTGCGTCTTCCAGAGGGACAATCGTGGCTAACGCGAAGGACAAGGAGAATAAAAACTAATAGATAGGATCGCAAAAAGCTACCCAGAATGTTCGATTGAGATAAATAAGAGATAGAGAGAGAGAGAGAGAGAGAGAGAGAGAGAGAGAGAGAGAAAGGTGACAGTAGGCCACTGATGCTTATATGTGCAAGCGGTGATTTGTTGCAACTCGAAGAGAGTCGTAAGGGCATGAAGGCAACTCCGTCCCTCCAGCGTCCAAGCCCTTAAGTACCGCATCTCTTTTGAGGCCTCCAGTTGTTCAACTGACATTATCTCCATCATCGACGAAATTTTTTTCTGTAGGAATAGGATCTACTCAAAAGCTTTAATTTCATTGGCAAAGGATGGCGGTCCACGACGAAACCAACCAGAGGCGCAGGCATCTAAAAAGTGGGACCTAAACGATACCGAGGAGCGAGACCGAAGAAAGAGCAAGGGTAAGAAATGGCGGCAAGTTTTAGACCAGCGCGAGAAGTGATACTGCTTCGATGGGAAGCGTGACTAGAGAGAGTCACGATTATCTAGTTGATTCATCATCTATATGCAACGCAGTTCGTGCTCGATAATCCAATTATTAATAGGGTAGATCCATCCGAGCCAAAGCCAGCCAAAGGGCAAGGCAATAATACATCCACCGTTGAATGGTACTAGGAATTAGCTGTTTTCTTGTCTTCTTCATCCTCAAACCCCAGCCAGGTTAATGCGATGGCACGTTTCGTCCACAACATCACTTCTCATTGCCGCGCACGATGGATGGTTTATCGTGATCGCGGAGTACTTGCAGCGGCCACTCCATCATGCCTTGCCACTCGCTGCTAAGATTGGAGTTGATGGCTTCAATCTCCTTTTTCGGACAATTACCTATCCACCACAGCCCGTCGAGGGGGCATAGTAAAGCGAAATAGTGAGCTAGGATAACCATAGCACGTGGACTGAGCATATCGATCAAGGTGAGGAAACGGCTGTGCAGGATGATGGGGAAAATTGTAAGTCTTCGAGCAGTTATCAGAGGCGGTTCTCCAGCTTCCTTTGCAGCCGCGACCGACCCGATGTACGCAACTGCTCTAATGTATGCCTCATTATCAACGCCATCCTGGGATTCATCGGCATTTTTTGGCAGTAAGTGAGCAAACCGCGCACGGCTAGCTTCCGAGTAGATAATCTCCGGATCAATGAAAGCAGCAGCTCCCTTGGCCATGATACTGAGAGATGAATCAGAGTCTTCGCCGATCATATCTAGTCCGAGAGCAGCAACCTTTCGGGCTCCCCTACACATCTGTAGCCATTCCGTCGGTGGCTTATACGGCATACTATGGTGGATCGGTTGAATCCAACGCTCTCTGAGGCTTGCGAAAGCATCGAATATAAGAATAATGGAGGTGAAGCTGGCCCCATTAGCAGTGCGATGATCCATAGAGCCAAGTGCCTTGCGGTGGTGCCGTAGGGTAGCCTCGAAATATCTTGCTCTATATGCAAATAGCTCGTCCTCTGCAATGCCGACCCGAGAGTTGCTGAAGACCATATACAAGAGAGAGATTGAGAAAATTGCAGTGAGAAGAGGTTCATAGTCAAGAGCAATCTTGGGAACATCAATAGACCAGATTTTGAGATTTTGAGGGTCATAGCCTCCTGGGAGCGTCTCACAGACCTCGGTGGTCCACATGTGAAGCAGCCGGAGTTCTAGATAGCGGCGGTCACGACTTTCTGCTGATATTAAAGGCGTCAACTCTTCCGTGTGTACGTCATTGTGGGCAGCGGCTTGGCCCGCTGCTGTCCCTGCCCGGTGTAATACTGGATCGGGAACATGAGTGACATTTGGTTTCAAAGACATAGCGCGGTCTATTCTGTCGTAAAGACAATCTACTTCATGGCGGGCACAGCAACCCTGGGCCGCATTGTCAGAGCTTCTTGCACACATATATCGAATAGAAATTGGGGCATGTACGAACACATTTTGGTTTGGCTTCATCACACTGTACTTGTGCAAGAGATCTTGGTCAGTTATTATTAGATCAACGTTGAAAAGCAAGCTGAAAACGCATGAGGCTACGCTACCTTGACGCGGCGAGCTCTACATCGAGCACAGCCAGTCTTAGATTTAGTATGATAAAGCCGAGGCATGGCGAGGATACGTGTATGTATCCCGTGAGACTTCCATTAAAACTCTGTAACAAACAACTACAGATAGTCTTTATGAATTCCTGTAACTTTGCGCCTCCTACTCAAGTAAAAGTACAGCAACAGGACCCAAGTACTACCGACTTGGAGATTTTTCGATGAGTGTAGCCGGTTATAAGCGAGGCATCTTCAGAAATTCGCAGCAGTGGCGCTTTAAATCACGTGGGCTGCCTGAGAGACGGCCCAGGCTTGTTTGGACGGTACCTTATTCAAGCATGAAAAAAGACAACATTGAAGCTATTGAAACATAAATGCCTTCGCCGTCAATGGCCACGTCTGTCTATCTTCATTGAATACTCTATACCTCATAATGGGCTTCGAAATAGATGGTCAAGGTTCTCGTTGCTGTACTGCAGTCGACCATAGGTGTAGGCACCCTCGCCTTGAGGTACTGGTTTAGTACAAAGTCATGAAGTGTCGCCGCACCCTATACTTTTAATTTTAATATATCTTCTATTTATATTGCTACCCCTACTCTAATTGAGCAAATCACGTATGTATTGTTTCATTAGTACACTGTTCACTAACTACACGCTTTATTTATAATTGTAAGCATATATCTTACTTTACAACAAGTCAACAATATTTCTAGCATACATACTCAAACACAACTTTAAACCACAGCCAAGTGTTAAGAATTCTATTAGTCTTGTTTAATAGCTCACAAATGCCCCTATAGCCCATCGCTAAGAATATGAGTTGTCGAGCCATCTGTCTGGGGCGTATTGGTATCCACATCGACGTCTGAGGCACAAAAGCAGCTTGCTACTTTCAAAATGGCATCTTTGTATTGCTCCGCCTCTTCTGCACCCCAAGAGGCCGAAGCTTTACTCAACTCTATGAGAAGAGGCATGAGACGCTCCATACGACTACGTTTCTGTGCCCAGTGAATAACTGAGTCGTAACGAAATGTTTCTGTGTAATACTGAAGGATCACTAACGAAATTAGAATCGTACGTAAACCCGTAGAATGTCAGATTAACCTACTCGAGTCAATGTCTTTGAAGCCAGCTTCCAATGTGTTTAGTAAGATATGAGTGAATCGTTCTTCTAATGGCCTTTCATTTGATGGACAGACCGGGTCATGCTCTCGGGTATGTTTTTGAGGTAAAGGAGCGTCAGGGTCATTATATGGCCTAAATAAAGGTTGGAATTGCCAATCTATGCCCGAATCTCTGTTATCTGTTGTAGTGCAGTTACTGTTATTGCCGAGTCTGCCTCCAATTGCCTTGATGCTAGCATTGGACCGTATTTCACGTAAACCGTCAGAATCTGGCCTGACTGTAGCAGATTTCAGTCGTACTATAGGCTCTTCGGAAAAGTTGGTTCTGCTGTACGTAATGTTTGAAGGCACTACTGGGTTTGGTAGCTGGGAGAGTAGGAATGAAGACATGGATGGAGCGCTGCTACAACTTGAGGTGCTGGGAGCCGGAGTATATGGTTCGATGTCTACATATGGTAAGCTATGTATACGTAACGTGGGAAAGCGTAAAGGCATATTCATATCCTACCTTGAAAATCTGCGCCAAGGAAATTCTCACGAGGCCTGTTATTAGGGTCATAGCTGCTGATCCAGGACGAACTCAGTCCGGCTAAATTTCCCAAAGCATCACGTCTCAATTGAAATGGTTGCTCTAATTGAGAAGGTGGTGTTGAGATTTTATTTTCATTCATGACTTTCTCGTAGGCATTGCGTTCATTCGTTTCTTTTGGTGTGGTTTGAATGGGGAAGACATGGTAACCTTGCTGAGCTTCTCCGGGGCGTATGATATCCTATTTCGACAATTAAAAATTGGACCACACTAAATGAATGTCGGTATATGATGGCACATACTTCTAAATTTAATCCTAAAATGGCATGAGATCTTGCAGTCTCGCGCTCCAAGTCTTCGATGCGATGTTTTAACCTTCGACCTGTATTGAACCATGTTTAATGCCTTTTCAGTATGAATATCAAGCCTCTTGGTATCAACAACGTACGGTAATTTCTTTGCGAAACTCGATTTTGGACTCGCTTTCTCTCTTGGGGATCGGTGATATTGATCCACTCCTCCTCTCCTTCCCTTCGGTAATGATATATGTTAGTCGTACCTCTATAGCCCCCCCACTTCAGAATGGAGGCCATATCCATGACATACCTAGACAATAGCCTATCATTCTTTTGTTCGCGACTCATTGTCAACTTCTTTAGTGAAGCCTTGAAGCGTACGGATTGTTACAGCCCAGATTGGAATTTTACTGTGCAAAGATAAAGTAATAATTTTTTATTTTATTTTAAAAAAGGAAAGAAAAACATATTTTGTACTAAGTGCGGCACAAGGATCTAGGAAATGGGCTGTGGTGTAACGGGCAAACCGATACGCAGCCCGTAAGAATACGATATCACATGCGGAGTACATTACTGGTGTGTCACAGATTTAGGTGTACGGGTTCTACCATTTAAGTGAACTCATCCGGATTCGCCTCCTACTGGTATGTAGATCCTAACCGTCACTTGGAGGCTCAACGTCCGACACCATCCTAGCGTATCCCAGGTCAGGCTGGATTCTAACAAAAAAGAGATCTTTTGGACCGCACCAGATGTCTCAGATAAGGAATTCAAAGCTAAGACAGAGTTGTAGTAAAAGGATTTGGTGGTCAGCAACTACATGCCAATGATGAACGAAATCAGTGAATAGCCCGCGCGGAGTGTGAAATTGAAGATAAATTATATATATGTAATCGAGTCTGTATCTGAATCCTTTAATTCTGCAGCATAGTAACATCGCTCAGCTTGGTGGCCCAGCGAATAAGTCACGGCGTAATTTTTATTTAAATTTCGGGCCTACTGCCTTCAGGCTCTGAGACATGTACATGCAGCAATTATTACCATGATGCTGAAGCCGGGCCATGTCACCAAAACTGTAACGCAGTCGACCAGTCAGCAGAGGGCGAAGGATCTGTCAAATGCATGTTGGTAGATAAAAAGCGCGTTCAATATCAGTGCTTTATTCTGACATAATATGGAGGGGATGTGATCTTAAGTATGAGACATAAACAATTTGGCCCCGCAGGTTTTACTCGATTCATGTAGTTGGCCGTAATTCGGCCACTCGATTACATAGCAAAAGGTATAACTTATAAATTTTGTTTAGTGTGTATCACTTCGTACTATTGAATCCATTGGTCCTTACGTGCCGCTGCCTTCTTGATTAACGATGCTTTAATTACCCCAGGTGGGCAAGGTAGGCACAGGTGTAAGTAATCGAGAGAGTTATGCCTTTCTTCCGAAAGTCGAATATGAGGTTCAGAGCCTGCATGACCAACAGGCACACTAACTCGGCACATATCTCCGACCTGCTGTCCACTTATCTACCTAGGCCTATTGCGCCCCTAGTCAGGAAAGGCTCCAGAGATTGGCTTCTCCGGTTGTTAGCTCAGGTTCAATCAGATCTCCCCTGTTCATCCAAATATGTAGTAGAGTTACGGCTAATTGCGCTCCTGCTGCTATTACTATTTTCACAAACCATTTGATCTCAATACATTGATTCAATATTGACTGCACACTCTGCTTTGTATCTGCATCCCTCATCGTCACTTGACCCTCCATCCTTCTAAAGGTATCAGTCTCGCCATAACTCCATCTTTTGGCGTCGCCGAAATGGACCTATTAATCTCCAGTTTTTTATCAGGATCCTCAAGCTCCACCCTAAACCTACCCACCAACACGGCAACCAGGCAGAGCAGTTCCGACTTGGCAAAAGATTGTCCGATACACCCCCTGGGGCCAGCCAAGAACGTCAGGTTTGCCAAGTTGCTATCCGCGCCGCCGCTATTGGCTCGACCGTCGCCAAGCCATCGATCAGGGCTGAATTCTTCGGCATCGGATCCCCAACGATCTTTATCAAGGTTTGTAGCTCCAGGTAGGATTAGCAGCGAAGTACCTTTGGGGATGAAAATCCCCGCCAGGGATGTGTCGATGTTCGCTTCCCGCACAGTCGAAGGCACCGGGGGATAGAATCGCAAGACTTCGTTGCAAAAGGCATTCAGGTAGCTTAGCGAATCGACTTGAGCTGCTATTATGTTAGAAGACGAGGCAAGGTGCGTGCGAATTTCCTCGCGCAACAGAGTCTGCATTTCTGCATGCTTGCCGAGTGCATAAACTGCCCATTGCAGTGAAGCTGCCACTGTCTCATGGCCCGCTACAAGCATAGTTATCATCTGGTCAACCATATTTTCGTCCGAAAAAGCACCACTAGCCATAGCGAGAGATGCAATGTCTTTCTCTTGGGCATCATCTTCAACTCCTTGGGACGTCTCTTTCTTATCCTCCACAATCTGACGCGCATACGCTCTAATATAATTGGCCGCCGCCATGGATTCACGGTTCCACTTTGTCGGCAGTCGAAAGAACGCCTTGAAGCCGATGGTGAGCATGGATATTAAGATGAGTATCCTTGTCCAGGTAGACGGCCTCATTCTCAGTTTATCATACTGTCGGTGAAACTCGGTTGCAGGATCGTGAACCGCGTTGAAATCCCGTCCTATAGCTGCGAGACCGATCATGTCTAGCGTGACTCTGCCTGCCCAATCGCTGATCTGGACCACTGTACCATTTGACCTAATTGGCTTTTGCTTCTCAATCGCGTCGGCCATTTCAACCGCCTTCTCCCAGAAAATTGGATAGAGGTTCTTTATATGGCGATACGAAAAACTGGGGAGAAGGCCTCTGCGTTGCAACTAGCATGACATCGTCAGCTTCATATAACTTTTCATGGGAGATTATTGTATTAGTAAATAGGCAAAGAACCGAGTACCTTGTGCTCGTCACCCTCTGCGAGAAGAATACCATTCCCCGTGAAGCGCAAAAGCTTTAGTCTCAGCGACTCTGGCTTCGGAAACTCATACACTTTGGTAACCAAGATTTCATTGAGAGCCTTGGGTCCCACAACCAGAATTCTTTCAAGATTCCCTGCCATGTAGTATCGCAATAGGCCCTTGTTTGGGATTGTCTTTGTCCACTCTCGAATTCGATCAGTTTCCAAGACCATTGATGTCGAGTTTCCTCTAAACCATGACCTCCCCTACGTCAGAGAATTCGCAGTCAGGAACATTGTGTTATGCTCATTATCAGAAATGATTAAAAAATTTCAGATTCAATTACCTCCGGCGTTGGAATATGTCTCAACGGAGAGAAGTATTCGGGGTATAAAATGCATCGGTAGATGAACTGGCAGAACACTGAAATCGCGACTAACGCCGCAGTCGTCCAAAAGTAGGATTGCTTGATAGAATATTCGGGAGCAAGCCGGATAGAGAACACTGCAGTACCCATAGCCATAATGGTCCACGGTGCCATTTTTAATCAGCCATCCAGCGTCTGGTTATTTATGAGGCCCGGGTCAATACTAATAAGGAGAATACAGAATATAGGAGGATATACATACATGATAAGATATATATTAGACAGCAATTTACAGAAGCCTTCATTCGAACCACTCTGGATTGAAAGCTTTACTGGGGGTTGAACATAATTGAAGAACTTGATCGGGACACCATGCCGTATCACATCCCCAAAGATTATCGTAAATTCATTCGGTAGCTGTACATAAAATAGAATGCCGCTATCTTTGTCAAATTTCCAAGACATATTCCCAAATGATAGGTAACGAGGCGCATAAGTCCCTTCCTCCACTGTACTAGAGTGGAATTACGGCTGACTACAGCTTTAGTCAGGCTATACCACTGTCTATGATGGCAGGATTTGAATCATATTTGCTTAGTTAATGCTTTACTGTCAATATAACAAGTCACAGAAAGGAAGTAAGTCTTAGTCAGTGTATTGTTTCATTAACTAGTGTAGACGCATATACTGCTGATCTGAGTTAGTGGCCTTCTCGAAGCCTAGAACGGAAAGTCCAGGACCCAAGAGTATCTCATAAGTCTTTAATATAGGTAACTACTTGAGCTAGATAATCTAACGATAAACATAAACTTCAACTTGCGAACATAATAGCCAAGCCCATGGCCAAGTCTGGTAACCGCCTGAAAATATAGCATACGCAAAAGAAAAACTCTTAATTCTTTTTTACATCTTAAACCAAGGTGGAACTGCAACAAGACTCATACGAGATTTAGAATTTGCAGCTAAGAATGATGCGCATTTCGCCTGAGTTAATGATGTCCCAGGAGAAGGTATTGCCCAAGGGAGAGGCGTCTGTGACCTCGAGTCCCGACCCTGAAAGCGCAGAAGTCTGTAGATTCGAGTCTCAGGTACCTAGGGCAGAAACGCCTATGACAGAAGTGGATTCAGACTCGTACATGAGTTCCTCAAAGTTAGACTTCGTGGAAACTGCAAACGACTTAACGCCGTCTACCGTTCCCTTGACCAAGCTTCCTCTCTTTCAGCCTAGGTTATCGATCACAAGGGAGGAAGCCTTCGAAATATCTTACCAAAGAGCCCAAGTCTTGAATAGACACTATAGTGAGTATAGATTGTGCGCAATTTTCTCGAATAAAAGCGACGCTGATTCTTTGAAAGGACTTACAATTGAGGATATCATCAACCTCACGCCTAGATTTTTTGATATGCACAGAGACGATATCATTATTAGAGATATCGGGTCACACGCTCTGCTGTCGATCCAGCATAACTTAGCGGCGGGAACTTTGGCACCTTATGCAAAGGAATCCCCACAAGTGGAGCAATTGCTAGAAAGGGTTCTGAAGTTTGAAGTCTCGTAAGTATTTTCTACCAATATATATCAATCACCATTGCCCTTCCGTCTTCAGATCTTGCTACTTTCAATATCTATCTAATACGGTAAAAATCAACAGAGCAGCTTTCATGCTGACGGAAGTCGGCCATGGCCTGGATGCGAAGAATCTGGAAACTGAAGTAAGATTGCAGCCGGATGGTAGCTTCATCCTGCATACCCCTCGGCCTGATGCTGCCAAGTAAGAAGATACCTTTCACTATCCAGGGCCTCCTAATGGCTAATGACTTGATAGGTTTGTGCCGCCATCAATGCCTATAGCAGGGCTTCCACGTATTGCGGTTGTAATGGCGAAACTCATGGTCAATGGTGAGGATTTTGGTATTCGCCCTGTCGTAGTTGCGTTGAGTGATGGATTCCAAATGTGTAAAGGAGTGACCTCACGGTATGCACTCGTTCCTGGATTCTCCAGTCAAAGAAGTTGGAGAAATAGGGTTGAAATACTAACAGTAATCTCAGCTTAATGCCATACATGGGAGGAATTCAGTCACCATACGCCATCACGTCCTTTGATCAGGTTGCTCTGCCACCGACTGCTGTGCTTGGAAGCATGGAGAAACCAGCAGATATGCGCGCCAACTTCTTTCACCAGATCAGCCGTGTCGCTCCAGGAACCCTCGCAATGAGCATGATTATGATTCCTGCGCTCAGGATCGTCACATATATAACAGGCAAATACAGCCTACGTCGCACAGTCGGGGTAGCTAACAAAGAGAGGATCCCAATCATCACCTTCCGCACGCAGCATCAGCCGATTTTGCTTGCATTAGCACAGCTTGCCGTTATGACGCCATTCGCGGATCAATGCATCAAGTGGTTTAAAGACACTACTTCTTTTTCGCCCGAGGTCCGACATGGATTCGCAGTGATCCTCAAAGCTGTATTTATCCAGATGGCTCAGCGCAGCATTCCCGAGTTGGTTGAGCGATGCGGCGCGCAAGGTCTTTTTCAACACAATCAGATATGCGATGCAGATGTGAGTTTTGAATAGATTGATCAGAATGAGTTTAAATAAGAATAATCGCTGACAATAAAAAATAGAACATGGTACGAGCATGCGCTATTTCAGAAGGTGACGCATTGGTTGTTAGTATCCGTAAGTTCAATCGTAGCCTCACAAATTCAACAACATGATTCCTCGTCTAATATATAAGCAATTATAGGTCTCGCGGTGGAACTGTGTCTAGGCAAATACGAGATGCCCAAAGCAACGATGCCCGACTGCCTCTTGGCAAAATATGAAGCTGGTCTAGCCGATGATGCCTGGGAAACCGTGAGCTCTATTCCCGACGACGAGCGTTGGCGAGAATTCAATCGCCTCTTGATACCACGCTGCAGGCCCATTGTTCAGGGCATTGGCCATCGTATGGTATACGAGACTGCAGTTTCGGCCGGCGTTGATGCTGACCTTCTCGCACTATACGAGCTTGGCGCCATCAAAGAGAATTTGGATTGGTACATTGAAAAAGGGTTACTTACAAGGGCAAAATTCCGCCACATGGAAAACAAAGCACTGGATTCACTTGAGCCGCGCTTGGGTGATCTTTTAGATCAGCTCAATATGGATGAATATGTGACGGCTCCTATCATTGAGCAATCCATGTTTGATGAGTTTGTACAAAGCTTGCCCAAGTTTACCGGAAATGCTGAGTTTCCTCTTCTTGTTTCTTAATGCTAAGTGCCAGATATGATATATATTACATAGAAGCTAGCCCCGTTTTTATACTTCATTTTCTCTATGACATTAACGCCATTTCCCTAAAAGTAAGGTCCTGTACAAGAAGTGATATGAAGAAAGGGCCCCGGTAGCACTGTAAACTCATGTACATATAGATAATTATTATTCCTAAATAGCTCATTAGCAGTTTTGAAATCCTAAAACAATTCCACATTCTACCCAGATGAATACGCACATAGAGAGATATCAAATGCCGTCGTAAAGCTCCAGACAGATCTAATCATAACCTACCTTAGGGCCGATAGCTTATGTTTGTAAGCTTAGGCTATCGCTTACCCCAACTAGCTCTCACAGGGCTATAATTAATTTCTAGCAATGTTCAACATATGTTAATAGGCGTCTTCTTCTCTACTTTGGATAGTTTATCTAGGAAAATAAATTAGAGTAAAGCCCCGATGTCCATAACCAGTATGACAGTGCAACAAGCATCACTGCCGGAACAAACAATTTTCTTAAAATTACACGCAGCAAAATCCACAGGCGTCGGCGACGCCCGGCAAGGAAATCGTTCTTATTGTTGACGTTTGGAAAGGGCACATGAGGGATATCCTTGCCGAGGAAATTGCATAATGGCTCCCATCCCTCCGCGACATTGAAGTTTAATACTCGCCCCGGAGGCACTATCTCGTTTATGCGTTTATAGTGATCGAGGTATGCCTGCCGTTCTCCATTAGGCGCTAGAATGGGTCGCAGAGAATGTTGATACTTGTGATATTTCCACCAGGGTCCAATGACAACCTAAAGGCGTACCATTGCTGTTAGCGCATATGACGTCTGAGAAGGGAAAGACAAATAACGTGTACAAACTTACTGAATCCCAGGAGGCCAGCCAGTCAAAGGCCTTCCATTTCACTGCTGCGTCGACAGACTCCTTCATCGAGCGCTGCCACTTATCGACATCACGGGTGGTGAGAATTATCTTGGCATTGGGATAAGCCTTGATGAGCTCATCTGCCAATAGTGATCCAGGCATGTTGCACGAAACGTTCCATTTACCCATAAACAACTTGTCGAATTCTTTACGGCCGTATGGTTCAGTAGTCTTTTCATATTTGGCCTGTAATGCCTCTGTGTATAAGGGTAATTGATATGGATATTGATCCATCATGCTCGCGTGAAACGGCTTGTAGCCTAGGATTTTGAACGCCGAGAGTATTGCTAACATACAAAGTAGTCAGAGGACTGAAGTTCAATGAGAAAGGGCTTGGTAAGACGAATATCAAGCTCACATAGTGTTCCAGTTCGAGGCATTCCCAACACGAGAACCTCCATCTCGACGCCACCTTTTGGCGCCTCTGGCTTCTGATCGATTAGTCGTGCTGTTGGGACGCCCATTGTGCGATAATTTTCTATGGTTTAAGATAAAGAACAAAATAACAGCAGCAATATTGATGGATTGGCGGCAGCGAAAACGCTTGGTCTTCGTGGGAGAGCTCGGACGTAGAACTAGGACGTAGAATATTGCTGGCTATTCTGCGTGAACCTCCGTGGCTAAAATGATTCAGTTTATGAATGGCTACTCATATCACGCTACATACTACGAGGCGGAAATAAGAGGAAATATGTTCCGTAACCCTCAATCAAAGCTAGGAGCTTCATAGCAGCAATTAACAAGAGCCTAGTGTAATAAGCTCTTCCGTTAGGCCTACCGTTATCATATCGAGCTCTGTGGTCTGACACACGGTGCATATGAGCTACTACTAAAGTGTACGTAAGGCTGTGTTCATCTTGGATAAGTCTACTGTCAGATATGTGGCGTCTAGAATCAAGCCCTCCTTCTTTCAGATAGGATTTCGGGCATTGAGCCGAGTCGGAGTTGTAATTTCTCATGCCGCCGGTGATAAATCGCCGAATAGACCAATCAGATATTGGAGAAAGGCCGGAGACTGCAAATGAGTTGGATGATGATGCGAGTCATACTAAAGCTTGCAAGTAGCATTACCTTGTTGAAATGATGCCTATAGGATCAAATCATCTATCCTTGCGCCACGCCTGGTGGGTTGCAATTAGGCAGCCTGACTAACGACCGGGATCGACTCGGGTTCGGCGGGGGCCGGATTGGCATCTCAAGTTAATCATACGGCGGGCGTGTTTCTAGAACATGCTATTGCCGTTGGTTGGATGATTGGCTGGGCGAGAAGCAATTGAAGATAGGAAGAATGATACAATGTACAAGCAAAGTACGTAATTCCAATTCCTTTAAAAAAGAGATGAAACACTGATTTGCCGGGTTCACGTGACAGCGAAGTCTTCAATGGGAGTTGAGGGCATGTGTCAACCAGTTACGCAAAAATAATCTCATCTGGTAAGGCCCATGTTCTCCTGAACATTCTTTTTGCATAAAACAGCAGTCCATTTGCAATGGAGGCGCAAAGCAAGGCTCAAGAGGGAGTGGCCGATGAGATGGCAATCTCGCACGACGGTGGCGGCAATGGAAAAGGGGCAGACGCGACAAACGCCGAACCTGTCTTCGTACCGGAACAAAGATTGGCGGAAGAGGCTTCAGGAGATACCAATGTGCCGTGGTCGATCTGGTCCTCCAAGCAGAGGAAATTCATCATTCTGACTGCTTCGTTTGCCTCGCTTCTGTCCCCCTTATCTGGCCAAATCTATTTCCCAGCCCTCGATACCATCGCGAAAGACTTGCATGTCTCCAACAGCTTGGTCAATTTGTCCATCACCACCTATCTAATCTTCCAAGCCATTGCGCCGACATTTACTGCCCAGCTGTCGGACTCCCTGGGACGGAGGCCGCTCTATATGGTCTGCTTTATCCTTTACATGGCTGCAAATATCGGATTGGGCGCACAAAACAGCTATGCAGCATTGCTAGTGCTGCGCTGTTTTCAGAGTGCAGGTAGCAGTGGGACAGTCGCGCTGTCTAACGCTGTTGCGACAGATATCACGACTCCTGCCGACCGTGGCCGTTATATAGCATACGCAGCAGCCATCCCTATGCTTGGACCGACACTTGTATGTGGCTTCTAGGCTCGTCATATACCTGTATTTGTGTATCAAAAGCTAACCAAGAATCTAGGGGCCCATCATAGGCGGTCTCCTTGCTCAATATGCTGGGTGGCATTCTGTCTTTTGGTTCTTGTTGGGCCTGACTGGAGCCATCGCCATCCCAATGGCCATCTTCTTCCCTGAAACATGTCGAAAAATCGTCGACGATGGGTCCATCCCCCCTCAGAAATGGAATAGATGCTACACAAACGTCTTGATCGAACGCAAAGCTTTTAAAGAAGGGAAAATTGTGCCATACGAGAAACGTGACGAGTTAACCAAATCTCGCCGCAATCAATTGCCCAATCCCTTCGCAAGCATCATGCTTCTGCTGCGGCGAGAATGTGGCTTTGCCTTGCTCTATGGTGCCATCCTTGCCTGTTCTTTTTACGCCACTCTCTCTCTCATTCCGTCGCAATTCCAAAAGATATATCACTTTAACGAGCTGCAAATTGCATTGTGCTACATCCCTTTCGGAGTGGGCAGCTTGATTGCGGCCTTTAATCGCGGCAGAATGCTCGACTCAAACTTCAAACGCCACGCAACTCGTCTCGGTATTACGGTTGAAAAGAATCGCCATACCGACCTCGCAGGTTTTCCCATCGAGCGCGCAAGATTAGAAGTAGCGCTGCCGACCATTCTCTTGGGCAGCGCATGCATCGTCGGCTTTGGCTGGACGTTACATTACAAGACAAACTTGGCCGGACCACTAATTCTGCTTTTCGTCATTGCATTCTGCCTTTCGGCTTCGCTTAATTGTGTTGCATGCCTCATGCTGGATTTGTATCCGGGCAAGGCGGGCACTGTTTCGGCGTCCAATAACCTGCTACGATGCTTGCTGGGGGCTGGTGCCACTGCTGCCATTGTTCCTTTGATTGAAGCCATTGGTGTCGGCTGGGCAGTCACAATATTCGCTTTCCTGAATATTGTAGCACTACCCTTGTTGTGGTATATCATGAAACAAGGGCCCAGTTGGCGGGACGAGATGTTGCAGAAAAAATTAGAGAAGCAAACCGCTGCTTAACTATGGATTGGGGAAGGAATCATTTTACACATTTTCATTCACGATAATGCGGGAGAATATAGTCCCAACATTTATAATATAGACTACTTAATTAATTGACGCTTATTTAGAAATTGACGCTGCTTGTTTATGTTACAAAATCATAGTTTATCATGATATGCCACCCATATATATTCCTCCTTTGCCGTAAGCCAAATATGTATCGCGTGTCATATATATATATGATTGAAGCCTATTCAAAGAATACACCTCCCTATTTACAGTTGAAGCAGGAGATGATCAGGGAATTTGAACACTCTGGTGCTATGAAACTTTTTTATTTGCTGTTAATAACATAAAGAGCCTGACTCCCGGATTACCCCTGCACATGTAATGTATAGACTTTTTTTTTTTCACCTCAGATCACGCATAAAACGTCCAAGGTATTATTTTATGAAATGGCTCCCAGATACTGGCGGTATGTAGTAAATGTAAGGGAGTGGAAGGAATCCAGTAAGGGTCTTACTAAACGTTGCTTGATTGGGAACCCTGACTAAAGGTGGGCAAGTTGGGATACGTACAGGAAAATCCTCCTGCTCAAAACTCCCCCAACTTTTCAGCTTTACTAAATCACCATTTGCGTCTTAGTGACCAGATGTATTTTCAGGAGTATTAATTTTGCCTTGTTTCTTTTTATCCAATTTAATCTGTAGTGCCTTTAGGGGAAATAATAGCCCCTTTTTTCTAGGTCTGAACATACTCGCTTGAAATAAGTTATATGCTCAGTGTATCAACTCTCGGGAGTGACGCCAAGCAGCAAGAAATAACAGCAAATATATCGAGTGCTTATTAAAAATGGATGTCAATAAAAGTCTAAAGTCAGAATCATTTGCCTTGAGCAAATCGCTGTATTCTGCGATCAAGATGTGGAGGAAGTTTTTGTATTCGTCTGCCACCTCTTCCGTGTGGCTCTACCATAAGACCTTGGGACATACAGATATTGGACCTTCAACAGGCACTCTCAGTATTACAGATAATCGCACGGGCAGAAATTACACCATTCCAATCAATAACAATTCTGTCAAGGCCCTCGACTTTATCCAAATAACGTCTGCTGGCTTGGGAACTGAAGTTGCGGACCATTACGACAATAGTCTTCGTATCCTCGACAGAGGATTCTGGAATACGGCATGCACAGAAACATCTATTACACACATGTAAGTCAAAAGCTGTGAGAAATAGTATATGCATCAAATACTGTAAATCCTCATGTTGACCTTTTACTAGCGATGGCAAAGTTGGCTATATGCAATATCGTGACAAGCCGATTGACGAGTTATTTCACCAAAATGACTACGAAGAGGTGATGCATCTTCTTATTTGGGGCACGATTCCTACGAGGGAGCAGAAGATAAATCTTCGCCGTAAGCTGGCTTCACACATGAAAGCACCGCAATCGGTCCAAGACGTGATCAAAGCTTTTCCGTAAGCAATCCCTTTCTCTTTTTTTCCTTCTTCTGGTGCATAGTAGCGTGATGAGTCCGTACTAAATGGCCGCTTCCAGGCGCGATGGATTGACTCATCCTATGCTTCTAGCTGGCATTTCGGCGTTTACATCACTGGATGAGGGAACGATAGCCGTCCACAAGTCGAGCAAACCTCCATATATCGGGAACATGGGCGAGACCGACGACGCCATCATTCGCACGCTGGCGGCTCTTGCTACCACCGTAGCCTTGGTGTACTGCCACAAGCGAGGGCGTGACTGGACGCCCGCAGACCCGGACGAGTCATTCATCGGTAATCTTCTGCTAATGATGGGCCAGACGGAAGAAGGCAGCAGCTCTCCCAACCGCAAGCTTGAGCACTGCTTGGAACGCCTTTGGGTTCTAAATGCTGATCACGGCATGACCAACTCCACAGCCGTCTTTCTCACAGCCGCCTCGACACTACAAGACCCCTTATCGTGCACTGTAGCCGCTGTGGCGTCGGCGTACGGGCCTCTCCATGGCGGCGCCGTCGAAATGGCATACAAAGAATTTGAAAGGATAGGATCTGTTGAAAACGTTCCCAAGCTGATTGCGGAAGTCAAGGCCAAGAAGCGCCGCTTGTTCGGTTACGGACACCGTATTTACAAAGTCAGAGATCCTCGTGGCAAGCTGGTGCTGCAGCTCATGGACGAGTACAAGGATGATGTGCAGAAGAATTCGTTTCTGAGAATCGCCATGGAGATTGATAGAGTTGCCGAAACCGACCATTACTTCACGTCGAGGAATCTCAAGGGAAATGCTGACCTCTACGGCTGCTTTTTGTATACTGCATTGTAAGTTTGCTTCTGCTAGGACAGGTCAGTCTTGTAGATGAGGAAGTGCTAACTCTAGGAACTCAACCATTAGGGGTATCGAAACTGATATCATCTTGGCGCTGTCTTGTCTTTCGCGGTCGCCGGGTGTTATGGCCCACTGGCGAGAAAGCATGGGTAAGGGGCGCTTCCTCAATGCTCTCCCCTTTATATCGCGGATGTTGGTGGATTAACTTGCTATCTAGGTCAACCGCCTATGCTGTGGCGGCCGCAGCATATCTTTACCGGCACAGTAGCATCACACGATGACGCCTAACTTCAAGGCCCAGAGATATGGTATATAAATTCCTTGGTGGGGGATTCATGTTAGATCTGTCTCTAATCACTCCTTACTAATCTAATACGCTGTCGTGGCAACGGGATTATTATTATCAATTTCATCGCAAAGAGTAAACATTGACAAACTTCGTGCTAGATTGTTAGTCTAGAGTCTCTCCTCATTCTACAATCAGTAAATGTTCAAGTACCTACCTCAGGTAGCTTACTAGCTACCTTATATAAAGTAAAGACCTAGTAGAATATTTGTCTTTGTTCTTTAGAAATGAGACTTGAGTCAGTGAAATAAGCTACGTATATTCATGTTTCTATCTAAATCGGCAATCTAAAATTTGTGCCCATTATAATATAGCAAAATGTTCGTTTCCACTCAATGCACTGAATGATACATGTATTTAGACAGCAGTACTTTGCGCGCGCACGTACACACCTACAAAGGGAAAAAAAAAAAATAAATAAATAAATAAAAAAAAAAAAGAGCTTGTAAGTCAAAATGCAGTGAATACACATGTAGGTACCCAGTTGCAAGTAGGGAGGCAATACCTTTGCATGGACATTCACTACAGAATCAGTCAAGGTACCCTTTTATTGTTTACCTACAGTAGTACCTCATGTAGGTGGCTAAACAGTACGTCTTGAAAACAAAATGAGAAAAAACTACACTTTTTTTGTTGAGTTAAAGGTTTTGTCTATTAAAATTCTTGCTGCGCTGGCTGTTTATTAATAGCCTATAGCGGCAGAAATATCACAAATTTCACCACGTTGACGAGATTATACATGATTTCGCCACGACGCCCATGTTTACATGTCGCATTAATTAGTACATAAAAAAAGAAAGAAAGAAAAGAAAAGAAAAGAAAAGAAAAGAAAAGAAAAGAAAAGAAAAGAAANAAAGAAAAGAAAAGAAAAGAAAAGAAAAGAAAAGAAAAGAAAAGAAAAGAAATAAAGAGATCAATATCTAATAATTTTGGTTCGGCAAACCTTATTTGGTACAAACATTAAAGAGCCAGGTACTACACAGATGGCGTCCCTGCGATATTGGGAGAATTACTCTAGTAAAGCTTCATGTACATAAAAGCCTAAAAGACATTTGTTTTTATTCACAAATTCAATAAAAAAGGTTAAAAGTCTTAAAACTATCTCAGTGTACAAAAGACTGAAATAAATATAAGCTACAAGTGACCGAGTTACATGCAATATTTCAGACGAAGTCCTTTGCGGCCCACCAAGCTCAGTTCAAACTCACTTTTGGAGATGGCGTTCCTCACGACTCCATCTGCTGATTTTGAGATTGCTTCTTCTTGTATAAAGTTAGGCCTTCCTTCCCGAACCTCTCCTTTTTTTTTTTTTTTTTTTTTTTTTTTCTAATCATCTTCCGCCATTCTTCCGACTCGAGTTGCAAGCCTTCACATTGCAACACGTACAAACACCTGGACAACCATCAACCACCAACACTTCATCACCACGTCTTCATCCGCAAAGATGGCGTCCAGTGCTGTACTCCGAGGAAGAATCGAGAAGAAAGGAGGGAGACGAAGCTCCCTCAAAAGCCGACGTTCAGCCCTGCTGAACATGCCAATCGATCTCATCCTTGAGATCACCGACGAACTGTCCCCCGCGGACAAGATTATCTTCGCCACGACCTGCCGAGCAATTCGGAACACCGTCGGTCGCGGCCAATTCCCTTCCGACACATACGAGGACCGACAAGAGCGGTTCGAATACCTGGCCGGTATGTGCCGAGATATGCCCAACCATTGGGTCTGCGAGGAGTGCATGCGGTACCACCGCATCGACACCTCAGATACGTCAGTGCAGAGCCGCCCGACATGCCCACTGGCCGACAGATACGGGCGATACAATCAGCCATTGACCCCGATCCCGGGAGACGAATACGAGCTGGGAAGACGCCACGTCCAGCTGGCGCTGAAATACACCCGGATGGGCGACTCCCTCCTCCCCAGACACCGCCAGTACCTGCGGCGTCTCACGGCTGCGCGGCAGTATTCGCTCTCCTACCCATGGGAGACGAAGCTGATGGTCACCGCCAAGATCATCCCGCGAATCGTCGATGGGCGATTCCTCCTCCGGAGCCTCTGCGAGTATCGGCAATCGTCAAAGCCGGTCACCAGGGAGCTCATCGCCAGCGAGTCCGTGTGCCCGCACCAGCAAGTCTTCCCGCCGCGAGACGACGACTGGAGCAACGATGCCTTCCACCAGAACCTGCGCCAATTCCACAAGGCGGTTAACGACTCATTTGAGACGCCGGGAAAAGAGGTGCACAGCCACTGCCCTCACTGCTTCACCGACTTCTCCGTGACGACCACAACAAAGTGCATCCGGATTTCGGTCTGGATGGACCTGGGCACCGAGAGTTCTCCCCTCGACCCCGCCTGGCGCTCATTTGTACACAGTGCAGACTTGGACCCGATCGACGAAGTCGAATACAATGAGCCTGGTCGAGTCCGCGAGCTCTACAGCAGTGAGGAGGAGTAAGATCGTTGCATGGTTCGCAGGGCAGCAAAAAGGGGGAAGAACTGGACTTGGGTGAGCATCGGAGCCAACAATGGCAGCATTTCGACTCTTGGCGATATACGTGGGACGATATTATCTTCTTCATACTTTATTCTCTTATAATATGAAAAGAGAAGAAAAAAGTAGAAGAAAAGAAAAGAAAAGAAAAGAAAGGAGAGAGACGAAGAAAGAAAGAAGCATTACTTCCCGACCAAAGCAAGCATTCACGACATTATTCATGAACGACTTCAGCTTCTTCTCTACAATTTCAAGTCACGCAAGGCATTATAAATTTGGTTGGCAGTCATTATTATATCATACATCGTGGAGGCAGATAAATACACAATAACAGGGTTCATAGCAACCTAGGTATATTTTCCTCATCTTAAATAAATCCAAGAACATCGCGCTTCCTGTGTGCCAATACAATCCATTCGTAAATTTCCGAGAAATCGCTAATATCGCTGGCATCCTCTTCTCCCTCAGGTTTGTACTTCTTGAGATTATCTATCGCCCAGACCATCTCCTTTGTGAGCGGCGGCGGAGTTCTTCCCTGTCCGTTCAAAGTAGCCAGGCCAGACCATTTGAAGAACCCCTGTAGCCATTCATGGGTTTCGCCGTTATCCCATGTGATGTCATGAAATTTGCGATGATCTCGGAGCCTCTCCTTCTCTCTTTCTTCTTCCCAGGCTTGCTGTTCGATTAATGGCGGAAGCGGGACTGGGTTGCGATTGGCAAATAGGCGAGCGAGGGCAATGGCTTGATATTCGAAACTTCGGAATGTTAACACGCGGGGCAGTCCCACGATACCCAGATTTGGGAAATCCTGGAAGAAGGTGTGCCAATAGCTCTTGACCAGTTTTCCTTTCTTGTCGTCCCACAGAGGCTGCCCATTCTTCTCGGCGTCCCAGAAGGGATATGATGGCTTATAACCAGTACAGTATATCACTGTATCAATATCGTCCAAGTACGTGCCGTCTTCGAAGAGAATTCTGCCATTAGGCAAGTACTCAGATATAACAGGCTTCCACTCAATTCCTTTGGACGGTAAATCTCCCTCCCACCACGCTTTCGACCTTCTAGATTGGTAAACGGGATGCTGAGCAGTCGACACCAATTCTCGACTTAGATCCGTTCCCGAGGCAGAGTTGCCAATCACAAGCACCCTCTGAGACTTGTAGCTGCTGGCCGATCTATATGTTTTAGAGTGGACTACACGACCAGGGAATTTTTCAATGTATTCATTCAAGCCCTTGACGTTTGGAATCTAAGATGGTCAGCATCCGGGTAAGCAAGCTGCCGGTGAGAGCAACTTACTGTTGGCACAGAATAGTGGCCATTTGCCAGAACCACGGCGTCAAATGTTTCTTCCCACCAGACATCGGCGTCTTGAAGGGCATCGTATTTTCTTAGAGTCAATTTCCACTGATTGGCGCCATTATTTAAGCGGTGTTTAACCTTCAAGACGTCTTCAACCGTGGTGTTGAGCTCCAAGAATGAATCTGTCTTGTGTAGTGCAAAGTAATTCTCTATATATTGACGCGGAATGTGATGTGGAGCAAACGGTCCATATGCAAAACGACAATCTGAAAATGACATGGCAATTTCAGGTACGTTTGTTCTTGCGAGGTCTCTGTTAGCACTTCGCGGCTATATAGTGGCCAAGACACTCGCACACTTACGTCAAGGAATCATAGATAGGCGTTTTGGAAAACCGCTCCTGTTTATTTGGGGGGAGGACGGCAGGGAGGGTTTTAGGAATTGCCAGAGGAGGGTCTAGTTCAGATGGTGTTGCTCCTGGCCGCCCCAGCAGACTGGGCTGAACCGCAGCATCGTATATCCTGAAGCCGTATAAGAATTCCCGTAAGATGCTGCGTTTCAGTGGAAACAATTCTCACCATGTTCCTCCTGCGCTTTCTCTTCTCTCAAAAACACGAATCACATCAAACACTTCTTCGGCTTTCAAAGCTGCCGCCGTTATCGCTCCTGAACGCGAGCATTAGTAATTGTCGTCAGCTTAGATGCTTAGCTCCATTCTAGCTACCTGCAGCTCCAGCCCCGATGACAGCAACGGATTTGATTTGATTCCCTCCTCCCATTGTATCTGAAATATATCAATTGGAAAATAGCTTATATATCCTGGAAAAGAACAAAATGAGGGAGTTTTGAAATGCGAAACTATGAGAATCGTATATATCTTAGGAATCATGTAATTATCACGTGCGGTTGGATGTCGTGATTGACTTGGGTGATGGCACGATGCTAGCTTTGTATGTCAGCTTTCTTTTATCAGCAAATAGGTGCATAAAACGCGTTATCTCAGAGTATCTTGAGAGGCTAGAGAAGTCGCAGTGGAACAATCACGATTATGCACATAGCACGCTGTCCAACCAACCCAGCAAGTAATAAGAGTGCGTTTACCTAAGGATAGGGAGAAATGGTTCAATTAATAAAACTACATTTACCTCCACCTCGGCGGGTGTATTTCCGAATTGTAGATAGAGCTTCATCCTAGTGTGACTTGAGAAGCTCGGAAAACGATGTACAAGTGGATCGATGGCGCAAATCAATGCTCATGGACATTTCGAGGAGATGTCCATTTCGTTACTGCTTTGCGGTAAAATGATTACAATAGCACTTATCAAATCTGCTATCAAGATTTACCGATCCAGGTTATCGGAAATAATCGTTACCCCACAATGTCTCCGCTGTAAGGCACAATCTCAAGCAGTTTAAGCCACCTGAATATTGACTACATGAGGCTTCCGCCATACTTTCCTCGTACCTACAATACATTATGTCAATACACGGCATCCTGCATTGATAATTTCCTACTTATGATTACAAATTATATTTATATTCAGCGTCAAAATTTATGGATTTATGCCTATATAATCGTATATTACTGTATTTTGCTCTCTCAGTGCCAGTGTAAACCTCCCTTCAGGTTAGTCAGAAATGTCTGAATCAGCGTCCCCGCAGCTCCATTAGCAATGGATCTCAGACGCTTGCGCAAAAATCATTTGAATGCCAATATGCACCTAAAATTATAGCCATGTAGGCAAGCTTATCTTTCTTCTCTTTGTTTCTTCGCTTGAATGAAACGAAGTGATCAAAGTGGTGTCTGAAGTCAATACTCTATAGCACTAATAGAAGAGCTTATACCTGGCTACATACCATATTATAAGCCACTGGCTCTGCTTACTCACAACCGCTGCTCCATACATGTGGTCTGGGCACCAATCTCAGAGATGTGAACTCTAATGCCAAGATCATCCATCACCAACGCGTTATTCCTACATCTAGCCTAATATCCTCGCTCTCATCCTGTGACTGGCCATCTGTTGAACATGAAGTTGCCTTCACTGACGCGTTAGCCCCTCATATACACCGCGTTTGTCGCCACACCGTCGCCATGAAAGCCTCTGCCTGTCTTACTGTTGTTATCCCGGCGCTGGCCGCCCAAGCCGCTCGCATAGTCCAATCCAACGACGACGGCTGGGCTGAGCTGTATCTTCGCTCTTTCAATGATGCGTTGAATGAGGCTGGTCATGATGTTGTTCTATCTGCACCAGCAGATAACCAGTCTGGAACCGGTACGTGCTTCTCAATTTTGCCACGACTTATCCTAGCAGCAACTGTAACGACATATACATGTCGCGATGCATACCCCGTACATCACATGCACATATCTCAATATCAGCCAATTGACTGATAATTAACCGGCCAATTGACTCAGGCTCCAGCGATTCACCTCCCATACCCCGAACAGAACCCTGCGAATACAACTCCTGTATCGGCAACGGCAGCACCACTGGTCATAATGATACACGGCCTGACCTTAACTGGGTCAATTCATTTCCCGTAACGGCCATGAAATACGGCATCGACACTTTCGGCCCTCAGCTGTGGAATGGCTCTGCTCCCGAGTTTGCCGTAGCGGGACCCAATGTCGGCACCAATGTCTTCGTCCAACTGCCGTAATATCTCCCAAGTTCGCTCTCAGGCACAGAGAGTTATGAGCTAATTGTGATGTATCAACAGATTCAGCGGCACAGTTTCCGCAGCAGCATATGCCGCTCACGACGCAGGCATCCCCTCAATTGCGTTTTCTGCAGCTTCAACTGGCCGCCTTGCATTTGATACTGATCCAGTGCCTCTTCGGAGTAGCCTCTACGGTCAACTCGCTGCACAGCTGACCAACAAGATTATCTCTTCTGGGACTCCGTATCTCCCTCCGGATGTCTTTCTCAATGTCAATTTCCCTAAAGTTGAAGACAGCTGCGCGGAACTCTCTGACTTTAAATGGGTCCTTACACGGATCAACCCTGGTTTCCTTTCCCCCCCAGATGTCAGCTTCTGTGGTGGTGAGCGACTGCCTACCGAGCTATCTGTAATTACACATGGTGGATGTCTTATCTCTGTCAGTGTCGGCAATGCTAAAGATAAAACTACCGCATCGACTAGCAGCCAGGTCGTTGTGCTTGAAAAATTACGCGATATGCTAAGTTGCCTTTCAAGTTCAGTGATGTTGATAGAGACTTCCGATCAGCTCATACTTCAGGACCATAAAGAACATTCACAAAAGATGTACTAGCGACATAATAGTGTTAATAAGTACATATTACATATGAAAACGAGATAGATTGCGGAGAAAGCGTTTACAATCATCATATAGAGTATTTTAACCGCTAGCTATAATGCTGATGATACCTATCAGCGATTAGAAAATGCTTTGTGCAACCGCTTAATTGGTCTGCTTTGCATTATGCATTACGTTATCTCCTATATCTCCTAACCCTTGGTACCTAATATATCTGAATCTTAAGACGGTAGGCCGTTGCGGCTACTAGAAGAACATTCATCGAGGTTCCTTTTGATAATCTTTTTGCCGTATAGTAACCAGATAAAGAATCCGTCCAGAACAGCGCCGCCAACTATGTCGCCTAGGGTAACGGGAATCACACTCTGATAAATGAATTTTCCAACCCCAAAGTTTGTGCCATAAAACATTCCAACTGGGACCAGGAAGAAGTTAGCAATGCAGTGCTGGTAACCCAAGGCCACAAATGTCCAAATGGGAATCCAAATTGCGTAAATCTTGGAGACCTTGTCTTGTGCTGAGATGGAAAGGAAAATTGCCAAGCCCACAAGCCAGTTACAACCAACACCTCGGAGAAAATTCGCGGACCACTGCGCGTTGACCCGAGCCTCTGCTTGAGTGACTGCAAAGCTTTGAAGCGCGTTGGTGTTCAGGGTATCTGTCCACCAGCATAAAAAACCAGCCACGAACAGACAGCCAGCCAGATTCATGACATACGATAAGACGAGATTTTGCAATAGATCCCAGAGACTGGTCTTCCGTGCAAATGTGGTCAAGATTAACACAAAGACATTGGCGGTAAACAACTCAGTATTGACAAATACGAGAATAACGAAGCCCGTTGGGAAGGTAAAGCTTGAGATAAGCGTAACGAGAGACGGGTTGGCTGCGCGTAGAGATGAAGCCCCTCCAGCAACAAGTAGGCTGAAAAGGGCACCGAAGGAAAGAAAGGCACCAGCAAGAAACGACTTCAGGAGCAAGTCGGTCCATGACAGCTTAGCTTTTGCTACACCAGACCTAAGGAGTAGAGAAACCGTTTCTTTAGTCGGATCATAGCTGGGATCCATGTTGTCCAATAATTAAGGGAATCTCGCGGAGGAGCCGTGAATTGCTACAAACTCTGTATGATGTGTTCTCTCAGGTGTAAAATTGGAATAAACCATAAAGTCTGACCAACATTCTTGAGGACCTTAATCCTAGAGGCTGAGAGGCAAGAGTTCTAACCGTCTGCACTCTAACAATCGAGATCGTTCATTTTGATTTTGCAAGAGCCCCGGTGCCAATTGTTGCTGACAATAGAACCCAAATACTTGCAGTCAATATGCTCTTAGGAGCCTAGTAGCTTAGGGGCATTTGCAATTTATCATCTGCTTCCTTCGGTACAAAGGGGGACAAGGGAGGATACTAACAGATAATAAAATACAGCAAATCTATAGTTTTCCGCGGAAGTAGCGATCATATGCCGGAGATGATGGATACAAACATTTGCGAGTAGTTTTAGCGTTTTAACTTGATCATACATATGTACTAGCTACTATTTTAAGTTTACATGTAGCTAACTAGGTATAATATGAGCCTATCAATGGACAGTATTACGTGCCCAGATCAAGATGCCGCAAAAAAGCTCAGCTTGGCAGCGGTACAGAATCATACGATATTTTAGCCTATGCATCGGATCGTCGTTAGTAAACAGATTAACCATCACTCTAGAATACAATTGGCTGCAACCGGAGCGCCATGCAACTCTTCCTTGGATTTATCCAATTACAGATAACTTGACTAAGGCTTCCCATATTAACTAGATATGGCTAGTTAACATACAGGCTCCAATGAGTTTACTTGGTTTGGAAGATCGCTTAACCATGAGCCTAAGCTTACTCCCAGAAGATTTAGTCGAATACCTACGCTAGAGGCCATTTATCGAGTGATTGATGCAGCTTAAAAGACATACATATACGAAGGTTGGCTGCAAAAGAAAGGCTCACTGCCGGGTTTTTCTTGTATGTAGAGGAGTTTGGGAGTATCAGAAGCAGACCAGCTCTCATACTCTTTCTACGTCAAATCTGTTTAGAAAAGCCTTTATCTTCTTGCGAGATCTTATGATAGCCGGAGTTGTCGAATTGAAGACTTTATAAACATTCTGTGTTCATTAGTGCCACTTATTTATTGGAAATTTTTAAAACTAGGGCATGGGCTGCTAACCAACCTTTTCTTTCTTTATCACACTCAATATGCAGAAGATGTTGAAAGAGATTCATAGTCTTGGATTTTGCCGAACTTGTGAGTAGTATTTAGGCATTAGGTTTTCGCTGCTGAAGATGTTTTACAAGTGGAAGAATATAGCCAACGAGTTTATCCACCGATTCGATTACTTCTAATCCATCAATAACGACTAACAGACGCCTTTGCCTTTCAAAATTTGATGCTGTCTTCAACGAACTGAGACGGTCCTAGGATGTTACGCTTTCCAAGGTTATCTTCATGTACTTCAAGCTGGATATATTTACACGGATCATCACTGGGAACACCCGGAGCCCCGCCTCCAACGCCTACCATCAAGCAAAAGGGGATATTTAGAGAGCTGCGCAGCATGCTGGTCGCAGTATTAGCTGCAGCGTTTGTACCTGTTGTCCCCGCTGGAAAACTACACAAGAACAACATTGTGTAGGCCAATTTTTCCCAAAATATAAGTATTCAAATTTCCCTGGGCTTGAGGAAGTCTCGGGAGTTCATAATCTAGCATTGCCACAGATGCTGCCAGTTTCACATCTAAGGCGGCAGTCTAGCTGCCAGATGTAAGGCACTCTGGGATTATCTCGTCCATAGTATGCGTAATAGCTATATTATCAACTCAGTGGTAAGGCTATTTTGAATGAATGGAGTCAACGCAAGTTTACGATCAAACTCCATATATTGAAATGCTCAGGGCTTACTATGGCGATGAACACGTCAAAGCAGTGCATACTTAACTACATGTAGTCTGTTATGGTGCTTGCCCGAATCGACAACAGTTGTGAGCTTTACAATGGCAACGCGTGCGAACTTGGTCAGGAAGAATAGCAAAGGCGATAGGTCAGCCTATGATGTCGCTTAGGATCAGCGGTGATTCTAGACAATGGTGGATCAAGGACACGCTTCTTTGATCACACTCGGCGCATAATATGCGTGAAATATTGAGCTGGACGCCCGTGTGTTACATTAGGCCATCCAATAGATGCGATTTATCCTTAGAGCCATCTGCAGTCATGATTGAGTATTGGCAGATGAGTCGCATAATTACAGAAGCCCGCTAACCATTGGTCGCTGGTCCAGTCTCCATCCGTTGCAGTGCATATTTATCTCAATTTTGGTAATACTCTTAATCAGATCATACCGTATTGCCTCGCAAAACTCAAGTTAAACTCTGTTTGGGTCACAAAGACTATTGCAATAGAGTAGCTCGTTTCCCAGAGTCGTACTACATTGGAAAAAGCAATTCGCGAAAGGGTTTGGCAAGGAATATAGCAGTTCATCTTCCAGTCAGTCATGATTTTTATTTTACTACGCAAAATTATTTAGGCCCAGTTTTTCCGGTGGGAATGCTAAACAGGACAACTCTTGGTCCCTTCAATCCAGCCTCACCGGGTGCCCAGTCGTTCAAGCCCTTGTCCACTCTGTAAAATCCCCGTCGCTCAAGCTGAATAATGTCATCCGCCTTCAGTTCACCAACGCCAGCGTCGCAAACGGCATCCTCCATACTCGCTGTGTTGGGGTTCAGGAAGTCCTCAAAGTTGTCCTCCTCCTCAAGCTTATCCTTGGTCAGGAGATAATCAAACTCCCACAGCTCAGCAGGGACCAGCTTGAAGCCTTCAGCAGACAGCCAAGTAATCTTCTTATCGGTTGTCTTGAAATCTCCCTTCAAGTTAAGGTCAAGCTTCAGGCTTGTGACAGGCTCGGCTGAAGCCGAGAGATCCCTAACAAAGGCGTTGCCCCAGCCCATGAGAGTAATTTCCTCGTCTGCCTTGAAGCTCTTGGCATCGGCCTGGTCGATGTAGAGACTAGGCGAGAAAATCACCTTCTTCAGACCAACACTTGCGTTCTTGGGGTGCTTTGGTCGCTCTTCCACAGTAACGCCAGAGGGAGCCTCAGATCCGGCAACAGTAACCTTGACCAAGTCCTTGCTCAAAAGAGCTGTGAATCGGGGCACAATAGGGTCAATCACCTTCTTGTTGTTGGCCCAGAAAGTAGTCCAGTCCATGTTGACAACATTTCGGCTGGGGCCCTGCTTAATGATGAAGTCGCGCAGCGCTTCAATGGTCATTCCACGTCTTCGGATACCACGGATGGTGGGCATTCGGGGATCATCCCAGCCCCAAACCTTTCCAGCATCAACCAGCTTGGCCAGCTTACGCTTGGACAAGAACGTCTTAACAAAGTTGATTCTGGAGAAGTCCCACATGTGGACTTGACGCAGTGAAAGTGTATCAATGAACCACTGATATTGGGGGTTTCGATCGGTGTACTCCGTGGATCTCAAAGCGTGAGTAACTCCCTCGTGGCTGTCGACCACCGGGCAGGCGAAATCGTACATGGGGTACATCTTCCAAGTTGTGCCGGTACGGTGGTGAGGTGTGTCGACGTTGCATCGGTAAATGACAGGGTCGCGCATGGCCTTGTTGGGGTTGTCGTAAGACACCTTGGCGCGAATGCAGTGTGCTACACCCTCCTGGGAACCGTTCTTCATTTCCTCAAAAATTCGCAGATTCTCCTCAACAGTTCTGTCACGGCGCTTTGAGGGGATGCCGTCCATTCTCTCGCTGCGCATTGTCTCCTGATCAGTATCATCGGCGTACGCCTTGCCCATGGAGATCAACTTCTTGCACATATCGTAGAGGTAGTCGAAGTAGTCGGAGGTGTAGGTCAAGCTGTCAGGCTTGATGCCCATGAGAGCCAAATCGAGGACGATGGCATCCTGGAATTCCTCCTTTTCCTTGTCGGGGTTCGTGTCGTCAAGTCGCAGGCGCATCTGGCCCTTGTAAGCAACATGGCCAAAGTAGTCGCTGAGAAGGGCAGCCTTGGCGTGTCCGATGTGAAGGTAGCCACTAGCAAAAAGGAGTTAGAAAATTTATAAAGAACAAGGACGGCGGGTCGAAGGAGAGGTTTGTGTGTCATACGAAGGCTCGGGAAGGAATCGAGTCACGACGCCTTTGTCAGTATCCTGAAGGGCGAGGTTGTAGTTGGCACCACCCTTGTTGGCCTTGGCCGCAGCTTCGGCCTTGGTGGCTTCCTGGATCTCAGGGTGAGACTGCTCGATGAAAGTGAACCATCGAGTCAAGTTGGGAAGACCATTTCTCCGAATAGCACCAATGGCAACCTTGTTGGCCCTCAGAGTCTGCCAGATCTTGGTCTCGAGCTCTCCCAGAGCGTAGCCCTCAAGATAGGATCGGAGAGTCAGGTGCTTGTCCAGATCCCTCATGAAAGGCTCAATGGTGCGGAAATCGCCGGACAGCTTGCCGGAAACGGCCTCGAGCTCCTCGTGCTTCATCTTGTCGGCTTATTCGGATATCAAAGTCAGATGAAGATGAAGGGAAAGAGGCAGAGCAAGCTTCTGGTGACTCAGGTAATGATTTTTGGCCTCTGGTGGGGACGATGGAGGGGCTGACCGTAGCTGGACGAGGGGCCGTCGGTCGTGCCACACATTTGTTTATCGATAAGCGTGTGTTCAATTTTTAGCCTAATTTCCGAGGCACGACGCAGCAGAATATGGCGAGGTTCTGGCGCAGTCGAAGAAATCCCAGTTTCGAGCTGCGCTCCGATCTCATCCAGCGGCAGAAATGGCACCAATTGATCGATGCTTGGCCTCCGTGGCCAAGCTGACGCTCTCCCAGCCATCAATACGACCGGTCGTGCCGACGATACCCCGATTCCTCGCACCTGCGCTGATTCAGTCCCGACAAGCCTCTGTTATCCGGACAAAGAAGACGACGAAAAAGAAGGCTGTCCCCAAGGACTTTAAGCGACACAACTTGGAGAAGAGGGGATTCCCACAGCACACACTATGCGATGCTATGAGGTAGGTGTTGGGGAGTAATATCTGGTCTATAGAGGCAGATTAGCTAAACCCTTGAGCAGAGTTCTCCGAGCCATCGAGGTCGGCCAACCTCCCGCTACGATCAAGTACGAGATTCACATCAACCTTAAAACGGCTAGGAACGGCCCTGTCATAAAAAACAGCATCAGACTGCCGCATCCCGTTCAGAGCGATTGGCAGATTGCCGTCATATGCCCTGAAGGTAGCGACATCGCGACTGCTGCCACCGCTGCGGGTGCTGTCGCCGTTGGAGAGGAGACCCTCTTCGAAGCTATCCGCCAAGAAAAGATTGATTTCGACCGCCTTATTTGCCACGAGAATAGCGAAAAGGCCCTAAACAAGGCCGGTCTGGGAAGAATTTTGGGTCCCAAGGGTCTGATGCCAAGCAAGAGGATGAAGACGATTGTAAACGATGTGGTGAAGTCGATTCGCGACTCCGCCGGCGCTGCGGATTACCGTGAGAGACAGGGCGTCATTCGAATGGCAATTGGACAGCTTGGCCACACTCCTGATCAGCTCAAGGCCAACATCCAAGCGCTGCTGAAGAAGGTCAAGGCAGAGTGTGCCGAGATCTCGGAGGAAGTTTCAAAAGAAGTTCATGAGGTCATTTTGAGCACAACAAATGGCCCGGCGCTGAGTTTGAATGGCAAGTTGAACGAGGCGGAGAGCACGCTTACAGTCGAAGCACTGTCAGGCGTCATGTAAATCATTAACGACATATATAATGTGTACAATATCCAATTGAATGCAAAAAAAGACAAGGCTAGATGTAACATTTTATCACAGGGTATCATTACGTTTTTTATTTATGGAATTCAATGCAGTAATCATCTGCCGCGAAGAGCTTTGACGGCATCTCCCTGGGCATCAAGGGTTCTATAGACACCAAGATAGCCCATAATCCGGCTCTGGCCTTTTGTTCCAGCTGCTCTAGCTTCCTTTAGGGCATTATTCAAGTCCAGTAGTAGCGTGTTCCGGCACTTCGTCAACCGTGCCCTGAGCTTGGCGACAAAGGCATTGCTGTCATCTAGCTTGCCAATTAGTGCCGTAATCCGGCTACACTCGCGCGCTGAGGCCAAAAGCTTTGAAGGCGGGCTCCCTATCAACCCTTCAACGGTTTCTTCCTCAAACTCTTCGTCATCTTCACTATCATCATCCCATTCCGTGGTCTCTTTCTTCCGAGGTAGGCTATCCAGCGCCAGCGTTTCTTCTAGGGAGGAGAGCCGCTCCGATACTTCTAGCATTGCTCTTCCTTGTTCAATATCTGACCGTATGTCTCGCAACTCGTTGGTAAGCGATTCCGCATCCCTTCTGCGCTCGGAGACCTTTTCCTTCACTTCCTCGACAGCTCTGCGAAAGCCAAGAAGTGAGACTTTGACATCCTCTACCTTTTCATCGCCACCCCGCAGTTCTGAACCGAGTGATAGAAAAGCAGTATAGTTCGAATTGACAAGCTCCAGGAGCTCAGTGCTGATGGTTGCCGTTCGCTCGCGTAGATCTGATCGCAGGTCTTCCAGGGTCTGGTGGCGGTGGGGGAGAGCTGATAGATACGCAGCCGGCTGGAACTCTGTAGCTAAGAAATCGGTGCGTGGGAGTGCGGCCGGGAATGGCAAAGGCAGGTCATCTTCGGTATCTGACGAGTTGGAGGAAGCGAGATTGAAGGGCGACGCATTCTGTCGCCCAGGGCGCGCTGGCAGCGTGAGAGGAAGGGTAAAATCAGCCATGGACGAAGGGAATGGCGCCAATTGAGAATCGAATCGCTGATTAATTAAGCAAATACAAAGATGCACCGCAAAATAGCAACACTCGTGACATCGCCTTGGATAGAGCAAGACACATGTCGATTAGACCATGAAGTGGATAGCTTCCACAAGCTTGATCGCATTGGTGCATAACTCCATTATACGCATATATACCCAAGTTTCAAGGTGAGAGGCCGCATCTCGCGACAACAGCACCATTTGAATGGGAAGATTATTGTTTTGAGATTTCACTTGGTAAACACCACATACTTTAATTCACCACAATTCGTCCATCCGGCAGTTTGTAGGGAAGCAGTTTCAGCCACATCAATCTCTGAGCAGTTTCTAGACCCTCTAGCCAGGACTTGGCAGCAACCGCTAGTAGTGAACGGTTTCTCGCCAACTGAGTCCTCAAGCTGGGCTATTTGAGTCATGACGGGCTATTGCCATTAAAGGATATTCACGCCATTTGCTCTTCGTAATCCGAATACGATCCGAACCGAGACTATCTTCTCTTCATATTTTCCTCCATGCTCGCTCGGACGAGCCTTGGCTGGCCACACGTGCAAGCAGCAGTAGTCGGCTTCTCTAATGGCCAAACAAGGCAACAACATGCTGGAGACCCATCCAACTTATGTAAAAAACGACAATTAACGCAGATTTGCGCACTTCTCGGTCAATCGATGTCAAGGTAGATGGAGTAGTGAGACTCAAAGCGGGGACATGGACGAGCTGAGGGGATCTGATTGGCCTCCTCTTCCAGAAGTGGGTGCAGCCTAGTGGCTGATGGCGCGTCAAATTTTTATCAATCACATCTTATCAATCTGTCAAGCCCACCCGTCTCTCCTAGAATCGGACCATAATGCTGTTAAAAGGCCAGCCGGGTACGCTCGGGACACGGAAAACTCACAACTCACAAATCCCTCTCTGGCCCCCGCATCTCAATTTTCCTTTCTCTACATTTCATAATCTTTTCCAATTGTCATCTCCCGTCTGTATCCTTCATACAAGGGAGCTCTACACTACCGTGGTGAATCGACCGATATTCCGTGTTATAGGACGGGCAACTCCTCGGTGTAAGGCCCGATCTACATACAGGAAATTGCCCGCATGCGAGTTGGACAGCCCCCTCCGACTTCCGCTGTCATCATCCAATCTCTTACAGCACTACGGAGAATTTTTTAAACATTTTTTTAAATCAACTACGACTGCAACCAGACGATAAGGAATCTCGAGCACGGCACCAGATCAGAGCCAGATAGAGCCCGTTTCCCTGCATAAAGGGGCCCAGTTTTTCCTTCTCGGGCTTCCGAGCTGCCGCCGACAGCGAATCACGGATCATCCCTCTCCGAACCCACCCAGCTCAGCTCGCACCACTATGGCGAGCATTTCACCAACGTCATCTCCTCATCTGCAGCCAGGATCCAGTGAAACTCCATCGGACTGCAACAAGGCATTGCGTCCCTCCATCAAGGACGAGCCTTCACCGCCTGCGGGTGCATCTTCGGCTCCTGTCGCTCCCAAACGAGCGCCGCTGCCCTCTCACCGAAAACCCGCCGCCCCGCCGCAACCCGCCCCATTTGTGCGCATTTCACTGCCTCCCGTCGACAAAATGTCGATGACGGCGGTTATCAGTCCCAACCCGCCAATGGAGCAGCCTCAGCCCAAGATGTCGATGACTTCAAAGGAATGGGTTATCCCTCCACGGCCGAAGCCTGGGAGGAAGCCCGCCACTGACACTCCGCCAACCAAGCGCAAGGCGCAGAACCGAGCTGCGCAGAGGGCGTTCCGGGAGAGAAGGGCTGCGCGAGTTGGCGAGCTCGAGGAGATGTTGGATGAGAATAAGAAAACCCAAGATGCACGTGAGATGGAACTTAATGAAAAGATTCGCACTCTAGAGCTGGATGTCCAGTCATTCCGGTCCAGATGTCTACTCCTGGAGAGCATGCTAGAGAGAGAGCGCCAAGAGCGCATGAGAGCTGAGATGCAGGCAGAGGCGCTTAATCGCAGATATGACCAGGCGACTTTCCGATCAGAAAGCATAGGCTCCATGTACTCTCAGCCATATGGTCGGCAGCAACATCCCCAGCCAAGGCATAGCCTCTCAGACGACCGATTGGCCCAGCAGCATGCCGCAACTCGACACTTCTCCATCTCTCAAATCGTCTCACCGCCAGAAACACTGGACGCTCACTCTCCTCAAGATCTATCCGAACCTCATCTTACTTGCGGCAGCTGCTCACCAAATGGACATTGCGCTTGTGCTGAGGAAGTTCTCGCATCAGCAGTCAACGGGTGCGGAAAATGCGGATTTGGGACGCCATGCCATTGCTTAGATGATGCCACAAAACTATCAGGCCTTGGGTCTGACTTGAAGCGCCCTATATCCCCCTCAGGAAAAATGCCCGATGAAAAGCGGCAGCGATCAACGGCTGCTACCAGCAGGGAAACAGACTTTGGTTCCCTATTCTCAAAGCCAACGTCGCAGCAGCCGCCTCAGCCGAGCTCCATCATACAACAGCTTTCTTCCACAGACTCTCTTTCGTTTAGAGACAGCTGCGGGTTCTGTAAAGATGGTACGTACTGTGTGTGTGCGGACACGGCCATGAATGGCCCAGCCGTGGCACCAGTAGATGCATCTCCTCCAGTTACGAGACAAACTCGAACACCACCTCCAATGGAGACGGACGTTGTCACTCCGCTTCCACCACCCATGGCAATGGAAATGACCGCCGATGGAGCAGTCAAGCTACCGCGCCGAAAGGAAGCTCGCTCCAAGCCACGGCCGGAAACGACCGCTTCCCGTGGTGGCTGCGGGCCTAATGGCCCGGGCACATGCGCCCAGTGTCAGGCTGACCCCAAATCGGGTCTTTTCTGCAGACTGATGGCTGCCAACTTCAACCGTGAGAAAGGCGCCAGCTCAGATGGCTGCTGCGGCGGAAAGGGGGCTGGCGGAGGGTGTTGCAAGTCCAAGCCCAGCCAGGAGAAGATTACACTGCCTAGCCTACCTAGCCTTGGGCTGAGTTGCGCAGAGGCATACCAGACGCTGTCCAGTCATCGCAACTTTGAGCAGGCTGCTGATGAGATTGGCACTTGGCTGCCGAAACTAAAGGCCCATCCAACACCAAACGATACTAGACCGTTGCCGGCGGGCAGAGTACCTATAGAAGTAGAAGCAGCAAGCATCATGAGCGTGCTAAAGGAGTTTGACATTCGATTTGGGAGAGAATGTTGAATGGGCGCAGCAGCAGATGCCGCTTCTTACGGATGGAGTTACACAGCGCCATGTATTATATCACATATATGTTTTTATTTTTTGGTAGCATTGTCCTTTTTGTCTTGTTCTGCATCACATGCAATACTAATTGCGTAACAACAACTGAATAAAAGTAAAAACCTGAATTCCATCTCATATCCTCTTATGAATCTGTTTCCTCAAAGTGATGCCAACGCTTCTAGGGTAGTTACTTCAATAAACCTAGCAAAAGTGATGCACATCAATTCTCTCACAACAAGCAGACAAAACAGTAAACAAACAACGATCAGCTATAACATTCACCTGTCAATTTCATAGACACCACTTATTCACACTCTCAAACACACTCTGCCATGCCACATGAAACTAAGCTCCTCTCTTCTTTGTCACCATCTTCTCATCCCGCCCCCCATTCTCCAATACCCACTAGGCTCGAGTTCTTCCTATTTCCCTCCATCCACTCAATCTCCATCCTCTCACCGATTCCAAAACAAGGCGGCCACTTGCATATGCCCTCTTCTTCCCAGTTCCACTGCCTCCCACGTCCTTTACTTAAATTCACGCAACCAACACAGCCAGCCTGATTTTTAGAGAGCGGCGACGTGGAGCAAGATGCGTGGCTGGCTAAAATTGGGGCTTATCGCATTCACTGCATCTTCCTTTTTTTTTTTTTTTTTTTTTTCTTTTTTAACAACACAGCCCAGCCTTACTTTTCACGAGGAGGGATGGCGTATTGTAACACAGCAGCTGCTTTGCATGCGTGAGGCCGTTGAGTCACCAACGCCATGATTGTACTTTTACATCTACAGTGTGGACGTGGGAGGTTCACACATGTAACAGCGAATAGAGGGAGGGCCAGGCGCTTCTAACAGCATATGCGCTGTTACTCGACTGTCCTACTGCTGTTGGCCGTTTGACAATTGGGTAGCCGTAACAAAAAAGTGACATGATAAGTCCATTAGGCTGACTTGACAACAAAGTGAATGAGACAGCCAGTCAGAAAGTGAACAAGCCTTATTGAACAAAGCAATGTGACTTCTAATTGTAGGCCGCCCAATACTACTATGTATTGTCTCGCGTTTTTAAAAACCTACACCCCTCGGCCCACAAACTGGAACCTGAGCATCTTTTGTTGTTTTACGGCTACGAGACTAGCTGGGCACACGTTGATGAAGCCCGAGCGTTCAGGTAAACGACGACATGTCATCACCACCCACCAGAGATACACCGAGCGTGCCCAACTCGCCGGGGTCAGACACGAGATTGTGCCCTGATGCGAGCAGACAGCCCAGCCCCAGTGTATTGAAGGACTATCTGCTCCATAATGCCCCGGAGTATCGGCGGCTGGACGCGTTGCGGCAAAAGGTATGCTCTTCCCAAACTCCATTCTCGTAAACTCTTGTTCCAAGCCTGAACGAGTGTGTGTCATCTTTGATCTTTCAAGTCTTACACGTGGTTCATACCGCTAGGGATGGGAGAACAAGGCTGGAGATGTATTCTTCCAACAGCAGAGACAGCGAGCGGATCATCCAGATAAACAAACGATTACGTTTTTCTATAAGATGATGAAGGGGATTGCAAAAGAGATGAACTCGACGACTGGCGGCGCGCTCCGCGTCCACACGAGAAGACCAGATAAACCGCAGATTCTAGACTTCTGTACGGCTCCGGGTGGGTTCCTCGAATCGGCCATCAAGATTAATTTTGGGGCTAGAGCCACGGCGTTCAGCTTGCCGCCCACCCAGGGAGGACATGAGATCATCATGCCGCTAGATTCCAGCGTGGTGTTCAAGTATGCGGACGTCACCATGTTCGCTGGAGACATGGGTTACACGGACGTGCCAACAGAGAACCCTGATGCTGAGAAATTTGTGTTGGAGCGTAGCGTTCACCCTGAGCAGCGCTTCCATCTCATCTTCTGCGACGGGCAGGTTCTGAGAACCCATGTCCGCGCTGCCTATCGGGAGCGGTGGGAGGCGCGGCGTCTGACAGCTACACAGCTCGCCATTGGGCTCGAACACGTCTCGCCTGGCGGAACCATGGTGGTGCTTTTGCATAAGCTAGATGCCCCCGACACTGCGAGCTTGCTGTACACGTTTAGCAAGTTCTCTACTATCCAGCTCTTTAAGCCGAAGAAGGCTCATGCGAAGAGATCCTCGTTCTACATGGTTGCCAGGGATATCCATAACGATTTGCCGCAGGCAAGGGAGGCCATCGAAGCGTGGAAGCTCATGTGGAAGATTCTGACTTTTGCTCCCGATGAAGATCGCTGGAAGGCGGCGGATGGTCACATGGATGAACAACTGCTGGTGGAGCAGTTTGGGCCAGACCTTGTAAGGCTCGGGAGGAGCATTTGGGAGATTCAGGCCGAAGCTCTCGAGAAAGCGCCGTTCATGCAGGCCGGGCAGAATTGAGGATCGAAAGAACGGGCTGAAGATCCTCCTTGGTTAATACAGGCAGTGTATGTGGTCAGCTGCAGAATGGATGGCAAACCGGTATTGAATGACACAGGTAGCGAGCTGTGATGCTCTACTGCTAGCTCTACATGGCCAAGAGAAAGTTTCTTCTGACTTCGCTTCGCCTCGCCTCGGCGTCCCTTGTACGGAGTACAGCATTCGCTACATTAGCAAACTTTTTGATTAGGCCAAGCCACGTCCCGATTTAGGTCGTCGGGTCCGTGAAGCTTCCTGTAACGGGCATGGCAACAGCCGAGGCTGGTTAGGTCGCCTGCGGTGAGTTGTCAAATCGGCCCCCCGTCGCGACATCGTCAGCGCATCAGCCAGAGCCTTGGAAGCCTTACGCCAGCCCGCTAGACACACCGCTTGGGTAGCCGGCCAGATGCGCGGTTGCGTTGCTATAATTGGAGGAGAGCCGCAGGAGAGGCGGCGGAAAGGAGGTCAAGAAGAGGTGGACTGTTCTTTGGCACCGTACATGAGATTGCTGCAAGTGCAGGTATGTGCATGTATCATGTAGGCCTATGGAGCCCCAAAAAGGACCTGGGAGGACGCAGAAAGGGCTTTGAGGTGCAGGTGATCAATCATGTGACTGCAGGACTGCTGGAGGTTACAAAGCAGAGCAGACCTACTTTATGAAGTATACAGAGTAATAGCCGCGGAATTAGTATGTACCTTTTATAACGGAGCAGCTGGTGGAGGGGAGATGCAAGTATGTAGACACAGATGGATGCCATGATTGCTGGATTACGACTACAACTTGGTGGTGCATGATAGTATTACGACATGCACCAAAATATTACGGTATGATAGGTATATACTGTGATACGGAGTAGAGAAGAGTAAATACTACTGGATAGGTGGGTAGAAAACAACAGCAAAAAGGGAGAGAGGGAGAGACGGAAGGAGGAGAGCTGGCGGCTGATGACAAACTGCATTCCCTCTCATCTGCACTTCGTACTCGTAACAGAGATGGAAGAGACACTAGGCGAAGGCCCGCTGCAGACAAGAGTCCACCACTCCTCAAAGCTTTGAATCCTGCTGACTGGCAACCGCATAGTTACATGTACTACTGGCATCTACGGGGAGTAGGCCCGGATACACTTATTCTCGCTACCTGCACGCAGCATATGCAGGCTCATACGACTTACAGGAGGCATGAATACTGTACATATATTCGCGACACACTCGCGGTTGTTATTGTTGCATGTCAGACGACGCGGCGCATGACGGAGCGGCGAAACTCTAACGAACTGCTGCTTTGATGGAGCGCGGTCGACCCGTCGCCAAAGCCATTGGCCGAGAGGCGTTTTGACGTGATTGATCGGGGCGCTCGGAGGGGGAAGAGACCAGCAAGAGGGCGAGACGAGAAAAGAGGACAGGGAGAGGCGCGATGCCATGGGCCATGGACCAAACCAAGTGGTTGGCCATCCTTGGTGCTGCTACGGAGCACTACTTCGTACTACCGCTGCGATGCTGAGAGGCGAAGATGCATGGAGGTGTCGGGCGCAGCGCCTGATTGGGCCCTTGTGCGTGAGCTGGCACCCCTTCTCTGCTGCCGCATGGCGTGGACGACGCAGATTGGGCAGAGGCTGGGGCCGTTTCGTGGTGGACAGGGATTGGCCGGTGGATGCGATTGCGTCCCAGATGCCATGCCAATGCAATGCACAATGCACTGCCAACTCATCTGGCCTGGCAGACGCACCAAGCGGGCACCACCCTCTCAGTCGCTTTTCTGGGTCCTTTTCTGGGTCTTGCCGGCTGGCGACTTGTGGCCTTTTGAGTCACTTGGCTGCATGCTACCTATGTACGTACTGTAGGCATGCACCTTACCATGGGGATTCTTTCGTATGCAGTGTGGTTCTGGTGGACAGTGGACTCGTCCTACATCTTCCGTTTCCTTCTACCGCGCAGACGACGAGTATGCTTTCGGTATTCTGCATCCTGCATTCTGCACCCTTCCGCTGCCTTCGCAGGACGGGCACCTATGCTGTACTACCTAAGTGGTGGACTAACAGGTCGAGGCATGTATGGCGTTGCATGTATGTAAGCTACTGCGGGAAGAGTGCGAGAGTAGTATATCATGGCTCCGCGGCTGTCTGTGTAATTCGTATCTCGAAAGCCGCCGCCACGCTTTCTCTCCCTCTTGCTCCTGCGCCAGAAAGTGCTGACGCTACATGCCGTACATGCTGTGTGCCCTTGTGTAGCGCCAGCCAGCCAGCCGTCGAATCGTCACCAGCTCCAAAGCGAGGGCGCCATCCATTGCCACCGGCATCGCGGTAGCGCTGTTTCGCACCATTTGGGACAGCTGCCTGTCTGGCACCATATCAGACACAGCCTGTACACCGAATACTGCACGGTACGGGCTTCTGCCTACGCCAGCAGACCAGCATCACATCAGCGCCAGCGACACGTTGACTGGCCTCTCGTCAGCACCGTGCGCTCCAATCGTACATCGTACACCGTTTCTTGATACCACGACAGGAAAAAAAAAAAAATGGCCACGCCCAGTCCGGCCCAGCCCGACGTCTAAAATAGCCACCGCGACTTCTGGATATACGAGCGCCGCCACCAGCCATCAGGTACCGCCAGGGGGGCTAGACCAACCTGCCTGTCAACGGCCGGCCACACAGAGGAAAAAATCCAAAAAAAAAAAACACACGACCCCACCGCGAGCCGCCGAGCTCTGGCGACAGGCCCTATAAACTCGACCCAGCAGTGCCGCTGCTGTCGGTGGAGCAGCGCTAGGACAGGCCTGTTTTGCTACCCCACGCTGGGTCCAGCGCTGTACCGAATCGTGCCTTACAGCTCAACTGCCCTCTTTTGCTGCCTCTTAGCTCAGCTGCTCTGCGCTGGCCAACCTTTTCCTCTCGTCCCGACCTTGTCCAGCCTTCTCTCCTCTGCATCTTGCAGCTCGGCTCTGGTATTGATAATCACGGCTGCCGTTGTTATTAGCTGCGTCTCGCCGTCATATCTTGTGCTGTTTTATTGTTATTGCATCTGATAGGAGCTGGCTCTGCGTCAGAGTCCTCAGCTGTCTTGCCAAACCTCCGCGCTCCAAGCCCCTCCAAGAAAACTGCTGCTCGCTGTGCCTTTAAGCAGCCCACCACCGCCCTCGACCTCTGCTATATCTTGCGAACAACATCTCACTACTGCTGCAGGCCCAGGTGATTGTTTGTACATCGATTAATTCCTCCGTCTCCCTCGAGCAGCACCAGCCCGCCTCGGTACTCGCCGGCTGAGCCACTGTCAACGGCTGTCGAGCCCACCAGCAGAGCCACCCACGTTCCCCAGGGAACAAGAATGATCCCCATGCAACGCTCTCTCTCATCGCCAGACTGTATCCAATCCTCCCCACGTACGTTGCCGCCGTCTTCTGGCCCAGCCTTCCTCCCGGAAATTTGACCTTGCACTCGTGTACTGATGGTTCATGCCACTGGTCCAGCCGTGTCACCCACGGCTGCTGCGCACGACTCGAGATCTTCGACTCCGTCACCGGACAAGAAGAGCAGCTCCAACACCACCAACAACAACGCCAACAACAACAATGGCGCGGAGGCGCAGCGACCGAAGCGATACGAATCGCGAAGTCCCAGTCCGACCCCGACTCGCACCTCTGACATCCCCCAGACCTTGGCCTTGCGCCTGAGCGACGATGTTCCCCGCCGAGGTCGCCATCCCCGCCACCAGTCGCCCATGGCCTCTCGAAAGCCCATTGTGGCACAGCCAAACATGCCAATCTCGAGCAACGCAAGGCACGGAACCACCTTTCGGCCCTTGACCCCAACCAGCTCATCCAACGAAACACTGCCGGGCTCAAAATTCACAAAGAAGCCCTTGCTGCACGATGTGTCCATGTATACGAATACGCACCTGGTGCGGGATAGTGACAACACCACGCTGGAGGAGCTTGCTCACGTTGTGCGTCTTTCGAAATACCAAGAACGCAAGCGTGCCAACACCCGAATTCGCCTGCAGAGAAGCTTGATTTCCACTGCATTGAGCGCTCGCCTGACGCGCTGTGGTGAGATGGCCCATCGTTACCTTGTCGAAAGCTTCCGGAAAGATGACAAGGACAACTTTGCCGCTCTGTACAATGCCATCCACGATGTTCGCAAGAGCTGCGATGAGCTCCGACGATATGCGCTTCTAGAGCCTGAGCTAGAATCCTTCTCCTCTGCTGCTGCCCTGGGCTCGTCTGACAGCCTAGATACACCGACTAACTCTACAGTTGGCGTTGTTGATCCGCTCAAGTCCATTACTCCATTTTTGCATGACATTTCTGCCTCTGCTAGGGAGACATTTATTGAGTTTCTGACACAGATCCGAACGAACCCGGACTACCTGGCCACTCGCATATGTGCACTCACCAGTTCTGAGCTGAATGTCTTTCTGAACTTCCATAAAGGTTTGGAGCCAGTCGAGTCGGTTCTTCCATTCCCCACACGAAACCCCAATCGGCCTCACGCAAGTGCCTCCGGCCGTAGCTCCTCCAATACCGATATCGAGAGGCTCCTCTCCTTCCAGAGACACGATCCTTTGTCAATTCTGATTCATGCCTGCTTTGCCAATTCGGCTGGACCCGACAGCTCCGAAGACCAGCGGCGCACCGATATCTGGGCGACAGTTCTGGCCAAGCTGATTGCTGAACCCAAATCCGCCGGCGAGCATTTCCTGATATGTGTACTAAACATCTGGACAGCTATGCGCGACTGGTCTGGAAAATCCAACATGGAGTGGTACTTGATGAAGATCCTTGAAGATGGTGCTTTCTTGCTGGACCGCGCCGAGGATCAGCACGGCACGCGATTCAATCTCTCAGACTGGAACCAGTCGGACGAAGCCGCTGCCAGGGACTTTTACGACCGCGCCGTCAACGGCTTGTTCGAGCTGGTTGACGACGAGGACGCTACCGGTATCCCAGAAGGCCTCTTGGAACTCGGAAATGCGATCCTGAGCAAACTCGAAAACAAGTTTGTGGAGAACACCTCCAAGTGGCTTGTCTGGAGGTGCCTCTTCTTCGTCTTTCTGCTTGGCGTCATCATCCACCCCGAATACTATGGTATGCTAGCCGAGTATCACATCACCCCTTATGCCAGAGAGAAGATTCTGAAAAAGGTTGCCATGAGAGCCCATGAATACGTTTCAAGCATGTGGAGTGGCAAGCCTTCAGCCACCTGTGTCCCTGTGAACATTCCGCCCAAGATCAAAGGCCACGTGGAAAACATCCTCGCCAGGTTCCAAGGCACCCGATCCAAGGTTCCCGCCGCTAAACTGCTGCCCG